CACTGGATGATCTCGTGGGGATGGAGTGGAAAAATAAAAAAAAAAAAAAAAAAAAAGAAATACTAAACAACGCCACTGTTAAAATTTGATTGATCCTCCTCCTCCTCCTCCTATTTTAATTAATTGAATTTTATCCTTTTTCAGTTTAAATGTTAATTTCACATAGTCAATTCATATGATAATCAATTGTTATATACATCCTCAATTCTTATCAATGGAAGTAGATCATCTTCTCTAAATCATCATGCCAAGAACAGTACCCCTGTAAATATTTCCTTCTCTCTGTGTCGAGCCCTTTTGTACCATACGTCATATTTTATTTGTCCTCACTTTTGGTTTGTCGCAAAGTTATGTCATAAAAATATAAAAAACGACAAACCAAAAAATGACAAATCGCGAAATCTCTAACTAACAAAAAAACAACAACACCAAACGCGTTTACAATTTTAATTTCTTGTTTATTTCGTTTACAACCAAATACTCTATCTTCTTTCATCCAATCAATCAATCAATTGAAATCATGTCCAGCTCTAGGCCTGATCTAAAGTTCACAGACAACGCTGATGAAAGACTGTTCTACATCAAGTTTGCCAAGTTACCTCCTAAAGATCAAGCTACCATTCGTATTATTGATAATAATAAAGATTATTTCACCGCTTTAGATGATGATGCTGATTTGATTGCTGATAATATCTATAAAACTCAATCAGTCATCAAATATAATCAATCAAAGAAGAACAAATACGTCACCATCGCATCTCAAGTGTTCTTAAATAATGTATTGAAATTTGTCTTAATTGATAAACATTCCAAACTTGAAATCTTTAATAAAAATTTCGATTTAATTTGTACGGCTACAGCAGGTAATTTAGAAAATTTAAGTATGGAATATGGAGTTAATTTAGAATCCATGTTTCAAGATTGTTCAAATCCTATCATTGCTGCTTTGAAATATATTCAATCAGGTGCTACCAATAATGTTAAAAAAATTGGAGTATCATTTATTGATATTCTGAATGCTACTATTCAATTATCTGAATTTGAAGATAATGATTTATTTTCAAATCTTGAAAGTCTTTTATTACAATTAGGTGTGAAAGAAGTAGTTTTACCATCTAATTATTCTAATGATGATCAAAATTCTGAATTTATTAAATTATTTCAAGTTTTAGATAAAATTGGTAATTTGGTTATTAGTACTATAAAATCATCATTATTTAATACTAAAGATATTGATCAAGATTTATCTAAAATCGTTATCAATGAAAAAAATAATGATGAAGAATCAAATATTGAACTTATTTTAGCTTCCAAGGGGATTAATACTACTGATTATCAAATTTCATTATCTTGTACTAATGCTTTAATTAATTATTTGAATTTATTAGGTGAAAATGATTATAATTTTACCATTGATCAATATAATTTATCATCATTTATGAAATTAGATTCATCAACCATGAAAGCACTTAATATTTTCCCCATATCAGGAAATACGATATCAAAATCAAAATCAAATAATAATGTCGGTTCGATATTTGAATTGTTAAATAGATGTAAGACTCCAGCTGGTTCTAGATTATTATCCCAATGGTTGAAACAACCTTTAACAAATTTATCAATGATTGAAGAAAGACATCAATTAGTTGAAAATTTAATTTCAAATACTAATCTTCGAGTATTTTTAACTCAAGATTTTCTTAGTCAAGTTCCTGATATTAAAAGATTAGTTAAAAAGATTTCTATCGGTATTGATAAATCTGTCGGTAATGAAAATAAAAAATTAGAAGATGTGGTAAGATTATATCAATTGATTTTAATTTTACCAACTTTAATTGAAAATCTTGATTTAGAAACTGATCCATTAGTGGGAAAATATTGGTTACAACCTATTAAACGTGATTATGAATTATTATTAAAATTCCAAGAATTAATTGAAACTACAGTAGATTTATCACCATTGGATTCTACTTCATCATATGATTTATTACATACTGATTTTAATATTAAACCTGAATTCGATGATTCATTAATTGAAATTGATCAAAAATTACAACATACCCTTTCCGAAATTAAACAACAACAAGAAGAAGTTTCTGATGATTTAAATATGGAAATTGATAAAAAATTAAAATTAGAAAAACATATTCAACATGGTTGGTGTTTAAGAGTTACCAGAATTGATTCTCATGTGTTAAGAAATACTAATAATAAATATAATGAATTACAAGTGGTTAAAGCCGGGGTTTTCTTCACTACTAAGAAATTAACTCAATTATCAAAACAATATAATGAAACATCAATGGAATATAATAAAAAGCAAAGAGAATTAATTAAAGAAATCCTTGCTATAAGTTTAACTTATCAACAAGTATTCACTGCATTATCATTAACTATTTCTCATTTAGATGTTTTAACCAGTTTTGCTAATGTGGCAATCATAGCCCCTATATCATTCATCAAACCAAAATTACATCCTTTAAGTCCATCTATGGATAGTCCTGAATTTAAACAAAGAAAGATTAATTTAAAAGAAGCAAGACATCCTGTGGTTGAAGTTCAAGATGATGTTAATTTCATTGCTAATGATATTCAATTTTCCAATGATGATAAATCATTTGTGATTATCACAGGTCCAAATATGGGTGGTAAAAGTACTTATATAAGACAAGTTGGTGTGATTGCATTAATGAGTCAAATTGGTAGCTTTATACCTGTATCAGATGAAGATGAAGCTATTGCTGAAATCCCTATATTTGATGCTATTTTATCAAGAGTTGGTGCAGGTGATTCTCAATTAAAAGGATTATCCACATTTATGATTGAAATGTTAGAAACTTCATCAATTTTAGCTACTGCAACTCATAATTCATTAATTATAATCGATGAATTAGGTAGAGGTACATCTACTTATGATGGATTTGGATTAGCGTGGTCAATTCTGGAACATTTAATCACCGAAAAGAAATGTTTTACTTTATTTGCAACTCATTTCCATGAATTAACTCAATTATCATCAAAATATCCCAATGTTGATAATTTACATGTCACAGCTCATATTGAAAAGGATTCTACCAATGAAAATAATGATGATATAACATTAATGTATAAAGTTGAACCTGGTATTTCAGATAAATCATTTGGTATTCATGTGGCAGAATTAGTTAAATTTCCAACCAAGATTGTTAATATGGCTAAGAGGAAAGCATCTGAATTACAAGATTCTAATTTAACTGAAGGTGATAAATTCATTCAAAATAAGAGAACCAATTGTAATGAACAAGAAATTAATGATGGATTAAATAAATTAAAACAAGTGTTAAAACAATGGAAAGCAGCTTGTTATAATGAACTTGATGGATCATGTAAATTAAGTAGTAATGATGCTATAGAGAATTTAAAGACTTTAGTAGAGGAGAATGGTATTAAGAATGAAAAGTTAGTTACTGAGATCCTTAATTTATAAAACATTGGTATAAACAATAGAATAGGCGATGGCTGCAACTGAGAAAAAGAAAAGAAAAATTGCATCACTTTTTCGTATTTGATTTCTATTTTTCTTTTTTTGAGGCTTGCTATATACTTTTTACAGTCATTGATTTCTAAATATAAAAAAAATTTAATTAATAAAATTAAAATATCCCCATTTGTGCTAAATATAAATTATTTTTGAATTGGCCTGGCCTGGCTCTTGCCTATTTGATATATAAAAAAAGACCTACTTATTGATTTTTCTTATCCAATTCTGAAAGTTCAGCATCAGCAGCTGCTAATGCTTTAATGGCTTTATGTCTTTGAAGACCATGCTTATCTATGCAATATACAACTGGGAGTCCAGCCACCCATTTAAATTCAAAAAACTCATCAGTACCTTGTAAGAAACATCTAAGATATTCCAAGTATACTAAATAATAATAAACTCCAGTTCCAGTAAAGATATGCCACCAACCATGACCTTCTAAAACAAATCCATAAGGAATTCCCCAATCTCTTCTTTTACCTCTAACAAATGTACAAAAATGAATATCAAGATTCCATAAAAAGTAACCAAGTAAAAAGATTAAAACTCCAATTGTCATAGTTTTATATAATTGAGATTTAGCTCCTTTATCATCAACATGTTCACCTGTTAATGATAATGATTTAAATATAATACAAGCATTTAAAAGAGCGTATGCAGCTTGATGTATGGTGGGGTCTCTAAAGTGTAAGTAAATTAAAGTTAATAAATTAGCAGCAGAGAAAATTCCAATTCCAACTATAATTGATTCCCGTTTTGTTCTAAATTCACTAAATACTGACCAAAATGGTATACAAGTAGCATAAATCATAGGTAATTCATCTAATAATTGAAAATGATACATTAAAGTCATATGAAATAACCATGAACCAATCCCCACAAGTAAAAATCCAAATGCAGTAAATAGAAATCGAGGTTCTAAATGATTTTGATAAGCATGAAATATAGCAAAAGTGGCTAAAGCTATAAATACTGAATTGGTAAAAGTATTTAAAGCTTCAGCAATATATTCTGATACCACATAGTTTTCCTCGCACCAATCTATAGTTGAAGTGGGGATACCCCAGAACCCATCCAATTGTTCTGGAGGATACGGATAAGCAAACGGAAGCATTGATCTATATAGATGTATCAAGTATTCTATCAATTGACTTGACTTTGAATGTAAATTGAAAAAGCCAATTTAAAAAAAAAAGAAAAGAAGAAAAGTGTTACCAATTTGATTTGAGTTAATTCTGATTTTGATTTTGATTTTGATTTGAGTGATGGCGGTATGGCTCACAAACGTTTCCCTTTTTCTATTTATCTTCAGAGCGCAAACTAAAAAAGTGCTATCCTGAAAACGGAGGTATCGGTATAAAAATAGATCAGCCCCTTCTATCAGGATTGACACATATATTGTCTATATATATATATACAAATAATTCAATTACTGGGTAAAATTTTCATACCATTCTAACCAACATTCATCATTATATGGACGTATAGTATACAGATCATACATGACCATTTTCTCTTCATCTGTCTCGTTGTTACCGGCAAATTGTTTACCTAGTTGAATGACATTTGGTTTAACTTTATCTTCAGTAGAATCAGCATTATTATATTCTGTGATCTCACACCAATCTTGACAAAGTTTAGACCCAAACCTCCAATATAAATTAGCAACTGCTAATTTCATTTCAATTAAAGCAATATTCATTCCTAAACACATTCGAATTCCTTTTCCAAATGGCATCATATACTTTTGTTGTTTCATAATTCTTTGATTGAAATCCTCCACACTTTCATCATCATATTGTAACCATCTTTCTGGAATGAATCTATATGGATCTGGAAACACATTCTCTAATCTATGCATCGAATATGGTTGAACTGAAATGGTTGTACCAGTAGGTACAGTAATATATTCACCATTATCTAATCTTATCGAATAAGGTTTATCCACCATTCTAGGTTCTGCACCAGGAATTGGAGCATGAATTCTTCCAATTTCATTCATAATAGCATTCAAATATGGAAGATTATCAACTATTTCAAGATCATCGATAACAGCACCTTTAACTGGATTACTAAATTGTTGAATTAATTCTTGTTGTAATTTAAGTTGAACTGAATTATTGATTGGTCTCGATAATTCATAACATAAATATGTAAGATAAATAGCAGTTGTTTCATGACCTGCAAAAATATTATCAGTAAGAAACGAATAAGCATATTCACCTGTAATACCTGCTTTTTTAAAACTTTCTAAAGTTGTAAGATTTTCATCTTTACCAAACTTTGGTACATTATTTTCGGCATTAGCATATAATGATAATTGCCATTTTGTAACATCTTCCAGAGCCTTTAATATACGACTGCCAGCAGCCCAAGACCAAAATCTTGGCATTAAAGTTGTCCAAAATACCATACTTGCCACTTCTCTATGACTAACAATGATATGTCTTTGTTCAGGTTTAGATAATAAATCAGTACCATTTTCATTACCTAATTCAAATGCTGAAACCACATCTAATGCTAACGATGCAAATAATGAATATACATCAATACCTAAATTTTTAGTTTTATTGGCCAAGTTGAACCAATCTGAACCTTCATGACCTTTACCATGAATATTATGAATTGATTTGGCATTGATATAATCAGGTTCTATACCATCTACTGATGATTTGTAAATAGCATCAACCAAATTCCCCACTTTCTTAACAAGATTATTTCTCGTACTATTGGTTTTGGAAAAGATGGCACTTTTACTATATATATTTGATACAATTTTTTTATATTTGATATGTCTATCATTCTCAAGACTAGCAAACATATTATCTTTAAACCCATGATTTCTAAAATTTTCATAAAATTTTGATTTGGGGAAATTTTTAACATAAATATCAGTTATAAATTTTGCATTCCCATTAACACTGATTTCATTAGGGGATAAAATGACAATGTTTCCATATTTGGCATGCAAGTCATGAACTTTTGTGATCCACCGCATCTTCCTTTGATCATTCAACGCTGTAAAATAACAGATCCTATGCAAGTATGGTCCCGGTACATTTCGAAGTGAAGATATAAAGAATGGATATATAAACAAGTAGTATGTTATGAATGATACTAATATGAGAGCTTGAGTCTCCAATGGATTCAGAAAAATATATTCATATAAATCATACACCAAATCTAATAACATAGTAGTGATAGTAGTAGTAGTTGTCGCTTAAATAGATCTCAGATCATTTGCTAAAAAAATAAGGCTTCAAGATATAAACTATGATATTTATAGTGATTTCATGTTTTTGATCTTTTTGTTCGTTTTTTTTAGTTTACAATTCTTATCAGAAGATGTTGCGAATTCCGTATTTCCTAATTCGTAAATAATATCCGCTTTCCTAACGCGGAATTTTTGTTATGACGATTTACATTTATATATTATACCTATTTTGCTACTGATTCACTATTTACAGCATTTAAATAGTTTGTGAAACTACTGGTTTGATGGATTCCGCATTCCGTTTTTGCTTTACCCTTCCATCTTCCACTTCTTTCGTCCTCACCGTCGGCTACAGGAACGGTGGAATGCCAATCTCCAATTGATTTGTAACCCAAATCTAATAATTCATTATATGGAACTTTATTATCATCAATGTATTGCTTTACTTGAGCGAAATTCCAATTGAATAAGGGATTTATTTTTATCGTACCACTTGTTTCTTCTATTTCAATAACGGGTAATTCTCCACGAGCTCCACCTTGAGTTCTTCTTCTACCAGTCAATACCGCTACCACATTTAATTCTTTATAAGCTCTTTGAGATGGTTCAACTTTTACTAAGAAATCATAATATGAATCATTGGTTTCCCATAATTGATCACCATACTTTTCAGAAAATTCCGTCTCATTATCAACATTTAATGGTTTGTAAATATGAATTTTGGGATTATATTTCTTTTGAATATTATCTACTAATTCATAAGTTTGGGGAAAATGATGTAAAGTATCAAGGAATATTAAATCTATTATATGTTTATTATCGTCACTTGAATCAGATGAAGGTTTTAATTTAGAAATCATATCAATCGTTACTAATCCAGTTAATCCAAATGCTGTAGTTTGATATAAATTTGGAAATGTAAGATAAGCCCACTCTATAATTTGTTCCGCTTTTAAATGCTGTAATTTTTCATTAAGATGGTTTAAATGTTCAGTAGTTAATACTACTGGTTTCTCGGTAGCAGTCATGACTATATCTATCAAATTTTAACCTTATAAAAGATATAAATTTTGCATTAACTTGGATTAATAATTACCATTGATTTATCTTTAATTTGTCAAAATTTTTTTGAAAGATAATGGCTCACGTGATATGATAACATTTTAGTCACGTTTATTTGCACGTGATTTATTTTTGAAATTTAATTTTTTTGACTCTGTCACCACTGTTAATCTGATTGCAATAATTCAAATACATTTATTCATACATATTTATATTTATTGAACACAATTAATCGTATCTATATATGGAAAATCTATAAAGTATCTATATTCGCAACTTAATAGGATGGAGCAGCTTTAGCAACAGCATCTCTTTGGTTGTCAACTTGATCTCTTTTATGTTCAGAGGCATCATTAGTAGCAACTGCATCAGTGGCAGCAGCAGCAACTGATAAGTCCAGTGAAACAGGAGGTGGAATAATCCAATAAGGAGACCAAACACCAGCACTTGAACAAATAGAAGTAGCTAATCTTGTAGCAACAACCACATTTTCACCTTTACAACTTTGAGCAATACATTCACCAATTGAACCAGCAAATTGAGGCATAACACATAAACAACCAGTATCCCAATAAGGACATGGAGTTTTACCAGTATCTTCGAATAAACATGGTTTAGCACAATCAGGCATTTGATCGTAGATTCTATCAGCGAACCCATTAATAGAAGCAGTCTTTGCAACGGCTGGATAAGTAGCATAAGGATTGTTGGTAGTTGGACTTGGAGCTTGAGTGATAGTGTCATCAGCTAAAGCTAATGAAGCAGTAGCTAAGATTGTAAAAAGAACGGCTTTCATGTTTAAATTGTTTGTTAGTTTGTTGGTTAAATTGAATTAATATATTGCTATTTATTTTGCAAAATTCTTGATAAATTTGATCCTATTTAAACTATTTTGAGAGTCCATTAATGGAAACAATCTAAACCGTTTTCTGTAGTAAAAACAACCATGCTGGTCCAACAATTTCATACATATCCAATCATCAAACTTTAAGTATATTAACCATTGAGATCGTGATCGGTGAGCTATTAAAAAACAGTTATATCTAGCAACCCATTTAGGAAATTTCTTGGAATGAATGTTACAATTTTGGAACATAAGACCTGACAGGTTTATAAACCTTCTTTATTCTGTATTCAACGACATATTTGAACCATTTATAGTAAATGCCGATTGAACATTGTATGTAATTACAAAAGTGAATAATTTTCTTAGCATTTTTCAATATTGAGAAGGAGAGAAAAAAAATTTGCAACCTTAAATCGGACACATCGCTGTTTATAAAACTACAATTTCCGGACATCGCAAACATATCAAACAAATCGGGATTTGGGTTGATGTTTGAGAAATGTAGGTTGAGTATCATGGATATCTTTCTATCTCTCAATGTTAGTGATCGAGTGAAGTAAATTAAGGAGAATTCTCGTATCATCGTGGGTAGTGGTCATTTATATTTTTTGAGTATTTATCGATAATCTTTTTTTATTTGGACTCTCTTTGGTGTTAAAAAATATTAGCTCTATTTAATTTTCATATTAGTAATAATCTTCTAGAATACGAACTATCATATGGTAGTTTTATTCCTTCGTATGCAAATGCTAAACATAGCCGCTATAAGTACATGATAGCGCCTAAATTTACTAAATATGCGTAATCAATCCTTCACACACATCAATTTACGGGACTTTTTAATTTTATTTCCAAAATGGAAATATATTAAAGACATGACGTTATGATATATTATTGCGATGAAGCATATTACGAGTGGAAAGTACCTTAGTTTTGGGGGACACAGCAAGTCACATGATAATCAATGATAGTTTATAAAGCTTACGTGTAAAAGAATTTGGTTTAAATTGTTTTTGTTTGCGCCTGTTTTGAAAATTCGTAAATTGAACTTTTTTTTGAATTTTTATTTTTATTTTTTTTTTTATTTTTCATTCGAAGCGATATTTTTACAATTTTAGACTGGGGGGGATTTTTAACTACACTTTTTTAAATGATTGGGTTAAAGAGATATAAATATTTTGCGGGATTAAGATCCCGTAGGAGTTGGGAAATATAATTAAAACAATGAGACATTCATTCAGGGGTCTGGTTTTTACTAAACTTCTTGATGAGCTTTATTACTATTTATAACCGAAATGAAAGAAAGTACCACATTAAACTTTCGTTATCTATAGAATTATGTAACATGTCAAAAGCAAGCAGTAAGATCTATTTTTACCAACATAGCCGGGAGGGATGATTATAATTATAGTATGTAATGTTTATAAGTTTCGTACTTTGTTGTTGTTGTAGAGGGGTAGCAACTAGTTAATAATAAGTTAATGGTTTATTTTGTAAGAATACCCCCACATTGAAACTAACTAATTCCTAAACCATTATCCTCAGTATTGAACATGGCATGGATATACATTTAAAACGATGAAATAATAATACATACAATACAAATTTACATCTACATTACTGACACACACACACACAATTTCTCGCTAAGCCATTGGCATATTTGGCTCTTCCAATATTTCTCTCTCTCTCTCTCTCTCTCTGTTGCTATTTTCATTGTTATTGGTTTTTTCTGAAACACCTATCAATCAAATTTATCAGAATTCGTAAAACTTATTTCACCATAATAAGTAGTGAAATTTATTGACTTATGTATTATTTTTTTACAAGAATAAGTTCGTAGTTTATTTAATTTAATTTAATTTAATGAACTCAGTTCTAACTATATATCGTCACTTTACGAGACGTATATAAAGTAAAAATAAAATAACAAAAAGCTCAGCAAATTAATTAGTCCAGAACTGGTGATCAAGAAAAATTTGTTAACAACTTTCCATCTCTCTCTAAATTGATTTCATTTACGAACTTTTCGTTTTTGCGCACCTAATTTCAAACACCCAAAACAAACAAACAAAAAAAAGTGATTTAGTTTTGTGATACATAAAATATTTACGAATAATTCATCTATCTTTCAAGTTGGTAGTTTCGGCTTACAGAGCTTAACTGTGGGTCGGACAATTTTATGGTATATAATTTAAAAATATTACCAGTTTAAGAGATTTATGATGTTATGATTTTAGTTCATACTTCCATGAAACTAGTGTTTTAATTAAATAATATAAATATCACCGGGTTTATTCATTTTTTATCACTTTTTTATTTAACTTAAAAACATAAGAGGTTGCAATATAATCAGCTTGTTTTATTTAGTTAATAATAAGCCATCATATTATGGGATTACTTATACCTCACTATTCAGATCTTCATCATTATCATCATCTTAGTAATAATCTCGACTTCAATAACAACTTAATGTATAATAGTAAATATAATATTAGTCCCACCAATACAAGTACTTGTTATGATGATGATTATATAAATGAATCATCATTCATTTGCAGTTGTTGTTCTAATCCTGTGGTTAATTCAAATACAAACGCTATAACAAATGTAAACACTGATTATAATATTTCAACTTTAAATCAGCAATTATTAATAAATAATCTTTTATGCAATTCATGTCATAGTATCATAGGATACAAGATTATAAACTTCACCTTGGATCAATCAGATCTCCCATTAGGATCTGACCATAGTAACTTCACTCCATTATCATCATCATCTTCGTCTTCAAATACATCCACATCATCTTCCGAATCGACTCCATCCGAGGATGATGGTTTAGCAAAGTTTAAAAATCATCTATTAAATATAGAAAATGAAGTGAATTCCAAAGTGGAAAGAATCGACTATTTGAACTTTATAGAAACTAATCAACAATTAATAGGACAAACATTTTTGTATATATCCCAAGTTACCAGTGTTCGTTAACAAAAATATATAAAAACTATACCCCCAGCCAGCCGCACACACAGAAAATAATACTACTCGGCTCCTACACGAACAACTAACCAAACCGAAACAAAACTTACAAACACACGAACAAACATATCTATTTAAATAATATATGGAAGTATATATATATATATAACGATTTTATAGAATAAAAAAAAAAAAAATAGAATATCATCTTTTTATATTTTTCTTGGTATATTAATTTTGGCGCCAATAAAAGAACTTTAACCTTTTTTCGTTTTTCTTTGCTTGCAAAAAATGGATTAAATATTTGCTCACGGTTACTTAAATAAGTTGAATTAAACTGCTCGCCAGTAATAAAATGGTGTTACAATGTATGGTTCGATATTATATGATTGATTAGTTAATTGATGGTCTATATAAGTTGGTTACATCCCCGATGTGAATTCAAAAGTTATCAAGATGTGATAATAATTTCAGTCAACACAAACAAAGTCAACCATTGAATACTTAACAAAATGAATATGGGAGGAATGAATGCAAATCCTGCTCAACCAGCTTGTAAAATTTCCATGTTATGGAATTGGTATACCATCGATTCATGTTTCATTGCCAGATCATGGCATGTTAGAACCACAGGTATGTTTGCCGGTTCATGTATTGGAGTCTTTTTAATGGTGGTTGCTGCTCAATGGCTTGCCAGATTTGGTCGTGAATTAGATATTGCCTTTGCTAAACAAAATGCTAAAAATAGAGCTCTAATGGGGGCAAATTCTTCAGAATCTTCTGATGATGAATTAAAAGGTCAACCTAAAATCCAACAAGATGGTCTGAATGCCAATCCTTTGTTATTTGCCATTTCTCATGGTTGGTTATTCACTAAACAATCAGGTGATATTTGTTCTACTCCAATGCAACATTTAATCAGATGTCTTATGTTCACAGCTCAATGGGGTTTATCTTATCTTATCATGTTGTTATTCATGTACTACAATGGTTATATCATTATTTCTTGTATTTTAGGTGCTTTATTCGGTAAATTATTATTTGGTTATACTGAAGCCATTCATAAAGATGATACAGAAGATCGTAAATGTTGCAGATGAGTCAACAGACTTTTCTTCTTTTTTTTTTGCTACCAAATATTTTGTATATAAAAAACGATTAGAACGCGATTGCAATTAATTCTCTTTACTTCTTTTGCTTTCTTATAGCAGATACTATATATAGTTCAATATAATATTCCTAATGTAACTATGACTGTGAGTGTTACTAATTTATTTTATACCATTATCGATGGTGATAATTATCTTGCGTTGGTAGTATTGGATAAAGCTGGTGTATTGTATTACGCGTCGTTAGGTAGTTCTAAAGTTAGTTTAATCCCACTTATGATGAAAGATTTCAAACTGATTAAAGGTTATCGATTAAATTCATTATCAGCTGCTTCAGATCTGATCTTGAATAAGGAAAGTAAAAGTTTGATTGATAATACCATCCATGAATTCGCGTTATTAATGACTTCTGATAAATTGCAACCTAATAAAATCAAATATGCTTTCATATTTGGAACCTCACTTCAAAGGAAAGTGTGGAATCATTTGATTAATATCCCATTAGGTTCAGTTAGTGATTATTCTACAGTGGCAAAAGAGTTGAATATGCCTATTCTGTCTTCTAGAGCTATTGGAAATTGTGTTGGTTCAAATAGAATAGCTATAATAGTTCCGTGTCATCGAGTTTTAAGTAAACTGAAAACTTTAAATGGTTATCGATATGGGCTTAAGATTAAGAAAGATCTTTTACAAGCAGAGTTAGGTAGTAATTATGGTAAATATGTCAAGGGTTAATTAAGTAGGTACGGTTATTTTTTTAGTTGTTTATATGTGTGATTCAAAAATATAATATCCTTTTTTTTTATTGTCGATTTATAAAAATCTAAACTAACCTCTAACTCTTAATAATTGTTTAACTGAATCAACCACGGTTTCTTCAATACCAATGAATTTAAATCCTAAGATTTTATTGGTTTTAGAATAGTTTAATGTTGCTAATTGACTGGTTTCAGCAACATCAGCCCCTGGAACACCTTCATAAATCTTTCCTTTAAATTGAGGGAAATCCTTAATAACGACATCAGTAATTGTTTGAGAAGTGAATCTTGATGATGATAAAATTAATCTTTGACCAACAGCTTCTTCAGATTGGAAAGCAACTAAATGAGCTTTAGCAGCATCTCTAACGTCAATCCAACTACCAATATGGTTTTGTAATTTAGATTCTGGATTCAGTTGAATAATAGCTTCAATGACTTTTGAAGAAGAATTTAAATCTGGGGCTACTAAAGCATCATCAATTTGTGGACCAAAAGTATAACTTGGTAAAACAGTAGTTAATTTGAAATTTACTTTTTCATTTTTAACGAAATCCCAAGCTAATTTTTCAGCTAATGGTTTTGAACCTAAATAAGCAAGAACTGGATGATTTTTAGAACTTTCAAAAGTAGCTTTACTCCAAACAGTTTCATCAAGAATAACATTTGGATTTGGATCATCATTTTCTCTAGCAGCACAATCAGATGAAGTAACGACAACTCTAGTAATTTGAGGAGCGTAATTTTTAATAGAAGTTAACACATTTTTAGTACCTTCAATAGCAGGAATTAAAATATCCTTTTCTGGACTTTCAATATTAAAACGGAATGGAGAAGCAATATGTAAAAAGGTAGTGATTTGAGGATTAGATTTTAAAACTTCATCAAAGGCACCAACATCAGCAATGTTTGGAATAACCACATAAGAGTACTTATCAGTATTTAATATTTTCTTGAAAGCAGCACCTTTAGCTTCAGATCTAACTGAACCAATAACAGTGTAACCTTCTTTTAATAATAAATTGACAGTATGAGAAGCAATGAACCCATTGGAACCAGAGACGAAAACAGTTTTAGACATGATATGTGATGATTTTAGTGATCAATTGAGTTTAGTAAGAACTTATTGAATAAGAAGAAATCTCTGAAATTTGAACAAAAAGTCGAATTACGTGACATTTATAGTGAAATTTTTTAGTGGTTAAATATAAATTGGTGGGGGTATCCACATCTTTTTTTTTGAATTTTAAAATTTCTCGATCTCCACGGGACCCTTTCCTAATTAGGAAAGCATATCTTTTTTAACGTGGGGGGAGTGAAAAGTGAACCACCTTCTCATAAAAATAATTATTCCGAGAAATAATATACGTCAAAAATTAATAGTGGAGAGGAGGGTAGGGTAGGAGAAGACGTAATTACATCTCTATTTAAATTATATGTGGTATAATAATATAATAATAGTAACTAAATCTAACTAAATGAAATATAAAATGACTAAAAAAATAAAAAAACCATAACCTATTTGTTATTGATTTTCATCTTTAGCATTATAATAATTAGTTAATTGTTGTAATCTTAAATCTGGAAGTTGAGATTCTTTTAAATACTTTTCCATTTCAAATTTTTCAAATTTTTGTAAGAATTCTTCAATATTCATCGACAGATCTCTTATACTGTTCATATATTCAGTTTCGAAATTCTTATTGATTTTATTCTTTAAAATTGATGGTTTGGTTCGAAGTTTAATTTCAGGTTCAGCTTCAATAACATTATTATCATTATTATTAGTAGTAGTAGTTGTAGTAGTATTATTACTATCACTCAAGTTTCTTCTTTTCGATAATGAAAATGATAATGATCTCTTAACTGAAATGGAATGTCTTCTCTTAATAGATAGTCTTCTTTTAGGTAAGGCTTTAGGAATCAGATTAATTGACAGAATACTATTATTATCTTCTTCAGTTTCCACCACTTCTGTTGTGGTTGTAGTTGTTGATGGTTCTTGGATTTGATCACTGATAGGAGTAGGAGGAGCTCGATTACTATAAACCAACATATCAGCATAATCTTGAAACTTTATAGAATTATTATTATTATTATTATTATTGTTCTTATTCTTAAAACCAGGAGAATTTGGATCTTCCACATGTTGAAATAAACTAAAACTTGAAGTTCTACGTCTAAAACTTTCCTTGATTGGAACTCTCATAGATATGGGAGAAAATAACATTTCAAAACTACTTCTAGGTGATACCACTTCATTTGAAAGAATAGATGGAGCTAAAAATAAATCTTCCTTATCTTTATGATGTTTTGTAGTCCATAATCCTTTAACTTTGGAAAATATTGATAATCTCTTTATATGCACAGGAGTAATTTCAACTGACCCACAATTATTCTCTTCTTTTAAAGAATCTGGTTTAACTTCTTTAGTAACAGCATCACCAATAGTAACCTCAGTTGAAGATTCAACTTTGTCATCATCATTATCAAAATTAGGAAATTTTAAATCAAATTCAAGACTTTCATTATCAAAGTTTATACTAATGATACTATTTTGAATCAGGACGGTTGAATCAGCAGATTGTAAAAGACAATCAATCCCCAAAGGAGAATCTTCTAATTTGAACTTATTATAAATATGATCAATAGGTTTGAAATGGGAACTAGGATCAGAAAGCTTTTGATTAAGTATAGAACTTTCACCACTAATAGTAGTTGAAAAGGGTATAATTAATGATGGAAGAGGTGATGATGATGAAGTAATTATTTGTCCTTGAGAAACATGCCTTTGACGGGAAGGATTAGTCTTACTATTTGATCTAAAATAATTACTTAAGATACTTGAAGTAGTTGAGATTGAAGTATTGGAACCATTTAAATTTGAATGTTTTAATGAGAATGATGAAGAATTGGTATTGGGAACAGGACTGATTTCGTAGGTTTTTTTAAAACTTGGAATAGAATGAATAGGAGAAGGAGAAAAATGAATTGAAAACATGATTGAATATGAATGGTGACGTTTAAGGGTTGGTAGCAAATTATTTATGGCTTGATAATATGGATGATGCTTTCAACCGTACAAACCAATAGAAGAAATAGATTAAAAGTTGTATAAAATAGTTACCGCTCAGGAAATTACTATTAATAATTTTTATTTGCATCCACAAATGCAAATTCATCTCGTCCCGTAAAAACTGAAAAGGCACAAAAACTGAAAAACCAGAAAAAAAAAATTATGCCATCACTCTCTGTATAAATATAAAAATTTTAAACCCCAAGGATAGTTACTGCAAAACGGTTTGGATCAACCAGAAGATGATATGAAGATGACGTCCACCAAACTAAATCATACTTCCAAGCTAGCGATCCTTGATTCCTATAACTATGTGTCGTTGACGTCTCCCTCTGATCATCAATTATCAGATATATTTGCATTTTTCCAATCTCAATACGATCCTTCTTTAAGTTTAGAAGATATTAAAACTATCATTGATAATGAAGGTGACATAAGGAAATCATCAGCTCAGGAACTCATCAAAGAGACATTAGTCAATTATGTCATTCGTTGGTATATGATAAATCCTTTGATGGATGTACTGTTATTGGTTAATATACTGAATCATTTCAATAGTATTTTCAATCGTATAATCTTAGATGTAAATACTATTCAACAACGAAAATCATTATCTTCCAACTATGGATTTGATTTCAATGCATCATTCAAAGATGAATCAGCTAGAATATTGCAATCATCATCGAAATATTCTCCTAATAACGTGTTTTACTTATCTGATATCGTCTTAAACTTGAATTTCAAAGTTACATTATCCTTATCATTAATGACTAATATTAATGGGAGCGAATTCTTAAATCCAATGTTTATAACCAATATCCCTAATGATTCAAATAATTATTATCCAAGTGGATTAATCAATCATTATCAATTAATCAGTTATCTTGAAAGAATCAATTTAAAATTCATTAAAGAAAATCGAAAAATTGTCTTATTCTTAGAATCTAAAAATCATTTATTAGAGAAATATTTATTCTCCAATATCGAGTTAATCTATATAAATCCAAAATTCGAACATAATTCATATCATCAACCTCATAAATGTATAAAATTCCCTGATTCATTTGGATTGAATGATTGGTTTAAATTCCACCTTTCCAATAATATCCCAACTGAATCTATCAATGAAGAAAATATCGATACCATTCTAAGTTCCGTATTAAAGAAGTATCATGAATGTACCAACAAGCTTTTATATGATGCGTTATATTATGAATTCAATCAATTAAACCTTTTGAAATCAAACTTAACTTCTTATAGTAATGTTAGTATTCCATTAGATAAATTCGTGGTTAAAGATGATGTTTTAAAAATCGCCAATGAATCAATCGTATCTTCGACAGCTCCCAATTACATATATTCAATTAAAGATATTTATTATATTATTTTAAAGTTGTTAAAATGGGAAAAGGGTAATAATCATACTGACATAGATCAAACTATAAATGAAAGTGATGAAGATAAAATTTTAAATTTCCTTATTAAAGATGTTTATCCGTATTTATTATTTAATGAAAGTTCTACATTGAATACTTTCCATTCATTCTTGAATGAATTCATAAATCATCATATCAATGATTCAAATCCATTAATTCAAAGTAAGAACCATGATCAGACTTCATCTATGTTATTGAAATATGAAAGTCAACATTTAGGTCCTTTAACTGAAGCTTTGGAAATTGAACATCAAATCAAACAATTAATTAATGCAGGTCAACCTTCACCCATAACAGCTACAACTTCTTCAACTCCCGCTAAAAGAATAAGATCATTATTAGGTGATTCAAGTACATCACCAACAGTTAAAAAGGCAAAGACTCTTGAACTTTTAAATAAGGATAAATCAATTGTGGTGGATGCTGAATCATCGAATGGAAAGTTCAAGAAGGCGATGTTTTCTGATGATGATAGTGATTCAAATGATGATTCGTTTGCATTGAAAGTAAGAAGTAGTAAGAATACCAGTCTCAGTGAAAAGACTAGTGATACAAGTGTTGATGTTAAACAAAACGGTCATGGTAATGGCATTGTTAATGGAAAGCAAGAAAAGTCTAAAGTTGAAAAAGTACAAAATGGTAATGTAGTAAAGCCAACAGAACACGAAGTTGAAAAGGAAAGTGTTGAAGGTGAAAAGGAGGAAGAGGATGAAAAAGAGGAAGATCAAGATGATAAGATGGAAATCGATGAGGCCCCAATTGCTGAAAGCAATGGACATACCGAAGAAAAGAAAGATAATTCTAAATCTAATAATGATGTATTCAATAAAGCGTTTGAAACAGAGTTGAAAGCTAAACCAATCACACCATCTCAACTGATCAATAGAAGACTTTCATCGGATAATAATAAATCAGGCACTACTGAAAGTTCATCAGAAGAAGAGAGTGATGATGAATCAAGTGATTCTGAAAGTGAAGATGATTCTGAGAATGAATCTGAAGATCATGAAAAATCAAAGAGGAAATCAGTACTTGTAAGTCAAACTCCATCTCCTGCACAATTAGTTAAAACTAAACCTATGATGAAACCAGTTCCGGTTAAAAGTAATTTAATAATTGAAAATAAATCATCAGACGAAGTTATCAAACCTACAAATATTGAAAATGGGAATAAAAAAGATGGTGACGATAAGATAGAATTATCATCGCAAACAACATCCAAGAGACAAGCTTTAACTAGGAATTTATCAAGTTTAGATTCATTACGATTACCATCTACTACAATTGAAACTAAAGATGCTAGACCAAAATCTGGTCCAGCTGCATCCAAACCTAAATTTTTCGCTCATCTTGAAGAAGATGATTCGGAATCAGATTCAGAATCAGAATCATCTGATGATGAAAGTGAGGATGATAAAGGGGCAGATGATGATGATGATACTCCTTCTAAAGTTGCATTAATTAATAAGTTTAATAAGTTAAGTAAAACTAAGGTTGAACCAAAAGTATCTACTCCGATGGTTAATAAAGTTACTAGTTTTACAAGTACTACCAAATCACCATTTACTGAGCTGCAAGATTTGCATTCACTGGAATTTGAAGAATCAAGTTCATCTGATTCTTCCGATAGTGATAGTGAGGATAATAGTGATAGTGATAGTGATAGTGATGATGAAAAGAAGGTGGAAGCAAAGAAGGTGGAAGCAAAGAAGGTGGAGGTAAACAAGGTAGAAGAAAAGGTAGAAGAGGAAGAAGATAAGGAAGAAAACGACGATGATGAAGACGATGAAGAAGAGGACGACGCCGAAGAAGAGGACGGCGACGAAGAAGAAGAAGGAGAAGAAGAAACAGAAGAAGAAAAGGTACAACAAGAAGAAGAAAAGGTAGAAGACAAGGTTGAAGAAAAAGAGGAAGTCATACCAGCCACTCCAACTAAAAGGTCACTTAGATCAACTCAGAAGCCGGTTAATATAACCACATCTACCCCAAAGATTGCTACTTCTATCCCAAAGGCCAATACAACCGTATCAAAGGCTGACACTTCTATAAAGGTTAATGGTTCAAAGGCTAATACTTCTATAAATGCCAATCCTCCTATAAAGGCCAATACTTCTTCCGTAGCAAAAGTCAATACTTCCATATCAAACTCACCTAGTAATGTATCTACATTATCGATGAAGATGAAAAAACTGAATGCAAGAAAGAGAACATCAAATCGATTATTAGATAAGATTAATAAATCGAATGTATCGAGTGTAGGATATGTTAAGAATAAGTCAAGTCCAAAGAAAGTGGTTAAAAAGATTGAATTTAGTTCTAATAGTGAAGATGATGATAATTAATAGAGTAAAAAAGGTAAAAGTTAATGTGTAACATAGTTGTAACTAGTACATAAATAATTTATAATTTGTTTTGTTTAAATGGGTTATTTGTAGGATTTTAGAGTTATAGTTTACCAACGTTCTAAACATATACACCCCATACACATGTCATTCATCATACACATTTTATTTGAAAATAATAATATTTCACGCTCATTTGTAAACCGATGGGTAGTTACGAAGTAACTATGGTATTATTCTAGTAGTATTGATTAGTATTAACTGTTATTGGATGTAATGATCATCTAGTTACTACGAAGTGATTCAGAGTCATCTTTTTGCATTTTGCCATCAAAAATTGTGATCACTCCTTCCTTGTTAGTAGTAATTATAACTTCCTTATATGACATCCCTTAACCGGCAGAGACCGGTTGAGTGGAAAAAAAGAAAAAAAAAAAAAAAAGAAATTAAAAAAAAAAAATATTTCAAACCTCAAAAATATAAAGGAGGATCAAATCCCTTATACCAATTTATATTTATTTAAAAGTCTTAAGACAGTTAAAATTTGCTTACTCCAGATTTTAATTATTTTGAAATTTTAACAATAATCGTATATAAATCATATCAGAATTCAACTACTGATCGTATGAATATCATCTCTGTTTAATCATATAAAAATATAGCATACCAAAGAAAAAAAAACACTGGCATAAAAAACAAAACAACTATTTCTATAAAAGTTTTCCAAAAAAGTCATATCAACATCATATTCATACCATTAACTCCCAGATGAAGCTTTTCGAATCTGAGCATTATTTCAATTATCCTTGGGATCAAGTAACAGCCGCCAATTGGCAAAAATACCCTAATGAATTATCAACCCATGTCGTTTCCGTTGACATTTTAAATCGTCTGATTGATGTCGATAATAAAACTTTAAGAACTGAAAGATTGATTGGTTGTAAACAAGCTATTCCAAATTGGTTATCGTTCATTGTTGGTGGACAGAAATTAAGTTATGTCAGAGAAGTTAGTGAAGTTGATTTAATTAATAATACTTTAGTTTTAAAATCTCATAATTTAACCATGAATCATATTTTATTAGTTAATGAAACTGTCATTTATAAACCTGATCCTCAATTAAAATCAAGAACGATTTTCACTCAAAGTGCTGAAATCACGGCATATGCTGCTATTACTCGAATTTGTGATAAATTAGAAGAATGGTCAGTGGAAAGATTTGGTCAAAATGCTAAAACAGGTAAATTAGCATTTGAAGGGGTATTGGATACATTATCTACGAAATGGGAAGAAAGTGGAGTGTTTGTATCTGATGTTTTAAAAGATTTTAATAATGATCTTACTGAAAAGACCAGTGATGTCTTGAGTGAAGTTAGTAAATTAGGATTATTTAAATTGAACTCCTCTTCATCAAACTCATCATCATCAACTTTACCATCGTCTGTATCATCATCCCCATCTTCAAGTCATTAAGTCCTTCTATCCATTTATTATTTTTGCATATCACGATTTCATTCCTTCATTCATTTGTTATCCTACTACTAGTTTAATTTTTTATGTGTTCATTTCAATTGTATATTAAGTTTAATAATCAAAAATCAGCATTTTATTTCATTCATTCATTCATTCATTTATTTATTTAGTTTATTTATTTCCATATCCTTCCTTCCATTCATTCATTCAATCAATCAATTCAATCAAAAATTAGTTTATCCTTACATTTTGTACATAGAATTATATATATCTAATTTTAATATTATTGTAAATAGATCTTTTATTGTGAGAGCTTTTTGTTTTTTTCAAATGCTTGCTTATTTATTTATTTATTCCTTTACGGTATTCATTCTTTAATTCATCTATTATCATACTAAAAATGTTGTAGTTTGTAATTGTAATTGTCGTTTACATCGTGTATATATATATATATACATATATAAATTGATCTATTTTTACTGTGTACCTGCATATAGCTTCCTTCCCATCTCATCATATAAATTTATTTTTCATACCAATTATTTATTTACTATACAAATCAATCATATCACTACTATCCAATTAACACCCCCCAATATGCCTTCAACATTATCTACTGATATCTTAGTTGATCCATCAGTTGATAATGACGATATAGAATCAATAACCCATCAACCCCCACTTAAAAGGCAAAAACTAGATCAATCCCATAAGATCATCACAGATGTCACTACTAATACTAATGATCAAAGTATAGATTGTGATGTTGATATTGATAAACTCTTTAATGAAATGACAGCATCTATCCCATCCCCTAATGATAATGAAGATGGGAAATTAGATGATGAAATTAATCGAGTCTTATCCACTCTTAATGACTTTAATGAACATATACCAATCCCAACCCAACAAGAAGCTGAAGAACAGACTTCATCATTTCCATCTCAATTCCATGATTTACTCGAACCTCTTACATCCACATCATCAATTAAAACTGGCAGTGGATTGGAAACTGATAATGAAGGAAGATCCCCCTTTGATTCTGTGGTTGATGGTACTAATCAAACTGATGAATCAAATACTACCGTATTTAATGAAGGAAATGAACCTCACCTCGAGACTAAAATCAATGTTAATACTGTTATGACTATCAAACAATCGATGATCAATACTTCGAAATTAATTTCATTATTCACTACTTTAAAAATGACATATTTAAAATTATGTAAAGAATTTAATTATTTATTACAAAAATTTAATCAGAATGAAACGATTAAAATTGAATTAATTCATGAAAATAATGAATTACGGAAATTATTAATGGAAATTATTAAAGATCGTGAAATTGAACGTAAAGATTTAAAAGCCAAGATTGTTCAATTAGAGTTATTAAATAAGAAGTCAATGGTGGTTAACGTGGAAGAAGTTTCTTCGTAAGCTTTTAACGTTCCTTACCATTCAGCATTCAACATTAGCATTATACATATATATATATACATACATACATAGACACATACATAGGTGACATCTTAGATGGATACTTTTAGCATACTTAATTCATATTTAGCATTTTTTAACAACCACTGAAGTCGCACTTTGTAGACAGAGAGCTAAAAATAAAGAAATCATTTGCAACACCATCCATTCTTTCTTAGAAGAGTTAACCTTCAATTGATTAAAGTAACATGTCATATCATAACAATCATCATCATCAATCAGAACTGATAGTATCATCATCATCATCATCAACTCAAGCATTTCAAAATTCCATTTTATTAGAATTAGAAATGATCTTATCAACTGTAAAACAAATAGATCAGAATTTAATCAATTCAATTCAATTATTATCGGATTCACCTCATCATAATGATCATCCTCATTATAAAGAACTTATCCAGAAGAATGTGATTGCCATTAATGACATCTTAAAAGTGATCAATTCCTAGGTTGGCACTACCTATATAGTACTAGTCTTAGTACTATGATGATGATGATGATGATGATACAAATTTGAAACGCGTCTTCAATTGATCAACAAAAAAATAGAAATATTTAATTTGATACAACACTTACAAGTTGATCATTTATAGAGTTACATCATATCATTCAAGTTAACAAGATGGATGGACAATCAGAATATATAGAGAAGTATCAAGAAGCAAAATTACAATCAATACGGAATCAAGATGATGACAATGATGATGCTGAAGAACTTGATGATGATGATTTATTACAACAATTAGAAAATGAAGAAGATGATGAAATATCTCATAAATATAGAGAAGCAAGAATGCAACAATTATCACAAGAATTCAAACATCTTAAACAATCAATACATGATCATGAACATGAAGAAGATTTAGGATCAGTTGAAACCATCACTAATGAAAGAAAAATCATGGAAATTGTCTTGAATCATGAAATTGTTATTATCCATTTTTATCAACCAAATTTTGAAAAATGTAAAGTATTTAATCAATATTTAGATATTTTAGCGGAAAAAACATTTACAATTAAAAGTCATTAATATTAAAGCTGAATTAGCTCCATTTTTAGTTCATAAATTGAATATTAAAGTATTACCATTTATATTAATTTATAAAAATTCAAATGAATTAGATAGAATAGTTGGATTTGAAAAATTAGGAGTAACTGCTACATCATCTGCTACTCCCAGTTATCAAACGTTTGAAAATTATTTATATATGAAGAATATTATTAATAGAACCAGTATTAAATTTGGTACCTTAAAGAATAAGGGAAATCGATATGATAATGATGATGATGATGAAGATGATTATTATGAGGATGATTAGGTACGACAAAACAATAAATCCAAAACAGTTCTAAAGAATGATTTATGATGTTTGGTTTGTTTATAAGTTAAACTTGAAGTCATTGAAGTTGAACTATTATTGGAATTAATTAATCGATTTAGAAATTCATTATCAAAATGAATAGGAGGTAATTTGATTCGTTTGGATTCAGGAGGTTTACTTAATTCAGTTTGTTTCCCATCGGTAAATAGATCACGACGATTATCTAGAACAGTATCACCAATCATTCATATATATAGGTATGTATGTATGTAATTAATTGATATGATGATCATATAAAATGAATGAACTTATTAATGAGGATGAATGCTGGTATGTATGTGTGTATGAGTATATCTTCTATAATGTTATAATATACTAAATCTATCAAATCCCAAAGTGGAAATCAAACAATTAACTTTATAAATAAATGAAAACTAAACTATAGACAAAGAAATGAAAATGAAAATGAGTAAATGAAGGAAGGAATGAAACTAAAACAAATGAAGAAGAAGAAGAAGATAATGACCAATAAATAAATAAAGGTATTTTAAGATGACTAGATATGGATGAATGATAGTTGTGTATTTTATGTTATGATTATGATGATTATGTTGTGATGTGTTTTGAGTGTTACGTAAATATAAATTTGCGGCAACCCCTATTTTAGCAGAAGGAACAACAACAACGGTGGTAAAGACAATGTGACACAGCAATTAAACAGAATTAATTAATCATATTTAATTTTTTAAACTTGAAATGACCACCCAGTTACTATGACTCCTAATTAACCTTTAAATGATGATGATGATTGGATTGAATTTACGATAGCTGTGTATATAATTAATTAAAACAAATATGGTGATGGTTTAACTGTCTTAGTTAATGGCATGATGTGCGAGTAATCACTCTATTTACATTTTATGTATCTTGATTGCCTAATTGGGTAATGTTATGTATTTGCAACGATCTATAACTACAAATGAGGGTTCTAGACCTTGAAGTCGGGCCTCTCACGTGATGTAAATTATGATAACTTTTTCTTCTTGTTCCGGGTAATTTTCTCCTCCTCTACAGAGTGCGAAACTGTTGCTCCTCCCATCAATCGAAAACAAATTTTCATCTTTCACTAACCAATTTAGATTCATTATTACTTCTTTTAAATCTTTACATACTCTTGGTAAGAAAGAAGCATATTATAGTTGCAGACAAGCCATAATGCAAATTTTTGTCAAGACTTTAACTGGTAAGACCATTACCTTAGAAGTTGAATCTTCTGACACTATTGATAATGTCAAATCTAAAATTCAAGATAAAGAAGGTATTCCACCTGATCAACAAAGATTAATCTTTGCTGGTAAACAATTAGAAGATGGTAGAACCTTATCTGATTACAACATCCAAAAAGAATCTACTTTACATTTAGTGTTAAGATTAAGAGGTGGTGGTAAAAAGAGAAAGAAGAAGGTTTATACCACTCCAAAAAAAATTAGACATAAACATAGAAAACATAAATTAGCTGTTTTAACCTATTATAAGGTTGATGAAGAAGGTAAAGTTGAAAGATTAAGAAGAGAATGTCCTCAACCAACCTGTGGTGCTGGTGTTTTCATGGCTAACATGAAAGATAGACAATACTGTGGTAAATGTCACATCACCTTCAAAGCTAACTAAATGTATTCTTGTTCTTAATTGAATAGGATAAATTGTTTATTGTTTATATATCTTGTGTATATTTATTATTAATATTACAATTTAATTAGTTTTAATTCATTTTATTATAACTGTAGTTTCCTTTAGTTTCCATCATAATATATTGTATAGCATAACTAGTATGGTTAGTTAACTATGGTAGATATTTGTATAGAGGAATGTCTCATATGGGGAATGTCTCTTTGTCTCCATTATCAAAAATGTCGTTTGACCGCCAAAAGTTAAATCAAAATACCATTTGACCGTCATAACAATCATCTTAACACCTATCACTTCCTATCCATCCATTCCCCCATTAATTGAGATGAGTTTCTCTATCTATGACTTGGATGATAAGATCAAGGATTATCTAAAACTAGATAACTTCCTCAAAGGCAAATCCATCAATGAATTCGTCGAATTAATCAGTAAAGATCATCTTTTAAAGGGTGCTGAAGTTAATAAACTTGAATATTTAGATCCAAAACCATATATTCGTACGTTTGAATCAACATTAAGAGAATTAAAACAATTACATCGGGATTCAGAAGATCAACGTCAATTGGGTGAAAAACATGTGGAATCATTTGAATTAAGACATTCAGAACAAGTTTTGAATTTAACGTCTAAATTCTCTAAATCAATTAATAGTTTTGATGTATTAGATCAAAATATATCTCAAGTATCAAGTAGAATCAATCCATTGGCTAATTCTTTAAATAAGATTTCAAATTCAAGAGATCAATCCACTGAAACTATCTTTTTAATTCGAAGTTATCATGGGTTTTATACTAAGGAGAAGTATGATCCATTAGAAGCTTTAAGAACTAATAAATCATTTGAAAAGAGAATACGATGTGCTAAAACTGTATCAAATCTATTAAGTCTTGCAAAAAAGATTGAATCACCTGATTTAGCTAAAACTATCAAATGTACCGCTGCTATTCAAAAATATAGTGAATTAATGGAAAGAACCCTTTTAAATAAATTCGAAGTTGCATTGGATGAAGCTCAGTTTGAAATGTTAAATGAAATATCAAAAATCTTATTTGCATTTAATGGAGGTGTAAGTGTGGTTCAAACTTATGTTAGTAAGAATGATATCTTTCCTCCTCCTGAAGTTGAAGAAAATTCAATTTTAGATGATGAATCAATTTGGAGTCAATTATCATCTCCAAAATTCGGGGAAGTTATAAAAGATCCATCTACTGAAAGTACGCTTGAATATTTAAGAATTCAAATTCAATCAAGAGCAAGAGAAACTTCAAAAATCTTTGATGATCCAGTTCATGTATTAAAGATCTTCATCCAAAGAGTTTATGCTCAAATCATTCAAAATAAAATATCAACCTTATTACAATTCTCATTATCGGTAAGTTCTTTGGCTCATGTTAGAATCTTACATACTTTATATATCTTAGTGGGAGATTTCACTAAATCTTTAAAACAATTCTTTACCGTCAATGAATATGATAAAGATGATGAATTAAGTACGATCTTAGATCAATCTTATTATGATATTTTCATGGAATATATTTCGGATTCAATTTATATATCACGAGAAAAGAAAAACTTGGAAGAATTAATCTATGATATGGTTCATAAATTAAATACTTATAATGAAAGAGCCATAACCGCTAATGCTTTATCGATCAAGATTGATAATATTGATAATTCAGAATATAGACCGGATCAACCCCAATCATCCACATCACTTAATGATAGATTTGGATTTAAGTTTATGGAAACAAAACGATTAAATCAATTTAGAACTTATGTGAAATCAAAATTATCCGATCGAAATTCAGTTGATTTTGATTCCGTTAATGCACCAGATCCTCAATTCGCTAATATAAATATAACTCAAGTTGAAACGATTTTAAAATCGGCAATTGAATCAATTGCGAGAATCTTAGAATTGATTCCTTCAAAAGCACCCGAATGTTCATTAGAAATATTAGAGATTTTATTATTTGATTTCGGGAGACTTTATGTGGGAGGAGGATTAGAAATTATTTATGATAAATTAAAACAAGAAAATAATGTATCCAAGATTCATTCCAATGTATCGATTGATTTAAATTATTTAAATGCTTTTAATCTTGTTAGTGAGACTTTATATTTGATTTCATCATGTGTGAAAAAGATTATTTTACCATGTTCAATCAATACTCCCAATATCAAAAATAGAATGGTTAATCTTACCAATAATTATGTTTCCCGATGTGAATTATCGTTAAATATAATTTTAACCGATACATTAGAATTAATCGCTAATAAAATTGCCTTTTTCCTAACTAAACAGAAAAAGAAAGATTTTTATTGTGATACAATTGAAGATGATACCGAAGCTTGTGAAAGTATAAGTGAATTTTTAATCTCAATTTATGATAAATCATCAATATCGTTAAATGGGAAAAATCTTGAATCATTCTTGAATAAAGTCGGAACCAATTTCTTAACTCAATTATTAGAACATTATAAAAAATTCATTGTCAATTCTACGGGTGGAATTGTTCTTACTAAAGATGTTATCAGATATCAATCTACGATCGATAAATGGGGTTTACCTGACTTATCTGAAAATTTCCAATTATTAAAAGAAATTGGTAATTTATTCACGGTGAGAGGAGATTTAATAAATTCATTGGTTACAGAAGGTCAATTGGCTACTTTAAAACCATATACTATTCGACAATATGTTTCAAAGAGAGCTGATTTTAATCCAAGGTATCTTGATAGAATGTTAAGTATAAAACGTTAATAAAATTTGAATCTATAAATTGAAAAAGAACAATAATAATATCTATATAATGCATGGTAATGAAATGAAGAAGAAGAAGAAGAAGAAGAAGTATAGGTCTATATATTTTTATAATAAAAATTTAAAATAAATATTGGTATAATGGTTACAATAGTAAGATGGATGGTAAACATTGGAATATCCGCCACTTCAGTTGATAATGGTTCCAGTTTACGATATGATTTAACTTTCTCTTCATCAAATGTGGGTAAATTTAAAGTAGGTGATTGATTTGATTCTCTATGAAGTAATGATATGATTTGATTCTTTTTATTGGGTACAATATATTCAATGATTAATCCTCCTAAAATTATGAAATACAATAAGACATATAATCTTATCGATATATATGGATGAGGCATATAACACATTTTAGTTTGATATGTCTCTTGATTCTTTTCATTCAATTGATCAGTTGGATTATTCAACGATAATAATTGAATAGCAGGATATTTAATCCCACTACTCATAGCTACTGATTTAACGGTGATTTCTCGGGCAACTTTAGGTTGGTTTTTATACATGTAAGGTTGTTGAATATCACAATAATCATGATCATCACCGGCAAATGCAATGGATGGACCTATTTTAGTGAGCACTTCTTTGGTTAATTCATGACTTATAACAGTTTGATATTGAACTCCCTTCTGAATGGGAAATTTCTGTTTGGATTCTCGTAATGGTCCACATAATTGTCGATCATTAAATCTATAGAATGGAACATGCATTAATAAGATCTTAGGTAAGGATGGATTCATGATCTTGGTATTGATATTATCGAGAAATTCACGTGGTTCTTTACTAATCTTTGGATCTAATGAAGATAATGAGATCGTATCTAATAATATGAAAGTATGATTTCCTAATTCTATGACATCATTCAATTCTCCATTAAATAAAGCAAATCGATTAACTGTTTTAATATCCATGGTATCAAATCCAATATCATGATTTCCTGGTATGGAAGATATGGTTAATCGATTAACTTTCTTAGGAAAGATTCGATTATAACGTTGATATTCATCAAACCAATAATCATTATCCCATTGTCTCCCCCCATCGAATAAATCACCTAAAAAGATAACATTATCAGGATCAATGTATTCTTGCATATACATATGATTTCGATGAAGGTAATTATCGGTTATTTTCTTGACGAAATAGTTGAACATAGCAGGTCTGCCTTGATAAGAATAATCATCAATGATTTGAGGATCAGCCACTAATGCAATTCTATGAGGTTTATTATCATCACTATTATCATTCCATTGTTCCCATTGATCCCAATGACATCGTTGGATGACATTCTTAACATAATTTCTTTCCATATATTGAACCAATAATAACCAGATCATAAACGTTCCCAATAGAATCTTCCATTGAATTTTACATAACCATGATTTAATATTATCAATAGTGGTACCATTATCCAAGATGAATTGTCTTCTGGCACTTATCAGTGGAGTAAGTGATAGTTCTCTAGTGAATGAATCTGACCTATCCTTCCTCTTATAGATCATATCTGTTGATTAGATATCCAAATAGGGGGAAAGAACAACTTTACTGTAAGCCTTTTAAACGGTGGTGGTGGATGTTAAATTCGCTTAGCCTGCCCGTCTAAAACTTTGTTTTGTGGGATGAAAAATAAAAATTTGGTGATACGCGTTCTGTTCAATTTTGATCTCAAGCATAGAATAGTATAGGAGTAGAGGGTAACCAGTTAGGAGTATGATAGGATGACTTCAACAGCTAAAGAAGAGACTGACAAGGATGATAATAAGAGGAAACTAAGGTCTAAGGATGAAAATCAAAAGGGTTCTAATGCCACTCTTTTCAATTTTGAAAATGTGAATAGTTTATTATATAGAGGTAAATCAATTCATATCAGTAAGGATACTTCATTCCATCATCCTTATAGTTATAATGGAGATATTCAATTGGTGCCGAAGGTAACTAATTCAAAACTGATAGAAGTACAAATCAGTACTAACTTATTACCTCGAAAATCAAGACAAATCGATCCTTTAGATGATAGTTTATACGAAATCTTTCATAAGAAAATGAAAAGAGAAGAAAAGATCATGGCCAATGAAGATAGGATTAGAATACTATCAGAAGTAGATAATCTCCAATCTCAATTACAATTGCTTAATCAATATGATTGGTTGCGATATTTACCTGGAATATGTTATATCAATAATCCTCATGATTATGATGAACTTGAAATAAAATTAGATTTAACTATAACTGAAATAACTAAATTAATTCGAAAATATGAAAATTGGAGAAGAAGAAATGAGAATTTAAGTCAGGAAATCAAACAATTCGATTTGAATGGTAGTCATGATTATGATGAAGATGATGAATATACTGCAAATGCTGATATTATACGAGAGAGAAGAAGAAAAGAACGAAGAAGATTATTGACTCCCCGTATAAAATTAAAACTTCACAATGGATTTACTTTAGTGATAGATCCTTTAAATCCTCCTGTTGTGGTACCATCAATAGAATTAGAACCTCAACCAAAACCAAAACCAACTCCAAAAAAGAAATCATCAGTAAAGAGTAATGGTATAAAAGTTAAGAAAGTAACTAAACCAGATATGATCAAATCAGACACTCATAAACCAAGAATACAATCTTTCAAATTAGCTGAAATAACAGATAAAGATATAATCCACCTTCTGGCAAATTATGAAAAGGAAATTGCCTTTGGTAATTTCATTCGTATCTCTAATATAGCGAAAGATGGATTTCAATTACCTCGTCAATTAAAACGACTAGCAGAGAAATCAGAAGATGATCGTCAAAATTTACTGCATCATAGTACGAGTTCAGATATACCGAGTTCAGAAACAAATGAAGTAGTTTCCTTAATTACTGAAACTGATGAAGTTATATCCTTAATTACAGAAACTACTGAAACTTCTCAACTTTCTGAACATGATAGCACTAATAATCTTACATCAACTTAGTTCTATTAACATAACTTCATAATCATTAATATATATACAGACACTTTTTTTTTATATAAAAGTAGCTATTCTTTGTAAAAATGTAGACGCAATAATCGATTGCTCTACTGGATCATCAATCATACTATCAATATGATTGATATTAAACGCCATTAAACTTGAAGGTTTAATATTTTGCTTTAAAGAACTGGTATCAGACAATTCAATTATCTCATTTGTTATCGAATATTTATTCATGAGATATTCTCTTAAACTTAATAACGCCAATAACAATTGAGATGTAAGAGTCGACTTTAACGTAATATTATTATCTCCAATCGATTCGATAGCGGATTTTAAATCGGCTCCATCTCTAATCATAATTTCATCTATGGCACGTATGATCATCACTGGTTCTTCTAAAGTTGTGAAATTAGTTTCAGCAATATTATAACTCATATAACTTATCTTATTTCTCTGATATTGTAGTTGATTATCATTTTCTGAGTTACTAATGGCTATATGTCGACACAAACATGCCATGAATTTCTTTCTATTTGAATGGTTTCGGTTGATCTGGGAGTAAAGCACAGGAATAAATGAATTCTCCTTATAATATAAAGGATCTAACCGTGATCGATAATCTATAGATTTATTAATTCCGTCAAAAAGACTGCTTTGAACCAAACTTTCATGCTTTTCATAGATTTCTTTTAAAATATCAATACCAATATTCTTTATATGAGTTTGACTTGATATCAAAGCTATAATGGTTGGGGTACATGTTCTGATATTTGCAAATCCTTGACCTAACACTAATTGTAAGAACTGAATTGGAAGATATGAAACCTTACCATCATCTTCTAAACAGAAATGAAGGATCTTATCCATATACCTCTGTATCAAACCCGAACACACACCATCACTAAATGACATCGGTGCTACTCCATGTAAAGCTGATATTTTCAGTTTTTCTTCATTTGATTTTTTATGACGATCAGAATTCTGTTTGTTGCTTCCACCAATCTTTATGAATTCACAAAACCCTTGCACAATACTATGAACAATTCCAATATTACCTGTTTTAAACTCATTATCAAAGACTTGTACCACTGGATCCGAAAGAAATAATCTGGGATGGGAGATACATAAGTTTATGACATTAATTACAGCAATATTTCTAGTTGTATCATCAGTTGCAGGTTTACAGAAGTATAACAAGAATTTCATCATTAAACTAGAAATTGACTCTTTCTCTCTCAACCCTAATCCAGATTTTAAAAATTGAGCTCTGAACTTTTCAAAGTTACAATGTCTACCAAAATTTCCTAATAAATGAAGAAGCTTTAATAACTTACCATCAGCTTTAAGTTCAACAGCATGCTTTTTGGAATCTATATAAGGCTTGATATGTTTCATACAAGACGTCGATGCATTAGCAAGCTTAACTGAATCACCCTTGGCTTCACATAAAATCCAAACCACTGGCATAGCTTCATTTAATTCCCTGACATTGAATTTAGTCAATTGCTTTAACAAATATGTCTTGACAGAATCCAATATTGATGGCCTAAAGGTTTTAATTGACGGAATGACCCTTCTCAAAATTATTAAAGTATTCATTCTGTTTATATCACCTTCTATACTACCATCAACCAAAAAATGTTGCAAACTGATTAATTGATCTTGATCCACAAGCAGACTATCGACGGAAATTAAAGTTGCAATTAGCTTTAAGGAACGTTGGATGCCGTCAATCAGGTGGTTGTCAGTTCCTTCCGTAACAATATTTAACGAATGGTTAACTATCACAATGATACTACTTCTTAAATCTTTGATTGCAGCACTTGAATATAATTTTCCAAGAAAATCCTCAAAGTGAGTTAAATTCTTTGATCCACTCGTAACTATCTTTCCCATGACTTCTGTAGATTCTTTAGTCTTTTCACTTAATAAGTCAGGATGATCTGAATCGACAACGTTCGTAAACCATAGTTGATGTAGGAAACTCAGTGAAGTTTCTTGTAAAGACTCTTCCTCGTCATTTAAACGCCTTAGCAACTTATTCGCTATATAAACTTTTGCGGATATTGAGTTCAATTTCACATACATTTCTTTCGCAAGCCTTATCACTCGCTTCCTTACCAGGATACTGCTGTCATTGATACATTCACAAATTGGAACATAAAACTGTTCAACGTATTCCTCCTTCAGATTCATATACTTGCTAATCAAGTCAATAACCGCATCTCTGACAAGAGGAGAGCTATCTCTCAATCTACCAGAAACTGCAGATTGCACCTTCGGCATTATCAAAAGTTCCAGATCATTCTCAATTAAAGTGGAAAGAATTCTGATAGATCTACTCTTGCTTTTAATTCTCTGACCTTCTAATGATTTCATTAATACTTCGATAATACTATCATATATCGGATTCAAATCATAAGCAAGGATGATTCCTACGTATGCGTCGGGACCATTAGCTTCAACATTCTCTGTATCGAAGTCAGATTCAGTTTTATCAACACCGTCTGAAAGTCTCAAACTCTGAATTCCATTCTTGAATATTTCCTTTTTGTTGGAAAGATCTTCTGGTGAATCATTTACAATCTTATAGATTGAAACTAAATAATTTGCAAGTTTTTCTCTAACGAATAACAATGGAACAGCTTGATCATCTCTCTTCTGAGATTTCATATACTTGAGAATAACTTCACATTGAATTTGAAAATCCTTAATCTCACTTAAGTCACTAAAAGGACCCAATTGTGAAATTGTACCGTGTGTACCTTTTAAATAGCCCACTCTTTCTGCAATAAGACCAAACATCTCTATTACAAAATTTTCTACATTAGAATTATCAAATTGTTGTTGAATAGCAACCATAGCAGAAACTAGTGCTGATAAGAGCAACGTAGAACCAACCCATTCAGGGAGAAACAAGATGCATAAAATATCTGTAATCAATTGTTGTGTAGTACTCCTAAACTTTGCGAGCAGTGCATTCATTAAGTTGTTTACCAAATATGTCGCAATACTCTTTGCCACATTACATGAATTAGTGAACGAGCTCTCTGTTGAGGTTGGGTCAAGACTATCGACTTTGCCTGTAGATTGCTTTGTCTGAATCAACTTTATTAAAAGAAGTGATGCAATATTTACATTGCTACCATTTGGTAATTTGAATTTGGAAGCAACTTTTGGATCTGAATGCTTGTCAAGACCTTCTAGAACTTCTTGTAATATAAATTCTCTTTGATCGGTATATTTTTGGAACGTACAAACTATCACTTTAACAGCTTCCAATTTCAAAGCATCAAATTGTATTTTCATTATTAGAGAATTCTTATCCTTTGATTGATCTTCTGTGAACAATATTAAAAGTGATAAATATTCTAGCTTGGTAAGGAGTCCTTCGTCTATTTCATATTTTGAAATATGAACTGAAAACTCATTCAAAAGGATATTAACTTCTCCTAAAACTGTTGACATGAAAGGCTTGAGATTATTAGCTAAGATAGGTGAAATATTTAACTTCAAAAAAAGTGGCACAACTAGATTATTAACAATATCACTCACATATGTAACTGCCAAGTTTAAGTATTCTTCCAAAAATAATGACTTATCATTCTCATTACCGTTTAAGATATACATAATTATTCTTGAAGCTAAAAAGTTTTGACTTATCTTCTTCGCTATGAGATTCAAATTGTCCCACTTATTTTGAATCTCTATGTTTGATTCAAGCTCAAGTATGGATATTAACTCGTTAAGAGACTCTGATATATCTTCTGAAAGCACTTTGTGACAGTACCTTTCAATCTTTGATAACTCAGAAACTTCTAAGTTATTCTCTTGTTGATCATTCCTAAATTTCAAAATCAAATCGTGCAATCGAATTAAAGTTGGTAAATTGTCTTCATGAGGTGTATCTGATTCTATGTCTTCTATTATTTTTTGTACCTCGTTATGTGAAATTTCCAGGATTTGGGATGATGTTTCTTGCTTTCTCTTAGGATTTGGAACATTTGACTCAAAATGTTCATCTGTCCTCTTTCGTATTTCCGTACTATGTGATTGTTCTTCACCATCGTCATATTTGTAGATATTGTTGGCACCTTGAGCAAACAGTGCTTCTCTTTGAAACTTTTTTATATAATTTTGATTGTGTTGACTAGTTTTCTGATAATCATTTGAATCGTATGCCTTTCGAATGGACAATCTAGAGTTTTTAAATATAGAACTCTGGATATTACCATATCTTCTATCTTCTGACACGTTCTTAAGACTAATATTTGAATCATAGATCATTCTCTCTACCTGAGGAAGAGATATAGTAGTCGAATTTTGATTTATACTGCTATTTCGTTTTTGAAATTCTATACTCATATCATCTTCATCTAAGAAAGATCCGAATCCTGCCATCAATTGTGTCATTAACTCATCCTGGTTATCTATTATGAATGGATCAAATGAATCATATTTCATTAACTGCTCTTGAGGTCGTATCAAAAGTTGACTGCTAGTAACGAACGGCAGGAAATCCTGTTTCGGTATGAGATGAAGCAATGGTGTCACTGCCAATGCATCCTTTAGGTCTGCTGGAGGACGATCTTCCATTGGTATCCCAAGCCTTTTTATGGTATTTGAATGAAGATAAGTACAGGTAAGTATTTAGAGATCAATTTGTTGCCAAAAATTTAAACTTTAATTTTTTTTTTTTTTTTGGATTAGTTGCACGCGTATTATTTTCTATACAGAATATTTACAACTATTAACTTAATTCTAATTACCCTTATTACCTGGAGAAGACGATTGGGGATTACTCGAATTATTTCCAGAATCTTGAATATTTGGAGACAGTCCCATATTTCTTTGTATCTGTTGCTGCTTTTGTTGTTGTTGGGGTTGGAGTTGAAGCTTTTGTTGGTGTGGTGATTGTTGTAACTGTTGCAATTGTTGCTTCTGTTGTTGTTGAAGCTGTTGTTGTTGAAGTTGCTGTTGTTGCTGTTTTTGGATTAATAAACGCTTTCTTTGCTCATACTCCAATTTAGATATACTTGTGCTATCCAATGAACCGCCAACATTTCTTTGTTGAAGTTGAGCTTGTTGTAACTGTTGGAACTGCTGTTGTTGTTGTAACTGTTGTTGAAATTGTTGTTGCTGTTGAGAAGATTTGGCAGCCTTCAACATAAGTAATTGATTTCTTTCTTGTGGTAAAAGATTAGTCACTTGTTGACCTTGAGGCTTTTGTTGGGATTGTGGAAGACCTTGTGAGCTCACTGAAGCATACTGAGGATTTGGAGAACTAGATGAACTTGCATTACCTCTCATTTGCTGTTGATTAAATCTATTCTGTTGTTGCTGCTGTATGTTGGCTAAATACTGAGCTGCTAACTTCGTCACTTGTTCCTTACTATAACCAGGATTCTTCTGTTGAATAGATTGAATAATAGCTGAAACTTGTGCAGGAGCAAAATGAATTCTTGGCTTCAGATTTGGTGCAGTAGGAGGAACATTAGACACTGGATTCTTTACAGCAACGGGTCCTTGGTTAGGACCATTATTGACAGGTTGTGGTGGACCCTGACCAGGTACATTGCTCTTGATAAGATTATTTTGAATTGGTACCGGACCTTGTTGACTATTACCAGCATTTGACAACGATTTATTGTGTTGTTGCAAAAATCTTCTTTGCTTTTGAAATTGTAAAAGTTGCTGAATTTGCTCAGTAGTATATGGAGTTCCATTTGGTGTGGTTGGACGTTTGATACCTGGATTAGTTGGTATTGCTTGTGATGGTCCTTGTTGGGAACCGGTCTGTTGATCACTGGCATTACTTACAGTTCTTCCTTGAGATTGCTGTGGTATAGGATTACCCGAAGTATTGATTTGCAGTTGTTGTTGTATTGGTGTCTGTATTTGGGACTGTGGTTGTGATTGAGTTTGAGTTTGAGCTTGAGCTTGAGATTGAGGTTGTAATAGTGGTCTATTGGCATTGTTATTATTAATACTGTTTGCACTACTGTTGTTACTTCCATTACCACTCTGTAAGGATTGACTTTGCTTTTGTTGTTGTGCAACAGCAGCCATCATTCGAGATCTTGTAGCCTGTTGATTCATATAAGCTTCTTGAACCGATTTATCTCTTTCATATTTCAATTTAGACAATTCAGCTGGATTTGGAACTCTATCTACTGGTCTCTTAACTTGAGCCAGCATTTGACCAGGAGCAGGTGATCCTGCTGAATAATCACTGGTTGGACGTCTTTGGGTAGGAGCTTTTGCAGCAGCAACTTCTCTTTTCTTCATTGCTTTTCTCATAGCATCAAACATTGAGCCCCATCTTAATCTTCTATGACCTCTTTGAATTGATTCAGATCCTACACCTAAAGGAGATATTCTTCTTTTTGTAGTCAGTTGAGCTCTGTGTGCTTGTTCTAACCATTGTTGAGCATGATAAGCATACAAACCTTTCATATCGGAAACTTGGAATTTTTCATTTAATTGAATATATCTTTCAAAACATTGCCAAGGAGTTCTTCTTTCGATATTAGATTCATATTTCTTAAGGCTAGAAGAAGAATTAGAAGCTAATAAATGCTCTGAAATTAACTCCCAATTAAAACAAAACTCAGCAACATAATGAATAAGAAATTTATCATCTTGTGGTAACCAAATAGTTGGAGATCTATATTCTATATTTTTAATTAATGGTGGTTTAGGAGGTTTCAAAGGATTAAATCTTCTATGTGATTGGAATCCAAATAATCCCTTTTGATATTCGGGTGGTCCCAGAGTACGTGTCTTTTGTTGTTCTTTTAAAATAACTTTATACCATTCTTCTTCTTCTTCAAATGGGTGTAGAAGACGAGACACAGCCACCAATGGAGTATCAACTGGTTTAAGTGTTATGTTGGAATCATCAAATGCAGAGAACTTTGGTAAATTCTTAATAATAGATTGATCGATTTTCTTCAAGTCGTTAATATCGATATATGGTTTGAAAGGAGAAACTTCCTTTTTAACTTCTATGGCAGCAGGTTTGGATCTTGAAAATATCACTTCATCATCATCATCATTAGGCTTTAATAAGTCTTCCACATCCACTGATGCTTCTTCTACATTATCTACCAGTTCTTCTTTCATCTCAGAATCTTCTTCCAATACATTTATCTTCTTACGTTTGATGCAAACAGACTTTCCCTTGATCCAATATTCTTCTATGGCATTAGCCATCAATACACAACAGAATTTCTTGAATTTGGAACTTTCTTTAAAATCTTCAGACATCCATTTTGCTTCTTGTAGTAAATTATCCCAATGAAATGAATTCTTCTTTGTTTTCTTTTTAAATGTAAAAGGATCATAAAATTTTTGAGGCTGCCTAAGGGACCATTTTCCTTGTCTTTTTAATTCTTCTATTCTAGAATATAACACTGCTATTTTCCCTTCTAATAATGCCAGTTCGAAGTTATCCGTTACTAATACTTTATGACTTCCAGGAAGTAACTTGGTTAATGGTAATGTTTGAGTAAGATAATATAATTCAGCCAATGATGATACAATATGTTGTTTGGTTGGGTAATGTTCTGGTACCGATATGATCTCTAAGTCCTTGACATCTTTCATAAGGAACTCATCTAACTCTTCTTGATCTACTTCTGCTGGGATTTTTAATGATTGTACAGCTGATTTTTGACGTCTTGCACTTGAAAATGAAGGTGATTTAGATATTTGAACTTTCTGTACTTTGTTGCTTTGATACACTTCATCATCTATCTTTCTCTTGAGCTTTGGATGAAATATATATTTCTCTATTCCCAGAAGTAATGAATCTCTTATATCATTTGATCGAAGTACATCTTCAATTGATTTATATCTATCTTTATGTTTATCAGATTTATCATCTTCCAAATCACCAAGTAAAGGGTCGTGAACAATGTAATGTAACTCCAGTAATTTCAGCAGCAATACATCACTAGCAATCGAAGTATCACTAGAGGATGACATTGTTACTTGGTTAATAATTATAATGGATAAGAAGTAGAGTATTTATGTATTTATTAATCTATTTGAATATTCAAAATATAAAAAGAAAAAAACTTAGTCACGCGTAAGTCGCGTGATTTTCACGTGATCGATTTTTGATAGAAAATTGTTGTGTGGCTGTTCATTTTGCACCAAATGAATTACTATATGTCAACAAGGCTAAGTAATGAAATAACATTATACATTGAATATGGTTAGATTTGATCAAGTTTAATCATGTTGTGGAATTGGTTAGAATCAAACTAAGCAAATTGATTCTATTAAAAGCTTACAAATTCTGATATACTTGAAGCGATTGAGTAACATAAATAATTGTTGCATTCAAAGAAGCTACTTAAAAATTTATACACATGTAGATGCTCTTTCTTTCATTTAAATGATATCTTCATCATTGATTCCAACTGTGATACCTTCTGGATTCATATTTTCTGGTGGAGATATACTTGGAATGGCTTCTAATCCAATGTAGACTAATCCAATGATGAATATCAAAAGTGAAGCAATAACACGGAAAATACTAGTTCCATTGATCATTGATCCGATTAAGGTATAGACTAAAATTTGTTAGTGATATGAATGAATAGGTTTACTTTCAATTAATAAAATTGAAATTAAATGAATTGAATAAAATACTTACACACTCCTCTTCCGATAAAGGAGAACAAGAATGATCCATAAGCATAAGCTTCAGCTGGAACCTTAAATTCTATAAAACGGTTAGTATATAGTTGGTAATAATAATGATAATGATAGAATACGTACCTAAACCACCAATTATTAACCCAAATGAAATAATGTATAAACCAAGAAGGAACTAGATATCAGTTAGTAAAGATTGACAAAGCACACACAACAAAATAAAGAATTGAATGATACGTACAGATTGGCTGTGATAGTTAGTAACATTGGACACCTCAAAATAAGTGATTAACACATTGGTAACTATTGATATACGTACATTCCATTGAATAGTTGAAATAATCCTGCTAAAACCTAAAAATAGTATTAGTATAAAGTTTGATAACATTTGTGGCATAAACTTCTCTGTCGATACATACTGATAAACCTGCAACGGTTAAGTTGGCAATTCTGAACACCCCATTAAGGTCCAGGTCATTGAATTGATCTAAATTCATCATTAATTATACTATGACTTCGTTATAATTGATTAACTGTCTTATCGTAAGAGAACAAGTATGTCAATTTTTGTTTGATCACCACAAAAGAAAGATTTTGACAGATCGCGCCCCAAATGAATTTTTTTACAGCAAAATTTCTACCATACGTAATTTCAAATTTATCAAATGTCAATTACAAATTAGATCATTCTTGTTCCATTCCAAAGGTTTGATAGATTCTAGTTCAAGAATGATAACTGGTTAAATGATATGACGCTAGCATCTGACATTTTGACGCCTGTAGTTGAAATACCAAAGAATTCATTCATTGCCAGTAGATTAATCTATGAGGACCCTGAAACCATCACTAATTCTTCAAAATGTATCTTATTAGGCACAATACCTCATATTTGGCTGGACGATCAAGGTCCTGGTGTATTATCACAAGCATCGTTTCGTGCTAAAAGGAAGGTGAAGCAAAGGTTTAGAAGTGCCACCAATACTATTAATAGCACGTTGGCATTGAATTTCAAGTCATCAAATACAGCAACCAGTTCAGATTCAACCCAAGATACACTCAATGTATTTCTGGCAGATATAATAGATGCAGAATCAGATACGTCAACGGAATCGCTGCTGTTAATGACTCCTGAAATAGATCTTGAACCAAAGGTTAAACCCCATATACCAAGTTATCTCAAATATATCAAACAATCATCAATAAGCAACGTTGTTAATGATACTGTCTCCCATCACGATAATGAATCATTATTACCCCGTTTACTCGTCCATGAAGATAACTTATCAGTATTACCTACTCGATCAACTTCAAGTCGTTTAACTTCAACTGTTCCTACTCCAGAACATTTCATTGATGATGATTATGTTACGGAAGATTCATCAGCTAAAAGAGAACGACTTAACTTTATGCTGAAATTACATAATTTTTCATCAACATCAAGACGAAAAGCTAAAGATAAATCAAGTAGAATCAAGGCAAAAATTCACCAAAATTTATTAAAAAATTATGAAGCAGGTGAAATCTTTAAAGTAGATAAAGTATTAACATTAATCAAATTTGTCGAAAAATCTAATCTCATGTCTTCATTTAATGAAGATGAGCCTTGTGATTCGAGAATATATGAAAGAAGAAAAGAATGTATTATCATGTTAAGAAGAGGACTTAATACTCAATCTCCTATTATTGTACAAATGTATGATATTCATCTGGTTTCCCATGAAAGTAAAAAAGATCCTGATTTTTCATTCCCATTATTGGATATTGTGGGAGCTCATTATTATAGTGAATTTGATAAGTCGGTGTATTTATCAATGCCACAAGAAAATGGAGTTCTTATATTCATTTTGAAATTTCATGATACATTTGCAGCTACAAGTTGGTTATATTTTATAAAGCAAGCTTTGGGTCATGAATTGGATCTGATATTTCATATTAATTTACCTGATTTAAAACTTTCATTAGATATAGAAATTCCCAAACATGTTATGGAAGAGTATACCTCACCATCGCAGAAGAAACATACCACTCTTAAACGTATTGATAATGATTATCGGGTTGGGTATGATCCAATTTTCGAATATCTAATTGATTTCATTAATAGAGAACTTTGTAAAATGGGGTTTGAAACATTGGTAAAAGAAACTAAACGATTCTGGTTTTGTTTTCGTCATTATGATAGAATTGATTGGGTTCAAAATAATAGTGAATTGTTTTTCATGCAACATCAGATGTTATCTAGTAAATTTCAACTAGAATTAAGAAGTATTGGTATAAATTCTGAGCAAGATGAACTACTTGGAACTGAACCAAGTTCGATCGAAGGTTTCCTTGTTAGATTGACTAATACTGCCGGAAAGAAGAAAAGTTTTTTAAGATCATTTCATAAAATTCTGTATTTCTATACTTGTGATCTGCTTCTTTTCTTCACAAAATATTATCGTGCTGTACCACCATCTCCCGATAATATATTTATGGAATCTGAAGAGTCTTATGAAAGAGTTGCTCATACCATTCCTGAAATTTATCAGCATTCACCTTGTGATATAAATGTTGATGAAAATGGAAAACTTCCTTTTAAAAATAAAGATGAATTCATTCATAAAGATGAGATAGCATTAACTGAATTAGGGAGAAGATCGCTGCAACTTATTAAAGCAGAAGCGATGATAGATTTATCCCTTGTCAAAGAAATCAGATCAATACCTATGAGTAAGATAACAGGAACTCAAAAATTATTAATGTGTGTATTATATTACTCAGATTCAAGTTTAGTTGATAAAGAGCTGATTGTTGATTCAGGGTTTGAAATTGAAATGACTAATGGTAGTGTTTTACGATTACAAGCTCCAAGTTGTTGTGTACGAGATGAATGGGTTAAACGACTTATTGGGTTATGTAAGTATTGGAAATTATATAAACGAAATCAATTAGAGAAGGTTGTTGTCATTAGGAAAATGAATCAAGAATCCTTACATATAGATGAATATGGAGATTCTAATATTGATCGAGAAGCAAATGATCTTGATTTTGCTCGATCGTATGCTGATCCTACAATTCATGGATTTGAAGCGATTTCTATTAATAAATGTATTTTAATATCAGGATACTTGTTTCAAAAATCCAAAAAGCATTCTAATTTTAATCAATTTTATGTGATTTTATGTCCTGGATTTTTAGTTTTATTTTCGATATTTCGTCGATCTAAAAAATCAGGAACATGGAAACAAACGGCATCATTTGATCATTTCCTTACTATTCCTATTTCAAGTTGTTATCTATATTCTGGTATTTCTACGAGTATTGATTTATTAGAAAGACTGAAAGAGATTCAACCTCAAAATCCTGAACGTCATTCACTTCCTCGACTTTATCCTGATGGATGGAAATCATCCGAAGAAGAACAGATTCGATGTTTTACTTTATGGTTTGGAAGTAAACGAGGAATAATGGGATATGAAAAGGCTATATCGAAATATAATCCTGAGGATAGAATTAAAATTGGATCGTTTGATAGTTCAGAGAAGAATCCGAATTTAGCTAAATTGGTCCTGAAGGTAGGTTTAACTGGTCGAAGTATTGTCTTCATGGCTCGATCCAGACAAGAGAGGGAAATGTGGGTTTCAAAAATCCAATCTGAATTAGATCGAAGTGTGAAAGTATCTAATTAAAAAAAAAAGTTGCATTCTTCTATTTATTATTATATAGCATTATATATAGAGTAATAGATATTTACTTAATAATGTTTATTATTTGATAATGCACTATCTATATGAGCTATGATTTCATTCCAACCACTATTATTAAGATAGGCATTGATCTTTTCTTTATCTGAATCTTCATCACTTTCATCATAATCACTTTCATCGTCATCATCATTTTGAATCAGGAATAATTTATCAATCTTTTTACTATTTATGGAAAGTAATGAATTTGTATTGTGTAATGCATTTTTAATTATTTCGTCATCTGAATCAATATCAGAATCATCGTCTGACCCTTCATCCTCGACATCAGCATCAACATCGAAAGCATTAGTATTGTGAAAGGATTCTAATTGGACAGGAGGAGATAAAACTGCTGCTGATGTTGTGGTGGTAGTTACTATTTTCGGATCAAGGGTCTTTTGAGGCATAGACATAGTTGAAGAAAATATCTCGGAGGGGAAAGTGAATTTAAGATCTGATACTGCTATGACCCATTTTTCAATGATACTACTTGTATCTGAACTCAAGGATAATTCTGAAATAACTGAATTTTGATTATTCTTAACTTTAATTTTTAATATCGATGGACTTGGAGTGGTATCAATTTGAAGATTATCAGTTGCGAAAAGTATTGATGTAGAATTTTCCACCCATAATAAGATATAATTCTCAAATAAGTAAACTATCTTGGATTCGAAATTGAATTGAGGATTGGTGGAAAAGCTTACTTGTAATTTATCCACTAATCTTAATGGACCTAATTTTAAAAGATTGGATAAACTGAATGTAGGACATGCATCTAATAAATATCGTATGAAGTAATTTCTAAGTTGATCAGGTGTAGAATGGATATGAGCTGGGATAGTGATGGAAGCAGTATTAATGGTTGAGATACTTATTGTTGGAGATGGTGATCTTGAAGGTGAAGCAATCGAATTGAAAACAGAATATCTTCCTGGAGCATCATTAGCTTTGATAGGGATAGGACTATGAATGATTTTTGGATCAAAGAAATCTTTAGCTTGAATTTTTGAACCTCTTAAAGTTGAATTAAGAGCTTTAATATTATTATTTTTCTTATTAGGACTCTTTGCTTTCATTATTGATAATACTTGATATACTTTATCATTGAATAATGATTTATCCTGAGGGATTAATTGTAGTTTTGATTGTTTCTTTTGACAATTATGACCTTTACAATATTGGAAATAAATATTATGTTGAACTTCATCAACGGTACTTTCATCATTAATAATTTGTTTTTCAAATAATCTTTCAATTTCATATTCTAAAGTTACTTGAAAACATTCTTCATGAACTAAATCTCCACAAGTTAAAGTTAATGGACGTTCACTTTCTAATCTTGTTTGCATTAATTCTTCACATATCGTACATCTATCACTTTTTCTTGGAGGTGAAGAATTTACACCCATTTGAGTAGTAATATAAGGTTTAACTTTTGGAGCGAAGCTATGTTTAGGGTGAATCGGAGTTGGAGAAATGATTTGATCTGATTTACCTTTAAAAAATAATGGACTTTCGAATACTGATGTTCGCAACGTATCTGGTTCAGTGATTGGAGTGATGAAATTCCAATGATTAGAGTGTTCCCGAGGGGGTGGAGTCAGTACTAGATCTAATGATGAAGAAGTACGTGATGATGATGACTGAGAAGATACTGATGATGGGAAATTATATGGATTATAATGATGATGATGACCTGGAGTTGGAGTTGGAGTTGGAGTTGGAGTTGGAGAAGCAGACATGTTAATAGGAGAACTTGATTTTGGATTATAACTGATTCTTTTAAAGGAACTTGTTTCAACATCGTAATAAGATTTTGGAGGAGTTGATTTCTTTGATTTAAGGATTTTCTGTCTCCATTTACTAGTAGTCTTCCCTTCCAGAGGGCTGGGACTGTTATCAAAGACTAAGAATGGACTTTGCATGGTTATGATTAACTTTTAAAGAGAAGAAGTATAATTAAAAAAAAAAAGAAAGCAGTTGATCAAATTACATTTATTTATATATGAAACTGAAACACGTCTTACAGACGATGATTAAATGATTTATATAAGATACGTAATAAAGACGATATATATCCCATGTCGATAAATAAATAAATAAATAAATAATAATTTTTTTCAGATAAAGAAAGTCAAGTTGTTTCAGATTTCGTTTCTGGCTGTGAAAAAAAATACGGTTAAAAAATATTTAGCCATCGGTATTATTTTTTGTGTTAAATCATCATTTAATTTATGCATAATTTATTATGTCAATTTTTAAATCAATGATTTGTTAAACTGTGATGATGGGTATTCTAAGTAAAATTTGCGATTTGAATTGGGAAAAATGAAGTAACGTGATACACAAGTAACGTGACTTTTTTTGTTACTTTATACATATCTCTAATAACATTCAAAAATCTTATCCAGACAATCTAATAAGTTTAACAAATCAGTTATAATCAAATCGATTACCAAAAGTAATTTCTATTGAAATCAGTCCCTATACAACGATTCTCTAATTATTCTATACCACCTCTAAACAAACTGACGAAATAAAATGAGATCTCGCCACTATTTGACAAGAGTTTTGATGTCGCACACTTCCTTCTCAACCATGCTGAGATAAAATAACAACGCTTAATATGAAACAACAATTATCTAATATACTACTACACACAGCTTTTTATAAATAAATATATTTACTATATAAAAGAGACAGAAAATTAAAGTTAAGAAAAGAAGATAGATTTAAGTATTATTAATAAGAATATACATCAGAAGACAGATAAATAGTAGTATGAGCCGAAACGTATTTTTAACGAAGGGCAAGACAAAATATGAAAAACCTTTAAACTATAGCATACAGGCCACAAGCTAATTAAAATTGGAGGATAAACAAAATGAAACATAAGACTTCGAAAAGTCAAATGATTTTAACACTTAAAGACAATAAAAGACACTTAAGAATCTCATATGAAAATAAAAGTCATAAAAACGGTTATGACGGATATCATTAACATGTAGTTGTTAACCAGTTTAGTCGAAGATGAATTTTCATAAGCTGGAGGTACAGTTGGAGTGGATGAATTAGTAGAACCAGCTTGTGAAGTTATGATTCTAGTAATGACTGGTAATTGGAGCTGCAGAAGTAGTAGGAGGAGCGCCAGTACCAGTTGGAGCGGCTCCAGTTTCTGATCCGGCAGCAACTTCAGCAGTTCCAGTAGGAGCTTATCCAGCACCTTCACTTCCTCCAATGAAGGAAGTGACAGTAAGTAAAGAACCTTCAGAACTTGAAATAATAATAGCTGCAGTTTCAGTACGTGGGATACCAACAGTGTCACTAGTAACAACAGTTGTTCTGCATACACTTGGACCAGTACATAATGATATGATGCAGAATTATAAAGACTTCCTTCAGCATTAGTAGAAACAATAACTTCAGCGGATTCAATAGTAAGTTGTCCATTTGGAAGTGTACTAACAACAGTCGTACCATATTGACTACATGGTTCAGTCACCGTAACAGTGATATCAGAAGTTACAACAACAACAACAACAACAGCTGTACCAGTAAAACCTTTCACCAGCTAATTTAGTAGTAACAAATGTACTAGAGCTTCCACCCGAAACAGCAGCTCCACAAGTATGAGTATCACTGTAAGTAGCCCCAATATTGAGTCCATCAGGTGATTCAATGACATCTAAGAATGCTCTGTATCCAGCTGGAACATTGGCATAGTTGATCACACTTTCATCTCCACAACTTTCTAAACTGATAAATCCAAAGCTTTGAGCTTATTTAGGAAGATACCAGTCATTGAGATCGTTTGTTCTAATGATGAGACTCTTACATCAGTACTTGAAATACTTCTAGAATCTGCCAACGAACAATGAAATATTGGATTCAGTGGTGGCGAATGTGGTAAGCGAAGGAAGACGCAATATATCCTTGACCATTTCTTCTGCATTTTATGAGATGTTTATATAACGAAAATAGAAATGTTATTGGGATAAATATCTCCACTCTTTCGCTTCAGTCACTTGAAGGCCAGAACAATCTGCAAATGAGAATCAAAATAGAATATAAGACAAAATTGGGCGGCTTTTCCGAAGTCACCCTTCACAGATTCCTATTTTGCAATTCCTCGCATCAATTGTAGTGCTGATCTTTCTTAGCAGTATATATGCCGCTGAACGAAATTTCTATATTACAGTATAAACATCTTTGAATTATTTCAAAAGAAATTAATTGTTTGTACCTCGATATTATAAAAAATTTCTAAACCATTTCATATCTGTTAATAAGAAAGAAGGCTAATACGCATAATTCGGAGTATTTTGTACATTGATTAATCATATTCGTATTTATTCCAAGAAAATTGGAAGAAAAAAGTATAAATCAACTGAAAATTATAATGTATTATATTTGTTCTATCGGGAATGTCAGTCAAAGAAGACATGCAAAAAATAATACATTCAACATTGTTCTATCGCTTGCGTTGCTGTCTGTTATGTGATGCTTAAGCGAGAGTCGTACGATAGCAAGATAAATAAAAAGGTATAACATAAAATGATCCCTGTTGTCAAATAACCCCAGATTCACTGCAGGGAAATATTATTACCAGTCTGTGGTTTGGCTCTTGAAAAATGATCCATGCTAGAACCCTGTGATATAGGTTAATTTAATTTTTCATTCATACACCCCAACTTTTTATATTACGACTTATAACAAGAAGAATTTCGATATATAATACTTTTATAGCTTCTCGATATACAAAAATAAAAGTCACTCAAGTTCCATTGTAAATAGAAACTGAAAGTATCGGATTTAGCAAACCAGATATCAAGTATCACATTTTATTGTTCATATGTTCTATATATTTGTTTCTTTCTTTCTATACTTCCGTAAAATTTTCAGCACAATCTTTTCTTTTATTTATTGTACAGAAAAATACTAGGTGCTTTCATCTATGAAATGAAGCAACGTAGAAGCATGCTTGAAAAATACAGCAACGGTCGTTCACAGTTATAATAATAGGTGTTAAGCAAAATTAATAGCAAAAATCGTAAATATAGTAAATGTAAAAGTACAAGCAGATGAGCAAATAATGTCAATAATTATATTAAATTACTGAAATATATGCTGCCACTATTTATCTTATTTTGTAAATCATTCCATACACTAATAGAAATACTATTAATTTGGATAATATTTGACCAAAACAAGATTATGAGGATGAAAAATTAGCGAAAGGGTGAGATGGGATAGGATCGAAGGATCTGATTAAATAAGATGAATCCAAGGAAGATGAAAGGTGAATGGTTGGATTAATGGTGTGAAAAACAAATGCTTACTGTAGATCAATTCAGTGTGCCTTTTCTTGAAAAAGCCTTAGGTCACTGAAGTGTAAAGTGTGGGATGGGATGACATAGGTGGTATTATTGAAAGATGGATGGATGGGGGAACATACAATATATTTGTTAAACTTTGTTTATAAGTGATCTATGGAGATGGTGACAGCAGGCGGGGATGGGTTGGTATTGAGTCTTTCTTTCTTTGCTTGTTTCGAAGAAAGACAATGGAAAATACTCAATATGGAAAAGGGACAAATGATGCTTCTTTTTTAAGGATGAAAATTGGGTGACATGGGATGGATGGTTAGATCAGAACTGAAAATTGAATAATTCCATATGTAGTTGTAGTTGTAGTGGATATATATGAGTGGTGAATATAACCAAGAGCAAGGCCAAATAGTACCGATAAGACTTAAACATTAACCAATTGTAGTGACATAGTTCTGTTGCGTTAGTCTCTTTTATATGAACAAAATTTGATTTAAATGAGAAGTCGGTAATTATTTCTATATGCATACTAGAAGAACTGTCATCATATGCAAGTTCAAATAGTTGATTATTATATCTGGATTTTCGTTAAATGGACATTAAGTGAAAGTAAAGTCAAACTGAATGGTCTATGAAAAATACAGAAGGAAGAATAAATAGATGACACATCAAAAAGTCCATTATTGACATTTCTTGGTAGATTTTTCAAGCCTGTTCTTTCCATTAATATGTGTCTTATAATGTTGCATACAATTATCCGGTCTAGAGAAACGAGCTACACATAAAGGCCATGGACAAACATGTTTCCTTTCTCCGGTATGGATTCTTTTATGACGTGACAAATGACTTGAAACAGTGAACGATCTGGAACAGACTTTACAAATGTGCTTTCTCTTTAAATCATTGCTAACTGAAGTTGCTGAAGTCATCGAGTCTCTATTAATACTATTCATGGAATTTGATCTCTCTACTGACCTGCGTGAGCTGCTTGAAGAATGTGCAGATTTTAAGGGTAATTGGACTTGTGATGGTGGACTTGTTTCGGGCACACTAGCTGAATTGATTGATATCTTTTGCTGTTTCTGTTGCTGTTGCTGTTGAGAGGGTTGTTTTGGTAATAATTGGTATTGGTATTGGTATTGGTATTGGTATGGATACGGATATGGATATGGATATGGATATGTATATGGATATGGATGTGGATGTGGATGTGGATATGGATATGGATATGGATATGGATTATGGTTATTTTGATTGATTGGTATTTCAGCAGTTGTAGCCATGGTTGCCGTTATTTGAAGTGGTTTTATGATGACAAATGATGGTTGTAAACAAGTTGATTGACTATCACTTAGAATTGAAGTTGTGGTTCTACGGTGCTCCCGTGGGCCTGAAATACCATTATACCTTATATAAGTTGAGTCAGATATAGAACCAGCAGTTGAATTATGTCTTAACTCAGTTGGAAAATTTATGGAAGTCAATAACTCATTAAACGAAGGAAGTAATGATGAATCTTGTCTCGAAGACAAATTAGAAGATTCGTCTTTGTGTTTAGAGTTCGATTGTTTAACAACAAACATTTCCATTATTATTTATTGATACTTCACTGGGACAGGTTTCATAGAGCTTTGACTGTACCTTTTATATGATTCATACATATATGTGTAGATATAATAATTTGCAGTTCAAATAGAAATCTAGCAATATTTATAGATAGTAGATTTAACAAATGATTGATGATTATAAAAGATAAATTATAAGCTATTGTATATTAGTCTTTATCGGAACAGAAAAATTATTAATATAATAATGCCATTCAATTTCAAATGGTGCGAGGATCATAATAAGGGATTCCACTCAGTAAAATCTTAGTAAAACTCTTCAGATCCGACAGTTGGTCCATTTTTGAAGAGAAAAGTTTCTCAAATATGCTGGCACTGTACTGTAATAACAGCATCAGTAACTGTTCGATCTAACGCATATCTGAGCATATTTGCTGAGGAGTAAGTTCAAAATTCAGAAAGCATTAATTTCATCATATCGTCTATTGTTAGCATTGACTACCTTATAAGGGAAAAGATTGATATTTACCTGTTTCATTTTATCTTTTAATTCACAGCCGATACGCCTCTTGTCACAACTTATAGAGTATTTTGGGTTTCATGATTGCATCGTTGTATTTCCTATCTCTGATCGGTCAATCATGAGACACATAAGATGAAGATGATATATAACTTTGATTGTTTGCCGCTGATATTGATCTCGACTTCAACTTTGTTGCCTCTGAAGATGTCTTTACAACCATCTGTAGCTCTTAAATCTAATCATATTCCAACTCTCTTCAACATCTTTCGATATTGTTTGCCAGTACTTGTATCAAACTTACCATGGTTATGAGTTTAAACTATTTCACGTAGTGATTCTTTGGTCTCCACGCATCGAATTTGTATTAAATACATTAAAGCTGGTATAGCTATTTTAGTCTTCATATATTCAAACCTATTAATTAAACTGGATGGATAAAACTATATAATTATTATCTCTAAAGTAAAAAGACCACACTTTGAATTTGTGTGTGTTGGTGTGTTATTATTTGCTATTCTTGCTGAAACTACTAACTGTTGAATTTAAAATCGGTATTTTCCTTAATTATTCTCTTATATTTCCTCTTCCCGTCAAAGCGGTACAGGATGTGTAACTCTCGGACCTAGATATAGATCAGATATTGGAAAAATAAGAGACGGTTTTTGCTTGTGTTTCTCTTGCAACTCGTAATTGGCTTTGAAACGTCTTATGATAAAATTCGGGGTGTTCAAATTTCGTCTCACTTTTAAGGATTTGAATAAGACAGAATGAAGTTCGCTAATAGGAGCTCACTATTATCTGTCATACCCGAGCATGAAAAAATGAATAAATGCAAAAATAGAAGCTACACAAAACTGAGTAGATGCATTGCGTCAGCTTGATCCTGCAGGTTTGATTAGGTAAGCTGCGAAAACAATTAAAAGAAATTTTTAATGCAGAATTTGTTGAGCCATAGAAGGTCTAGTTACTAAATGCAAGTATAGGCGCTTAAGCTCTTCAAGTACGGTAATGCCGATAGATAATGGGGTCGTGGCATTAATACTAATTAGACGTATCATATTCCTTTCAAAATGAGATCTAGTTATCGACGAAAGTCAATAAGAGCATTACCTTTCCGTTTTTTGGGTTGCCTTAGCAGATAAAATATCTCTTAGTTACGTCAGAGATGACGCTGGCTCTACCGATATTTCAGAAAGACTAAAAACTCGACTAGATAGACTTTTTAAACCTCTAAAACACGCTCTATTGACTTACCACGTAGACATCTGATCATTTTGCCCAATCCCTCAGTAGTTGGTAAGAAATCTGTTAAAGTGACAGAGTGACTTGTGGAACCATTGCCTGAAAGACTAGTTTCAAACACCATTTGTTTAAGGTGAGTTCAACAAAGTGTGTATTCCATTTGGAACCGATTAAGCAAACAATGAAATACACCAAAATATAATTGAATATCAATATAACCAAAGAAACTTCAAATTAGAAAACAAAGATAAGAGAAGCAGTTTAAATAACATCTGGTTGTATTCGTTCGTTCTTCACTATGTTAAAAGTTTAATTTAGGAATAGGGGCCTAAAACAATTTCGAAGTAGATCATCATCTCGGAAACCTTTATTCGCCTTACAATCAACAAGTGTAAAGCAAACAAAAGTGAACTTAACATCGATCATAGACTACAATAAACAGTGTAGTATATCCAATCATTATGATCGCCTCATTATAAACAGCTAAGCATGTTTCAACTTAGTTGTAAATAGTAAAACCTTTTGCTCAGTAACTATATGGGAAGATTTTAGTCAAATATAACCAAGATAAATCAATAGGTCCATTATTTTAACCAGCTCAATCAAGGAAAATTATGGCGAATTTCTCTTTACCTAATGAGAAAATTCCCTTGTTGATTTTTGACTGAAAGAATAGTCTAAATAATACGAAGAACAATAATCTTTCTGGTGTAGAATTAAAAGAAATATCTTGACTATTCTTGAACTATCCATAATCAAACAACTTGTCAAAGCTTCTTGAAACCATGATGCAATTTTGCAACATTATAAGTTGCAAGGATCACTTGTACGAAATGTGACCAACACAGCAATGATAACACCAAGATATTTAGATACTAAAATATGCATGGTAACAGTAGTTGATCTTGGATTGCTTACTTCATAAATCAATGAAATCGACAGTAATAATACCGGAACTAAAACCAATAACCATTACCGAGTTGACAATGTTAAATTGGTTGAAACACCCTGTAAAATATCTCCAACAATAGTACTCGAATTTTGTACCAACTTTATCAGCAATAATTGATGCAACCACAAATGATAACATGACACCAAATATAGTCATTATTTAAAATGCCTGATATTGAATGAGCAGGGTGAGACTAACACTTGGCTATTTGTTAAGTGTTTGTAAACCATCAAGCTTATTTATCACTTCTATTGACAGCTCTGGCACAGAAGGGGTTGTCACACATATACTAAAATGCCTTTTGGAGGATCAAAGCCGAATTCAATAAATTCTTCAGATTAAAATAAATCTTATTAAGTCACTCTCTTAATGTGTAATGATTAAGTAATATCTCATCTCACAATTACTAGTAGTTGCAGTCACTATAACGTCAACGATTAAAACAACCTTTCCTCTACCAGTGGCAATAAATACATTACCTCTGAGAAATGTAGATTTAACGAGTTTCATAAACATAATTATGAACTGATCACCGGGGAAAAGATGTATCAACTAATTGGTTGATTGAATTGTGGACTTATGAAGATATACTAAATTAGTTAAATAAGATTTTAAGTAGATGTGATCGATTCTTTATCGTAGTCGGATTCTTACTTAATTCCAGTTCTTTTCTTTTGCGAAATGATTAAATCGATCGAGCCCGAACTATGTTTCTTGTTTACTTCAAAATGTAAGTACGTTTCTTTAGTGGGTGCAAGACTTATTACTCTACTTATTTTTGTTTAAAATAGGTAGGTATTGTTATACACCATTTCTCGCAGCACACTGGCTATGAGAGAAAGAGAATTTGGACTCATTAAAGAAAACTTTACAAATCTCTTAATTATTGGGGTAAATGATATCAAATGGGTAAACTGTATACTAGAAGGATATGATTGAAATAACATAAATGATTAAAATTAAAATAATACAGTAATATCCATGAAATAGCAAAGCATCTCCTGGTATATTTTTGTAACGTATTTAGTTAATTTTTTAGATTGTTTAAGCTTTATTTGAGCAACTTGCATATTTATACCATTAATCCAACATTATTAATTATTATTATTTTCATTGATATACTTTTTTGTGGTTGCTATTTGTAATTTCCAATTTAGTATGCTGCAGATGCGGATCTCTGTACCGTAGCTGCTTGTTTTATATGAAAGGAAATCTTAGCTTCACTCATATAATACCCACGGATGACTTACTTAACATATATTCCTGTTTCTTGTATGATAAAAATGCAATTCCGGTAGTCTATTTACTAATATTACTCTAATAATTCGTTTTGAATCAAGCTCGATTTATTAGTGAAATTTCTAATAAGGTAGATACAAAAAGTAGAAACTCTTATGTCTTAATGAAATGGGCCAAAGTCCATTTGTGAATTAAGAAATATCTCTTCTGTTTGTTGTGTTCTTGTAGAATGTAATTTGAAGACTTAGTTTGAAATTCTGGCATCAAACATATACCCTAGCGTTACTACTTTTGCAGATATGCAGGTCGATTAAACTTGCAAGACAAGCCAGTTAAGCATAAAATTCAACAAATTCATGTATCTATTTAAAGACTGCCGATGAACAATTGTCTGTCTGGTGAATTATTGTATTATTTTGTACCTAAAATTTAATTCGGGGTAAAAAAGAAAAGGCTAAAGGAAAAGAATCTTAATCCTTGTGCATGTAGCATATCGCTCAGGGCTCAGAACATTTGCAAATTTCGGAATGTGTATTTTTTTTCGTACACTCAAGATTTTATAAGGAAAATATACATATACATAAAAAATGGTAACCTTATATTTCTTTAGAACCATAGTGGAACTGTTAATCACTTAAACGGACAGAATACGAAGGACAAAATTTTCATTCCTATGCTAATAATACTAGCTTTCGTATCATTTCTTTTCAATTTTCGGATAAGTGAATCGTCACTTTAATATATGGAGTAAAGATATTAATATTAGAGACGAGACACAGCTCAAATTTGTATACCTGAAGGTATAGTCTCCCAACGTGAAAATGATGGTCAAACATTGATTGGATGTATTCTGCAAGAATATCCAGATTGGCAGACAAGCACTAAATGTTCCGCTTGTGTTTGTAAGGCTATTACGCAATATGTGGACTATGCTATTACGTGCAACACTTGTACAGAAGGTTATATCTTTCTTGCTAGCACGGAACCTCCTTATCTAGTCACTCTTCCTTATATCCAAACGGTTTAAACAGCCATACCGCAGTAGTTAACGGAATATAATTTCTATATAATTTATAATTACCATATAAGTAATTCAAATTCATTAATTACTATGTCTGATCCAACTTACATTTCAATGTAATGAAATGTAGTTTCAAATCATACTTATTGATACTGTATATATATTTCATATAAACAGACGACCCCATAATTGAATTATTATTCCGGGTAACTTATTTTGGTCCTTCTCCCTCGCTATCTTTTGCCCCCTCTTTCTGTAACAGTCTTGCCGCATAACTAACTAAAAATTATACAGATTAGCGTTTTAACACAAAATTGAAAGTTTCCTTTTTTTTTTATCTGTAGTTTCCTTGTAAGGAATTGGCTCCAACCTGTAAATTCCCTTTAAACTGTAAATAAATTAATTTCTCATATTTTTTACTGGTTTTGTTCACAATCAGAACCAAAATTTAAAATTAACCAGAGGTACACAAATAAAAAAAACAGAAACAGCGGTTGCCATTTTGAATCCACAACTTCAAACTCATCGATTAATCATTCAATCAATCAATCAATCAATCAATCAATCAATCCTTCCATTGAGCTTTGGTCATATTGACTGTATCATTCCCTTATTTGACAGCTATCCCTTTTGCTAACTACAGAACTAGCTAGGCTTAAAAATCCTATTCATCCGTGTTAATTAATCAGTATTTGATATATAGGTTTATCAATCATCATCATCATCATCAATCGAAATCATATACTATCGTTTGATTGCTACATATATCATCATTACTAATAATGGAGGAATTCTTAAGAGAAAGTCCCTTAGACTATAATTCAACTCAGAGTACAAGTAGCACAACTACTCCTAATAATAATTATAATGCTTTCAATTCAAGTCAAAATAATAATAATAATAATAATAATAATAACGGCAACACCAACCTGGATTCTACTGGGTTTGACTTTGATCTTGATTATGAAAACTTTGATAATACAAACTTTAACGATGTTAAAACTATCAATACCAATAACTTGAATCCCAATAATTTTTCCAATGATACTTATAACGCATTTGATACTTTATCAAATCAAAATACTCTTGATGGAAATTATTTAAGTCCTTCTAACTCAAATTTTAATAACTTCAATGATATTACCATCTCCAATAATCTTAATCCTGCCAATTTCAATATGAATACAAATACTTCAAGTTTTGATGCTACAATTGGTAGTGGTTCTAATTCTTTCACAAATGAACCATTCTTTGATACTTATGGTACTGGTAATGATAATCGTAAGAGTATTAGTAATCAAGCTTTATCACCTGGTTTACCTCCAACCATCAATATTCAACAACAAATACATTTCCCCAATAATAATCAAGCTGGTTTAGATGAACTAATATCACCTCCAAATGAAGGTACTAGCTTTTTAGATCCTCAATATTTTTCACCTCGTTTAGGTTCAATTCCTGAATCAAATGCTCCACCAGAATCAAACATCTTATCTACATCATATTTATCACCTCAACAAAATCAAAATTTACGTCTTTCAAACTTTGATTCAAATGATTTAGCATCTCCTAATCAAGCTAATTTCTTAAATTCTCCCCCTCAATTTCCTCTTAGTTCCATTCCTTATGTTCCTCAAGCTGAATTTAGTACAAGTATTCCAATCAATAGTCATATGCGTTCTAATAAAAATAAAACTTCAAGTAATAATAATAATGATACTTTATCTCCATTACCTTCAAGTTCACAATTAAGTACTTCAGTTCCATCAAATTCAAGAGCTTTACTTGACCCAACTCCAACTAAACAATTAACTAAAGAAGAAAAAACTCAAAGAAGAAAACTATTTCATAATGAAGTTGAAAGAAGAAGAAGAGAATTAATTAAACAAAGTATAGATAATTTAAGATCAAAAGTTCCACCTTCACTTTTAAATCCTCAATTAATTGCAGTTCAAGAATTACAAAAGAATTCCGATTTAAATTCAAAAGAAATTAATGATTTATTAAGTTCAATCAAAGTTAAAGAAACCAAACCTAATAAAGTTGCAGTATTAACTAAATCAGTAGATTATGTTAAACATTTGAAATATGTTTTAAGTCAACAAGAACAAGAACTCAATTTAATTAATTCTAGAATATTGGAATTAGAAAATCAAATATCTACAGGTAGAATAAATCAAAATCCAAGATCAACCAATATTAATCCTAACTATAATAATAATAACTTTAATATAACCAATGATTATAATCAACCAATATTGAATCAACTTACTGATTTAAATAATACTAATCTTGGTGATTTTTCCAATATAAATCCGGCAAATAATTTCAATAATAATACTACTTTTAATACTGAAGATTACTTTTCAGATATCTTAAGTTCAGGAACTACAGGCAACAATAACAACAATACAAATAATAAGACATTTAATAATAATTTTGTTTAATAGATTCTTTTTTTTTTTTCATTCTTCATATTATTGCTCGGGGATTATAGGAGGTTGTTTGCTTGGGTTGAACTATTGACAAGAAATATTATTTATCTATACTAGTTTTCTATCATTCATTCAGTCGCTTGCTTTTACTTGTTACTTTAGTATCATAATTGTCACGAATTGGGCTGCATAGTTTTACTTATTTATTGTTTATTTTCTTTCTTTCTTGTGGTAATCTTGTTTGACTTAGGCACCACCTTTACCTTTTTTTATTATTATTTCTGGAGCCATCTTTTAATTTTTACGGTATATAGTCATTGTATAGTAATAATAACAATAATAGAAGCTTGATATATTTAATACATACAGAGTTTTATATATATGAATAAAATTTATTTATTTAGGCTTGATGTAAGTGAAGGATTCATCGACAAATTTTTCAAAATAATTAATGAAATTATCTTGATTCATAAATTGTTTCCAATATTGATTCTCAACTCTTGGCTCAATAGGCGTTTGTGACCTTCCTGAAACGGTGGTCTTGGTTTGGACTTGGCTTTTTCTATTTAAGGATTGACGCTTTGGACCAATGGGGGTTTCTGATTGTGTAACTTCTTCTCCAGTTTGAGTAGCAACATCAATACTATTCCTCTTGGTGTTTAAACTTGTAGCAGTGATCTTATTATCAACTTTGCTTAGGAAGATTCTATATGTATGTGGGGTACGGAAGTAACCTTCATCTGATGAAACTTCGCTATTTCTATTCTTGTTGTAACTTTCTTCAATAGCTTGAATAGTTTCTTCTCTTTGAAATAAACTATCTCTCTTCATTCTCTTCATGGAACCAGAACTTTGTTGTGGTGGTTGTGCTAGTGGTTGTCTTTGCTGAGATGAAGTCGGATTTTTCGCAATCATTTTTGGTTCCAAAGTAGTGGGCTTGCTTCCAATTGGTGTCACAGGTAAAGGTGGTAGTTCTTTATTTGGAGGTGGATTTTTTGAAGTTCGTTTAGTGACAACTACTTGTTCCACTCTTTTAATAGTTCCAACTCTATTAGTTACTTTTGTTTTACTTCTTGTTGGAGATGGTGCTGGTCTAGTAGGGATATAACTTGAAGGACTATCTGAGATTTGATAATTCAAATTGGGAATCAAAAGTTTAGAATTATCAAACCCAGAATCACTAGCATCATGAAAAACATCTTCATCAGCTGCTGTACTAAGTGGAGACTCAAGAGCTTGTCTTTGGACAGGAGATTTGATAGATGATGGAGTACTGTCAACAATCATCCTAGGTGGTGTAATTGAACTTTTCTTCACAAATAATTTCTTTAAACTGCCAAACTTTTTATTAAATTTCGAAGTTGGATTTTGATCCTCCTTCAGTTTTTGTAAATCTGATTCATCTTGTAAATTATCTAAAGTTTGTTCAATCTTGGTAATATATTTCATATTAGGATTAGGAGATGGTACTTCTTCTTTATCATAATTCTCAAATTCAGCAACCGTTTTCGCACCCACTTTCTTAGGAGTACTAGTTTCGTTAGGAAATACTATAGGTGATAATAACAATTGTGTAGCTTCTAATTCTGGTTCATTGTTATTAGATCCTTCTGAAAGTTCTGGAATAGGTCTGTTAATAACTGTTCTTTTAGCGGTACCGATTTCAATTGGTGGTGTCATAGGAGTACTGAATCTGCGAGAGCTATTTTCAAAGAGATCGTTGTCTCTCTCGTGCGGTGATGCATTTGGAGTAGAAATCAAGTTAGTGGTAATAATATTGTTAAGTGTGGTTGGATTTGTTTCTAACGACGAAGATCCAACTGTAGTACTTGAACTTTTCCTCTTCTCCAGCTTTTTAGGAATTTCAAAAATTCGATTTCTTTTGCTACTTCTATCAGGTAAATCCTCATAATTGACCATTTCAGGACTATCTCTATCTGATTCTTTTGTAGATCTAATAGGTGACCTCGTAACCATTTTCACCGGCTGTGACTTAATTATAGCTAATTCAGCACTACTCATTTCAGGACTCTTCATATATGAATCAATTTCTTTGGATAACCTATCAAGTTCTTTAATGGAACTGACTGGTGATTGTGATTGTGAGAGAGAAGGCGAATCAATACTATCAAGTGGAAGAGTAACATTGTGTCTAACTGGTTGATTACTTCCACTTTTCAATGATTTGCTCAGTTCTTTACTAGGACTTTCAGTTCTGGGAGCAGAGATATTGGAAGTGTCAGTTTTAACGTTATCTGTGGAATCGACTGGATCTATACTGGACTTCTTTTCTGACTCTAATCTGTTATCTGGTTTGGATGTCTTGAAAGCTTCAGCTGAATTCGATTCAAAAATCTTGGACCTAGTTGGTAGTGGCAGAAGAATTCTGAATCCAGTGAGAGTTTCTTTGTCAATGGCACTAGAAGAAATTGAACTCTTTGAAGTTCTCTTGCTGGAAATACCTGGTTCGTTATTTCTTAAATCAAAAGTAGAGAATTTTTCAGCAGAAGCCACTTTCTTACTTCTTCCAAGGGCTTGATCCAAATTTTTAGATTGTGGATCTTTAAGTATAGCTGCAGTTGATTTCTTAATTGGATATTCTTCCACATTTGATTTCTGAATATAATTGCTAATGTTAGGATTTGGAGATATAAAGAGTCTTGAAACCCTTTTTGGAACAGGAGCAATGGTGGCTGATTCGAACCCCAGTTGATTTGTCTCGAACTTTGAGATCAAAGCTTGAATGCCAGACATCTTGATTTGAATCTTTAATTGGTTTCAAATCAAACTAGGAACCAAAAGCTTTCGAACATCTTCCAATTTTTATACATTTTTCAAGCTTAGTGATCGTGACAACCCACTACTACATTATTCTTGAAATTACCCCTACATAATATTAGCAGAATAATTGAAAATTTTATAAAGGTAGTTGCAAGGTGATGTTTAAATAGTTGGTCCCTCCCTATACTTTTAGGGCAGCATAAACTTGCAGCGAAGCGCTTTTGAAGAAGGTGCAAAAAAAACTTTTGCCCTGTTTTGTCATTGAAGTAATTCTATGCATATAATAGATGTAATATCTAACCTATCATGTTTATATATTTAATGCAATTAATTAAAAGTAAAATTCTATAATACACTATACTTATTTTCTATATTTCAGTTTAATTTTATTAACTAATGAACCAACTTCATCATTACCGCCATTTTTATTATTAGAGTTTTGATTATTTTTGTGATGTTTTTTATTTTGTCTGTTATCTTTATTATTTGTTTCATCACGATTTCTTTTAGAACGTTCGTTTAAAATCTTTTTCATAGTTTCAGTCTTCTTAAACTCACTATTTGTTGGATCAATGGCATAATCGTGATTTTCAAATATTTCATTGAAACGAGGATCATTCAAATCGGCCTCGAATTTATCTTGGGTTAATTCTGTATCGATATTCTTTCTACCTTTCTTATTCTTCTTTGATTTTTGCTTTTCGGCTTTAATAACATCTTTCATATTGAAATGTTCTTCTTTGGATTCATCATCCATCATTAATAACTCTAATTCAGCCTTTGATTTTTCATCAACAATATTATGCTTTTTATTCTTGTTTTTATTCTTCTTATCTTTAGCTTTAGAATCAACACCATTTTCTTCATTCTTCTTTTCCTTTTCAGCCTGTTGGGTTTCTTTCAACTTGGCAAGTCTTCTCTTTCTACGTTCCTTTTCTTTACGTTTATAGGAATCAATTGTAGACTCGTCTTTTTCTTGTTCTGGTTCTGGTTTCTTTTCTTCTTCGTTCTTTAAACCAGGAGCAAAAGTAATTTCCATGTCAATATCGTCTTCATCGTCTTCATCATCTTTACTTCCTTTTTTACCAAATGATCCGAAACTACCTCCTAATAAATTCTTATATTTATCTTTCAAACTTGAATCTTCGGCATCACTTCCATCAGAATCAGATGCAAGATATGCTTTGAAATCCATTTCATCGATTTCTTTTTGGGATAATGGTCTTGATGATAATGTTAATCTATCTTTTGGAGTTTCATCCCAAGTTAATTTCACTTTTGAATGTTGTAAAGCATCCGTTACAAAAGTAGAATCTGGTTTATAACTTGATGACACTTTGGTACATATATCCTTTGCTTCTGATTCATCAAATTCCATATCTTCAGGTATATATCTTAAATCAAATATATTGGCAGTTGATTCATATTCTGTACCATCACAATTATCATAAATCTTTTTGGCAGTACTAACGGAATCACATTTCACTACTGCGTAGTAATATCTTAATCTTTGTAATTGATAACGACGTAAAGCTTTACTATCATAATCTTCTTCGCCATCATCTTCTTCGTATAATTTTCTTGCAGCTCTTTCTAAATCATCTTTATTATTGACATCAATTTCATCATCATCAGAATCTGAATCTGATTCAACTTTCTTTTTCTTGGACTTGAAAAGATCTCTTGGTGGACCTTCTATTTCTTCTTTTTGCATTTGTTCTTTACCAAATTCTGATGGATAAATAGTGATTGATTTTATAGATCCTCCTGCTGGAACGAAAGAAACAAATGTAGCCATTAAATCTACTGCCTTAAGGTTATCCCAATCCATATTAACGACAGCGAAACCGGATGATGGTTCACCTTCTTCTGGTTTTCCTTCTTCGACTTCTATTTCTGAATCTTCATCAAGTTCGACTTCATCTTCGGAGTCTGAATCTGAATCTGATTCTGATTCACTAGATGCTTCATCTTCGGATGCAGAAGCAATACCTTCTCCTCTAGCTCTATCAAGTATAGCCTCTACATCTTCAACTTCGGATTCATCTGATTCCTCTTCCTCTTCATCATCATCATCGTCTGATTCCTCTATTTCTTTCTCATCAACTTCTTCTTCTTCATCTTCCTCATGTTCATAAAACTTTTCAAGAGCCTTAGTGGAGTCTTCATCCTTTAATTTTCTACCATATCTATCTATCTTGACATGTTTACCAGTAGCACCAGCATTCAATTTCTTTAATTCTTTTCTACTGAAACGTTCATCAACTTTGATTTTAAAATTCTTCAAGTTTGGTAAATTGAATCTTGGATCATTATGCACCGATTTAAATCTACTATCTTTTGTAACTGGTTCATTACGCGAATCAGCATTATTTGACCCTTTCTTATCCCCTTTAGCCATAATAATCTGTGTAATCTTGTAGACGTTTTCAAAGTAAATAAATGATTTACAAACTTTACATACTAATCAAAAATAAAAAAATTATTCACAGAATAAAAATAAAAAAAAATTCGATGCGGCTCATCTTTCCCATCGCGCACTATAAAATATGCCATTAAATATATGTATATTTGATTTCCTACTTAAACTGAACCACCATTAGCATTATGATTACCTACTAACCCTACCATTTCCAAGAATGCTCTTTCCTCTCCAAGACTTCTAAGATTAACACTTTGTCTTGCTTCCGCTTGTTTTTCTTCCCATTGCCATTGTTTCCGTTGTTCTTCTAATTCTTTAGTTGATCCAACCCCCCACACTTCTAAATCAGTAATCATAAATCGATCTTCGAAATCAGTTAATTCAATTTGTTCTTGAGTTGATTTCTGGAAATAACTAACTGCATGAGCTGACAGAGTTGAAACATGTCTGAATACTGCGAATTCTAAATTTGCTTCAATTGTAAGAGAGACTTCTCCTGGTAAGAATTTCTTGACTCCATTTTTATTAACGGGTTGATTATTACCAAATCCTAATCCTAAACCAAGATTATTGAAATAAACCAGTTCTCCCTTTAAAATTGCATTATGAGTACTTTTGTAAACATCTACTCGAGGTTGAATAGAGAAAATAATACTTTGTTCATCGCCAAAATTCCTCTTATTCGAATTTCTCCAAGGTTGATAGATTAATACACCATAAGTGATCTTATCATTTTCAGTTTGCCAATCCTTTAACGAATTTTCCAGAGATCGGAAAAATTGAGGATATTCAGATTTAAATTGTTGATATCTCATATTACTGGTGATAGTTTTGTTTTTTAATCGTTTGCCACTGACAATAAGTAAAGTTGGAGCTTGCCATTTGAATATTTTCAGTTCTAATGATCTTATTGAGAATCCTGATTCTGACCCAGCGTATAATTTGACTAGATTTTTATTAGAAATATTGATATTAGATCCTAGATTAGTCAAAATTGTACCAATTAATGATAAGGAGGGTAAGTTGACAAGTCTAGTTTCAACAAATTTGGCCGATATAGATTTCTTTGATTTTGTTGTTTCTGGAGGTGCTTCTTCTTCTTCCTCATTTTCCTTATTTGAAGTAGAGTTCTTTCTACTTCTCTGCGATATTAATGAAGAAAGGAATCCATATTTGAATAACATAGTAAACCCTTCATTAAAGAATTTTGGTAAGAGATTATCAATGGTATGTTTGAATTCAATGAAATTTATAGTTTCAGTTTTAACATTTTGATTCGTAATATTTAATTTGAAATATCTTAATAAGAATAAAGCATTATTCTCAAACTCTTGCCACCTCTCTCTGATACCTTCGTTCAATTGATCATACATCTTATCATGATTCATCTTTGGAATGGAGTTAATAATTAGGAATAACGTTATCAATTCAAGTAAACTATGAGCATTTATAGATAATGATTCCACATCCACATCATCAAAATTATCAATCAATTTGAAAGTATCCCACTTGATTTTTCTAGTTCTGACATTAATAGGATCATCATCAAGGAATGGATCGTGTAATTCCAAACTATAAGGTTCTAATTCACCTGGTGGGATGACATTCTCTATATATTCTGGTTTCGTTATAGGGGTGGGTTCTTCTTCACTATCTCCTAAAGCCAATGAAATAAACAAAAGTTTAACATAATCAAACTCTTTATTGAATATTTTCTTATATCTTCCACTATGGAATATGCATGCCACTAACAATTCCTCAATCGATAAACCATTCATCTTACCTATTTCATAATCTTGAATAAAGGGGAATTTCCCTATAACTTGAAATGAGTTATATAAAAGATTCAACACACATTTGAATTGAGGACTTACACTTGAATTATCTTCATTCTTATCATTTGATAATTGACAAAGATAAGCAAGGTCACTGGTAGTTATGATGTTCTTTTCTTTAATATTGGTGATATTTAATTTTGAGGCAATGGTTTGCAACTCAATAGGTCTGAACAATAGCACACATCGAGCATTGAATAATTCCTTACATTCACTCTTGGTGAATGATTCTAGAATCTGACTACTAGAACCAGTTAGACCACTTGTAGCTTGACCCATGATGTTTTATCTTAAGTAATGATTGATGACATTGGATGGCAAAGGAAATAGAGGATTTTAAATTTGTAAAGAAGGTAACCAGATCATTTTTTGGTTGTGAGTGAGAATCCAAAATAGAAGTGCCGTACAGAAACTTTTTATAAAGTGGAGGGGGGGGGGGGGGAGATTTTATTAAGATTAATTAGATTATATATAAAGATATGGGTTATTAGTAGAGATATTATTAGGTATGACATGAGAATACTTTTATGGTATTTTGGTTTATAAATTATGTCAACATGGTAAGTTTAAAAGTGTTAATTAAAGAGAACATTTAAGTAATCCTTTGATCTTCTTTCTAAATCATAGATAAATCTATGAACACCAGCTAAGATTCCAGTAGCACCTAAAATCTCAACTTCATCATCGTCATCACCGGTGAGTCTTTCATTGTATTTTCTATCACTAAGATCTTGTTTTAATAATGCTTTGGTGAAAGAAACAAATACTAAATTGAAGTATATTCTAATAGCAGTGATAGCTATAGTAGTAGCGAATGTAACATATAATTCTCTTACTAAAGATGCTGATTGGGAGGATAAGTCTGGAGTTGTTGTTTTACTAGTAGTAGTAACTGGTAATCCATAATCTTGATCAGCTGCATAATCATTTCCAACAGCACGCTTAGCATAATCAAGTGAGTTTGATTTAACATCTTCCAGACTGAACCAGAAATAGATGAAATAAATGGTATACAAAAGTCCAATAATGGTATCGATTGTATATATGATAGATGCTAATGACATCTTTCTAGCATTCTTTGGTCTTGTTTTTAAATTGATTAATGCTGAAATATAAAATGGTAAAGTGAAAATAGAAAGCACATTGTATAACCATTGCCAGAAGTTAATAGGATGGCCGGTGAAGATGGATAAGATACCATAGATCCCACCTGCTTTGTTTAAGATAGCAATGCCCAATATTATTTCAATCCCAATGAAAAGAGGTATTACACCCATGAATCTCTATAGTTTGTTTATGTTAGTAATGAGCCCCTATATCGATCACAACCACAAGGTAAATCCCTGTTTAATCCCAACGTGTACATACTTGTGGTAGTATTCTATTCAATGATGTTGATAAAGCCATGTTGTATCTATCTGTTCTATAATTGTACCAATGTCTTGGGGGGTTATCAAAGGGTTGGCGTAGTATATATTCCCACAGATCAAATTGTTTTTGGAAATTTACTGAAGAGCGATCATCACTCAAATAAAAAATGAGTGAGGGTAAATTTTGTATAGTGATTTAACACAAATTACTCTATAATTACTCCAACTGTAATTATTCAATTGGTTTGTCTAACTGAATACTGTCATCTTTTCTTTAAGATATTGTCAACTATCTTAACTAAGGTTTACTAAGATAATTGACTTAATTAATTGTGTTATTCATTATAATATTGTTATACTATGAATAAATATCCTGTATATAAACCAAGGCATCATATTTAAAAAAAAATTATTTCATTAAACCAAAATAACTACTATAGATATATACTATTTGATCAGACCACAATTTGAAGGATATAGAATGTCCAAAGAAGATATCATAGATAATACTGCCAACCTAGATTTGTCATCTTCTGATACAGACTCAGATTCAGATAATGAAACTAATAATAATGAAAATGGTAATGTTCAACCTAAGACTTTAATTGATAGAGCAGAGATTGTTAAGAAATATGCTGATAAGATTAAAACAGATCCTATAAAGAAAGGTCCTAAAGTGACTAAGGATAGAGCCAATAGAGCTACTGTTGAACAAGTACTTGATCCTAGAACTATGGCCTTTTTAGCTAAAATCTTCAACAAAAATATTATTTCTAGAATTAATGGATGTATAAGTACAGGTAAGGAAGCTAATGTATATCATGGAGATCATGAAGATCCTGAAATTACCACTCGAGAATATGCCGTCAAGATTTATAAAACATCGATTTTAGTATTCAAAGATAGAGAAAGATATGTTGATGGAGAATTCAGATTTAGAAATTCAAAGAATCAAAGTAATCCTAGAAAAATGGTTAAAGTATGGGCAGAAAAGGAATTTAGAAATTTAAAGAGACTATATACCAATGGAATCCCATGTCCTGAACCAATAGAATTAAGATCACATGTGTTAGTAATGGAATATTTAACCAAGGGAAAAGGTCAACCATCGCCAAAATTAAGAGATCATCCATTTAAAGATGTAGATGAAATCGTTCATTATTATCAACAAATGTTATTTTATATGAGAAGAATGTATCAAGATTGTAAATTAGTCCATGCTGATTTAAGTGAATATAATTCAATTGTTCATAAAGATAAATTATATATCATTGATGTATCTCAATCAGTTGAACCTGATCATCCTATGGCCCTTGATTTCTTAAGAATGGATATTAAAAACGTTAATGATTTCTTCTCCAGAAAGAAGATTAATGTATATCCAGAGAGATTATTATTCAAATATATTATAGATGAAGGTGAATTATTAGGGCTTAAGGATAATAGTGATGAAGAATTAGGAGCTTATTTAGAAAAATTACCTTTAAAGACTGAAAATGATGATGAAGTTGAAGATGAAATCTTCAGATCAATTCATTTAGTTAGATCATTGAATAATTTAGAAGAAAGAGATTTTGAAAAGTTTTCCGAAGGTAAAGTTGATACATTAAAACAATTAGTCGATGATAAAGGTGAGAATGATGATGATGTCGACAATGACAGTGAAAGTGAAGATGACGATGAAGATGAAGATAGCGATGAGGACGACGATGATGACGACGATAGTGAAGAAACTGACGACGATAAAGAATGGGTTGAAAAGGAAGATGGTATTCCAAGAGGTAAGAAGTTTGAAGATAAAGATGAAAAGAAAGCTAGAAAGGAGGCTGCAAAATTAGCCAAGCAAGAGAAGAGGAAAACCAAAATGAAAAAACATATCAAGAAGAAAATCGTCAGTAAGAGAAAAACAGGAAAGTAAATAACCCTATTAGCATATACATGTACATACATATCAGCATTTAGATTAATAGATACCATACACAATTCTTCTACAGAAGGATTGCAAAAATTAAAGTTGTCTCACTGTATACCCCAAACGCGTTATAAAAGGAGACTCACCCAAATTTATGAACTTTCGCACGACTCGAACTGTGAAAAAAAAAATCGAAATCAAGACACGAAATAACAAAAACAAGTTTGAATCAAAAGGTACGAACTAAACCAACAAGGGACTATTGATTGTTTAAGGTAACTCCATATATAAATACAAGATGTTGAATTCAGTCACTAGTAAGATAATTGCATTGGTATTGATATTTGCTCAGTTGAGTAATGCTTTACATTTCTACTTGAACACTGGTGAAACCAGATGTTTCTTTGAAGAATTACCGGAAGATACTTTAGTTGTTGGTAGAATCGATGCTTATGAAAAGAATGATCATAATGGTGAATTTGATCGTAATTCCAACTTAAGAGTTCAAATCACTGTTGACGTATGTATCCATTAATGTTTTATGATTATGTTTATGTGTTGAATGTATTGGTACTAACTAATATTATTATAGGAAACTTTTGATAATGATCATAGAGTTGTTTCTCAAAAATCATCACCAAGTGGTGAATTCACTTTCACTTCATTAGATTCAGGTGAACATAAATTCTGTTTAACTCCAGTTTATTCTGATGGTTCTCGTGGTAAAAATCATAGAATTTTCTTTGATGTTGCTCTTGGTTCTGCTCATGATTATGTTGATTCAAAATCTACCAAAAAGATTGATTCATTAACTCTTCAAGTTCAATCCTTAAACAAAAAATTACAAGAAATCCATTGGGAACAAGAACATATGAGAGAAAGAGAAGCTATCTTTAGAGATCAATCTGAAAACACCAATTCAAGAGTGGTTAAATGGACCATTGTTCAATTAGTTGTCTTAGTCGGTACTTGTGTATATCAATTACGTCACTTGAAGAGCTTCTTCGTTAAACAAAAGATTGTTTAATCAACCATATAACAACTGTCTGTTTAAGAAAAAAGTAACTAAGTAAATGAACGAAAAATCCCATATATAATAAATCTTTTTAGAGATAAGTTAGTACTTAGTCTGGTATCAAACTTGCTTTTCTCGAGTTTTTCATAAATATCCCATGTCTATTAAACTAGTTTAAACCCTCTTAATGTATAAAATCAGTATATCATAATATAAATTAACTTAAATTATAAACTATCGTATCAAGAATTATACCGTGCAACTCCACATTGCAAAAAAAAACTGTACGATGCTCTCATATGATGTACTGCTAAAAAAAATTTATAACTCTAAATTACAAAGCCCGTCTTCCTTTTTAAAAGAAGTTATAATTATACAAAGATATCAAGTTTAAATCATGTCAAAGCCTTCTTATGATGAACTCCTATCAAGGATAAAGGAGTTAGAGCTTGAAAATGAAAAATTAAAACAAGTCAGCAAGCCATCACACGTCTCATCAGATAGCCAAACATTATACCCAAAAGTAGATGAGTACTTTTCATTAGATGAATATAAAAGATATGGTAGACAAATGATAGTGACAGAATTCGGATCATTACCTTCCCAGATCAAATTGAAGAAATCAAGTATTCTTGTGGTAGGTGCTGGTGGGTTAGGATGTCCTGCCCTTCTTTATTTATCAGCAGCTGGGATTGGGAAAATAGGTATCATCGATGATGATATAGTTGATATAAGTAACTTACACAGACAAGTATTGCATACTACTGATAATGTAGGAATGTATAAATGTGATTCAGCTAAGAAATACATATCTCGATTAAATCCTCATGTCACAGTGGAAACTTATCCCTTCAGACTTTCTAATGATAATGCATTTGAAATCATCTCAAAATATGATTTAGTCCTTGATTGTACTGATGCTCCAGCAGCAAGATATTTAATCAACGATGTATCAGTATTATGTGGTAAGACTATAGTCAGTGGGTCTGGGTTAAAATCAGATGGTCAACTTTCAATATTAAATTTTGAAAATTTCGGTCCATGTTATAGATGTTTTTATCCAAAGCCTCCAGCTCCAGAATCCGTTACATCTTGTTCTGATGGTGGTGTTATTGGTCCAGCTATTGGATTAGTTGGTTTAACTATGGCCATCGAGACTATAAAAGTTTTGACTGACTATTATACCAAGGATAATTTTAAACCTTTCCTTGCTCAATATACTGGTTATCCTCATCAACAAATAAGACAGTTTAAAATGAGAAATAGAAAACCAGATTGTGGGGTTTGCGGTGATTCGCCTCAAATAGATCAATCCACCATTGAAAGTAATGCTATCAATTATGCTGCCTTCTGTGGAAAGTTTGATCCAAATGTATTGGATGCTAAATACAGAATAAATGTTAAACAATTACATGATATCAAAAATCCAATCCTTATAGATGTTCGTCCTAAAGAACAATTTCAAATCACCAAACTACCAAACTCAATAAATATTCAATGGGATCCAATATTTAAAAAATTAGATAGCATAGATGATTATTTACCTTCTGATTTCAATAAGGAATTAGATGAAGTTTATGTTATTTGTCGGTATGGTAATGATTCACAATTAGCCGCAAAGAAATTAATCGAAGAGTTTAAGTTTCCTACAGTTAAAGATGTTATTGGTGGATTAAATCAATGGAGTGATCAAATTGATCCAAAAATTCCTAAATATTAATTTATATAGAGTCATATACATGTACATAAATAAAACCATTTACGCTTCGGGATCTAATCTTTCAACGATTAAAAGACCAGATAACGTACCTGCGCTATATAATGAAGACCCTGTAGCATTCTCATTCCATGATATTGATGATATAACAGTTTGAGCTGGTTCAACGGGGAATTGAGAAGGTTCTTCACTGGGGATTAATTCATAATCCGCTGAAAGTTCTAAACTTTCCTTTAATCTTAATTTCCAAAGTTTGAGAATCTTCATCATCTTATTATTGGGTTTACCTCCATTAAGAAACTTTCTACTATGATTAACCACAAATAAATCTCCTCCAGATGTACCGGTTAAAGTTAATGGATGACCTAATCTTTCTGAAGTTTTGGTTGATGTTATAAATGAATCCAATTTAATTAATAGATTAGAACCTTCATGAGGACTTCTTATAAAATTGAATCCAAGAGTATCTTGGTTTGGAGTTCCAATAAGGGTTTGAAGGGCTGGATTATAAGTTGGTGTAATGCTTGATTTAGCAGAAAGTGGTAATATAAGTCCTTGAATAGAATTCAGATATTCAAATGCAAGAGATTGTATACCAAGAGAATTGATCACTATCACATAATGATCTGGTTCTGGTTCTGCTGTTACTAATGATGAAATTGCACTACTGGCAACTTTTGATATAAAGGAGGGTACTAATACATCATTCTCATCAAATTGTGATTCAAGTTTATAATAAGGTAAAATAAACTCTGCGATACAACCATCACTCAAACCAACAAGAATCTTATCATGACCAATAAAATCAAATGTAGTTACAGATACTATGTCAATCCCACTTGATACTGGGATAGAATATGAAAATGATGGTTTTATAAGTTCAGCAAATTGAGGTCCATTAGTAGTAACTTTTATAAGATGTACTTTCCCATCCGTGAAACTCCCCACTAATACTCCCAATGACTTTTTATCACCTTCTATGTTTATAGGTAACCAATTAAGATTATTTGTTGCACCTATATCGGTAGTTATGTAGAATTTTATCATTTCAAGTTTATTATCTTGAAGATTATATTTCCAAATCTGGATACCTGATTTAATATTCTTTTGATCAGATAGAGTAGGGAATAATGACAATTCTTCATTGTTGATTGTGTTTTCGATACCATCATGGCCATAGATTATTGATACAGCAAGATAATGTTCTTTAATTGATTCATCTAATTTTCTATATAACCATTTTGTAGATGTTATATGACCACCTGTGTTTAAAAGATACCCCTTTCTAGAAACAGAATCCAAGGAGAATGGTTGTGATATTTTCAAAGTATGGAGTTTATTGGTACTTCCTTTCTTTAATGATAATACTAAATCTGATTGGAAGGTATTTTGAATTTGATTTTTATCTATACCTTTAAATTTTGCATCTGGAATATGTAATTGTTTGATATTTACCGATATCAATTCTTTCGGTACGATGACTTCTTGTTTAATCTGGTCTAATGTATGTTTCTCATCTATATAAAACAATGATTTCTCCCAAGCTGTCCTATACTTTGTAATGTATTCATATATATCATTATTATATCCATAACTAAATCTGAATCTAGCTTTGAACGATAAACTTCGGATTGATTTGGCTAAACTTGAAGATGAAGCTGCACCCGCACTTTTCTTTGATGTTGCTGCTGGAGCCATTGTTATGAATTTAAATGATACTGATAGATGTATGGATAGATCAATGGTTGGTTTAATGATTCTATTTAAGAAATGAAAACATTGAAACCTGTAAAAAATTCCAGGTCCTTTCTCAAATTGTAAATCTGAAAATTAATCTGTAATTAAATTGACTTAAACTGTAATCTTATTTTTAGTACAAAAAAAATTGAAAATATCAACTCAGATATCTTTACGAGTTATTACATCAAGATTAGCCCATATCATGAATAAATTTACATCACTATGAGTAGTTCAATTAATGAAGATAGTAGCGATCGGGGACAGTTGTCAAGTTCACCATCGAGGGATAAGAAGAGATCATTTGGATTGGAAGATGATTTTTTTTCATTAAGTTCATCCAGTGATAAGAAAAAGAAGAAGAAATCAAAGCATAAATCAAATCATCATCACCATCATCATCATAATCATCAACTGGATATAAATGAAAGTTTCGAAGATAAAATTATACTGAAAGACTCTGTGCTTGATATTAGAGATAAATCTGAAGATACAGATGTAGATATAATCACATCATCAATAAACAATGCTAGTAATAGTGACACAAACAAAGATGTGGTTGAAGTTACGAGGAAGATAAGCGCTATAGTTGATAGAGATGCTATTCGATCACGATTACAGAAAACGCTTAAGAAGAAACAACCTGATACCAAGAAAGATGAGTTATTATTGGATGATGAGACAGAAGATAAAGAGTTGGAGTTTTTTCGAGAAGATCGATCATTTTCACCTTCAGTACCTGAAAATGAAGATTTATATACTTTTACTGAAGAAAATGAAAAGAAACGACAATATGTGATAAAAGTAGTTATTAAATTAGATGTTCCTACTGATTTTAATCCTATTGAATCAACTGATTTTGGGACGAATGGAATTAAAAAATTTGAAAAAATTCAAAGATCAATTCTAAAATATTTTAAAACAAAGTTTACATCATCAGGGTTTACTCCAGTCCAAATCAAAGCATATGATTTTGAAAACACAAGTTTAATTTGGGTTGAAGGTAAGATGGAGATGAAACCATTTTATAAACCCAGTACACTTCGAATTAAACCTCCTATGGATATTTTAACCAATACTGTACATCCCACTGTTATCAATTGTTTATTAATACCGAAGGAGAATGTCAATAAGCTTGAATTATACTTTGATAAACGAACATTGACAGTGCCAATTGATATAGAAGAAGAAGTTGAATCATTTATAGAAGATGAAATTCAAGAGGTTAATAATATTGGATATAGTAGTGTATTAGATGATGAAGATGAAGATGCAGACTTAGATGATGGTGAATTGGTTGAGACGGTTGAGATTGACGATGAAGAGAAAGATGAATTTTTCACCATTGGATTAAAAGGGAAAGACAATAAACGAATATCTATAAAAGTATCACCAAAGACCCAAATTCGAAAATTATTATTACATTATTTAAAGATTAAGAATATTGATGAGAAACTGATTAATATTAACAAAGCGAAATTGATATTTGACGATGAAGAGTTGGATTTAGACGGAATAGTAGAAAACACTGAGTTAGAAGAAGATTATGAAGTTCAAGTTGTAATATAATGTAAATAGGACTATAAAATAATAAATAAACCAAAAGTTTAGATAAAATATTTTTCGCATCAATAAGAAATTTTGGAGATTTTAATTTAAGGTTGATGATCATTAGATAAGTCCTAGCAAATGGAATTGGTCTTAGTTGTGGATGAAGTGAATAAAAAGATTAGCCAAACAGTGCATAAATCAAAAAAGGATTATCCATTTAGTTTTGAGAAACGTATATTAAATTATTGTGAAATTGAATGATTTTGTGAGTTGAGGGTATTTGGCGGTAATTCAAACTAGGAATTGGGGAATAAAATCAAATGTCATGCTATAATGATAGAGTTTTTACGAAGCAGAGGTCCACAACTGTGAAATTAATCAATTTAACTTCATAACCACCACCAAAACTATGAGAACCGGCATCGCTAATACAATTGAAATTAAAGATACGAAAAAAAGCGATGAGCAAGTCCAAATAAAAAAGTATGGAGTCAAGTTAATGATAAGGACTCATTTAAAGAGAATGGGTAAGTGATGACGATTAGAATTCAACTCTTCTTCCATATATAGAAACGAAATAGAAGCATTCTTCAAACAATACGAATTCTAAAAAGAAATCAAATCAAATCGAAACGGCATATTTCCATTATTAGAATAATTCTATATAAACTGTGCATTCCCCTTAGTCTCAATTAAATATAGTTTAAACTATAGTGATTAGATCCACAATTTATTTAACAACTGCTAATTGCAAGATTAGTATTGATTTACGACCATATAACTTCGAATGCAGCAAAATCAGCCGCCAATTAAACATAAATTCCACAAAATTGAAAAATGCCCTGAAAAAAATGACAAAAAGAGTCACGTGAAATAATGTGATTGCAAAAAAATAATAGATTCTTTTTCTTAGAAACCAACAACCTCCTCCTTATTTCCCATTACGGCAAGTTCCATTAACTACTGACTATTGACTATGTGTGACCAAGTGATGAGACGATATTTACTTAATTGCAAATAATTCTTTAACAGGGCTTTTACTTCTGGCTTAATTATATAGAAGCTTGGTGTAATTATGTCATTTTAGATGTCTTACTAATTATTTCTAATCCTACTTATACTTCTACTATTGATTTCGAATGAGCAGATGTCAAGAGTTAATCCATGACATATCTTTTCATTATAGCTAATGGCCACAAGCAAAATAGTGTACCGCTAATAAAATATTTATTATTATTATTATTATTATTATGCTTAGCACATATCCGCTATTAAAATTAATTAATTAGTTAGTTGCCACAACTAATAACTGCCTATCAAAACGGTCTATTTCAATTACGGTAACTTGTATAACTGTTTAAATTTCTTAATTTCACGAAACCGAAACAGGTTAAGCTAAACTTAACTTAACTAAACTGTGGTTCTTTCATCAATTACAACTTGAACAAAAATGGAATGCTCTGCTTAAATATTTCGCGGCGTTCACACTCCTAAAAAAATTTTCTGTGAATTTCTTTTTTTACTGTTCCCGCTTTCTGGTTTTGATTGCAAATCGGATACCTTAAGCTTAAAATGTTTGTATAAAACCTCCAACTTATGTCTCCCATTTTAACCTTTTTATGATTGATTTATTTACTTAGATAGATCGATAGGTATATCTTTTATCAGGAATTATCTGTTTACTTTATCAATTATCCTAGTCATAATGTCTTACATTGATTCAGATAGTCCTAACCAGGAAAAATCAAGTCTTACTCATGATTTAGAAAAAGTCACTAATGATGATGTTAGTTCAACTGATAGACAAATTGCTCAAACTGAAAATCTTAATAGATCTTTAAGAGGTAGAACCATTAATATGATCACCATTGCTGGGGTTATCGGTAGTGGTCTTTATTTAGGGACTGGTAAAATGTTAGCTACTGGAGGTCCATTATCAATGCTTTTAGCTTATGTTGTCATTGGGTTAATTGTATTCTTTATGATGTTAAGTTTAGGAGAAATGTCAGTTCAATATCCTGTTTCTGGTTCTTTCACCACTTATGCCAAGAGATTCGGTAGTGATTCTCTTGGGTTTGCTATCCTTATCAATTATTGGTTTAATGATGCTTGTTCTGTAGCTGGGGATTTAACTGCTCTTCAATTAATCTTTGAATATTGGACTGATTTCCATTGGTATGTTATTTCCATCATCTTTTGGGTTTTCTTATTATTCCTTAATGTTATTCATGTTAGAGTTTATGGTGAAACTGAATATTGGTTAGCATTATTAAAAGTTGTTACTATTTTTATCTTTTTCATTATTAGTATTGTTGCTAATGTTGGTAAAAATCCAGAACATGAATATATTGGGTTCAAATGGTGGAGTTATGGTGATGCTCCATTTGTAAATGGTATTGCTGGTTTCTCATCATTATTCGTTTCAGCTGCTTTCGCTTTAGGTGGTTTAGAATCAGTTTCTTTAACCGCTGGTGAAACTAAAAATCCAACTCGTATTATTCCAAAAACTATTAAAGCTACTTTCTGGAGAATTGCTATCTTTTATGTATTCACTGCTTTCTTTATTGGTATGAATATTCCTTATGATTACCCAAATTTAAACACTAAAACCGTTGCTACTTCTCCATTCACCATTGTTTTCCAAATGGTTGGGGCTAAAGGAGCTGGTAGTTTTATGAATGCAGTTATTATGACTTCTTTACTTTCAGCTGGTAATCATGCTTTATTCGCTGGTTCAAGATTGGCCTTTAATTTAAGTACTCAAGGTTATATTCCAAAGATTTTCACCAAATTAAATAGATTTGGTATTCCTTATGTTGCTGTCATTTTTACTTGGTTCTGTGGTGGTTTATGTTTTGCATCTTCCTTCGTTGGGGCCGGTACTTTATGGAATTGGATTCAAAGTATCGTTGGTCTTTCAAATTTAATCTCTTGGTGGTTAATTGGTGTTGTTAGTTTAAGATTCAGAAGAGGTCTTGAAAAACAAGGTAGAACTCATGAATTATTAATGAAAAATTGGTCTTATCCTTATGGTCCATGGTTTGTGGTTATTTTCGGTGGATTTATCATTTTAGTTCAAGGTTGGTCAACTCTTGTCCCATTCCAAACTGCTGATTTCTTCCAATCATACTTGGAATTAGGTATTTTCCCATTATGTTTTATTTTCTGGTGGTTAATTGTTAAAAGAGGTAAAGATAAATTCATCAGAGCTGCTGATATGGATTTCGATACCGATAGATATTACGTAACTCCCGAAGAACAAGAAGAAAATGATTATGCTGATAGCTTAAAAGGATGGAAAAAATTCAGATACGGATTTGTCGAAAGTTTCCTTTAAGCAACCTTTTCAATCTCCCCCACCCTCGGTATATCTTTTCATTTCTTCTCATGACAAACATGTCGTTTCATTTCTTATTTAGCATTTTAATATGTAATATGTACTATAGTTTTTAATCATTAATATCTAATATATTGGCATTTAATATTCGTATAATATATCATCGTGTGACTCGTAGTATGTTTTTGTTTAGTGAACGTTTCAATTTTGATTGCAAATTTTTAGTGTGCGAAGTTGCAATGAATTTTAACTTTTGTATAAAATATGACTAGAATGTCCCTAAACTATCGATAAGTTTTTTAGGATTACAATCACTGATAGATAAAACAGCTTGAGATGGGTGTATATTTATTATGCTGGTTATGGTTTGTGTTTGGAGTGACAAGTCAAATAGTCACACAAGTAGCAATAGTTGAAGTCTACGTGCAACCAGAGCCTACTACAAGCTTCAATCCTACTCAAGTTGAAGTAGTAACTATTGTTGAAACTTCAAACCCTACCACCGGTCTCGATGCTGCTATTTATTCATATACTGGTACTTATTCCCTTAACACTACATTTGCTGAACAAATGCTAGACCTACACAACACCAAACGAGGCCTTCATGGTGCTACAGACGTTCATTGGAATAATACTTTATTTGATTATGCAGCAGCTTATGCTTCAAAATATGATTGCAGTGGTGTCTTGACTCATTCTGGTGGTCTTTATGGTGAAAACTTGGCTATTGGTTATTCTACAGATGGTGCAATGGAAGCTTGGTACGATGAAGGTAATAATTTCCCTTATGGAACTGAAAGTGAATATAATCATTTCACTCAAGTTATTTGGAATGGGTCTACTTCTATCGGTTGCTCTCCAAAGTATTGTAATTCAGTATGGGGAACATATATCATATGTTCTTACTTTCCAGCTGGTAATGTCATAGGATATGAATCAGAAAATGTATTTCCTCCTATATAGTCTCATCTATATATATATATATCTTTATATGTACTTTATTTAAAGATGATCACATAAGATTTTTTCATCAATATCTACATAATGTTCAAAGAATCCCTTAAATAAATCTGTTAATTTAACCACATCAAATGTACCACCAGTTTCTCTAATTGAATGCATGGATAATTGAGGATTACCTAAATCAAGAGTTCTTATACCTAATTTGGCAGCTAATATTGGCCCAATGGTTGAACCACATGGTGAATCATTTCTAACCACAAATAATTGTAATGGGACTTTGACTTGTTCGGCAACTTTCTTTAATAATACTATACCTGGAGAATTAGTAGCATATCTTTGATTGGCATTGACTTTTATAACTGGACCAGCATTTAATTGAGGTCTGTTTTTCTTTTCATATTTATCTTCATAATTTGGATGAACACCATGAGCCATATCAGAGGATAATAAGAATGATTTGGCCATTGTTTCATGGAAATAATCACCTGAACCATTACCATCGAAATCAATGGCAGTTAATCTTTTAAGAATATCTGGTAAAAATGTTGAATCAGCTCCTTGAGCAGATTTAGAACCTATTTCTTCATGATCAAATAAGGAAATTAATTGAATACCCTTTTGTTTATGAACTAATTCCAATGATTCAATTAAACCCACTGTAGCAGTATAACAAGAAGTTAAGTTATCTAAACGAGGAGAAAATATGAATTCATCATTTAAACCACCAATGGTTGATTTTTGATGATCGAATAAAACCAATTCAAAATCTTCAATTTGTTCAACTTCAACATTGATTTCCTTGGCGATTAATTCAATTAAAGACTTATTATGTCTTTGAATCACGGTTTGAACTGATACAAATTGTTCTGGGGTTAATTGTAATTCAGGATCATCAGCACATGAATGGCCTTCCTTTTTCTTTTCAGCGGCAGCTTCCAATTCATTCTTATCAATGGATGTTTGACCTGCAATAGGAACTAATTTGGTTTCTTTATTGAATTCAAATTTAGTATTCACTTCTCTATCTAAATGAATAGCTAAAGTTGGAATTCTTAATAATGGTTTATCAATTTTAATCAATTTAGGAACGTATTGTCCATTTTCAGTAACATAAACTCTACCAGCAATAGATAAATCTCTATCAAACCAAGAATGAGCAATCAAACCACCATATTGTTCAACACCAACTTGAATAAAACCTTCTGATGTTTTATTGGAAATTGGTTTGATTCTTAAACATGGTGAATCAGTGTGAGCACCCACGATAGCCACCCCATTACCGTTTTTGAAACTTTCACCAACAGTGAAACCAATTAAGGATGAGGCATTTCTAGTGACGAAGTATTTACCCCCTTTCTTAATACTGATATTAGACCAATTTGAACGTTCTGAAATTTCAGTAAATCCAGCTTCAACTAATCTTGATTTAACAGATTTAACAGCGTGATAAGGAGTTGGGGAAGCATTGACAAAATCAACAAACCCTTGGGCATATTTCAATGCTCTTTCAGTTTCGTCAGACATACTTGGATCTATGTTTATATCTCTGAATCTTGGTATCTCTCCTTACTTCACCCTGAATAGAAGCTGTCAAAATTTTTGTCCTTCAGGAACCCCAAAAGAGTATGCGGCTCCAAAAAATCTTAAAAAATAAAAAGAATAAAAGTCGCGTGCCTTCGAGCGCGTGATCAATTTTGAACTGATTAATTCTGGTAACTTATTATTGATTCACTTGTATAACGTATGAACAGCAACACCATCAGTTACCAATTCAACAAGCAAACATTATGAATATACGACAACTACTATTACTTACTCATTTACTTTCGATAGTCGCTTGTTTACAAACCGTGCCAGTGATAGTGGCGTCACACAAACTTGTACCTGATTTGAAGAGTGAAATCAGATCAGATAATCTTGAAGCTCATAATACTACAAGTGTTACCAACTTGATCAAAAAGTTGATAACTCAATGTTCCAGTGATGAATATGTACTTGTAAATATACCAGGTTTGACATTGGATGATGTGACTGATTCAAAAAGAGATTTATGGCCATATGTGAGGAATTATCTTAAATTGTCATCTACTTTAGTAGGATTGCCTTGGGTTCATGGAACATTGAATTATAAGTTTCTTGAAAAGTATATCATCAAGAATTGTCAAGCTGAAGCCATCTATGTCAATCGAGTTGATGATAATGAGGTCCAACCTTACTATGATGTTCGTACTAGAGCCATAGTTGTTAATTTACCTCCCTTACCTGAACAAGATGATGTACCAGCAAGATTACAAAAATTACTTGAATATGATGAATTAATTAGAAAGATATTAAGGAAGTTACCATCACCACATTTCACGTTAATAATCTCCAGTGATGTAACTTCATTAACACATCCTGTACCAACTCCTCACATAAAGGCTAATCCTGAAGATTTTGAAATCTTTAATGAAATAGTGAATCATGAAAGTCGTGAAACTGAATATGAAAGAAACGATCGATTTAAATCAGTTGAGCCGGTATGGTATGAACCCAAGACTACTGAGGATCGTTATCTCAGAAACAAGAAGAAAGATGAAATTCATTTATTTAATTATGAGTTATGGAGTAAAAATGAAAAATTAGTATCAACTATTATCGTTATGATTTTAGGATTATTCTTAATGAAATTTATTGAATGGTTTAATAAATTTAAACAATATATCATCGAGTCAAACAAAAGGAAGAATCAATTAATCATTGATCAAAACAAAAGGATAGATTAAATAAAAGCTGAATTTTTTTTATAGCATATACTAAGTTTATTAATATCTTATATAAAAATATATATACAATTACGTACGTTAAAAAATTGTCTTAAGCAAGTAGGAAAGCAAGTAGCATTAGGAAATAAAATGGTTTATGAATAATGTAATCTATGCTTCTTTTGACCATTCTGGGTCACTTGGAGCAGTTTCTGAACTTGTTTCAGTAGCTTCGTGATAATCATCATCTTCATCCTCATCTTCAGCATCAGCTGCACCACCAACATCTTCTTCCTCTTCTTCATCATCTTCTTCATCGTCATCTTCATCATCATAATCTTCTTCATCGTCACTTACTAAGACACTTGCATCAAAATAAAGGAAAGGTTCTAAAGCAGAAATATCAGCAGAAGCAACCACTCCATCTAATAATAATTCACTCATAATCTTACCAGTTCCAGGAGCATTATTTATACCCCAACATGAATGACCAGAAGCTAAGAATAAATTAGATACATTAGTTTCACCAATTAATGGACCACTTGAGGATGGAACATCTAGTACAGGTAAATAACAAGCTTGTCTCTTTAAAGTATGACCTTTTTTCAAATTTGGCGATATTTTACCCACTTGTCTGAATAATTCATCACATTTTGATTTTACAATTTCAACATCATCAGTAGTTTCAGGAACATCCACAGTAGAATCCCCTTCTCCACATACATAAACTTCATCTTGTCTTGCATAAATTTCAGGAGAAATATATTTATAAGGACCTGTTTTAAATTCAGTGAAAATGGCATAAGGGGAGACGGTTTGATCCTTAAATGGAGCTACTGTGATTGAATGAGCTCTTAATCCACTTATAGGACAATCAGGTAAAATTTTTGAAGTCCAAGGACCAACAGTTAATACAATTTGATCACCGGAAATAGTATGAGCGGTTGATGAATAATCTGATTTTAATGATGATGGTTGATAACTTACACCAGTTGCTGAACCAGTTTCCAATGAAAATTGGATTTTGTTAACTTTACCAATGATGAATTCAATGGACCCCTTACTTAATTCAACTGCTTTCTTTAAGATAAAAGTGGTGAATTTATAAGGATGCACTTGAGCAGTTGTATCAGTACCACCCAAAGTTGAACAATTACTGATTAAAGCTGAATTGATCCAGTTTAAATCAGTTGGTAATTTACTTTTTGTGTGTTTAGATTTATTATTGTTATTAGTTGCAGTATTATTGGTGGTGAAACTTGAATCACTTGGTATTGATGATTGACGAGTTGCTCTTGATGTCTTTTTAGGAGGTTTATTGATGGATGAAGAAGAATCTGAATCATGAGATACCGGTATTTTTATAGAATCTTCAATTTTTTCATTTTCATTCTCAGTGGTGGCATCATTTTTCTTTTCAGAACTTGGTGTTATTACTATTCCATCACTTTGATGGGCTGAATCTTCTTCTTCGTCTTCTTCGTCTTCATCTTCATCGTCAAGGTGAGTTAAGTCACCTTCTAATGATACAGTAGTTAATCTTCTATAACCCCATTCATCAACCCCATTATATTCATCAGATAATTTTTGATGTAAATCAAACGATAGAGGTACTATTTGAGCTGGAAAAGCCCATAAGGCCAATAAACCACCTGCTTTCCCACTAGCACCACTAGCAACTCTTTTACTTTCAATGATTGTAATATGATATTTTTCAGGATCGAATTTAGGATGAGTTACAAGATAATAGGCGGTACAAACCCCCATTATACCAGCACCCACTATAATGATATGTTTTTTATCTTTATGTCTACCAGATGGTAATGATTGAAACTTTAGATAATCGGTCATGATTGATATATTTGATTATATGAAGGATATGTATGCTAATGATAATGATAATGATAATGGATTAATGAAGGTAATGACTTAGGTCTTAAGAATATAAAGGGTTTGTTTAAACTTGGCTAAACGGATTTTCTCAAGAATTTTGTATGAGAGTGTGTTATTTATCGTATGATAAATAGTAGATTAACAATAAGCTTCACAAAAATGAAGGGGTATAATGAAAAATATATTGAGAATTTTTGAAACTTAGGCAACCCGGAAAGATTCTAATAGATTGCGATGGGAAGATACAAATTAAGTAGACGTATCTACTTATGATTATGATATGAGATGATATGAGATTATATGTTGTGGTAGTAAAAAAAAGTATCAATGAATGAAACTAGTGATATACTTAAAATTAAATAAACAGGTTTATTTAACTATGAGGATTACCTGAAATGATGGAGTCAAGAATGAAATGAATCAGTTAATCTATAGGGGGTGATAAATCTCAATCAGTGATGGGAAACCCTTACGAAATGGTCTGATGATATGATGTGGGGGGTTTATATTGTAAAAATAACAAACACAACAGAAACAAAACAAGTTGATAGGATGATAAGAACCTAATATCGATTAAACTTTAATGGATTGATGGATGAATGAATAGATAGTTTAACTTTGTTCAGATGTATGTCTTTGAGGGGAGGAAGTGTTGCCACACTATCAATGTCTAATGATTTGTGGGTATGTGTGTAGGGTTGGTGGGTGGGAATGGGTTAGTAATTATTGACAACTGTGATTTTGGTGGAGTTGGTTGAGATTTATTTATTACTTAAATTTTGTTTTGTCTGTCACTCTCTCTCTTGAGTGTCTGTCTGAACTCTCACTTTCACTTTCACTTTAAAAATTGAATGATTTTTTTTTTTTGTTTTAAATTTTTTTAATTTTAATTTTTGTCTGGAAATCAAAATTTTGTGTCTGGTCTGTGGGAAACTAATATTGACTTGTATTATTAATACAACATTAGATTATTAGATGGAACGTAGCACAATGATTATAGTAACTAAGTTTTGTATAGTTTTAGTTGTGATTTAGTATGGCATGGCATTGTCTAGAAGCCAAGTTTAGTTCAAACTCCAACTATTATTGGATATATTTACTAGAGCAGGGTTAAATTAAAACGTTCGCTCTTGCCTCAAATATTGCTACCACCTATTTGGCTATTACTACTACCACTAAGCATTTTACAACACTTCTTCTTCTAAGTTATGTAGTGATATACGCTAAGTTTTATTTCGATTTCGTCTTTTCTTTTAAAATGCCAAGTTATATTTAAAAAGTTACTAATGGCATTATTCTTCTATTCTTACCATTTCTGTTTCCCCCTCTTCTCTACTATGCTTATCTCTTCTCTCCGTAAGCGAAAAGGTTCACAATTGTATTTTTTGCTTTGCTCGTTTTTGTCTGATATCTCATTTGCTTAAATTTGATGCCGAAGAATCCTCAGTTATTAATATTAATGACATATAAATAAGTAGTGGGACAATCAACTATCGGGGATTGATATCACTCATATCAACTTTATCATCGATAGTATATCAATAACTGTCATTTGATCAAACTAGTAGATATTGCAACAAACGGTTTCATTTATTCGATCATTATATACAGTCCTATAGATAAATAATCCCGTAAAATGACACAAATTTTTTGTCCGATTTTCTCTTATAAAAAAAAGAACAAGGAACTCAGAAAAAAAAAAACAGGTGATTTTTATGTACAAATTGTCTATTTCAATCTCAAAAAATGTCTGATATTTTTAAATTTTAGCTTAAATAGCACTAGTTTGTTTTTAATTTTATGTCTGAATTATATTCATTTGATTGCAAAACGGTTAGTAGACCATTTTTCATATGCTTCTGTTTCATTTTAATTCAGATATATCACTGTAATTCGTCTATTAGTTAGATATCAATGAAACAATCTGACAGACAAACAATTCATGCACTTGCCACAATCGAAAAAATTAATTTATTTTAATTTAATTTTATTTTATTTTATTTTTTAATGTCTGTTTTAATGTCTGTCTGCTTTGTATTTCTGTCGGAGTGGGTCCCCTTACCATTTTGATTTTTGGACACGACCACGTCCCCCTCTGTGTTTACTTTTTCCTTTGTCTGTACTTGCAGCCAAAGGATTCAACTTTGTCAAACAGGTTGACAAGTTGATAAATCAGCAGTAACTAGTAACAGTATGGCATCTTCAAAGGGCTCAAAATCACCTTTGGTGAGGGATGGAGATGGAAATGGTTTCAAACCAGGTGAAAAACGGTTGAATTCGATGGATTCAACTACCTCAAGTTTAAATTCAAATGTCAGTGCTGCCAAACCAAAGTCTAAAAGATCTAAATCTACTAATCATCATCATCATCAATCGATCAATCAATCTAATGATTATAATCCACCTGTATCTAGTACTGGGTCGACTTCCTATGTGGCTTCTTCAGCTGGGTATTCTCATGCTAGTGATTCTCAATCGAATTATTCAGCATTAACGAAAACTACAGCTGATTCTAAGAATATTCTTAGTAAATATTTAATCAATCCAGATACTAATAGTCAGGATAGTTTAATTAATCCAATTGATATTTCAGTAGATGAAGAATCTATGGAAAAGAAGAATGGTAGTAATGACAAACAAGTTAGTGATGATGGAGGTCATATCCAATCTGAGGTCCCCGCTACCACACCAATTGTTATTGAATCAAAAGAAGAAGAACAAGAATTAGATCTTATTAAAGTTAATGCTCCTACAAACACATTATCATCATCACAAAATTACTTATCACTTCAAGAATTCAATTCAATTACTAATTCTAAATTTGAAACTAATAATTCATTATTATCTCAAGATGATTTCTTAAATTGGAGTTTAAAATCAAAAGATTTAATGAATAAAGAAATGAATTTAATGAATAAATTAATTATGAATCGATTTATATTAATTAAACGATTTAAATTTTTAAATCAATTAATCATTGATTATGCTCATAGTTTAAATACAACTGAATCATTACTTAAATTAAAATTTGAAAAGTTAAATAATTTATTTAATGAATCTTTAACCTTATAAAAAAAGATAAACTAACAACCTAGCTAAATTATTAACCTTGAGAACACCAACCCATTTGTACAAAAAATTCATAAATTTTACTGGCTTTATTAACATCTATTTTTAAAGCTTGTCTAGCATCTTTTTTCTTTAATACTCCATTATTTTTGACAGCTTCTTTCATTAATTGATTTTTAATGGCTAAATAAGGTTTTGGTAAAATTCTTAATGTGGCACATAATTGTTTTTCTTCATTTGATAATAAATCAAAATCAACAGCATGAGATATATCTAATGGAGCTCTAGCATTACCTAATTTTGGTTTATATTCTGGTTGAGGAGAATTTGCTGATGATGAATAAGGTTTTCTTATACCTCCACCATTTATAAGTCCACTACCATTAATACTTCCATTATTGTTATTATTACCATTCATTAAACCAGGAGTTTGAGATGAATGTCTTGCATTTAAAGAACCATTACCCATTCTTTGATAATGAGCAGATCTAATTAATTTATCTTTTTCAAATTTATTCCCATCTTCAATGGTTACTATACCATTTTTTCTCCAATTTTGTAATTGTTGAATTCTAATTCGACATCTTAATTCATTTAAAAAATCTCTTGTGAATGAATTAAAATCTTCTGGAGTTAAAATTCGGATAAATAAATTTATTTTTCTTAATAAATCTTTTTCTTCTTTTGATTTTCGTTTATCTAAACTAATATTTTTTCGATATTCTAATAAATTATTTAAAATTAAAACTCTTTTCCTTTCTGATCTAGTAGTTAATCTTGAATTATAAATATCCAAAATAGTTAATTTTAATTCAATATCATTTTTGGAATCATCAGGATCAAATATAAGATCCTTAACCGGGATTTCAGCTTCATTTTCAGCTTCATGATCAAATTCTAATCTACCTGGCATATAACCTTGAATTTCATGACATAATGGAACTGAAGCAACTGGTTTTGATTTTGGTGGAGGTAAAGGACTATTTTTTCTAATTTCTAATCTCTTTTTCCGTTGTTCTAAAAATTCCAAGGGAGTTATATTTGAAAAATCTTTATTCATATCAGGTAAAGGATAAGTTTCTTTATTTAAATAAATTTCAAAATAATGTTTTGCAACTTCATCTTTAGATCGATTACCGATATGATCAGCAATATCTTGCCAATTACCTAATCCAAAAGTTTCACAACCTTGGATTAATAATAATTCTTCATCAGCACCCCAATCTTTTTCAAAAATAGGATAAGTATGTTGTTCTATAATTTGATAATCATGCCAACTTTTATGATCTCCAGTAGTTAATCCACTACTAAAACATGGAACACATAAATCATAATCATTACAAATGGCACATTTCACTCGAGTACGATTAGTACAATCTGTAGAACAAACGTCACAATGATATAGTCTTGCTTTTGTATCCATAATGTGGTGTGTGAATTATAGTAGTAGAATGATTGCAAAAAAAAAAAAAAAAAATATTATTACCCTGATATAGTTGATAAAACCTTCCCGAAATGATAGAATGTACAATTAATAGTAATGACAATGAAGAACAATAATAATGGTATTGTTGTTTAAGTTAAGTTTTTGAAATATAATATAATACAAAGATCCATAAGAACGTGAACTCGTTCTGAACTGAAAAATAAATTAAAAATATGGGGGGAACACTCAAATGTGAGTGAGAGATTGATGAAATGAAAGTAAAGTTAAAGTTGGCTAAAAATGGAAATGAATCTATCAAGTTAATCAATTGAATCAATCAAATAGATGACGGTAGATGGTTGGTCGAAGGGTATGTAATGGATGGGAATCCTTTAACTATGGATTTTTGATGATTTATAAATAGTTTTAATCGTGATTAAATGGATATAATACACGGTTTAACTGTATGCTCATATTCCGTTTTCAAAAATGTTTAGATTTCGTTGTTTGAATCAAAAATTGAAAAAAATGGTCGTGTGAAAATAATCAATCACATGATCACTGATCATGTGGTTCATTTGATCACGTGTGATTGTGTGTGTGTCTGTACCAACTTATAAAACCCAGTCACATTCATCACATGATTGAACTCGCCCTCATATCGACCCCTGTTATATACAGGTGGCGCACTTTCTAATTTATCGATTACATAATCTCTTATATAATCATGTTTTTTTTTTTATACAGTCAGTTTGTCTCTCTCATAGTTAATTTTATCTCACACTGTAAACTCTCATAGTAACAAGGTTTACCAACTTAGGGAAAAGAGGAAAAAAAAATTTCAATTTATAAATTTTAACTATTGAAAAGGTTTTCTGTTTCTTGAAAATTATCTATAATCATAATAATAATTAGCCAACATGGTATGTAAATATCGTATGAGATCATGTATACCTTGAGAGAGAAATGAATATCCCATCATTCATATCAGTCTGTCATTATCATTAATTCAATCATTTGTTTGTTCATGTTTAGAATCAAACTGTTTTCATCAATCAATATCAGTATCAATGTTTATAAGAAAAAGTCATCAAATCGCTTATAAAAGAAACAGAGTGTATTTAATAAGAGTAAGAGAGATCACTAGAGTGAACAGTTTATCCATTCATCAAGTCAGTCAAAGTAATCGTTCAATGTTGAACTTTTTAAACATCATCAATATTCCTGATATTATTTACCATATATGACCTACAACCACATGCATCAATTTAATCCATCATATAATGAACCAATACCAATCAAAACTATCTAAACCATACATTCACATTCGACTTCCAATCATTACTATTTCATATACTGTCGAACCAATCTACTATAAGAATTAACCCACCAAAATATATTCATCTCCATTTCAATGTATTACATCTAAACCAATACTATAATAACCATTTATACTAACTTTAATTATCTTATAGGGTCGTGTTAGAACTAAAACCGTTAAAAGAGCTTCCAAAGTTTTAATCGAAAGATTCTACCCAAAATTAACTTTAGATTTTGAAACCAATAAAAGATTAACTTCTGAAATTGCTGTTATTCAATCTAAAAGATTAAGAAATAAAATCGCTGGTTACACCACCCATTTAATGAAAAGAATTCAAAAGGGTCCAGTTAGAGGTATTTCTTTCAAATTACAAGAAGAAGAAAGAGAAAGAAAAGATCAATATGTTCCAGAAGTTTCTGCTTTAGATTTATCCCATACCAATGGTCAATTAGAAGTTGATGCTGAAACCGCTGATTTAATCAAAACTTTAGGTTTCAAAATCCCAGTTCAAACTGTTGCTATCTCTTCTCAAAGAGGTCCAAGACGTTTTACTAAAAGAAACTAAATTTGAAAAATTTTAAATCATTAAATATTTCATCTTTACATTTCTTCTTTTTGTACAAACCATAAATCATCCAACCATTTCCCATAACACATTTATAAAAAATCGAAATATAAACGAAAAGGTTACTCTTTTTATACATGTATACGTAATATAAAAACATTTAAAAAAAATCGTTATACCCCCCTAACTGTAAAGTAAATTAATCTTTCCTCTATATATGAAAATTTCTTGTTATGTACTGAGCAGACTCTTCGTTTCGCGCGTTCAATCCAAAATTGATATTTTGAAAACTGATCAGGACAACAAGACAAGACAAGACAAGTCATTTGACATTGATATCATCTCCCAATTGTACATTATATCATCAACCTACTTAGTCCATATCCATACACATCCAAGACATGAAGGTATCAGGTCTATTATCATCATCCTTATTAATCATAGCTTCTACTTTAGCTGCTGAATGGTATCCATTGAATCGACAAGATGAAATCCCAGTAGGTTTTACTCCATATAAAAGAGGTGAAAATGTTTATATGGATTGTATCACGAGAAATATAGATAATGGAGAACATAAATTCGATGAACAAGAACGTATCATATATGGTCCCTTCCCAATCTGTAAAGAAACTTCCAAACCTTTAACTTTCAAATATGGTATTAGTGAAGATTTTAATTGTACTATAACTTTCACGGATGAATTATATCATTTATTCCAATTATACATTCATGAAGATGCTCCTTTCAGTTGTCGATTACCAATCAGTAGTGATGCTCATTATTTAGAAAAAGGAGGAGCGTATGTACCTTTAACGTTCAATTTAAGAGGTGAAATCCGTGAAAGTCATCTTGATATTGATCCAACTTTAAATGTCTTGATAACTAAACCTTCCAATAATAATGAAGAAGAAAATACCTTTATTAGTGCTGTTGCTTTCTCATCAGGTACAAATGCTACTAGAGTTGTCATTGGGGATAGTTTAACTCTTAACGTGGCAGTTAGATTCTTAGATCAATTGGTAAATGCAGACAGTACTACCAATTCATTAGATGGTATACCATATGCATCTGGGTTTTATAAATTCCCCATCAATTTTGTTCCAATAAGTTATACTATGTTATATACTTATTTATTCATGACAGTGGTTGGAACAGCAGTTATAATTTTTGCATTCACTTATAATTTAATCTCTCATAAGATTAAAAAGGGTCTGAAGTATAAGCCTGTTGATTCGGAATCATTCGGTAAACTTGATTAGAATGGGAATTCATTATGTGTCAATATTATTCTAGTTCATCTTATATACATTTCCTTTCATAAATTCGATATAATACACGTTGAATTTTTTTTTTTACTTCCATTCTATCGTAATTGGTCTTATCTCTTTATTAGTGCGTTCTTGTTGATCAGGTAATGACATAATCGGGTTGGGAATACTCTTGCTTGTCAATTCGTATTCAATAGATAAAGTTTATATTTTTTTGCAGTATATTTCTGACTATGCCTTAAATTACGCGTTCTGGAAATTTCTAAACTATGTACTGGCAGACAAATCCCACAGTTAATTTCAGCATGGACTAGTTTTAGATCTCATCCTGAAAAACTAAAATTATTTTAAACCATTTTATATAATACTTATCGTTTGATTTGAAAAGATTATCTAAACCACATATTTCAACCACATCATCATGTCTGAAAAGGTGAGATACTACTTGGAACAATCCGTTCCAGAGTTGGAAGATCTTAAGAAGAAAAGATTATTTGAAAAACAAGAAATCACCATGATTATGAGAAGAAGAACTGATTTTGAACATCGTATTCAAGGTAGAGGTAGTCAACCTCGAGATTTCTTAAAATATAGTGAATTTGAATTAAATTTAGAAAAATTAAGAAAGAAACGTTTTGCCAGATTATCGAAAGTTGGAATCATCGATACTGAACCAAGTATAAGTGATTGGGCTGGTACAAGACGTATATTATTCATATTTGATAGAGCAACAAGAAGATATCCTGGAGATTTAGAATTATGGTCTCAATATTTAAAATTTGCTAAAAGTAATGGAGCTATTAAAGTCATTTATAAAGTTTATTCTCGTTTATTACAATTACAACCAAGAAATGTTGAAGCATGGTTATCAGCTGCTAAATATGAATTTGAAACTAATGCCAATGCTAAAGGGGCAAGAGTTTTATTTCAAAGAGGGTTAAGATTAAATCCTGAATCTTTACAATTATGGTTAAGTTATGCACAATTTGAATTAACTTATATCTCGAAATTATTAGCCAGAAGAAAAGTTTTAGGTCTTATAACTGAAAAACAACAACAAGATGAACAAGAAAGTGAACAAGAAAAATTAGCTAAAGCATTAAGTAAATCTGTTACTGGAACTGAAGATGAAGATTTTAATAATGATTTAATCGAATTACCCACCACTAATACTACTGATTCTATGAAAGATCAATTAAATCATTTACCTGAAGTTGAAATGAATATGTTAGGTAATCCAGAAACTAACCCTGCATTGAAAGGTGATGTTGCATTAACTATATTTGATTTATGTATACCAACCTTATTAAAGTATATTCCAGAATATTCCACCTTGATTAAGAAAGATGATAAAACTTTTGAAATTGCTTATAAATTCTTTACTTTATTTGATAATTTTGAAGAATTAAATCGTGATTATTTAAATTATCATATTTTAAATTATTTACAAACCAATTATCCCAAGGATTTAAGAACTTTATTAATCGATATAACCTTACCAATCAGACATGTCACCATTTCAAATTCAAACTTGTCTGAAAACTTACAATTATCCGTTAACAAATTTATCGCTTATAAATTAAAATTATTAGATTTACAAGAAAAAGATACTTTAACCAATATGTTTGTGAATCAATTAACTAATCAATTCTTGAATGATGATGAAGAATCAAGATCAGAAGCAGTAGATGCATTATTAAAAGCAATTATTAAAAAATGTAGAACTATATAGATGGAAGTTTTATAGATGCAAATATATTTAATATTATAGATTTCACTAGCGATAGCGAGATAAATTTTAGCGACCATTGTCGCTAAACTTTTTTTCACACCCACTAAATTATTTTCTTCGTCACTAAACTTCCCTAAAGTAAAACAACTATAAAAATTCAAATAGATTACTTCTATTCTTCCATTATTGATCTTACATAGTAGCATCTTGATCATGTAGTCTGTCAGATAAATTATAAGTTAATTCACATCAATAAAATATATAAAAGAATAAAAATTAAAAAAAAGACAAAATGCTCCAGGAGGGGTTTGAACCCACGACCGTCGCGTTCCTCACACGACCGTGACTTATGGCATAACCATATCGTCGTAACACGGCTATAAGCACGAAGCGCTAACCTCTGCGCCACTGGAGCACCTTGCGAAATTTTCACGTCGAAATGTTGCTCATAAAATGTCGATTTGAGTCAATTCCGGCATTCCGATTTTGGATATTTTGATTGATTTTCGAATTAATTTGTTAAGACATTTCTAATTGGATGATATAAACAGATTTTAAATAAATAAAATTTCACTCTGACAAAGTTTTAAGTGGTTTTGGGATTTTTTGTTTAACAAATATTTCAGAATTTAACATTTTACATATGATCTTGGTCGGAATTTTATACCTGAAAATATTATGTTATAAATTAAAAGTATTATACTATACGATATACTTAATGATTCAACTTTTATCATTATATAAGTTTTTGGAAAGTATGGTTAAGAAAATTTAGAGTTAGAGAACATTTTACTGAATATATAACCAATTCCGACCATCTTCGAAAAAATCTTTAAAAATAATATGTAAATTAACTATTGATATTGCTGATACTTATAGCAAACACTTTTCAAGGACTTAAATATACGTATACATGAGTTATGAATATAGTTTGCTAATAAAAATTAGTGTAAATTACTTTCCTACTTTTGTAAATTTTTGGTGCAAAATTCATTTGCAATCTCAGATTTACAACCTCAAAAGATGAATATGATTTTAAAATTTACCAAAAATTTGTTTATTCATGAACATATTCAAAATAAAACTAATCTATATAGACTTAATGACATGATAAGTCTCTACTAGCTGCTGCAACATCAATTCCACCCCAAAAAAAGTTACCTACAGCAGCTCCAATGGCTACAGCAATCATTAACCATCCATTATAAGTCATAAATACCAACATTAATAAGAAGGAATAACCAACTTGAATACCATAGAATAAAGATCTTTTCAATTTGAATCTGTTAATAGCAGCTCCAGTAGTATTAACGGCTGATCCACTTAAAGTATTCAGATAAGATCTTTGCCATTGACCAAACCAAGATTTTAAAAATTCATAACCAGATGTAATCACCACAATGGCAATGAATGAGAGAATAAATCCTGTGAATGATTTAATATGCCACCATCTAAATACTACACAAGTATTTTGCCAATCCCATGTAAATAACATCTATAGAAGGAGGTTAGTAACAAACATTTGGAGTAATGGTAAACTTATAGCAATTGAATACTTACATTCATAGAACATTTATCTTCCATGCCTGGCATTGAGTGACCCATATCAGAAGTCTGAACAGGGATATGGTGTCCCATATCAGAGTGATCGAAGTTCATGATTGATTGATATATCTTGTCGTTCTTGTTGTTGTTGTTGTTGTTGTTGAGATCTAAAGGGGGAGAATATGATTGGAATCCGAAATTAAACAATCAATACACCGCGAGGTAAACTAATGATCAAAAGCTCGTATAAATTACGTCACACTATACGATACTCAAAACTAGTTTAAGGACCTTAATATGAATAATCTGGTAACCAGTTGATAAGGGGGTTTAATGTGTGAATTGATATCAATTGATCAGTTTTAAACAGCGCGGGATATCGTTTATACAGTTTTAACATACGATTGACACAAACGAAAATCAAAAAATATTGAAAAAGAAATTTTGAGAAGACATTTATAAATATCAGACTTATTCACTATTCTTTTTATAAAGTTCAAAAAGAAGAGTTTATAAGTCAATTTAAGTCAATATGAAACTTCTTGGAGAAGAGGAAAAACAAGCTCATATCGCCCATATCACTTCTGAGGGGTTGAAAGGTTTATTCTACGGTTCTATACTTTCGGTAGGTATCTTTACTTACTTGAAGAAAAGACATACCGTTAGATTTAATTCCTTCAATACTAGTATTAAGACTGCTCTTATAGTCATGCCAACAGTTTCTATGGGTGCTTTCTTTGCTGATCAAGGGTCCTGGGATTTCGATAAACAAATGCATTCTTCGGAATATAGTGAAAAGCTTGTTATTGAAGAATATAGACAATGGAATGAAATGGCTTTGAATGAAAAGATATTCACCTCATTAAACAAGAACAAATATCCTATCATTATTAGTGCATGGGCCGCTTCATTATATGGTTCTTGGGTATTGGTGAATAAAGATAAAATCATGACTGGTGCTCAAAAAGCTGTTCAAGCAAGAATGTATGCTCAAGGTATAACTATTATTTTACTTTTAGGTACTATTGTTTTATCTATGAAAGAAAAGGAACTTGAAAAATCAAGACCACCTCCAGTTCCTGAATGGAAAAGAATCATTGATGAAAAGCAAGCTGAAGAATCATTGATTCTTGCTGAATTAAAGAAGAAACAAGACGCTAGATCAGCTGCTGCTACTACTGCTGTTGCAGCTGCTTCCACTCCAGCTACTGCTGCTGAACAAAAGTAAACCTACAAACCAAAAATAGAAGCAACCAAAAGTCAAATCTCATGTATATATATATTCCCATCATCTTCTCTTCTCGACATTGTTGTGTTTGTTCCTAGTTTATTAGAAGTATTATGTTAATTGTTTAGTTTTCTGTTTTATATAGAGATAATATAATAAAGTTACCCGAAATCGCATAAACCTGGAATATAATTGGTTAACTCAATAAACAAGCCATCAATTGCAAACTAATTTGTAAGTTATCTATATCAATGGTTGATATATTGTCCATTAATTCATATTTTTGCAACCTATACACTATATTCCCCTCCCCCACTAAAATTACACAATTGGATCAAAATTTAGTAACATGTAATTTAATTGACGTCAACTTTTTACAAACCAAAACCAAGTCACGTGATTATATTGAAATTAAACGAAGAAATAAATATCACGTTTATTCTATGATAATAGAAGGTTTAGTTTATCAAGGTTATTATATTAGTATCATACGTGCTCCCTTATAATCTGATATAAGTTAAAAGTTAAATGGAAGGTTGTATAGGTTGTAATTGGGTGTGATATAATTAAGCTTGGAATGCTAAGCAGGGACCGACTTGCACCACTCAAGCAATTGATAACAATATCTCTTCCAACTTGTTGGAAAATAACTTATTCTTGTTCACTACTGCTTCAAATCATCAAATCTCTACTTTCATTTAAAGTTATATTGCTCTGAATCTTATTACATCAAATCACTAACAAATTTAATTTTGTTAACAAAAATTTTTCAGTGTGCGTCTGAACCAAAAAAAATATTAGAGAAGATGAATCATTAAACCTTTGGAACAACTTAGAGATCTTTACACCTTTTATCATTTCAGCTGAAGGCTAGGCAAAAGAAAACTAGGACAACTCAAGGATGCCTCCAAAGAATAAGAAACAAAAAGAGGATGTTCAAGATGAACGGTTCCAAGCAATCGTTTTAACTGATTCATTTCAAACTAGATTCATGCCATTAACCTCAGTTAAACCAAGATGTTTATTACCATTGGCCAATGTACCATTAATTGAATATACTTTAGAGTTCTTAGCTAAGGCTGGAGTAAATGAAGTTCATTTGATGTGTTCAGCTCATGCTGAACAAGTCCAACAATATATTGAATCTTCCAAATGGTCTTCTCATGACTCACCTTTCAATGTATATACTATAATGTCATTAGAATCAAGATCTGTTGGTGATGCTATGAGGGATTTAGATAATAGAGGATTAATTAGTGGTGATTTCTTATTAGTTTCGGGTGATGTGGTTACCAATATTGATTTTTCAAAAGTAATGAATTTCCATAAATTTAAAAAGCAACAAGATAAAGATCATATCATCACTATGGTTTTAACCCCTGCATCTCCTTTACATAGAACCAGGTCTCATGTTGACCCAGCCACATTCATATTGGATAAAAAGACCAGTAGATGTTTATTTTATCAAGGTATACCACCAGTTGATGGTAAAAAGGCTAGTATCAATGTTGATCCTGAATTATTTGAAGATGTAGAAGATGAAATTGCCATTAGAAATGATTTAATTGATTGTCATGTTGATATTTGTACACCACATGTGCCTCAAATCTTCCAAGAAAATTTCGATTATCAATATTTAAGAAATGATTTCGTAAAGGGAGTCGTTACTACTGATTTAGTTAAGAAAACCATTTATGCATACATTTCAGATGATAGTTCAGAATACGCTGCCAGAGTTGAAAGTTGGGCTACTTATGATGCTATTTCTCAAGATGTATTAGCCAGATGGTGTTATCCATTAGTACCTGATTCAAATTTAATTGAAGGTACTTCATATACTTATGAATCAAAACATATTTATAAAGAAGAAAAAGTTGTATTAGCTCAATCTTGTAAAATTGGTAGTTGTACATCAATTGGAGCAAATTCAAGTGTGGGTGAAGGTTCAATAATTAAAAAATCAGTTATTGGTAGAAATTGTAAAATTGGTAAGAATGTTACTATTAGTAATTCTTATGTTTGGGATGGTGCAATAATTGAAGATAATACAGAAGTAAATCATACTATAGTAGCGTCCAATGCTCATATTGGATCAAGTGTTACTTTAAATCCAGGTACCGTTATTGGGTTTAATGTTAAAATCGGTAATAATAGACAAATTGCTCATAATTCTAGAATTCTGGAAATCCCAATTGATAATAATGATGGTGATTCATTTGGTGATTCCTTCGAAAGTGATGAAGATGATGACGATGAAGATGAAAATATGCCGAGTACTCCAACTGTGCCTCATTTTGAAGTTCAAGATATTGATTTAGTAGGTGAAGATGGAGTGGGATTCTTGTATGTATCCGATAAGGATTTTGATGATGAATCAGAATCAGAAGCTGGTGATCAATATTCAGGTATCATATATCAAATGAAGTCATTGAATGTATCTGATGATTCAATTGCATCAATTTCAAATCGTAATAAATCAAGAAAACATAGTCGTAAACATTCCAAGAGTAGAAGATTATCTACTACATCAATGGTATCTACTGATTATGATGGTGAAGTATATTCAGAAGAAGAAGAAGATTTCATACAAGAAGCTACTGCTACTGTCGATCGTTCCTTAGAAAATAATCATGATTTAGATACTGCCATGTTAGAATTAAATACTTTAAGAATGTCGATGAATGCTAATTATCATGATGTTAGAGAAGCTACTACTGAATCATTATTAAAACAAGTTTTGAAATTCATTACTACCGGTACACTTACACCTCAATTAGCTACGAAAAAGATATTTGAAAGATGGGGTCCAATGTATGAGAGACAAATATTTGAACCTGAAGATGGTACTGATTTACTTAATATTCTTGAAGAGAAAATCGTTAAAATTGATAAATCGTATAACCAGGTGGTATTATGTTTTGCAATCCAAACATTATATGATGTTGCATTATCAGAAGAGACTATTCTTGGCTGGTGGAATTCTACCAAAGATACTGTTAATGACAATATTAAAGAAGTTCGTACTTTAACTGAGAAATTCATTACTTGGTTAGAGACAGCTGAAGAAGAAAGTGAAGAGGAAAGTGATGAAGATAGCGATTAGTTGTTCCTATCGTTAACATAAATAGATCTCTCCATTATATACATACATACATATAGAACGCGTCGTTACAAATACACGTTAATTAATTGGTACGAAACAGGTGAAACTTTCTTTTTTAATTATACAATCAGATGATTTGTTTTGATGCAAAAATAATAATTTATACGACTGGAAACGAGCGTGATAAAATTTATAAATAATTGCGAAACCTATACGAAAAAAAATCATAGACTTAAAGTGAAAACCTGATTTTTATGGTCTTATTTTTCATATCCTTATTCACATCTTTAATTCAATATAAAAAGGTAATCATTTCATCTGAGGCAGCATATTGTTGGGTAGTGTAAAGAATATAGACATTTCACAACAAATCGACAAGAAAATCAAACAGGTCATCACTGTTGATAGAATTGAGATTATCAGAATATAAATACAAAATATAAATATCGATGGGTTCTCCAGAAAAGATATTCGATGCTATCGTCATTGGTGCTGGTGTGGTTGGTCCAGCTATCGCCACAGCATTAGCCAGACAAGGTAGAGATGTGTTGATTGTTGAAAGAGATTGGTCTATACCAGATAGAATTGTGGGAGAATTAATGCAACCTGCTGGTCTTAAAGCTTTAAGAGAATTGGGTATGATTCAAGCTATAAATAATATCGAAGCCACTCATGAAGTGGGTTATTATATTAAGTTTAATAATGAAGAACTTATATTAAAGTATCCTTTAAAGCAAGATGCCAATACCACTAATCCAGTTAAACCAGTTCCATCCTGTGTATTTGGTGATAATGATAAATTACTTACTGATTCAACTTTAAATTCTCAAGAATGGGATGCTGATGAAAGAGTTAGAGGTGCATCCTTCCATCATGGTGTGTTTTTAGATAATTTAAGAAATATTGTTAAAAATGAACGTAATGTTGATTGGTTAGAAGGTAATGTGACCAATATATTAAGAAATGATGAAGATCCAAATGTGATTATTGGAGTTAAAGTTAAAGTTAAAGGTGAAAATGATAAAGATGAACCTGAATTTAAAAGATATTATTCTAAATTAACTATATGTTGTGATGGTATATATTCTAAATTTAGAAAAGAATTATCACCAACTAATATTCCAACTATTGGATCCTATTTTGTGGGATTACATTTAATAGATGCTCAATTACCTGCTAAACATCATGGTCATGTTATATTAGGAGATCATGCCCCAATTTTGATATATCAAATTTCTCCAAAGGAGACTAGAATTTTATGTGCTTACAGATCAAATAAACCACCATCTCAATCTAATGATGAATTATATAATTATTTAAAGAGTCATGTTTTACCATATGTTCCAAAGGAAACTGCTCCATCATTTAGAGAGGCTTTAGAAACGAGAAGATTTAGAGTTATGCCAAATCAATATTTACCTGCTTTAAAACAAGGTAATGTTAGTCATCAAGGATTAATTATGTTAGGAGATTCATTAAATATGAGACATCCATTAACTGGAGGTGGTATGACAGTTGGATTAAATGATGCTGTATTATTATCACGTTTATTACTGCCAAAACAAATTGAAGATTTTGAAGATTATGAATTATTAAGTAAGAGATTAGGTCAATTCCATAGACAAAGAAAGAATTTAGATGCTGTTATAAATACTTTATCAATTGCATTATATGCATTATTTGCCGCTGATAATGTGGCACTTAAAATCTTACAAAAGGGATGTTTTAAATATTTCTTATTAGGAGGATCATGTGTTAGTGGTCCAATTGGATTATTATCTGGTATGTTACCATTCCCAATGATTTTATTCAATCATTTCTTTAGTGTTGCATTTTATGCTATCTATTGTAATTGTATTGAAAGAGGATTATTAGGAGCTCCATTAGCTTGTATTGAGGCCTTCCAAACCATTTTCACGGCCATATACATATTTACTCCATACTTATGGAATGAATTAGTTTAGTTTAGATTTAAACCTCTCTATTCTGTATATAGATATTCCCCTTCCTTTTTTAATTTAATAAGTTTAAGTAGTTTACGTTTGCCATTTTATATATGTCTATATATATTATTACCAGTTTTATCAGATCACATCGGAGGTATGGATGTAGACGATTTTAAACTAAATGTATGGATGTTTTAATAAAATGTCGTACCATATTAAACCAAGAAAATCTTATAAGAAATACGAAAGAGAACGAGACATTTTTGGATATTTTGGCGTGCTGGTTTCGGGTTATTAGGAAGAGAAGACAAGGATAAGACATGACAATTGACCGATAGATTTGACAGAATAGCCATGACCTATCGTAACTTAATATCAGATTTGATCCTATATAATTTTTAATTTCTTGTAAATCAATACTAACCAAACATAAGCTTGTTTTATACCATTTTAAACAAGCTTGTTTGAATTATAATCTTGACATTATTTTTAAGCGTGTGTGCATTGAGTGAAACGCTAATAGTTAAAAGCAGAAGCCATCGTTCCTCAGCCTCCTCCGCAACGAAATAAATTTAGGCCAATATCAAAATTTAAAATTTCACTTTTCCTTTTCAAAGTCAAAGTGTAAACGTTAAGTAAGTGTGGTTACGAACTGATATAGTCAATTCGTTCAGCCCTTTGGAAATTCAAGAGTTATTCATATCAATCTTAACTTTCACGTCCCATCAACTACCAATTTCTTAGCCATACGTCATACTAAGCGCATTCATTTTCTCATACTACTTTCAATCTCTTCATCCTAAAGATCAACCCAATTCAATCTTATCTTGTGTTATCTTATCTTCATTGTTCAAGAAAAGATCTGCCCATTTTATCAATCCTCATATCATCCCATTAATATCATATCACTAACTAGTTAAACAAATGCCTTCGTTAGACCAAACTCCTTTACTTTCAAGTAATTCTAATGGTCATACCAGTACTCAAAAATTATCCTCATTAAGACGCCACTTCTTAAAAACTTTAATCACAATCTTTTATTCATCTCCTGTCAATTACTTATTAATATTCGTTCCAATAGGTATAATAGCTGGTATTTATGAATGGAATTCAAATGCTGTTTTCTGGATTAATTTCCTTGCTATTGTCCCATTAGCATCCATCTTAGCATTTGCAACTGAAGAATTAGCTGAACATGTGGGTGAAACTCTTGGTGGTTTATTAAATGCCACCTTTGGTAACGCTGTTGAATTGATTGTATCAATCATTGCCTTAAAAGAAAATCAAATTAGAATTGTTCAAGCTTCCATGTTAGGATCAATCTTATCCAATTTATTACTTGTTTTAGGTTGTTGTTTCATTGCTGGTGGTATTAATAGACTTCAACAAACTTTTAATCAAACCGTAGCTCAAACTATGAGTTCATTAATGGCTTTAGCCACTTCAAGTTTATTAATTCCTGCTGCTTTCCATGCTAGTTTACCATCTCCAACCAATGAAGATGAATTCCCAGTGCCAGGTACTTCAGATGATTTAATCTTATCATTATCAAGAGGAGTATCTATTATTTTATTAGTGGTTTACGTTATCTTTTTATTCTTCCAATTAAAAACTCATAAAGCTTTATTTGAAGTTCAACCGCAAATTGATGATGGTATACTTACTGCAGTACTTCCTGAAACTATTTCATCTGATAATACTACAAATCTTTCTACAAAAGAAAATGAAGTTAAACATTTATCAATATCAACTTCATTAGGTGTTTTAGTAGTAGCTACAATTTTAGTATCATTATGTGCTGATTATTTAGTTGGATCCATTGATAATATTGTTGAATCATCAGGTTTATCGAAAACTTTCATTGGTCTTATTGTTATTCCAATCGTGGGTAATGCTGCTGAACATGTTACTGCCGTTGTAGTAGCCATGAAAAATAAAATGGATTTAGCTATTGGTGTTGCAGTTGGTTCTTCATTACAAATTGCTATATTTGTAACTCCATTCATGGTATTAGTAGGGTGGATTCTTGATGTTCCAATGTCATTATATTTTTCTACATTTGAAACGGCCATTTTATTCGTATCAGTTTTCATTTCAAATTTGGTTATTTTAGATGGTGAATCAAATTATTTAGAAGGGGTTATGCTTGTTAGTACTTATTTAATTGTAGCATTGGCATTCTTCTATTATCCTGATGTTGCTGATGTTGTTAAAGTATAACTTTTTGGTCATCATCACAAGAATTTCTATTTATCTCTTTATTTAAGTTAACATATCTTATTACTATATTCTTACTTTTATTATTTTAATTGCTTTTATTGTTTGTTCAAATTCTTCTAAATCAAATTGTAAATCATCCATACTAATTTCAGTTCGATAAGACAATAAAAATTTGACATTACAGGGTGTGTAAAACGGAGATCATATACTACATTAAAAATACTTAAAACAGTATAACACCACGAGGGGCATACTCCCACATCTTTATATGAAAGAAAATATTATATAGCTTAATTTGCAACTGAAACTATAGATAAGAAACAAAACAAACACATCTTCGTTGTTAATTAATGATCTGCAATCGAAGCGTAAAATAAATTTTTCACTTATCCTTCCCCTTTACTTATAATAGTAAAAAATGAATCTTTCAAAATTACCTAAACAAGAGTAATTTTGTGATACATGAAAAAAGGGGGCGCTACCTTGCAACTAATAATAAAAAAAATCCAGTCTAGATGGAGAGAATAATAAGGATTCTCCGCTACATTAGAGATTAACTATGAGTTCTATACGTGAGTTGCTGCGAATATATGTAAGTGAATATGAGATGGGAGGTTCCTTCTTTTAGACAGGGTGGTATCTAGTTTATAGAGGCTGGTTGTGGTGTTGGTGAGTAAGGGAGAGTATGACTACGCAGCGCGAATAGTGAATTTTATGGCGTCACAGGTCTAGATCGATTTTAGATCCAGGGACTCAAAATTAAATACAAACTATAGTTCAACCTTGAGTATAACTAATTCTATAGCTTTGGATGGCTGGATTAGGATTTAATCAAGGTATATCTAATCTCATCTACACCGTCATTTAAAAATATTAAGTAAATATAAATAATAACACAAAACATGACCTGTATCATTAATGACATACTCATTTGACGATTTTATTTTACTGAGCACAGCGCAAAATTTCGTCACACATCCCCTAAATGAATACCACTATCTAACTTGAAACTATAAGCAAGCATATTAGTATGGGTGTAACTAAGTAGGCAGTGATATTAAATCAGATTATGCGCTAATTTTGATGGTTTGCTTCTTTAAAATAGGTGATCATCATTCGAATTAGTTAGACCACCCATAGCCTATACCTCTATAGCCACGCTAATTACACTCTAATTATAAGACGCCCTTAACCCTGCTAAGAAAATTTTGTGGTAATGTTTATTATTGTTTACTTATTGATTTCGTTATTTGTTTAGCATGAATATTTATTTGTTTATCTGTACTCCTTAAATTCATCAAGGAGGCGTCGTTCATGACGAGATTAGTGACACAATCCACAAAAGCCTCACTATTTTTTTTTTGGTTCCTCACTATCACGAATTTATCTCTAAAAATTTAAGCTGTGCCATGATATAATAAGAATATCAGGAAGAGTCGTAAGTCAAGGAAGTTTAAAATTAGCTTAGACCAGCAACCAAGTAAAGTATCACCCACATTATTGAACATAAATTCCCATATTTCGACAACTACTCATTATAGAAATAATTTTTCCTATACTAAAACCAGGTTAATCGTTAATCAATCAACGATGATTGTATGTCAAAAATTAATGGTAATTTAATCAAATTACCTAAATAGGGAATATCGCGTAACAAATTAACTCTAATAGTTAAAAAAGGGGGTGGTCGCGTTTTTAGAAATATTTTATTTTTATTTTTATTTTATTTTTTTATTTTTTGATTCTTTAATTTTTTTTTTGCCTACTTTTTCTTTTTTTCAACAATTATATGCTTTTTGGGGTAATTTTCATGGTTTGCTATGTAATTTGATGTATCATGAACAATAAGATGTATGGGATGTAAAATTCTTTCCTTCTGTTCTTTATATATGTATATATTTATCCCACAATATCGAAATTTTTTTTTATATTTATATTTGGTTCTTTGTTTTATAATTAAAGATATATAAATATAGTTTATTATCCTAAAAGTAAATAGTCTTTCTTTGCTATCGTCATAGGAGTTCAATAGAGAAAGTTCAAACTATTGTTCTTATCATATTTATACTTAATTTATTTATTCATTCACTCATCCATTCCTTCAAATATATCCTTCATTTCTAACTTTTATTGATTCATATCCAAAGATCCTGGTGTGATACTTATTACTTCCTTATACACATATACACATACATACAGTCATGTCAGATAGAGAAGCTTTGAAAGTATTTTCAAGACAACCAGTTTGTCAAGAGATGATTGATATCTTGGCTACTACCACTTGTGCTATAATTCAAGTTCGGAGTGTAAAACCTCAATATAGTTTAATACCTTCAACCAAATCATCTAATTTATTAGTTAGTCCTCTTCAAAAATCAAATATTTCATTAGTGGTATTCATTAAGAATTTAATTAAATATTCCAATGTTCAAACTCCAACTTTAATGGCAACTTTAGTATATCTCAATAAATTAAGAAATATTCTTCCTGCTAATGCTATTGGAATGGAAACCACTAGACATCGTATTTTCATTGCTGCTTTGATTCTTAGTGCTAAATCTTTAAATGATCAATCTCCTTTAAATAAACATTGGACAAAATATACCGATGGACTTTTAACAAATGAAGAAGTTAATATGGCTGAACGTGAATTAATTGGATTATTAAAATGGAATATCTCCATTAAAGAGGATGATTTGATTGTGGCTTTACAACCATTTTTAACTACTATCAAACAACAATTGGTACAAAAGATGGACGAAGAAAACTCACAAAAACTCAATTATTACAGATTATCCAATTCTTTCAGCAACAGAAGTATTTCTTCAAGTTCTTCAAGATCAAGTTCAAATGCTTCATTATCATCTTATAACTCTTCCTTATCATTGAAGAATTCCCATTCAAACTATTCATTACAAAGCTCATCATCATCTTCATCAAATTCATCCACTCCTTCATCATTATCATCATATAATGAAGAAGCTGAAATTGGATTACATCCTCCTCCAAAATCATCAAGAAGAATCCCCTTATCTTCCAAATCTACCAATTTACTTAACTTATCCACTGCAAATCATGAAAAACCAAGAAGTAATTTCGTGAATTTAGTTAATACTGGTAGAATACTAACTTAGAGTTAGTCATATTTTTGATACCCCCCTCTTCCATTCTGTACATTAGATGAAAACACATACCTTTAATACCCCCTACACATTAACTGTTTCAATTTACACTTTCAATTCTTTCACATATAATTATATTTTATTCTTTTTACACATTTATTTTTTATTGGGTCACTAGTTCATTTTTTTTAATATAAATAATATAAATATTTTATTTTATCATTAATAAGTTTTTATTTATTAATTTAAATTTGTAAATTATCCTATTTTCTTTTCTATAAATTATAAAACTGTACAAGAAATCTCTTTCATCTCTAATGATCATGAGGATCTTCCTTTGGTGCTTCAGGATTAACTTCAATCATGGTATCAATTCTTAAAATAGAAATACAAGCTTCTAAAGCTGATTTTAATGATTTTATCTTGGAAATAGTTGGTTCTAAAACACCATGACTTATTTCATTAACAATTTTACCTTCAATTAAATCTAATCCATAATATTTATACTTCTTTCTTTTGGTATCAGTTGGTAAAGCAGTTTGAGAAGCAGCATGATAAGTTCTTAATTTTGAAATTAAATCAGATGCATCTTTAGCAGCATTTACAGCTAAAGTTTTTGGAATAACTAATAAAGCATTAGCAAATTCTGCAATAGCTAATTGTTCTCTTGATCCAACTGTTGTAGCAAAATTTTCTAAATATATATTTAAAGCAGTTTCAACAGCTCCTCCACCAGGTACAACATTACCACTTTCTAAAGTTCTTTTTACAACTGATAATGAATCATGTAAAGATCTTTCCATTTCATCTAATGAATAATCATTTGGACCTCTTAAAATTATTGATGAAGATGAATGTTGTTTAGTACCTTTAACTAATATACATTCATCATCACTAATTCTTGTTTGAACCACTTCATCAGCATAACCAAGATATGATGATTCAAAAGTTTCTTCACCTTCTAAATTAGATAAATTTCCTACTAAAGTTGCTCCGGTAGCTCTAGCAATTCTTCTTAAATCTTCCTTTTTACATCTTCTAACTGCCATAACATTATTTTCCACAAATTCTTTTAAACATAAATCATCAATACCTTTAGTAGTTAATATAACATTAGCACCAGCATTTATAATCTTTCTAATTCTTTCAATAATAATTCCATATTCTCTTTTTCTAATTTCTTCTAATTGATCAGGATCATCAATATTAATTTGAACTCCCATTGCCATTTTAGCTTTTTGTAAATTAATATCTAAACAAGCAATTTTAGCATTTTTAACTGATTTAACCATAGCTTGAGATGCAACTGTACAATTTAAAGCATAACCATCTACTAATATAGATTCAGTTGAAGATTTACCATGAGCTTTTAAAACATTAACAGCTTTAACAGGATATCTAACTTCCCCCTTAGTATTTACAGTCTTTACAGCTAACATAGCATCAACCACCATTTTACCAAAGAATTCTGAATCAGATCCAATAATTTTTGATGACATTGAAGTTTTAGCAATATTTATAATAGTTTCTTTACCTAAACTTTCAACTGATTGAGATAATACTTCATTTATATAACGAACAGCTTCTCTTAAAGCTAATCTATAACCAGTTATAATAGTAGTAGGATGGATTTTATTTTTAACTAATTCATTAGCTCTTTTTAATAATTCACTGGCAATTATAACTACTGATGTAGTACCATCACCAACTTCTCTATCTTGTTGTTGAGCTAATTCTACCAATATTTTACCAGCAGGATGTTGAACATCTAAAAGGGATAAGATGGTGGCACCGTCATTAGTGACAGTGACATCACCAATATCATCCACTAACATTTTATCCAACCCCACTGGTCCTAATGAAGATTTTACCACATTAGCAACAGTTTGAGCAGCTAACACGGTTTGATTACGAACATCATCACCACTAATCTTTTGAGCACCAAGAAATAAGGTGTCTGAACGAGCAGTAGAAAACATAATTGATTGAATCCCTGTTATATATGACGTCCACTTCTTTCTTCAATGAATCAATGACCTTTTAACTTGACCAAAACACGTCGTTGTTGCCAATTATTTGATTATTTCAAATTGTGATCTGAAAGACAGAGAGAAAAAAAAAATTCTGAGCGTCAACAAAAAAAAAAATAATGGGCAGAATCACACGACCTTTTCAATTAGTTAGTAATTGGAGATATAGAAGTAATGATATGAATTATAATGATATTAGAGTTGATTAGAGTACTGATGATGATTGATAGTGATAATTAAAAGATTATACGTAGTAAAATCAATTAAAGGTAAGCATTTCTGTAAATACTAGTAATTATCTGATACTACTGTTACTCAGATTAATGATATGAAAGATGTTTGCTAATACCTTCTTTCATCTATACAGTTACAATTCATATTCATCATTCAATTTACGATATCAACCTCATTAATATCAATTATCAATAGACAATTCATCATATCATATATAAATATAAATATTAATGATGGCAAAAAAAGCAAACCATTCTCGTTAACTAATTCCTAGCCAGCCACACACGACCATTGTTTATATTTTGCATGCAAAAATCCCAAACTATAAACAATTCAAAAAAAACCACCACCTCCACCAGGAATTATTATCTATCACATTTCTTATTTCAATACATCATCAATTGAAGTAAAGAAGTCCTTGGGAACGTGTATACTGTGAGTAAGAGAGATAGTCCAATCCATCATGTTTACTTCTTCAATTGCAGTCTATAGAGGCTTGAAGTTTACTCAAGCTTCTTCAGTACTTTCAAGAGTTATGCCATTAATGGTTAATCGTATTAATTCAAACGCCACCACCACCACCACCACCACCACTAATCAATTTAGATTGTTAGCCACTGCTACTAAAACTAAAACTACCAAAGCCAGTCCTAAAAAGAAAAAGTCCAAGAAACCAAGAACTAAAACTGAATTGGCTATTGCTAAAGAAAAACTTGCTAAAGAAAAGAAAGAATTAAAGAAAATAGAATTAAAAGTTCAAGCTAAAGATAAATTATTAGAAAAGAAATCTAAAGAAAGAGCTAAACTTGAAAAAGTTAAGAATGAAGCTAAAGATAAAGTATACGTTGAACGTGCTCTTAAAACTTATAAGAGTGTTAGTGGTTATGCTCTCTTTGTTAAAAGTCATAAATCAAATAAAATTGGTGAAATTTCAGTTCAATGGAATGAATTACCAAATTATGAAAAGGAAGAATGGAAACAAAAAGCTCAAGCTTATAATGATGAATTATTAAAAATTTTCATTCCAAGACCAAAGAAACCAGCTGATGGGTTTGCTTTATTCCTTAAACTGGAATATGTTAATGATGGTCTTAGTGTTACTGAATCAGTTAAAGCTTATAGTGCTGATTGGAGAGCTTTAGGTGATAGTGAAAAAGATGCCTTTAGAATTTCCCCTGAAGAAAAACAAAATTATCAAGATGCTGTTAAATCTTGGAAAGCTCAAAGATTAGAAAATTATGCTGAATATTTAAAATCAAAGGAAGCTTAGAGAATCCCTCATATCCTTATAAATAATTTGTTTGTTTGATTCAAAATGTCATTATCATTGTTATCATTATTATTATTATTATTATTATTATTATTGTCGTTGTTGTTGGTCGAATTTAAAAGTTTTCAAAAAGAAACTAAATTAACAATATTTATGTCCAATTTTTTATTTCCCCCCTATCCTCCCATTTCTATTTTTCGTATGTTTATAAAATATTAGATTGAATCTAATTTTTGTATAGATATATATATTCGTGTATATATTATAGTTTGTTTATGAAAAGAAAGAATAAAAAAACCTATATGTTTTTATTCAAGAGGAAAGAAGGGTCCCATTGTAAGGTTATAGGTGGTTGCAGGAGTGCGGCAATATAATACCATACAATCACGACAATAAGAACTTTATAATGATATTAAATATATTTCAAAATGATAAAAAGTATAAAAGGTAAAAGTCAAAACTACCAATCTTAACATACATAATATCTAATATAGTATGTAAAGACGATCAGTCATGATTTAGAAGAAGAGAATTCATGTAATAAGTAAAAAGCTAACTAAATAAGTAAGTAAAATAAAATAATATAAAAAGGGATTAGAATATGAAGAATAAACAAAGTAATTCAAAAGAAGGAATAGTAATTAAATAATGAAACAAAAAAATGATAATAAAAACTAGATTGAATGTATGATTGGTTGTTTCTATTTGTTTATGGGAGATGGATGGATGAATGAAGTTAGGATTGGTTGGATCATAAGATGGTACATTTCTTTGATTTTTTAACGGTTGGAGGTTCTAAAGCAGCCACGATTGCTTCATCAAATACAGTTTTTAAACCTCTTTGAGTTAAAGCTGAACATTCAACATATTTCACAGCTCTTAATTCCTTAGCTAATCTTTCACCTTGTTCCATTGATATTGGATTCAACCTTTGTCTATGTAATCTTTGTAAAATAACTTCATCATTTCTTAAATCAGTTTGAGTACCAACAATTATACATGGTACACCAGGACAATGATGACGAACTTCAGGAAACCATTTTTCTTTAACATTTTCAAATGATGCAGGAGCAATGACTGAAAAACAAACTAAAAATACATCAGTTGAAGGATATGATAATGGTCTTAATCTATCATAATCTTCTTGTCCAGCAGTATCAAATAATCCTAAAGTAAATGGTTCATCACCAACCATTACTGTTACGGCATAATTATCAAACACAGTAGGAACATAATCAGCAGGGAATTTACTAGTAGTATATGATATTAATAATGAGGTTTTACCAGTAGCACCATCACCTACTACTGTACATTTAATATTTTTATAACCCATAGTAATTAGTTATTATTTAAAGCTTTATATATATGTGTGAGTGTATATGCAGGAAAATCAATTAATTCGCGTGTTGTTATTTTTGGGGGAGTCGTGCGAATAGGATCAAAATAAGCTTATTGATATCAAATGAGGTGTTGATCTGATTAATAGGGTTATATTGATTGGATTGTTTGGGGAATCTGTTATTGTTTATAGGATATAGGTTTGGATAGACTTGTTTATGGAATAAGTTAATCTCGAAGCTAGAATGTTTGATCTATAAATAATAAAGGAATGAACTGGGAATGTAGTATAAACTGTTTTAAACTTATGAACAATCTTTTAATGATATGATATGATTTGTTGGAATATTTATAAATGGTATATGTATATATTTATAAGTTCCAAATGAGACAGTGATATCAAGATATGAGTTTGAATGGGGAAAGTAGTATGAATAAAAGTAATATACTATCTTTTGATGTTCTTGTTATTGATGGGAAAGTATTAAATGATATCGATATTATTTAAATCTGAAGCAATCAAAACAATAAGGAAAGTAATACGATGATATGGTAATTGAAATGGAGTATCGAACTTGAAATTAAACTAACGATAGACTTTTAGTAGTAGTTGATTTGATAGGGATATTGTATGCACAAAAAAAACAAATCAGGGATACCTTGGTGAAGGGAAAAGATGGGAACGTATAAGATGAAGATGTAATGATATGAGGTAAGGAGTATACTTGATGATGTCCCTTAGGTATATATACAAATAAAAAAGATCTATTATCTAAAACAGTAAGTTGAAAGTAATAATAATTTGGTAAGTGTTATAAATTTGTTTTCAGTTCGTTTTCATTTTCATTTTCATTTTTCCTGTTCAGTTTTTTTTTTGTCTGTTCGTTTTAATTTACACGACCAAAATATTCAGACAGACAGAAAAATTTAACCAGACAGAAATAGTGAGAGAGAGAGATAGGGGGTAGTTAAGTAAAGAGAAGGTAAAAGAAGGAACTGTGAATCACCCATACATCGAACGAATAATACCTTCTTACAATAACCTACAATGATACTTGGTGTAACAATATTATACTTCCCTTATCTAATACTTACTGTAGTGGTATAACTTCTTCTACATTCTCTATATTTACATTGGCTCAACCATCATAAAACTTCACCCCACCCCCCCACCTCACTAATTTATATACCGCGTATGATTTTATTAGTGAATGTTTCCAGTAATTACTCTGGATGAAAACAGTTATAGTTACTAAACCCGTTGCAATGGAGTATATCGTAATGGCAGTTGTAGTGTAACCCTACTTCCTATTATGTACTTGGCCTTTACAATGGTAACGAACTACCACAATTACCCAGAAACTATCCAGATTAGACATACATACAATTAAGGATCAGACGACAGTAATTTTTTTTCTATGAGTTGCCCTTTTTGGCGTTCTTACGAATGAGGAAAAATTCCGCTTAATTTATTATCAATGACTAGAAACAAGATTGGTAGCTAGTGTAATGGTTTTTTATAGAATCTTGAACTAGTATAGTATAATCCGAGTAAGTATAACCACTGAAGTATAGATCTTTCCATTTATGATCGAAGATATTTTGGTTCAACTGATCGAGTTTTACCCGATTAGGAAAGTTTCCCCTTTTAAGCCATTTATTTTTTCGACCCTTACCTCTTTTATTTTTTTGCAATTTACAGAGAACTACCATGTGTTACATTTCATTATATTATTATTATTATTATTATTATTAAATTAGTTTAATACATACAGCTAAAAAATTATTCTATATACAACATTCCAGAGATCTAATCACATCTCTCTTAATCATTCATTACCTTTCCTTTTCATTTCATTTAATATTCATAAATCCATTATCACCCGACATTGCTTCTAAATTACTTGCCATAATATCACTTGGTAAATTATCAGTATCAATAAGATTCTTTGACATTGGATCGAATTTTGAAATTTGTTCATCAATATCATTATCATCAATTATAGCTGGTCCACCCCCAAGAAAATCTAACATCATATGCATACCACCTGCTCCACCAGCATATTCTTCAACATCAACTGGTAAAACTTGTGATACCCCTTCTAAAAACCATACTTTATCTTTCATTTCGGAACAAAACGACCGTAATAATTTATAATATGATCTCATTATTCTCATGGCTTTGATATCTCCCGACATTAATAATGATAAGAAGGATTTATCTAATAAAGCAGGGAAAGCAAAGATTCGAAGGATAAAATCTGATTTATATCTTTCCTTATGTAATTTATTCAAATATGCTAATGTGATTAAATATGGTGAAGTGATCTCTACGGGGAATAAATCAGCAATATCAGAATCATGACATTCTAAATCAGTAAAGAATTTCTCTTGGAATGCTTTATCTTGTTTATCTAAATTAATTCGTTGATTTATAATATCACCTAAATCACCTAAATCAACCGAAATAAATTTATAAAATCGAGATGATTCAGTTAAGGGCCAAACTGCTGTTAAGATCGTAGCGGCCCCCTTTACATGGAAAATCCAAGCGGAAGCAGGTAACGATTTTGGACTGGTTGATGAAGGGAATGAAGCATTAGCTAATGAATCCATAATTAATATAAGTGCAGATGCAACTAAAGCATCGGTATTATTCGAATTTATATCTAATACCGCTTCACGTAATAATCTTAATGCATCACCTCTATGACATGTAACACATTGATCTAACCCTTTTTCAGTTCTTGATAAATGAGTGGCACTGAAAGCTAATATTGAATGCATTAAAAATGGATATTCAAACGCTAACATGGGTATATCTGAATTCCAAATATTAGTTTCTGAAATCCCTGCTCCTGTAATCGTATTTGATACTTGGGATGTATAATGAAACATTAGTCTTAAATCCAACATATTAAGAGATGTTGAATCCATGGATAAGTTATTAATCAGGGGATTATTGATATTAGGGGAAATATTAGGGGGTATATTATTAGTTCTGGAGTTGCTATTATTCTCATGTTCAGAATTACTGGTAGTTGATTTTGGAGTTGGAGGTATTTGTTGGTTGATATCTTGTTGTAAAGATTGTGATTGTATTGATGGTTGACTCTTTTGAGGTTGTGGAATAGATATATTTTGTGGCATTGGAGTTGGAGTTGATAAGAATGGTTTAACAAAACTTGGAATATTTATATTTTGAGATTCTAATAAGGAACCAATATTACTTAAATCAATAGGTAATTGAGCCAAAGTAGCTAAATTACTTAAATTTGCTAATCCTCCAAGATTACTTAGATCACCTGATAATCCATTTACAAGATGACTTAGATTCAAATTATTTAAATTACCAGCATTTAAAAGACCTGACGATAAAGCTGATAATGGAGTATTTGGTTGAATAGGTGGGAATGGAATTGATTGATTGTTGATGGAGGAAGAAGTAATAGATTGGTCTAAAGGTTTATCATCGAGAATATTTGGACTTGGAGTTAATGATGGAGTTACTTGTTGAGTTGAAGATGATTTTGATGATGATATGGAATCAACTGAATGTCTCTTTTTCTTACGAGGAGGTAAAGATGAATGGGATAGACTTTCAATATCATCATCTTTTGAATCACTTGAATTATTATCTAAATCTTTAGATGAACTGATATTGTGTTCTTGATCACCATTAGACTGATCATTATTATCACCATCTAATACATAACCACAAACTAATTTCATATGTTGACATTTTAAACAAGTTGGTCTTGTTTCATCACATTTAACTCTTCTCTTTTTACAAGTTGAACAACCATTTCTTGATTTTTGATGATATTTCCTTTTACCTGTAGATGCTCTACTCTTCTTTATATCACCATTACTATGATCATGATCAAGGTCATGATCAATCTCATGTTTTAAATTGGTATCAATTGTTGAATTGATATTATATGAATCACTGATCATTCTTTGTTGAAAATAATGAATAATCTAGGCGGGTATCTAAAGATGATACACGGTTATTGACACTTGACTATGATGATGATATCTTGTGTTGTGGATTCTTTACGTAACGATTGAATAACTTTTTCAATAGTTAGTGCAATGAGCTGATAATTTGTTGGGCTCAAACAACCTCAATTGATGAAGGAATGAATGGAATTATAAACAGAAACCTGAAATCCTTCAACAGCGAATGTGTATAGTTGAATGGAAATGGGGTGTAGCTATATGCTTTATCTTTCCCGTATATATATATATATATGTTATATATACTTAGTGATGTGTGGCACAGGGTAGATCGATGTTTTCTGCTAAAAATGAAAATATTAAAAAGAAAAACAATCTTTTGTCGTATAGCTCGTTTAGAGCAAAAAAAAAAATTTTTTTTTTATCATTTCCATGTCCATTTCCATTTCCAGCTTCAGCTTCAGCTTCACGCGTTTGGTGCCCTTTTTTTTTCTTAACTATGGGAAGTAAATGGATCTAACCCATTAAGGGGACAAAGTAACCATATCCGTTATTGATTAGATCGTCGTTTTTCTTTAATTAGAGAATGTGAAAATGATTGAATGGAACTACGTAAACTGATTAAAATATCCTATTCAATTGCTGTTTCTGTTTGTGATTCAAATAGCAAAAAAGTTAAAAATTATTATGGTTGTTGTTTGACATCAGTCAACTACTGAACATTGAAGGCTGTTATTTTGCAATTTATATAATATGCATAGAGGCTGTGTGGATTGAATTTTGCTGAATAATTATCATTGCCATATCTCTCTATTTCCTAATTACGCTCCATTGTAACACCGATGTTGTAATTTCAACGTTATTAACCCCTTTTTTATTTGAATGGTATGATTAAATTGATTATAATCATAACTTCTATTTTTGGGTTGTTTAAAATTTAATCACATGATGCATCATGTGATCACTTTTTAAAGTATCAAAATCATCATCATTTTTAACCATCGAATGAACATGGTGATATTGGTAAGGTAAATTAAGATAAGATTGAACATTATCTCATTCATTACTAATAATAAACATGTCTACCAAACCTTTATGGTATCGTTGGGCAAGAGTCTACTTCGCTGGGACTTGTATAATAGGATCAGGAGTACTTTTATATAAATATACTACTCCAACTGATGAAGAATTAATAGCAGCATTTTCACCTGAAATTAGAGCTGAATATGAACAGAATAAAGCAGCCAGAAAAAGAGAAGCGGAAGAATTATTTAAAATCATGAAACAAACATCATCATCCAATGATCCAATTTGGAAAACTGGCCCCATTGGATCCCCATTTGAAAAAGATCAAAGAAATTTATCTCAAACTTTAATTGATTATGAACAATTTAAAAAGGATTCTGGTAATGATTTTAAAAAGGATGAAATTGAACAAGCTAAATTACAATTGATTGAAACTGAAAAGTTAAAACAACAACAAAAGAGTTCAAGTTGGTGGAATTGGTCAAAATAATCTTACTTACAACTCATATATTCTTGTAAATATTCTATTATTATGTACATTATGGAACAATATATAAATAAATAACTAATTCATTAACGACCACCCCAAAAACCTCTATCTCTTGATATGGCTTGTAATATAGTTGAACTTAATCCACTACTTGAACTAGTAACAGCGGAACTCTTTTGACTATTTGCTTCATCAACGGCAGCCACTATTCGACTAATATTAGTATCTATCACCATCCCACCTTGAACAATCTCTTCTAATACAGTTTGAAGTACTTGCCATCCAAATACTAAATCTAACTCACATACATTTGTAAAACATTTATCTAAACATTCCACAAACACTTGAATTAAATCTAATATCCCAAGTTCAGATTCTTGATCATCAACTATAAATACAAAATAAAGGGTGGCATAATGTCGATATATCACTTTGATATCATCCACATCTTCAAGCAACGAAGGTGGAGTTATGAATGAACACTCCTGAGGAGTCCTGATCGATATTAATTGATAGACTTGTTGTAATAATAATCGTTGAGTTGGAAGATCAACAGGAGTATAAAACTTCATTAATCTGGGTAATCCATCATTATTAACTAAATGAAAGTATCGTTAGTAATGTCACTTGTGGAACTCTATACTATACGGAGTATACATACATATTAACACTGAATGGATCATTTCTTGGTGATAATAGTTGACTTTGCTGTTAAATGTTTAATTATCAGTTTATCAATCCATTTTTGTATGATTTCGCATTTGTAAGAAAAATTTATGGAGACTATGGAAAATCACCCAAGCTAATCACAGTTGACTCATCAAAGCATGACTGATATCACACTTGAAAAGGCATTACAATTGGATTCAAAGTATCCAACGTATAAGGATAAGTTTGAAATCCCAACTTTCAAATCATTAGGTATTAAAAATGATGAAAAAGAGTCAATTTACTTATGTGGTAATTCCCTTGGATTAATGCCAAAATCAACCAGAAAAGCATTGAATGATGAATTAGATGCATGGGGAGCTAGAGCTGTTGAGTCTCATTTCAATCATCCTGGTGAAGCTACTGAAGGTAAGACTTCCTGGGTGGATATTGATTTGCCTTTATTACCATTGATTGCTCCTGTCGTTGGAGCTAAAGAAAATGAAGTGGCAGTATTAGGATCTTTAACTAATAATTTAAATGCTTTATTGATTCATTTTTATAAACCAGAAGGTAAAAGAACCAAAATTCTTTTTGAAAAGCAAGCTTTCCCATCTGATTATTATGCATTTTTAAATATTGTAAAGTTATTCGGATATGATGAATCTCATTTAATTCAATTATCAGTAGCTCCAGGAGAAACTTATTTAAACACCGAAGATATTTTAAAAGCAGTTGATGATAATGTTGATGAAATTGCGTTAGTTTGTTTCCCCGGTATTCAATATTATACCGGTCAATTGTTTAAAATCAAAGAAATAACTCACTATATAAAATCAAAATCATCTCAAATTAGAGTAGGGTGGGATTTAGCTCATGCTGTGGGGAATGTACCCTTATCATTACATGATTGGGATGTTGATTTTGCTGCTTGGTGTTCTTATAAATATTTAAATTCAGGTCCAGGTGCTATTGCTGGTATTTTCGTTAATGAAAAGTTTACTATTAATAATTCTAAACAAAATTTCTCACCAAGATTAGCAGGTTGGTGGGGAAACAATTCAGCTGATAGATTTAAAATGTTAGAAGAATTTGATCCTATTAATTCTGCTTTAAGTTATAGACAATCAAATCCTTCCGTCATAGATATCGTATCGGTGAAAGCATCACTTGAAATCTTTAAACAAGTTGGTGGGGTAGAAACATTACGAGAAAAAAGTATACAATTAACTCAATTATTACAAGATATTTTAACTTCATCAAAATATTATTTACCCCAATCAGAAACTGATTCATCAAAATTTGGATTTAAAATCTTAACTCCATTAAATCCAGAAGAAAGAGGAGCTCAATTATCATTACTCTTCCAACCTCATTATGACGATAAATCAAAAAATGTAATGGAAAGAGTTAATCAATATTTACATGATCAAGCTATAATTTGTGATGAAAGAAGACCTGATGTGATTAGATTTGCTCCTATCCCATTATATAATACATTTAAAGAAACCTTCGACGCTACCAATAAGTTGATTGAAGCATTAGATATCATTGCTAAAGATTTATAGATTTGTATATAATTAAAAAATAAAACGTTCAGCTGACTTAATTGGATCACTTTATATAAAATAAAATAAAATAATAATATCCAGATGTTCCAGTAGTTTAAAGTTTTGCAATATCACGTAAAAACTTTAAAATTGTTCAACTCCTGCACACAGCTTGCAACCAAGATGAAGAAGCCAAAGTATGAAAAAAGAGCTTAAAGCTGCCTCAAGTTAAATAATAATTAGTGGTGATACTTTCAAAAAGCTAAATATATAAATATAAAGACTATTAATTCGCTCAAGAGTGATTGAATGTATTCTATTAGAGAGATAATGAAAATATAATCTACAAACAATGAGTTATAAAGATTATCCATCATTTTTTAAATTAATTAAGAGCACAACAAGCAACAAACGAGCTGAAGAAGATAAACTTGACAAGGACAAGTCATCGAAACAATTGATAGTTAAAGATCAGAATAATAGTTTGGTGACTGAAAAGGATAGTGATGATGTTGTTCGTTGGATTGGTGATATTGATTATCGATTCAAGAAATTATTAAATTTCCAAACTTTACAACAAGAGAATTTACATCAAGATAAAATTAAACAAGACAATGAATTAAAATTAAGAGAAAAGTATCAAAAGAAGATATATGAAGACAATTTCAATAAATTAGGACAAGTGATATCTAATATCGAACAAGATCCAATTGTACATAAACAAGATGAAGAAGTTGAAGAAGAAGGTGAATCAGAAGAGATCGGAGATGTGGATACAGAAGAAAGTCTCGAAGAAGATGAAATTGAAGAAGAAGAACGAGAATTAGAAGACTTAGAAGAAGAGTTGATTGAAATTGAAGAAGAGGAAGAAGAGGAAAACGGTCATCCCGAACCTGCATACGATCCATTCAATAATCTTGGATTTCATCAAGAAGAAGAAGTTATATTGGATAGATCATACTCTGGAGGTGAAGGTGAACTGGGAGCATCTGACCAGAGCGAGAATGATCATTCAGAGTCAGTATCAGAATCCGAACAACATGAATATGACGATCAACCGGTGAGCCATTACGAACAACACGTCCAAGTTCAACATACTCAACATGAAGATGAAGTGGTAGAAATACTAACCACTGAAGATGAAGAGGAAGAAGAAGAAAAGGAAGAGCATCATGAATTTCAAACAAGCAATCGTTCCCAATTGTATCAAATGAACTACCCTCAAAGACCAAGCATCATCAGTAATACATTCAAACCTCAAGTTTCTTCTCAACACGGTTACGAGCATCATGATGAAGATGAACACGAGGAGGAAGAAGAAGATGATGATGATGAAGTCAACCTTGATGAAGAAGATCATCTGCATGATGATTTAATTTCCCATGGTCAAACTGACAATGTAGAACATCACCATTATAACGAAAGTGAAGTTGAATCAGAATACTCTCAAGACGAAGAACATGCTGAAATCCATTCTGAACCAGAAATCTCACACAGCCAATTCCATTTAGTTGATCAATTCGAAACCAATCAGCCGGTACCGCAAGTATCTTATCAAATATATAATGGTCGACCGAGGCTAGGCAACTCCCATCATATACAAATCCCTTCGTATAATCATAATGCCACTGATTTGAGCAAAGGTGAAGGTGAATATGATAACGGAGATGAACAAGATGATGAGGAAGAGGAAGATGAGGAAGAAGACGATGATGATGATGAAGATGACGAAGAGGAAGAAGATGAAGAAATTGATAGTGAAGAAGAAGAGGAACCAGATGAAGAAAAAGAAGCCGTAGCCGCTATTTATCAATCTAATCGAAGTCTGGTTGATAACGAAAACAATTATGCAAATGCCTTTCATCCAAGCAATGATCCCTTATCCTATAATAATAATCACAATAATAACCAAGATGATAGCATTATCATTTTGGATACTGATGATGAGGTTCAAGAAGAGAAGGAAGATCATGACGAAGAAGACGAAGAGGAACAAGATGAAGAAGACGAGGAGTCAGAAGAAGACGACAACGACGGCAACGACGACGACGACGAAGAGGACGACAACAACAGTGAAGAATACCATCAAAATGTCCCTCATCAAGATTTTTCTATGGGAAATATCGCTGGTGACTCTTATGATTCATCTAATAACTTATTTGCTCATCAAGAACTATTAAATCTTGCTGAAGCTGTTCTTAGTCAAGGTCAATCTGAATTATCCAAACACGACCATGTAGAATCTAGTAGAATGTTACCCAATCTAGTTTCTGGTTATGCTGCTGATAGTGAAGGTATTCAAACAGATAATCTCACTAGCATAAACTTTAAAAATACTGAAAATGAAACAAACGAAGAAGCTGCTCCCATCCCAACTCCCTTTTATGCACATGAATTTGATGATCAAGAGCCTCAAGTAATCCAAAATCAAGTTGACGACGATGTTTTATCTGAAGGATCATTAGCAGATGAAGAAAATGATGATGAAACTTTAAAGGTTCAACTACAACATGAAAGAAAATTGTCTGAATCCAAGGGACAAGCCGAAGAAGAAGAAAGTAGTTCTGATGAAGATACGGGTCCACCCTTACCTATTTTTAGAACTGTGGTAGAAGAAGAACCAGAAGTAGTACTTGAGAAATTAAGAGAAACTGAAAGCAAATTCAATATCAGGTTAAATTCAGTAGCTGATCTTGAAGAAGAGTTACATCTTAAATCATCCAGAAATGCTTCCGAAGAACCACACGAAGGTAACCAAACAGTATATTATGATGCAGATGGATCTCCAAAAAAAATTGAAAGGGAAGAATCAAATGTGCTAACAGCCGTTCGAGAAGACCACGAAACAAGCTATGCAGAATCTGAAGCCAATGCTACTCAGTTCGAGGAAGCTGTAGAAACTCACGATGAAGAAATTGGCCCCGTTGAGGAAGTAAATTTCGAGTATGAACATGATGAAGATATTGTTTCTCCGGATAAAGATGATATTGAAGTTGAGAGTTATGTACCGCAAGTGGCAATCGAAGACGTCGAAGAAGAGAAAGATTCTGATGAAGATCAAGATCAAGAGAAAGAAAAAAATATTGAACAAGAAGGCTACTCACTTGTACAAGTGGTAGAGAATGTGGAGGCAAGTAAACAAGCAGAAGAAGAAGTAGAAGAAGAAGAAGATTATGGTTCGGATAAAGATGAAGAAGCCGAGTACGTACCTTCTGCACGTCAAAATGACGCATCATTTTCTGAAGACGTGGATGCGTTCCTAAATAGAGTTGAATATGATGTCTTGGATGACCAGGAAGAAGAAGAAAAAGAAGAACTCCAACATGAAGAAGATGGAGAAGAATTAGTTGATGAACATCAAGAAGATTATGATGTTGATGTTGATGTTGATGCTGACGAGGATGACGAAAATATTAAAGAAGATTCAGTCAAGCAGCAAGATGTTCATCTTGAAGCACATCACTTTGACATGGAAAGTGAAAGGGAAGAAGTAGGCGATGTTGCTGATCAGAATGACGAAGAAATGAATATTAAATCGGAAAGAATTGTCGAAGAGAAGTATGACACTGAAGTGGTACAATCCCAAGATGAAGAGATCTCTAACGATGTGAAAGACTTTGTTGTTCCTCAAGATGTCGACGAAAAGTCAACGGAATCCAACATAATTCCGAAACTCAGTGAAGAGACTACTGTTGACGACGATCATTATCATCCGGAAGAAATTGAAGCTCCAAACTTGGATACAATAGTTGATGACACTATAGTTGATGACACTAAGAATTATGAGGATATTACAGAACATAATATCGAGATCGAGATACCGTCAAAGGAAGTTGAAGAAGTTATTGGTGTTGGAGGTGAAGTTATCAATTCCGCTGAATTCGACAAAGCACCTGAAGTTGAAGAATCAACAGTTTTACCAGAGCATTCAGAAACAGATCATATCACAGAACCCTCAGAACCCTCAGAACCTTCTGCAAAGGAATTAGTTGTTGTTGACGAACAAGTCTCACAGGAAGTGACTTTTATTGAAGTGCCTGAGTTGCAGACTGTCATCGAAGATTCTCAACATCATACCGAAGTTGAAGAAGATGAAGTCTCCGGCAATTCTAGTTCTGTCGCTCTCGGTAATATATTGGAGAACTTGAATGAAGGTCTTGAATCCGAAGAAGTTAAAATTGGCGTTGAAGAATATGTCGAAGAAGATGTTAAGGAAGATGTCGAAGAAGATGTCGAAGAAGATGTTAAAGAAGATGTTAAAGAAGATGTTGATGTAGATGTTGCAGATGCAGATGCAGTGGTCGAAGTTGAAGCCGAAGTCAAAGCTGACTCTAATGATGATAAGGAAGAATTCAATGATGAAATTGACAATTCAGTTGACATATCTATTGAAGAAGCTAAAACTTATGTCGAAGAAGAAGCACCAACCATTGAGACTAATGGCGTTGAAGTAGATCAATCCAATAAAGAAAAACATTCTGACGATCAATTGGTTCTCGAAGTAGAAAGGGAAGAGCATCCTGTTATAGCTTCTAATGAGCAAGTTGCCGATGTTGAAGTTGATGATGATTCGTTAAAGGAGCAACATGGTGTAAATGAAGAAACCAATACAATGGAATCAACCTCATCCGAAACAAAATTAGAAGAAGATGACGTAGAATCCACCAATAAGACTGAAACTGTTTCCACAGAAACTGACACCGTACAAGAAGATACTTCTGAGAATTTAAAGAAACGTAAATCAGCTACTGATATCACGGATGCGGCTTTCAAGAAGATAAGAAGAATTTTTAGTCCATTTTCATGGAATGAGACTTTAGATTCAACTCAGAAAATTATCCCTAAGCCAGAATTAGACGAAATCACCGAAGATACTGGTCCAGAAGTTGAGGAAGATCAAGATATTGAAATCGAAGAGCACATAAATAGAGAAGAGCATGAAACTGAAGAGGTTGATGTTATAAAGGATGAAGATGAGACTGATGATAATGAAGCCGCTGAAGCCCCTTCTACATCAGATTTACCAGCCGAGGAGCCGGAAAGTTTGGAACAGATAGTTGAGGTTGAAGTTGAAACCAAGAACGAAGAAGAAATTTCAACAGAAGATAAAGTTCAAGATGCAGCAGTGATACCAGAAATTGAAACTCATCCCACTCATGAACAAGAAAGAAATGATGATAAAATTGGAGACGATTTACTTGATCCAGAACTTAAGATTGAAAAGAATCAAGTACAACCCGAAGTAGCAAAATCACCTCCTCGCAAAAAGAAAGTTGTGTTGGGTTTAGAAATAGAAGAATTCCCAATAGGACCAAGAAGATCTTTAAGAAATGGTCATGGATATGGAGCTGGAGCTGCTCCTGAAGTCGTTACTAAAGACAATTCAACACCCGAACCAGAGATGATTAACGAGGTTACAACTCCAAAGCATTTGATATATGATGTTAAGCTTGAACTTCCAAAAAGAGGTCGTCGTTCAACTCAAACTTCCCCTAAAGTGGCAGATGAAGTTATATCAGATGTAAAGGAAGACCATCCAAAGAGGGGCCGCCGTGCAGCTAAAGCGTCTACTGAGTCTGATAATGTTATACCAGATGTTAAATTAGATTTACCAAAAAGAAATCTTCGTGGTCTGAAAATTGCAAAGGAGGTTGATAACGTTTTACCAGAAGTTAAGCTAGATATTCCTAAGAGAGGTCGTCGTGTTACTCAAGCTGCTGCTAAGTCACCTAAGAAAGTCCAAAAGGCTGTGGATTTGCCTAAGAGAAAGACTGGTCGTCCCTTCAAGATTGCACCAGTTACCGAAGAAGATCCATCTTTAAAGGTACCAATTGCAGAAGAAACTACTAATCTGAGACGAGCTTCTAGAAGAGTTTCTCGTACTTGGGATCAACTGGAAGATCATCCCGCTTTACGAACGCGCTCAAGATCTCCTATAAAGAGATCATTATCAGAGGAGATTGCTGTAGCAGAGGTTGAACTTAGTCAAGGCACCAAAAACTTAAATGCCAGAAGAAGAAGTTCGAGACTTCAAAAGATTGAAGCCGAGCCGGACACAGTACCTGAGACGGTACCTGAATCTGAAGAAACATCAATTACCCCTGCTGAAGAGATGAGAGGTAGAGGTAGGAAAAGAAGAAGGCAATAAAAAAAGTGTATAATAAGTCTATAAATTATTTATTTTATGTACAAGTTGGTATTAAAAAAGTGGTATGTAAAAATATATGCAAAATGCCAAAATTAAAAATTAAGAATATCTCTCTATCTCTTTTATGCAAGATATGCCATTGAAACCTCAAACGTACTAAAGAATACCATATTAACAAGAAATGAACGTGAAACTGATATACCAAGGCCTCTATACAATCTTCTTTCGATTTTTTGTAATTTTCTCTTTTTTGGAGGTAATTCGGGTAAACCTTGTTCCCGGCGTAAAATATTTGTGACTACATCTTTTTGAATTAATGATTTTGTAGTATCGACCGGGAAGATGAAAACCCACGAAAGCACTCCAGAGAGACCACCGGCGAGTAGAATTGAAATCGGTGATGATTGTTTGGGGTCCGAGTTTATAATGTTATTCATGGCCCATTTCAAAGATTCGTAAATTGAATAGTAAAACCCTGAAGATAAGGAATCTCGGAGAAAATGATATTTGAAACCGGAGTATAAACCGGCCACTCCTTCATGTTTAATGATCTGTCTTACGATAGTTACTGTTGAGTTATTGACTAATTCTTGATGACTAGCCTGAAGATTACCTGGAAGTTGAGTTATTGATTTATTATGAACCAATCTTTCTAATTGAGCATAAATTTTAGTAAATTCAAACGGACATGCAAATAATGAAACCCCACCACCTGCTATAGTTCCTGAAATAAAACATACGGGTATGTTTCTTAAAAATGGATGTAGTGCAGGAGTATCACCTTGATATAAAGTATCATAAGTGAAAGGTTTCACGGCGGTGAATAATGACACACTAAGAGATTTCGAGAATGATGTAGATACCAATGGAGCCCATATACCTCTAAAGAATCCTTTAACTCCTTCTTGCATATACGATTTCTTAACACAATCGAAATAACTTGTGAAATGTTTATGAGTTTGCATTCTAGTTTTGACGGTGTCCAAGGGGAATCCTATGAAAGTTGATAAAAATGAAGCGGAGTATGCTAAAATACTACCCCGATAAGGTCTCAATTGATCGGGAAAGATATGTACTGCTTTTGAATAATCGATTTCACCTGTGATGGCTGGTATTCCACCTCGTTGAGGGGTCTGATCTGAATATTTACTCATGGTAAACTATCAATTACTAATACCACGTTTAGATCCAATTGAGTTTAAGGAATTTGTAAGTTAAAAAAAAGAGCTATGTGATGATCTTAGTGGTTGCTTCCAATCAATGGAAGGAATGAAGGAGAAGACTTGTTTAAAACAGCACACTTCTGTACTTAACTCTATAAAATGACACGATGATCCACTTAAGAATACAGCTTAAAATGAGCTTGTGGTGTTGATGAAGTGTTTTGGTTGATTTGATCAAGCAGTCCAGCCCAGTCCCTAAACAGAAAAAAAAATGTTCCGTCTCTGCGGGAGAAAAAGAAGATCTGTCAGGGAAATTTTAGAGATAATGATAATTACAGTGAAAATGGGATGTAAAATGTACAATTATAACATTTATTTATGTTACAAGGGGTTGGTATGGAGGAGTAAATATATACAATATGGAAAATATATGAAAATGCTATTACTATCGTAGCATTATTATGATTTATGTAGCCTTTTTAGGACTACTTTTATGAGTGTTTGATGGTGAATGACAAGTCAAGTTATAAGACAGATTCATTAATGACAATGGCTTACAGAGACTAATAACCTCTTCTTCTGGCATCATTAACTTCAGCCATTAAATCTTTGAAACCTTCAGAGAACTTCTTTCTCCACCATTCTCTCTTCTTTTGCTTTCTATATTTAGCAGGACGAATATATCTTTCTTGAACCTTTTGGAAATATTTTATTCTATTATCAAATCCTAATCTACGGATTTGACCAAATGCTCTTCCTAAGGAATTATGTTGAACATCAATGGTTCTACCTGAAAGTGGTCCAAATATCTTTATCTTTTTAGCAGTATCTCTTGGTTGTGGAGCTAAATCTAAAGTACCATATTGACTTGATTTAGAATTGAAAATATTGGAATCAGTATGCTCTAAGGAACTATTTAATAAATCATTTATGTCACTTATAGTAGCACCTCTTTTACTTTCTTTTGATTGATTGATGGAATTATTCTTAAAGTTGTTAAAATCAGAATTAAAACGTGTAGCAAGCACACTTCTAGATATGTTGTTGACAGCTGGCGATACCAAGGATACACCCAAGCGTCTTGCACCGAGACTACGTAACATAATATGTGTGATTGTTATTGGTTGTATATGGTCTAACCTTCTAACTTCTCTAACTCATATTTGAAAAACCTGTTGAAAAAAAAAAATCACAGAAAAATTTAGAGCACGACATTTCAGATGTCGTCGGTTGATCCCAAAAATGTCTCTTATATTTTTTGGTTGTTTATCTCTAAAATAGAATTAAGTTAGCTACAAACCCCCAAATAAGGAACTAACCTATTTAAAGCAAGCAACCAATTATCATTTTGGTGTAACAGGCGTTTCTACTTCCTTACTGTACGTTTAACCATCTTAATTGTTATCAACTATATGTGAGGAATGCAATACAATTCCAATTTAATATCTACTACGTTGTTTGAGGAGAGTAATGTTTCTGTGTTTAAAATCCCCCCTGGTGAATTGAGTATATCAAAATGGAACCTTAATGAATCGAATATAATATGGAAGGGGAATCTAAGATTGATAGAGCAAGAAGTGATACAAGATGATGTAGACTTGTTTGCTACTCTACCAGGTTCAAGACTTCATTCTACAGATACATTGACATGGGGAAACACGTTACAGCGAGTAAAAGTTTGTGATGATAAGTTTATAAATAAGGGTCCTAAGAAACCTTATGAAAGTTTAAGAGCCAAACTAGAGTTGTATAATCCGGTGACAATACATCCGAGTGTGGGAAATTTAACCACAGTGAATAGAGAAGAGTTATGGGCTGAAGTATGGTATAATCCAATTGCCTCATCAAATATTGATCATGATAATAATAGAGACGATCAATTCTCAATAGCTAATGATGGTCAGGAAACCATACAAATGTCTAAGGAATCTCCAAAGTTTTACAAGATCATATCTCAATTGCCAAGTTCAGGATATCAACCAATCCAAGGCACCACTGCTTATTCAGATAGTCTTTTTAATGAAAAAGGAGTATTATTACAGGTAGCTCTTGGAATCAAACTTGGTGATAGTGCTGATGCTACTGGATTTAGTGAGAGTTTCAATCTTTATAAGAGAAGATTTAGAAATGTGGAAGAGCAGTATTATTATGAATTGAAATTACTTGATCTTGAAGATAAACTGGCCCAATTATCTCTTACTAGTCATACTGAAGATACACTATTTCCCTTAGATGATAGTAAACATGAAACTAATAGAACTGGTTCTATTAGCAGCTTTGACAAAAGCAGTGACGAAAGTGATGATGAATTTGGTGATTTTGTAGGTAGTTGACTGAACTTCCAAATGGTTAATAGAATTGCATAAGTTATTGTTTGTTGTTTGACTTTTTTATTTTTATAGATGATTATTTTTGCATGCATGTTATTGGCTTTTTATAATTGGTATTTATTTATCCATTAAATTTAATATATTAAACGTTCCACTATATACTATATAAATCCCACATTTAAACCTTATCTTTATTCTTTTTATAATATAATTTTTGAATTATTGGATTATGTTCCTTTAATTCTTTATTCTTATTCTTACTATATTCCACATACGCCATATCTTCACCACCAGCCAATCCAGCCAACGAACCTGCAGTTCTTGCGGCATTAGCACTTTCAATCTTTGCTCTCCTTTGGTTTGATATGAAGTTTGTATCTATATCGTCACCCACTTCCAAGTTTGCTTCATCTTCATTCTTCAATAACACATTTTGTAACAACTCTCTTCTTTCCTTTGGAGTCGAATATGCTAAATCCTTCAACTGTTCCATTCCACTTAAATGAGTAATGACCTTGAATGCATAACCTTGATCTACAAGGAATGCTTGTCTCTTAGTGGAATAATACATTTCTTGAGTATCTTTAGAAACCAATGAGTAAAAGAAGGCATTGAAACCTTCATCATTACGTCTTTTAGCTCTTAAAATACGACCAAGACGTTGTGCTTCTTGTCTTCTAGACCCATAATGAGAAGAAATTTGAATTAAACAAGTAGCTTCTGGTAAATCAATTGATGTATCACCAACTTTGGATAAAAAGATAGTATTAACTTCATCATTATGTTGGAAATTTTGTAAAATCTTCATTCTTTCCAGTTGTGGAGTTGAACCATAAATAAATGGTTTATTCAATTTAAGAGCATATTCTTGTAAGGCATAAACGTTATCACTAAATACAATAATCTTATCACCTCTCTTTTCATGATAATGGATCAAGTATTGACAGGCTTGAAATTTAGTTGGATTCATGATATATAATAACATCTTCTTTCTGGCTGATTCACGTAAATATTCTTGGTAAAATTCGGAAGTCATTGGACACCATACTTCTGCACATTGAACATTTGCAATATGACCCTTTTGAGCAAGATCCATCCAATTAGCTTCATATAACTTTGGACCAATTAAGAAATTTAAATCATCAATCTTATCATCTTCACGAACTAATGTTGCGGTAAGACCCAACTTAGCATGTGCAGCAATGGTACTGACCACTCTTCTGAACATAGCAGCAGGTACCACATGGACTTCATCCAAAATAATAAAACCCCATTCTCTTGATGTTAAGAAATCCATAACCTTTTGGGAATCATGCGATCTCTTTTGACGATTGGCTACCATAGAGTACGTTGATACCACTAAACCAGATTCAGTTGAGAACATTTCTTTATTATCTGATGTGAAAACAGCTACATTTTCTGGTTGAATAGTACACCATTGTAAAAATTGTTGTCTCCATTGCATAACCGATACTGATGACGTACATAATACAATAACGGATTTCCTGATGGTACAAGCAGCAGTTATACCAACTAAGGTTTTACCAGCTCCACATGGAAGAACAATAATACCTGATCTAGCACGACCATTACCAAACATTTTAGATAATGATTTTTCTTGATATGGTCTAATTTGTGTAGATGGTTTTAAATCAATTTCCAAATCCGCATTTCTAGAATCATTACGGAAATCATATTCTTCCAAAACAGGGAAATCTATTTCTTGACATCTTCTTTTTACAACTTCCACCGATTCATTAGCGATTTCAAATGAATGAACTTTATCTAAATCATCATCATCGTCATCATTTCCAACTACGGAGGCAAAAATGTCTTCAGCATCAGTTTTAACTTCAGTAGCGTTCTTTTTGGTTCCAGGTATTACTAAGTCACCTTGCTTTGGAGCAGCAGTCTGTACTAACCCAGTACCAGTAACGATATTTTCAGAAGATATGATACGTAACAGACCAATAATTGGATCTTTTAATAACATTTGTAATATATCAGCCTGACTACTTTCAACGAAATATTTGTTATGCTTCAACACTAATTTGACTTTACCATATGATACAGTAGCTTGTCTAATAAACTGAATTATAGACTCACTAATTGGTACTTTAGATAAACGATTCAAAACCAGGATGATATCATCAGTTTCTAACCCAACAGAAACTGCCGCATATAATGAGTAAGCGGTGATTTTATATTCATGAATGTGAGATGGTCTTGAAACTGGTTCTGCAATGGTAATTAAGAAATCTTGAGCTTGTTCAGCTAAGGGTGAAAATGATTCTAAGATGATTCTAAGATCACTAGGTGATATCCATATAGGTCTTGAAAAATGATCTGGTTTTAACTTTAAGTAGGAAAAATCTGCTTTACCAAATGCTTTTGATACCGCATCAGGAACATAATCAGCAGGAATATCAGGTGTTAATTCCACCAATTCATCGTCAGATATAGGAGTTTCAGGGAGTTCTTCCGTAATGGTATTCACTGCTTCTTTGACCTTTTTACGACTTGGACCATTTGAATTTGAATTGGTATTATTTGATCTCTTCTTGGTCGATCCCCCATATGAATAGTCATCATCCTTCTTTTTCTTCACTGATTCATTTTCATCGTCATCATCTTCGAAAGAATAATCGGAATAGTTACCTTGATCTAGATCAGCATAATTTATCCCTCCTGCTCTTCTTGAAGACATTGCTATTTTGATTCGTAGTCTTGAATGGGTAAAACTGAGATTATTAATGAATTCAATTTAACCTTTTGATTTAAAATCATATTTCTAACAAATTGGTGTCGTGCGACTACCGACAAAATATTTACAGTTAATTGCAATTTATGGAGTATACTATTTCTATTAATTCTACTCTAATGCTATAATATAATATATAATGTACAGAAAATAACTAGTTACAAATGGGAATCTAATCAGTGAATTTGTATGAACCAGTGGCGAAAGTGATTGAACCACCTTTATAAGCACCTCTTTTCATTTTATTTTTATTTTTAGTGAAATCTTTACCTCTAACTTGAGTTAATTTTTGATTTGCTAATTCACCCCAAGTACCAGCTACACCTTTATAAGTATTATCCTGTAAAGCACCATGAGCGAATGAAACTTTGGATCTGTCTATTCTAGAGAAATGTTTTCTTTGTCCTGGTTTTAATTCTTCTTCTTCAGCTGGAATTGGTTCTGGCGATGAAGAGTTTGATGATATAGATTCAGTTTGGGAAGATGATGAATCTGATCTATGCTTTTTGGTCTCTGGTTCCTCCTTTTCTTCCTCTTCTTCTCTCTTTCTTTTTGGAGTTTCTGATTCTGATTCGGAATCTGATTCGGAATCTGAGTCTGAGTCTGAGTCTGAATCCGAGCTACTATCTGAATCAGAACTGGAGTCGGAGTCGGATGAATCTGATGAGTCTGATGAATCTGAGTCGGAATCAGAGCTTGAACTTGAGTCTGAGTCTGAGTCTGAGTCTGAGCTGGAATCTGAGTCTGAGTCTGATGAATCGCTTGATGAGTCTGATTCTGAGTCTTCTTTTTCTTTTTCTGTAGATTTCTTTTCAGTTTCTTCTTTGACTTCAGTTTTATCGGAAGTTTCTTCTTCTTCTTCTTCATTGTCTGAGTCTGAGTCTGAGTCTGAGGAATCAGAGGAGTCTGAGCTAGAATCGGAATCTGAGTCTGAGGAGTCCGAATCTGAAGAGCCTGATTCTGAAGAGTCTGAATCTGAAGAGTCTGAATCTGAAGAATCTTCTTTCTTTTCTTCTTTGTCTTCTTCTTTATCTTCTTCTTCATCATCACTTGAGTCAGAGTCATCATCACTATCTGAGTCTGAATCTGAGTCTGAGTCAGAATCCGAGTCACTGGAAGAATCTTCTTCTTTTTTATCTTCTTCTATAGCATCATCATCACTTTCTTTCTTACCATCTTCAATAAAAGTTTCTAAATCGTCTTTAACATCAACTAATTCAATAGATTCATCAGCAATGACTTTATCTAAAGCTTTCAAAACCTTTGCCAAAGAGGCATCTTTGGATATATAATCACGAATATAAGAAATGACTAATTCCCTTGAACTTGACATGATAAACTTAATTAAGACAATCGACAAATAAATTAAAATAAATAACCTAACTGATAAGATTATAATTAAATATTATGCTGTGAAAATAAATTTTATATACCAAAAAAAAATTTTGAAAAAAGATGAGATGGTCTGCATATAATCACATATTAAATATAAAAAAAAAAGAAATTATTATTGCAAAAGTCACGTGGGTGAAAATATAGCTATACGAAATAGCTTTTTTGTGGGGAAATTAATCATGATAAGCAAACATTTATATAGATGTATATTATTAAAAAGAGTTCTAGTTTAAATAAATAGATAGGTATAGCAATTACAATTTAGTATCGAAACTACCTTTGAATCCAGTTACTTCAGATAATTCACCGGCTAACATATGACCATATTCAATACCAAGAATTTTATTTCTATCCTTACCATATTTGAATTCAGCATATTCATCAGGTTTTTCGTTTTCGAAATCAGCTTGACGTTTTAAAATGAATTCTTGAAGGATCTTGATGGTATCTTCTGGTTGTTCAGCATGGACTAAATGTTCCCCCTTTGGAATATCATATGTAGCACTTAAATAACGTTTTGGAATTGCTTCTCTTACAAATGGGATGGATTGAGGTGGATTCCAATTACCATTTGAACCAATGACATGACATACTGGTAATCTCATTAAGGGTAATAATTTCATTTGTTGTGGTACACTTAAAGCTGAACATATATAACTTGACATTTGAGCTTCTTTAGATGCTTTTGTTTTATATTTGATTTCACCATCTTCAATAACAGTTATAATTTCATCTTCCATAAAATCTTTTAAAGCTTCAGGATGCATCTTTTTATAAAAGGAGAATTTAGTAAAATATTCAACGATATCTTCTTTACTATCAAAAGTATCGATTAATAAAGACGCAATTTTAGCGAATAATTTTCTAAATCTTTTAGTTGAATTTTCATCACTATATAACACAGCTTCAATTGGAACAACTGAATCTAAAATATTTGGATCATAAAATCCAGCTAATACAACAAAGTGACCACCTAAAGAATGACCAATAGCGATATTTCTTGAAGTTAAATTATTTTTAAAATCATCAGTAGTATCATTTTCATAATTTAAAAGTCTTAATAAATCCTTACCACCTTCATCCCAACGATAAACCCAACCTAATTTCCCTTTATTTGCTAAAGCTGAATCGCCATGAGATACATTATCGAATGAAATACAAGAATCCAAATACCATTTATTCTTACCAGTTGAAGCTTGAGATAATTGATATAAATTCTTAATGATAAAAGTCCAAACCGATTTATTCATACCTGTACCATGAGCAAAGATCAAATTGAACTTGACAGCATCCTTAGGAATGATTTCAGTGGTTTTATATTTATGATATACTAAAGTCAATCTATCATCAGCTAATACCGTACTTCCAACATGTCTTGGAAAGTAAGCAGGACTTGATTTTGTTTCCACTGTGAATGACATTATGAGTGGCAATTGACGTGAATGTGGATATTTTATACAATAAAGGATCAAATAACGGTTTCGAAGGAAATATCAAACCTTCTAGACATCTCTATATATATATAGTTATACGATTGATTATAGGATTTACCGAGGTAAATAAATATTTCCAAATGGAGATTATTTTCTGTAACCATTTTTCTCCTTTTGTTTGCTCCTCCCCACAAATCAAAATTAAAAGTCCGCTGAGAAAAATATCTAATTTAGGGAGAATACTACACATGCACGCTAATTAATTATTCTATTTAGTGTATTATTAGTGAGGATTTTTATCTTGACAGATATCGTGTAGGGGGGTAGGGGGAGAGGAGGGGCGAGCAAGTCAGTAAATCAATAAAATCATCTAACTAACGATACAATTAAATATCAATGAACAGAATTTTATACTCGGATATTCATAATTAAATATGATTAATCATAACCAAAACTATGATCACCTCCTCATCTTGCTCCTCCACCTCGTACCTTTTGAAATTCACAAGAGTTAACAACAAATAACAGTAAATCCTGATGTTCAATAAATTAAAGTTAAGATTTAAAGTGAAGGGTATAAGACATTTATTTCTGATCACAAAACCAAATTAGTTAAAATCCGTCCCTCACACTGTTTAGACAAAACTCGTATACCACTAATCAGTATAGTAATTGTAATGATGGAAATGTACTCATATCGCTCAGAATTAAATAGTTTTTGTTATACGAGTTTATTATATCCTTAGCAGTTCTTATACTTGCCATAAAATAAACTATTTAATAGTCTCTTCCTTTATATATTAGTATATTCTATTATGTATATTAAAATGACGCTACCAATATTATTATGTTTGAACTACATGTCCTCTTATCATTGGGTGTGTTTATGTATAGGTAGCTTTAATAATGGATAACTCAAAATAACTAAATTCAGTAGTTTTTATATTCAAAAAGCTTTGAAGAAGTTTGACCTTCAAAGATAGAAGAAAGATATGGCTACAATTTCAAAATACTTAAAGTTTTATTATTAATTATGTTTATATTATTAACTATGTATAGGACTATTATTTTAGAGGTTGCTGCAATAAACTAAAAATATAAAAAAATCATTAAACAATTATCCTCTATTCTATTAAAATTTAAATATCTATCCTTTATTTTTAATTAGCATATCTTGATCTTGCTCTTAATTGATGACCATTGTAGTAGAAATATACTGGAATCAGAATCATGGCCACAGCAATAAAACCTAAGACTGATGAACCCCAACCGACTGGGAATCTTTCAGAACCTAGATTGATAAATAATGGCCTACCAAATAATGGGAAACAACCAGCAATGACTGATCTGAATAATGCATTACTAGCAAATACCGATGCTAAGAATCTAAAGAATGAAAAAGCCAAGTAATTGAATAAAGTTTGGAAAATGATGAACATACCAATAGCGTAAATGGAACCACCAATAAGAGGACCAATCCAATGAATATTAGGGGATGAAGTCCAACCAAAGATGAAAATACCAACTGGCATACAAATAGCACCGAAAATAGCCATTGGTAAGAATTTTTCTGGAGCAAATTCTCCACCTTTCAATACAACTTTAGTGAATTTATGATACATATATGGAACATAAATTGCAGCACCTGTTGCGACACCAATCATAATACTAACATATGTGGCACCCATTTCAATTAAGGTAAAATGATGAATATCAACAAAGACAATTGGGAAAGCTTCAAACCAAATATACATAACAGAGTAAACCAAGGCAATATAAAGATTAGTAGCTAAAACCATTGGTTCAAGAAGAGTAATCTGAATTGGTCTCCATAATAAATCAATGGCTAATTCTCTTGGAGTTAGTTTTGAATTTTCAATATGACCTTCACTTGTAATATTTTGATTTCCAGTTAATTTTCTTAATCTTTCAGCTTTTCTATAAAGGATAGTTTTACCGTAAGTTTCAGGTAAAGTCCAACCTAATACTAAGAAACAGGTACCACTAATGATAGCCATGAACCAAAATGGCCATCTCCAAGATTCGTAACCATCATGGCCACCTCTGACAACTAAGACAGCACCAATCAATGGACCTAATGATGGACCCATGACACCACCAAAAGCCCAACTGGCAAGACCAATTGGAATATATGGGAAAGTTATGATATCACCGATGGTGGCACCACCAGTAGCTAAAGCTGGAGAAGCAAAGAAACCAGCAATGAATCTAAGAACACATAAACCGGTAATACTGGTACTCAAAGCAGTTGGAATTTGTAAGATGAAAAATATGAATAATGTGATGATATATACTGAAGTTCTACCAATAGCGGCATTTTCAGTCATTGGAGATAAAAACATTGGACCAAAACCATAACCAACGACGAACATAGTTAAAGGTAAGGTAGCGATAGTTTGATCAATATTGAATTTAGCCATGATTTCTTCCTCACCAGGAGTAGAAATAGAAGATCCCACATATATCGACACAGTTAAGAATGCAACTTCACCTAATAATAAGAGTTTACGATGAAATGGCCAATTATAAGGATTTTCAGGATCATCTTCACCATCCCAACTGACGATAATTTCATCATTACCTAAATCTTTTTCAGTATCTTCATTTGACGAAGAGCTTCCACCTTCATACGCGTTTTCTCCAAGATCAGCTTGATCCTTATGATGTTTTAATGAACCATCTTCACCTCCTTCTTCTTGTTTCAATTCTGTAATATCTTTGTATCCTGGTAAATATTTTTCAGGTACTTCGTAACCAGGGAATTCTTCCTTTTGAGTGAATAGTTTATGACCTGATACTCTATTGAGAATAACACCCCAAAATGAGTTATTTATAAATGTATGTATCATCTTTATTACACGTTATATATATGTAATGATAATGATAATAATGAAGATGAAATTGACTTCAACTACAAAGGTCTAAAAATACTAAATTCTACAAAACAAAGGTCAATTCCGATTATATTTATAGTTGATGAATCAAAGATGCTCCCTGACATAAAACTTAGTAATTCATCTATCAACCTATGTTTCTATTCCAACTTATACCGAACGGCATGGCGTTAGCATTATTACAAAATATTTTCTGTTGCAAAATTATTTAATTTAAGCCTTTTTCGGTAAACGATGACAAGATCCTGTATACAGATAGAAACTCGGTATTAATGGAGGCCCAGCCGTGAGCTATTTTTGTATGGTCGGTGATACTACTAATAAACAAAGCCAAAATAAGATTCTTTTAACCGAATTGCACTTTAGAGCCCTCGGGTTTGTGTATATACAGGACCGAGCACACCCAACCCATACATAATTAATACCGAGCTTTCCAATTTCTATCCCCCATAATAGTTATGATAGGGATTTTCTTTTACCCATTTTCAAAGCTATTCATTGTTTGAGCATAAATTTTTCCGTAGTTTATATGATCAGAAATTCTGGAATCCATGGAACATTGGGTGGAGGAGAGGAGGGGATGGTAACTTTCAAAGTTATTTTGGAAGATCCTTGTTGATTTCTAAACTACTACTATTGTTTTCAATATCTTTATCGTAGTCTTTTGATGATTCCTCTTTCGATAGTCGATTTCTAAGACATGTTATAACTTATATGGATGAAGTGGTAAAGATTTACAACGTCTAACAGATCTATTGATTTCCATCAGTTTGAGAGGTCTGATTATCTCCTTTGGTTTGGTAACCTCTTTAGGTTCTATTTTCTCATTCTTATCGACTACTTCTCCAGTCATGATTCTGGTTTCTTCTGATTGATTGAGCGTTCTAAACAATCTAAAATAACGCTACCAATATTATAATTTTTGAACTACTAGTATAATTATAACATTATAAATTAACTAATTTGAGGTATCATTTATTAAATATGGTTGATAAAAGGTATAAACTATGATGATTAATCGGGATTCTTTAATATTACCAAATACAAAGTAATGATATAAGTAATATTCAAAGAGTTTTTTTTAGCAATTATAAGCACTGTAATAGTTCTACTCTCTTATCATAATAACTTTTTATAAAGAAGATAGCAAAAGCATGGAAAAATAACATTAACACTGGCGTAGCAATGGTATCATGAACCCTTTTGTTTACATCTTCACAGTTGCAATCTGACTTTTTTGTGCCAGCAACTGGCTGAGATTTGAAATTTTTGTCAATACTGTTAATTGAACTCCTTATTCTGGGAAAAATATTAGTGATGGAAAGAATATCTATAGGAATTATAGTGGATGATGTCATATTTGTCGATGATGATGATGATGATGATGATGGTGATGGTGATGGTGATTCTGAATTTACTAAGTTCTCAGCCTTATGAATGCGGCTGTATGGTGGAGGTCTCATATATACATCATAATTAGAAAGAATATTGCCTTGCATCCTTATATGACTTTATGTATTAAAAATATTTCTATATTTTCCGAATTAGATGCTTTGATACTAGAATTTTTATCTATTAATTGATAATTTTATTCTTTCCCAGATTTTTTTAAGGGAAAAATCTCTAATTTCTAAAACCTCCAAAATATGATAACACTTGAATAATTAGTCAAAGCTGAAAATGATAGAGATTTTGTCTCTATTGCCTAATATTCACCTCCGTATACGCAAGCAGCTAATGCGATTAAACATATAGTTGTAATTAGGCTGAAGTAAACAAAAATTATATTTCCAGCTGGCACGAACTGAGTGGAGCAGTTTCCACGACCTATCTTCTCAATTTCTTCTCCGATCAAGAATGTTGTGTAATGATAACAGAATATGTTAGGTGGGATTAATATGACCAACAAGGCGATCCAAGTTCTAGCTCTATTCCTAACATAATTGTAATCGAATAGGGTTGATAATACCGCTGCTAAGTGACCTAAATAAATCACAACTGAAGCCCCCACTAATCATGGATCCATTGGCATATCATTTTGAGGGTTTCAAAGTTAATTTCACTCTTCTTATCATCTAACTTGTTTGATTTATTATCGATTTCTAAACCACTTAATTTCTTAGCGTTATCATTTGGACAATTATCTTGTTGCTCTAGTAGATCCTTGTTGAGATCTAAACCGCTACTATTATTTCCAATCTCTTTATCCATATCATTTGATGAATATTCTATTATATTAGACAAAATGCTAGTTCCATCTAAGACATGATGATGAAGCGGTAATGATTTAGAGCGTCTAGCAGCTCTAGTGACTGCCGTTGGTTTGAGAGATTTAATTATCTCCTTAGCTTTGGTAACCTCTTTAGATTCCATTTCCTCCTTCTTATCGGCTACTTCTCCAGTCATGATTATGGTTGCTTTTGATTGATTGAGTGTTCTAAACAATCTACTTGATATGTTTTTAGAATTTGGCTGCCATTTTTTTTTACAGCATTCGGTATAAGATCCTTTTTCCTTTATTATTTTTATATACAGGAAGTTCCGATCGTTTAAATTTCTTTTTGGTTTGATCATCCAAAAAAATTTTCAACCCCATACTTTTTTTTTGTTTAGCTAACTGCAAATTACAGTTAAACTTTGTCATTTTTATATCAATAGTTACCCGTACGAAGTATGACCATTGCAGAATCTGTGAAGATATTGCGTACTGTGCAACAGGTCAGACAATGGCGTCTACAACGTTTGTTAAATGGTAAAACTGTCGGTTTTATTCCAACTATGGGTGCCTTACATGATGGTCATTGCTCGTTGGTTTCACAATCTTTAAAGGATAATGATGAAACTGTGGTATCTATCTTTGTAAATCCTTCTCAGTTTGCTCCTCACGAGGATTTGGATTCATATCCAAGAACTATAGATAGTGATTTATCTATCTTAGCATCTAAATTCAGATCAAGTGTCAAACAAGTTGATGCTATATTCATTCCAAAAATTTCGGAAATGTATCCTTCCGGTATAAATTTAGAAATCAGCAAACAAAGAGGTGCTTTTGTATTTGTTAAAGGTAGTTCAGAACAATTAGAAGGGGTTACCAGACCTCAATTTTTCAGAGGAGTGGCAACTATTGTAACTAAACTCTTAAATGTTGTTCAACCAACTAATATTTATTTTGGTCAAAAGGATGCTCAACAATGTATAGTTATAAAGAACTTAGTCAAAGATTTACTAATCGATACTAATGTTCGTGTCATGCCAACTTTAAGAGAATCAAATGGGTTAGCTATGTCTTCAAGAAATCAATATTTATCACCTCAAATCAAACAAGAATCATCCATCATATATAATGCTTTAAAATCAGGTGAATCCTTATATTATTCTAAAAATGCTAAAGTTGAATCATCAGAAATACTAACTCAAATCAAAACTGTCTTAAATTTAAATCCAAACTTTAAAATCGAATATGTTTCAATCAATCATCCTGAAACTTTAGATGAAATAGATTATATTGAACCAGGTGTTGGTGCTTTAATATCATTGGCTGTATTGGCTCCAAAGGAAAACTCTGATGGTCATGCTAGATTGATTGATAATATCATATTACATTAATGTAAACCTAACAAAACGAAAACCGTATAAAATTACATCCTAATTAACGATCTCATTCCCATACTTAATATTTAATTTGCATTCTTCTATCAATACCATAATTAGATCGATAGATAGATATAAATACATACATAATACATACACATTTATACAGATGGTGTTTTTTAAAATGCCATTCTACGCTTTTTAAAATCGATTTTATTAGATGTAGAAGATTGAAATGATTTCTTCTTTAACTTTTTCTGTTCTTGTTGACCTTGATATGTCTTTAAATCTTGTTGTAAAGTCTGTTCGAATTGATCTTTATCAATATACTTGAAATCAAGTTGATTATCATTTTGAAGTCTCATTTTACTTCGATAATCCGCCACATAAAAGAACTTATATCCAAATTCTAATAACCATGTAGGTTCAACACATGTCACGAAATTCATATACTCTTTAGTTGTCAATACTAATTCATGATAAATGACATAAGGAGTACTTAAACTACTATTATTAATCAATGAACTAGTAGGATGAAGATACATCTTCATATAATTATGTCTTAAATTGATGAATTCAAGTTGTCCATTCACATTTACTTTAGTTAATTTCGCCAGCTGTTGATAAAATGATGAACATAAGCATTTCCGAATGATTGTATCATCATTACATCGTTTCATAATCAATTTATTCTTCTTCATGATAAGTTTTAATTGATTCTTAATATCTTTAGCTCGTAATAATGATTTTAATTGTAAGAAATTCTTATTACACCATTGATTCAATTTATAAAAGTTATTTCCTACTTTCCTAGCATTTACTTCCCATTGATTAAAGATATTCAATAACGTTAAATGATCAGATTCATTAATGATAAACTTCTCCCTTGCTAAATCACTCTCTTTCATTCTTTCCTTAGGTCGATAAAATACATTAGGAACAGATAACATCGAAACTATCGTCAAAATTTCCTCACTACATCCGAATGCAATAGATTGAACAATTAATTTCGCCAACGTTGGCTCGATAGGGAATTGATTCATTAATTTACCTAATTCAGTCAATTCTCCAAAATTATCAAGAGCATCAATCGACCATAAATCATATAATGAACAATTTAATAAATCCTTCGGAGGTGAATCTAAAAACGGGAAAACATTGATATCTTCCACATTCAATGATTTTAATAAAAGCATAATATTACTTAAATTCGTTCGTTGAATTTCAGGTATAGGTTGTAAATACATTTTATCTTCCAGAGTGGCATTTTCAGTGTATAATCGATAGGTTACCCCTGGACCTGTTCTACCTGCTCTACCACTTCTTTGATTAGCATTAGCCATTGAAATTGGCACTACTTGTAAAGTATCCATACCTAATTTTGGATTATATACTTTCATCTTCGTTAAACCTGTGTCAATCACATATTTGATTCTTTCCACTGTTAATGATGTTTCAGCAATATTGGTGGCAACTATAACCTTTCTCAGACTTGATTTATTAAAGATCTTCTTTTGTAAATCTTGGGGTAATGTAGAATATATAGGTAAGATTTCCATAGGAGGTGGATTATCTAACATTTCTAATTTCTCTCTAAGTAATTCACAAGTTATTTCAATATCTTCTTGACCTGTCATGAAAACTAATATATCTCCACTATCGATGGTTTGTTGTAAATGGATAGTTAATATTTGTTTCACAGCTGAATCAACATAATCTGAACAACTCAGTTTACTATACATGATTTCAACTGGGAAAGTTCGACCTGGAATGGTGAATTGAGGTGCATCTCCAAAATAATGAGTAAACTTATCGGCATTCATGGTAGCACTAGTAACGATCAATTTCAAGTCTCTTCTTCTTTGAACTAATTGTTTAAATAATCCCAATAAAATATCAGTACTTAAAGTTCTTTCATGAGCTTCATCCATGATGATACACGAATAGCTACTTAATAATGGATCAGTCAAAATCTCTCTCAATAGAATACCATCTGTCATATACTTTATGATAGTTTTATGATTATCTGTTTTATCTTCAAATCTAATTGAAAACCCGACTTCTTCACCTAATTTACAATTCATTTCTTGACTAACTCTTTGAGCAACCGACATAGCAGCCATACGACGAGGTTGAGTACATCCTATCATTCTTCGATCTTTATTTTCATCTATATTTGATCCATACCCTGCCTCATAAAGAAATTGGGTTAATTGAGTAGTTTTACCTGAACCTGTTTCACCAATGACTATTGTTACTTGGTTTTCATTTATAGTTCTTAATAACGCATCTTTAACTGAAAATGCTGGCAATGTTCGTCTTTGTATCTGAATGCTTTCGAATTCACTGACAGATGGTAAAGATTCCTCATTAGTCTTATTCTGTGTTTTAACAGGTGGTGCAGATTCATCATCATCATCCCCGGCACCCAAGACATTACTCACTGCATTTTGGACACCAGCTCTGTCTTGTGCTTGTTTGGCTCTTTCCTTTTTCGTTTTTCTATCCTTGACCACAAAACTCCCCTTCTTTGATGAAACCGATAATTCAGATGTTGAGTCTTTTATTGGATGAACTGTTGGTCCAATGTTCCCAACAGACATACCTGTACCAATCAGCAATTGTAAATATTCCTTTGAATTTTCCAAAAAAGGAGGTATAAAACTACTGGATGCTAACGGAATCCTACTTAAGTCATCTCCTCTATGATCATGATCAAAATCGATATAAGCACCAGTGACCGGATCAAAACCTCCCCCTGACTCATGCAGTTTCGTAAATGTTCGGTTGGATCGTCCTGCTGGTTTAGGATTGTACGAGTCTAGATCTTCATAATCTTCTTTAGTTGCTGTGTTCAATTCTTCAGACATATACCATTCTCTATCATTTTCAATATTGAAATCAAACTTCTCATCTTCTTCTTTTAATACGTTGAAATCATAATCGTCATCTCGTTCAGAATCTGCTTCTGAGCTATTTTTCAAATTGCTGAATAAATTGGTGTTTCTTTTCTCTTGAGCATTGACTGGTTTATTTAATGATATTGAATTGGGATCAACTTCTTCCTTTAAACGACGTGCGTCCTCTTGTTTTATTTTCTTGAATTTAAACTTAGGAGTAGTTTCAATCTTCGCTACGTTATCAATTTCCAACTCATCATCAAAGTAATCAAGCTTTACTCTGGGCTTTGGATTGGCTTTGTTCACATTTAGTCGTTTAAATGTGGATTTATGTGAATTCTGGTCCTCTTCAGCTAACTCATCATCAATTGAAAGCAACAAATTAGCATTTCTATTCAGCTTTTTCTTAAATGTTGGTTTACTAACAGTTACTGCATTTGACACTGTGGAATCTCCAAGGATACCTATATTATCTCGTATGAGGCCATAAATTTCATTTATATGTTGTTGATCATGTAATCCTAGTACCTTAACATATGCCGTAAAGGCATCAGATGCATTGTTTCGATTGTAAAATGATTGTAGACTCCTTGTTAAGTTGACATTGACAGGTTTATTGAGATACTGGGAAAGCTTATCTGTTATTCTTGACTCTATATCATCTTTATCTGACATATCACGGACTATACCACAAAGTACTTCTTATCTGATTTGAAGAAACTGTTTATATTTTTAGGCATTGCACAAATAGTCCGCAAAAAAAAATACATCAAAAAAATCAGGAATATCTTTCCAACTAACATCATATATTGCAAACTAGAAACAAAGACTTGATGAAGGTAGGTTCATTGGTATGGGGGTTAGCGAGATATTTAGAGAATCATATCTTTGCAGAAATTTCACTATCACCGGCTCCAAGTAATAGCAAAGAAGTACAGCATTTATTAGAAAATTTCCGAAGATTAGGCAATCTTGAGTTCTTTAAAGTGGCTAGAAACAGATCAGGTTTATCAACATATGGGTCCAAGATATGGCTCATTTACAATCCCCTGGAGAATTCCACCCTCTTGAAGCCACGATTGATATCACATAACAACCAATTACCTTCAAGCTTTCCACATGTTGATCGGCTACGAGAAAAGCAAAGTGAGATATCGAAACGATTGTCAGGATTAATAGCTTTACCAAGATATTCTTATATCGAAGAAGATAGAGAATATCTCCATGGAGATACAGAAATTCCGTTTAATCATCGATTGACTCGAGAAGGGTTGAAATATGACCACAGATATTCAATATTAGCATCAAGAGCTACACATCAATTCTTAGAATTGGAAATCGAAGCCGAAGAACAAATAGACCCAAATGATCTTCGAAAGAATTTAAGACACAATTTTCAGAAATTCCATAAATTTGATTCGGTGAGTATAACTACGAGTCCAGAAACCTTAGGTCAATGGATGAGAGATAAAGACTATAGACCAATTGCAAATAAGGTACCGATAACTAAATTTAAAGGATTCTACGATTAATGACTATTATTTAAATGTACGATATGACTATTATGTATTATTATTATTATTATCTATCTAGAAATATTATCTACTGTATTTGTATCTTTCTCTAATACCTCGTTCAAGTAATTCAATCCAATTTGTTGTTTTAACAACACTTCGGAAAGTTTCTTAACGATTTCATCGGTATTCTTTTGATCTGCCCCACTTTGATCATGAATTTCTTCGGAACTTATACCATTTAAGGCATTAAGAGAAGAATCAAATTGAAAGTTTAAATCTTCAGCTCTCTCTTTAAGAATGGCTAATCTTGCAAACACATCATTTAATTTTCCAATTGGACTGTTAGGATCACTTAATTTGGATGATAATACTTCAAATTGTTTTGAAATTTCTTCTTCTTCCGGTAATAATGGGTATCCTTTCAATTTTAAAATAGCTAACACAGTAGCTAATCTAAGTAATCTTCTAGATAACTTAGTATGTCTCGCCTTAGCTCTTAAGATTCTAGTTGTATTTTCAAGATCATGTTTTGATGATAATGCATTTTGTTTTTCGTTGATATTATTCAACAATATTCTTGATTTAGCAACATGATCTAATTGAACTTCAATTCTTTGTGCAACATCAGTAAATGATGTTATTTTAATAGGATAGGAGTTTGCACTTGGTCTCTTGCTCATAGCAGCATCCCAATCTTCTGGAGTTTCGTTGGATGGTCTTTGTTGATTCAATAAGATCTGTATTTCTTGATCACTGAATTTATTATAAAAATGAGTTTTAAGTACACATTTGGCTGAATTTGGATCCCATTGTTCTTTTATCTTCTCTAATTGATCATTGATGGCTGGTGTATATGTATTAGTGTTCGTATTTGACGTGATGGTATTTCCGTTTATATTGGTGCTGTTTAAAGTGGTTGCTGTGGTATTGAACAGTGGTTTTTGAGATTGATTACTAGTCCAACCAAAAGATGGTTGTGCATTATTTGTGGTGTTGTTACCAAATAAACCTGTGGATTGCTGTTGTTGTTGTTGTTGTTGTTGTTGTTGAGGTTGTTGTTGCTGTTGTTGAGGATTTTGGCCGAAGAGATTAGATGACGTAGAAGCAATATTACCACCAAATAAACCACCTGAAGTTCCTGTAGTAGCTGTATTTGATGATCCAAAGAGACCAGTTCCAGTATTTTGTGCTTTATTACCAAACAATCCTCCACTGGCAGTGTTTGTACCACTAAATAATCCTCCGGTGTTTGATTGAGGGGCAGTATTATTAATAGTATTGGTGTTAGCTGATGATCCAAAAAAACCACCCGCATTAGTACCAGTAGTGGTACCCGTTGAACCAAACAAACCAGTCGACGATGCTGCTTTATTACCAAAAAGACCTCCTTGAGTACCTACTGGTTTATCGGTTGGACCAAGATTGTTTGCAGTTTGTGCAGAACCGAATAATCCTGTTCCAGTTGAGGCTGGTTTTCCAAATAACCCACCACTGGTATTTCCTGAAGCTTGACCAAATAAACCATTGCTTGCTGTATTATTATTATTTGCTGCTCCAAATCCTGTATTTTGAGCATTACCTGTGGCATTGGAACCAAATAAACCAGTTCCAGTTGTATTATTATTATTTGCAGCTGTGTTTGTATTTCCAAACAATCCATTACTTGTATTGGTATTTGATTGACCAAATAATCCTCCTGATGTACCTGTATTAGGATTTGGTGCTCCGAATAAAGGAGTTTGACCAGTAGCACCAGTAGAACCAAAACCAGTTCCTGCAGGTTTGGATCCAAAAAGACCAGAGTTTGCGTTGGCTGATCCAAACGTACCCTGTCCAGTATTACCTCCTGTTGAAAACATTTTATATGATTAACAGAGTCTATGAATTGATCGATGAATCAAACCTTTCTACTTTATGATTCAGCTTGAATCTGCTCGAGTTTTTTCTTCTTGTTTACAGTACTGAAAAAAAAATAAAAAATAGAAATGGTTGCACTGTATACAGGAAAATGATATCAAAATGCTTTATAGTACTACAAAGTTTGAATTCAACTTTTTGAAGTTATATATGTATATATAAATAATATTTAATCTATGTGAATATACTAATCATGTGTAGTGCAAATTAAAGGAATAGAACATAAAATGCTCTTGAACCAGTATGGTTTTTTATGAAATGAAATGCAAGAAAATAAGGACAATCTATCAGATTTGAGAGTCCTTACGAAAGTGTTTTACAACGCAATTGTGATTGCAATTGGGAGATTGTTCTATGATACTCTCGTCTTCGTTATTGTGTGTTTGTGGGGGAGTTCGTGAAATTTTTAATGATAATCTTAAGCTGATTCTTTAACTTCTCTAGCTTTTAAAAATTCAGCAGTCTTTTGTTTATCTTTTGAAGTACCTTGATAAACTGGGGAAGGATTTAAATGAATTTGTTTTTCAACTCCTGGGATTTTCTTTTCCAATTTCATATGTTCAAATATACATTTACCTAACACACCTTCTGATGGTCTACAATGACCAGTTCTATGATTTTCTTGTTCTAAACATTCATAATGTAATTTAAATTCATCAAAACAATATTTATTGATATCTTTTAAAACTGAAATAGCACATCTGGTAACTCTTCTACCTTCTTTCAAACAGTCTAAGGTACCTCCATTATTTTCATCTTTACATAACATAAAGTCATCATTATATGGTTTACATTGAGCACCTATGAAATATGATGCTGCTAATAAAGGAGCTGAGGTAGCACCAACTTCTTCAACTTCAGGTATACTGGTTGGTAATTGATTATTATCGACATTTTCCCACTGATGTCTGGAAGTAAAAAGTCCACCCAAAACCATTGTATGTTATTGTTTATATGGTTTAATGATTTAGAGCTTAACGTATTCAGATATCTCTAATTATAATAAATAAATATCTGAAAAAAAAAATAAGTGCGAATTGTCGTCGTTTGGTTGGTGCTGAAATTTACTTAGGATGTCTACTTACAACTGTGTAAATTAGAGCCTGTTGCTCACGTGAATCTATCATCATTTATATTATAGGGTATTTATACATTTACATCTATCTATTACCTTCTTTTTAGTAAAGCAATTAGTTCTGATTCATGACCGATTACTTTGTAGACATTCAATAGTTCTAATATTAAATTACTGTTGTTTTTCTCGCCACGATTGTTAAGTTGTAATTTTACAATCTGTTCTAAATAACTTTTAAATTCAAACTTTATGGATGAGATTTTATGATGTAAGTAGTTATGTATGAATAAGCTGGAAGTATCACTGTTTCCATTACCATTTAAGTTTGATTTCTTTTGATTTAGTTTATTATTGTCGGACTTCTCTGAATCAAGATCGGAATTTTTAGCCACATTAGTATGAGAACTTACGAATTGATATAGATGAGCTATTGATAAATACATTCCTGTTAGACTCTTCACTTTGCTTATAACAACGTCCACATCCTTACTTACTTCATTAGAATCTAACATTAGAGCATTTTCAAAATTTGTAACTTGATCATTTAACACAATATTCAATTTAGCTAATGTCTTCACATGAATTAATTGTTGTCGCCTGTTTAATGCATTATCCAACATCTCTTGTGATTCTTCAAATCTTTTATAATGATTGACTAAATCTAACTTGAAACTCTTTAAATCACCTGAAACAAGATTGATCAAATCTAATCCACCATTGATTGATTTCCCCAATCTAATGAAGTCATTATAGTCGTTATTCACCAAATCTAGCAAATTTTGATTCAAGTCTTTGGATAACTTTGTCAACTCCTTGATTAAGAGATCTATGGATGTAAATCTATGATTCTTATATAAAAACTCGTCGATTTCAGCTTGATTAAAGCTTTTGAAATCAGTTCTGTTTATAGATATTGGGTATGGGAAATCATCATTTCCGTTTAATATATCAAGATCGGACATGATTGATGATAATGTGGTATGAATATGCTGGTGTAGATGACTTGTTAGTAGTAGTTATTTGATATATACACCTGTTCGTTAAATTCACTCGTACTTTTTAATTAGAAAAATGAAAATAAACACATAAGATCGTGATAAAACCTCCATGCCGCAGTATATTTAACATTGATCCTTACTGAAATTATCTTAATGAGCTTCAAATTGGTACCTTTAAAATCCCTGTCAGATTGCCCATAGTTGGATTTTTCTTAGTTTTAGTCTGTACTCATCCAATTCACATTGTCATATTGTCTACCTTGATCTATAGAGTCCAACAATCAAATGAGAAAAGAAAAAAATTGTGTCAAAATAAAATCCTTTTAACATTTTAGTTCATAAGCCATATGTCAATCGTAAATGAAGTTCAAAAGCACTTTATCTATAAAATGACTATTTTGTATATGAAATTTCATTCATAATGATTGCAAGAATATTATTTAGTAATGATTATTGTTTCAATTTTATTTTCCGTTCTGAAAAGGACCGTTAAGTTGACATGACATGCACTAAAACAATACAATCCAAAAAAAATTTGTAATTATGTTCACTAGTTGGTTACCCTTATAAGTCAAAAAAAAAGACGGATTCCTATTTTCAATCAAATTCTGGTTATATAATTTGAAACAGCTATATCAACTTCTTTGAGGTTAAGAGTCGTAGCTATCATTTGAGTTCATGTAAAGTTACAGCTATCGAAACTACAGATAGATACTTTGGAATTGATAAAATAATTTAGCAAGCATTAAGTTGCTAAATCAAAAGGTTATTATTTATGGATTTTATTTTTACATTTCTCCTTAAGTCGTTTACATTTGCCATCTAGTTATAAAATATCTGTCTATAGCTTATGCGTCCGTGAAGGCAGACGCCTCTTTCAGATTATTTGTAAATAAAAAGCTGTACCATGTATAATTCCCCCTGTAATATTTTTTAATATTTTATGATAATAATATTCTACATTTACTTAGGAACAGTGCGTTATTTCTAAATTGAGCCAGGAACATAACAAATTTAATTGAATTTGGGGGGAGATGTTACAGAATAGAGGCATGGCTCTCAGTGCGTGCGAAAACGGTTTAAATAATTATCAGGGGGCGCGATGACACAAAACTATAAACTAATAAAAAATAAATAAAGAAAATCTGATTCAAAAACAATTTCCTGGAAACAAAGGTGGATAGTGCATACGCATTGGTTTGTTCAAAATTTTCACCGGAATGTTTGATTTTCAGGTTAAGTTATTTTCCTTCTTTCAGTTTTCTTTTTGATTTCCCCTTTTATAATTTCTTTTTATTGTCAGAATTATGTTTTTTTTAACTCTGATTTCAAGATGAAAATGATGTTTGGCATCTCCTCATCGATATTTATATAATCGATTTATAATACATATAGCTTATACGGAAGAACTGTAAACCTGAAGATTGTAACTGAAATTAAATGAAGTAAAATTCTCACTATATTTGAAAGCCTCTCTGCAATATGAATTAGGATTTTCATTATTTCACTTCATATTCATATTTACCTCATTTTTTTATTTATCGTCATTTTGCAATATGGGATAACAGCCTGTATGGATTGCAAACAAAAAAAAAACTAAATTAAAATAGACTATATCTGACCTAAAATGAACAATTATCATTCAGATTAATTTCTTCCTCTAATAAACTTGTCTTATCACACGGCATTTGAAAAATGTGTTCCTTGATTTCGATAATAACGGCAGTAACTATGACCCAGTTAATACGATTTCACATAATTAATGTTTTGTATCTAATGTAATAATCTGCCTCAGTTTTTTGCAATCGCCAAAAACCATTATCGTAATCATTGTAAAACAATAACCAACGTAATCCTATTCTTTTCCGAAAAAAGGTTTCAAGTAAAGATTCGCCGGAAAAGGGCTCACCTATGTGGAAGTTGACCCAAAGAGGTGAAGACTTGAGTTAATGTCCTATAGTATTGCAATCAGTAGAACTAGTACCAAATGGTGAACTCATAAAAAATAAACATACTTTAGATTATCTGACAGAAGTCAAGTATTATCTACATCTATGACATCAGAATTAGGGTTTATCAGTAATATATTTAAGGGAGTGTTACATAAGTTTGAGGAATTTGCAATATAGTTGCATATTTTTACATAGAGGACAGTTTCAACCGAATAGTACTCCGTTATTTGAGCTCGTTCCCCTTTCTAATTTGCTGCAATCGCAATCCTCAATGATGTTAACGAAGTTATAATATAATATTGTACAATGATATCTTATTTTTAATATAATTTGGTGCACAAACTTAAAACTCTTTTTGAATTTCGGTTTCGGATTAACTATATCCTTTAACTAATAAGTCTATTAAACAATCTATCAATCTTCAGCAATGATGATAACTATTATCATCTAAATATTTTGTGGAGAACACCTCAAATTTTATCTTGTGATAATAATTGATAGTATTTTTAGTAGATTTAATTTAGATAGCTATAGAATTCAACCGAGAATCGTTTCTTTTTTAAACACAGTCTAATAAGAAATTTCAGGATACCTAAGGTAAGAGGTGTATATACATACACAAATTGATAGACTAACTAGATGTATAGAATAAACGATAATGCTAAATTTCGGATAATTGTAACAATCAAATCAATATTGTACTTGCATACACCGATTCGCTATATCCGCCTTATGCTTATACTAAGGCAAAATATTCCAAACCACGATGTCAATAACTACAATCTTGCATAAGTACAGCATAGTAATGTGGTGGTGAAGTAAAGAAGGTACTACAATAGTCAACTAAACTAAATAATATATCTAAGAGGATAGTACAAAATTAAAATTAAAATAAAAAAATAATGGAAGAAAGGGAAACGATTTTAAAAAAAAGAAAAATCTAATGACGACATAGTATATAGCAAGTCAAATAACCCCCCAAAGTACCAACATAATTTGCCTTATCATAATACCGTCTTTCAAGGATGCAGGAACTTTTTCAAAAACAAAAGTTGTGTGTGTAAGTTTAAGCGCGGACTATTATCACAGCGTAAAAAATAAAATTTAAGGCAAATCGATTGACCTCCTTACCGTAACAAACAATATCTATTTTGAATAGAATATGTCAAATTGGTAGAGAATGGATTTGATTTGTGTCTTGCTCTTCTTGATATTCTCATGTGGGAAAGACCTGCTTTTCCGTATCAAAGATAATGAGATTGCCTTGTTTATACGTTACATTGTTAAATTCTTGTGGCTGCTTTTTTTTTGTCTTTTTTCGTTTGGTTTGCGCTTTTTAGAGTGGAGAATTCTTTGAGTTTTTGACGCTAACTTCAGAATGGAGAGAAAATGAAATGCCGGACTTCACTATCCCCTTCTATAGACTTTATGCTTTACACTTATTAGATGAATCTAACATGATCTAAGAGAATGTTGAACCTAAGATTATAGTTTTGTTTGTTTTCTTTACTAATTTTGAAAAGCAACAGCAAGTATAAATAAAATATAAATAAAAATATCAATAGTAGTTTAGTTTAGGTTCAACCCCATTAATAATATCCTTATGGCGAAGGTTTTTTGTTTTTGTTTAAAAGTAAAAAATAAAAGATTATTTTGAACGGAGTGTGATTGAGAGAGAAAAAATAAAAAGGTGTATCTGATTTGTACCTGCCGGTACTCGTTTTGTCCTCGGAATCGTCCTCCAAATTGCAATTTAATTTTTTTTTAACTTCTTTGTTTTAATTCAGCTGTTTTTTTTTTTTATTTATGAATGTGTGAGTTACACACAAAATAAACCTTAGTCCTATTATTAAGAACAATAGCACTGATTGATAGTAGTCTATTCATCTCGGTGTCTAATGATTTGAGTAACGATGGATTAGGCAATACTATAAACTTCGAAGAAGTCGTACAATTAAAATAATATTGTCTCAATAGGAACAGAATAGTCGTCAATAAAAGAGTAAGCCTATCAACCAAGATCATAACAATATATAATTAGTTAACAATAAACGCTAGATGGCATCTTGTTGTATTGGTAATAATGGAAAGTAAGCGTAAATGTAAACAAATCAAACCTATTAATCAATATTAATTATGAGTGAGTGAGTGAGTTCGTTATCTGAACAACTGAAATTAGTCAGTGAATTAATCACTTATGATTTTTTATCCTGCTCTACTATTACCAAGTGTCATGTACGTCTAAAACAAGTAGATAAAACTGTTACGTTATATAAAAATACTTTAATTAGATACGTTCTGGCATCCATTTGGTTTAGTAATGAATATCAAATGTCTAGATCCTTTTAGCACAGGTTTTTCTTCAACCGGTTATATGGCTTTAAAAAAATATCTGGGTTTTTTTTTTTTAGTTGCAAGTGACAAAAAGAGCTATATTGCCAAATCAGGAACACAAATTTCAAGAGTACGTAATTGATATTATTTTCGACGCGCGTACAAACACACAAAAAAAAATTAAAATTTGAGAGTGTAAACTTTAATTGAAAATAGGAACAAAGTTGACGTGCATAAAAAATAATTTGTTGGTGCGGGTACTTTATTTTTACAAACTTTTCTTTTCTCTCACTCTAATTCTTTTTTTTTTTTTTTTTTTTATTTATTTATTTTCATGATGAATTATTTTCTAGTTAGGATAAATGTAAAAAAATAAAATAATTACCAAACTCACAGCTTCTCATATAAATAATAAATGTATAAAAAAAATATAATAATATATATATACATACGGATTCGTCTTTTAAAAAAAATTTATGTTTTCTGATTTGTATAGTTTGTTATAAAAAAGAATTGATCTGATTTGAAGTCTTTTTGAACATCTATTTGGTAATTAATTCATTTGTACTACTATTTCAACCACGGTCAAACGGTTTAATCAAATCCTGATCTAATCTCAAATAATAATTCACTGAAATCAGGAGCAATCATTCATTCCTAACTATTTGTGATTGTGATATTGTTTTTATTAAAGAATTAAAGGTTTTCAACTAGTTAATATACTTCAACTATCACTTATAACTACTAATTTAGTTTGAAGTACAATTGGTATTGACTATTTGTAAGTACGGGTTTTTTCAAATATAATTTTCAAACAAAAAATAATATTTTTAATCTTTTGTGTGTGTATATTGGTGCCTACAATTTTTTTTCATTGTGTGGTATAGTAAAGTTAATTTTACTTTACAACAACAAAGGTATTCGATATTAGAGGAACAATTACGGGATTTTGAAACGATATTCAAGATCAACTGAAACATTGTTGAAAGCTACGAACAAAATTAGATTGGTTGCAATTACTTTAAAGAAGGGGTATTCATATTAAAAGAACTTCACTTATAAGGATATTTTTAAGTTTCAGTTACAAGGAAAATCTACGCATTATACCATGTCAACTGTAGTCTACTATTCGAACCATAATATGCCAGTTGAAGACGTTCATTCCAAACATATATTACCTTCATTAGCTCAAATTATGCCTCCAGTTAATCAACAACAAGCTCAACAGCAACAGCAACAACAACAACAGCAAAATTATCATACAGATTTGGGAACTGCTGCTGCGGTTGCAGCCGCTGCCGCCCTTAACAACGCCAGTTCAAATCCTATTCAACCTGGTCAAATCTCTCCTAATTTAGTAGGTAATAATTTAATGCCAATGATGTTTGGTGATCAAAAAGTTATGTACCTCCAGCAACCACAACAAGGCTCTCCAGAAGTTTTTTCACAAACTAGTCAATCCTCAACTGCTAATACTACTCCTGCTTCTTCCTTCAGTGGTGCTTCCGCTAACTATTCAAATAATCTACATCTTCATCCTTCTCATAACCATTCTTCTACTTCGAATGGTACCCTTTCTGAAACTGAAAAATGTATTTGTAAATCTAATACCAATAGAATCCCAAGACCAAGAAATGCTTTTATATTATTTAGACAAAAATACCATCAATCTGTCTTGGACGAAGGTAATGTTATTAGAACTAATCCAGAAGTATCTAGAGAATTAGGTAGAAGATGGAGAGCTTTAACAACTGAAGAAAAGGGCCATTGGAATAATTTAGCCGAAGAAGAAAAGAAGAACCATGCTAAGAAATATCCAGGTTATAGATATACTCCAAGAAGAAATGGGAAGAATAAAAACTGTAATTACTGTCGTCAAAAAGCCATTAGACAACAACAAGCTGCTGCCGCCCAACAACAACAACAACAGCAACAACAACAGCAACAAGTCCAAGCACAGCAACAACAGCAAGCTCAAGCACAACAATATGCAGCTGCTCAATTACAACAAGAACAGTATCAACAATATTTACAAATACAACAACAAGGTCAATCACCAGTACAAGCTATACCGCAGCAAGCTGCTCAAAATAATTTCTTAACCGGAAACTCTAATCATAATCAACAGTTTATAATTTCAACTAATCCATTCCAAAATGCTTCTATCAACAATAATGCCATGATTGCCCCAGCCGCTCCTCAAAACTATCAATTTTCATTTAATAATAACGCTACTAATAATAATCCTAATGTAAATAATAATACTGGTAATGATTTAACTCATTCAACTGGTGCTCAAGAGAAATTATCCCCATTATCGAACGTTCCAGGTCAAATAGGTCAACATTATGGATTACATCCCCATCAACAACCTGCTGGATCAGGTCCAACATCTTCCAATGGTGTTATAGGTGGAAATAGTAATGAATTTGGTGGACAATTTACTATTGGAGGTTATGATCAAGGAGTTCCAGCTAGTAACCAACAAAGATATAATTCTTTACCAAATCCACTTAATAATAATGGTCCAAATGCTGGTGGTTATAGTTTTGATGCTTATAATTCTCAACAACAATAACTAATAACATAAGATGGGTGGTTTAGGTACATACATAACTGTGCATGTATGGGGTTTATTTTTTTACACCATTTCATATTGGATTAGAGGAACTGGCAACTATAAGTTTACAGGCTCCTGGTCCAGAGTATAAGTGGGAAAAGAAGGATAAACTGGTGATGATGATTATGATAATCCTTGAAGACTTTAGATAAATTTTTTTAAAATTTATTCTTTTTTCTTTATTATTCTGTTATTATTTATTTTATTAATTTGCTTTTTGTATAGTTATGTTTGCGTTTCTTGTTTGAGTTTCTGTTAAAAGGTTTGATTTTATTCTGTTACAAGTAATATATATATATTATTAATTATTTCTTACATCGTATTATAAAACTGACTAAAAACAGTTTCAGTTTCAAATTTTCTCTAAATTTTGATTTTTTTTGCAAGGAGTAAATTCAGGGCCATTTCGTTCATGAAACCAAATGAACATTCAATCGACTTAACCATAGCACTAGTTGCAACAACTATCATTGCAAAGTTAGTGATTTTAAGTATTACAACCTTCTGATGTGGGGAATAACTCCCGCTACCCGTAAACACTTTGGCTGACACTAAAAATTTAAATTAGGAGGTATATAGAGTGCGAGAGGCGATTTATACTAAGTTGTCCGAAATAAGGACAGGGAATTTTGGAAACCAAAAAAAAAAAAGCTAAAAAGCAACAAATTTAATTTTTTATGAGATTATTTTTTGGATCCGCTTTGTGTCATTGACCACATATTATTATTTTTTACATTTCAAATATTTTTGAAGAAAATAAAACTCCCTCTCCAATTTGTTTTTTTTTAATCTGAATTAAATTATTATTATTTTTTTTTTTAGTTTTATTTTAGTTATCAACAAATTAAAATAATTTTATTGAGAGTAGTAAGCGAGACAGTGTAAAGATATGTTGGCGGTATTCATTTCGTTTTATGCCTGTTATTTGGTCTTAATTTATATGATTTAATTTCTAATATTCAAATTTGGCATTGATTTGTATTTAAATATAAATTCAATCCAGTTATTATTCTTTTAGAAGTCAAAGTTTACGGCTTTTCAACGTAATTTAAAGTCTGAAAAAGCAATGCCTACATTAGGGAAGGTTTTACCAGGTGCGGCAAAATTTGAGTTTTTGTCGCCTTTATTTATTTTCAGTTGCAGTAGCGCTTTCAACATTATAAGGAATATCCTGCATTGAAAGCCGGTAAAATAGGTAATCTTTTAGATTCACTCACTATCCCAATTTCTTCATTAGATTAATATAATAACGACGGGGCGACACAAATGAATCAGAAATGATCATATATGCTATAAAGTGTATCTATTTAATTTTTGTGATCGTCAAATAGGACCGTTATATCCATCGGGTACCTGTGATTTTGCCTTAAGACTTGCAGTTAATCTCAATTGCTATCGTACCTCAACCTTAAACTATTCGGTAAAAGTGGAACATTTTAAGTTGATGATTCTTTAATTTTATTGTCCCCTCTTGAATATTTACGTTCATCCAGCATTAAACTAATAGTAAACACCTTTTATTATTAACTCATGACCAAAACGAATAATTTTGGTAAGCTATTGAATGTTACATTGTCAATGTTCGTAGAGCTTTTTTTTTTGCGCTATCTTCTTTTACTCGGTATTCCAATCAAATATTCCATACCATTATAAAAGTAATAAAGTCACCACATTCTACATGATTTGAATGGATTTTATAAAAGTAAACCACAAAGTCATTATTGTATGACTTATATGGTCATGAGGAAAGTCCAAGGTTCCAAATGAAATTATAAAATAGTGAAAGCGTTATAAAGAAATGGAACCTAGAGTAAACTTTAAACCCTAGATTTCTTTCCTGGCAATTGGTCTCAATCATGAAACAACGCTGTAAAAATATATTGGAAAATATGGTGACCGCAACAGACCATCTTACAAATTCGAATGCTCTCACCATCCACAGGATATATAAACAAAAAAATATACTAGAAAAGAAATAAAAAGAAACAAGATGGATAATTTATCCTTTGGTTAGGAGCTCATTGTTTAACTCCTGCGTTTATTTTGTAAATAAAATGATTTAAGATTATCGAGAGACATTAACTATCTACTGCTTAGTCATTCAACCAGGTGGGCAGTGGAGAGTTTTCATTTTCTAAACAGAGGGGAGAATTAAAGTTGAACTCAGAAAAGTTGATAAATAAAACTTAAATTAAATAAGGACAAATATCCATTAGATAATCAAGCTATCGCCACCCTCCATGTTTCCAGTTTAGACTTTAAAATTTAGACCAGGCTATTAACCATAAATGTTTTGAAATACGGATTGACCAATATGGTAAAAATCAAATAAACAATGAATCAGAATTGTTGCAATTCTTCGCTTGATCAAACTTTTCCCAAACATAGCCTTTAAATTTTCTCATGATAAAGATAAAGAAAGCAACTGTACAAATTTCCTATTACAGTAAAGAACTATCGAGAAAATTATTCTACGTAAACGTATAACTAGTCGACTATTGGGAATTTTTTATCAAACCTAAGCAGGCATTGATAGTGATATCACAGCAAGAATAATCAGGAACAATCAATAGATAGTAAACAAAAGGTTTAAACAAAGCATGGCATAATGTAGATGAATGAATTAGACGAAAAAGTTTTGAATCTTAAATATAAACAATAAATAATATATCTTCCATTGATTCTACCGAGCTAAAATGAAATTGCATAGAAAATAAAACCTTAGAACAACCCTAAAATGTAAATAAATATAGTTAATAAAACAAAAATTAACGAAAAGGAAGTATCTCTTAAACAAAACAAGAAAAAATATGGTGACGATTTAGTATAAATTAGAGAGTTCCATCTTTAAAACAATACAGTTCCTACCTCAATCGGTGTGACAAAAACAAGTTTAATAATATGATTTTGATACTTGCGTACATAATGACATACATACAAGCCTAAAAGGATCTTCTGATTCAGATTTTAAGTTATTTTTCATCTTGTAATAATTACGGTTTGATCACCCGTAAGATTTTGGTTATGGAAACAGGTTATAAACCATGAGAAAAATATCTTACACTAAGTAAGCATGTATATTCACAGATTTATTGCAAATCAAACCAAAGCGTTGGTTATTACGCCGTACCAGGCATATGAAATTACACATATCAACTTGATTGTCATATGTATAAAACGGAATTGTATATCCTCCTCAACAATGCGTACCTGAAAATTATAGTAAACATCTTTTTGTCTTTTTATTTTTTTTTATTTTTTAATTTATTATTACAAAAATAAGCATCTTTGATATTTTTAAAAAATATCATTTGTGTACATAAACAAAAAAAAAAGTATAATTGATTTTTGTGTGAATTGCATATCGACCCTCTCCCCCAAATTTCTTCCTCTCTTTTCTTTTTTTTAAATTAATTTATTTTTTTCTTCAAGCTTGTATACACCCTTCATAATCACATGCGATAAGCACCCTCGGTGAAACTACCGGTCATGAAGTTTCTGATAGATAATTAAAAATTAGAAAATAGAATAAAATTTGGAATAACCTTTGGATTTATCTTTACGCGATGATGCATTTGATATGAGAGGTTTTATACTAAATGAGAGTAGATTACGAAATGATTTGAGACAGTAGTGATATAGAATGATCTGATTCTATTATTTGGAAATAGCAATCAATAAAAAAGATCAAGTTGTTTATGTTTATGATTAACAAGATCACTCTCCGGTTGAAGGAAAAGGTAAAAAGAAATAAAAAAAGACCACAACGTTCAAAAATATTTGGCTTATACTACTTCAAAAATGCAGCTATTTTTTTCTCTATTTTTGACACACTATTCGGTAGGAGGGGAAATTGAAGAAGTAGCCTACTCAGAATAAAACTTATTATAAAGGATTGGGATGACTGGAGGATATATGATTTTCAGAGGGGAAGAGTTTAGTGATTTTAATGTAAGTAAATAATCAAAATAGTTACTGGATCCCTTATCTTTTATTTGATGTTTGCAAAGCTTATTGTAGATTGCTCTGGTCTTTTCTTTAATTGCTTTTTTTAGTAAAGTATCTGATCTATGGTACCTGGAATATGGAATAGAGCGACAAACGGGATCTGGCAATAGCCACGTAAGCTTTTCAACTGCAGTTATTGTAAATGGAATTTGAATGCAAAGATTAAAGCAATTGGACCGACTGAAATTTGAGCTAAGTAAAATTTTTATAATCGAAGTCAAAAAAAAAAATTTTGAAATACCGATTTTTGCTAGATCAAAAAATTTTAATACTGAAATAGAATTAAAGATTGGATTTAAAAAATAATAATACAACAATCATATCAAATTCAGTTATTTTTTTTAATTACACTAAAAAAGCAGCAGGCTGCTACCCTAAGAAGTCTCTAAAACAATGGACTAGGGCAAATTTTAGCATCTCAAATTTAGATCTAATGCTTTGTGATCACCCTCTGTCTTAATGTCTACCTCTAAATATTTTGTCGTCCCATTTATTATGACACATACCGTATTATCATGGCGTGGTTTCTGTTTTCTATATGTGTATATGGCTTTACCTATTCAGAACTTCACTTTTTTTGATATTAGGAAACAGTCCCCCTTACTGAATCAGGCTAAAACGTACACCTCTCTCTTAAAAATTTCTGCGCAATTTTGTCACTGGTGCTTTATTTATTTTTCCAGTTTTTCTGGTCAAGGTTATTTTTTATGTCTTACAAAGCTTTTTCTTGAAATGCATGAACTGCGTATATAATATTTTATTCCTAAATTATTTTTTTATGCTCAATGAAATTGCTTAACCACGACAAAAAAACAAAATAGTCATATATGTATCAACAGCGATTATTTAGTTTTTCATTTTACACTTAAAATGGCTATTTACACACACACACATACACACACAATTCACGGATACATATAAACCGACAACTAACGCTAATTAACATTATTTGGTTTAACTCTTGCTTATTTGTGTGTATCCGTGTGTGTGGGGAGGGGGGAGTATTTTGGTTTTATTTATGTGGTAAGTGAAGGATCGGCTTTATGTAAAACTTCAAGGAAGTATTGCTTAAGGTTTTTGCCCTCAACCTTCCCATTGTATGGGGAATTATTTTTTGGAAATAAACTATTGTAAAATATTCCATTACTTTCAGAATTAATTTTGTAGCCTTCTTTTATTATTATAGCTTACAAAAAAATCATGTGGCTAGTAAGGAGTAATATTTTTTTACACTCGTCTGCAGTTGAACCTCTTGTTTTATATAAGTAAAGCAATGAATGTTTTCCGAAAATAATTAGATAAGAACATTACGAAGTTACAATCAGATAAAAATAAAGTGACGTTTATAGAATTTTGAATATTACATTATATAATAATTGAGAAATAATATTAATAATAATGATGATCGTAATAATAATAACAATTGTTACAATAATAACGATTTTTAATAAATTAAGAAAAAGAAACGATAAGAAATGAATATTATGCTTTGTTCTGAAATAAGACCGTAAATAAGACCGTAAGAATAGTAACTAAACCTGTTTAAGAAAACAATAGAAATAAAACCATGTGATGGTACTTAGAAGTCCTCCCCTAAACTATCAATAGTGATGACTTCGCCTGGTTTGAATGGTGGTAACCCTAAATAAGGACAACCATCACATCTAAATGCATCACCTAATGCACAAGATCCACATCCACCAGTCTTACCTTGAACAGTGAAATCGATTTCAGCTAAATCTTCATCTTTAAATTTAACAGCATTTAATTTCTTCAATCTTTCTTCAATTTTAATAGCTTCTAAAGTAGCTGATTGAGCCATTTTACCTAATATAGAATCTTGTAAAGACTTTTGTTGACTTTCTTCAGCTTCTTCTATTTCCTTTAATCCACAAGTACAATCTTTACAAGCCTTTCTTCTTCTTTTACCATTTGGTAATTCACATTTCTTTGGAATAATTAATTTACTTGAATCAAGATTATTAGCATCTTGAATTAAATCATCTTCATTAAGAATGTTTTCATTATCTGAATCTTCATCTTCTTCATCATCACTGAAATAAGTTAATTTGGTTTCATCTAATTTACGTTTCATAGCTTGAGATTCTTCAGTATCTTCTTCATCGGCAGATGTATCAGTTAATCCCACAGAATTATCCAACTTTTTAAATAATGGTAACTTCTTAACACTTGTGGTTGAACTAGTAACAGTTGACTTTTTCTTTAATGTTACTACTTCAATAGGTTTTGGTTTGATCCATTTATTATCTTGAACTATAAACCCAGTCATCAATACATCCAAAGTTTGATCTAATGGCAAATCTCCACTTAACTCACCATCATCTATCAATATATCATATAAAAGCTTCATTAAACTAGCTGGAATGGTTTGATAAGCCTTATCATTAGGATTCACATATATTATTTGCTTATAAGTATTATTAGTCAATTCAACCTCACCACGCGTAACACGATCTATTATATGTTGTTCCAAATGATATTCATTACTATGATTATGGGATGATGCTATTTCTGACTTTATGTTTCCTACCAACTCTTGATCTGTCACCACAGTTGGATGTAACAATAAAAGTATTCTACTCATGATTACTAATGATTGGACGATTATATGTTAGTTGTAGTTTGCTCTTTTAAACGCGTAAATTATCTTGGGTTCTGTGATAGCTATAAGGAACGAAAGAATGAAGGAATGAATATTAAAGTCAATCAAGGAAACACTATCTATAACTCACTATGTCCTCTTGATATATAATTTTAAAAATAGTATTGTGAAAAACTTATCGCTTACGATATCTCATTTATTTTTATATTATAGAAAATTTTTATCCTCATTTTTACATTTTATCTGATGATTAATCGATCACGTGATCAAATTCCCGATACCGGAGATTTTCAAATTATAATTAAACTAAAAGTAATCAACAATTTACTAATTGGCTAAGATAATACTAATAAATTTTTAATAGTACAAAAGGGATGTTATTTCTATATATGGGTATTATATACATTTTAGGTGACAACTTCTGATTGTGTTACGGGTTTAATTCAATGTTAATGCCTTTTGGAATTGTGTTAGTTATATTAGTAATAGGTTACTATAATGAATAGTAAGTATTAGAATCGATTATGGACAGTAAGTGACTCACTCAAAGCCCGTATGGAGTTCAACAAATCTATAAACAAACTTCAAATATTAGTAAAGATTTGATGTAAGACATTATCTGAGGTATACGACATAGCCTTTATATGTTTGTCTGTAACATTGATCAAAGAAGGCTGCTTGTGGCTACGTTACATCGACATTATTTTTGTATATATACATCAATTTTGCAACCAATTTAAGAATTAATCTTGGAAGCTTTTCTTTCCATGAAATGTATTTTCGGTACCTGTTGACATATTTGTAGTCCAAGTCTCCTAATCATTACTGTTTGATATGAATTCAACATAATAAATGGCTAAGATAGTTTGCAGTGAAACAACTTTTCTATTATCATTATTGGCTCTTCTATAAATATATGGGCCGTCTAAACAATGATGAACGTCTCTAAGTAGAGATAAATTAAAACCAAATGACAATCTTTATTGAATCTTGCACCGTAGGATGTATCGGGAGGTTGATAAATATTTCGTATCTAAAACAAGGTTTCCCCCATCTTTAATTATTTTGCACCCTTGCCGCATGGTTAGTGGAAAACAAAGATGATCTTTTTATTCAAAGCAGCCTTAAATAATTCCCCCCTGTTCTCTCCCCATCTTCACGTAATTGACAATTGAATTATTATTACGATAAATTTACCACATAGCGTTCAAGTTATGGGATGACCAATCAAATGAATAGATAAAGATATTTAATTTAAACACATTTGTTCCTCTTTTACAAATTCAAGTTAAAACTATCGGGATTTCATTATCGTTATCCTAAAAAATACTACTTAAACGCTAATGATTACCATTACTTTAAAGGATTGGTATTATAGACAAACATCATCAAAACCAAGTTTATCAGATATTGATATCACACCTTGGTTTAAATGTCGTAATGATACGTATGGTAATCAAATACATTTGGACCTTTTGAATAATGGTCATATTCCAGATCCACTCATTGATGATAATGAAAAAAAAGTGCAATGGGTAGGAAATAGTGATTGGGAATATAAAACTGATTTTAAAGTGGAAAATTATGATCCAATGCAGTCTTATCATTTGGTATTCGAAGGTTTAGATACGTTTGCTACAATCACTTTAAATAAGGTGGAGTTGATATCTACTGATAATCTGTTTAGAACGTATACCGTTGATGTTACCCATTCTATTAAAGCTGAAGATAATGATTTACGCATTTTATTTAAAAGCAATCTAAAGATAGCTAGAAAAATTGAACATGATCATGGTAAATATGCTTGTTGGAATGGTGAAACTTCAAGACTTCATGTTAGAAAACCTCAATACCATTTTGGTTGGGATTGGGGTCCATTGTTATTGACTTGTGGACCTTGGAAACCAGTCAAGTTGGTTTCTGGTATTTTAGTAAATGATTTCTTTATTGGATATAGTCTAAGTGAGTTTTTGAATATGGCTGAAATAACTATTGAGATTGATTTAAAATTGTCTGCTAGTTTATCACCTAATTCATTAGTTGTAAAAGTTCACGATTCTGATAATAATCTAATTGACAATATTGTAACTCACACAGTGAAGTCCAAAACTAAAATCCACTACAGTATCAAAACTCCTCAATTATGGTATCCAAGATATCATGGAAATCAAGATCAATATAAATTTGAATTATTTGTAGATGAGGAAAAGTTAGATGAAAAATTAGTTGGGTTTAGAAAAGTTGAATTAATTCAAGATAAAGATGACACTGGCAAGTCATTTTATTTCAAAATCAATGATATCCCAGTCTTCATAATGGGCTCAAATTGGATTCCTGCTCATTCATTTACGTCTGCTTTAACTTGCAACGATTATGAAGAATGGATGAATCTTTTAGTTAAGGGAAATCAAAACCTAATTAGAATTTGGGGTGGTGGTATCTATGAACATGAAGATTTATACAAAATTTGTGATTCTAAGGGAATCTTGATTTGGCATGACTTAATGTTTGCCTGTGGATTGTATCCAGCTTATCATTCCTTTGTAGATAATGTTAAGCAAGAAATTGAAGATCAATTAAAGAGGTTGAGAAAATTCAGTTCAATCATAATTATAGCAGGTAATAATGAAGACTATCAAGTTGCTGAATCTCTAAAGATTAAACATGATCACTCTGACTTTAGAAAGTTCCCAGCTCGAATTCTTTATGAAGACGTCTTTCCTCATTTAGTTAAAACCCTAACTAATGGTATCCCATATCAACGTGGATCACCTTATTCAGGACTCAATCATATAAGTTCTGATCCGACTAGGGGAGATCTTCATCAATGGAATGTATGGCATGGATCTCAAGAACCATATCAAGATTGGGATAAATTAAGTGGTAGATTTGTATCAGAATTTGGAATGTTAGCATTACCAAATTTTAAAACTTTAGATAAAGCCTTAAGTGATAAATCCCAATTATTTCCTCAGTCTTATTTAATGGATCATCATAATAAATCGGCCGGTTTTGAAAGAAGATTAGCTCTATATGTTATGGAAAACTTTGCCTTGCCAGTTAATTTCAATCTTAAAAATTGGATCTATATTACCCAATTAATGCAACTGGATTGCCTTACATTGGCTTATAGGTATTGGCGAAGACAATGGCAAGACTTTAAATGTGGTGGCGCTATAGTCTGGCAATTGAATGATTGTTGGCCAGTTACTAGTTGGTCCATTATTGATTTTAACAAGATTCCAAAATTAGCATATTATGGAATTAAACGTGAATGTTCATTAGAGGGAATTGGATGTTATAGGAACTTACAAAGAGTCGGCGATCCGGATGAACCAGAAGATTTATCAAAGCAAACTCCATTGCACGATTATGTTAAGGAGTATAAAACTTCACTTGACATTTGGGGGTTCAGTAATAAGTCACATGAAGGTTTAAGTTTAGAAGTTTATTTGTATGATACCAAAGGAAATGCAAAATCTAATTTAAAATTTGACGATATCAAGCTTTTAGGTAATAATTGCACCCAAAGTTTATTGGATAAGCTTATTGATATTAACCTTAAAAATGACACAATTATCCAAATCTTATTAAAGAATAATAAGGGAGAAATAATTGGTAGAACCAATGATTGGTGTAAACCGATCAAATATTTGGTGTGGAATGATTGGTATAAAGATTTAGACCTAAATTATGAGTTAGTAGTCGACGGTAAGATTAAGCTCACCACTAATAAACCAATCAAATGTTTGGAGATCTACTTTGAAAATAACTCTAATGAAGCAATCGCCAATGTCTACGAATTTTCCGATAATGGGTTTGATCTTTTCCCTAATGATGAACGAATAATTGAAATTAAAGGTTTAAATGAAAGCTTGCTTCAATTTATTAAGTTTAATCACTTATAGGTTATTGTAAAAATAAGCCGAGGTAAGGTACAAGTCAAAATAAAAAATAAGAAAAATAAAAGAATGGAAAGAGTGGCAGATAATCTCTTTGTTTCATATTAAGGTTTGAGGTTTTTCATTCATTTTTTTTACACTTCATAATTCTCTTCTATGTTATGTACTGTTTAAACAGGTTCGCTAATTATTATTTTCTTCTATGCTTTGCTAGTTTCACTTTGTTAGTTAAGGTTTGTGTTTTGTTATGCCGGTGATCTTTAATAATAATGTTACGTTTCATTAAATATATGTTTATTATAAAGTAAGGAGAGCCACTCTGATAATAGGCAAATTTGAAAATTTCTCTGTGAGCATTCCTGCTCGGAACATTTGCGCAGATATTTTTTATGTCATAGCGAACACCGTTGCCTTGTACATATAGTGCCTAAAAAATAAAATCTATTTTTTTTTGAAGGTTATTGTGTTTTTTTGATTTAAATCTGTTTTGCTCTTGGATTATTCCCATAAGCTTCCCTGATCTATAGTTTTTCTTAAACCTAAAGCAAGAGAAGGTTGGTTGATCATTAAAAGATACTATTGGGGTAAATGATTCTGTAATTCGTTTAGGAACGTCACTTTGGTGATCTCCACGTTGCGAAGCATACACGTTCTAAATAATACCCGTAATACATTTAATAACTATGCTTTGTTTCGGTGACTACTTTGACTAATTTCATCTTCTATTGCATTTTTGGGCACTTTAATAGTTTCAACGACTTAATTTGCGCTTCTTCAAAAATCGAATCACTTTTTTATTATAAACGTTTGCAGGAAGTCGCCCAAAACGGCCCTGTCCTGATACAGAGGGTAAAGTGGCTACATAGCAAAACGATTTGCGACCGGTTAATACAAGAAATATGTCAGTCACCGGTATGGTAAATTCGATTAACTGAAATCCAAGTAAATGTCAAAGTGGTGATTGAATATTTCTTGCTCTGTAATCGAAACAAGCATTTCAGAACTATTTTGAGGCTGCATAGTGAAGAAATAGGTGGCCTTATGAATAGATTTGGGGGATCCAAGCCGTAATTTAAGAAAAGTAGAACGGGATTCAAGCCGTATGTGACTATCGGCATATAAGTTCCACTAGACCACCATTATACTTATGCTTCTCTGGTGATCAATTTGACGACCTTTTCTTGGTATACAATTGAAATCGTTCTTTTTGGCTCGTCATAATATAATTCAATTGCAAAATAATTCATACATAAAAAAGATATATATTAAAAAGCTAATTCAGAGTTTTAGAAATGAAGAAATTTCAAATTTTAACCTAGTAAAAATGCAACCAGCAATAAGTAATGTTGACAAATTGAGTTACTAAATAAATAACAGAAATAAAATTAATAAATAAATAAATAAATAAATAAATTAAGAAATTAAGAAATTAAGAAATTAATTAAGAAATTAGAAAATTAAATGAATAACACGATTCATGAATTATCATCATCGGTAACATCAGCATCTTCGTCAATATCGGTAGCATCACTATCTATAGCATCGTTATCATGGATCTGATGCTTATTCTTTATTCGTTTCTTTTCATTGCCAACCATTCTTGATAATGGTGGTAAAATTGGTACTGGTGGTTGTACTGGTTGTGTATAAACAGGACCAGGACTTTGGACTATAACCAGTGATGACCGTGAAGATACTGGCGAATTGATAATATTATTATTATTTAAACTATGATTTCTACTATGACCAAACTTATGAGCCTGAGGTGATGATAAGGACATCAACGATAATATAGCATCTTGTTCATAGTGTTTCTCTGAATCAGTAGGACCTGCAGTTGTTGATTGGAACTGTTCATCAGTTCCGGTGGCTCCTGCCAATACGATATTTAAAGGAGGTAGCTTTACCGGTTGTGGATGATTAGTATGTGATGGTGGAGGTGTAGATTGAATAGGTGGCTGCAGGGAAATTTGCAGTGGTTGTTGATGTTGTTGAATTATTAACGGTGATGAATGTATAGGTTCATCTATACTATTAACTATAGATGGTCTTCTTTTATGGGAGAAAGAAGATCTGGATTTTCTTCTTTGTCTTGATAAGGCTGCTAATAAAGCATTATGGGCACTTGATTCTTCATCGGGAGATGGTAGATTAATTAGATTAGGTCTATCATTATTTTCATTATGCAAGATTGGAGATTGTTTTAAAGGAGAAAATTGAGATCCTTGAAGTAAATATGGAGATGTAGTATTAGAATTAGATGTCTTTGGTAAAGGAGATTGTTGTAAAGTTTGTAAATTTAAATTAGCTCTTTGTAAAGATTTTGAAGGGGAAAATGTCGATGGTTCATTAACTGGTTTTGATTTCTTAGTTGGAGAAGATTCTGAATCGAAATTTAATTCCGTAAATGAAATCTTATTACTTTCATCGCGCTGTATCTTCCCTAACGCAGAACTTAATTTACTTTTCAATTGCAGACTTATTTCAGAAAGGTCTTCCTTGTTAGGACTTCCATCTTCACCTCCTTGGAATAACTTTTTAGCAGATGAAAAGAATTGAGGAGTCTTTTGAAGTTTAGTTCTTCTTGAACTTGAATTATCATCAGAATCATAACCAGTATGTCTTGGTGTTTTTAATAAATTTGATGCATTATAAGGGGAACTAATGTTTTGATGATTTAATTTATAATCAGGAGATTTATAATTACCAGAATTAGTCCTTTTTAATGATGGTGAAAATGGTACTGAACCTTCAGAACTTTGTTCTGGAGTTCTTAAATATTGAGCGGAATTACGATTTGTTCTCTTATCACTACCAGACCCTGAAGTACCAGTCGTACTAAGCAATGGAGGAGTTGAGGGCCTTACAGATGACCTTGTAGTCTGTTGTAACTTTGGTGACGATAGTGGTGTTGTTGGTTTACCACTACTCATGATTTACTTTTGATACTTTCAAATATATTGAATGACCTCAACGATGCAAAGAGAAGGAATGGAAAAAAAAAGGAAAGGAAATGAAATGACAACAATTAACTTGAGTTAAAGACTAATACAAAATGGACAATGATAGATCGATTAGTATAGGAAGTCCCTGATAAGTATTGACAAAAGTAGAAGGATGATTTATTAATAAACTTGAAACTTATTGACACTCACACACACTCACACACACCACCCCTGTTTAATATAATAACACAAACAAACAAATAAACAAAACAAAAATCCACAAAATGACGTAACGTGCTAGCTCGAACCCTGACTATGACACTCTATTAATCGAAGCTGTATGCAATGAACTATCTAATGTACCACCAGATAATCCTGTCTCTCTATATAGATCAAAGTTGAAAAAGTGATTGTTCAAATGAAATTAACTCTTCATGATATTTCCCGTTCCTTTTCCCACCACCTTTTTTTTTTGGCGTTGTTTTGGTCGTGCGATTGGGTCAAAAAGTCACAAAGATCAAAAAACAAACAAAATCAAAACAACACCAAAATTTGGCTGCCTAAATTGAATTGAACTGCTACCACATCAAATTGATTGGGATAGTATCAGTCAGGGGTATAATCAATCAACAACATCCCGTAGACTAGACAGAGTGATCGTACCCAGAGTCAGTCCAGAGATGTCTCAGCCCTCATCGCTCTTAAGAAAGAGTTCAGGGAAAAGCTTGTCTGTAGCATCGGCTACCAGATCATCATTACTAGGATCAAGAAGTATCTTAGATGTACTAAACAATAATAATAGCAATACTGCTAATAAGAGAAGATCTATATTGGGGACTCCTGCTTCAACTAATAGACGAAGGCAGAGTTTGTCTACTCAGCAATTGTTTCCTACCTCATCACAACCATCTTCATCTTCTCAACAACAATTGCAACTGCAACTGCAACAAACCCCACAACCATCACAATTCCAATCAAGATCTCAAGTAATACCTTCACAACAATCAACCCCTGTAATAGATCAAAGACCATTGAAAGATAAAAACTATCAATTACTAATTCAACAAGAGATTTATGACTTTTTAATAACGAACAAATTTGAACTAGAAATGAATCATACCATCACTACAAAGACGTTAAAACAACCTACCCAAAAGGATTTCACTTTCATATTCAAATTCTTATATAATAAAATCGATCCCTATTATGAATTTAGTCGATCAGTTGAAGTTGATGTATTCCCATTACTTAAAGTTCTAAATTATCCTTATTTGGATAGTATAAATCGATCTCAAATAAGTGCGGTTGGAGGTCAGAATTGGCCATCATTTCTTGGAATACTATATTGGTTGATTAAATTAAACTTATCCATTCTTAATCTTGATATTGATGATTCTTTAATCAGTCCTGATGATGATTTTGATCGGATATTTATTAAATATATCAGGGATTCATATAATGATTTTATAAATGAACGTGATGATTATAGTGAATATTATAATGAAATGCAAATTGAATTTGAAAAATTAAATGCCAATTTAAATAATGATATCAAAGATTTACAAGAAGAAAATATTAAACTTCAAGAACAATATGAAGAAATCAATAATCAATTACTTGAATTACAACAAGCTGAAAAGAAATCATTGGCTTTAGAAGATGATGTGATTAAATTCAGAGCATATATAGAAACCATGGAATCAAGAAAATCGAAATGGTCTGATATTATCTCCAAAATTAAAGATGAAATAGTGAATCGAGAGCATGAAGTTGAGTCTATAGCCGAATCTAAAAAAGAATATGAAGCTAAAATATTACAACAAGGTATAACTATAAATGATATTAATACTTTGAATATTGAACGAGATAAATTATCTAAATCTATTGATATCATAACTGATAAATTAGAAGATGTTAGATTGGGATTAAATGATAGAGAAATTGAATTAACTAAGAATTATCAAAGTTTACAAAATTTCATTAAACAATATAATAATTTAATTCAAAAGATTAAATCTCCTGATTATAATTTTGAAATTAGATTAAATGAAAATATCATAGCTCCAAGTATTACATCCACATCTAATGTTAATTCAGATGTTTCATTTAATAGTGATATGATTATTGATAAATTATTAAAAGATGAAAAGATTGAATTATTAAAATATAGATCAACAATAAATACTAAAATACATCAATATCAAGATGAACAAATCAAAGTTCAAGAACAATATGATTTGATCAATGAAAGAATACTGGAACAAACTGAATTCTTAGATGAATTAGGTAGTAAATTAACTGCCAATAAAATGAATTATGATGAAATTTATGAAACAATGATTAATGATTCCACCACATATTCAACTCAAATTGAAAAATTAGAGAGAGAATTAAGATCAATAAAGATTAATTCCACGCAAGGATTTATTGAATTAGAAAATCAATATCAAAATACCCTTATTGAACATGATGAAGTATCACATACCATTCAAAAATCAAAGAAGGAATTATTTGATAAATGTTGTAAAATGGCTGAATTTATCATGAATTTTAAATTAAATATTCAAACGAATTTATTAGATCTTGATGATTTGGCAGTTATAGAGTTGGAAACAGAACAGAAGGAATTACAGTATAGTGCTGGTAATCATGATAATACCCGATAAACTCTACATCGTATAGAACTTATAGATCAGGTTTCTATTCTATGTATGTATGTATCTATATATATATTTGTACATAATGTATTACTATTTAAATTTTTAGACTGTGGTTGATCTATGCAGGTCGTGTTTTTTTTTTGTTTGTTAATGTTTTTTGTTTTTTTTTGTTCGTTATGTTTACTATTGGTAATGGATTGTTATACGTCTTAGAACAAACATTAAAGATAGTAAGATACTGGTAACCATGGATGATTTAAGTGTGTATGTGACGTCAAATTTGACATCATCAGAAAGAAGGATCTCTCCACAATGGGATTTAGACTATTTCAAAACCAAACTTGAATTGATAACTGGTATACCACCTCAATTTCAAACCATTCAATATTTCCCTATATCCCATTCCAATGAATATAAAGTAATATCAGATGCCAAAGCATATCAGCAAGATCAAGATAAAACTCATAGATTGACTGAATTCGATATTGTCTCGTTTTCAAGAATACATGTGGTGGATACTAATCCTGATTCTGAATTGAATGATCTTGATATGATTGATGCTGATGATGAAACGAGTGAAAATGTGGCATTCAAATTAAGTGATGAAGATTATGCTAAAAGATCAGATTCAGTTTTGAATTGGAAACAACAGAATAAATTAGGTAGGTTTGATCCTGAATTTAATAAGATTAAAGAACAACAAGTTCAAGAAAATGAAGAAATCTCTCAAACTTTAAAGGTAGGTGATAGATGTCGTACTATAAATATTGCTGGTGAAAGAAGAGGAGTGATAAGATATGTTGGAAAAATCAATGTTCTAGATAAAGGTGAAAGTGTATGGGTAGGGATTGAGTTTGATGAGCCTGTAGGGAAGAATAATGGATCAATAGATGGTGTCAAAGTATTTGAATGTAAACAAGGCCATGGTAGTTTTGTTAAGCCTAAACAAGTTGAAGTAGGAGATTTCCCTGAACTTGATCCATTTGGTAGCGACGATGAAGACGATGATGAATTATAAGCATAATCAGAAAGGCTTTCTAGTTAAAGAGACGTTTTGGGACTGTATATACAGCTGTATTCTTGTCTTATAAGGTGTACCTTATTATATATATATATATATATATATATCATACTTCAAGCAATATAAATCAAACTTCTATGGTTAACAGAGGTATTAAATTACGCCGGTAGTGTATATTAAAAAATTGGCCGAAATGACCGCACCAAAAATTTTGACATAATAAATTTCGGGAAGCTTATAAATTAAACCTGATCCCGTTTAAACAGTGATTGTTGTTGGTTATTCTTGGCTGATATAAAGAAGATAAGATAAGATAAGATATCATGTCAGATATTAATCCAAATGAGACGATGAAAGACTTCATCTTTAAATATTTAGATGAAGGTGACTTTTATAAATACCTTCGTCTTAGTATTGTTGTTTGTGCTTACTTGATTTTCAGAAAGTATTATTCGAAATGGGCTGGTAATAAACAAGCCAATGATCAATTTGCTCAAGATAAAAAGGAATTAGAAGCCAAGCCAGAAAAGGATAGAATTGCCAGAGAAGAAGCTGAAAGAAAATTAGAAGAAGAATCAAAGACTTTTGGTTGGGGTAAACAAACTAGAAAAAATGTCAAACTGACACAAGCATTCCTTGAAGAACAAATCGAAGAACAAAGACAAAGACATCAAACAGCTTATGATGCTGCTGAAGATCATGATATTGAATATTTGTTAGATTAGATGTGTGTTGTTTGCCACCACCATGTGGTGTGGTGAGTACAGTTTAATTAATGGATGCCGATGCCTCAACAAATCTGAGCATCCATTGGAAAGGATAAAATATAAAAACAAACACATGGCATCAATAAAAAAGATCAATCATTAAATAGTTATATCAACCAATTTCTTGTAATAATAGACATGTATATCAATGATATATCCCATGAATCCTCCTTTGTAGTACGAAGTATATGTTTTGAATTGACTAATGTATTGTGGTATGGATGTATTTTCTCTTCACGTGACCAAGATGGCATCAAGAAAATTTTGGTTGAAAAAAAAAAATATTTATAAAGAGCATCTAACTTAACTACAAATCAATCAAATTATAGTTGAAAACATTACTTATAAACATCCAGTTCTCATAATAAGAATATATATAGACAATGGCTGGAGATCCGTTTTTATCAGATCCTAATAGGAAACGAAAGCGTTCATCGAAAATAACAAGTACTTCCCGAAAACCAACTAATAAGAAGAGTAGAAGTAGTACTCCATCTACAAATAAGAATAATAATAATAATTATGATAATGATAATGATGAAGAGATATCGGGAGGAAGTGAGACTGAAGATGAGCAAGGAAATGTGTCTGTTGACTCTGGAGATGATATTGGAGGAAGAGATGAAGAAGAAGTTTCATCAGATGAAGAATTTGCTGATGAAAATGAAGCTGATAGAAGAAGAAGATTAGCCAAACAATATTTACAAAATTTAAATGAAGAATTAAATGATGGAGATGATAACGATTTCGATGCCAAAGATCTTGATGATGATATAGTGGGTAGACGTTTACAAGTTGATGTGGCTGAAAATAAAGGTTATGTATATAAATTCATTGGTGATAAAATATCAACTCAAATCGATGGAGATATTCCATTAACTACTACTAGAATAGGGTCAAAACATTTAACTGCATTATCGGTAAGATATCCATATTTATATACTGTTTCCAAAGATTGTGAATTAATAAAATGGGATATTTCCAAAAAGAAACCTCAAAGAATAAAACATAGTAAAGGAGGTGAAAAATATTTCAAAATTAATCCAATAACAAATGCTAATCATCATTGGGATCAAATCACTTGTGTAGCTACTTCATTTGATGGCAAATATGTGGTGACAGGTGGTACTGATTCCAGATTAATCATTTGGTCTACTGAAACTCTTTCATGTTTAAAGGTTTTAGAAACTAGATCTGCGGTTAATTCTATAACTTTTAGAAGAAATAGTGATCAATTATATGCTGCATGTGCTGATTTAAGAATAAGAACTTATTCTGTAAATCAATTCACTCAATTAGAAATATTATATGGTCATCAAGATAATATTACTGATATATCCGCTTTAGCAAGAGAAACATGTGTATCAGTTGGATCCAGAGATAAAACTGCTATGTTTTGGAAAATTGCTGAAGAATCAAGATTAACTTTCAGAGGAGGGGATTCAACTGAAAAGAGAAAAAAGAAGAAGAAGAAGGATGATGATATTATAGATGAAGATGCTAAGGAAGAATTACCATTTCATTATGAAGGTTCAATGGAAGTTGTATCTATGCTTGATGAATCTCATTTCGTTACTGGATCAGATAATGGTAATGTAGCATTATGGTCATTGGCTAAGAAGAAGGCATTATTTACTGAAAGACTTTCACATGGTTTGCAACCTCAATTTTCAGCTTCAAAAGCAAGTGCTGAAACTTCAATAGAAAAAGCTAGTCAACAAATACCCGAACGTCAACCATATTGGTTAACTGCTATTCATGCAATTCCATTCAGTGATGTATTTTTAACTGGTTCATATGATGGAAATGTCAAAATATGGAAGATTGATGATACAAATTTAAGATCATTTTCATTAATTGGTACTATAACTAATATTAAAGGATGTGTTGTAAAGATTGATAGTGCTGAAATTACAGATAAAAAGAAAGTTGCAGTATTTGTCTTAACTAGTAAAGAACATAAACAAGGTAGATGGTTTAATAAGATTGAAGGGGCCAGAAATGCCTTACATTCATTCACATTCGATATATAATCCCTCTCATTTGCATAAATATATGTATATATAACTTTTAGCATTTTTTACATACAATACATGAAAAATTAAAATAGAAAGAAACATTAATACAACGATTAAAAGTTCATTTAGATTATATATATATATACATATATATGAACTTTCTAATATACACTTGAATTTAGCAAATTAAAACTTTTACAACTAAAAGGCAGCTTCATCATTGCCAGCATCATTACCACCATCATCTTCACCATCATCGAAATATTTTTCAGCATTATAATCATCATCTTCATCTTCATCAAATTCATCATCGAGTTCTTCTTCAAGATCTTCACCATCATCATCTTTATCTTGTTCTTCATCCAATTCTTCAGCCATATCTTTTAATCTTTCCAACATTGAAGCTGCTTTATCAGATTCAGAATTTTCATCAATCGAATATTCTTTTAAACCACCATTTGATTTGAAAGATGATAATGAAAGTAATTTTTTCTTTTGTTTATTAGAAATCCCCATCACACTATATAACTCTTCAGGAAAGAATTCTAATTGATAAGGATGTTCTTCTATTGATCTACCAATTTTTTTAACTTTTTTATAACGATCAGAATATCGAGCGATACCATCTGGAGCTGTATTTGATTGGGATGGTGATTTCTTATCACCATTAATATCAACATTACCTGTATAGAATGGCCCATCGACCATTAGTTGAGTGAAAGCAATCGATTGTTTAGATGATAAGATTTCATATTCATTCAATGATCCATGAACAGGTAATACTAATTGAGGTTTTTCAGTTTCATGATTATTGGCTAATACATCACTGTAATCCAACCCAAACGGTAACAACGCCCTTCCTGAATTCCTGGACCTAAAGGACATCTATATATTCATGAATACCACTGTTTACACCTGTTGAAGAATAAATAATGCTATTACTTTTGGTATCGATTCAAATCACTATTGTAACAACGGCTGTCTAGAGATGACTGTAAACTTTTAGAGGAAAGAAGAAAAAAAATTAATGGTGGTCCTGCAGATAAGAACACGACATCTGTGTCGTATTTAAATAGTTTATTTGATTTATGCGACATTAGTCATAGCCCATCTCTCAAATCAACCGACATACACACACTTCTGCAATGTTCAAGTTGTTAATTTCAATCAAACTAGCATCATCTAGCAATTTCAGTCTCTTCACCTAACTAAGCCTAAGGTACATGTCAAATTTCATGTTCTATAGATTACATTGCATTTAATGTTTATATATTCATCCCACTGCAATTCATAATCAAACCCAAATAGGAAATTGCAAAAAAAATGATCAAAATTGTAAACAAAAATAAAAAATTTAAAAAGATTCACGTGATCAATTTTTTTGGCTGTAAGAAATCATCAAAATAACAGTTTAGGATTTATATTTAGATTTATCAGATATGGTTAAAGGGTTTCTACACCAACGATAGACCTTCAAACAAGATTACCTACTCAATGACCGATCCCAACGCATCATTCCATAGTCAGCATGAGGATGAGTCCTTTTCTGATCATCCAGAATCAGCAGATGGTACTCTTATTATTGTGGTCTGTAAAGCTAGACATTTACCAAATAGAAGAACCTTGGATAAACAATCACCGTATGTCACGTTAAGAATAGGTACGTTGGCTAAGAAGACTACTGCTGAGTTTAGAGCTGGCCAAAGACCAACTTGGAGTCAAGAGCTTCGATTTGATTTAACAAGAGATCGAAGACCTATAATGAAAGTTGATGTTTTAGATGATTGTAAAGCTGAACCAACTCCAATTGGGAATTGTGAAATTGATTGTTCAATGATCTTTTCCGATGATAAATTGGAAAACAATAAATATATTCATGATGATTGGTATGATTTAAGTCAAAATGGTAGAAGAGCAGGTCAAATCTATTTAGAAATGACATTTTATCCTTCTGCTCCAGTAGTTCCTCCAAAAGTCCCTGAATCAAATTGGAGTGCAAGTCAACAACATACCCGACCTATATCACCTCAATATCCTTCATATAAAGCTACTTCACCACCTTCACCACCACCGGACTCACCTCAACGAAGTAATAATAATAATAAATCGGTGGTTGATGAAGTTTTCATTAGCTCATTGAATTCAGATAAATCAAAACGATCATCGTTATTCATGAGAAATTCAAATACTAGTACTGCAACTACCAATACCGCTCATTCAGAAGTATTCGTCAATAATAATAAAGATGATAGTGACTTAAAAGGGGGTAAAAAATACTTATCAAAGTTTAATAAATTAAAAGATCGATTTGCTGTAAAGGAACCTATTGGTAAATTATGGTCCGATTTACCATCTAGTATAAATAAATTATCTACTAAACCTTCATCCCCACCACCAGATCATCTTTCCATATCGCCTATAAGTTCATATGGAGGTATGGATCAAAATGAGTATGATGAAGAAGATCTTGATAAATTAAGAAAACAAATGCAACCCAGTGATGATGAAGATGAAGATCCGGATGAAATTGAATTCATAAAACCTCCAAGTCCACCTCCACATACATCTAAACCATCCTCACCTCGAAGAAGAAAACCACCCATAGATTATAGTACTACTGTTCCAACTCCAACTTCACCTGGTAAAATCCCATTTTCAGCTGATTCCATTGGTGTTTTCAATGATGATATAAGTGACACATTAAGTGATAAATTCGAAGGTTTACCAACTAGTGTATATAATTCATCATCATATCTTAAACCGCATACTTTAAATCCTAATGAAATAGATCCAAAAAATTATGCTCCTACTCCAGATGAACATTTAAATAGACGATTAAAATTACAAAATGGAAGAGGAGTAACTAAAGAAGATTTAAAGATAGATTTAAGAACTGATATGACGGGATATTTGGGGAATGGGAAGTTTTCCCCAAGTGTGTTTCAAAGAGCTGTGGGACATAATTATGATGATGAGATTGAAAATAGAGGTAATAAACCTCAAGTTCCACCTAAGATTCCTCAAGGATTGACGGAAGTGGAATATTATGCGATTGAAAAGGATAAATATTTAAAAGATCTTAATGGAAAACGATTTTAGAGCACCTCATATAATATAATATTATACATACATATAGATAGATTTTAAATAATAAACATTTATTTATTGATGGGAATACATAGATATGTAAGATAAGGTATAGATCTAAATAATGAAAAGATGGTAGATTCAAAATCATAGAAAACATGACATGTTATATTATTTTAAATCCTCAACAATTGACCCAAAATGAATTTAAGAGATTAACAAAGAAAGTAAAAGATGTAACTATTGACAAAATAGGTGATATAGTAATAAAAAGGAAGAAGAAGAACAAAATGGAGAAACGAGTTGCATTAAGGGTGATCGTAGGATTAGGAATTTAAAACTTTGGTAAAAAACATTGAATGAAAATAATTCTTTTATTATTCAAATAAATAAAAAAGTCAATACTCTAATAATTAAATAATCTTTAAATGTAGATATTCAATATAGATGAGTAAAGAGAGGAAGGAAAGGGGAAAGGAAAAGTAAATGAATGATCGAATGAACTTTCATACTTTCGCTAATAACGGGAAAATTAACAATAAAAAGAATAAACAATAAACAAATTTGAAATATTTGGTTGGGTAATAAAAATAGGACCTTGAAATTAAAATTAATAAAGTTTCAAACGTAAGATATGAAAGAATAGAACTAAAAAGGGGAGGGAGTATAATTTTTGTTGTCTAGTATTGGCATGAAGAATTGTACTTGATGTAATATGGAAGGAAGGGGTAAATGATTGATTTTGATTCTATTCTTTGGATATGATGGAGATGTTTTGTAGATTAATTGGGGAAAGGTTGGTTGGTTGGAAAAGTCAGGTAGTTGTATGAGGGTATCCTACTTTTAGTAACATTAAAAACAAACAACGGAAAACAAACTTAAAGGTAACAGGTTGAAAGATAATGGTACAAAAAATAAAAACAAACAAACTTAAAAAAAAAGATTGATCAATTAAGATAAAAAAATGTAGATGGAATGGAATGGGGGATAATGGTGGATGTGATTGTGATTTTCGTAGTTGTTATTATCTAAAGTAAAGCGGCAGCAATGGCACCGAGTAAACCAAGAGTAATACCGGCTGAACCAAAGTTGGTAGCAGCACCACCAACTGAGGATGAGGAAGATTCTTCAGCAGTTGAAACTGGAGAAACAACAGTAGAAGATCCTTCTCTGGTAGTAATAGCAGTCAGAGTTGATTCAGCTTCAGTGGATGTAGAATTATGGTGGATGGAAGTGGTTGAATTGTGGAATAAGTATGATGAAGATGATGATGATGATGGAGCGTAAGAAGAAGTTGAATTGGTGAAATTGGCTGAAGCAACAGCAACAACACCTTTGAAACCATTTAAGGCTAATGGAGTTGGAGATGGAGCAGCAGTTGAAGAAGCTAAAGCAGCAGCGGCAGCACTTTCAGCACTAGCAACTGAGGCTACTGAAGCTAATGAAGCAACTGAAGCAGCACATTCAACACTAGCAACTGAAGCGACTGAAGCAGCGGATTGAGCACTGGCAGCAGAAGCAGCAGAGGCAGCAGAAACGGCAGATTCAACAGAAGCAGCTGATTCAGCACTGGCGACTGATTCAGCAGAAGCAACTGAAGCTAAACTTGAAGATTCTTCTGGAGTTAAAAGGGTGTAAGTGACAGTTACAGTGGTTACGATGGTAGTATCGGTTGAAGCATGGGCTAAACCAGCTATCGCTAATAACGATAAAGGTGCTAACGAAGATTTAAACAACATTGTTTTGATTGACTTGATTTAAGATTTAATTTGAATGAATGACTGACTTGATTATTATTATTATTATTATTATTATTATTTAACGAAAGTGATTGAATATAATAACAAATGAAAAGGTAAATCTAAAAACGAATGAACGATATTGTGAGGTTTTAATTTAAAGGAAAGACTAGGGTAAGTAACGTTTGGATGTTATAGATTGTTGAAAGATTGAATGAATTCAAATAACTAAAAACTTGATAGAAATCTGGTATAAGGAGAAAAGAAAGGAAAGTAGTAATAAAAAAAATTTTCTTTGCTGACTTTTGATTAAAGGATTGGAACAGAGTTTTGACTCCAAATTAGACGAATTTTGCCTTTAGCTAAATCTCCTATTACCCATAAATCAAAAATTTTTGTTATTAAAAATTAGATGTAAAAATTGACATTGGCAAAACAGACAGACAAAAAAAAATAACAAATAAAAAAAAAATAATGAAAAAAAAATAAATCGGTTAAAAAATATTTGTGTTGTGTTTACCATTTTTTGTTGTGAAAATAGCTTAATGCGTAAGGCGCAGTTACTTGTTTAGGAAGGAGCACTACCGAATTGATACATTTGATGTGGTACTCGCACGACACCTTCCTAATTGGGTCGTCTAACGTTTGACGATACATCAAATTTTAATTACACAAAACACGAAAATTTTAATTTTTTAATATATTAAAAAAAAGGCTTAAGACAAAAAAGACAAAAATTCGTCTGACACTAATTAGTGTCGGTTTTGTATGGCTCACAGTTAGTCACGTGAATGATTTTTTAAAGTTAAAAATTTACGAATGTGAGCCGCTGGTAAAAATAAAAAAATGTACAGCGTAACGGTACTACCATGTACTGGCTATTTAAACATACAAGCATGTTAAGCTTGGAGAAGGTTACCGTAAATTATTTTTAGCCAGATAGAAGTATTATTTATCTGGCTATACAATGGAATCAAATCAGAAATCAGAAATCGAAGTTAAAGTGAAATCAAAGGCGAAACAATTAACTAAGCATCCTAATTGGTTCAATCAAAGGTGGAGTTGTTATACTGTTAAACTAAGGATGAATAGTACGTTTTACCAAATTAGTGCGAAAAGAAAAAGTTTACAAGATAATTTTAATTTTAAATTAATTTATACGCCAAGGCGGTTCTAAGTATACTGTGGAAGGTTACATTTGTTATATATAAAAATCGTGGATTACGCTATAAACTTCACCTACGTTATTCCTAAAGATCGTGTGGCTTTCTACAACTACTACTAATTATTTTTTTTTGGTTGTCTCACTTCATTTCCGTTTTTGAATTTTCAATTCCCTTTTTCATGTCCCCCACTGTATCATATGCAGAACTAATAATGTTTACAAATTATATGTATGTAAGTCATATGTGTTCTGTTTTAAGTAAAACTAATTCTACTTTAGTCCAATATTGATATACCCTTAATTGATCAATTTGATCAATTAATTGAATTTGGGATTTACTCGTGTAATCAATCATTAGCTAATTGAATTCTTGTTTATATTTATATTTATATTTATATTTATATTTATATTTATATTTATATTTATATTTATATTTATATTTATATTTATATTTATATTTGGTATAACATTTTGTTATAAATAATTCAATCTGGTTAACAATCAACCCAATTTAGACCTAACCGACCTCAATTCAGATATATCCTGATCAATTTGTTATAGATATAGACAGAATTTGACTAATTGGTACACCTTCGTCCTGTAATGATTGAAATGTGGTTACTCCCTTTTTCGTAGGTCTCAAAGATTGACGATTTATTGCCTCACATAACTCCTTAAAAATCTTCAAACTATCGCTTTCATGACACTACAAACTTTTACAGGTTCCATCTAAACATGGTTTAATAACCACATAATTTACTCTAATTGTCATATTTTCATATATTAAATCTGTCATATACGTGTTATTTGCCTTAAATTTTTCGCATCAAATTATATAAAAATAACGCTACCAATATTGTAATTATTAACCAAATCAGTTTAATAATCTAACTCTTGACTCACTTTTGTGATTGCTGTGCGGCCTTAATAGCATGATTAACCTGTTTTGTCTTTATAATCACAATTATACTATGATAATTAAAGAACGCAACGACAAAGAAAAGAACAATAGCCAACATAATCATTGGATCCATACATCTATAATATCCACGAATGAATAAATTATAACTCTTCTCCCAATTAGATGGACTACTTGATTTCTGTTTAAGGGATTCAAGTTCCTTATTGATAATTTGAAGAAAGTCAGTTACTTCGTTAACTTGATCTGAAGTGATGTATCCTCCCTCTGGTACGTTCCTGGCATTCGAACCTGGCTCTTGATGAGTGTTTCTACGAGTCAAATTTGGATTGCTCATGGTTGATTAATATGATTAATGAAAAAGAACAACTTTGATATATAACTTTTCAGAAACATTCATTTATATTTAGCTATTACACAAATGTATGTTAGCGCTACAATAAGCAATATTCAATGAGTATATGCTAAATTAATCACTAATATATATTTTTGGCAATTATAAGCACCTACATAAGATTACTTAGTTCTTCCGCTCTTTTATCATAATATAATTTTAGAAAGAAGACGGCAACTAAATGATAAGCTAACATATGCCTTAATGTTATTAATGTAGAACAAACCTCTCTATTTACATCGTCACAATGAATGCATTCATACTGTTCGGTAGTAGTAGTTTCAACAACTGGTTGAGGATGGAAATTTCTGATATTACTTTTAATATTGTTAATTATTCTATAGAAACCATTGGTGATGATCAGCAAATCAATGGGAATGACAGTAGATGGTGTGCTATTAGGAATGGTTGATGATTCTGATTCAATCAAATTTTCAACCCAATTATCATCATAGGGTGGGGGACTTATATCTGTAGGAGTTTCATAAGAAATATTCCTTACCATCTCATTTTATAATACTATAATTGAAGATGTGTTCCAACTTATAATAACAAATTAGAAATCGTCTGTTTCTACTCTCAATCAGATCCTCAGAGTAAAGAAACATAAATTAAAATATTATTCTTAAATAAATAGTGCGCGAAAAGTCTATGATCCCTAAAAGCAGCACTCCTTAACTGACAGTCAAAAATGGCAGCCAAACTTCAAATGTTATTCATAATCAATTAAGTCAAAAATATAAAGATGTCAGCCATCAATCAATCGGAAGCATCATATAATAGACATATGATTGATCATTATCAATCATCTGCAAATTTAGAATTTGAATTGGCCTCACCTTACGGGTCCATCTACAACTCATTATGAAGTGGTTGCCTATCAAGCTGTAAAAGCTGTGATCACTAAATTATGGAAATCACTTCTTAGATTAATTCACTGTTTTGATCTATCACCAAATGATGTGAATTGTATCGATGGCCTTAATTCTATCCCATCAATTCTTATTTGGATGATGATATTTTGTTATTTCTTACCATTAATTGGAGCTTTATGGGGTACAATCTTTGGATTTTCTGATAAAATATTTTGGATTGAATTATTTCCTATGTTGCTTATTCACTTTAAAATCTGTTACTGGTTCTTTATTATCGATATTTATGAAGGTTTCACCAACATGAGTAGACGTCAAATAAATAACATTATAACAGTAATTTATACTGCTGTTGTAGTGATCATGATTATTTGTGGCCTTTGTACTGATAATTCCACTTGACTACACATCTAGTTTGCAAATATATTGCAAAATTGCTAATAAATTCATTTCTCATAATAATAATTGGGGAAGTAAACCTCATGGATTGATAATAATAATTGGAAATCAATCATCAACCTAAATAGAATTAATAGATAGATATATATTCAAAAAATTAATAGATACAATATTAATATATACAAAATTGTTTATTTTCAGGTACTTTTTTAATCTTCCTCATTTAATTGTTCAATTTCATTGACTTCGTCGTCAGTTAACGTCACGTTATTACTTTTATTACCATTATTGATGGTAGTATCTTCTTCTAGATTATTATGGCTGCCATTTCCATTACTTGTTGCAACACCATTTCCATTTCCATTGGTATTAGTATTACCATTGTCAGATATGTTTTTCTCTCCTCTATCAATATCATCATCATCATAGAATTCATTATCTGGTTGTATAGCCTTATCTCTGGCGTATTGTGAACCTCCATTTGTATCTATGGCATCTTTTTCATCGTCTTCATTTACATCATCATCGAAATTCCAGGATGAGGATGGAACTTCGTTCATTTGTACTGATGGTGTATGTTTGGTATTATCAAGATTAGCTAAAACACTAGTAAGTATTTTATCCAAATACTCTTCTGAATTAGCATTGTTCATATTTGAACTTCTAACATCTAATTCATATGTCGGGGCATAATATTCATAATATCCATTATAAGGTAATTCTTTAGGTAAGATGACATTGTTTAATATACCAGTTTCAAAAGCCCAAGTTCTTGCCACATTTCTAATGGTATAACCACCACCTCCAAGGACCATAACTGGTATATCGAATGATTTAACAAAACTTACACAATTAGCATGACCTCTCATTGATAAATTAAATGGACCTAATCTATCACCACTTAATGAATCACCTCCACATTGTAATACTATAGCTGATGGTCTATACCATTCAATAACTTTCAGTATTATAGGTTCAAAGATTGATTTATATGAAGCGTCATCTATACCATCTCTTAAAGGAACATTAACTGAATAATATTTCCCCTTCAGTAATCCAATATCATTTAAATTACCTGTTCCAGGGAAAAATTCACCAAATTTATGGAATGAACATGTCATGACTCTATCTGTACTGTAAAATGCTTCTTCAACCCCATCACCATGATGAACATCGGTATCTATATATAAAACTCGAGGATGAACTCTTAATAATTCAATTATACCAAGGACAATATCATTTAAATAACAAAACCCTGAAGCTTCTGATTTCTTTGCATGATGTAAACCACCAGCATAGTTTATAGCCACATCACAAGAACCATTATTCATTCTTGCTGCAGCTTCCATTGATCCTCCACATGATATTTTACAAAATTCACCTAATCCATCAAACACAGGACAATCATCTCCTACATTAAAGATAATCTGCTCTCTTTCAAATAAGCCTAAATTATCAGGAGTGACTCTATCGATGAAATCAATATATTCATCAGTATGGAATTGAGTTAATTCTAAATTTGTGGCTGGTTGAGCTCGATATATTTCCATTTTCTTATATAATTCATAATTCATAATCAAAGAATGGGTCATTCTAATACGATGAGGTTTCATACAATGACCAGTACCATAGAAGTAATTCCCCACATCTTGATCATAGAAATAAGCCACCCGCTTTTTCTGAGTAGGATCCACTTTTAATTCGTCAAATGGTAATCTAACATACATTTGTCTATTCTTTTGGGGATTTAGTCTATAAATTTATCCTTTGTATGATTATTTTTTGATGTTTTTTTTTGATTATATTTGAATTACAATTGCTTGATTCTTCTTTTTAAATGTCTTCAACTCAAACTAACGTTAGTATGGTTGTTCCTTCTCTTTGATAAGAACTGTCTAGATATGAAATCTTAAAGATTGTAATCTTTTCAATTAACCAATCCTAATTCATACCATTTGGCTCTTTTTTTCTGCTTAGATATTTTTCTCTCTGTCTGTCTTTTTTTAGACTGGGTTGTGTGCAGGATATCTATAGTGCGGCTCAAAATAGACTTTAACAGCCCTTCAAATTAAAAGTATGGGGTGCAAAAAAAAATCATCCCTTTGTGTGATAATATATGTTACAACTATAGTTTATGATAAAGGTATATTCATTTTGAATAAGAATTGAAAACGTCACTAAATATAAATGAAAAGAAAAGAAAAGAAAAGAAAAGAAAAGAAAAGTTCAATAACGAAAATTCACTAAATGAAAAGCCATAACTTAATTCACCCACTCTAACTACACCAAAACACCAAAACTCCCAAACAAATAATCAAGCAACTTTAGTGATTTTTCCATCTTTAACATCATGAATATAACCAGATATTGGAACATCCAACACTAAATCATTCTTTTTAAAGAAATCAACATCTTCTTTCACACTTAATTCTAAATCACTAAATGGTAAGAAAGCAAAATGATCAACACTATGACCAGTTTCCTTTTTAACTATCCCTCTCAATTGTTCATCATTGAAAGTTAACATACCACAATCAGTATGATGAACAACGACAATTTCTCTGGTCCCTAATAAACGTTGAGAAATAATCACACTTCTTAAAGCATCAGAAGCTCTACCACCCGCATTTCTAATGACATGAGCTTCCCCTTCAGTTAATCCTAAAGCAGCAGCAGGATCAATTCTAGCATCCATACAAATCACCACAGCAACTTGCCTACCTGGAGGTAAAGGTAAATGACCTTTATCGAATTGAGCCACGTAAGCGATATTTGCCTTTTCAAATTCTTCTGCAACAGACATAGTAAATTAGTTACTCAATTGACTTAATAATGAATTGAATAAATTGTAAAAGAAAAAGTTTATAAAATTATTTGAAAAGCATAGGAATTTCATTTGTAATATATAAATAATGTTAAATTGACCCATATTAAATAAACCCACTCGTACATACTTCAATTAGGGATATTATCTCTAATTAATTTTGATTTTACCCCATACTTTAGTGATATGACCATTGCACATGATCAAAAAAAAAAGACGCCATAATTTTCTTCGCTTCTTTAAAAAACGGTTTTGACCGTGTGGACTGTATATAGTGTCAAGGGAGATGATAATGATAATGATTTAGACCTAGTTTGATTGAAGTTTTACGAATACGTTACTCGTCCTTCCAATCGTGTTACTCCCAGCTGTTATCACTGAAACAATTTCGTTAATTCAGCCAATCCGTTACTCCGCAGACTATAGTCATTAATTCAACTTGATGCCTAATTCTATCTAGGATAATTTTACTAACATTTAGTTCCTATTTCAATTTGATGCTGCTGCTGATTTTCTTACACGTCGGTCAATTCAAAGTTAATAATCTATATAGTATTTAGGTATATAGATTTACGTCGATAACTTACTTATTAACCTTATTACCTTATTACGGCACGCCTTACTGTTACGTTTCCCTGGTATTAACTCACACCATTTATATAGGAGATTATTACTAACACCATAGCTATTGCAATATGCGTCGTATGTCGCCGTAACTATTCGTCGTATGCCGCCGTGTGTATTGGAATAACAGTTACTTACGCCTGCTCCTTCCGTCTCAAGCTAATATATATAAAGTTTTATATGTTATAATTATTACATTCTGTAGTTAAATCTTCATAATCTTAGTGTGTACTGTATATAATATCAAGGGAGGAAAGTTGGAGGGGAACAGGGAAGATAACGATTGAACATTTCTGAAAATATCATACCATCGTTCATCTATTCGTGTTATCCTAATGCGTTGTTCATCGAACCAACCAATATTATGGTCAACCCAATATTTGTCCCACCGATAACTAATTTCTAATTAAACATGGTAATACCTAATTCTATCTAGGATCATTTTACTAACATTTAGCCTTAGCTACAACGATTTTCAAAAACTCTACTGTTGACGTTAATTTATAGCTTATTAAGGAAATTGAAGATTAAAATTTTAATTTTGAATCTAACCTACAGATTTTTGACCTATTCTCGAATATTATAGGAATACCAATAATGGATTCTTTATGATACTTCATATTAACATATACTTATCTAGGAGATTTTTTATTAATTTTATAAATGTGTTGCATTATCCGTCCTATTCCTCCATACGTATTGAAATAGACTTCGCCATGGGGCATCTTGCCTTAAATATATAACGTTTTATCTTTTATGATTATTATTATATTCTGTAGTTTTATACATTATAATTATATCTATGTAAATGATTTTTAATTTATAAATTCTTTTTATTTAATCTTCCTGATTCATTTAATTTATAAATTCCTAATAAATAAGCCAATCTAGTAACCACTAAATCAATAGCCATACCAATTGAATCCTTTGCTAAATCAACTTTTGATCCATCAATTTCTTGCCAATTAACTGGTAATTCTTTTAATTTAATTTTTTGAATTTCACCTAATAATAAAACTTCGACATCAAAAATCCATCTTTCAGTATGCATATGAGGATAAATTCTTTTTATAGATTCAAAATTAAACATTTTAAATCCACATTGAGTATCTTGAATATCTCTAATTCCAAAAATATAAACTAAGGTATGTAATCCATACATAAGGAAATTTCTAATGAATGATCTTTTAACCACAGCATCAGTATTTACCATATGAGCACGAGATCCAATGGCAACACCAGGTTCATTTGGTTTTAAACTATTCATAAATTCAATTAATTTACCAATATCTGAAAATCTAGTGGCACCATCGGCATCAACAAATAATCCATATTTACCTCGAGTATGTAATAAACCATGAGTCACTGCTCCACCTTTACCTCTATTTTGTTGTAATTGAATAACTCTTAATACATGAGGTTTTAAATTCAATTCAGTAGCTTTCTTTAATGCAAATTTATCAGTTCCATCACTTGATCCATCATCAACAATTAATATTTCAAATTTATGATTATAATTATCAACTAAATATTCCACTGCTTCATCCAACATCTTTCCTAAACGTTTGGTTTCATTATAACATGGAATAACAATACTCAATACAATGCCATCTTCATTCTTATGTGGAGTTGAAGTAGAAGTTATCCTTGGAGGTAAATCATATAATGTATTTGAACTGTTGTCATTCGTTATATATTTTGCTTCATTAGGGAATGGTAATCTTGGAGTATGAGAAAAGAAGATAATAGTACCATATGCTAGAATAAGTACCACCAATACGAATCCAATAAAGTACTTCAACATATTCTTCTAAGTACTATCTTTCTTCCTTGTTATATCGTATTAACGTGGCTATACCCTCTTCCAATATCTGAAAAATAATTTGGTGGAGAGTTTCACTATTTTTAATTTTTCGCGTTATGGTCAACAACAAAATTTTTCACTACACGTTGGTTTAATTGTATTACGATAGTTAATTTATATATTTTTACAATTAATACAGTGGGGTTTTAAATATACAAATTTAAAAGTTTGGGTGAAAGATATAAATCTCTCTCTCACACACATGCTGTACCATAGATATACACTGTTATTGTTTTTGTAAGGATGAATGAAGATAACCTCATGGCAGGGCTAATTTTGTAATTCTATTATTTAATATTCTAGCGTTATTGATAAAGATTTCCACCAATTCTTCTAATCGATAAGCATCAGTTCCTGCTACAATCTTATCAATGGCATTGAAAACTTCCAAAGTATCAATTTCTAATTCAACTTCATAATTGACATCATGATTTATAATTGTTTTCCCATGTTTATTCTTTGCTTCTCTTGGAATTAAAACTCTAGTTAAATCAAATTGAGTTAAAGTTGGGGCATGAGTCCATGTATTTCTCTTTTTATCTCTAACTCCTGATGGTTTATTCTTGGTTCTTATTGGTTCGATATTGTTTTCTGGAACTGGCATTTCAAGTGATAATGATAATCTTAAATCATACATTGATGAAGGATTATGAATGAATAAATCTGCCACTCTTTGTTTTTCAATAGCAGTATATCTTGGAGGATTCAAATTATTATCCTTTGATACTCTAACACGTTTAATTTGTTCACCACGATTACCAACTTGATAAAAAGTATCAGTGATATCAGAATCTAACATATTAAATTTTCTTCTTGGTTTTGATAAATCAGGTATACCTGATCTTAATTCATCTTGATAATTCTTCTCCAATTCTTCAAAAAATTTCCTAATATCATTCCAAGCAATTTCTTCCACTTGCATTTCAAAAAATGTTGATGATTGATTGGTATAAATACATTCAGTAACCACATCGACATTAATTCTATTACCAGTTCTTTTATCCATGATTTTTCCAAATTTTAATTCTAATTCAACATATTTACGATTCTCTTCAGTTATATTGGAAAAATTTGCATAAATCCATTCGGCAACCGTTCTTGTAAATGATGATGGAGGTATCACTCCAGTTATACTAACTTGTAAATCAAGACTTCTAGTAGTAGTATAATCGAAAACTGGAGTATCATTGATTTTATATTTAACATTACCATTCCCATTACTTTGAATGTCAGGATTATTATTATTATTATTGTTATTATTATTATTAATATTGACGTCATTATTATATCTATGTCTTTGATTAGGAGGTATATATCTTTGAGCCCAGATTGGAGGTGTATTATAACGTCTTGGTTTAGTTTTTCTCTTTAATGCTTTTAATTTAGTTAATTCATCAACATCTTCCTCATTAGATTCAGGAAGTGGAGATGATATTACTTGTGATGTTGAATGTTGCGACTGTGGTTCTGGTTTTGGTAAAACTTTGGGAGAATCAGATAAACTTGAATTTCTACTGACATTAACCGTAGTTTCTCTTCCAGTGGTTATATCAACATCTCTATCGTTAGTGATATTAGCTATGGAATTTCGTTTACTGGCATATGGAGATGAGGTAGTACTAGATGAAGTGGTTGAATGACCATTTATAGGATGAGGCACGGTATTAATGTTATTATTATTAAGGTTATGAACGGAAACAGCACCAATTGGCTTAGGGAATTCGACGACAGTTGCCACTTTTGATGATGATACAACTGGTGATAATGGCGGAGCAGCAGCCAAAGCAGGAGTCGGTTCAACCGCAGCAGCAGCAACAACAGATATTGGAGCTGGTGCCGGAGGAGCAGGGGTTGGAGTTGGAGTTGCTTCGTTTAAAATACTAGTAATGGAATGTCTTTGAGGATTAGATAAATTCTGTATATCTTGTTTTCGAGTTATAGATGATGGTTGTTGTTCTCTTTTAAGTTGTTCTTCATGTTCTTGTCGTTGTTGAACTTGTTGTATTGATTCTGATTCATGATCACTTGGAGGTGTATCATTATTTAAAATAGACCCCACATTCATTGTTGTATAGTATCTTTACTTTAATGATACATCTATTTTACAAGGAATTATACAACCACTAAGAATTGACGTTCGATTTAGGGTAAAAATGTGTTATAATCTATAGCAGACCTATGTCATATTTCGCTATACTAAAGATTTTTTTTTCTCTGTCATGATTTTGAACAAAGTACACGACAAACCAGATATACCGAATATCCTACGGATAAATGATGATTGATTTATTTAATTTATGTCATTTTTAAGAATATATATAAATAATAATAATAATATAATAATAATAACTACATTTAAACTTATGGAGGAAATCACATACTTAATAACCTAAGTTTTTGTTTAATCTCTTTGCGACGGCATCAATGAATTCTTCAGTGGTAACATAAGAAGATCTATCAGTTTTACCTTGAGTTAAAGCTAAATCTTTAGTCATGATTTCATCTTTTGAAACAGCTTCGATGGTGGCTCTTTCTAACTCTTCACCAAATTTAGTAACTTCAGGAGTTGAATCTAATTTACCTCTTTGAATAATACCTCTTGTCCAAGCGAAAATTGATGCAATTGAATTAGTAGAAGTTTCTTTACCTTGTTGATGTTGTCTATAATGTCTTGTAACTGTACCATGAGCAGCTTCAGCTTCGAAAGCTTTACCATCTGGAGTGACTAATACTGAAGTCATTAAACCTAATGAACCAAAACCTTGAGCCACGATATCAGATTGAACATCACCATCATAATTTTTCATAGCGATTATATAACCACCAGAAGATTTTATCATTTGAGCAACCATATCATCGATTAATCTATGTTCATACCAAATACCTTCCTTTTCAAATAATGGTTTATATTTGGATTCATATAATCCTTCAAAGATATCTTTAAATCTACCATCATATTTCTTTAAGATAGTATTTTTAGTGGATGAAAATAAATTTAATTTTCTTTCTAAAGCTAAAGCAAATGAACTTTCAGCAAAGGCAACGATTGATTCATCAGTATTATACATTGATAAAGCAACACCAGGGCTATCAAAATCATAAACTTTATAAGTTTGAGGTTCAGATCCATCTTTTGGTTTGAAAACTAATGATAATTCACCAGCACCTGGAACTAAAATATCAGTAGCTTTATATTGATCACCAAAAGCGTGTCTACCGATAATAATTGGTTTATTCCAAGTTGGAACGATTCTTGGAATATTATCAATGACAATTGGTTCTCTGAAAACAGTTCCACCTAAGATATTTCTAATGGTACCATTTGGAGATAACCACATTTTTTTTAAATTGAATTCTTTAACTCTAGCTTCATCTGGAGTAATGGTAGCACATTTTACACCCACTTGATATTTTAAAATAGCATTAGCAGCATCAGTTGTAACTTGATCATTGGTTTCATCTCTATATTCCATACCTAAATCATAATATTTTAAATCGATATCTAAATAAGGTAAGATTAATTTATCTTTAATGAATTGCCAGATGATTCTAGTTTGTTCATCACCATCCATTTCAACAATAGGTTCTTTAACCTTAATTTTAGTAATTTGAGCCATGGTAGTAGTAGTTGCTATAGGATAAATTTTTCAATAGAGAGATTGATAAACCCAAATAAATAAAAGTCAAATAAAGAAATACTAACGATATATATAAAAATTAAAAATAAGGAATTATGAAACCTATTTATACCAAGGCAAAATTAAACCAATTATAACCCCACCAAATCAAGTCAAAAATCAAACCAAAAAAAATAAATAAATAAAGTAATACAAAATTCAAAAAAAGTCAAAAAGTCAAAAAAATGGTTAAACGATTCTGCTGGTAAGAGTGTGGATTATTAATGTAAGTATAATCTAATCCAATCCTGGAAAGAAACCGGCAATGTTAGGCTGATTTGACTAAAATCGGAGTATAAAAAGGTAAGGATATGAAGTACCTTATACCACATTTTGTAAGCTAAAATAAAATAGTGATGCGATTCCATAAACCTCCGGGGTAAAATGTTAAAAAACTGAAATACCGAAAAACACCAACAAATATTTTTTTTACACAACGGGAAACGAAAATGAACTGATATTGATAATTAGGTTGAGTTAGTAATGGTTGTGTTATTGTGTAGAATGTGGAGTATTTATAGTATGAGTGGAGTTTATAGTATATAAAAGAGGTAAATGGTATGGTTATAAAATAGAAGATACTATAAATACGGAGTAAATGGGCCAATGTGAGCTGTAGAATTGATAATGAAGGGGAAAGGATAAACTGGAGTCTAGATCATAACTATAATTTATCCTAATCAAGGATAAATACCTTGAAATTGCCTTATTTAGTCCGGTTTCAGTTAAAAGTTAAATCAAAAAAAAAATTTACCGCTAAAAATTTGGTGGTCGGCAGCGTCGCTAAATTTTTCATATGACAGTTTAACGGAAATATAAAATTATATAAATAACGAATGAATCTAAAACTCTAAATAAATAAATAATAATAACGGTGTTGTTGTGTCGGATTAACCTATAGTAATTAGATCTACATGTATCGATTATAGTGTGTATATGGTGTCTACCTGTTACAGTATCAATGACCTCGTTTAAGCTGATGTCTCCACATTAAATTTGTTCTATTATTTCACATTCTTTTTTCCCAATTTGGGTTACCCCAGATTTTTACAGAACCAAATTTTCATTCGCCCTTTGAAATTGTGAGAGCTGTGTATAGTGAGAGTTAAATTTAGTGACAATAATGAAATTTTTAGTTATTTCAATAACTTTAAACTATATTCATTTAGTATAATGTTTACTATTGTATGTAGAGTAGATTAATCCATGTATCCTTATCAAAGTCATGATATGTAGTTCCTGGCTTGCTTTGACTGACTTATCAAAACATAACATTGAACACGGTCAAGGGATATTTAACATAGTTAACTCTTTGAATACTGAATGGGTTATATTTACCGTCTATATAGTTAAACTGTTTCATTTACATAACAACATAATAACAATCTCTTTACTTTATTTGTTTGTTTATATGTTAAGTTACTATAATAAGTTACTAAAGTCACGGGATTATGACGTAGTGGAAATTCTCGTCTTTTTTTTTTGTTTAAACCTAATTATATATCGTTATATCTTATCAGATACTTTAGTAACTAATGATAATGTTTAACTGTCATTTATATAATTATAACATCATTACATATATCAATACTATTGAATAATCATCATCTTTCTTATCAACCATACTTTATATGGTTATCAGTAATCACTAAGAAATTCATCTGTCTAACCTGCACATAACCATTCCATTTTAGATCAAAACAAACCAATTTTTCCGGAGTGTCTTGGTAGTCAATTACAACAAATCAATCATCAATTTTGAATTTGAATGGTATATCAGTTGTGATTCAAGTATATCAAATCTGATTCATAAGGGCTATACATTCATTCATATCATTAGAGATCATTCCTACTTTTTATCATCTTTTTTTTCCTTGCATTCTCATACCTTTATTTATATCTATCATCGATGAAGAAAGACTCATCATCAAATCAAAATAAACAACCATCCCATACCCCTCGTCATACCCCCTTGGAACTGCCTCAACTTACTTTCACAGCGGCTGATGGTGGTAATGATGTAGGTAAACAACGTCAGATGTTTGGCACTACTAATCATATCCCACCATTAACTCTTGAATCTCATTCTCGTCATCATATTAGAAACCACGCAATTTCAAATTCAAATTTACTTCTATTACCTTCAACTTCATCATCGAATCAACATGGATCAACCATTAAGGCATTTCCAAGTTTATCTGTACTTGAAAACTATTCCCATAATTCAGAAAATCATCATCAGAAATCAATCCCAAAAATCAAATCTCTTGGTAAAATCGATATTAGATCACCTATCTTACCTCGGAATTCATCATCATTTTTAACTCCAGGTAATAATTCAGTATTTGCCTTGGATCAAGTCATAAGTAATATAAATGAGCAAACTTCGCTTTATACAGATGCTTCAAATCAATCGATCTCCACTAAATTATTAAGTATCGGTCCAAATGCTCTCATATTATTAAGAAATTATTATAATGATTTCACCACTATAGATTGGGCAAAAGCTTTTATACTGACTAATAAATTTAATTACGAATTATTTAAAAATGAAAAATATAAAGTTGAAAATGGTCAAACTTCAATCGTTCCTATCCCATTTTATTATAAGATTTATTATGTAATGGGGAAATGGGTATTAATTGTTATTATTGGATTTGTATTCTCTTTGATTGCATATACGATTGATAAGATTGAAATCTTATTAGTTGGGTTCAAACATGGATATTGTAAAACAAATTGGTTTGCAAGTCAAGTTTCTTGTTGTTTACCAAAATCTTCACCCATCAATAATAATAATCCTTCTCCTCCATTGCATGTCATGAATGTATTTAAATCAGGATACATTTTCAAATCGAATAATATCCAAGATCAATGCCAAGATTGGATATCGTGGTCAAATCTATTCGAAGATCATCCTATTTATAATCGATTCAGATTTGATTTCTTAATTTATGTGATATTAACCATCATATTAGCTCATTTTGCATGCCTTATTACATTAACTACTAAAATCACCAGTGGAACCGCCATAACTAATAATCAAGAAAATGTGGCTACTACTACTACAACTAATAATAGTGGAGAAAACTCAAGTAAAGATGAAGTTCATGATAAATTATCATCACCAGAATTTCAAATAACTCCAAAAGTAATGTATACCGCTTATGGATCAGGTGTACCTGAAGTTAAAACCATATTATCAGGATTCGTGATTAGAAGATTTTTAGGAACTTATACATTAATTACCAAAACCATCACTTTAATATTAGCCATTGCCTCAGGTATGGCATTAGGTAAAGAAGGTCCTTATGTTCATTTAGCAACGGCAGTAGGAAATATCGCTACTAGATTTTTCCCGTTCATTTATAACAATGAATTATTAAAGAAACAAATCTTATCAGCTAGTGCATCTGCTGGTGTAGCATTAGCATTTGGTTCACCCTTAGGTGGTGTTTTATTCATCCTTGAAGAAATTAATCATTATTTACCTTCTCATCAATTATTCCAAGTTTTCTTTTGTGCTATTATGTCTACTTTATTTTTGAAATTTTTAAACCCTTACGGTACAGGTAAGACTGTTTTGTTTGAATTGAACTATACTTCAGATTGGAATGCGATAGAATTATTATTCTTCATTAGTATTGGAGTTTCAGGTGGGATTTTTGGAGCGTTATTCGTTAAATTCGTGGGATGGTGGCCTACGAAATTTCGTCAATTAAAATTAATTAAAAATCATCCTTTATTTGAAGTATTTTGTATTTCATTACTAACGGGTTTAATCACATTTTGGAATAGGTATACAAAACAAGCATCTTCAGAATTAGTCTTGGATTTAGCCACTCCTTGTGATGTGGAATTAGATTCAACTTTATGTCCAACTACTCATCCTCAATACATCACCGAATTAAACTCATTATTATTTGCATTCATAGTAAAAGTGGTTTTAACTTTTGTCACATTCGGTTTGAAATTACCTTGTGGTATTTACGTCCCATCTATGGTGGTTGGAGCATTATATGGGAGAATATTTTCCTTATTCATTCAATATATGAATTTTAAATATAATTTAAGTATTACTGATATTAATACTTCTACAAGTGGATCAATTATGAAGTATATTTGTTCAGCTGATCGTGAAGATGGTAGATGTGTTGACTCTGGTATTTATTCCATGATTAGTGCAGGAGCATTCATGGCAGGGGTGACAAGAATGAATATAACTTTGGTAACTATTTTGTTTGAATTAACCAGTTCTTATACTTATGTGTTACCGATTTCTATAGCTATTGCAGTGGCTAATTGGAGTGCGGGATTATTAGAGAAACATTCATTATATGAAGCATTATTGATTAAGAATGATTATCCCTTCATGTCTGCTGAAAACGAAGCCATTGATCCATTCATGACAGCTGGAGATATCATAACTGATATGGATTCATGTGTTAGGGAAGATGACGACGAGGAAGAGGAAGAAGAAAGTGATGTTTATCAATCACCAATATCAAAAAAGAAATCAACTCAATTAAACATTGTAGAAGATTTAATGCATGATGATGGATCAGATCTCAAATTATTCATCGATATAACTGATGCGCCATACGTACCTATTGGAACCTTACTTTCTAAATTAAGACTATTGGCCGATAAATCTTTATTAGATGGATGTTTACCATTAATTAAAAATAAAGTATGTATTGGATTGATATACTTTTCCGAATTGGAATTATGTTTGGATAAATTACAAGAATTCATTACCAAATATAACATTGTTGATGAAATATATTGTAAATTATCATCTGATGTGAACTATACCAAACTAAATCAAAGACAAATTATCATTAATTATGAAAAGCATAATGCAAATATTTTAAAGAATTTATTCACCAGTCTTATGGAAATTGATTATTTTAATTATGGATCTATAGAAAGAAATGATGAAATTGAAGAATTATTTGAAGAATTAATCAATTTAATCCAATTTATTGATTATTCTCCTATTTTTATAAATCATGATAGTGAATTAAGTTTGGCTCATTTAATATTTGATAGAATTGGTAATCGAGTAATTGTATTATTAAAAAATGGTCATTATTATGGAGTATTACATAAGAAAGTATTAATTGATTATTGTCGAAGAGAAGAAAAGAAGTAAATAAGTAAATAAAACTATCTTCTATTTATCATGTTTCTAGCATTATAAGTCCTAGTATAAGTATATACATCAGTTCCCAAAGTTTTAAATAAATCAAAATTCTCTTGCATTTGAGAATAATTGAAAACTTCATTTTCCCAAAATTGATCTAAATCATGTAATATTGAATCGCTGGGAGGTGTGAGAACAAATATACTCCTTACATCATCTGATACGTCATTCCCTGTAATCATTTCTTCTATATAATGTGGTGGTACCCTGTGATAAAATACATTGATTTCACGTAAGTAATAAATTATCAGTCGATATAATTCACTACTCCACATTTTGATTCGAGTTAAAAGGATTCGATTTAATTTAATCATAAATTGATTTAATTCAGGATCATTAGTAAAGAATTTTAAAAGAGTTGTTAACAAAATTTTTACTGGAATTGAATCTTTCTTTAATTCATAATCAATATCGGACTCAATATATTCCTCAAATAAACTAGATAGTTCCATAGCAAGCACTTCTTGATCATTTTCAAACAAAAGATGAGCCATAACTCTTAATTCATTAGTATCAGTTTCAAAATCATAATCTCTAATTTCTTCAGCGAAAATGGATGTTGCTAAATGAGGATCATCTTGAACCATATTCCAAAATATTAATATAGAACAAAATTCATCTTCCTTAATATTTATATTCAATAATAAACATGAACAAATTTGTAAATTTGATAATAAACCTAAGATGTACTTTGACAGGCCACTATACGTTGATAATTTATATATAATTCGTACTACCATCAGCATATTAAATATACCCTCATTTAAATTATTCATTAACCAACCTTCTAGTTGGGAAGTTAATTTAAAACCTAATGCTTCAAAACAGTTACAGAGAATATATGTAAGGCAATTTATAGGATATTTTAAATTTTCTTCAATCGAATTATGTGGGGAATATCTTTCAGTAATATTGGCCAAATCATCAAACAACAGACAGTAATCACTCATAAACCAACGGCGAAGAAGAGTGTTATCTTCTTCATCAAAATTTATCAAGGTTTTTAAATTGACCATGATTTCGTGATCGGTAGTATGTTGAAAATAAAATTTTAATATATCATATGAAGGGAAACGAGCATCATCAAAAAGTTTCCTTATTCGAGATTTTAGAATAGAAGAATTTAATGATTCATTAGATATATCAAATGATTCAATCCACATAAGAGAAAACCAACCAGAAGCAAGCTCTTTTTTAACTGAAACAACATTGAAATAGGTTTTCAAAAGACTCCTTAAAGTAGTTGTTTCATTTTGTAACATTAATGAAAAATCAACATGATCAAAATGAGAGAATAAATAATTAAAAATGAATGAGTATTCTACTATTTTCTCATCATTTAACAATTCAGGATCAACTTCACTATTTGTAGTAAAACATTTCATTAAGAATAATAGAAACAATTTAAATATTAAGAGTTGATTACGGTACAAAGAGTGGTATTCAACACTGAGACAATTTAACGTAGAATATGAGAAAAATATACCAGATCTTATGGCATCAGAGAACTTTCTTTCATAGTTGTTTGGATTTGTAAGTAGCTTTCCTAAACTCTCTAATACAACTTTTAACTCAGCAATTAGTTTTTCCAATATATCCTTATTCATTTGTGTTCCTTGATTTTTAGACTTTAATAATTCCTCATGCTAAAGATTTCTGTTAGTTATTTGATTTCAATCATTGGTATGTCTCTGAAGTATTACATACACTTCTAATCACCTCTATTAACTTCCGTTTGCACTGGTGTATTTCTAATTCTGGATTGGTTTCAACATCATTATCCCAAAAGGTAGTCAAAAAATCATCATCTGAAGACAGCGGCTGATCAGGATTCTCATCATCCAATGTTTGCCCTGGCGGACTTCTAACCTCTTCACGGTCTCGTCCAAATTGGCTAAAAAGAGACATCAGAACCTCCAAAAGTGTTTTAAATCTGTTTCTGAAGAACCTAATCTGACCTAAATGTAAATAAACGTAAACCAATTTTAATATATAAGAAACGGCACTTAAAAAATTTTGTTTACATTATACGCTTTGTCCTTTTGTGTTCAGACAATTTTGAAACACAACCAAAACGAAAAAGAGTTTGCAACCAAAAAATAACAGACAGACAAAAACAAAAAAATGTCAGTTTGGTGGTGGGTCCTGTACATAAACCATCCCTTTGAAACAAATGTGTTAAAAGGGGATATCAATCCAAAAAGGTTCAAACAGGCGAAGGGGATAGACGGTGAATCCATCTATATATATGGGAGATCAAAGACTTTTTAAAGTCTAAGACAGATCTGTTTCATATAAATAGTACGGTATTGCCAGTTAACGTTAATAAAATCAGAAGTTTTTGATTGATTCCGTGTTTAACAAAAGTATCATGTTGCCAAATAAGTATACTTATAACAAGTTCGGTACAAGAGCACCAAACTCTTCATCATCATCATCGTCGTCATCTGATAGGTTGATGATGTCAAAGAGAAGTCTGAGTGATTCCAAGTTACTTTCGATTTCATCATCTACATCTACATCGTTATCTGCTGGTTCTGGTTTATCATCTTCATCTTCAACTCAATCACAAGATTTATCAAGAAGTAAAAGTCATAATGCAATGGAAATGGATTATTGTAATCATATTTTACATAGTAACAAGAATAAGAAGGTTCGTCCTACTAATAAGAGAAATGAAGAGTTAGGGATTCAATATATTAGAAATATTAATAATCCATTTGAAGGTTATCCAAAATTAAACAAGTTACATCAATTAAAAAGAAGTCAAATGGTTAAACATGCTGTCAAACCTTATGGAGTTAGAGTCCCCACTAATAATATAGTTCCTACGTTATATAATTGGATTGAAAATTATAATCTCAAGTTTGATGTTATTATGATTGGAGCATTAGTTGAAAATCAATTTATTTTACCTATATTAAATAATATTCCATTTCATAGATTATGTTCTAAACCGGGATTTTTATTTATTTGGGCTACAACTCAAAAGATTCAAGAATTAACTAATCTTTTAAATAATGATACTTTCAATAAGAAATTTAGAAGATCAGAAGAATTAATCTTTTTACCCATTGAAAAGGATTCACCCTATTTTCCTGGTGATGATGGTGATGAATCGATTCCTTTATTTGAAAGACAACAATGGCATTGTTGGATGTGTATCACCGGTACGGTTAGAAGAGCCACTGATAATCATTTAATTCATTGTAATATTGATACTGATTTACAAATTGAATCTTTCTCACCAAATTCAACATCATCAAAAAGAAATGTGGTTCCTGATGCATTATATAGAGTGGCAGAGAATTTTTCCAATTCAAATAGAAGATTACATATTATTCCTTCCAGAACTGGGTATGATTTACCTATTAGATTAAGATTAGGTTGGGTTATTATGAGTCCAGATGTTATGATTAATAACTTTAATCCTCAACAATATAAGGAAGAATTATATGCTAAATCATTAATTCAATATAAATCAACCACATCATCATCATCAAATATTACTATCCCAGGTACAGTTAATAATCAGAATAATAATAATATTCAATATTTAGTACCTCAAACTGATGAGATTGAAGACTTAAGACCAAAGAGTCCAGTCATTGCTAGTAAAAGTGGATAGTTAACCATACCTAGTTAGTTTGCTCTACCCATATATAGCTAGTTTTATAGAAAAAAGAAATCCATATTTATTCCATAGAGTTAAAAAGTTTATGCTACAACAATAATTTATAATTTGTATAATATAATCATATATTCAATAAAAATTTCATATAAAAATCTAAAAGGCATTAAAAGTTAGTAAAACAAGATCAACGTAAAAAACGACTTGAATAATCCCATCTCAAAACTTTCATATCATGAGGCTTCATTTAAATTGTTTGGTTTTCTTTATATATCAGATAAATTGATGAATGTTGGAAAAAGAAGTTTATCAGCATCGTAAAAACTAAGAGTGAGCTGAGTAAGGTTATCATCATAACAAAGAAAACCACAATATGAACCTCCCATAAAAGTCATGATTGATGGATTATTATCATTTCAATTGTAAACATACTCATTTCTATTGAATTAGAATTATACTATCATCATTTGGATATAGTTAGTTGATTTGATATAATAGAAAAGAATATAATACAATTTAAATTAAATTTGAATGAAAATTTTTTGTCTGTCTGTAAAAGAGCACAGAGATTTTGTTAGGGTCCGGGTAAATTTTCTGTACTGTATAGAGTGAAAAGTAAATTTATAAAGGGCTTGATTAAATGGTGATGAAAGAAGGATTATAGTTGGATTTATATAGCTTAAACTTTCTTATATGGGTTTAAAATTGTAATTCTATGTCTCTATATTCAAAACTCAAAGAAATAAACAAAGTAAAGTTAATTAAATTTAATGTTTTTACTAAATATTTATGTTGTTTTAACATTACTGCAAAAAAAAATACAAATTGAATCAATGATTATTTTACTCTCAAATAAATCACAGAAAGTGAAGTAAAAAGGAGAAGTTATATCCATATTAGCTTAACTACTAATATTTACTATACACTGATATATTTACTTTTATAATTTAATAAAAATTCATGAAGTTAAAACTGAATGAATTAATTTGTTAGTAGTTCGGAATTGATATTCGAGGCTATCGGCGACTTTTTTAACTATGTAATTCACGTGCCACAAATAAACAATTTGTGAGAAACATTTTCATTTTTCCTTCACATCAAAAGGTTTTGTGGTCTAGTTGGTTATGGCATCTGCTTAACACGCAGAACGTCCCCAGTTCGATCCTGGGCAAAATCATTTGATTTTTTTTTGGTTTTTGACTTTAGATTTGGCAGCAAATTAAATTTTTTTTTACATTTGTAAAACCATTTCCAATATATTCTATTGAATGTGATGTTAAAAACATAGAATCAATCAAGATAAAGGGACGAAAGCAACACTAACCGATAAGAAGCAATAATAACTTGGAAAGAAGAAAGAAATAAAAACAATACAATGTATATTTGTAACAATGGATCTTGGGTTTGGGATCTGGTTAACAAAACATTGCTATTGCTTAATATGAAAATAAAGTTTTAATAGTTACAGGGATAAAGATGAATTTAATATTGAATTAATTCACAATGAGAAGAAGTGTATTACTAGACTTGATTCTAGATGTTGATGGATTGATACTAAAGAGTGGTAAATGATAGCTGTTAAACATCTTCGTTAGCTTAATTATGTAAGTATAATTATCATTATAAAGTATTTTCACTACTTTGAAGTTGTCTAACAGCTAGAATTCACTAGTGAGTATCCAACTTTGATCATTACTATCATTACTATCACTATCAAGATAAAAACTCACGTAATATATCTAATATCAATCATAACACTATAAATCGTATTTGCTGTCTCAAACCTCAAACATTTTTTTTACGAGTTTGGAACTGCATTTTATTTTATGCATGATAAGAAAAAACATCTTGTAACAAAAATGCATTTTAAAAAGAGACTTGTGACAAAGCCCTGTCTCTCTCCTGCCGCTGCTGATGTAGCTGCTGCTGTTGTGTTAGATATCGGACAGGGTTCCTAAAAAAGATACAAAATAGTATTACCACATTTATTCATGACATAATTTTTTCATTCGTAATGGTGAATAGAGTAATTTGGGGCTCTACCCTAATTTACACCAAGATTGTATCTTCAAGAATCACAAAATCAAAAAAAGTGGCTATAATTCTAAGAAAATAAAACTACAATAGGTCCAAATCTCTCTGATTGCCGTTACTGCCTTATTCATAGTTTAGTAGAGCTATAGGTGAACTAACTCTAGAGTGTTATCAAATGTCATAACAGCAATAATAAATTATCGATAGATAATGACAATAGAGATAAAATGGAATGCAAAATTAAATATTACTGATAAAAAGACTAAGTCCTTACAAATTGTGTTGAAAAATAACCGAAATTACCCACAGAGATAGATATGGTAAAAATAATTACTGATCATTTTATTGATCATTTGATGATGTACCTACCTACATACATACCTACATACATAATAAATAATTTCATAGTGTGAAACATAATCTCTCGTGTGATTATTGAATTCTCTTTATTTCAAATTTGTTTCATCTATACGTTACTTACTTACATTAGATCTTCTTTTTAGTTATAGTATTACTCCATTTTATCCTGTATACCGCAAACAGCATCCCTTTTTTTTTTCTTACTTCATTCCTGCTAATTAAAAAAGAAACCAAAAAAAAAAAAAAAAAAATAAAAATAAAAATTATACACGTTTGAGAAATCAATCAAAGGAGAAGAAACAAAACTCCAACCCAACAACCAGAGGGAATTCATATTTTATTTATCAGTTTTAATCGTTTAATTTCAAAACTGTTGTTCTGGCGGTTTCATACTAGGTCCAGGTACATGGCTTGATTCATTCACTTTACTTCGTCTGTCGTTTGTCATCATCTGTTGAGCATTTGTACTTCCCCTCCACCCCTCCCTTAAAAGATACGCTTTACGCGGTTAGTTCCTTTCCTCCTTATCCCGCTGTCTTCCCTTGTCTCTTTACAACCACTACTTCAACCACATCAAATCAACAGTATTGAGTCCATCTAGAGGTAGTTGTCATCCTTATACAGCATCATCAACTGATCATCATGGATACTCCAGGTCCTTACTTGCTTCTTCTGACTTTACTGGAAGAAGTAAGATCAAGTTTGGTATTACATCCTCAAATCACTACTTTAAATCAATTATTCTTAAAGTATTTGAAAGAACCAAGATATCAATCTCCTTTAACTATAGTTGAATTATCTCATTTATTTCAATACTTTTATCGTGATTTGAAATCATTAGTTATAAATATCTTTACTCAATCAAATTCAACTAAAAAGCAACTTATATCAGTATCAAATTATTTTAATTCAAATCCTAAAAAGTTTGATTATTTATTAGCCATTGCTAATTATAGTCCATCATCTATTAAATTATTAAAAAGATCAGATCCTGATGCTATTCTTCAATTAAGAATCTTTAATTATTATAAATTTTTAATCATTTTTGAAAGTTTAGAATTAGCTCAATTAAATTTATTTAATTCAATTAATAATGATGATATTAAATTATATGATAAAATTTTTAAATTTGATCAAAAAGATATTATTTATCAAGAATTTTTAACAGAAAAATTAACTCTTTTAAAATCATTAAATTTATCATTCAGTTATTTTATTGAATCAAATAGTAATAATAAAGATAATCAAAAATTAATTAAATTCATAAATTCCATTAATAAAGTTGATATAATCTTAATTCAAAAGATTTTTAATGATTTAAATTGTAAAAATTTAACTCCTTATTCAAAATTATCTAATATTGTTTTAATTCATAAATTATTAATTAAAAATTTTATTAAAAGTGGTCAATTTAAAAATAATGAAATTAATAATGATGTTTTATTACCTACTTTGATTTATCTTATTATTTATAAATTAAATACTCAAGATCTTTATTTAAATTTCTTATTTATTAAGAATTTTTTAAATTTATTAGATCCTTATAGAGTGGAAATTTTTCCCTTAAATTTATATGCATCATCAAATTATAATCCAACTGTTGATAAAGCTAGTAATAAATATTATAAAACAGGGGATTTATTTGAATTTTTAAACATTTCAACTGATGGTAATAATAATGAAACTACTAATAATCAAGATGATCAAAATGATATTCAACAACAACAACAACAACAGATTCAAGAAGGAGGTTTATCTACTGATGAATTCTTCACTAATGATAAAGATATGATCAATTATTTATCTGAAACCTACATTAACAATGGTGAATTAAGTTATTATTTAACTAATTTTGAAGCTATCATTGTATTTTTATCAAATATCACTGTTAATGAATTATTATCTCATAATTCTTCATCATCACCTGAAGAAGTTGAAAAGTTAATTTCAGAAGCATCATCAAATAAGTTACTTACAAGTCCAATTAGTAAATTAGTGGATGAAGAACTTTTATCTCATTTCCAATTCCCGGATGGGAAATTAAATGAAGAAATACTGGGATCTCAAGCAGATTTAAATGCTATTAATCAAGATCCTTCACAAGAACAGCTTTCAACACAATCATCACAATCTCAAGTGCATACCGAAACTCAACCTCAACCACAAACTCAAAATAGATCAAGATCTTCTTCCATACTTAATACTATCAGTAATAGAATCAATGAAACAAGAACAAGATCAAATAGTTCAATCATGAATACTTTAAAACAATCTAATTCTGCATTATCAAAAGAAAGTTTTCCTACTTTAATGGATTCTAATTCTAATGATTCATCCTCTATTCAAACTGATTCATTAGATTTAAATAATGGATTTAATATGATGAAAAATATTTTAGGAAGATTTAGTTCATCAGTTGGTAATAGTCAACCATCTGATTTTTTTAGTCCTTTACCATCCCAACCTCAACAAATGGATGAAATGGTAAATTCAGGATTAGAATCTTCAAGTCCTCAAAGAAGATCAGCATCATTGATAAATAAATTATCCCCTCATCATTCAAGAACCCGATCTTCATCATTAGAAACTGCATTAAACGGTAATAATACCACTTTTGTTAATGGTATTCATTATAAAAGAAATTCAATTACGGCTAAATTAAGTAATGGTGTAACTGAATTCATGACTAAATTAAATAATCAACCTGCATTACCAAATTCGGCTTCCACTATAGTGTTACCAAGTCAAGCTCAAGATCAACAAGAACCACCAACACCATCATCTACCACATCTCATCATCAAAGTAATGGAAGTAATGGTAGCACAGATACTATTAATAAAAATATTTCCAATATTTCATTACATTCATTAGATAATGAACATATTGATTCAAATGGAGCCAATATATTTTCAACAACACCATCCAAAAAGGGAGGTGAAAGTAGAAGTAGAGGTACAAGTTTACAAATTATGGATAAATTTTTTAGTAATATTAGTCAACAATCTCAAAAATTTATGATGCCAGCTAGTACTTCAAGTAGTTTAGATCAACATATTTCAAATCATTCTCGATCACAATTGCATTTACAATCTCAACATTCTGATCTAAATTTATCAAATAATCAATTATTTAAATTTCATCAAATGGATTTTGATTCATTAACGATTAAAGATTTAAAAGAATTAAAACTGTCTTATGATCAATTATGCACTCAATATTTATTATTATCATCATCATCAACTGGTACAATAACTTCATTAGAGAATAATGCTGGTAGTGGTATAGTGCCAGAAGGTTCTATTTCAATTTCAAATGTTTCTGCACCCGCATCAGCAGGTGTCACCGCAAGTTCAACCAGTGCATCTATTGCTGAAGAAGATGAACACGAAGACCAAATTGATTCAGAAAGAAAGAGCGGTATAGAAGTATTAGATGATGCTAATGAAGAAGGAGAAGGATTAGAAGTAGGTGAACAAGTTGGGGAACATCAAGAAGAAGAAGAAGATGATGATGATGAGGAAGAGGAGGATTCAACATCGAATGGTGATTCAGGTAGTGATGAGGTTGCTAGTGGTGATACCATTGCCACTGATTCTTTAGCTCAAGTTGCTAAGATAGTTGATCTTCCGGTATTAGATGCCATAGCTGCATCTGCTACCATTGATTCTGTCTAAAGTCAAGGTTAGGGTAACGACTAATTGTCAGAATCTTTTTACGGTTATATCGTTAGGTTAATATTTTTTTATTTATTTATTTATAATCATATTCATATTCATATTCATATATATATATCTATTAATAGATTGGGATAAAATATACATACAAATTGTTATTTTATAAGACAAAACAAAATGGGTCAGGGTCCAAAACAACCAAGAATCTTTTTTACACTGATGACAGCGTGCGCCAACCAAAATCAGTAGAAATATCTAGAACAATCATCACAAACGCCCAAAGTTTGAAGGGTCTAGACGTAAGGCATATAAATAGTTAGCTAACGGTCGTATAAATTTTTTTCAAATTATAGGGAGGAAGAGCATCATACATTGATTTATTGATCTTATTATGAAATTATATGCTGATTCGTAGAAAACATCGTCACCGATCATCAATTGATGACTTTGATTTTTATCAACATGATGGAAATGATAGTGAATTACAACGACAAGAACATGAACAAGATGAAGATGAAGATGAAGAAGACTTATTAACTACTCTGAGAGGTAATAAGAGAATAAAACTTGATAATTTACTTAACGATTTGCATCTTAGCGAGGAGAATGTGGTGCCACCAACGACGGCAAGGATTTCAATAAAAGGATCCGATATACCTCAACTTATATATGATACGGATAGTGATAATGATAATAGTGATGATGGATCCAATAGAAAATATGTTATCAATAAGAATATTCAATCGTTTCAATTCATAAAGGAATTGAGTGAAAATAATGGAACCAAGACTAATATGAATGATTTGAATCAATATTTTCTGAATAAATTATTAGATGATTATCAACAATATATTGAATCGAATTTAAAAGTGATTAAATGGTATAATTATCGATTTTTAATTGTGATTAAATTTCAACATTGGTGTTTAAGATTGTTTAATCGATTTATAAGAAAATTCAATAATGAGAATCATTTGAAAATACCTAAATTCAATCATTATGATAAGATTATGAAACTTATTCAAGAGCAAAAGTTAGCGGTCAATGATTATTTAACTATTTTAAATAATGAGAATAACATTGATATGGCTAAATTACATCAAAAGCAACAACAACGGACTTTGAAACGCAAATCGAGGGTATTACTGCATCATCATCATCATGATTTAGATGATAACGAGGATCTTAAAGATATCAGATACAACTATTGGGATACACTCAAGTTTGATATAGATGTTGATCTTGACACAGAAAATGATATGGAACAAGAAATAGACGAAGATTACGATACTGAAGAAAGTAAAATTATAGAGATTCGGAATGAACCAGATCAAGATCAAGGTCTGAACTTGAACCTGGATATGGATATAGATTGATTGATACTATCAATCTATATAGTTAACTAATAATTAATGCATTTTACCAAACTTATGACTTAATGACGTACCATTTGCTACAAATGACGATGTAAAACCTATCTCTAAAGTCTAACTTAAATTGTGGAGAGACTGCGCGATCGCACTCGCGCTTCGCTATCGTTATCAGCCAGGACAAAATCCAAATTACAAAACCGTTACGGTATCATAATTGCAAACAAGATCAGTAGACTACAGGGTCCATAAGCATCCACACACATATGATTTGAGTATGATAGAGCTATTAGACTTACCTCCAGAAATACTACTATGTATATTCCAAAGCTTTAGTGCTTCTGAGTTAGATGAATTCATCCTTCGCATGATTAAATTGTTTGATACTGACGATAATAGATTGCTTGATCTTATGTATATTGCATTGTTTAGCAAGACATTACTCATCACCAATGATAACATAGCAGAGAAAGTACCTGATATATATCGACAATTACCGATTAACGATTTTGAAATCTTACTACTTTTACAACGTCATAAAAGCACGTTATTTCAACAATGTCAACCACAAAAGATTAGTATTCGATTCTTAAGGAAATCAGATGATTATCATCGATTCATAAGAGATCTTCAGCAGTTACATTATTCATTGAAAAGGAAAAAGAAAGGAACTACCGAACAGGGGAATCTAGATCAATTGGTAGTTTATTTCGAAACAAGATTTAAAGCGTTTGATGTTTATATTGATTGTAATTTACAAATGGTTGAAAATCCCACCAGTATTTCATCAGGTCTTATTCAAGTATTACTTGATTTAGCTGAAAATCCTTATCTAATAGCCAAATTAAAAAAGTTGACTTTAATAGCTAGTGATATTGGGACATTTTATGTTAAATCTTGGAGTCAATTATTTCATAGATTTGAAAATTTAATTGAATTAAACTTATCCAATAATGTTATTCAAAATACTTATGATGAGGTTGAAGATGTATTTTCAACTTCATTTAATTTCCCTCCACTTTTAAAATCACTTGATTTAAGTCAAAATTTAATTACAAACATTTCAGTAGGTTTTATAAAGAACTTACCTAGATCTTTAGTGGTGTTAAAGCTTAATGATAATATCATTGTTCATTTAGGTGATACTTTAAAGATCTCAAAACGATTACCCAATTTACGGAATCTCCAATTAAATAACAATCCTCATTTGGATTATATAAATGAAACTACTTTTATGGATATCACGAATAAAGACTTTTTATTGGAACTTAGAGGTAACAATATAAATAATGACGACATGGTTAAACTCAAGAATATGGCAAGGTTAGGTAAATTTACATTAGATATATGAAAGTTATGTGTATATAGTAGTATGTTTAATATATATATTGATTAAGGTGAATTATGGCCTAGGCCGATTTCCGGCATATAATTTCCAAAATTCTGTTGACAAATGTTTTTGGGTAAATTATCACATCAACGGAGTCGATCAGGAACGACGACTAAGACGACTTAAACGAATTAACACCAGTCAATTTGATACACCATAATAGATAAGGGAAGATCCTTAATGATACGACTTAATAGATTGATATGTGGTACGCATATTATAACTAAGGCGATCCCGATATCTAAATCGATGATATCATTGAATGCAAATCGTTCAATTTTTCAATTATCTAGATCAAAGCTTCAACCTCATAGTTTGATATCAAGTCCAAATCTAATAAGAAATGAGTTATCTCGTACATATAGATTGTTAACAATCCCAAAGAGATTGAACTCAACTTCTACCCCATTATCCAGTCCATCGTCATCATCATCTTCGTCATCATCAAATAGTTCAAGTGAAGATGCTGCCAAACCCAAACCAAACGTAGGAAAAGATATGATAAAACTACTAAAGCTTGCTAAACCAGAATATACATTAATGGGATATGCCTTAATATGTTTATTTATAACATCGGCAACATCGATGTTGTTGCCATTATTTATTGGTAAAATTATAGATGCGGGGCTGGATGAATTAGTCAAAATCAAAGAAGAAGCAGATACAGAGAATCAACCAGACAAAGAAAAAAACGACAGTGATGGGCTTCTATTAGGATTAGAACCAATTCAATTCTATTCTGTATTAGCTGTTTTATTCACAGTTGGAGCTGTTGCCAATTTTGGTAGAACCTATTTATTAAGAACAGTAGGGGAAAGATTAGTAGCTCGATTAAGATCCCGATTATTTCTGAAGATTTTAGAACAAGATTCGATTTTCTTTGATATTGGACCTACTGGTAATGGTATGAAAACTGGTGATTTAATCTCTCGTATTTCAAATGATGCTCAAATTATATCAAAAACCTTAAGTGGAAATATAAATGATGGTATTAGAGCTCTGATTAGTGGATTAGTAGGATTATCAATGATGTGTTACGTATCATGGAAGTTAACCTTATGTATGAGTCTTATGTTCCCACCATTGATTTTAATGTCATTATTTTATGGTCGTAAGATTAAAACATTATCTAAATTAATTCAAGAAAATTTAGGTGCAATGACAAAAGTTACTGAAGAGAAATTAAATGGGATTAAAACGATTCAAAGTTTTTCTCAACAAAAATTAATGGTACATCAATATAATGAAGAAGTTAAACATATTTTTGATAATGGATTAAGAGAAGGGAAATTATCTGGGATTTATTATGCTATTAATGGATTTTTAGGTAATACTACTATCATTGGATTATTAGTGATTGGAAATCAATTAATTATTAATGGAGATTTAAGTGTTGGAGATTTATCAAGTTTTATGATGTATGCACTTTATACAGGAGGAGCTGTATTTGGACTTGGGAATTTTTATTCTGAATTAATGAAAGGTTTAGGAGCATCAGAAAGAATATTTGAATTAATCGATTATAGATCAAATATACCGGTTAGATCAGGTGAAAAAGTTGATAATCTTCATGGAAATATTGAATTTAGAGATATTAAATTTAAATATCCATCTCGTACTACATCAACAATATTCAATGGATTAAATTTAACGATTGAAAAGGGGTCAAATATTTGTATAGTTGGACCATCAGGAAGTGGGAAATCAACTATTTCTCAATTATTATTAAGATTTTATGATCCAATTGAAGGTCAAGTTATAGTTAATGGATATAATATTCTGGATCTTAATTTGAATTATTATAGAACCAAATTAGGATATGTTCAACAAGAATCATTATTATTTAATGGAACTATTCGTGAGAATATTTTATTTGGTAGAAATGATGCAACTGAAGAAGATATTTATGATGCATTAAGATTAAGTAATTCATTTGATTTTGTGAATAATTTACCTGATGGTTTAGATACTAATATTGGATCATTAAATAGTACTCAATTAAGTGGAGGTCAAAAGCAAAGATTATCGCTAGCGAGAACCTTAATTAGGAAACCTAAAATCTTACTTTTAGATGAAGCCACTTCAGCTTTAGATTCCATTAGTGAAGAGATTGTGCTTACCAATTTAAAGCATTTAAATAATAATGAGAATATTACCATAATATCGATTGCTCACCGATTATCCACCATTAAAAACAGTGATAGAATCATTGTCTTAGATCATCATGGTAATATAGTTGAAGATGGTCAATTTAATGAATTATATGAAAACCCTGATAGTGCTTTAAATCGGTTATTAAAGAATAATGATGCTTGAGTTACATACCCCACTTATACATATTATATATATATATATAGATATAACATAGCTTTACCATGTAAATAGCAAAATAGATATGTTGTTTAATTAGCAATCGTACCGTAACCTGTTTGTGACATTTCGCAGTAAAGTTTAGACTCGCCTAAATTGGACTAATTTCAGTTTTTAGTACAGGGTTAAACTGTGAGACATGAAATTTTTCACATGCACTGGCATCACAGACATACCGATATACCATCAATTAAACTCCAATTCAATATGGTCATTGGAATTTGGTGATATTAAAGGAGGCAATATTTCACCTCCTTAACAATGGCAACATTAAATTCCGTAATTTCAATACACAGGACGGCATGTAGGCAAGCGTAGGTCCATGTTTCTCCGACCGGACTATTCTGATGCTTAACTCACGGTATCATTAAAAAAGGTTTGTAGTTCAAAAGTACCTGAATTTCAAAAACTCTATTGTTTTTAACAGTCGACTTTTGATATTTGTAGTTATTTGTTTCTTATTGATACTTTATAATTAGTTGACGATACTTTTAAAACAGTGGGAGTTATATACAATTGGATAATCATTAGTGAATTGCTTTGGCTAGAATTTGCGATCATTTTTGGCTGGGATAATTTAGAAGAGCAAAATCAGCACATATCTGTACCAAGATGTATCTGACGCCACCAGATAAATCTATAACTATTATAGAACCAACCAAACCTGATGAAATTATAAGTTCAGAATCAAAACTGAATGAAAATGAAGTACTACTGTCAAATACTATGGATCATCGTCATTCAGAAGAATTAGAAACAGAAGAAGACGCAGCAGCAATGTTAGACAACAAAACTAAAGAATATCATAGTTCCCTTGTCAACACCATCAGAAGTCAATTATCAGCTAAAACAACTCTAGTTCGTGATTTTTCATCTAGCAGTTTAGATAAATTGAATCCATTATCTCATAGTTCATCACTTCATGCTTCAGGCCTTCATACACCAGATCTTGATTCGCAGCAGCAGCTGCAGCAACTGCTGCATAGTCATCATCACCAAAAGCATCACTCAAATCAAAGACAACCAAGACAATCATTATATAAGAAATTTGCAGCATCAATCATACCTCCATTACAAGGAACACTTGCTTTTTTAAATCATACTCCAAATGGTGAAAATGATGAGAATTTGCCACCCCAGATAAAACGAAAGTCAAGTGATGAAGATGATATTGCAGATCAAATCATGCCTCCAAACTCGTTTGTTAACTTGATGACGACGGTGTCTATGTGTTCTGGTATTGGATCTTTAGCCAAATTAGTTAAAAATAATGAAAAGGATGATGAAAATTTAGAAAGTAAAGTTCCAAAGGAATATGGTGACGAAGAATATGGTATTTATAATAGTGATGATGATAATGATGATCACGATGATTCACGGGATGAAGTGGATGATCTAGATGACGAAGGATACTTCAATGGTACACCTGTTGGACAATTGAATGTCTATAAAGATGAAGAAAACACCAAATCAGAAGATCCTTTATCCAATGTGAAATTAACTTCAACTCAAATGTCGGAATCTTTTAGTTCAGGTTCAGGTGATGGTAAGGGATATTCGTTACATCCTTATAACCCCGATAAGTTCTCTTCAGGTGCTCCTGTACCCGACGTTTCTGACCAACATCTGGCCGTAGATACAATCACTTCTAATACTACTGCAACTTCAACACTTCATAGAACAACCTTACAACAATCATTTATTGATAATTTGAATCAACACTCTATCAAAGAAGGTTTATTGATCAAGAGAATTGACCATCCTGATATGGAAAAGATTGATGATTCACTTTATAAAGAGCAAAAAGAGAATTTATGCTTGAACATTGCCGATAAACTTCAAAAGGTTTTTGAATTAAGTGATGATGATTACTTTTATGGAAATTTCAATTCATGGCTTATTAAAGATGTGTTATTACAGGGTCATTTATATTTAACCAAACAATGTATAATTTTCTTTGCGTTCTTACCAAAGAAGGAATCTGTCACAAGTGATATTGGTCAAGATGATTCCCAAAATATCATTCAAGCTGGTTCTCTTGGATTGAAATCAGCTAAATATGTCGAATCAGTATTCACGACCGTGATAACTCATAGGTTTTGGGCTATTCTTCGTTCAGAGACGTTGAGTATTTATAGTTCATCAACTGATCTTTACTTCCCCAGTTTAGTAATAGATTTAAGAACTTGTATTAAAGCAGAAATTATCGATAAAGATAAGATGGATCCTATCAAATCTCCAACCTCAAGAAGTAGAGCAGACACTGGTTCAGGAATGATGTCTCCTAGATTAACAACTAGGAATTCTACAGAATTCTTAACAGAGGATGACTTTCAAAGTGTGTTGACGCAAGAGAATTTATCGGCCACAGAAGACAATGAAGGTTTAACTAATGGTGTCTGGGTAAGATTGGTAACTCAGAAGAAGACTTATAGATTTTTATGTGATAATTTATTTTCAGCAAGACAATGGTGTAATAATTTAACCAAGGTGATATTTCAATTGAATAATTCCAATGAAAGTAATGAAGTTTTGATCAAAATTCCTATTGAGAATGTTCTTGACTATGGTAAAAATGAATTATTTGAGATGGATTCGGAACCAGATGAACAACAACCCATCAGTATATCTATAAAGTATATTGATAAGAATAGAGTGAAGAAGTCAAAGTTCAAGAAGAGTGATGCAAATGAAGATATGAGGTTGAAAAGTATATATTTTGTTTTTTTTCATGACACTGGTATTGCCTTCGAAGCTCTTTCTAAGGTTGTTAATGACTTTAGGCGTAGAAAGAGTTCGGTTGATATCGATGACGCAGCTTCGTTAACTTCATCCACATCTAAATCAGAAAGGATTATAGAAAAAGCAAAGCGAATGGTAGGTAAAGACGACTCAAATATATCAATGTCTCGAAGTATCTCAACCTTATCTACAACTTCTGATTCCAGTGCAATTGTCGATCATCTTGTTTCAAAGAATTCACACTTGCCATCTCCTACAAATGAACTCATTCCTATGACAGACGATAAATTGGAATCAACTCCATTATTGAGATCAGATTCTGCTCTAAAGAAGATTGGAAAGAGTTTATCAAACACAGGTAAGATGTTTAATAATAGAAAGTTATCTGATTCTATTCATAGTGTTAGTTCAACCATGAATTCTTCAATATTTGATTCAGGAACAATGGGTACCCTGACATCATTATCTACTTCTGCTTCGCGTGTGAGTATGCCAAAGCCATTATCTGTTCAAGGTATTAGAGATCTTCAGATGTCATTTGAAACGAAACATTTACGTTTGGAAGATGCTGTTTCTTTATATAAAGAAAGATCCAAAAATTCTGCTGTTCCTAGGGGAAGTATTGCCCTTCCCGGTCCTTTAAATTTAAGTGATCCTTCTTCAAGAAAGAAATCTGATAGTATACAAAGTAAGTTAATCAAAATGTCAATCGGAAAGAGTATTAAGCTTATCTCTAACGTTGGAAATAAATGGACTGCTCCTGTAGCCCATTATGTTAAGATATCCGAGAATGATCCAAATTATGTCACTGATAAAAAAGAAAGGGATGAATCTCAAATACATTTCAGAGAGCATTTTAGCTTGAATGATGATAAAAAGTTGGTAGCGACATATTACGGCCATTTACTCCGTTCCATTCCAGTTTATGGAAAACTTTACTTGGGTGAGACAGAATTATGTTTTAGAAGTCTTTTACCAGGTGTATCTACCAAGATGATTTTACCTCTTGGTGTTGTTGAAACTTGTTATCGTGAAAGAGGTATAAACTTAACTTACTCAGGCTTAGTTGTGGTTATCAAAGGAAGAGAAAAGCTATTCTTAGAATTTGGCTCTCAAAAAGCTAGAGACGATGGCGAAGAAATGCTTCTTAAACAATTAGAAAAGTTGCATAAGGATGAGTCTTGGTCTCCAACTCCAATTGAATGGGGTCATAATTACGATCTCGAATTAAATAGAGTAAGATTAGGAGGAGCTTTAACTCCTGCCGATGAGTCTGATGAATCTGACGAAGAGGATGATATTCCTAACAGCAACGTTAGACTTGCAGAAGCTAGAATAGAAAGTGCTAGACTAAAGATGTTTGAAGATAAGTTTAATGCAGCATCTGGGATCGATATTCCCCTTATTCTTGAAGATTCACCTTTTGCAAAGATAGAAATTCGTCCTTCTACATCTTACAAGTTCACTTTGTTAACCATTGGTTCTCGAGGAGATGTACAGCCATATATTGCCTTAGGTAAAGGGTTGAAAAAGGAAGGTCATATAGTCACAATTGCTACTCATAAGGAGTTTGAACCTTGGATCCGTAAACATGGTATGGAGTTCAAGGAAATTGCAGGTGATCCTGGAGAATTAATGTCATTAATGGTATCACATGGATCAATGTCTGTTTCCTTTTTGAAAGAAGCAAGTTCTAGATTAAGAGGCTGGATCACCAAGTTATTGACTTCTAGTTGGGAAGCATGTCAAGGATCTGATATTTTGATTGAAAGTCCTTCTGCAATGGGAGGGGTCCACATAGCTGAAGCGTTGGGTATTCCATATATGAGAGACTTCACTATGCCATGGACTCGTACAAGAGCATATCCACATGCGTTTATCGTACCTGATCAGAAAAAAGGAGGTTCTTATAATTATTTAACTCATGTCATGTTTGAGACAGTGTTTTGGAAGGGAATATCTTCTCAAGTTAATAAATGGAGAATTAAAGAGCTTGATTTACCAAGAACTAATTTATTAAGAATGCTGCAAACTAGGATACCCTTCTTATATAATGTATCTCCTAGTATCTTCCCTCCAAGTGTAGATTTCCCGGATTGGGTTAAGGTTACTGGGTATTGGTTCTTAGATGAAGGTGCAGCGAAGGACTATAATCCTCCAGATGCACTTGTGGAATTCTTAGAATCGGCTATTGAAGAAGAAAAGAAAATTGTCTATATTGGGTTCGGATCGATTGTAGTTAAAGATGCTAAGAGTTTAACTAAAGCGATTGTCGATGCTGTTTTGGAAGCTGATGTTAGATGTATCTTAAACAAGGGATGGTCAGACAGAATGTCTCAGGATAAGAATGAACCTGAGATTGAGCTTCCTCCTGAAATTTATAATTCTGGATCTATTCCTCATGATTGGTTGTTTCCAAAGATTGATGCTGCTGTGCATCATGGAGGTTCAGGAACTACAGGGGCTACTCTCAGATGGGGAACACCAACTATTATCAAACCATTCTTTGGAGATCAATTTTTCTATGCTTCCAGAGTGGAAGAATTAGGTGTGGGAATAGCATTAAGAAAATTGAATTCAAGATCATTAGCTAAGGCGATGATAAATGCTACCACTGATTTGAAAATGATTGCTAAATCGAAGAGATTAAGTGAACAAATTAAAAATGAATGTGGTGTATTGAGTGCTATTGAAGCTATTTATTCTGAAATGGAATATGCCAGAAGTTTAATTGCTGCTAAACAGCAATATAATGAACACTATAAATTACATCATCCAGACTTCAAGTCATCAGGATTACATACTCCTGTTGCAAATGACATTGAACATGATGACGAAGATGAAGAAGAAGAAGACGACGACTATGATGATGAAAACGCTGTAGAAGATGATTCTGAAACTGAAGAAGAGGATAATATAGATAAAAAAGATGCCATTGCCAATGAATATGGAGTCCTGTTAGTTGAACCATCGAAGCAAAGTCTCGCCAGCGATCATTCTACTATAATTAGCAGGTGATCAACTAAGATTAAGTGGTTTTCTGTTTAAACAGACCACATCTTATATTTTATGAAATTTATGTACTTATTTATTTATCTATTTGTTTATATATTCAATGTAATGAAACTAATGCAATTTAATACTTTATTTAATATATTACGATTTATGGTATACAGAAATTTGCAGCTTATTTTTATGTGACACGGGAGTGCATATAACATTACAGAGTCACATGACTGTTGGTGATCCAAATTGATCGGAATTTGACTCACTCTCTGTGAAGAGTCAAATTAGTGATAATTTTCACATAAATAGCTTTTAAACGGCTTCCATAGAAGAAGATCAACCCTATAAAAAGAAGTTCATTACAAGACACCCTTTAACATACTACTTATAGAAGGTCTTACAGAAAAGGTATACAACGCTAGAAAATCGCCTATTCTCCACATAACAAAAATATTAATTAAACAGGATCCACAATTATTTGTCAAAAATACGAGTGGGAAGCATTTTTGAGTCATTAAGTGATAATTATAAAACATCTGATGTTCAGTACTAGTAAACATTTAGTATTATATTGATATCGAATTATTTCAATTATTAAAGTATTCCGAATAGAAAATAGTATAATCCAGTTCACGGTTTATCAGAAAAGATCATCATCTTGAAAAATTAAGTAGGTCAAGATGACGAAAGTTCCGAACCCGGTGTTTAAAGACATTACGGAAGAGCAAACTAGGACAAACAGTTATGCTGCTTTAGTTCCAGGTCAAACTATAGTTGAAATCCCAACTTATAATTTAGAATGTGGTGAAGTATTAAACAATTTCCCAGTAGCATATAAAACATGGGGGCGATTAAACAAGGATCATGATAACGTATTATTGATTTGCCACGCCTTAACTGGTTCATCAGATGTTCAAGATTGGTGGGGACCATTGTTAGGCAATGGTAAGACTTTTGATCCATCCAGATATTTCATTGTTTGTATAAATTTCCTTGGATCTCCTTATGGTTCATGTTCACCCGTAACAATAGATAAAGCCACTGGAAAACCTCATGGTCCTGCATTCCCATTAATCACTGTTAAAGATGAAATCGGTATTCAAAGATTGATTTTAGATTCATTAAGTGTTCGTGCCATTGCTTGTGTAATTGGTGGATCAATGGGAGGAATGTTAACCTTGGAATATTCAGCAACTTATAATAATACAGGTTATGTCAAAACTATAATTGCCTTGGCAACTTCAGCCAGAGCTTCCGCATGGTGTATTTCTTGGAATGAGACCCAAAGGCAATGTATTTTCAGTGATCCATATTATGATGATGGGTATTATTATGAAAATGCGGGTACAAGACCTGATTCAGGATTAGGAGCTGCAAGAATGGCAGCTTTATTAACTTATAGATCAAGAAATTCATTTGAAACTAGATTTGGAAGAAAATTACCTGCTACCATTGATAATTTAAGACCAATTTCAGAAGAAGATGCACGTAAAAAGGAACAAGAAATAGGTATTAGATATCCTAAAACGAAAGATGAAGAAAATTGGTTAATTCATAATGAAGGATCAAGATCATCATCTATGAAAAATTCCAATTCTGGTTCAAGTACTGCCTCATCCAAACCTCAAACTTATTTCACAGCTCAATCATATTTAAGATATCAAGGTAATAAATTTATTAAACGTTTTGATGCCAATTGTTACATTTCAATCACAAGAAAGTTAGATACTCATGATATAACTAGAGGTCAAATAGATTTATCCACTAAACCAAATGAAGATCCATTACCTGTATTTTTAAAATCATTAACTGCACCTCATTTAATTATTGGTATAGAATCTGATGGATTATTTACATATGGTGAACAACAATTATTAGGTGAAAATATTCCTGATTCAATTTTAAAGAAATTAGATTCACCAGAAGGACATGATGCATTTTTATTAGAATTTGAAGAAATTAATGAATATTGTTTAGACTTTTTACAAAAGAAATTACCGGAATATTATGATGAATCATCAGGTAAATTCGAACTTTTTGAAAACTGGGCTGACTTTGTTGATAGTATAGATAATGGAGGTAATTCAGTTTTTGGAGAAGCTGAAAAGAACATTACAAATTGGTAAATAGATATAAATAGTTTAAGTTGCAAATAATATATTTAAAATATAAAAATTAATATTGAAAATTCCGAATTAGGAATATTATTGCGAGAAATCCTGCATATAGACGAAAATCTAGCTTATGTACAGGAAGTTACTAACATTTGATAATACAAAATATTTTAAATTTTTTAGGAATTGGGTACTCTGGCCGAGCTGGTCTAAGGCGCCAGGGTAAGGTCCTGGTCTCTTCGGAGGCGCGAGTTCGAATCTCGCGGGTATCATTATCACACCAGCAATTCCTTTCACCTATTTACCTATTTTCCTTTCTTTTTTTTAAAAAATTGAATTGATTATATTTTTATCACCTTTAAGTTCGAAAGTAACGTTGTAATAAGTGGAAATAATATATTTAGACCTCATTTACCTTAAAATCGTAAGCTAATTTGACTTCATTTTGTTATGGTATTTCTAAAAATAAATGGGTGCGAAATTTTTAACTTCCATAAACTACCATGTATAGTTTGGTTATGTTAGTCTTAACACTTTAAGAGTAATTTAAACATGTAGTTCAATCTGGCTTACAAATATCGCGAGATATAATAATTAAGGGTAGATATTAACTATAAAAATCATGAATAGTAAAAGATTAAAAGAAATAAAAGAGAAAACTATATACTAGGACTAAAACATTGAATAATCATTATTACCAGAAAAGAGAGTTAGAGAGAGAGAGAGACGAAGGGAGTTGTATATAATGCGCATTTGTAGTTGTATTTGTATTTGAAAAATTGGATTTAGCATATCAGTCTTTAAACAAAAAGAAATGATATTATAGGCCAGCTAAGATTAATAAATATTTCACTTTCCTCATTAAATTACATTGAATGGAAGGATGGATGGGATGGAATGATAGTTACGAAGAAAGATGTGACGACGAATAAAAAAATAGGATAAAGTCTATGATTGATTTTCTTTAAATGGATTTTTGAATTACATAATGGTACAACACTTACTTTTTGTTACCGTTTTAGAAGGATCATTGATGGATTGTTTTAATCTTGCATTTAAGACTGGAGATCCATGATCATAACCATTCAGATTTATATTTGAATTAGTTCCTGATGAACTTGATTGTTGTTGCAGATGTTGATTTTGTTGTGATTCCAATTCCTTTTGCTTTTGTAATTCTTTTTGTTGTTTCTTTTCAGCATTAGTAACTGCTTCTTTTCTCATGATTTGTCTTACTACATCAGTAAATGCTTCATCAACATTAGTTTTATACATAGCACTAGTTTCATAGAATGGAACCAACCCCCAATCTTGACTTACTTTAACCCCATCTTCAATAGATAACACTCTATCATTTTCCAAATCACATTTATTTCCAATTAAAACCATTGGAACATTAGTTGAATCTTTAATTCTTAAAACTAATTCTCTTAATTCTAATAATTCCTTTAATGAGTTTTCATCAGTTACACTATATACCAATAAGAACCCTTTACCACTCTTAATATATAATTCTCTCATGGCTACAAATTGAGCAACACCAGCCGTATCTAAAATTTCCAAATCACAAGCTCTACCATCGATATCAGTTTGTTTCCTATAACTATCTTCGATAGTTGGATCATAACTTTCGACATAAACCCCTTGAACGAATTGGACAGTTATGGATGATTTACCAACACCCCCTGCACCTAACACGACAACTTTATAGTCTATAACATAATGTAAGTTAGTAAAAAAATGGATCAATTTGCGGGATCACTTTCGATTGAAAACAACAACATACCTCTCATGGTTTGATTATATTATAAATGATATGATATGATATGACACGCTAACGGTAACCCCTAAAAGTAAAAAATAATGGACGTTAGGATAAAGTTTAGATAATTTGATAGAAATGGCTTGATCAGAACAAAGAACGAATGTTTTTTTTGCCTAATAAAATAAGTCCAAATCGAATGATGAATAACTTTAACTATTTGACTTTTCTCCAGAACTAGCTCAGAAACACTTCCTTCAATACGAATCAAAGCTTTTGATGAATGTAAATTGGTTAAATTTGTCGATGCAAATATTTTGTTGTTATTTTTTTTTTTTTTTAAATTTTAATTTTGATTTCTTTTTTTGATTTTAAGGGACCATAAATCTCTTTCTCCAAAAAAAAAAAAAAGACGTGTCGCATTTGGGCACAGAAATTTATTTTTGACGATGCTACTTTTTATAGATTAGTCGAAGATTCAGATCTGGACTAAAAACTACGATATCTGATTTGATAGTATGATTGGAACGTCAATGAGTATCAATCAATCACAGGGGTATCACAGTGTAATGGGTTATGTATTTACTTTGTCTACTTGTTAATTAATTGTATAACACAAACTTTTTTATTTATTTAGTTTCTTTGGGTACAGAATTAGACGAAGGACAAAACATTCACAATAGAGAGGGGGAGAAAGAGAATGTTTACACTAAAACAGTAAAAATAACTTAGATACGAAGTATGAAAATCAAACAAAGGAGAATAAATGATAACTTACCAAATTGAGATTCCTGTGATAGGTGTCAAACTTTTAATCCAATGGTAAGATGTTAGATAATGGACCCTTTGGAGTGATTCCATAAGGATTTATTTGAAGATGAGATCTAGTATAATGGAATTTAATATGATCGAAATCAGTGGTTTCTCTAAAACCAGGGATTTTCCAATATAATAATCTAACCCATTCATGAATATGAGGATAATCATGTCTGATCATTTTGATATTACATTTGAAATGTTGATGATAAACTGGATCAAATCTAATAATGGTGGTGAATAATCTAATATCAACTTCAGTTAATTGATTACCCAACATGAATTGTTCTCCCTTTTTATGATTATGTTCAAGTATATCTTCAACTTTATCTAAATGATCAAAAAGATTAGTAACGGCTTCATCATATGGTTCTTGTTTACTGGCAAATCCAGATTTATAAACTCCATTATTAATATTATCATAAATCCATTCATTTAATTCATTGATTTTAGGATGTAATGGAGTTGGATAAATATCAACATCAACAAAATCTTTTGGAATCAAAGCATTAAATTCACTATTTAACATTCTAATGATTTCACTGGATTCATTACTAACAATAGTTTGTAATTTTTTATCCCATAATATTGGAACTGTAAATCTACCAGCATATTCAGGTTCAGCTTTAAAATATAATTGTCTTAATCTATCATAACCATATAAATGATCAACCGTACCTAAGGAAACATCATTTTTAGCACTAAGAGATTTCAATTCTTCCGGATTAATAAATCTCCAACCATTACTATCAAGGAACCAATGAACAATTGATACTGAAATAATACCAGTTAATCCTTTTAAAGCTCTAGTGATTAAAGCACGATGGGCCCAAGGACAAGCTAAAGAGACATATAAATGATATCTGTTTAATTCAGGAGGGAATTTAGCATTGGGAGCAGAACTAATCCAATCTCTGAATTGAGAAGGTTTTCTCTTAAAGGCCCCTTTTTCATCTGATGAAGATAAGACTTCAAACTTTTTAACAGGTTCCTAAATGTAAAGTTAGTATTTAAAAACGATTGAATGCGGAGTAAATCCTTAGTGAATACATACAGTAGACATGTTGCACGTAATTAATTGTTTGTTTCTATTATTCAGTCAATTGTTAATAACAGTTAATGATTATTATTGAATTGAACTACTGATATCAATTGAGCAATTAGAATCGAAGTGGTTAATATATATATTTATAGTTTTATGAATTTTATTTGATTTGACAATTTATGGAGCAAACATTTCCTTTACATAATTTTACGTAATAAGGTTTTGTGTGAGAGCGGTTACTAAAAATGATCATTTGTATGTCATCTATGCATGACAAATAAATATCAACAATTATGGTTTAACCCATTTTTATTTTAAAGTAGTTAACCATGTTTGTCAGATTGATAGTTATCACGTAGCTGTGAGACACAGCTGACATAGTTATTGACCAGTAAATTATGGTTTAATAGTATTATTAGAAAAGATATAAGTAAATTCCTGTATATTACTACAACTAGATATACGAATTACATAAAACTATAAACTTGAATCATATGGTAAAATTAAAGGTAATGGTCCCTTTGGAGTTATTCCATATGGATTTATTTGAGTATGAGATGTGGTATACAGTGTCTTTATAAGTTCAAGTTCAGTGGTTTCTTCAAACCCTGGTACTTTCCAATATAAATATCTAAGCCACTGATCAATATGAGGATAATCATATCTAATCATCTTTAAATTACATTTGAAATGTTGATGATAAACAAGATCAAATCTAACAATAGTAACATATAATCGAATATCAGCTTCAGTTAATTGACCTCCAATTAAAAAATGTTCACCCTTGTTATGATTTTGTTTAAATATTTCTTCCACTTTATCTAAATGCTCAAAAAGAGTAGTAACGGCTTCATCATATGGATCTTGTTGAATGGCAAAACCAGATTTATAAACTCCATTATTAATATTCTCATAAATCAATTCATTAAGTTCATTGATTCTAGGTTGTAATGAAACCGGATAAATATTGATTTCAGCAAATTGTTTAGGAATAAATGCATTGAACTCATTACTTAACATTCTAATGATTTCACTGGATTCATTATTTACAATGGTTTGTAATTTCTTATCCCACAATACTGGAACTGTAAATCTACCAGCATATTCAGGTTCAGCTTTAAAATATAATTGTCTTAATCTATCATAACCATATAAATGATCTTCAGTTCCTAATGAATCTTTATTTTTAAGGGCAAATGATACTGATTCTTCAGAATTAGTGAACTTCCACCCTTTATCATCAAGTAACCAATGCACAATAGAAACAGATATGACTCCAGTTAACCCTTTTAAAGCTCTCGTAATCAATGTACGATGAGCCCATGGACATGTATACGAGACATATAAATGATATCGATTCAATTCAGGAGGGAATTTAGCATTTGGTTCTGAACTAATCCAATCTCTGAATTGAGAAGGTTTACGTTTAAATGCTCCTGTTTTATCAGTATATGCTGCAGGTTGAAGTGACAGTGCTGGATCAACAGTAGTATCCTAGGGACAATTGATGTTAGTCCTTGTATGATTAGGATGTGGGGGATTACCATAATAATTAATACATACTGTAGTCATTTTTGCAATAATGGTCTATTTACTATTGATAAATGATAAGATCAATTCAAGTAATCAATAGTAAAGAGATAATCGATATAAACTAATTTACAAACTATAACCAATTGTTAAAATTTGCAATAAATCCACACTTATAAATATGACTGCAATTTTAGTTGACAAAATTTTACGTAATTTGAAAAGCAACGGACTTTTGATTTAAACCCGTACCCTTTAACTATTCCATATTTTTTACCTTTCAGATTTATCACCGAATCATATCTGATATGAACTACTAGTTACAGTCAGTCACAGTTACAGTTACAGAAGCAACAATCATTTTCAATTGAAAGATGTTAATGCTGTCCCATAGCTAAAGTAATATATAGTTAGTGATCCTCATATTATATGCAGTACTGAAATGAAAGAGGAAGGAGCGGCTCAAATTTGTCTGTCTCTGTTTTTTTTAATGGTTGCTTAAACTGCTATGTAAACAATCATCGTATAATTAGTTAATTGGCAGCAAAATCCATAAACTTCATAATAACGTAATCAAGTTGATTAAAAGCACTGATTACTTCAGATTCTATGATACCTCCACCTCAAGAATCACCGAGCTTGCAATCCTTGCTATCAAGTTCAGATGATTCAAACCGGACATCAATAAAGCAAGAAGAAAGCCAAAGACAACAACAACCACAGAATAACGAGAATAACGAGAATCAAATCATAACATCTGCAGAATCAAGTAAAAATGAAACTGCAAAGAATGTCAGTACCATGCGGCCAATAATAGAGACTCTCGCAATCAGCCTACCTCAACCTCAAGCTCAGTCTACCGGTTCTCAAAGTCCGTATCAGAATCGTCCTTTCATACCATCTTATACCAATGGTATAAACCATAGTACTAGTAACAATACGTTAGGACCAACTAATGTACCCACTACTAATGTGGCATACAGTAACTATTATCCACAAGCACCACATCCATCAAACTTACAAGAAGATTTAATTAATAATCAATTATATTTTAAACCAAACTCAGCTTCAACTATAAGTAAAACCATAACATCAACATCAGATCTTAAAAATGCTAATTTCAAAAAGTTCAATATCAATAAAAAATCATCAACTACTTCCACATCAAATTCAAGACCTTATGCATGTGAGTTTGAAGGTTGTACCTGGTCATTTTCAAGAAGATCAGATTTAAGAAGACATTCTAAATCCCACTCCGAACCAATGTTCCATTGTCCTTATTATGAGTTGGATCAAACATGTCATCGGAATGGTGGTTCATTCAATAGATTGGATGTGCTTAAGCGTCATTTAAAATTAGTACACTATATCAAAGATGTTAGAAAAGACGATAATCAATTACCATTTTCAAATAATATAAAAGAAGATCCAGGTTGGTGTAAAGGATGTCAAAGAATGTTCCCTAATTCAAAAGCATTCATTGAACATTGTATAGGATGTTCAAAATACCTTGCCAATAAGAAGAATTCAGAATTAAACAGTGCTGTGGTAAATACTAAAGATAATAATGACACTAAAACCAACGATACCAGTAGATCTACCATCAGTACAGCCTCATCAGATGTGACAATAACCACTAATAATACATCTCAGTCTGAAGAACAAACAACAGTACAAAAACAAGACACATCAACTTATGTAACGATACAGAACACGTCTGAATTTAATAATCCTCAATTTACAAATTAGGAAACTAAACGTTCACAAAATAACTAAACTTTCATTTCACAAAAATATATTATTATCATTATTATACATAGAGGTTTGTAAATCTAATACACATATGCCCATTTCAACTCTCATAAAACAATTTCAACTCAGGTATTTTCTTCAGTAGCTTCACCTTCAAGATTTGCAGCTGGTTGATCAAAGAAATCCAAAATTGCACAATTTGGATGTAAAATATAAACTGTTTTTGAAGCATTTCTGGCTGAATCTTCTTCATCAGGTAATTGATCTTCATTATTTGTTACACTCATTAAAATTCTATCTTTAACTAATCTCTTTATCACTTTATAAGCTAATTTTCTTTCTTTATAATATTCTTGTTCAGTTTGAATTTCATTTTCTCTTTGAGTTAAATACCAATCAACTAAATCATCACTGGTTAATCCTTCACCTCCTTGATTATCATCATCAGATACTCTCTTTACTAAGAGATTCATCATGGCAATATATTTTTCATAACTGATAGCAGCTGCTTTTTCCTTCTTAACGGAATCATCTTGATCTTCAGATGGTTGATTATCACCAGTAGTTGGAGCAGAATCATCATTGTTATTATTAGAATCATCATCATCATTATCACCATTGTTATTTTCTTCTTCATCATCATCAACTTCAATATCATCCATTTCAACTCTGATAATAGATTGTCTTAATAAATCATAAGCTTCAGCAACGAAACTTGGAGTTATAACATCTGTACAATTGGCTCTAGCAATGGCTTCAGACAATCTAATCATAGATTCCAATTGTCTGACGGTGATCCTATAAGATGATCTACCTAAACCTTGAGCATCATTATCTCTTAATTCTTTATATCTGGTAACTAAGAAATCACGAGCTTCTTTAGTCATTCTTGGTCTGAAAGTCTTTGCATATTTAATATATCTTGATAATTGTTCAGCACTATATGGAGGATCAATAGCGTCATCTCTTAACATATGTAAATCAACAATATGGGATGCTAATTGAGTATCAATTCTTTCATTACAATCATCTAAAATGACGAAGAATAAATCAAATCTTGACATAATTGGAGCTGTCATGTTTAAATTGGCTCTTAAACCCATTTTTCTATTATATCTACCTCCAATTGGATTAGCAGCAGCTAAAATCGAAGTTCTAGCATTTAAAGTAGCTTGAATACCAGCTTTAGCAATCGATATAGTTTGTTGTTCCATAGCTTCATGAATGGCAACTTGATCTGAAATATCCATTTTATCGAATTCATCAATAGCACAAATACCATTATCAGCTAACATTAAAGCCCCTGCTTCAATAGTAAAATCACCAGTTTCTTCATCTCTAACAACGGCAGCAGTTAAACCAGCTGCTGATGATGCCTTACCAGAAGTATAAATTGCACGAGGTGAAAAACGACAAACGTATTTTAAGAATTGTGACTTTGAAGTAGATGGATCCCCAACAATACATACATTAATATCACCTCTTAAATTAATACCATCAACAGTTTGTTTATGAACCCCACCTAATAATTGTAATAAGATACCCTTTTTAACAACTTCATGACCAAACACAGCTGGAGCAATTGATTGAACTAATTTATCATAGATATGATCATCTTTAACCATATCTTTTAATTGAGAAACTTCAGCTTCACTTAAGGTAGTTAAGAAGATTTCTTGATCATTACTTCCTTGATAATCAACTTCAGTTTTTTGATTTTCACTATCATCATCATTAACTTTATTAACTAATGATGAAACATGGAAAGCATTGAAGGCAATTTTATAAGTTAAATCTCTTACCCCTAATGATTTTAAACCTGATATACCAGAGTTTAATTCAGATGATGCTGCACCTCTATTTTCTTTAATCGATTGAGGTTTTACACCTGGTAAACCTAATTGAGAAACATCAGGTATAACTATTTCAGTACCTGTGAATTTACATTTATCACCAGGTTTAGCTCTTTCAACAGCTTCACCTCTTAATATAACATCAATGGTTCTTGGCATAGAACCAGTTGGGATTTCACTAGAGTTTTCTTGAATTCTAACTCTTTGCCAATCAATGAATTGTGATTTGTTCACATTTAAAGTGAAATAAGATTGATTTTCACATGAAGGACATGAAGTTGGTTCAGTATATTTAAATACTTGTTCAATACCTTCAACAATAGCATTACACAAATTACATGTAAAACAACCCATATATAATTCTGGTCTAACTTCTGAAGTTCTAGTGACAGTTCCCAGTATAGACATCAATGAACCAATCTTATTAGTTTTAATATCTCTGATTCTATGAATAGTTGGTAAATTAAAGAATGCAATTTGGAAAACTCTTTCATTTGATTGGGATGAGGTAGTTGATGATCCACTGGTATTGGTGATTGAATCATCATCCATTGAAGTTCCAATAGCACTGGTATATAATAAACTTGGAGCATGTTTCTTAAGTAATTTTCTTAATCCTTTTAATAAAAATGGATAAAATCTATAGAATTGTTCTATAATAGCAGATGCTAACACCCCATTTTCACGAGCTACTAAATGTTGATAATTAACATATAAAGTACTGATTTCATAAGTTTTCATAGCTTGAATTTGAGAAAGGTAGACTCTACCATCATTGTCATTTTCTGGATCAACCGCAGTTTGATCAACAAAGTCTTCAATAAACAATTCAAAACTTTCTCTAACTTTTTCAGCAGTGACATCAACAACTTTTGGAACATTAAGTTGTCTTCTTCTACCAGCAGATATTTCATTTCTAGGTTGATTGATACCTGGAGTTTGGGAAAAGTTGGCTTCTGAAAATTGATGTTGACTACTTGGTGTAGTGAATGTTTCTCTCCCTAATGATGAAGATGGTACTCCTGCTTGAGATGATTGCAACAATCTAGCAGTATCTGAAGGAATCCTTCCTGGCGATGAAACAAAATTAGACATTGTTACAAATCCAGTATCTATATTACTGTCAAATGATCTTGAATCGAATTGATGAACTAATTGATAACTGAGTCGTCAAAGAAGAGATAAATCAAATTAAAAAAGTGTCTGTTGTAATTACCATTTGGTATCTCAAAATTTTCAAAATTAATTTTTGACGCGTATAATTTATTTTTATAAACACAAAAAAAAAAGACAGACATTAATTATATTTCCTAATTGGGCTAAATTAATTTTTGTCATGTCCTGGTATTAAAGGGATCATCCTAATTAGACAGTCTTTTTGTTTATCTATCCATATATATTATCCACTATAGCTACAACATAATCTTAGTTCATTAGTGGATGATGGATATAACTACCATTATCTACACGATAACTACTGAAAATTCTTCACTATATATTCAAAGTAAGTACATGTATAAAAATCCTGATTGTGTCTTAACTCTAGCAAATAGTTTAGTTTAATTTGGTATATCTCAAGTATGGTTTAACAGTCTTGAAATCACCAAACTTAGCTTTAGCATCTTCATTTGAAACAGTTGGTGGAATGATAACATCTTGACCTTCAGTCCAATCAACTGGAGTAGCAATACCTCTTTTATCAGCTAATTGTAAAGCATCAACCACTCTTAAAACTTCAGAAGTATTTCTACCAGTAGAAGCTGGGTAAGTCATGGTTAATCTAATTTTCTTAGCTGGATCAATAACAAATACTGATCTAACAGTGGCAACCATACCAGATTTAAGATTTTTAAAATCATCTTCAGTTACCATATCGTATTTATAAGCAACTTCTTTAGTACTATCAGCAATGATTGGGAAACCGAATTTTTCACCTTCAGTAGCAACTTCTTCAATATCTTTAATCCATTGATTATGACTATCAACACCTTCAGTTGATAAACCAATTAATTTAACACCTCTAGCATCAAATTCTGGTTTTAATTTGGAAAAGGCACCTAATTCAGTAGTACAAACTGGAGTGAAATCAGCAGGATGAGAAAAGAGAACAGCCCATTTATCACCAATATATTCATGGAAATCAATCTTACCTTGAGTAGTATTAACTTCGAAATTTGGAGCAGTGGATCCAATTCTAATTCTTGGTTGCTCTTCTTGAGAGAATGAATAAAATCTTAAACCTAAGGAATTAACTCTTGGAGCAGCAATTCTACTACGTAATAAAGTTCTGGACAACATGGTATGTGAAGTATATCTGGAGATGAATATATGAAATCAATGGATTATAATCGTCTGATAATTCAATTACAATTCTATTGGTAATATCAAACAGCTTTATAGAATGATGTCTCCTTGTCGGGGTTTGCAACTTTTCAAAAATCACTTTATTTCACGTGACTAAAATTTTATATGCAAAATATTGCAAAAAGAGACCTTATAGCTTTACTACACATAGTTATCATGTTTATGAGGGGGAATATATACAAATTTTTATTAGTACAAAGTAAATCAAAATCAAAAAATCTATCTTAAAAATAAACGACGTAACAAAGGGAATGAAAGAAAAGAAAAAAAAAGAACAGTAATCATTAAATCATTTTGATTATGGATCAGGCATCATATTATAATCAAACCAACCTAAGAAATCATCTTCTTGAATATTATCATTATTAATCCAACCATTGGACTGTTGTTGGAAGAAATTATCTAATTGATCTTGAACTAGATTTCCGTCGGCGGCATTATTACCAGGATGAGTCATGAATGGTAATGGTGTAGGAGGAACTTGTTGTGCAATAGTAATTTGGTCAGTGTTAGGTAAAAACATTGGTTGTGGTTGATCCACTTTTAAGCTAGTTAATGATTGTTGTTGATTTTGTTGTGGTAAGATCGAGAACGGAGTTTGAACCATTTGGGAAGGAAGTTGGTTGACAACCGATGGGGTAGGTTGCAGTGGTAATTTGGCTGCAATATTTCTTTGTGATTGTTGTTGTTGTTGTTGTTGTTGTGGTTGAATTTGTAATGGAACAGATTGATTGATAGTTGGTAAAGATTGTTGAGCAGAATTATTCAAAATTCCGAATGAATTTTCATTTACAATCTCATCTGGTTTAGGAGATATTATTTCACGTTTTACCAAACTATCAGTTATACTTCCAGTAGCTTCCAACATAGAGAGGGGTATACCATTAATTTCCAAAGGTCTATTTAGACCGGCTGCATTCAGCTTAGCTTGTGATAAAGCTTGATCAGTAGGAACTAAAGTTGTTATAGTGGTACCATTTGGAGTAGTAGTAGTAATGGTTTTAAAATCATCTTTTGTAATTTGATTATAAAATGGCAATGGAGCGGGACGTCTGCTGGTTGATGCAATAGGATTAGTAGGTATTCTGGTGTCTTCCAAAGCATTTTCATTATTATTATTGTTATTATCATTTTTGGAGGCTTTATTTTTATCTAATAAAGTTCTTCTTCTTGCTTCATGAACACACCAAACCAAATCATAAAACAACGAAGCTGTAAGATGAGATCTCATTCTACTAATTATACTTCCACCCGAATCAGGATCATCATTTATAAGTATATCAGGATAAGTATATAACACAATGTTAAGATTTTCCAATACTTTTGCATTTCTTGAAATATCATTTTTCAAGTCTTTCCATGATGATAAAGTATTTCTGAATAATCTATGAACTGTAACGATTGATTGTCTTGAACTATCGACATATTTATCAATCAAGTAACGAGACAAATGTAATTTGAACAACAACAATACCGAATAACTCATGGATTGTCTTATATATATCGGTAATTCAATTAATGAGATATTATTATTTATAAGTTGAGAAGTAATAGTAATGATTCTTGTGGCTGATAAATATGATGAACTGACATATTTAACTTGATCTTCAATAGGTGTACCTGGTAAGAAAGCGAAAACACAAATCATTAATTTTATATAATGATAATAAACTTCAATAGCTGAACCTTCGATGATATTTAATTTGAATTTCAATCTTTCTAATTCACGATCCAAGATATTTAAAGAAGCTGCTCTATTCAGAGGTTCTAATAATCCATCCGGTCTAGTGACGGAAATACCCATCACATTAACTAATTTACATTGGAAAATTGAAAGTGAAATCAAACATCGGAAATCCTTAGGTAAAGATTGATCAACTCTTGCATTTTCCAAAAGATAATCAGTAGTATTAATGGAAGGGGGTAAACCTAAAGTTGATGACCAGAATTGTTCACAAAAGAATACAGCCAACCATGATCTTGTTCTCCATCTTTCCGAATCAGGACCAAGACTAACTTGAGTTCTAGTAAATTCTTGAATAAATTTCCCTCCTCTATGTAAACCTAATTGTAAGGATAAGTTCTTTGCTAAACCAATAAATCGATAAGAACAATCATCCAACACTTTTTCATTTGGTAATGGCCATATGGAAAGAATGATAAGAGCTTGAATGACATGAGTTGATCTTGGAGTTCTTAACCAACAAGTTTCAATAGCCAATTGTTTAATCAAAGAAGCTAATGACATATATAAAGTTGGTTCAGGTTCTGAAAGCGATGCAGTGAGAATAACCACCCAGAATAATAATTGAGAACGATGATATAATTCAGTAGCTGATTTTGAAGTTATAATCGGTAAGAAAGGTAAATGTTTAACCATGAATAAATCATGTAATTCATCAGCCTTTTTCAAAGGTAATTTAACATCACCTATGATAAATTCCTCTATCACTTTAATTTCAATCTCTTCAGTTATTTTTGATTGTGAGTTATTAGTATTATTATTGATTTGATTATGATTAGTAGGAGTATTTTGATTTGTGATTGGAGAATTATCCGAATTATCTTGTAAGATACTGGTTGGTAATTGACTTCTACCGATAACAGTATTATTAATCGAATCATTTAATTGTGATCCAGGTGACATGTTATATCCACCCGCAAAAGATTGGGGTGATTGATCAAATCTGAAATTAATAGGGGACATAATATCATTTGCTGATAAAGCTCTTGGCGTTCCTATTGAAGTTATGGAATTTGAATGGATGGGATATTGATTGAAATGAGGGAGACTATGATGATGATGAGTAAGTGGTGGAGGTGGAGCCTGTTGTTGTTGAGGTTGTTGTTGCAGTTGTTGCTGTAAGAAATTTAAATTATGCTGATTTAAAGCTTGAGTTAATAATGATTCATTTTTAGTTAACATTTCTATTTTTGCCTTTAATTCATCCACATCACTCTTTAAAGATTGGATTTGAGAACCCTTTTTAGGTCTAAACTCAGGATCAATTTCACATTTCAATTCCATCTTTTCACATCTTTGACAAGGATTGGGATAATTTTCTGAGGCATTACATTTAATCTTATGTTGACGACAGAAAGTACATGAAGTGACTGGTCTATGACCTGATTGTTTTGATTTATCAGCATTAGAATTCGAATTGGAATCGATTTGAGAGATAGCTTCCGAACTTATCATCATTGAAGATGAAGATTTCTCTCTCTTTATTCTTTTATTCTCATTACCATTATTACTATTTGAAATGATTGAATTTTTAGATTTTCTACGAGGATTTGGAGTTCCAGTAGAAGAAACACTAGGTGAAGGAGTTTGAACAGGTATAGGAGAAGGTTTTGGAAGAATCGACTTCATCTTTGACTTTTCCATGATGATATTTATATCTAGTTATATGATCTGATTTGTCCAGTGTGTTATATATAATTGGAAACCTTCTAAATTGGCAATTATCACAAACTGACAAAAGGAATATATGATTTTTTCTAAACAAATGAATATATGATAAAACTTATTAGATCATAAAAATGAATAGTTAATGATGTAGATATATGGGAATTTTGTGGTAAATGAAAGTCAATCTGTATTCAAAATGGCTATAGTTAATTTTTTCTGTTCTTTTTCTAAGTTCACTCGAGAATTTGTAATTGAGTGGGTTTGTAAAGGGAAAAAAAATAGTGCCTCTTTTTCTAATTGAATGGGTAAATGGTTCAATCTGGGATGGATACAAGATAGTCAACTTAATAATGAAAGAATAAACCTCTATGAATTGAATATAGAAAGAGGAGAATATAGAAAAGATATAAATTTTTTAAATGTCATTCATTAAAATTAAGAATTTTTTCCTTTTTACCTTCTGATTCTTTCTTTGGGGGTTGGTATTTTATTAGAGGGAAATTATGAGGTCGTGTACTTATCTCCAATTTTACTGATGGAAAAGATAAAAAATTTTCATATTTCCTAAAACAGCCGTAAAGAGAGAACTGATCGTTTAGATAATTCTTTTTTTCTTTTTTTATACAGTTGTCGTTGAATTGTCTCTTCAGCCCTTTTTGGGCTAGATGAAATTCAGCATTGACTAATCTTATTCAAGTAGAAACAGTGAAACTGAATCTATGTAAGTCATCTCTTCGGGGTTAATGTACACTTTCTAAGCTAATTAATCCTTAGTTAGTCAACATTCCTTAACCTTCTTTTGTCGTTCCTCCTTTTACTCTCAGTATCAGTTTTATTATGTAACGTCTCTTACTAATTAATTATTACGACTCTCACTCACACAGTTTAACTTCTCCATAAGGCACTCCTCAACCCATCCCATACATACTTGCATCATCATCTTCACCATTTCAACCATATAACCAAATTTTGTGTTATATTAAACCTTTAGAAGCTTATTTCTTTTAATAAGTCAATATTTTTCTTTTCATTGTTAAGCCCATATTATGACTCTTTTAATACGTTAAGGTTTAACCTTCACTCGTTTGTGTTATACTATTTAGAACATCCACCCACTGTCTATTTCTTGGCATCCTTCCAATAGGGCATTTTTTAACCAATATGTACCCTATACCTATATAAAGCTGTCAAAAAATGTCTTATGAATTTTAATTTTAATTTTATATTTTTACTTTACTATACAATAATTAGTACTATATGTGATATACAATTTAATCATTTATCATTATCATCTTCAAGTCTTGGATCTCCAATCCCATCTTCATAAATAGCAAATACACATTCACTTTCAGGTAAACATGGACTATCATAAATCTTACAAATTCTAGTTTCAGCTCTACCTTTTTTAAATGATAATCTTGTAGTTGAACTATGAGCAATAATATTACCTCCAATTGGTTTCTTTGGATCAGGATTATACATAGATGACATACCATCAACTTGAGCTACAACTTGATTGGTGATAACAACTGCAATACCAAATTCATCAGCTAATCTTTGTAAAGTTCTCATGAATTTAGCCACATGAGTTTGTCTTGCACTTAATTCACCTCTACCAGAATAATCAGTTCTATAAAGAGACATTATAGAATCAACAATTAATAAGGAAAATCTTGATTCTGACATCATTTGAGCAGCAAGACTTAATAATTGTAATTGATGTTCTGCATTATAAGCTCTGGCATATGCCACATTATCTAAACAATCACCTGGTACTAACCCAAATCTACCTGCAATCGATACTAATCTATTAGGTCTGAAAGTACCTTCTGTATCAATATAAAGACATTTACCTTCACCACCACCCATATCAATTGGTAATTGACATGTTACCGCTAATGTATGACATAATTGAGATTTACCAGTTCTAAATTCTCCAAATACTTCAGTAATTGACCCAGTTTCAATTCCACCTCCTAATAAAGTATCTAATTGTTTGGATCCAGTAGTAAGACAAATTAATTCTGATCTTCTAGCATGGAATTCACTAGCAGTAGTAAATCCTAATGGAACTAATTTAGCAGCTTCATCTGATATTTTTTCAGCTTTAGCTTCACTTATACCTTTAACTTGAGTTAAATTTCTCTTGGGAGTATAAGCAATACTTTCAATAGTATGGAATCCAGCTGATTTTAACTTTTTAATATCACTAGACGAGATACCATTTCCTTCTAATCGTTCAATCAATAAAGGTCCACTGAATCCATCATCATCATCATCAATCTCTCCATTAGTAGAATTCTGATGATATTGTTCTTGAACTTCTCCTTGACTCATCTGTATCTAATGTATCTATCTATCAATGTATGGAAAGGGTAAGATAATCTAACGTGTTTTATCAATCAGACGCGATTTTCTGATTTTGTAGTTTAATTGTAATCTTTCTGTCTTACACTTTGTGAATGTTTATGTTTTGTTATTTGTTTACATTTTGAATGTTTTGAGATTGAGATTTAGTCGCGGCATGGATGTGTTTTATCAAACGGTTTGTCATTTTTGTTTTTGATTTGTCATTTTCAGGGTTTTGTCGAATTTCTGAGATTTGTCATTTTTTCTTTCTTTAGATCTCATCGATTCCAAAATACCCCACTGGAACACAGTGCAGGATGAGGAATTACATGTAGTGAACATTAACTTACAACCCGTTCATTGTTCTCAAATATTTATTATTAGAGAAAGGGATAATTAGATGATTCTGATGATGTGGCTATTAGTGATAAGGATCATTTATTGTATTCAAAAAAATAACTTAAAACATTCAAATAATATCAATTTTAGCCCTTAAATTTTAACCTTTTTATTGTTCGATAAGATGAATTTAGTTAGATTAGTCACATTAGGTTAAATTAAGGAGGTCATGTAGCTCCACGTGAGATAATGCTAGGTAGGAAGGAAGGAAGGAAGGAGTAAGATCTAATGGGATCGTGTCCTTTCATCTCCACATTTATCATTCTCCTCTTATCTTTTCTTGTAATTAACACATTTCAAGAAAAATTCGTATATTAGTAGTTTCTAGAAATATGTGGTAATTCGTAAAATGATATTAAATAATAATATTTTAATAGTTGAATTGAGTTAATTTTGAAATTAATTCATGGCTGATGAATGAATATATTAATTAAACGTACACAAATGTAATGTGATGTGTCAATTTTATATGTAAGTGATCAAAGTGTTACGAGAGGATTATACATACACAAAATAATATTATTATTTGGGTAATTCAAAGAATTATTTTATGAACAGTCTGAAGTTTATTCGTATGTTATCATAGCAATGAATATGAATATGAATATGAATATGAATATGAAATGTGTAATGACAATACATACCATAAATGTGCAACCTATTTAACTCAGAAGAGGAGAAATCCATAATTGTGGGGGAATCAATGATAAATATTATTGTTAAGTAACATCTCACCTCCTTCCAAATCCATGATACCTAGTTACCATTGATAATGATACGATCTTTCTTTCTTTCTTTCTTTCTTTCTTTCTTTCATTCATTCATTAGTTAGTTAGTTTGACTTGTGAATGAATCAACAAACAAAGATATCTTATATTGTTTCCTATTCTGGATAAAATAGCTGGTTCGTAACAAAGTTAGATCGTGATTCTGTTCTATTTATTTCTCCTTCCGGCATATAGCAACAAGAATTGGTTGCAATGTCAATTTGTTTATAATACTTCCCTTTTAGTGCGTACCGTTTAAATAGAACAAAACTTTTAAATGGCTGTCGTGTCCCGTTTACCAAAACGTAAACAAACTTTCACCTTTTTTATTTGTAACCGATCAAATTCAGTGTTTTCTTCAATTAGTTACCTAATTTCATGTATTTGTTTGTTTTTTGATCAAGTGATTTTATCATCATCATCATCATCATCAAACACTCTTCTTCTTCTTCTCTTCTTCAAGAGTGTATATCAAAGGACCAACATCCCCCTCCAACCATCCCACGTCCCGTGTCAACTCATTTCAAATTTGTCTTGTTGTTAAATTCGCTGCTGCTTTTTTTCCCTTTGGCTTGCGTAACAATAAAAATCGTCAAATTTAAATCACTTTACAACAAACAATCATAACACCTCCTAGGAGAGTTTAAACAAAGTAGAAAGAACCTAGTTAGAACGTTCTTTAACATACAACAACCCTCTCATCATCATCACATCCCAACCCTTCCATCCTCCACCATCACCATCATCATTATCATCATCTAGTCATTCCTTTTTAACACTAGCTTATTTTATTATTTTTTTTTGACTGCAACAGCCCGTTGATTGACTCACATTCCAAACATTCAACCCCCCTGTTACAATACAACCAACCACTTTTATTCATCATTAGTAAGGTTGCTCAAGTTCATTATAGTCACTCCTTTATATTATCCAGATTATAACCATTAAATATATTCATACCTCCTCCTTCCTTCATTCCTTTCATTATATGATAATATTTTTGCATTAAAACCATATCCTTATTCTAAAATGGCATCCTCAACTGTAATATATCCTCATATCCATACCAATCCAGACCAATCAGAAATCATGACTCCTTCAACCATATCATCTTCAAATAATGTCCCTCGGACTTCAGATATAGAATTACCTGAATCTTATACATCATTACCTCAACCTCAATCACAAACACAATCACAAGTTCCTGTCATAAATCCAAATTTGGCTAAAAGAGTTCATCGTGAAGTAAGATTTGGTAATTATATCCTTGGTTCTACTTTAGGTGAAGGTGAATTTGGTAAAGTCAAATTAGGTTGGAGAAAAGATGGTAAATTCCCCAATCAAGTGGCTATAAAATTAATAAAACGTTCAACTATATTAAAGGATTCTGATAGTGAAGTTAAAATTCATCGTGAAATAAATTCTTTAAAACTTTTAAATCATCCCAATATCGTTAATTTAGTCGAAGTTATGAAAAGTGGGAAATATATCGGTATAGTATTAGAATATGCTTCTGGTGGTGAATTATTCGATTATATCTTACATCATAAATATTTAAAAGAAAATGTGGCTAAAAAATTATTTGCTCAATTAGTTAGTGGAGTTGATTATATGCATTCAAAGGGTTTAATTCATCGTGATTTAAAATTAGAAAATTTATTATTAGATAAACATAAAAATGTTATTATATCAGATTTTGGATTTGTCAATTCTTATAATAAAGATAAAAATGATTTCATGAAAACAAGTTGTGGTTCTCCATGTTATGCAGCTCCAGAATTGGTTTTAACTCAATCTCCTTATGAAGGTAGAAAAGTGGATATTTGGTCTCTTGGAGTTATATTATATGCCATGTTATCAGGTTATTTACCCTTCGATGATGATCCTGAAAATGAAGATGGTTCAGATATTGTGAAATTATATCATTATATTTGTAAAACTCCTTTAACTTTCCCTGAATATGTTTCTCCTTTAGCAAGAGATTTATTAAGAAAAATCATTGTCCCAGATCCAAAAAGAAGAATTAATTTAAATGAAATTAGAAATCATCCTTGGTTAAGTCCTTATGCTAATTTATTATCGATTAGACAACCGGAATGGGATAAAATTCATAAAGATAATCAAGTTTCATCATTATCATCCCCTGCTTCTCATATCACTCCATCATCTAAATTAAATCAAAATAAGAGATTCTCAATGATAAATGAAAGAACTAATTCTTCAGCTTTAATCATCTCAACTGCATTCGATTCCAATGTTTCATCTGTTTCTACCGTTGGTGGTCATGGAAGATCTTATTCTTCAACCAGTATTACTCAATTATATTCATCTCCATCTATTTCATCATCATTAGCAAATGCAGTAGCATTACCAAAACAAGACCCATCCAACATTACTGGAGGTACTAGTGTTGATGATTCAAGTATTCAATCAAGATCATCATCTCCAACTAAATCATCTCGTGGTCATACCAAATCTGCATCTGTATCAAATTCATATTCTTCAGCAAGTATAGCTCTTAAGGCCGTGGTAAAAGAAAATAATTCAAGATCTTCATTTGATTCTCTTCAACAACCTATATTTACTCCACCTCCAACTACTTCTAAACATCCTCATTTTGCAAACTCTATGAATATTCAAAGATCAACCACATATACTGGAACTGCTATTTCAACCATTGTTGAAAGTCCAACTAAACCAGTTTCTAATGTTAATAATATGGATGAATCAATATCTACTCCTGCACCTCCATTATCAGCTAATCCTCCATCATCAAGGGATTCAAATAGATTACCTCATGCCACCAAGAAACCAAGACCAACTTCTTATCATCCATCATCAATGTCATCATCTTTAATGGCTAATAATAATTCTGGTTCTTCAACTGCATTATTAGATTATATCAAAATCCCAACTGGTTTACCAATTCCTCAATTCTTATCATCATCTCCAACTAAATCAATTGCACCATCTGAACATCTTATTGGTCATTCTGATTCGATAAGTCCATTAGGAAAATCTCCAAAGACTTCTACTGCATCAAGAAGAAATTCAGTAGTTACTCATGTTCACGTTAATGGCGTGTTAAGCAGTGATAGTATGAATGCTTCTATGCAATCCCCAGATTATAATAAGAGAAATTCAGTATTAAGTTATTTGGAAGATAAAATTGATACTTTGGAATTAACTGAACTGCATAGTCCGGTAAAGAATAATTTCATGAGTGAATCAGTTACACCTCAAATTAATCAACAACCTATATTTGATACTCAATCTAGTTCACCAGTGGTTCAAGTTAAAGATGAATTTAAAGAAAAGATTGATGATAATGAAATAGCACCAACTCCTATTGAAACGGAAATCGTCAAATCAAGTCCTAGTCCAATCCAAGTCACTTCTATCAAAGATAATTCTAAAGAGAAGGATTTAGAAAATTCAGTTGAAATGGTTCAAGAGAAATCTCTGGAAACAGTTGATAAAGTTGAAGAAGTTTCTAAAATTGTTACCAAATCAGATGTTAAGAAACCATCAAGTAGAGAATCTACACCACCTATTAGAGTCAGAGAAGATTCTAATAAAGAGAATAGAGATGTTAAGGAAGCTAAGAAACGTAATAGATTCAGTTTATTATCATTCTATAGTACTTATAATTCATCAACCTCCAATATTTCAACTTTGCATACCACCTCACCATCAACTACTACCTCCAACAATACTAATAATAAGAAAGTGTTAGAACCATCTGATATTAATATTGCTAATACCCCATACAAAGATCAACAAAAAAGAGTTCATTCAGGATCATCGGCTCATTCAAAAAGATCAACCATCACAGCCGGCTCATCATCAGCTTCATCTAGAGATAGTAATAAAGAAGCAAGTGCTGCTAAAAAAGTAATGGATTTCTTCAAAAGAAGAAGTGTTAGAATTGGTTAAAAAAATAAAATAAAATTAATTAAATTATTTGTCATTCCCGTTTTTATTTTGTTATAATTTGTCTTTTTACAATAATTGTCTGTTGCTATATTTTTTAAAGCCCCATTTTGCATTTAATAATTTTTATTTTCTTTCTTCTACTTCTTCTATAATTTTATATGTTTTATTCAAACCGTTATAGTTTCTTTTATAGTTTTATATTGTTTACTCACCTTAATGCCCTTGTTAAATCTTATTCCTGGCGTAAATATAAATAAATTTTGTCACCTTAATATAAGTATCAGAACAATTAAATTTACTTGTAATTTTTTCGCAATATGATTTAATGTGGTAGCGAGCTATCATTATGACTCAAAAGAAAAAAAAATGTAATGATAAATTCTGATGCTTATCATATCAAGTAGAATTTCACCATATAAAGAGTCGTATGACCAATATAGAAATGGAAGATAATATTGATCCAGGCCCTTCGGCGGAAGTGAGCGAGAGAGAGAGAAATATTGGCTCAGATGAAAATAATCCAGATCAAGAGAATATTGAAATTGAAAATACGAATGATTTAAATTCTGAGGTGAATTTAAATTTAGATTCAAAATTTAATGGTGATTTAAGGCAAGAGAATAACGATGAATCCGATTCCAAAGTGAATGAGAGATTACATCCCTATATTACTGATGCCAGAGAATCGCCTGTTCCTGAGTTCGATGATGATGATGAAGAAGAAGAAGATGATGATTCGGAAGAGTATGATTTGACAGAAGATGAAGATGATCTTCAAGATCCTGAAACTTTAGCCTCAACCATTATCCATGAAATTCAGGAAGGTACCTACTCATGTTTGGTTTGTACAGGGGAGATAGATCAGTTTTCAGAAATATGGTCTTGCTCCAGCTGTTACAGGGTATATGATTTGGAATGTATCAATGATTGGGCCATTAGAGGTTCTTCAACCAATAAAACTACTAAAGAATGGAGATGTCCATCATGTAATGTTGCAACCAAAATCATACCCAAGACTTTTAAATGTTGGTGTGGTAAAGTCACCAACCCAGAAGCTAATTCATTCTTACCATTTAGTTGTGGGAATACATGTAATCATAAATATGATGATTGTATTCATGGATGTAGTTCAGAATGTCATCCCGGAGCCCATCCAATTTGTGGTGCTTTAGGACCTCTTATGAAATGTCAATGTGGAAAAGAGTCAAGACAATTACCATGTTTGATAACTCCTTACGAAGATGGATGGGAATGTGAATCACCCTGTGATACTATTATTTGTAATTTGAATCATCCATGCAAAAGAGGTTGTCATTCTGGATTTTGTGGTCCATGTGATGAAAAATTATCCTTACCATGTTATTGTGGAAAGCATATTTTAGATATTGAATGTGCTAACATTGATCCAAAACAATGTCAAGATGCAACAGAAAAATCATGGATCGGAGTTGGTACTTGTACAGAAAAGACCGTCCTTTATTATGATTGTCAAATTCATTCAGAAGAGTTAACTTGTCAACCGTTACCGGATAAACTTAAAGTATGTAAACTTGATCCATCCCAAATTTCAACCTGTTATTGTGGTCAAACTCCCGTTGCAATTGAAGGTAGAACAAGTTGTACTGATCCTGTCCCTACTTGTGAAAAGAGGTGTAATAAATTATTACCATGTGGATGTACATGTTTACTTCAATGTCATGCTGGTGAATGTGAATGTTATAATATCTTTGATGTTAAATGTGCCTGTGAACATGAACTGTTCTCGGTTCCTTGTAAATTTATTCAACAAGGCTATAAACCAAAATGTCGTCATAGATGCCTGGCATTGCTTAGTTGTCGTAAGCACTATCACAGAGAAGAGTGTTGTCCAGCAGAACAAACTGCTATGAAGAGAGAAAGAGAAAAGAAAAAGGCTATAAGAAATAACACCAGATCAAACTTTAATGACGAAGTGATGACTATAGAGTCAGAACACATTTGTACCAAGACGTGTAATAGACTTAAATCATGTGGAAAGCATTATTGTGATGCCTTATGTCATAGTGGACCTTGTCCAGTATGTTTAGAATCGACTGATGAAGATTTGATATGTCATTGTGGAAAAACCGTGATCGAGGCACCTGTTAGATGTGGTACTGTACTTGTATGTCATGAACAGTGTGTCAGACAACCAGCTTGTGGTCATAGACCTGAGATTCATGAATGTCATGATGATTCTGTACCATGTCCTGGATGTACTGTGTCCGTCAAAAAGACATGTAATTGTGGTTTAAAAGATGATTTACCTGGTATTCTTTGTCTACAAGAAAATGTCTCTTGTGGTATTCAATGTAAGAAGTCTAAAGCTTGTGGTCATCCTTGTTTGAGAGTATGTTCTAGCAGATGTACTGTTGATGATGTTCATAACAGTTCAACATTATGTCAATCTCCATGCAGTAAAGTTAGAACCAATTGCCCTCATTTATGTAAGTTGAAATGTCATTTTAATAAACCAGGTCAAAGTATTAAATGTGATGCAAGAAAATGTCCTGAGTTGATTCAAGTTAGTTGTGAATGTGGATTAATCAAATCAAAAATACCATGTGGAGCAACTTTAGAAGAACAATCTGCGATTGGAACTGTATTAGAATGTACTGAAGAATGTATTCGTTCCAAACGTGATGCCGAGTTAAGAGCAGCTTTGAATGTTTCGAAAGATGAAATTAAACTTGCCAGTGATGACATTCCTTATTCAAATAGTGTCATATCTACATATGAAAGACAAAGTGTATGGTGTGGCAGAATTGAAGATTTGATCAGAACGTTCATAGATGATTATAATGTTCAATTAGATAATGGTATTAAATCTCCCAAGAGATCTCATCATTTCCCACCAATGAATTCCCCACAGAGACAATTTGTTCATGAATTATGTGAGGCATTTAATTTGTATCTGGAGTCACAAGACGAAGAACCAAAGCGGTCTATATTTATAGTGATTACCAGAAACACCAAGATTCCATTATTAACCATTAAAGAAGCTAAGAGAATCAGAGATGATATTATACTGGAACAAAATAAAGCTGCAGAATTAAAGAAAGCTGAGATTGATGCATCAACATTTAACGCTTTAGTCATCGAAGATGTGTTCTTTGGTATTGTTATTGATGATTTAAAAGAAGAGTTAAAGGACGCGGTAGAGAACTCAGGTATTAGTAAACCAACTTTCCAATGGATGAAGGGATCTACATTTGTATTTTATTCAGAGGATAATTACAAAACTTGCACAACCAATCACGAAGATGAATTATATTTGTTAATGAAATCATTTAAGAATATCCTTCGAATGAAATCATTAGCTTTTGATTGTAAATTATGTTTAATTGATGAAGAAGTATCATATATTTTGAAAATAGATGATAAATTAAAGCCTTCCAAAGATTTACTGCCTGTCCCAAGACCCGTCAGTGCTAATGCATTTGAAGCTCTACAATTAGATGATGATAATAATTAGTATAGATTAATTATAAATATATATATATTACATGCTATTGTTAACTTTTCAGTATCCTAAGTAGATTCTTCCTCTTGTTTGGATTCATTTTCCTTTTCATTTTCCTCTTTAGATTCCAGTTCAGAAGATTTTTGTTTATGTGATCTTCTTCTCTTTTTCTTATCACCTGAATCAGTTGATTCACTAGGTGTTGTGGTTGAATCAGTATTTGGTTTCTTCTTCTTGATACTTAATGGATTAGGAGCTTTAGGACCTTTTCTCTTCTTATGTGTTACTTCCCCTTCATTATCTTTTTCCTTTTCTTCAATTTTATTAATATAACCCACCTTTTGATCATTTAAACCTTGAGTTAATTTCTTACTTTCCAAATCATCATATTGTTTTGAACTTGCTCTTGATAATGGTTCTAAAATCATCACTGATTTATCCATGAATATTAAAGGTGTACCGGGTATATTTCTAAATTTCTTTCTTAAATCTTGATCTTGAGTGGCCACCACATATCTATGTTTATTTTCTCCTTTTATATCAACGATGGAATCAATACATTTAGATGGATCAATAGCTTCACGATGATTACAACGACGTCTTTCAAAAGTCTTAGCTAAATCAATAGCATGTTGATTCTTGGTCGCATATAAAGCTTCCATACAACATTGTGTTATCATAGGTTTTACTTCTCCTTGAATCGTATTCTTTAATCCTCTTGATAAATTATAAGTTGCCTTATCACAAGTTATAACAAATTCATGATCCACTATAGCTTGGTATGGTTCTCTGAATTTGAAGGCATGGATATATACATTCATTTGCTTTCTATAAGCCTTAGCTCTCTTTTGTCTCATAATGTATGTCTATTCTAGTTATGTTCTATTGATATAAAAAGAAATCTATGGAAATGTATATATATATAGCTTCATCGCAGGCATTAAAATAAATTTTGATGATACCTGCATATAGAAGACGATGGATGGGTAAAAAAAAAAAGGAACGCTACCAGAAATTAATTTTTTCTGGTACCTTTTACCACAATAGGGATCATCCCACCAGTTGGAATGGTAAATTTTCTATGACCAATAACAGTTATAAAAGCTCTTATAGTTCCAGCATGAGATGTTATAGATATGAATTGATGATCTTTATCCTTAGTAAATATATCTTGTAAGACTTTATTAATCCTTAAGAATTGTTCATTTAATTCTTCCCGCTTTTTAGAAAACTTTTCCGCTAATTCATCATGCTCAGGGAAATCTTCTTCAAAATCAACCATGGGGAATTGAGATTTAATTTCGGATTTTTTTGATCTTTGATGACATAAATGAACTCCAATGGTTTCTCTTAAATGTTCTAATACTATAGGTTGAGGAATTGGTTGATCTTCCCAAGTATATTGTAAAGTTCTTAAAGATCTTTGTAAAGGGGATACATAAAATTTTGATGGTAATGGAGCTCCATTATCTAATTGTTGATTCCAAGCTTGTTTATTTTCTAAAGCTTGATCAATACCTAATTCAGTTAAATTGGCATCTGGACCCCAACTAATCTCTCCATCTGTACCAACAAATCTCCATTTAGCAAACCAATCATCTTTCAGATATTTACTAGTAGCAATATTATGCCATCCTTCTCCATGTCTGGCTAAGAAAAGTACTTTATATGATACATTAGGAGGAGCATTCTTATTTAATTCCTTGATTTCTTGTATGATAGTTGACCAAGGTTTAGTGACACCGAAATTTTCTTCAGTATATCTAAATGAAAAATCATCTTTTGAATGATCTGATTGAACAAAATAATCATCGACAGGGGAAAAATCCCATGGAAACTCATGTTTATAAGTTTCGCTTTCGCTTAATTTAAGTAAATTTTGAAAATAAATCTCATCTTGATCTAAATCTTCATGAGAATCAACTCGATCTCGTTGGGTGGGTACAAGAAGGGACATATTGTTGCTTATATGATTTCCATAACTAAGTGTGTTTTTTTATATTATAAACTTTTGATTCTATTTACATTTATATATAAATATGATTATTATTGACATCACTCTAAACTGATAATGACTTAATTTAATTAGCCATCCCGTCGTGTACCTTACTACAAAAATTTGCCTTTTTTGTGGACCATTGCCTAATTAGGAAGCGAATTCTAATCACATGACTGAACGCGGGAAAGAAAGAGACATTTAATTTAAAATGGTGTAACATTAACTAAAAATAATGTCGTATTTACGTTATCGTATTTTATTTTTGTCTGTCTGTTATGAATTTTTTATTATTTTTTCTGTGCGAACAGACAGACACTCTAAAAATTTCTTTTGGAAAAACCGATTTTCAACTACAATAATTATCCTGCTTCTTTACCCTTCTTCTCCCATTAGTTAAGTTCATTTGACTATCGAACGAGTGAGATACCATAGCATACATCTGTACGATACGATTAGCCATGTCTGAGGACGAGTCGAAGGCTGTGGAATTGGTCTCGGGTAAGAGAACCCTGGAACATGCATCTTTAGATAGTAATGATACTACACCAGCAAAAATTGCGGACCTGAAAACAGATACAGTTGTCAAAACTGAAATTGAAATTGAAGCTACCAAACCAGAAATTGACGATGATAAAACTAGTAATGGCGATGTCACGTCTACAACACCAGCTCCTCATACTGCTCCTACTACTGCTGATGATGATGTTGAAGCTATACTGAATGGTGAACCAGAATTGAAAAAAGTTAAGTTAGAGGAACAGGAACAATCTGCACCACCTCAACAGGCTGAACAAGAAGAACAAAAACACGAAGTTCATGAAATCTCAAATGGTACCACCAATCATAATCTGTCCACCACTCCCATTACCAACAACAATAACAATAACAATCATATCATAAATGTTAATAACAAGACTATTGTAGTACCAGCTACAAAACCTCATTTATTCTATAGTCCTTTAAAGACAGGGTTAGTATATGATGTACGTATGAGATATCATGCAAAAATATTCACATCTTATTTTGAATATATCGATCCTCATCCTGAAGATCCAAGACGTATTTATCGTATTTATAAGAAATTGGCTGAAGCTGGTTTAATTCAAGATCCAACTCTTTCAGGTATTGATGATATTGGTCCATTAATGGTAAAGATCCCTATCAGAGAAGCTACCGCAGAGGAGATTTTAGAAGTTCATTCTGAAGAACATTTGAAATTCATTCAATCAACCGAAACTATGACCAGAGATCAATTAATGGAAGAAACTGAAAAGGGTGATTCCATCTATGTTAATAATGATAGTTATTATTCTGCTAAATTATCTTGTGGGGGAACTATCGAAGCTTGTAAAGCAGTTATTGAAGGTAGAGTTAAAAATTCCCTTGCCGTAGTAAGACCTCCAGGTCATCATGCTGAACCTGATACTCCAGGTGGATTCTGTTTATTTAGTAATGTGGCTGTAGCCGCAAAAAATATCTTGAAGAATTATTCTGAATCAGTAAGAAAAATAGTCATTGTTGATTGGGATGTTCATCATGGTAATGGTACTCAAAAATCATTTTATAATGATCGAAGAGTCTTATATATATCTATTCATGTTTATGATAATGGGAAATTTTATCCTGGTACAAAATATGGTAATTTAGATCAAGTTGGTGAAGGTGAAGGTGAAGGGTTCAATATTAATATTCCTTGGAGAAGTCATGGTATGCATGATGGTGATTATATTTACGCGTTTAATAAAGTGGTTCTTCCAATAATTAATGAATTCAATCCTGATTTAACCATCATTAGTTCTGGATTTGATGCCGCTGATGGTGATATCATTGGTGCTTGTCATGTTACCCCAGCAGGTTATGGAACCATGACCCATATGTTAAAAGGGATTGGTCGTGGGAAATTAGCTGTCATTTTAGAAGGTGGTTATAATTTAGAATCAACCAGTAAAAGTGCCTTGGGTGTAGCTAAAGTATTAGTGGGAGAACCACCAGAAGATACTATATCCTTACAACCTCATTTAGAAGCAATTGAAATAATGGATGAAGTTATAAAAACTCAATCAAAATATTGGAAATCATTGAAATATGGTCTTCCAAATACTACCTTTGAAGATGTATATGATCTTAAAGAAGGTGATGGTTATAAAGTTGTTAACATTGGCGATCCAATCAGATCCAATCAATACAATGAACTCTTCAATCGTTATTCATTCATCAATTTACCAATTATTACCAGTTCAATTGACAATAATGAAAAGAATGGTTTATTCACAACCGATTTACCAGCTCATTTGGAAGATATAATTATCGCTAGTCCTGATATCTATGATTCTTCCATTGCAGTATTGACTATTCATGATCCTCCTGAAATATGGGCTAATATAAATCCTATAAATGGTAATACAGAAGGTAATTCTTCAATAGTATTGGAATATCCTTTACATCAAATCATTGAAAAGGTTAAAAAGGAAAGTGAAGGAAGTGAAAATCCAGAGAAGATAGGTTACATTGATATTAATATACCGTCATATCAACTTCCAATACCATCAGGTTCTGCCTCTGTGGGTCCAAATTCAAATTATAATCCAACTATATTCGCTCAAGAGTTATTATTATATGTTTGGGATAATTATTTTTCATATTTTTCAAATTTAAAGAAAATTGTGTTTGTTGGATTTGGTGAAGCTTATCAAGCCATTGTTCATCTTTATGCTAAGAGACCTTCTCAAGAAATAAAAGATTTAGTGAAGGGAACAGTGGTTTATTTGAATCGTTCAAGTTTAAAACCAGTAGTTCCAGTCATGGATGAATCCATGGTGGATTGGTATTATCAAAATTCAGTTATTTTCACCAGTTGTTTAAACCCAGTATGGGTAGGTACAAATGGTCAAAGTAGACTTGGTAATGGTAACGTGGAAGCCAATGGTGCTGATGATAGTAGTAAACGTCCGAGAAGAAAATTCGGTAGAGTTATAAAAGCTTCAGTTGATGGATTATATGATGTTATAAATGAAAGATTTGATGAAGGAATTGACTTTATTCTTGATTCAATAGAAGACTTTTCCAGTAGCGAAAGTAGCAATTAAATGCTACTGTTCTGATTATGTATTATTATATATATTAGACAGTAAATGTAAAATGTATCATGACGACTTTATTAAAAATGTTTATTATTATTATTATTATCGTAAGCCATTAAATTATAGAGTGCAGAACAAGTTTATAACTAAACATAACTAGGAAATCTTTTGGAGAATTGTTTCTCTAAATCATCTAAATCAGGTAATGATAAATCACTTGAATTACTTAATCGCCTAGTGTTATCTGATTTCAAATAGTTTGGCTTTTTAGGCTTTGGAGGTGGAAGCTTCTCAGTTTGAGCTTTTCTAACCGGCACCACCACAGGCGGCTTATTATCTTGTAAAGCAGATGATTCTGTTACAGTTTTACGTACTTTTGCCATACCTTTAGATTTCTCTTCACTTGCACTTGATGATAAACTTAGAGGTACTTTTGGTGGTGTTAATGATTTCTTGAATTGTCGGCTATGATGATGATGTTTAGGTTTATCTTCAACTGGTATAGCATTGATGGCGTCTATATCATCTGAAGCTTTTGTTTCGGTGAATCTACCATATCCTTGAGCCGATTTTTGAACAGGATTGGCTTCATTATTTTTCATTAATTCTTGCATTCTTCTTTGAATAGATAACTTTTGAACATGTGGTTGATTTGCTTTCTCTGGAACTTTATTACCACTACTTTCCTCATAACCTGCCTTTCTTTGAGAATTTCCAGTTATTATCTTTTTAATAGAAGATATCTTACTCTTCTTGGAGTAATTGTTGTTTCCAGTGTTATTGGCACTTTGATGACCATTAATACTGCTTCCTGTACTTATCTTTCTTAAGTTATTCATTATGCTTGCTTTTATACTTCCACCTGTATCGTTCTTATATAGAGTAGCCTCTTCTTCTTTACTCTTTAAGAAATCGAGAGTACCTCTTTCACTTTCTGAACTCTTTCTATTAGATATTCTCAGATCATTATCAATCAATTGTTTTTGAACATAATCTTTAAGAGCAGATGTCGACTTTGATGAATTATAACCATTTGAATTCAACTTAGAGTAATCCGCATCAATACTTGCATGAGGAGATATATAAGTAGACCTTGGTCTGGGAGGGATGGATCTTCCATTATTAGCTCTATTTGCTACTTCTGCAATTGGTTTAGTAAGTAAACTTGATTTATCAATAGCAGCAAATGGATCTGGAACATGCAAATTTTCAACTGATTTAGAAGCTTTTGGTCTATCAAAAGTGTCATATAATTTATTGGTACTTTCAACACTTTCAGAAGCTTTGATATGAATTAATTGTTCTTTAACAGTTTGAGGTATGACACTTGGTAAGACATCACCTTTCATTGAAGCAATTTCACCCAATAATTGTACTGCATTTGGTCTTCTTCTTGGATCAGGTCTTAAACAACAAGCGATTATATTCTTTAATCTTCTTGAAAACATCAGACCTGGTTGATCATTAAATCTCAAAGTATGATTACAGTTTAAAATCAGCTGTTCTAAATCTTGTAATGAAGTTTGATTAGGCAGTTCAAATGGAGTAGTATAATAACAAAGTTTATAAATAAAACATCCAAGGGCCCATATATCCAGTTTATCATCAATGGGGAATCCCTTAGTTAAATCTATCATTTCTGGAGCTCTATATTGAGGAGTAGTATGTTGCATAATATCTTCTCTCACCAGTTGAATTTCTTGAGGAGTCTTTGGGGCTGGAATGTATGCTACAGAGGAACCAAAATCACATAGTTTGAACGTTCCCTTTGCATCAATCAAGACATTTTCAATTTTGATATCTCTATGAATTAATGGCGGAGTCAAATGATGACACATCGCAACACCAATAGTAACTTGATATGATATATCCAATATTTCAGTTTCGGTAAGTTTATTGACTAATCTTTGATTCATGAAATCAATCACACCTTTGTTTTCACAATATTCCATAAGGAGAAACACTACATATTTTTGATCTGGACTTGCTGTGTTTCCCTCATCTAATCTTGTAGCATGAGAATCAATATAAGATACAATGTATTTATTTCCTCTCAATCGTTTCATTGCATCCACTTCCTGTCTTAGTAAACTTAATTGCCATTTACTGGGTACCTCAACTCTTTTTAAACATGCTACTGTAGATCCATTAAATGGAGGATCTATAGTACAAGTGTATACATGAGCGAACCCCCCCTCTGAAATGTATTTGATAATAGATATGTTGTGAGAGCCAACAGTTATCTTTTTGCCTGGTGAATAGGCATTTGGAGGTGGCACTGGCATGATATGTCAATGAATTGATGTTGAAGAGATCGATTATAGTTCGTAATCAAACTTGATCTGTTATGCTTAACCTCCTTTAACATTCTCCATCAATTTTATTTGGTGGTCTTTTCGTTTGATAAAATTACGTCACGTGCGTTGATTTTCAATAAAATAACACATTTTCATCATTGGTTTGACACATCAAATTAAAGGGTTCGAAGATTATAGATAACTTGATTATAATGTGGAACGTGAAGTTATCGCTGTAATAATAAGTTAGAACCATTTTAAAACAAGTTTCTCATCTAAGCTATTATTTATCAATTTATATAGTTATTTGGTTTAATTTTGACAAAATGTATTACGAAATTACAATGAATTCCAATAATTTTAAATGTTTTGATAATATGAAATGAGACAAACACTCATCATACCTAGAGTTTGATCTAATATTCAGAGAGAATAAACAGAACTTGATTACAATAGTCCAGTTAACGGCTTGAAGATAAATTGGAATTTATTGCAAAATTGTATTGATGGTATGAGCGGGTAACCCCAATATGCTGCGAAGATCATTACAATAAATATTTATGAAAATATTTAGTCCATATAAAGAGACTAGCTATAACTTCAAAGACAAAGTATTCAAAATGAACGTATATTTTGAATCTGAAAAGTTCTTGAAACCTTCAGGTGCCAAGGGAAGTCTTCAATCACGAATATTTAATGACACTAAATTGAAAAACTCACCAAAACATATCTATGCATTAGTCTATTCAACACTTAAGTATAAAGAATACATTGAAACTGTTATAAAGAAATCCAAAATAAAGGATGTTATAAAGACCAAGAAGTTAAAAATGAGTGATGAATTACTTATTTTATTAGTTCATGATTTAATATTCAGTCAGAAAGGTAGAATACAGATGGGTAATCACCCTATAAAAGATGCCATATTGAAGAATAAAACAAGATTACAAGCAGAGTTCACAAAGTTAAAATTGAAACATAAGGTTAAATCAGTAGACGAACTTCCAGTCAAGATTGCAGATGAAGATGAAAGTCCGGTGAGATGGTTTAGAATCAATACTATTTTAACCACTCCAGAAGCATTTTTTAAAGATCATGAATTTTTCAGAAATTTGCAACCTGTAAGCTCAATTGAAGAACTTAAACAAACGGGTGTCATATATCAAGATGATTATATCACTAATTTATATGGTGTACATCCAAGAGAAAGAGTCACTTCCACTCCAGCATACGAGAAGGGTCAAGTAATCATTCAAGATAGAGCCTCATGTTTTCCTGCTCATATACTTAATCAAAATCCAAATGATATTCATAAATACGTTATAGATGCATGTGCAGCCCCAGGAAATAAAACAACCCATTGTGCATCATTCTTACCTATAGATTCAACTGATGCAGTTATCTATGCATTCGAAAGAGATTCCAAAAGAGTTGAAATTCTTAAAACTATGTGTGGAAAAGCATTGGGCCAACATAAGAAAAATTTAATTCAAATCACTCATGCTGACTTTACCAGCACAGATCCAAATGATTTCAAAGATGTGACAGGAATGGTAGTGGATCCATCATGTAGCGGGTCTGGTATTTTTGGAAGAGCACTTGAAGACTCTCAAAAGGAAGAAAATGGTGATCAAGAAATCGATACCGAAAGATTGAATAAATTAGCTGGATTTCAATTTAAAATAGTCAAACATTCTATGAAATTTCCTAGTGCTAGAAAGGTGGTCTATTCAACTTGTTCAATTCATCCCCATGAAAATGAAAGAGTGGTGGTTGATTTATTATCAGATCCAGAACTTAAAAAATTAGGTTGGAAATTAGATATTAGAGCTAACGTCATACCCAGTTGGGAAAGAAGAGGTTGGAAAGAAGAATTTACTTCATTAGGAAATGCCGAGGAATGCGAAAAACTTGCCGGAGGATGTGTAAGGAGTATTCCTAAGGAAGACGGAGGAATTGGCTTCTTTGCAGCTTGCTTTATAAAAGGAGCACCAGGAAACGAAACCGAAGCAGATAAGAAAGAAGTGATAGAAGATGTTATAGATAAACAAGAACAACACGAGGCAGGCAAAGAAGAGGGGCAGAATGAGGAAGATGAAGACGAAGACGTTGAAGATGAAGCAGAAGATTGGGAGGGGTTCGATTAGGTTTTATTTTACGAATAAAGTCGAATATACGCTGAAATTAAGATTATCATTTCCGACTGCATGAATTCTTTCCGACCATCCAAGAAATTCATTAATAGGTATTAAAGACAAGAAAAAGACTAGTAAGATGGTTGACGTTTTCCCAATCCCCTTGACACATGCAATGGTTTGAATATCGGCTGTAATTAGAAAAGGTTATACTTAAACCAATTGACGAAAGGGGTGGTTAACCCCAATATAAGTAATGATGAAATAGGTAAAAGGTCCATTAGGGTTTTTAGAACCTTAACTCATAAGTATTAATAATTTCGCAATCATTGTATATAGTAACCATACATTATTCTTAGAAACGTTGTCCATTCAGGTCAGCACCTGTATTACCTTTGTTTAGAAAAAAATAAACATCACGATTGGTATAATCGAATTTGAAAGTATGTCAATTATACGTACGGCTGCAATAAAAGTTCGCTATAATTTAGATATAATTATCTTATCGTTATCCACAATTTTATTTTACCGATTTTGTGTAACATCGCTTATATCACGTGTACGTCATTTGACAAATTTTTGTCGGAACTTATTTTTGTTTTGACATATTTTTGCATAGAGTTTGAAATCCCATGACAAAAAAATAACATTTAAATAATAGCAAATTATAAAAAATAATTAAAAAAAAAAATAACATTTAGTAAAAAAGTTGATGCCGTACGCTCCTATGGAATTTCTGATTACAGGTATGTTGATCAAATAAGTAATCTCTCCTCATAATCTTTACCAAATAGGTAAGCTGGTACGGTTAGCTGGTACGGTTAGCAATGAGCCTTATTCCTAAAGCTTATTTCATATGGTTGCATATAATTCTTTAAGTAGATTATATGATTAGGTTATTAGAAATGGATCTTAAGAACGGCTCTTTACATTAAATTCAATACTACAGCATCAGTTACAAACTTTGAAGTTTGATTTCTTATCGTACAATGTAAACTGAAATGGTGAAGAACTTGACAAACTTGATAAATGAAAATGTAGGATAAGCCATGGGAAGAGGTGAGACTTATTTATTTTCTGATAGCACAGAAGGGAAAACATGTTTCACCCACTCTCCCGGCTATAATTTATCAAATGTTTGCCTGAAGTTATTCTTCTGTCAATGCTAGAAGAGTTTTTGGGGCCCTTTATTCAATAGTTATTTCACCAAAAAGCGCATTATTGTTTTCTATTGGTGCCGCGCACATAAATGGGGAAAAATTATTGTCCAATATAACCCGACCTGAGGCGGCCGGAAGTATGCAGTTTCGGCCAAAGCCCATTAATATTATATCTACAAATAAATATAATCAGCTTTTCAAGCCTTGTTTTGCGGAAGTTTTGTTAAGAGAGAAGGCTTGATTACCATCTTGATGATGAATTCACCACATCAGTTCAAATGCCTTATTTTCTACTACCACCACATTTTTTAGCTAATTTATTATAATTATATCGAATTATCTGATTACATAATATTGGTGACGAAGACGAAGAAGAAACTAAAAAAAGACGAAGACCCTCGGATATTATAGCCTTCTGTGGTACCTTAGGTTTAATCTAAAAGACATGCAAGAATATTTATTAATAAAAATAAAAGAAAATTCTGCGACAACAGATAATTCCCACCGCCTGTTATTTGACAAGCTTGATTGGATTTACGACAAAGAAGGCCATAGTATAATAGAGGCGACAAGGTATTACAAAAGATCTATTGAATAAATAAAAAGAAATCAAGGATGGTTTCACGACGTAGCTCATTAAGGCGATATGAAACTTTGTTTTTGCTATCAGTAGATAAATTGTCCGTTTTATAGCAAACAAAGTTTTGTATTATATGTTGCTTAACCTCTTCGCTACCACAAAGTTTCTTTTTCTGATAATTATGACCAATAATGTAACCTTTGATAAGAGAAGGAAAATGTATGTTTGGGTTCGGAACCGGAATTAGATTCCTATAAATTTTCCTGCCCCTCCTTCACATTGGGAGAACGATAATATAATTCCCTAAAAATAAAATAATCAGAAATGGAATATGACTGATTTTTATTTTTTAAGTATGGTTGGAATTTCTTTTTTTTTTTTTTTTTAATTTTTTTTTTTGTTTGATAGTTTATCAGAAACAAATCGTATGAAGTTCTGAAATTTTATATGTAGCCCTAGACATCTACGGCCAAAAATTTGGCATCATTATGTTCGGCGCCTTATAAGTTACAAAAGCCAATTTCTTTTAATTTAATTTAGTTTTAAAGTGGAGTAGAGGTTTGTTATCAGACATAATTATCGTTTGTAAATTCTTGATATAAATAGTTTACTAATTCCTTTAGTTAGATTGAGTTTGATCTGATTGTTCGTTTATTGTTTTTTTCTTCTTTGCTTGTGTACTTTTTCTTGGTATAACGTTATTGATTTAATTCTTTTGACAGATCAAGAAAATGGAAAAGATCAGAGCTGCGTTGTCTTCCAAGACAAACGAAGTAGATGTCGAAGAGAAGAAAGTCAGTGATTATGAATCTGGTGATCAAAACTTAGATATTGTTGTTTCAAAATCTCAAGAATTTGATCCTATTACTTCTCATCTTATTCAAGATGTTATCGACGATGATTATGCTGCTATTACTGTTGAAGATGATTCTCCTTATCCAGAAGTCAGAGCTGCTGTTCCATCTACTGATGATCCAACTTTATTCCAATCAACCATTAGATCTTGGGTTCTTGGTCTTATCTTAACTACCATTGGTTGTGGTATGAATTTGTTATTCTCTTTCCACGCCCCTTCTTTCTCCATTACTACTTATGTTACCTCCATTATCGCTTGGCCATTAGGTAGAGCTTGGGCTGCTGTTGTTCCAGATTGGAAAATCTTTGGTGTTTCATTAAATCCAGGTCCTTTCAACATCAAAGAACATACTCTTATTACCATTATGGCAAATGTTTCCTTTGGTGGTGGTGCTGCTTATGCCACTGATATTTTACTTGCTCAAAATAAATTTTATAACTCTGATTTCGGTTGGGGTTTTGATTTATGTGCTATTTGGTCTACTCAATGCATTGGTTTCGCCTTAGGTGGTATTGCCAGAAGAGTTGTTGTTTTCCCAGCCGGTGCCATTTGGCCATCAAATTTAGTTACTGCTACTTTCTTAACTAACATGCATATTAATGAAAATCACCCAGCTAATGGATGGAAAATTTCTCGTTTAGCATTTTTCTTAACTATTTTCACTTGTTCTTTCGTCTGGTATTGGTTCCCAGGTTATATTTTCCAAGCTTTGTCATACTTCTCATGGATTACCTGGATTAAACCAAACAATGTTATCATTAATCAATTATTCGGTTCTAATACCGGTTTAGGTTTATTCCCAAATAACATTGCTTTAGATTGGAATCAAATTGCTGGTTATATTGGTTCTCCATTAATTCCACCTGCTGGAACCATTGCAACCATTTTCTTATCTATTATCGTTATTTTCTGGATTATTGTCCCAGCTATTGCTTACTCAAATGTCTGGTACGCTCAATACTTACCAATTTCTTCTTCAGATTCTTATGACAGATTTGGTGCACAATATAACGTTTCTAAGATTATTGATCCAGTTACTTTAACTTTTAATGAAGCTGCTTACAAGGAATACTCTCCACTTTTCTTATCTTCCACTTTTGCTATTTCATATGGTTTATCATTCGCTTCTATATTAGCTACTATCATGCATACCATTTTATTCCACGGTAGAGATATCATTACTCAAATTAGAATGAAAGAAAAGCCTGATGTTCACATGAGATTAATGAAACTGTATAAGGAAGTCCCAGATTGGTGGTATTTTATTGTTTTCCTTATTTTCTTTGGACTTTCTATTGTTACTATTAGAGTTTGGAATACTGAAATGCCAATTTGGGCTTTAGTTATTGCTCTTTTAATTGCTATTGTTTTCTTACTTCCAGTTGCCATTATCTATTCTTTAACTAATATTGCTGTTGGTTTGAATGTGGTTACCGAATTTATCATTGGTTATATGTTACCAGGTAAACCAATTGCTATGATGTTCTTCAAAACTTTTGGTTATATTACCAACAATCAAGCTGTTACTTTTGCTCAAGATATGAAATTAGGTCACTATATGAAGATTGCTCCAAGAAATGTTTTCTGGGCCCAATTAATTGCCACTATCTGGGGTTCTTTAGTTCAAATTGCTGTTTTAAGATGGGGTTATGGATCTATTTCCGACTTATGTTCTTCTGATCAAAAAGATGGTTACACTTGTCCAAATGGTAGAGTTTTCTTTAATGCTTCTATTATTTGGGGTGTTATTGGTCCTCAAAGACAATATTCCGCTGGTCAAACTTACAATGGTTTATTATATTTCTTTATTGTTGGTGCTTTAACTCCAGTCTTTAACTATCTTGTTTTATTAAAATGGCCAAATTCTCCAATTAGATACTTAAATTGGCCAGTCTTCTTCTCTGGTACCGGTTACATTCCTCCAGCCACTGCTTATAATTATTCTTCATACTGTGCCGTTGGTTTATTCTTTGGATGGTATGTTAAGAGAAAGTGGTTCCACTGGTGGACTAAATATAACTATTCCTTATCCGCTGGTATGGATATTGGTTTAGCTTGGTCTTCATTAATTATTTTCTTAGCTTTATACTTAACTAATACTGCTGCTCCATCATGGTGGGGTAACAATGTTATCCTTGGTACTATGGATATGCAAGCTACTGCTATCAGAGTTGTATTACCTGCAGGTGAACCATTTGGACCAACTAGTTGGTAGATATAAACAACGGAATAATGATCTCTTTTTGAAAAATTTAATTTTAAATATATCCTAATACTCCTCGTCCTTTTTCTTTTGTTCTTATATCTAAATATTTTAATTAAACATTTTCACGGTTATTGTATATAATTTTTAACATTTTGTAAATTTGTTAAATTTCGATTCTTTAAATATATAATTGGTTTGTAAAATTGATGAATAAAAAATGTAGTAACATTGAAAATCGAACTACCAGAATTGAATACTTCTATACTATAAAAAAGAGGAAACAAACTTAGATTAAACTAAACTAAACTTTTACCACGATGTAATTTTTCAGCTTCTTGATCAATTTCTAAAGGTTGACCATATTTTGAATAGGTATTATAACCAAGATTGGTACCAGAATAAAAGGTTGGTGGATCAAATGGATTCAAATCAAGGCTATTCTTTAATCTTTCAATTAAATCAGGATTAGCAATAAAATGTCTTCCAAATCCAATAATAGTACGATCATCTGTATCAACTGCTTTCACCACTGGATTTAAATCAAATGATTCTGAAAAAGCAATTGATTTAACGATCACACCTTGCCAGATTTGACTAATGAAATCAGTATTTGATCTTTCTGGTGTATTTTCAACCACCGAAATATAACCCAATTGATGACCTTTATTGGCTCTTTGTTGTAATTCAGATACTAAATATCCATAATTTACAATAGGATGAACTGATTCATTTTCTCCTAATGAACCTCTGAAAGTATTATAAGGAGATAATCTAATAGCCAATTTCTTAGCATCAATACCTTCATTATAAATCAAATTATCAATCACTTCTAATAAGAATCTGGTTCTATTTTCAATTGAACCACCATATTTATCAGTTCTTTTATTTGAAGATGGATGAATGAATTGTTCGAATAAATAACCACTAGAAGCATGTATTTCAACAATATCAAATCCAGCTTGTAAGGACAATTTAACTGAATTGGGGATTTGATTAACGACGATATCATGAATTTCATCTTCAGTTAATTCTTTAAGTGGATTACCAACATCTTCAGCTAATTTTTTAGAATCTTCATCTAAATAAATCACAGAAGCACCAGAATATTCATAGCCTCTTTGTTTTAAAATGGCAGGATTAGCAGCTCTACCTAATGTACCTAATTGGATGGAGATAAAACTACCATTTTTATGAACTGAATCAATAATAATTTTCCAAGCTTTAGATTGTTGTTCATTCCATAATCCAGGTAAATTTGGTAAGATCCCTAATTTTTCAGATGGAATAGTACCTTCCCCGATCAACAAAGTTCCTGGTACGATCGATCTTTCTGTATAATATTGTAACATTAAATCAGTTGGAACGTGTTCAGCCGTGGCTCTGAACCTTGTGGTTGGTAAATGAGCGATTCTCTGATTTAAGGTAATGTTACCAATCTGAATTGGTTTGAATAAATTGGTTGATTTTAAAGATGGTACTGTCATGGTTAGAGTCAACTTGATTAATGTTCTACATTTTAATCTTTTATTATTGTTTAATATATATATTAACCTATTTATAGATTTGTTTAAAGACTATTAAGAATTTTGCATCAATTTAACGACCGAGCAATAAATCTGTTTCGGCGTTTAAAATTAGACATACGGGAATAACGATGACAAATGTGAATCACCGTGGTTTATTATAAATATTATGCACAATTATCAACACTATGTCTGTAATTAACTGGTTAAACTCCATTCGAGGATGAATTATCTCCCTGGTGTTTAGAAATCATTAGCTCCGATTAATTTAGATTTCCAATAATTAGTAAAGTTGGTTATGCAGGATCAGTGAATAATATATATAATGAATACGGAATCCCACATTTCTGAATCCCGAAGTTCTTAACATTCACGGGCCTTAATTCGAAGTGGGTAAAGCAATAGATATGACAAAGATTTTACTGTGTTTGTTATATATAAATAAGTATATAACGAGAATACTGCTCTCGGTAAATTAAATTGCTTACCAGTTCTTCAGTGTATGTTGATTCAATGTATGGAAGATAAAATTACAACACCATAATGATACAAATAGAAATGACGTTGCCTAGAATAACTATCACAATCAGAAATTCGATTCTTAGCGAAGACATAGAGATAAGGCTGTACAAACGACGTTATCTCTCAGATGCAAAATTTATCATAGTAGTGATCTGGACCTTCTATTTTTATACGACATACTGCATACAACAACCTATGTATCGTATAAATTCATTTTTATTTTAAACCTATACGCTCGTTCCCATTTTTCATCGTTTAGCTCAAAAAAAAAAATGAAAAAAAAAAAAATTTATTGAATTCCGTTTTGTGGTATTTAATTTGTATGGTAAAAATTGATTATATAAAAATGAACTGATTTTCCGCGTAACAAAATTTGTATCTACAAAGTTCATCGAGTTTATTGATCAAGAAAGCTATATCTACAACAGGTCATTTTAAGTATTTAAGAAACTTATCAGACCATATAATCGTTCCGTAAATCATTGGCTTATACGTGTATTCTCCTTCCCCCTTACATTCCAACGGTTTTTAGGTTTCTATTTCCATTACCTTATTTGGTCTATCATCTTTCACTTTGCATAATCACAACATATTCATACATACATACATAATGGCCAGTCAAGTTTATCACGATTATACTGGATTTACCAATGTAACCAGTTTTAGTGATGCATTTAATAACTTTAATCAAATTGAATCTTTAAATGTATTTGAAAAATTATGGGGTTCATATTATTATTATATGGGTAATGATATATTTGCTACTGGATTATTATTCTTTTGCGTTCATGAATTATTTTATTTTGGTAGATGTTTACCATGGTTTATTATTGAAAGAATTCCTTATTTTGATAAATATAGAATTCAAGAAACTAAATTACCTTCAAATCAAGAACAATGGGAATGTCTTAAATCAGTTTTAACATCTCATTTCTTAGTTGAAGCTTTCCCAATTTGGTTTTTTCATCCTTTATGTAAACAAATTGGGATAAGTTTTCAAGTTCCATTTCCTCCTATTACCGATATTTTACTTCAATTAACGGTATTCTTTGTTCTTGAAGATGCTTGGCATTATTGGTTCCATAGAGGTTTACATCATGGAGTCTTTTATAAATATATTCATAAACAACATCATAGATATGCTGCTCCATTCGGGTTAGCTGCTGAATATGCTCATCCTATTGAAGTTGCATTATTAGGTTTTGGTACTGTTGGTATTCCAATTATTTGGTGTATTATCACTAAAAAATTACATCTTTTCACTATTTGTGTTTGGATCATTTTAAGATTATTCCAAGCTGTTGATGCTCATTCAGGTTATGAATTCCCATGGTCATTACATCATTTCTTACCTTTCTGGGCTGGTGCTGATCATCATGATGAACATCATCATTATTTCATTGGAAGTTATGCATCTTCATTCAGATGGTGGGATTTTGTTTTAGATACTGAAGCTGGTCCAAAGGGTAAACAATCAAGAGAACAAAAAATGAAAGTTCAAGCTGAAAAGAAGACTCAATAAGTCAATCAATCGTTAGATTGATTATCTGGTTGATTTATTCAGCTTATTAGCATCGACTGCTTCACAGTGGTATTCGCTCTCCTTTCATACCCTGACTCCTTAATTACTCTTAACTACTATTATAGATCAAACCTTTTATTTAAGCAAAAAAAGTTGTAAACTATTCAAAAAATTACATATATTTATACTTATAAACTATTAATTGTAAGCCTGTATATTTTGATGTTTCTCTTATTGTTCAGAACTTTTAATAAAATCATCATATTCTTTTCTCTTTTTAACAATATTTATAAATGGAAGTCTTGAATTTAAGTCTTCATAATCACTAATTCCAATCTTTTCATTTAATTTAACTGAATCCTTCATTTGAATAGGTTTAAGATATTTATGTTCAGGAATAATCAATTCTCCATTTAAGGATAATGCATTTGGATTTTCAATTGAACTTATACCTCCAATCACAATCACTACTATCCCAATTAAAGTTTCAAGTAATATATCCTGAGGCAAATCTTGACTATGATGTGAAAGGGAGGATAATTTATGGAATTCATAGGAAGAGTATCCTGAATGGATTAATAATAGTATACCTACAAAGTAGAGCACTAAAGTAGACGATGAAGTAGCCATTGTAGTTGTTTTGATCTGAAGTAATTGACTTGACTTGAAGAAGGGTGGTAAATATAAAGTGTATATGGACAAAGCGTTGTTACTGAAAAAAAAGTTGTCAGACGCCACGACATAATGTCGCTAGAGATAAAATGTCTTTTTCTTAACCTTCACATTACACAGTTGATGCCATTCCAATTCAATATATCCACTACAGATGCCATATAATCAACATATAATCAACTTCAACGCAACAAAAAGCATTGATAATAATCTTATAATACAGTAAACCATAGAACTAAACTCATTAAACATCTTCATTTATGGTTAATTAATTTATAGAACCAACTCTCACGTGACCGCGTTTCAATTTAAATCCTGCCCAGTTTTTAAACAAAGTGAACAATCCCCACCAAATTCCTTATCATCAACAAACCTATCTATCCCATCTTTATCATCCATTTATATCATCAAACTCTATTAGTAAGTGCTTATCATATAGAATCATTACATCTCATTCAGCACGGCTTTAGTATTGTTGACTCACCTTCCATTTCCCAAAAAAAAAGGTTGATACTCATCCACACCAACCCATAATCCATAACCATATTTAAGCTTTTACCTTTTTCATAGTCAACAAACAACCATTTATACAATAGAAAATTTCAGAGCCAGCCCGTTATTCATATATTACGTCTTACTCATATCATAACTCATACTTCATCTTACTTTTAACTATATTCTTTGATTGAATAACTTTCCTGTAAACGTACCCCCTGGTTAAATTTTTCAAGATTAATTTAAATTCAGTAACAAACATTTTGTATAACTACATCAACCCTACCAACTTATCACCCGAACTACAACAGCAACAACAACACCCATACCAATCATCAACCATGTCACCCTCATCTGAGTCATCTATTCAACCTGATACTCCTTCATCTACACCTTTAGAAATATCTAGTTCATCTTCCAATGGTGAACTGATAGTAGCGAAGACTTCAAGTGAAAGTACTATCCTAAGTAATGATATATCCTCATCACCACCATTAATAGATATCAAAAAGATCGAAGTAAAGAATATCACATCATTGGATTGTCGAATACTTCAATATCAATATGCTATCACTAAACTAGAAGTGTTCATAAAGAGTTTAAAATCATTAAGTTCAAAATGTGCGATTGAAGTTCCATCCCCCACTGCATCTTTAACTTCTTCTTCATCCACTAATCAAGCAACAACTCCAATGGAACCAAATGGTAGTATTGAATCAATCTCTACCAAACCTGAATTGAAATTTGAAAGTTTACCTCTTTTACAATTCATCGTGCTATTAACAGGGAATGTCTTTGCTATAAGCGATAGTTCATTTAATGCCAAACTAGAATTATTATCAAACTTCAAATTATTCAAATCAACTCCTGTTAATATCACCACCACAACCACCCATATCTCATATGATACACCTGATACTCATATGACTGCTTTAAATGAATTACCAAAAATCAGCTTAGCTTTGAAATGTTTAAAAGCTTTGGAAATACTAAGTGGTCATTGTTTACAAGGGTATAGAAAGAGACTTGCACAAGCTAAAATTGAACAACAGAAATTATATGGAATTGATCGATCTGATTATTATACTGTTCTTGAAAGAATTATTCAAGATGAAATATTCAATGCTAAAGAAGATATTGATCTTAATTTTTCAAATGTGATATTTGATTTACCTAAAGATTCCACTTTATTACAGAATGAAAATTTCGTAGAGGGAAGTTTAATTGATATGGATATTAAAATGCTTTTCTTAATCAATACTCAATTAAAATCAACTTTAAATGATAAATTAAAACCATTAATAACTCAATTAAAAACTTTAAAACATACTCCAAATAAAGCTGTGGATAAATTCAGTTTACATAAAATCTTCTTATTGACATTAAGATTAAATGAAATGTATACTATTTTCCGAAAAGTGGGGAGAAAGATATATTTATCAAATCAAGATCATCTTACTGATTCTCGATTCTTACTTCAATTGAAAAATGCCAATTATTTCAAATCCCACTACTTAACAAATTTAAATGATATGCTTAATTCCATGAAAAAGAATGGTACTTTGATTGCTAATTTAACTAGATTAATTCGTCAAGATTCTCAATTTGAAGTTAATATTAAAAATGTTAATGATTTGATTAATTTCGTTAATCAAGGTTTCGTAATGTTAGATGGATCACTTGAGAAAGTGATATCGTTTGGAAGAGAATGGATTACATCTGAACTTCGATTTAGGAAGACCTACCAATTACCCAAGAAGAATTTATTTGATGTTTATCAAATGTTTCATGAAGGTGGAATACCTCAGATTAATATTACATCTGCAACTGGAAGATCATTGGTAGCCTCTCAAAAGGCAAATGGCGTTAGTAGTAATGAATTAGAAGCATTCCCATCAACTAATAAGACTGGTTTGGAAAAGGGGTTGAAGAAACTTGAAATTGGGGAGAAAACAGTTACAAGAGGATCTCGATCATCATCAATATCTAGTATTGGAAGTAATGGAAGTAATAATTCTAAACCGTTATTAAGAAAGAATTCACTTACTTCTCCAAGTAGAAATGCTTTCCTAACCACTCAAGCAGCAGCAGGAACTCCAACTTCATCACCTATCAGAGCAAGACCTAACTCCCAAATATTCTTAAATCATAATTCGTCATTATCAAACATAGAATCGAATGGGAATGATGCTAGTAACGCAAGTACTACTTCAGTTATTGGTAGAAGAAGATCAAATTCTCAACCAATTAAAAGTGCATCAACACTTTTAGATGAGAAGATAGCTACTTCAGGTGCTGCAGCAGCTTTAACTCGAAACGGTAGTATATCATCAAATTCATCTAATAATTCATTGAGATCTCCTAGTGGAAGTATTAATAGGAAACCAGTACAACCAACTTTAAATACCATCAAGAACTCAGCTATTTCTCCAACTCCAGTAAATAATAAGAATAAAAAATTATTGGTTGTTGAAGAAGAAGAAGATTCTCAGTCATCGAAATCTTCCCCTAAACTAAGTGCAAATCAAAGATTGCAACAACATATAAGACAGGCTGCCAAATCAGGTTCGATGATGACACAACAGAAGGAAATATTGACTTCTGTTACATTCGATCCTAATACTCCTTCTGCCACTCCTATCAGAAGATATATTGATGTACCAATTAAGGAAACCCCATCTCCTGAGCCGTTAAGTTCATCGCCACCATTAGTACTCAATACAGTTGTAGCTACTACTAATACTATCGCATCTCCTAAGCCAAAGAGAACCAGAGATCAAGTTACAAGACTAAATACTCAACGTAATAGTGTGACTCCACAATTACCAGAAGAAGGAGGTGAAGTACCATTATCTAAATCTCCCTCATCATCTACCCTTTCATCAAGTAATAATAGTAGTAGCAATTCTACTTTGAAGAAGGTAAGATTCACAGGTGTAGCAGAATATACTGCTGAAGAAGATGCTCCAACCAAGTATTCTCATGCAATCTTGCGAAACTTTGCCATGTTTAGAAATCCAATCAAAGTCAATGTTAAACATTCATCTCCATCTACATTCAAAAAGAAAGATCAATTGTTAAAGAAAGAAGAAAGTATATCATTTAAAAAGCAAGTCCATAATCCAATAGATGAAGAAATCATATCTGATGCCCCGCCTCCACCTCAACCTTCTGCTCTTGCTCATGCTCAGATCGCAGCTGCTAGAAGTAATGGTATATCTAAAAGTGTATAATACAAAGATGAAGATGATAGTACGGTATGGTATGGTATATGCAGGCATCAATATTTTTTTTTTTAATTTTTTAATTTTTTTTTTTTCAATTTTTTTGAGACAGTCTCATCTTGAAAAATAATATTGAAATCATTTAAACTGGTATAAATAGAACATTTATAGATTCAAAGGTTATTTATATATAGATTTTCAAGTGTTTTTAATAGACGAGAACAATATATTTGAAATCGAAATAAGAAAAACCCTCGGAAAGGATCCTCACTGATGTCGACAGAGATTAAGAAAAGAAGTGGTGGTTCAGATAATGTCACTTCTTCTTTCAAGAGAAGAAAGTCAGTTATTCAACCTAAATCAACCAACCCTTTAAACGACGAAGGAATATCACAATGCTTCCATACTGTTTCCACCTCCTTATATGTGTCATTGGCACCAGTTCATCTTGATAATCCAATCAATGGTATAAAAGCTCAACATTTAGATCCATTAATCATGCAGTACTTCTCAAAAGCAAAGGGTGTAGTGTTAGCTTATTCAAACATAAAATTATCCGAAGATAATATATCTGAAGATAGTAAAGATAGAACAATCTCAGTAGCAAAGATTGAAGGATCATCTCCATTCACTTTCTTATGGATAACAGTTGACTTTTTAGTCTGGAGACCACAAGTTGGTGATGTTCTTGAAGGTCATATTTATATGCAAACTGCTTCACATTTGGGTTTATTAATCCATGACACTTTCAATGCATCTATAAAGAAATTCAACATTCCTACAAGTTGGCAATTCGTTCCAAGTCAAGTTGATGAAATTGCTGATGATACTGCCAATAAATTCAAATCATTCGGATATTGGATGGATGAAAATGAAATCAAAATTGAAGGTAAATTACAATTCACAGTTAAAGCCATTCATTCCACCGGTAGAGTTGTATCTGTCGAAGGTACTTTAATAACCCCAGGCAGCGAAAAGGATGCTCAACCACTTTTCAGTGAAAGACGTTCATCAATTACGTCTCAAACTACCACCACCAAACATAAAAGATTCGATGATGCTGAAGACACCATTGTTGAAATCCCAGAACCTAAAGATGAAAATGATTTACCTAAATACGTTAAAGCAGAAAGTGATGAAGAAGATTTAGATGAAGATACTGCTGTCGTAAATAAAAATGAATCTGATGAATCAGAAGATTCGGATTAGAGTATTATCAGTACTCTAATATGTATAATAGTTGTCTAAATAGAAACCCGCATAAAATAAAATATCATATATTTATAATAACTATTTACAATGTAATGTTGACTTTTAATTTAATCTATCTAACTATTTATTATGTGGTTTATCGTCATTAAGCATTCTCCATATAGCATCTTTCTCTTGAACTGATGGATCATATTTTTTATTTCTCGAACCATAAATTAATCTATAATACCATTTATCTTTATAAAAGGTTCCCACTGGACTCGAGCTATGATGGAATTTGGGACTTGATTTTGGAATCTTACCTGAAGTATGAGTTCCCATCATAGTTAATTTTTGAACTCTATGTAATTTTCTGAAATTTATAAGCGTGAATAAAATACCTTGAATAATTGAAAATATTACAACTGCTCCAAAACCTAAATTTGAATCTTCTATATAATTCTTCAAATTCATACCGTAGAATGCAGGTAATAATGTAGCTACTGTAAATCCCAATGTATATACTGTCACCTTAAGTTCAAACAACATAAGAGAATTTCTATTGGCATCCAACATGATATTTACAATATCTTCAGTAGCTTTAATATCATTAAGTAAAGAACCCGCTTGTTGGACAAATTCGTCACTTTGCTTGTAATAAGCTTCAAGAATCATTTCTAAATCTTCATAATCTTCTACTTTTGGATCAAATTTCTTGATATTCGTTAAGTACATTCCTGCTAAATCTTCATCATTATCCAAAAGCTCCTCTAAGACATCTCTAATCAAAAGTGCCTTTTGATAATAACTGGATAATTGTTTCAGCTGGATTAATAAATCTTGTAATCGATCTCTATTGACTTGATTTTCAAGCTCTGCCAAGATCTGACCACAAGAAGATAAATGAGTTTTTAATTCTGATTCAAGATAACTCATAACACTGATAAGGATGGTTTCTAAAGCTCTGAATTCAAAAGGAACATTTCCAGATGGTAATTTCAACTTCATTTCCAAGTCATACATGAAGAAACCTAACCTTTTGGCAATCGCAGGAGTTGAAGTATCGAAGATCATAACGGTATCTTTCTTAATAATCGCCTTTATATGCGACAAATTCACCAATATAGTATTTGGGGATCTTACCATAATTGTTGGAATATTATCAATGGAGGATGTATCAATCTTTCTCAAATCTCTTGCAAACAAGTAATTATCTTTTAAAAATGTCATTCTAGGATACTTTTTAGAAACAGCTGTAATATTTCCATTAATATCGAATATGGTACAAGAAACATATAAATCATTAGGTGTTACAGGTTGTACCATGCTATAAATATCAGGGTCTTCATCATTGTACCTATCCATATATAGATCATCATAACTGCTAGATCCCGGATCAGATAAGCTATGTGGAGATTGTTTTCGAAGGAAGTTTAGGATTTTAGAGTTTCTTGAGCTTGTGGTAACGTTAGTTCGAGTTATGGACTTATCAGTCTTGGTATGATAGGATGATGCAGATTGAACTATAGATGGAGATGATGGAAGCCGGCTATTTATTATTCTTATATTCTGTTGGGAAAGATATTGATGAGTTCTTGTTGTTAGTCGTGGGGACAATTGCCTGCTTATTATCCCCCTTGCAAGCATTTTCTGTGAATTTATTCTATTGACGGGCCACAATGAATGGTGTTTTATTAGAATATTGCCAATGCAGGGTTATGTACACGATTTAAAGGAAGATATATGAACTAAATGAAAGATTTGAATGGAAAGTTTGAATATTTGATAGCAATTTTGGTGATACCTGAAAGAATTTTTTATTTATTTTTTATTTTTATTTTTTGGTGATGTTAAATTAGCGCTTTAGAAATATCAAAGATCCACAGTTAAACTATCATCAACAGCTAACTCTATTCAGCTAGTATTAGAATGTCAGAACTACACCCACCACCAATGAGGGATAGGCTTCCTTCTAGGCTTGATATCTTATCCAGTGGTCACAAGCTAGATGTCAGAGCACATCAAAGAACTTACGAAGGGGCATACACCAGAAGTGCAATCGGTTGCTTATCGTTTTCAATATTAATCATTAAATTATTCTCCAAGGAATTCTTACCAATAGGAACCATCTACACAGTGTATGGATCATTACTTTATTTCATAGGAGTACATAAGGCAGCATCAGTGGATATTTTCTATAATCCAGATAGGGATATGGAAATGTTTAAAACTAGTGGAGATTCGGTTCTTCTTTTGGCAGTTATTAGTCTTGCCAGTTACATTGCTATCTTCGTCCTAATCTTGAGGATGTGAAGATAATCATACGTGATTTCAATTCTTGATTTATTTATTTACATTATTTTGGTTTTGTATAGTTATTTTCAATACAAACTGGGTTTTTATTTACACTTTTGTTGTTTGTAATTCTGCATAATTTTACGGCATCTATGACAATGCACCAAGACCAAATACAATCAATTGAAGTAATAATTGCATTGACCAGAAACCAACCCTTTTCATTCTAGACAATCTTGTCTCTTCATCAGCAACGTAATCAGCAAAATTGTCATAAAATTCTTCAGAAAGATCATCCATCAATAATGAGTCGTATAAAGTCCATGAACCACTGAAATCTTGAATGTTTTTAACTACCCTATTCTTAACTTCAATAAAAGTATTTCTAGAGTTGATATATCCCACAATTGGTCTGATCAAAGCATAATTGATATAACTCAATTCTGGAGCTTGGAATGGAACTGATGCTCTAACATTATTTAATCTGATGGTTAAATCCAACACAAAATACTTTTGAATATCATTAAAATCATCATGAGTCAATCTCATATGCTGATCAGGATGCTTTGCTGGTTTTGTCACTTCAGGATTTCTATATCTATTTGCTTCTTTTCTGATTGATTCTGTTATAACCTTTACTATTTCTGTCATATTATAATCAGAATCAGTTTGAGGAAACATCGCATCACCAATCATATCGACTTTCCCACTTGTAATCCAACCAAAAGGACCTTCTAAACCTCTATTCAAATGATCAATGCTTAAACTATCCACTCTTAATCGAGTAACTCTCTTCCAATTCTTACTGATGTCAGACATTTCATCAAAATCATTAAGTCTTTGTTTTCTATGGACTGTGAAAAGTGAATTATCATAAGAACCACTCATTATATTGGCATTTAAGAAATCATAAAATAACCAATGCTTTCTCAATCTGGGTAATTCACAATTATAGATTGCTACATCGAAATGTCTGAACCCCAAGGGCTGCTTTAATGTGAATAAAACATCCTCCATTTTAAACGATTCAAATTCAAAGTCTCCAGGATGATAAATATTCTTATAATTTGTGGCATCATCATCAGGATCCCAATGTACATGAGTTCTATCAACTACTCCTCTCATACCTTTAACTTCAATGGTTTCAACAATACCGGTCCCGTTGACCCATTTGTTGAAGGACAAAGTCACGTTAACTTCTTCCATGGTTAAATCATATTGTGTATAATTACCATCATCTTCAAATTCTTCTTCCTTCTCATCTTCACGATGATTGTGCAAACTTGCAGCATAAGCCTCCGCCTGTGAGCCTTTAATAAACTTCTTCTTTGAAGTTGGACGTCTACTAACAAAACACTTTCTAAAACTAATTTTCCCATCTGACCAACCTGGGACAATGGCATGTTCGAAAGTGACAGTTAAATTTGAGTTTTTTGTTATGAATTCTCCTAACTTTCTAGCTACAAATTCTTGAGCTAAAACTGTATTAGCTGTGAATATGATTAATGATACAAAAGTGGTGGTTGCAAGGAATATAAGTAAGACATTTCCCATTACAAGCCATGAAAATACAGCCGAATAATCATCGGTATTGAATGGTCGATTTGACTTTTTTAATAACCATTTCAATCTTATTCGTAATCTTGAAAACATATTATTGGCTTTAGAAAGGAGTTGTTCTCTTGTTATTCGATTTAATTGAGCTAGATCTAATTTAGGCTCTTGACTCTTTGAATCAGATTTTTCATTTAACTTGTTGCTACTATTAACTTTTTCATTATCATTAGATGGTACATTACTGTATCGACGTAAACCCGTAATTAGTGATGCATTATTTTTCCGTATTAAAGGTTGGATTGTCCGTGTTAAGGGTCGATATTGGTTCATCCAACCTATTCGCCTGGTTAAAAGTCCAATCTGCCCATGATTATGCTTTATAAGGAATCTGAAGGGCAACATTTGATTTATCAATTATTTATTAACGAAAACCACAATTATTCTCAGATTCTGTAACTCATCAGGCTATACAAAAGGATGACAGATTATTAAGAGTTGATACTTGAAAATGGCGTTGAAACTTGACTAGATATAATAAGGTTGGTTAGGAGGTTATAGGCTTTCTTCGTACAGAAAATTTACCGTACAAGAAAAACGTTGATGTTCCTGCATATTAATGGTGATGCATTTATCTATTAACAACCATTGATTCATTAAGGATAGTTGATAGTGATCTTAACCCATTGTAAATGAAATGTATATGGACTTCAAATCATCAATAGTACTACCATGAATATGGTTAAAATGTTTGTAGCTGATCAAATTCCATTATCACTATATTTATGTAAGCGGAACCACGATGTCAAGTCATATTTCCAAGATAAGCAAGGCTATGGTTGAGGCATATATCGAAATAAACGTAACAAGTTAACTGTGAAACGTTTAATTCAACAGTGATGAATTAATATTGGAATTAACTATTCTACAGAAGCGATTACTAATCGTAAAAGATTGTAATTGTCTTTAATTATATACACGGACCACATTGAGTCACGCTCATACAGTTTTACAGAGAATGATCGATACTGAATAAACGAAAATATGAGCCAAATTCTTATAATAATGTAGATCGTGACTGAATATCATCTCATTAACTGAGATCAATAATGCTTATATCCCAATTGAGTCAAATAGATTACGTATATCATATTGATAATGTTGCCAAGATGTCACATCTATTCCATTGTGGAGTCAAATAAGACAACAAACAATGTGACTAATAAGGATAATTAACCGTATTATTTGAGATATCTATAAAATAAATAATTAGTTAGAAAATAATTGCTATCAACAATCGTTAACAAAACTAACAATTGCACCCATATTATTACTCATATCGCATAAATGTCCTAAATAAGGCGGAAGGAGAAAATAACAGTTGATGCGGCTCTGATAACCAGGGTGAGGTTAGATTATAAATAACATGAAAAATAATCCTTATTTACTATCGATGTTGTTCTTCAATTGTATCAAATAAACAGTTAACAAGTCAATTGATCAGATGACAGTCCTGAACCAGCCAGTTATTCCTTTTGGAAAGAAGTTCCGTGAAACTTACTTTAAACAATTCGATAGTAAAATCACTCCCGTTAATCATGGATCATATGGTGCTTCTCCCACAATTGTATTAGAAAAATATTATGAACAATTGAAAAGAAATTACAATTATCCTGATTATTTTTTTAGAGTTGAGATTTTAGAAGGATATGAAAAGTCATTAAAAGCTGTTAGTGAAATCCTTAAATGTGATTATCGTAATCTTGCTATAGTTGATAATGCTACTAGTGGTGTGAACACTATCTTGAGAAGTTATCCATTCGCAAAGGGGGATAAGATTGTCATTCCAAGTACGGTGTATGGTGCATGTCACAATACTGTGAAATTCTTACAGAATAGATATGGTATTGTCCCTGTTATTATTACCTTAGATTATCCAATTGAAGATGATGAAATTATTAGTAAATTTGAAAACGTGTTCAAGAAAGAATCGCCAAAGTTATGTTTATTTGATACTGTTATTTCAATGCCAGGGGTTAGATTCCCATTTGAAAAATTAACTGAATCATGTCGTAAATATGATGTGTTATCATTAATTGATGGTGCTCATAGTATTGGTTTAGTAACTTCCTTAAATTTAGGTACTTTGAAACCAGACTTTTATACTTCCAATTTACATAAATGGTTGTTTGTTCCAGCGGGTTGCGCTGTATTATACGTTGATTCAAAACATCATCATCAAGTTCACACCATGCCAATCTCCCATTCTTATCTTGACGATAAAGTTAATTTAGATGAAGAAGGTGAAAAGACTAGATTTGTTGATACATTTGCATTCTTTGGTACTAAAAATTATTCTTCAACTTTAGTTATCCCTGAAGCTATCAAATTCAGAAATGAAATTTGTGGTGGTGAAGAAACCATTAATAAATATTGTTATGGTTTAGCTCAGGAATTAGGTGATTTAGTTACCAAAAAATGGGGGTACAAAGAAGTTAGAAAATTCAAAGGGTACTTTATCAAATGCTTTGATTACAATTGAAGTACCAACTGAAAAGTATGGTATTAACATAAAATTAATTGAAGAAAAGTTTGAAGCTTTTGTTAATATTATATTTTCCAAGATGTTTACTGACTATAATACTTATATTCCATTATCAGTTCATAATCATAAGTTATATGCTAGATTTTCTGCTCAAATTTATAATGAAATACTGGATTACGAATATTCATCTTCAGTGATGTTAGAAATATTAGAAGGTTTAAAAAATGATAAAGCTTATGTGAAATTAGCAAAACCATATTCAAAATTATAGATACACATAGAAACTATATTAAATATTAAAATATATTAAAGTTTTTTTATTGAAGACTAGCTAATGAATTATCTCTTAAATCTTAAAACTAAATAACTTCCAAATCTATAGGCAAAAATTAATGCAATCAAAACACCTACCCAAAGATGTTTATCATTTGAAGAATACCCCAAGTTTTCTAATACGGCATTACCAACAATTTTACATTGATTGGATAATTCAGAATCATACATACAATGACATTGAGAATCACAATCAAAATTTCTATATGAAAATTCATTAAACATCATACCTTGAAACACATATCTTTGATAATCAACCCAGTAAAACGTATAATACCAAAACTTATTAAGAATATTAGCTGGTACTAAAAATCCACCTACTGACATCCAAAGACCATTAGCAAATGCAGTCAAAGCTAACGAAATAACGAAATTGGGGAAGAGGGTAGTAATAAAGATTGTCATTGATTCAGCTGCAATCAAATCTAAGTATAGCCACATTAAATACATCCAGAATCCAACTGCACGATTATGGAAATTACACATGAAGAAAGTGACAATACTGAATACTAAAGCAATTAAGAATAAGAAAGGTAAACCAATTAAGAAATTAGAAACGGTGAATGACAAAGGACCATACAAACCATTTAATCTTTCTTTTTTAAAGGAATGATAGTCTTCTAAATATGATGGAATGTATGCAACTGACATGAAAGACATGAATGCACCTGAAAAGAAGATAGCATTAATGAAAGGTTGAATATATTTTTGATCAGTTCCAAGTCTTAACCAAACTGTACCCATTAGTATGGCTAATCCTAAATACATGATCATTCTAACATAATATGTTAAGATATCTCTTCTTGCTTTAACCAACAGTCTATGGAAAAGAATCCAAGTATTATTAACTTCAGTCCGCATAGTTTTTGAACTGGATTTAGAGGTTTCCAATTCACGAGCTTCTGTAAGTTGAGTTTGACAATTTTCATTATGTTTCCAATTTGCGATTAACGCTTGAAGGGTATGATCCTTTTCCGATACCGAATCTGATTCCATAGGATCAACTGAATTATTGAAATCAGTATTAATAAGATCAAGAACATATTCTGAAGGATTAATATATGAAGGAACAGCATGTCCTATTGATTCAAAATATTTAACTAACTTATCAACTCTATCGTTATAAATAGTTTGACCCTTTGATAAGAAGATCACCTTATCGAATAATTCAAAAGTGTAAGTCGAAGGTTGATGAATGGAACAAATAACAATCATATTTTCTTGTTTAGCAAGTTGTTTAATCATGGATATAACTTCTCTTGAAGCGACCGAATCTAACCCAGAAGTAGGTTCATCCAAGAATAAAATTGAAGGAGTTGTAACTAATTGAGATGCAATACTGACTCTTCTCTTTTGTCCACCTGAAATTCCCTTTAAGAATGGATTACCAATTTTAACATTTCTTTGATCTTTTAAACCTAACTTTTCTAACATATTATTAACCAAAGGCTTTCTATATTGAGAATCAACTTGGGAGAATCTAGCACTGTAATCAACAGTTTCTTGAACTGTCAAAGAAGCAATCAAAGAGTCTTCCTGCTCTACATATGACGATAAGTTCTTAATATCAGATAGAGTTGATAATTTTCCATTAATGTAAATATTACCAGATTGCACAGATGATTTTGGATTAGCTCTATGAGCCAACATATTTAATAAAGTAGTTTTACCTGAACCAGATGGACCCATTAAGGCCATTATTTCACCCTTTTGAATTATACCATTGACATTATCGATAATTTTCTTGTCTTCAGTCTTTTCACCATCTTTATGGATAGTAAGTGATAAATCCTCCCATCTGAATTCATCTACTATAATTTGAGTGTTTGACATTGTTAATTTTGAGTTGTAATATGGTTGCGAAATTTGCAGGACAATTACTTAAAATGAAAATTAAGCTTTAATTATGAGTTAGAACTGTGGATCATGAGGAATTAGGTGATCTTTATATAGGATTTAAAAAACATGAAATAGATGGTCTGTAAGATGAAAATAAGCATCGAATGTATGGGAATGGGAACGGGCATATGCAAAGCCCGACAAAAGCCTCAGATTCTCGCTGGCGCTAAGAAAAAACAAAAAGAAAAGAGAAGAAAAAAAAAAAGTTGCAAAAACTCAAAAAGAAGTGACATAAACAGGAGAAAAAATTATTCCGTGACAATTGTAGTACAATGGAAGGCGATGATAGCATATTATTAACATATGTGTATTCTAAATATGTAGGAAGAACATATAAAGAGTATATAGAAGTAGCTAGATAAAGAAAACTTTAGAGCAAAAAAGTAACGGATAAATTAATTAATAAGAACAAATAAACTAACTTTTTTGAAGATTGAAAAGTGGAGTTGCATTAAAATAAAACACATACCAGAAAAATGTTTGTTTATAATTATGATAATAAAGATTTAATTGAATGTTGTTTTCTTTTCTTTTGGTTGAATCTATAAAAAATTTCAGCTATAAGGAAAGCAGTATCAAAAAATGAATCAGGTAACGAATCAATACAACCTAAAAACAAAAAGCAAAAGCTAAAGCAAAAGCAAAAAAAAAGGAAAAACAAAACAAAACAAAACAATAAAAAGCAATGAAGAAATGAAGATGAATATGATGATGATTTATGTAGTGTTATACTGATTAGTTATATAATTAGAAACCACATTGGTTTGGATATTGTCTGTCAGAAAGTGGAGATGGGAAAAGACCAGCTGCAGTTAATCTTGAAAAATCCCATTCGACAGCACTTTCAGTTTTCCAATTCCAGAACACGAAACCACCAGTTTGAAGGAAAGCATCTAATTGAGCTTCAATGAATTGTCTAGTAGCAACTTGGTAAGATTCTGGCCAGGTACCTAAGTTAAGGTATGGAGTACAATCACCAATATAGGTAGAACTATCATATTGACCTTCCCATCTTGAACCTCTACCAACACCATTTAACCATGGAGCACAATCAGTCAAGGCAGCTGACCATTCACCAGCAACGGTCCAATGGTATTCAGCCTTTTGACCCCAACCCCAATTACAAGCGGTAGAAATATGTTGAGCAGTTGTCATTTGTAATTGACCAACATCGAAAACTTGATAGAAATGATGATCAACAACCACATTCCAATAATCACCGCTTTCAACAGTCATGAAAGTATCCCAGTAACCTAATGGTTGGAAAGCATCATGAATAATAACTGGAGTAACTGAACCAGTTGCTCTTAATTGTTGATAACCTTGGAGATAAAATTGTTCAATTTCACCCATATTTAAAGATGGACCTAATGGTTCATTAACTAATTCAATACCAATAACAGTATCAGACCAATTACCATTACCATATTTTTGAAAGATACCATCTAAAACATTCAAAGTAACTTGAACATTATCACCAGTTTGCCAATCTAAGACATCTCTTAACCCAGAGTTATCAAAACCATTTTGAGAACCTGGAGCACCATGTAAATCAATCCAAGCTTTTATACCATATTGATTACACCATGCTAAAGCACGTTCCAAATAGAAAATTTGACCTTGAACATATGGATCACCAGGTAATAATTGAAAAGCCCAATAACCGATTGGAATACGAACGAAATTTAATCCAGCAGCAGCAATGCCAGCAAAATCTGCTTCAGTATACCATGTGTTCCAATGAGTTTGTAAACGTTGTTCGGCAACTTCTGCACCTAAATATTGGGTATAATGATATTCATCAACTGGAACACCAGATTGATCACCATTAACTTCAAAAACTTCAAATAAAGATGGAGTAATATAAGCTTCAAGAACAAACCAACCACCAATATTCACCCCTTGGATTTTGTCATTTGCATAATCCCACTCTAAAGCAGACTTGGTTAATCTGACGGTTTCTGATTTTTCAAATTTAGGAATGCTTGCAGCAGCTGGCATTGGCGCAGCATAAGCTGTCAGTATCAAAGCTAAACTTGAAAGTATAACGTTTTGAAATAACATATCGTATGTAGTTGTATAAATAAGTTGTGATGTATAATGATTTGATCTAAGAAATTTCCTCGAGAAATATTTTATAGAATCTGATATATACTTTTTTTAAAAAAAAAATTAAAAAAAGTGACCTATTACAAAATAGTTGATGATTATCGGTAATAAATCGATGATAATGTTGATAATGTATAACAATTATTTGAAATAGATGATTGAATGCAAAATAATGTATGCTTTATTTTTTTTTATTACCAAAAATAGCGGGACTCACGAGGAGGGGGTTCGCTAACGGAAAAAAAGTGTAAAAAATGAGGGCTGGTACAAAATTAAGTTATCAGTAATAAATTATGACACTATAATGAAACCAAAATTGGATAAAGGATTGAAAAGGAAAGAAAGGAACAGATAAACTAATGAAGACAAGTGTGGTTGATTAAAATTTAAAAGGGAGGAATATAATAATATATTTATATATAATATCAATTCTTCAAAGTGTAAACAAACAGTGTATTTATAGCAGTTGTCAGTATAAATTTATGCTTATACAGAATTTTCCCCTTGGACTTAATTTCAAGTAAAAATCTTTTTAACGACACAAAACTCACAAAAAATAAACAGAACAAGAAAAAATGGCTGGCACGCGTAATCTTCTTTATTCTTTAAAAAAAAAAAGATTTTCTTTTTTTTAGTGGGAGTTAGGGAGCGAAGAACGAGGAGGAGGGGTGGGTGAATACACGCAGGAAAGGTTTGGAATTCTCCCTAAAAAATGTTAATGCAAAACAAAGGACGATGGAAAAATAATAACACCAAAAAATTTAAAAATAAAATAGCAGTTGAAATTATTAGTTAACTTTATGAAACCACTTGTGTTTAAATTTAAATCAAAGTTTAAATTAATAAATTGCTAAGAATCTGTTTTCAATGTATGTGGGTATATATATATATACGTCAAATCGGAAAACTTTAAATTCAGTAACAGGTAATTGGTATATACCTTAATTAGGGATCTATTCTTTTTTAATTAGTGGGAATTAGGGAGGTTCTTATAACAAGTAAAGATTCTGAATTTCAATCTTTAGCCCCTGTGAATGAAGAATGTATCTAATTTTAAATAAGCAGCTAAGCACTTTTCTCCCTTTTTTTGTCTCCCTAATGAAATGGGCTTTAATTAAAGGATGGGAATATTAGTGACTTCTTTATGTGTGGAATAAGGAAGGGGGTGTTCTTAATATTCTTTTTTTTTTTGGGGTCTTGCTTTGTGTAGTTTTTATGATTTTGTTACCAGATATGGATAAGTACCAAGACTAACGAAAAATAATTCTTAAACCAAAATGATGAAGATATATAAATCAACGATGCTTTATATGACGTGGTCGAGAAAATCGAATTCAATCAAGAAATATATTGTCAATTGATGATTTGACGAAAAGTTAGAATCAAAACCTTAAGAAAAGAAATGGGATATAACTTTAAAAATTGTGATTTATAAAATAAATTTAAAGTGAAACGGCAACCTAATATAGGGAATGAGTAGGGAATGGAAATATATATATATCAAACTATTACACAGCTCATTTAATAAACCACAAAGGAGTTGTTGTCCTTAAGTTAATAATATTTTTGTTAAATAAAGCCTCCTTATGCTTTGTGGTAATTGGAGAGATAATGGAAATTGTAATCTGAACTACGATAGACCACACCACCTATATTCTCCACTTGTAGCTACCTACTACCTACCTACCTACATATTCATCTATGTCATATAATCCCTTGAAAATATATTTAATTATACTCTTTATATTAGTTTTTTTAATCAGATACTTCGTGTATAACTATAGACAAGAAAAAAACTACAAATCTCTACGGCACCGTTAGATTATAATCCGGTTGGGTGGGTTCTAAAATAGCAAATAAATAAATAAGTAAATTAGTAAAAAGTTATAACTATAAATAAAAAATTGTATGTAGTATATTTTTTAAACATATATCCCTTTTAAATTTATTTAGTGTTAATTTCTGTGTTTGTTCACAATCTATCCAATTTGGTCTTTATCTCCCTAATTTGAACATGCTCGCAAATGTTAGTTGACGTTGGTGTGGGTGTGTGTGTAAATCTGTAAAATTATTTGTTCGATTGTTTATGTGTATGTGAATGTGTATGAAGTGAAATTTTTAAAATTGATTAGTTATTAGTTATTAGAATATGTATTCTCGATATCCAATTGGAATAAGGTAATGCAACTTACATTAGGTGGATTTCATGATATTAAACTTGAAACAAAGGAAATGATGAGATGATTAAAAATTTAGCTGAAGAATGGAGATGAGAGGGAGAAATTTCTGTAAAAGTCAAGTTTTATCCCCAAAACAATTTTAGGCCAAATTCCACAATAAGAATTCGATTTGTTCCGTTTTCCCACGCTAAAAAATATTACCTTGCTATGAAATGTCCAGTGAATATTTATTTACTTATTCATTACAATCTATTTATTAATAGTTGGCAATAATAAACGTAGATAATTACTATGTATATGAATACGCACATGTCTGTCATGACTCCGCATTTAACACCTACAGATGGGTTTAAAATCTATTGCACCATTAGTTCGTTAAAATGTGACGTTTGGTTTGTAGTCTTTGGTCTCCGTAGCTAAATACCCCCACTATTTCCTCAATGTGTTGGTTTAAGAGATATCATGCATTGTTACAATCCAACTACATTATTCCCTAAGTTCGTATCATATCGATTCAATATATTTATCATGTCATATCCTTATGGTTCACGGTTTCGATAACATATACTCCGAAGATATGCTGTTTGCAATAAATTGATCAAAAGCTCCTGTTATAGCGTCAAATTACACAAAACTTTACTTGCTTTTATTTTTTAACCCTAAATTTAAAGTGCACATTGTTCGCAAAGTTTGATGTTTAAGATTACAATGATGTAATCATCTCCTCCCCTCCTCCCTACTCTTATTAGTTCACAACTTTAATCAAAGGATCTCTTAAGTTGATTGATTTAAAATAATAATAATCTAATAGAACCTTTATCATGTTTAGACCAGCTAATTTCCCATCAAAAATAATCTATAATTAGAATCAAAAGTTTGTTGTGCTTTTAGAGAGAAAAAAATAATTCGGATAAAAAATAATGAAGTAAACAAATAAATAGAAAATGTTCATTGATTGGCAGGCATTGTATACGAGAATTGAATTGAAAGTCTGTAGGGGATGAACGAACGTAGTTAAGAGAGATAGAAGGCAACCATTGAAAACATCAAAATAGAATATTTTAGTTTTACTTGAGTTAATTCAATTCCAAATTTAGTTACATCTACACCATCTCATCTCACCACATTACAACGTTTCAAGTATTAAGTGTTATTTAAACAGCGTAAGCTCTAAAAAGAAATTAAAGTCTTCATTGTTATGGTATCCATGGAATGAAATTATTAAGGTATCCCTTATGTAAACAAAAAACCTTGTCAGTTAGTCAGTCCAATTACGAGATATAAAACTTAAATGTGTCAAATATTGAATGGAATGTGTAATCTAATCTAATTTCATTCACATGGTCTATACTAATAAATACTTATTATCATGTAACTCATCACACTTTCTCCTTACTTTCTCAAACGGTAGATAGTCGCCCCAAATCTGGGATTTCAACCAGCTCTCTATTTTTTTACCTTCCTCAGGGCTACCACTGCAATTATTATTTTGCCAAATATTAATTTAATATTAGCCTAGAATGTTTCATTACTTGGCAACGACCATCAATTACTGCTAGTTCGTTTATCAGTAGCAAGTTTAAAAAATAAATTTTCTAGCGGTAGTTTTGTTAACCTGTTTTTTTCTTAGATAGGGTCCTTATTCAATTAGAGGTTACTAAACGTGCAATAGCATTGTTATCTCGAGTAAATACTAAGACTATTCATACATAATCGTATAAAGGATTGGTAACCACTTCGAATTACGTTGGCGGTGTCGTTTAGTTTATTCGGTGGTTAATCCTTTTTGGAAATGCTACTCCTTTTCTTTGCACCCCACGTTTGCAAAATTTTAATGAGATTTCTATTTTTAAAGTTCTTACCTCTTATTTTTTGCAATTATGATTAAATAACTAAAACTGGTTGAAGTTCCACTATATATGATATTTGAAGATTATTGTTGTCGTAGATATATCGAGATTGTCGATATACATTAAGATTTATGATTTCTAACCTCAATTGACCCTTCCTATTTGCAGTCTGTAGAATCGAAGCACAGAAAAAAAGGCTGCTTGAGCACAAAAAAAAATTCAAAGATCAAAACTTTTCCAGCTAACAAACAGATGGATCATACGACATGATAAAGGTATGAAATATCGATCATTTGAGGCTCATACTAACTCATCTATAAATTCATGTGTTCACTTCAATAATAATTATTTACTTACTGGAGGAGGGAATGATTTCAGATTAAAACTACATAATTTATCAAGTGATGATAAATTGAAATCACCTATTTTATTTCCTAAATATCATACGAATTCAATCAATGCTCTTGATATTTCTCAAACGTTTGATTTCATAGTAAGTGCTTCTAATGACAATATAATAGTCATTGATGTTATACGGAGGACGAAACTACACCTGATGTTGAATAGTCCAATGGTTGAAGGTACTGAACAAGTTGATATTCAACCTAATACAAATCATGCGAAAGATCAAGTTTTAGATTGTAAAGTTTTGAATGATTGTATGATTGCTTCATGTGGTGTCAATCATCATTTGAATGTGTTTGACTTAAGACAACCAAATTTTCATAAACCAGTCTATTCTATCAATCTTGGTAATGATAATTTAAATTGCCTTGATTTTAATAAGTCAAGTTATGATATTTCAATTGGAAGTTCAAATGGTGATTTATATACGGTTGATATTAGAAATCAAAATTTAATGATTGATAAATTCGATTATAAAGAAAGTTCAATCCTAAATGTTTCGAAATATGAAAAGGATGATTGGAATTTAATCAATTTCGATAATGGAACTATAGAGCTATTAAATAGAGATAAATCAAAGACAGCCAATTATAAAATATTAAATCCTACGACAACAGAAAATGCCATCGAAGCCATCCTGTATAAACTCAACTCACAATATATACCAACTTCAAATTATATCATCAACGGGACCACACAAGGAGTAGTTGAAGTATGGAAATATAATCCTCTAACATCTAAAATTTCAAAATTGAAACAATTATCAATTCCTCCAACTTCACCATCAGATACAACCCTAAAGAATGTGAATTCCAATCAATCAGCTGCTAAAGTATTAAGTTACGTCCATTATAATCAATCCACAAATCAATTAATAAGTACAAGTGGTAGTGGATTCATTCATATTTGGGATTATGTATTTTGAAAAGCATAGGGTGTGCATATAATAAACTTTTTAGACAAAAGTTTGATGATTGACATTTTTTCGGTTTTGGGTTGAGATTGATTTTTGGTGTTTTGAAAAATATAGACATTGTAAATAAAGTCATAAAATTTATAGATTTTACGTGTAATATAAATTATAATATAGATTTGATTGTATCATGTCTGAAGTAGAATCATCTGAGTCGAAGCCAATTGTGCAGATTGAAGAAGAAAAGAAAATAGTTGAACCCGTTTCAGAATCAACAACAAAATCAGATATTGAATCAGCCATACCAACTGAAACAGAATCAGCATCCATAGATACCACATCACAAAAACCACCTTCTACACCATCATCTCAAAAAGTCATACTAACACTTGAACAATTAGATGAGAAATTCCAACCTACCACTATAGTATTGGCCAAAGTTAAAGGTTATCCAGCTTGGCCAGCAATGGTATTAGAAGAATCGATATTACCAGAACATATAATTGCAAAGAGACCAAAATCATCAAGAGGTCCATCTACAAGTAATGGATCCACTGTATCATCACCTGCTAAGAAGAAAAGAGGTGCTGCTGTGAGTATACCTTCTAAAGTTTTACCAGTTCGATTTTTCAGTGATGATACATATATCTGGATTAATAGTAATGATTTAAAACTTTTAAGTAAAGATGATATTTCAGCTCATTTTTCAAATACTGGTGGTAAAAGAAGAAAAGATAATCTTTTAGAAAAAGCTTATGAATTAGCAAATGATCCACCTGATATGGAATTATTTGTAAAATATGGTTCAAGGGCAGCTCCACCTTCTGAACCTGAAATTGAAGAAATTGAAGAAGAAGTGGTTGAAGTAGTGAAACCTAAAGCTAAGAAAGCTAAAACTGCTGCAGCTGCTAAGCCAAAGGCAAAATCAAAGGCAGCTATTGCAGCAGCTGCTGCTAAAGCTAAAAAGGCTAAGGAAGCTCAAATTGAAGCAGCAAAGAAAAAGGCAGCTCAAGAAAAGAAATTAGCATTAGAAAAGAAGAAACAAGAAGAAAAGAGATTGTTATCGGAATATGATGATGATTGGGGAGTTGAAGACATTAATAATTATGATTTTAAAAGTGGGAATTATATCTTTGATAATGAAAATGAACAAAATAATATGTTTGGTAAAATTATACCAAATGGACAAAAATTACAAACTCAATTGAATAAGACACAAACTAAATTTGAAAAATTAAGTGATAAATTAAATGAATCATTATTGTTAAGTGATGATGAAAGAGATGATGTGGCCAATGGACAAATATTAGATCAATTACAAGAATTACAAGATTTACTTTCAGATAAACATTTTCCAAAGACATTAATTTTAAAGAGTAAATTATTTAGGGTATTAATTTTAACTGTCAGAAAGTCTGTTGATGAATTTAATGATGAATCTATAAAGGAAAAGATATCATCAATCTTGATTAAGTTTTTAAATATTGAAGTTGAGATTAATGATGATAAGATTAATAGTGAAAACAATAGTACTATTGCAAGTAAAGCTGAATCACAAGAACCTGAATCATTCGTAAAATCTGAAAATGGTAGCACAAGACCATCTACAGCTACGTAATTTACGTATATAGTGTAGTATTTATAATGTATAATAATATAAATTCATTTGATGCAAATTCAAGCAGACAAACAAACACTATAGAGAGTAGTCTAGAACCTTTTAGAATCTAAGGGTATGCTCCAAATTACACTGTCCTCAGAGTAAACCAGGGTATACTTTCCCAATTCAAAAAAAGATGACCACATTGGGAAACAACAGCGCGAACTTACTTAATTTAGGCATGACATACCTAATTAATAAATTTTTACTCAATTAGCTCATTCATTGGCTCTTCGTTTTGTCACAGGCACTCCCTCCTTTTTTTCTTTTTTCTCTATAGTAATTTGTTTTATGCTTGAAGCTTTTTCTATACAATACTCTAAAAAAAAAACAATTTAAGGTGTGAGGGAACACTTTCTTCTTTTGGATTTTTTGTTGATAATTTATTCATTTTTGATTATAAGTTTATGTCTACTTAACCTATACCAGGACAATAAATTAATCAGATATCTATAAAGTAAGTACATACCACTATGCATTGAGGGTTGATTGATTAAGGTTTGGACTTCAGCGGTTCATGAATGATAAGCTATCATGGTTGAAAAAGTAACGGCAATTTTTTCTTGATTTGTTGTGGTTTTTTTTTTGTTCAACTATCCCTTTCAGGAAACAGTTTATGGGACTTATCCTAATTCAGTATACCACAAAAAGCAAATCGATATCAATAGGCCGCCAAAAAAAATTTATCAAGTTAGATTGTATGTTATATGATTTAATAGAAATGATTATTGGTATATGGATGGGGTATATGATAAATGATGATTGAAACTTAAGCATAATAGAGGGGTACCCAAAAAAAAAAATTTTGTTATTATGAATCATTACCAATCAATCAAATCAAACCAAGTCAAATCTAATCAATCAAGCTCAATACTACTTAAGCATTACAATTACTAACGTTAATAACTTTCTAGAATGTCTAGCGCCACAGAACCTAAGTTAGAGACTGGTGATGCTCAATATGATGGAGGCGCCAATGGTGCTTCCAATACTTCTGTTGGAGGAGGAATTGTTGATGATGATGATGATGAAGGTGGTTCAGGAGGTAAATCTCAAAAAGAAAGAAGAAAGATTGAAATCAAATTCATTCAAGATAAATCAAGACGTCATATTACATTTTCTAAAAGAAAAGCTGGTATTATGAAAAAAGCTTATGAATTATCAGTTTTAACTGGTACTCAAGTTTTATTATTAGTGGTTAGTGAAACTGGTTTAGTTTATACTTTTACAACTCCAAAATTACAACCTTTAGTTACTAAGAGTGAAGGTAAAAATTTAATTCAAGCTTGTTTAAATGCTCCAGAAGAAGGTTTAGGTGATGATCAAGGTGATCAATCTGATGGTCAATCTCAAGAACTGCCAGATCAAAGTCCAGCTCCAAATCAACAACAAGTTCATCAAGTTCCACCTCCTCAAGTTCAACAACAAGGTCCTCCACCTCAACAACAAGGTCCACCACCACCTCAACAATTACCCCCTGGTGCTCATATGCCTCATCAAGGACCTTATCCAACTCAAGGTGGAGGACATCCTCAACCTGGAATGCTTCCACCAAATGCATATGGACAAGATTATCAATATTTTGCAAATATTCCAAATAATAACATTCCAAATCAACAACATTATCAATAAAGGGGATGATGATTACAATTCATTCAGTCAAATTGTTCCTTTTTTGTTTTTTAATATTTGGATCAATTTAACTTAACTTAACATAAATAAATAATCAAAAAAAAAAAAAAATAATAATGAAAAACTTGGAAAAAGTGTCCCTATAAATTATTTTTGTCTTTTCCATTTATGTCTATGTGTTTTTTTTTTTTGATTTTTATTTATTCTTCTATTTCATCTTTATGCTACTATTATTAAATAATTATAATAATTATAATACTTATTTTTATTAGTATGTTAGTGTTATTATTTACTGCTGGTACTTTATTAGTATTAAGCTTTTTTTTGTTGATATTGAATTTTCTACAGTGTGTTTTTTATTTATCTACTTTTTTATTATTATTATTCTTATTCTTTTTATTATTCTTATTATTGGTAACTATTATATTATATTATTATTTAAATTATTTAAATTATCTCTCAATTCTCAATTGTATATTACATTTGCTTTAGTTTCTTCTTTCTTTTTATCTCCCTTTTATTTCAGTTATATTGTTATAGTATATCTATCAATCTTTTTTTCTATTGTTTTTTTATCTTATCTTATCTTATCTTATCAGACTCTATTTTACAATTTCGTTTATATAAATAAATATTTATGATTGTTAAAAATGAAGAAAAGGTGTATGGTTTCGAATCTATAAAAGCTCAATTAAATAGTGAAAAAAATTGCAAAAGTTACATGGCTTAAAACAGTTTGCGCAAAAATGGTTGAAAATTTCTCATTACGGGAATTGTTCATAAATGGATAAAAAAGTGGGGTGAGCCAAATCAGGGAAGCATGGAGTAAAATTTTAGTGAGAATTAATTTAGGGAGAAAATTTAGGGAGAAAATTAAAACAAAATAGTCCCATTAAATCATTTTTTAGTGAGGTTCGCACTAAAGCCCCGCTTACGACATAAATACTCGTATAAATGATAATGTTACGTTACGTTAGTATAATTATGAACTATTTTCATATTGAAGATCACGATCGATTGACTGTGAATCTGATGTACTTAAATAACCAGATTTCTAACCGTTTATGTTTGTAATGCAAATCATCACTAAGATCAAATTTTTGGCTTTAAAGTTTTTAGCAAACCTTTTTACAACCATGTGGTCGAAAATTATTTTATTTAAGGCTATATATAATTTCTACCTTAGTTGGATCTATTCACTTTACATAAACTATACTTAATGTTTCGAGTACAGTTCACAAAGTATCAAACTTATATTGCTTCCAAACCGAGCTTTTTTTAACATTACAGCTCCTTCCAAGACGTAATTGTATTTTATCATAAAAGTTATGGACTCCATAAGTACTAATAGGTAAACAACCATCAGTGACAGTAAGTTCAAATACTTTGAGTTTGTATTAGCATCGTCTTCAAGTCTAATTTATTCTTTAGGCGTATTTATTGCAACTCATGAGAAATATCCATATAGCAAATTCGTGTACAGTAAACTAGATCAATTTAAACACATATATTGAAAACTTTGAAGCAATTATTCTCATTTGAGATCACCAAGAAATAATCGTAACGTTCCACACTTATAAATTATCTGTTTTCTATCAATAACTCTTTTTCTAAGAAATAAATGTACTTTATCGTAAAATTTAAGTAAATCATAAGGAGAAGTAGGAAGGAAATCTTGTGTTACAGTAAGGTCTAGCTGAGAAAAATTTGATTTACTATTCACATTAACACAATCACAAAACTTAATAGCAGATAATTTCGATAATGTTAAAATTCGTAATGATTGATGTTTTGCAATTGAAGCATTAAAATAAAACTCTTTCACTTTTTCATCTTTTATTGTCAAATGTTGGAGATTTATGGGCCATTCAACATTAGGTGAAATTTTTGAAATTTTGCAATTTTCAATCAATACCTCTTGCAACATAGGATAACTATTTTCATTATTGAATAAATCGCATGATTCATCAATGGTTGAGATTGGATTATGATAGATTTCTAATTTTTTCAAACAATATGGTGGTTTAAAATGCGTTAAACTCTTAATTCCACATGAATTAAAGCAAATATCAGTTAAATTCGAAAAGACACTAAAATTCAAGTTGATAAATTCAAATGGCTCTTTGTAACGACTAATTCGAAGACGTTTTAAAGTTGATTTACAATTATCAAACTTGAAATTATTTAATGATAAGGAAAAATCACAACTAAATAAATGGAATATTTTTAATCCATTGGGAAGCTTACATGATTTAGTCAGAGAAATCATCTTTAGATTATCGAGACTTAAAGTCGTGAGTTTAGAATGAAATTCTAGATTTAAATCAACATGGCTAGCATTTAAAATTTGAAACGTGGATTTTAAACTCAATTCACACATTGACTCTGAGACCTGTGATAGAGCTTGACACTGTGAATGCCCGCAGATACTCAACAGCTGGAGATTGAGTGGTAATTTATTTAATAAATCAGTAAATGCTCTAGTTTTATTTCGCAGATCATCAAGTGATAAAGATTTTAGTTGAGGTGGCCAATCTTGTCTTGCTTTAATTTTAACATGCCCATTTCTAGCATCAAAGTCGTTAAATTTATTGGTTGAATTGACTGTAATCTTTAATGATGTGACACTCTTTGGTACATGTTCAATTTTAAAATTTCTACCTTTCAGAACATTTATATGAAATCTTTTTAAATTAACAAACTTGGAGTAATATTCTCCATCAAATGCATTATCAATAGTCAAATCAGTCATAGATTCAAATGATGATAAATTAATGTTTAGAAAACTGTAGTTGGTAACGAGATGAAACTTCGTTAGGAATTTAAAACCTCTAAAATCAAGATGCAGATCTGATTGAAGTCCAGTTACTTTATCAATCCTGAGGGCTTGAATTTTAAATTGAAAGTAACCTCTAATTAAAGACAAACATTTAATATAGCTCAACTCATCAAAATTTAATTCGAAAGTTATACCACTGTAATTTGTAATGCTTGAAAGGTACAATGACGATCGGAACTTTTGACTTCTCTTAAAAGTTAATTGTAAGGGTATTGAATAGTGTTTATCTTTCATCAATGACACATGTTTATTAAGAAAACCAAGAAACTACAATGGTTCGGTACAGGCTTGACATTTAATTTCATAACGTAATTTCTCTTTGGTTATTGATTCTAGATGAACATTTTTGATCTCATCATCCTTAACTAGTGTCTGGAATACAAGAATTTCTTCTATAGAAGCATACAGAAGAATTCTTATCTTTATTTCAATAGGAAGCTTGGGGTAATAAATCGAAAAGAATATATTTATATATCTCTCTTCAGCATTAAGAATAGGTGTCATTGGCAATACTTTCATTTCGAAATATACGTCCAATAGAAATTATACATTCAAAGTAAATGATGATTCTTGATATGATGTTTGTTAACTTTTCTTATGCTTGATTAAGATTCTGCACAAAATTACATGCACCTGATTAGGAAACTAGCAACAATTTAAATTATTACAATTTTATTAAGAAAATATAGCTATAGAGAAAATAGATCTAGCAAATATGGAAAATACTAATTTAAGAATTTGGATTCATAAAAACCATTTATTCTTTTTTAGTCATAGAAATATCTATTCTATGAATTTGATTTCATAAAAATCTCTTGTTGTTGCAATATTTCTCTCCTGGATTTCGATATTAAAGTATTCTTCAATTTCATCATAGAACTGATCTGTTTCCATTCCTGGTGCCACTCATAAATTGGGAGCAATATCAGCATTTCCTGTTATAAAAGTGTACCCACTAATTGTGGATAACTTTAGTTCAATCAAATTTGAACTCTTAAAGAGGTTAAATTCATTTACGGTATCATCACTAATAGTCTAATTCGATAAGCTTCTTGGCCACAAGATGTCGTTTGAAACTTGATTAATATTATTACGTTCAAACACTAATGTAGTTAAGTTTCTGTAGCTTTGAAGTCTTAATGTTAAGAACTAGATTGGGATATTGTGGTAATTAATGGTTAATTTTGAAAATTCACTGACATTAAAAATTATAAATTCGACTGGTTCTTTATCTTGTTTAATTTGAAGATATTTTAAACTTTATTTGCTATAATCAAATTTGAAATTGTCTAATGAAAATGAAAAATCACAATTGTCTAAGCCATTCTACTATCATGTTTACATTTTGAACAGTCAAAAGGAAATTTAAATCAATTATTGATTCTGGAAATTGCGAGTCAGATAAATAATAAAATGAACCGCCAGAAACACTGAATTGAGTTGGATTAGATGGTAACATATAAGTTCGTTTGCATGTACATCTTCCAGGTGTTCCACTGTTTGGCTTAGTTTTTCATGCTAATAAAAAACCTTCAATTTTAATTGATATACGAACTTACAGAATTAATAGTGTATAACTTCATTTGCTGTAAGAGATTTAGTATTACATATTCCTATTTCAGATCGCCAAGTAGTAAATATAAACCACCATCCAGAAAAATTTCCTGTTTTCTTTCAATAACTCTTTTTCTAAGAAACAAATTTACTTCATCGTAAAATTTAAGCAATTCATAAGGATTAGTGGGAAGGAAATCTTGTGTTACAGTAAGGTCTAATTGAGTGAAATTTGATTTACTACTCACTTTAATGCAATCACAAAATTTGATGGCAGATAACTTTGATAATCTTAGAATCCGTAATGATTGATGTTTTGCAATTGAAGAATTAAAATAAAAATCTTTCACTATTTCATCTTTTATGGTTAAGTGTTTGAGATTTATGGGCCATTCTACTTTTTGTGAAATGAATGAAATTTGACAATCTTCAATATAGATCTCTTGTAATAAAGGATAATCATTTTCATTATTGAATAAATCGCAACTTTCATCAATGGCAGAGATTGGATTATGATAGATTTCTAATATCTTTAAACAATAAGGTGGCCTAAAATGAGACAAGTTCTTAATTCCACAAGACTCAAAATAAATATTTGTTAAATTGGAAAACTCGCTAAAATTTAAATTAATAAATTCAATTGGTTCCTTATAACGACCAACTCGAAGACATTTCAAAGTTGATTTACAATTATCAAATTTGAAATAATTTAATGATAAGGAAAAATCACAATCATATATTTTGAATATTTTTAGTCGTTTAGGAAGTTTACACGATTTAGTTAATGAAACAATTTGTAAATTAGTGAAACTTAGAGCTTCAAGATTTTTATGAAACTCAAACGTCAAGTCTACAAGTTCCTCATTTAAAATTTTGAAAGTGGATTGTAAACTCAATTCCCGTATTGACTCAGAAACTTGTGTTAGAATATGTCTTTGTGAATGACCACAAATACTTAACACTGGAAGATTAAGTGGTAGCTTACCTAATAAATCCGTGAATGCCCTACTTTTATTTTGCAGATCATCAAGTGATAATGACTCTAGTTGAGGTGGCCAATCTTGTCTTGATTCAATTTTGACGTGACCAAGTTTTCTAGTAGTATCGAAAAACTTACGAGCAGATTTAACACTAACCATCAAAGAGGTAACGCATCTTGGTACGTGTTGAATTTCAAAATTTCTACCCTTCAGAACATGTATGTGAAATGCTTTTAAATTAACAAAATTTGAGTAATATTGACCATCAAAAGCGTTATCAATAGTCAAATCAGTTATAGTCTGAAATGATGATAACGTTAGCTTTAAAAGACTATAATTAGTAACAAGATTAAAAGTCTTTAGGGCTCTGAAATCACTAAAATTAAGTTGCAGATCTAGTTTAAGTCCAATTATTTTTTCAATCCTTAAGGCTTGAATATTTAATTCACAGTAATTGCTAATTAGTGATAAGCATTGCTTATAACTCAACTGATCAAAATTTAATTCAAAATTAATGCCCCTGTAACTTTTTGTGGTTGAAAGATACAATGAAGTTTTAAACATGTTAGCATCTGTGAATTTTAATTGTAATGGAATTGAATAAAGTTTATCCTTCATCAATGATACATATTTATTTAGAAATCCAAGAAACCACATTATTTCACCACTGTATTCACATTCAATTTCATAACTTAACTTCTCTTTGGTTATCAATCCAAGCGGTAGTTGTTTTGTATCATGGTCCTTAATACAGCTTTGGATTAGGAGAATCTCCTCAATAGAAGCAAACAGTAAGATTCTTATCTTTATTTCAATAGGAAGTTGGGGATAGTAAATCAAGAAAAATGTCCCAATATACCTATCTTTAACACTTATTTGAGGAATCATTCTGAATATTATATGTTGACATTGAAGAGATGTTTGATATAATTAATTTGGAGAGCTACCAGTTCAGTTTTTATAAAATGCTTTTCTTTTTTAATTGCGCTCTTTTTGCTAACAACTATGCACAGAGACGTACAATTGAGTACTAGGTCTAAAATGTACGCAAAAAATATAAAAAAAGCAAACCCCGTAATTTAGATAACTACAAAGCATTGGTACTATATTCTTATGCAAGAGTAATAAAATTTTTTAGTGAATGTTCTTTATATATCTTCCATGTCTGACATTCACTTTGTACTTTAAATATATTACCATATTTGTGTGATTCTTAATAGGGAGTAAAACACGCCAGTTTATGCGACCTTCAAGCCGCATTTATATTCCAGTTTTTTTTGGCGACTTCAAAGGCGGATAATTCCGCCCGCTCTTTAGAGTGTATCGAATAAGTTGATTTAACCTGATGTATCTACAATGAATCAAACTAGTGTGGTTGGTAGTGAAGTAGTACACACGCGATTCTTGTTGATTTTTATATCTCCAAGATAAACACGTAAATAAACTGAAATAGCTTATAGTTGTTAATTTTAAAGAATAGAAGAAAGAATAAAAGAATAAAAACTTTAAAGTTAGAATTATTTAGGTTAATATTTAGGTTAAGCGTGCACGTAATTAATTTACGTATTTTTCAAATAAATTGCTTACAGTTTTGTTGAGTGCAGCTTGGCAGTTGTTAGTGAAGAGTAGGATAAAAAGATTAGGTCTAGGTTTAAGTTTAGGCTTTTAAACAATCAAACTAAAATATCTGCAGTGATTTTCTAATTTGTGGAGTAAGAGGAGAAGAAAAAGGAGAGAGAGGGGCAGATTGTGTTAATCAATTAACTGTATGAATAAATGAAAAATAAAAAAGTAAATACATTCTAAAAAAAAAGAAAAAAAAAAAAAGGAAAAGAAATGAAAATAAACATGAACTAATGAGTTAAATCAACAGTTGTTATTGTTAACTGGAAAAGGAGGAGATGATTTGAATAAGTGGAGAGGTGGTTACATAATGTGTACATGTATGTGTGTTAAATTTTGATTTTTGTTGTTGTATGTGTTCACTATTATTATTTAGTTTTGTATCAGTTTATTGTTTTTATAGAGAGACTTTTCATTGTGTACGAGTAGGATATTATCCTTGCTTTAATATTATTATTATTATTATTAAGTAGTACTTAATAATAATTATTATTTATTTACATTTTCCTTCTTTTTTTATTTACTCTTTACACAATAGGTATTGTGTGGGGTTGAATAATCACGATATAATCAAGAGATGAGTGAAGGAATAAAATGAGTGAATTAGTTTAATACGATTATAATTACCATTTAAAAACTATCAAATTAGAATGGAGGGGAAACATTTAACTTAGGGTTGATATTTTAAAGTTGATATCAACTCCTGACTTATAACTGATTGATTGATTGATTGATTTACATATAAGTAGGGCGTAATGCATTGTTTAATATACAGGTACTGGCGCATGGGGGGACCTCAAAAAATATACCATTACTGCACTGTACCGTACGTTACTCACTAATCAGAGATCATTCGAGCCGCTTAGCCCTTTTTTACGACACTTTTCAAATTTTAACTAGAGACAGACAGATTGTTAACTGTATCCATAACACTTTTAAACTTTATGTCTGATTTTACATTTAAAATTTTGTGTCTTAAAAATAAAATTAAATAAAAATAAAAATAACATACATAATACATATAATAATATCGATAAACTGTAAAACTTTTGTATAGTTCATACAAAAAAAGACATAAAAAATAAAGTGGTCACATATTTTTTCTTTTTAAACACACCACCAAAACTTCTGACATTTTTTTATTATCGTAAGCACTTGGGATCAGAACAGTTGATTTAATATATGTTATCGCTTGATTCGATCGACTGTTAATTGATTTTCAATAATTACTTAATCGTACATACTGCATTAAATATAGATATATATATATATAAGGTATAACACTTGCCAGTTCAAAAAGCAACCACGAGAAAAAAAAAAGCAACTAAAAATAGAAAGTAGAACAAACCAACCGTACCAAACTAAAAAAAGAAAAATAAAAAAGAATCTTAAGCAGCAGTGTCACTCCTGTTATCAAAAAAGTTGAAGAATATATATACAATTACTCCTATTCACGCTTTAAATTCATCTAGTATCATAATCATAAAATATCAAAACATTAATCTTATCCAAATCCCAACCTTTTACCTCATAGGCTAAACTTAAACCTTGCAATTGCTTTATATAATTTGTCTGTGTGTGATTATAATTTCCAGACAAAGGACAAAAATACAAAAAAGAGACAAAAAGATCCTTTTCATATTCTGCTAGATAGTTTTTTTTGGTTAGCAGACAAAAATTCAAAAATAAGACAAAAAAGGGAAAGGGAAAAAAAGCGAAGTTTACTTAACCATTCCCCTCCATAAGCAGAAATATAAAAATACCCCAAATTTTCAAATTTATCAAAACTTTAAACTAGTTTGAAATACAGCTTTTTGTTTCATTTTACTATTTAAACGTTTCAATATCACCTTGTTATCTATCCATCCATCAATCTAATCTATTTATCATCAGAAATAGTTTATCAGATTCCTTAGATCATTATACCAAATGATGAGCTTAAATAATTTACCTCCTCATCTACTCCCCCAGAATTCGGTGGGTAGTAGTGGTGCTGCATCTAATAATAATGGAAACAATAACGCACCACATCCCGTTGGAACCACCCCACCAACCCATTCTGAAAATTCATTAGTTGAACCTGTTTCTTCTAATCATGCTGTACTTTCAACCATCTCAACCACTCCTCCTTTATTGACTGATACTTCTCCCTCGCGCCATAATAGTATCTGGAATACTGCCACCATGCAACCCTCAACTCCGAATACAAATGTGACTCCATCATCAAATCCACCACCACAACAACAACAATCAAATCAACAATCACAACAACAAGCTCAAAGAAGAGCTTCAGTTGATATTTGGTCTCAAAATAACATTTGGTCTCAACCTACTAATAATCCAAGTCCTCCCTTTTTAAGTTCGCCCTCCGATTCAACTACAGTTAACACAAATGTTAACGCTATCAATAACAATAGTAATAATAACTACTACCCAACTATGCCTTTATCTAATAAGAGTTCATTTACAGGCATTTCCACCAATTCTTCCTCAAATGCTTTGTTTCAACAGCAACAGCAACCTTCACAATCTCAACAGCAACAACAACAATCTCAAGGCTACCCCACCACTAATCAATCTATGGTCACGCCCCAAGATGATTACCAAGGTTATTCCCCAACAAGTGGTGATTTAAATCCTTTTGAATTAAGAAGACATTCTTATAGTGATATCTATGCTTTTGGTAATGGTAACAATAACAATACTAATAATAATCAATCGGTCCTTGCTCCTGCTGCACCTTTACCTACGTCATCATCATCTGGGAACATGGATTCAACTTTTCAATTGGTTAATGAATATTTTGAAACTGATCCTCATGAAAGAGTTAAAGTTACCCTTAAATTATTAGAAGAACGTTTCTTTGATGAAGAAAAATATCTTGGTGAAGCTTATCAATTACCTAAATTTTTAACTGAAAATGCCCTTCGTGATTGTCAATTAGTTTTGGTTGGGTTTAAAGCGGGTAGAATTGATGTATTTTATTTACCATCTAATCCATCTCCTGATTTAATTAACTTAAAAGTTGGTGATTTAGTTATTGTTGAGGCTGATCGTGGTAAAGATTTAGGTAAGATTTTTAAATTGAATATTTCAATTGATGAAGCTAGATTAATGAAATTATTACAATTCCAAGAACAACAAGCTGCTTTAAATGAATCGGAATTTGTTGATGAACATTTATCAGTTAAACAAATGAGTGAAACTAACAATTCGGCTAATCCATCTGTGGCACCTCCAACTTTACATTTCCCCAAACCCATTGTATCATTAGCTCAAACCAATGAAATTTTCCAAATTTTAAATAAAAAACAAGATGAAGAAAAAGCTTGTCGTTTATGTTTAGCTAAGATTGTTGCTGCTACTGGTCAACTAAGTAATGGAGGAATTATGAATGCTAATTCTCCTATTAGTTCGCCTATTTCAACTTTAAGTTCTTCAACTCAAGCTGATTTATTACAAATGAAATTAATCGATGCTGAATATCAATTTGATCGTAAAAAGTTGATTTTTTATTATTCGACATCAAAAAGAATTGATTTTAGAGAATTAGTGAGGGAATTATTTAGAATTTATAAAACTAGAATTTGGATGTGTGCTGTGGTTGGGTTACCATATACTTTATCAGGATCTTCAGCAGTGAATTTATCCATGTCGACCATGGTCCCACCTCCTCCTACTAGAAGTTCAACTGGTTCTAATAATTCATCTTTCCTTAATACTAGTCCTACTAGTAGTTATAGTCAAACCAGATTGAATGATCCTTTTGGTAATTACAATAGTAATAATCAACAACAACAACAACAACAACCACAGCAACAACAAACATCACAACCACAACAGCAACAGCAACAAGTACCACATGGATTTTTTGATAGGCGTTTTTCATTACAGACTACTCCACAATACCAATATTCGAGTATGAATAATGATTTGGTTCAAATTCCAAGACGTTATTTGGCTGAGCAACAACAATCAAGACCAGGCCCACAACAACAGCAACAACACTATCAACAACAACTACAACAATCTCATCAGCCCGGTTATAGTCATGTTAGAAGTGCAAGTTTTAGTCAAGTTCCTCAGCAACAACAATTCTGGGGCCAACAACAGCAACCACAACAGTCAGTACAACAAGCTTCATACGGTCAGCAACAACAGCAACAACAGCAACCACCACTTTCTTCTCATTCATCACAACAATCGTTTCAATTTCATCCTTCTCAACAACAGTTTCAATCATCACAGGTTCAATCACAATCTCAAACCCATACCCCATTACGTGAATTACCATTCAGAAAGGAAGGTGAAGATGGTTCGACATCATCTTTTTCATCAACTTCTGGCGATTCACCTTTTATGTTGAAGAGTTTAGTTGATTCCATTAATCATTAATTATTTTTATTACTACTAGGGTTTTCTTTATTAATTTGTTTTGTTAGTTTTTACAATTTCTTCTTTTTCATTGTTAGAGGTTAAACTTTTTTTACAGGTGGGTAAGTTTCATTTTGCTTTACTTATTTATTTATTTTTTATTTATTTGTTGATATTATTATTAGAATATTACAGATGTTTGTCCAAATTATTTCCACCACAAGATTACAAGAGGGAAGAAGAATACACAAACGTCCCATAGACTCTCGCTATATACACCATTTTTATTACTATTATTATTACTTATTGTTTTTGTCACATATACTTTTTGGATATTAGGTTTTGATTGCTAAAAGACTATTATTCTTTTTTAGATTATTAGATTACAGATTATTATATTATTTTTATAAAGGGGGATAAAAAGATTCATCCAAAAAAAGATCAATTTTCATTATATTAGGAAAATTTATACTACCTTATTATTCTACATTTATTATTATTAAACCTTAAAATATACACATTATATATATATAAAAGTTATCCAAACCTCGAACTCGTAAAACTATAATAAGATTTAAATAATGGGTATACATCAAGTGGATTCCGAAATAGGAAGGTCAATTTTTGTCAGTTTCTTTGTCTCATTTTTTTTGCAACTGTTTCAGACAGACTTTTATCTTTTTCTGTTGAACCTGCACGTAAGCTTAAAACAATAAAAGATTTTAGATAATGTGATTTGTAGCCCCAAAATTTAGTTGTAACATTAAGTTTATGTTTATTGAAGTAATTCTTATACTTAAACTATATAGAACAATCTTGAAAGTTTAATATTTTCGCTTAAAAGGTCGGTGAGATTCAAGTCGTTTAAAATTTACCCCATTTCCAATATTTTTCACCAGGGTTAACTAACTCATTATGAACTTCACTATAATATAACCCTTTGTCTAAACCTAAAGCTGCAATGGAATGTAAATAAAAGAAGAAATCTTTGAACTCAAACCCAGTAGCGTATTTTTCTTGTAAATCTTTTAATGTTTGTTCTTTAGAGATTGTTTTGGTAACGGTTAATTTCACATCATGACTCTTTTCATATTTATCAATTACATCTTGGAAACTGATAACATCACTCAGGATTCTTAAAGTATCAGGTAATTTATCAATTGGCAAAGTGATTAAAGAAACAACAGTGAAACCAATATCTTCTAATTTGGTAATGGAGAATTTATCAGTTGGTTCACCTCTTTGAACAACGGTTTTAGTGGCAGTATCCACACCAACAGAAGCAACTAATTCATATAAGAAGCCACCTGGAACAGCAAATAAAGAAGTAATAACATCAACGACTTTAATTCCAAATTTACGAACATTTTCTGAATGTTGAGTTTTAAGACCTAAGAAACCAGGAGCAAATTTATCAACTTGAATTAAATCAGTACCAAATTGAGATGGAACGAATAATTTTGGTTTAACTTCTTTGACGATTTTTTCAATAGTGGCGAATAAATCAGGAGATGGCTGAACTAATTCAATTATAACGTCAGTTCCTTCTAAACTCTTAGAAATAGAAGAAACTGTTTCATCATTGATTTCAGTAGTGATATATTGTATCTTGTCAGTGGAAGCTTGTTCCTTTCTAGTTAAGGCTTTGATAGGGAAAGCAATCTTATCATCGAATTTACCTGAGTTAATAGCTTCTAAAACTGGTTTACCTAAGTGACCATTGAGACCAATAACTGCAACTGAAACTTTACCCATTGTGATTTATTTGTGAATTTGTGTGTATGAATTGATATGAATTGAATATAATGAACTCAATTGATACTTGTATAATAATGAAAAAGAAGAAAGTAACTAATAATTGAATTAGCAATATCCCCATATATTTATAATTTTTCAAAAACTGTGGTGGAAGTAGTTCTGATAATGATTTAACCACCACCACCACCATCACCACAACTCCCTCTCTCCCTTAATCTCCTGCACATAATAAATGTCAAATTTTATTATTTAATTTGTCAGACAAAAACATTTGTCATGTGAGCAAGCGCTACCATAATGCGACACCATATCTTAGTAATGATTAGTAATTCAACATCTTTTGTATTGTGGTATGGATGTTACAACTAACATAAGCTAGTTTTGCAACTAACAATTTGTAAAGGGCTTACCAATTCGAATAATCTTTTAAGGAGTTAGTGCTTCCGATAGTTTGATTATAATTCGGATCGTTTATATGGTGATTCACATGGTTCATTCATTTGCCACTTCTGTTCATGTAGTATTTGCCGATCAAATAGATTTATTGAGAGATCCTACGACAATTTTATTAAGTCTTTAATAAATCAATTGAAATGATATTATAACTCCTAACTAAACAATTATATAATTACTTACTTAGAATTTACCCCATTTCCAATATTTTTCACCTGGATTAACTAATTCATTATCAACTTCTAAGAAATGAGCACCCTTTTCAGTACCTTGAGAAACAATGACTTGTAAATATAAGAAGAAATTAGGTAAAGTAAAATCAGCAGCAAAGAAATTAATTTCACCTGGGATTGTTTCTAATAATTCCTTTAAGGCATCTTCCTTTGAAATAGTCTTAACAATTTCTAATTTAACATTATGATTGATTTCATATTTAGTAATAACATCTTGAACAGTAACGACTTCACTATGAATTCTGAAAAGATCAGGAATTTTTCCAACTGGAAGAGTTGATAATGAAACAATGGAATAACCAATATCTTCAACTTTAGAAATGGAGATTTTATCTTGGAGAGAACCACGAACAGTAACGGTATTATCAGCTGGGTTAACACCAACGGCACCAGCATATTCATAAAGGAAAGCACCTGGGACAGCGAATAAAGAATTAGCAAAATCAACAGTTTTAATACCGGCTTTTCTAACATGATCAACATGATGATGTTTGGTAGTTAAAAAACCTGGAGCATAAGGATGAATTTTGGTTAAATCAACACCGAAAGTAGATGGGATATAAACTTTTGGTTTAATTTGAATGACAACTTTTTCAAGAACTTCATAAAGTTCAGGACGAGCAGCCACTAATTCAATAACAGAATCAACTCCTTTTAATGATTCAACAATGAATGGAATTGAAGCATCATCAATTTCAGTTTTAATATATTGAATCTTTTCAGTGGATTCAACATCTTTTCTAGTTAATGCTTTAATTGGATAAGCGATTTTATCATCGAATTTACCTGAATTAATGGCTTCTAAAACTGGTTTACCTAAGAAACCGTTAATACCAATAATAGCAATTGAGACTTTTGACATGTTGAGTGAGTATTATATGAATGTAATGAGTAAATAATCAAGTGATTGTTTGATGGACATGAAAGATAAGAAGAAGAATAAACTTGAATCACTGAGGGATGAGGTTATATTTATGTTATTTCATTTTGCAACTGTTTAAGAAAATATGCCAATTGTGGCTATAAACTATAATTTGTCGTCGATGCAATAATTTGTCAGTGATGAATCGTAACTCAATCTGTTTTGGGAAATGCGGAAAAGAAAATATTTGTCAGATTATTAATGTCTGATTTTAGTCATCCTCCACACCTAGTTAAAATTGCGAACATCGTAATCGATACCATTTTCAGATGAGGTATAAACCCTTTTTGCAATATGTCAAATAGCTTCGAAAATGGATCCTATTTGGGTATCTCATCTTCACGGTATTATCATCGGGATAAGGCTTACTTCGTGTTTGTTTTTTTTTATTTTTAGTAATCTTTTCGCTTATAATATTCTTCTATCTGAGCTTATTAATTGTGGAGTTGTTGATATGTGATTAATCATCACTTTAATGTTTAATCAGGTATCAATTACGATTGTTAACTGTGGTTCAATGCATGATTTGAAATCATACTACTTAACTAACTACATGCTTACACACTTTATAATTTCATAATTCGTATTCTTGAACTTTTTTTAAATTATACATAGAATTAAATAGAATATATGTCATCAACTCATCAATGAGTTAACTAAATGAAATGGATGCAAGCATCACATTAACCATAACCGTTTTTTGTTTTACACAAACGTAAATAAATAAGCAAATTCAATCAATTAACACATCACCCATCTGTCATCATGATTATAACGAACTTTATTAACTACCAATCTACCATTACACCATACTTTTACACAGTTTCTATCATCCCCACTAAAAATCCATTTACCTAATAAATCAAACATTTTTTTAGATTGTTCATCTTTAGATAATGATTTATGATTCTCAATACTTGTATGATGTTCTTTAAATGGTAATTGCCAATCGAAAACATCAACATTAGAATCTTCACTTTTTAAATCAATTAATTGAACATCGAATTTTTTACCTAATTCAAAGGTTCCAATTTGATCAGCCATACCAACAGCTTGTGCACCACCTTGAGTAGCCATAAATAAAGCATCATTGATTGATAATTTATCCTTTTGATTCTTAGTTTTCATGGCTAAATGATGACTTACTAAAATACAATGTTTTATAATGGCTAAAATACTCAGATCAAAACCTCCACTAACATCAGTACCCAATGAAACATTAATTTCATCTTCATAAAGATACTTCTTTATAGGAGCTTCACCACTTGAAATAAATGTATTTGAAGTTGGACAATGACTTATAGAACAATTTTTTTGTTTAATAATTTTTCGTTCTTTTTTAGTTAAATGAATAGCATGAGCTAAAATAGTTGATTCTCCTAATAAATTATGTTTATTATAAACTGAAGCATAATCTTCACAATCAGGAAATAAATCATGAACCAATTCAATTTCCTTTTCATTTTCACTTATATGAGTTTGAATTGGTAAATTATGAGATTTACTTAATTGCCCTAAAAAGAATAATAAATCACGAGTACAAACAGGTGCGAATCTGGGAGTTATAATTGGTTTAACTAAAATTTCATCTTGAGGATTTAAATTATGTAAATGATTGATAATTGCATTCATAGAATCAATACATTCTTCAAATGTTTCCAGATAATCGGCATAAGTTTCATTATGATCCATACAAACTTTACCTACAAACCCTCTTTGACCAAATCTTAATAATAATTCAGCAAATAAATTTGTAGTTTGAGGATCAATAGTTGTGAAATATGATGCACAGGTTGTACCATTATTTAAAGTCTTTTCAATAACTTGAGAATAAATATCTTTAGCAAATTTTAATTTTGAATCAGTTGAATTTGAATTAGTAAATTCATTTTCTAATGGGAAGGTATAGTTGTTTAACCAATCTAATAAAGGACAATCTAATCCAATACCGATGTTAGGGAATTGTGATGCATGGATATGAGTATCGATGAAACCAGGGACAAAGAATTTAGTTGGTTCTTGAGAATAATCAATGAAATCAAAGTGTCTATTTCTACCGTAATCGTAGTTATAGTTGTTGTTGTTGTTGTTACCATTTCTTCCATTTCCATTTCCATTACTATTACTATTACCATTACCATTTCTATATCTATCCCTATTATCATCATTGTTATTATCATTACCATCTTTGTTATCTTTCTTTTCCTTATCTGCAGTATACTTGATAAAGAATTGAACAGGAGACATATTATTATGATGATCAGGATTATAATTCTTATGAATGAAATCAATCACTCCCAAGTTGTTAACTCCCACAATGGTATTAAATGATATATCCAATTCTTTTAAACTTGGCGTGTGAATAAAAGTCCCATAGTATAAAGTATAACTTATCTCATTAATTGCTTTAGGTTCAATTAAAGATGAGTTAGTAGGCATTGTTGTGATTATTTGTTATAGTTATAGTTGTAAAATATCTATATAGACATAACTAGAACAGTTTACAAGTAATTTACAAATTCTACCCAAATGGTTGGTTATTTATAATTTTGAATTCATTTGTGTTCATCTGACAGGTTACCGACTTCAATTTCTGCATTTAGCCATAACCAATTCTTAACTATATAATATCATGTAGTATCCGCGGGGTGCCCGATTTATTGTTGTAAATATAATTCCTTATCAAGAACCTGTAAATTGATAAGTTTTTAAAGTGTAACCTGTAAAGGAATGATGGTAACTTGTAAAATCTCACACGAGAGAAAATATAATTGATCGTAACCTGTAAACTTCGCATTCGTTTACTGTAACTACCATATTGCAAATGAAACGGAGAACCGGTTTTTGATGTCATATTTAGCAATAACAACATCAAGTTAAGTGATTCATGCTGTGGGTATAAATTAGAGCATGATCATGGTTTATGTTCCATACGGCAATTTCCACTTACATCATGAGTCAGTCAATTAGGCTGTTTCTATGATCATGAAATTCGCAACAGCAACAGCAACAGCAACAGCAATCGAACATTTCTGTTTTGTGGTACTTGATCTTACCGGCAATTCACATTAAGCTTTTGAATTACACAAGTAATTCAAAGTGATAGCAATGATTAGTAAACGGCATACCGAATATTCATACTCTCTACTCCACCTTAAATTCCTTTTGAGGTCGTCAATTTGATTTGAATCAAGATTAGTTAATAATTCCATACATTACGGCGCCTCCTTCCTTCCACCATTCGCTCATGATTTTTTTTTTTTGATTTTGTGGTTATTTCTGTTACGTAACCTTTTCAATTGTTCACTTTTACTTTCCTTTGGAAGAACAATTGTCATTATCGTATTCTACAATTCATTCATACTTACACAACTTCTGTACTTCCATTCTTATTGCAAAAATTTAAACGATCTTAGTGGGCCTTAACCTTTTTTTTTCCGTTTGAGTCGTCGTTCAACAATGAATCTAGAATTCCACGTGAATTCCTCGAACTGAAAGATCTGCATTACTACTTACCAATTTAATCTTCTACAATAACCTTGAATGTGAACGATATTTATAAATTAAAACTATAAACTATATTTTTGATAAAGATATTTTTAGGTAAACTAGTAATAATTAAAAAAGCAAAAAGTATACAACAAACAGTGATACATACTTTTCTTAAAACATTGAAATCAATTGTAAAGAATACTTACCATCTCTACAACTTTTTCAAATAAGAAACAAAATTAAAAAGTCAAACGAGTGTTAAAGAATAGAAAAAGACTTATCCAGGGGGGGAGGGGGGGCAAGGGTATAATGTTATATCAAGTAATGTGATATCACAGATTAGTTAACCACTAACTAAATAGCTTATAAGAAAGCAAAACCAACTAAACCAACTAAAGCAGCCATTGAGAATTGTCTGATATCAGCAGCACCGGATTGGGTGGTGACGGCAGCAGCAGTAGTTTCTGGAGCAGCACTGGTGGTGGAAGTAGCTAATGAGGTGGTGGACGAAGTGGTTGGAGCTTCAGTAGATGAAGAAGAGGTGGTAGATTCAACAGTTGAAACAGCAGCAACAGTAGTTGAAGATGGAACAGCGGTGGTTGAAGTGGAAGAAGTGGTAGCTTCAGTGGAAGTAGAAGAAGTAGTAGCTTCGGTAGATGAAGTGGAGGTTGAAGTGGAAGAAGAAGAAGAACTTGAAGAAGATGAACTTGATGAAGTTGAACTTGAAGAACTTGAAGATGATGAGGATAAGTTTAAGCTATAACCTTGACAACTAGATTCAAAAGCAGAAATAGCAGCTGGAGCATCACCATTTGGACAAATACTGTTTAAACATTGTTCAACAGCACTACCTTCAGATGAACAAATACAACTTATATCATTTAAACCTGAACAAGAAGATTGTTTTTCAACTTGGGCAACACAAGCAATCAAACATGCAGGTGGAGTAGCTAAGACTGATTGGAAAGAAGTAGCTAACACAACTAAACTTGAAACTTTTAAGAATGAAACCATTTTATATAGGTGAGTATGTTTTTTATATGATATGTGAGTGATGTATAATCTGGAAAGGGTTTATTTGGAGATTTAAATTATTAAAAAGAAGCGATAGACTAGATTTAATAATGGAAATAAGCGAATGTGGATAAAGTAAAATCAAAGGAATGAACGGTTTGACGAGTATACTTTAAAATCTATGTTGAAATCTATGAAAGTTTGATCTAAAGAACTAAGAAGAAAAGGGTATTACGTTAAAAAAGGAGTTGGTAGAAAACTAAAAAAAATTTTCCCCTGGTGTGGTCCTGGTTAATTTACTGAGAGTTGGTGGTGAGTCGGTGGCAGAGTGCAACTGTTTCAAAAAAATAAATAAATTGAAGGAAAATGTCGCATACATAAACAAACAAAAACCCTGTTTGGGAAAATTGAAGGTTAAAAATAGAAACTGACGCACGACACGCATACGACAATATTGCCTATTCGGGAAGTTCTAGATTCATTTTAGTTAGACACTGTTATTGTTATTATTATCAATATTTACTGTTATTATTATTTATTATTATTACACACACATTAAATAAACTTAAAATCTGATTTCAGTATTCATATTCAGACCTTTATAAAGTAAATCAACTTCAAATTGATCTAATCTAACTCCAATAGAGGCAATCACTTCAACATCCAATTCTCCATTTAATGCTTTTCGTAATATATCAGTACCAAGACCTTGATTAATAATAATTGGAATCTTGGGAGTCTTAAATAATCCGGGTGGAACAACCATAAACTCTTGATGTTGAATATATCCTAAGATAATATCTTCATGTTTAGCTTCCGCTTGAAATAATTCAACATTTAATTCAGCATTGATTATTGGATTAAATAACGTTAATTCAACTTCTGATGAAAAAATATGAATAATAGCTTCTTTTAAAAACGGATTCTTTTTAGCAACTCCGCTAAGTTTAACTTGTCCCTTGCCTTGTTCATTTTCATCTTCTCCACCTTCATTGTCATCTTCCTCCTCTTCTTCACCACTATTATCTAAATCAACTTCAGGTATAGTAACATTTAATATCGATATCTGATTAAGTAATTCATTCAATCCTTTATTCTTCTTAGCACTATGACCCACTAAATCAATAGATAATCCTTCAACCGTAGATATAAATTGACTTAAAAAGTTCTCTAATACAATCTTATCGGTAAGAGTTTCAGAATGAATTTGTAATTCAGCCGTTAAATTAACTCGTTCATTCTTTGGAATGAATAAATCATGAAGTATCACATCAACAATTTTACTTTCATTAAATTGAGCTCCAATACTAATAGTTTCTTGAGGTAAATCAATGGAAAAATTGGTAGGATTAAAAAGGCTGAAATCAATAAAAAGATTAAGATCTTCAGGATATGAATCAATAAAATAAATTCCATCAATAGTAACATTCAAATTATGAAGGATATCATCAATAGATGGAAGTTGTCTCTTTTTTAATGATTTATGATTGGGAGGAAGTTTTAATTTTCGTAATTTAAGTCTTGAAATAGTAGACTTTAGAATAGGTGGTAAATCAACAAATAAATCTTCAAGTTCTAAATCAACATATAAATTGGTAAAATCTTCAAAATCTCCTTGTAATATTGAATTGACAAATTGTCCTATTAATGCAGGATTTAAAACTTCAACTTCAATACTATTAAGTAAAATATTCAAATCTAAATAATCTTTCACTTTCTTAGCCACTAAATTACTGTAATTATTGGAATTTCCCTTAATGATTTCCTTATCAGTTGAATTATCTTTAATTGAAAATGAACTTTTAAATTGAGGTATGGAGAAATTAAAATCAACAGGAACATCAACCAACCCAGTGAGATTAGTGTTTAAATGAATAATTAATGATTCTTCTTCTTCATCGTCAGACTTTTTATTAGTAACTGGAACTTCAAGTTCAACACTATCAATATCAATACCACCAACTTCAACAATCTCCTTGGGTAATACTAAACTTATACCTTGAACACTATTTTGTAATATATAACTTAACCATTGAGGTAAGTCTTCATCTTGATGTTTCGACGCTCTAACATATACTGTAATTGGTTTCTCATCAATATAATCTTGAATCATTCTAGTGATAGGACTTAATCCATCTTTACAATCTTTAAGTAATGGATCAGGGATTTTTGCTATGCTTCCATTGAAATGAACAGCTATTGGTCCTTCAGGAGAAACCATAAAAGAAGAACTCTTCCAATCTCCAACTTCAATTAATTCTCCTTCACAACTTTTAATCATTAAATCCCAATTGATACTATCTAAAGAAAATTCAAATGAAAATTGATTAGTTACCACCACCTCGGCTGATAGGGTTATACTCTCCTTTGTAGATGCAATTTCCAATTCATTTATATCAATATCAGGCATTAAATCACTCCTGGTAAATGAATATGGCTCCACAACATTAATATCATTGGCATCAAAATTAAAGAATTTTCCTTTAATATTTCCTGAAAATACTCCTTGAATCTCCAAATTAATCACATCTTCATCTATTTGTTCAAGATATTTAGAAAACTTAACAATGTTTTCTTTAATGAATGTAGCTTCACTAGTAAAGTCAATATCCGTTATACGTTTATTAACCACATTAACACTTAATTCAGGTGGAGAAACATCCACAAGATGTAAAGGAGCCACATTTATATCAATCGGATTGACATATAAATGAATAGAATCTGATGGTAAAATAGTAACTGAACCAACTAATAATGAACCAAATTTTAATAAATTCTTATAAAAGATATTAGGTAGTTTATCATAATTGATGTAAATAGATCCCACAACGTGAGAATTCAATCCATTATCACTTACTGAATCTATAGTAATACTTTGTAAATTAAGTTCAACCGATTGAGCAACTAAGGTATCAAGCTGTCGATACGTTAAATAGAATATACCAAACAATATCACAAGTAATAGTAAGATATAATGAACCAACTTAGGATCTCTGACGTCAAGATACACGAATAATTTCTTTAATAATAAAATAACTGAAAATCCTGTTTCTGGATTCAATAATACTGAAGCAGATGTTATAGAACCATTGTCTAAATGCAGACTTCTTTGAAGTAAAGGTTCTAACTCATCAGCTACGAATCCAAGATCTTCCAAAAGATTCTCTTCTTGATTTTGCTTATTGACAGGAGGATTAACAATGACAGGACTAATTTCTGGGGTATCAACGATTGGTTCTGGTATGGCCTCTTTGAATCCACCTACAGGTAACGGAGTGGATTCATGACTTTCTGGAGATATAATGTCTTTAATGTCACTATGATGGGTTTCCACAACAGGTTTATTATTATCATCATCATCATCTTGTGGAGGTGCGGCTGGAGTAATAGTATCCTCAGAAGTAACGTCTTCATGCTTATCTGGTATTGGCTCTGATGGAATTTGTTCATTCTGAACTACTGGTTCAGTAGTCGGGATATCTAATGATACATTACTGGGGGACAGAAGTGATGCTTTACTGGAATTCTCTAATGAAGTAATTTTATTCTTGTCTTTTCTCTTTAGTGATAAGGATTTCTTTAAACCAGACCTTATACTTGACCTTGAAGAACCTGGAGTTGAAGATGATTCTGGATCGATTTTATCCACTGATGTTGAAGATGATGAGAATTTGTTTCTTGCCTTCTTTAATAGCTTTGACATGATTAATTATACTCCTCTTTCCTATATTATAATGTTCGGTCAACCAGCTTAGGCTGAAGCGTTTAAATTCTGAACCTCAATTGAAAACAAGTACTGAAGCTAAATTTATCAATTGTGATAGTTGAATAGGAGGCAATATCAATTAGGCTTATGTTTGACGATGATTATACCGCTGATGGTGTAAAACTGAGTTTGTGCTGCTGTAAATAGATTTAACGGGGAACTGTTCCTTATCGTCAGTAGGCTAACCCACACAAAAATAAAAAAAAAGTTTAAGGAATGAGGTTAGGCAGACTTTTACGGTAAATTTATAATAAGCGTACGCGCAAAGAAGAGGAGAAGAACACCAATAACTTTAACTGACAGTAATGACACTTTCGTCATCTATATTTGAGGAGGATGATCTTACTTACTGGCATCTGGTGTAGTAAGGTGTTCCTGAAGCAATATTGTATTGTAGATGAGATAACTTTGTAAGGGCGATAGAATGCTGCTCCTAAAATCTTAGTGCCGGGTAAACTTAAATTTTTGTACTGTCAAAAAAACGCGTAGTGAAGTCAAGTAGCAGTATCTACTGTTTACAAAACAACCACTATGATCATCATTTGATTTGAAGTTTAGTTGTATATAGAACGAACGAAACAAACGATGAGTAACTACTACGACCTAGACGATATACTAGCTGATGGAGAAAAGGTACCGTGTCGTTTCAATATGACTGTCCCTGGTTTAGGATATTTAGAGGGAAATCCAGGTAAACAAATCAATAAAGATTCCAAACTTGAATTACCATTTTGGTTGGCAAAAGTGTTAGCAGTATGCGATTTACAAGAAGAGTCAGGGAATAGTTTCATAGATATTGCTTCTCCAGAAGCAATCAATTTGAAAGTATTGAATGCCATTAAGACAAGTTCCAAAAGTGTTGATTTACACAAATTATTACCAAATTACTATAAACTAATCGAAAGATGGTGTTCTATGTATTCAGATCCTGAAATTACAACTATAGTCATGCAAATGTTAAAGGAGAGATCATTCGAAATCAATAATTATGCCAGTAATCCAAACATGGGTGTTAATAACGATTTCATCTACTCCTTAGATGAATATGAAAAGAAATTATATAAATTAACAACTGAAAGTAATAAACAGATGAGAAGTTGGTTACGAGATTAGAGAAGATATATATAGATTACGAAACCTTTTTTAACGATTCAAAATAGATATGATACAAAATAATATTAAATTAAAATACTAATATAGAAAATACATTGATATATGTACATAATGTAAGAATGTTCACCTTTGGTTTCATTTTTCGTCTTCAGCAGGATCTGCATCAACTTCATGTTCTTGAGAACTTTCTTCATCGTTCTTCTCGTCGAATAAGTCATCATCTAATTCGTCATCACTATCCTCTATAAATTCTTTAGATAATGCCTTCTTCTTTCTTTTAGATGAAGGTCCAACAACTTCATCTTCATCATCGTCCTTAATCTTTCTCTTACCGTTAGTTTCGATATCGGAATCAGTAGCTGAAGCTTCATCCTCACTATCTTCAATGACCTTCTTTTTACCTCTTCTCTTACCTTTTCCTTCCTTTTTACCTCCTCTACTTCCTCTTTTCTTTTCACCTTTAGCGGCTGATTCCTCATTGAATAATTTATCATCATCATCTTCATTCACTATGACATTCATTCTTGATTCTTCAGCCCATTGTTGTGCTTGCTCTTGTAAAATTGCTCTTTCCTTAGCTAATTCTTCTTCTTTCTTTTTCACAATTTCTAATCGTTCTTGTTCTTCTTTTAATCTAGCATCTTCTGCTTCTTTTCTTACTTTCTTAGCTTCTTCTAATTTTTCATCAATTTCAGCTATACTATCAATTGTCTCTTCAAGAGCAGCATTTAATCTATTTAATAAGGTAGTGGTACCTAAGTTTGCTCTTGCTTTCAAATCAGGCTTAGGATAAGGAGCATACTTTTCTTCTTCTGAAGCTAAAGAATTCAAAGTTTCAATAGCTTCTTTCAAACCAATAATGGCATCTTCAATTTCATCAACCTTTCTTTTTGAAATTGGTAATTTCGTTATAAACTCAGCAATTTGGAATTGAACATAAGCTAAATTGAATTTGAATGAAGAATTCTTATTAGCTGAGATTTCTAAAACTTCTTTACTATATTCATAAGCCTTTTTAAAGTATGAAAGGTTCTTTTCAGCATTACCTCTTAAATACCATGCTCTACCTAAAAAGGAAAGGATTCTGGTATCTTTTCCATTAGTGAATTTACCAAGAGCAATTTCATAACTCTCTATAGCTTTACCAAAGTCTTTGGTTTCAATCAAAGCATGACCCAAGTTTAAATAAATTGAAATATCAGTTAATGAATCTCTTATTTTTCTTAAGATTTCTAAACCTTTTTCGGGTTCCTTATTTTCAATGTATGTAATTGCTAAACCTTGAGCTGCATATACGTTCTTAGGATCAACCGATAAAACTTTAGCAAATAATTCAATAGCTCTAACATAATATTTTTTCTTTTTATCATCACTAGTTTGATTGGATTTAGCATCTCTGGCCATGATACAATAGATATTGGCTAATGACAATAAGGCATAAGAATCATGAGAATCGTATTTAACTAAAGTATCTTTTTGATGATTAGTGTCAGCTTCAGGTTTCAAACCAACCTTCTTACCAAAACTTTTAACAAACCAACCATAAAATGATCTGATTTCTAAATCAGAAGCACTTACTTCCAATAAGTTATCAATTTCAGTTTTAATTTCTTCTTTAGTATACTTATCACCTGAAATACAATTCAAGAATAATACTCTGATTTTGGCTGAGAAGTAATGTGGACATTCTTGTAAAAGCTTTTCATAAGCTTGAATGGCTTCATCTTGATTAGAAACTTCACTTGATCTAGCTAAATTATAACTTAGGGTAATTTTTAAATCACTCTTTAAATCAGGTAAAACATCACCATCAGCAGATTTGAAATCTTCTTCTGTGGATTCTAAATTATCTAAAGCAGCTTGGAAATTGGTAGCCGCCACTTCATAATTCTGTCTTGCGAAATTGAAAACACCAATATTATTGTAAACTTCTAAAGGTACGTCCTTATTTATTAATTTTCTTATTTCAATCGCTTTTTGTAAATATTGTAATGATTGATTCACATCTTTTGATTCGTATAACTTACTTAATACTAAGTAAGCATTCAAAGCCACTGGCTCTTTATTCAAGGAGGCTAGTTTCTTATCTTGACTAGTTGATGATAATCCACGATTGTCTGATAATCTTAAATATCTTTCCAAGATTTGGATAGCTTGTTCTTGCTTTCTTTTAGACTTTTGTCTTGAATAAAGTATACCTAATGAATAATTAACTTCTAAACAATCCATATTACTTCTTAAAATGGATTCGTAAGTCATGACAGCTTCTTCAATTGATCCACGATTATATTGAGATTGACCTAAACCTAATTTAGCAACCAAGTTAGATTCATTTAATTTAATAGCTTCTTGGAAAAACTTTGAAGCTTGAGTGAAATCAGACTTTTCAAATGAAATTCTTCCGTACCAGGTAGCACATTGTGATAAGACATTTGATTGATACTTGGAAACTCTATTGAAAGTATTAAATTTGATAGCATTTTCATCACCAGTGATTGATTTTATAGCTTTCTTAACAAGGTTTTCAGATACTTCAAGATCTCCCTTTGAGAAGTAATATGACACTAATGCTAATAAGATGACTGCATCGTTTGGAAGTTGTTTATAGTTTTGAGATAATTCTGTTAAACAAGTTTTATAATTTTGTAAAAATTCTTCATCACTTAATGAATTATTAAAACATTTATGAAACTTAGCCAAGTTTAATAAAATCTTTGCTTTTAAGTTGGATGAATCAAATTCTAATGCTCTTTCCCATGATTTGATTGCCATACCTTCATCTTTCAATAACCAGAAACATAAACCAATACCAATTCTTGGATCTGGTTTCATTAAAGGATTTAAAATTAAAACTTGTTGAAATATCTTTAAAGCTTGACTATAATTTTTGGATTTAGATAAGATGATTTGGGCTTTTCCAAGTAATGCAAAACAATTATTTTGATCTATTCTTAGGATTCTTTCAAAGATGTCTGATGCTTCTTCTTCTCTATTACTAAATTGTAATAAAACTGCTTGAGCTAATAAATTTGATGTACTATTTGAAGTAGCTGTTGATTTATCAGTTTTTATTCTTTGAGCAAGATTACTAATGGCATTTCCAGCATTGATTAAGTTATTTTCTTTATCAATACCACTTGATACATATTTAAAGTATAACCAAGTTGAAAAGGCTTGAAATGATTTTCTATCTTCATCACTAAAATATTCCAATTTTTGTGCTTGTTCGATAACTTTCAAAGCATCATCCAATCTACTTGCTTTGACACAGGCTGCAGCTAAACTGATCCAATACTTCTTTGCTGTCTTTTCACCTGCTAAAAAGGTAGTAACATCATTGATATCTTCGGTTAAATCTTCAGGTAAGTTAAGGGTAACAATCTGAGATCCACTTTCCACTGGAATTTCCAAAAGATTGATCGCTTCAGCTGCCTGTTCCCCAATATAGAAGGAAATATCAACAGGTTCAGCCATGACTCTTATCAGACTTTATTGATTGATGAATGATATCGATGAATCGTTAATGCCTTCCCGTTAGTATCGTTTTTCACCTTTCTTCGTCGTTGTTGAATTCAATTTTTTTCAGATATTTTATATGCAGGTTTTGCGATCACGTGAATAATAATATACATAAAATTGCAGTTTTGTTATACATTTTTATACTTGCCAAAAACTATATTATTTAAACTTCTAAAACAATTCTAATTAAATATTGTTAATTTAAAAGTAACAATATGCTTGTTCATCAAAGTTTTCCAGATCGTTTCAAACTATGTAACCTATAAAAGGAACCAATTCTAGCAATTTACTTTTCACCTCAAAGACTAGCTTCAAGATGTCTGGTTCAGCTAAAAAGGATTATTGTAAAAACTGTGAAAGGAAATTAGAAAATACTAATGTTTGGTTGTGCGTTGGTATTTTCCTGTTATTACCTTTGCTTTTCTTGGGTGGTAGTCTTTTATATGACCTTGGGGAGTTTTTAACGGACTATTAATGACTTAATTATATAATACATAGCTAATACACTAATTGACTTTGATTTTTTTTTAATTTGTGGCCCTTAGGGACCATTTTGTAGTAGGTTGAAGAATAATGATGATAATATTACTTTACAGTTAATTACATACTCTCTGCTTAATATTGTAAACTGAGACATATAAGAGTAGTCGGTTTCTTCTTTGATATCCTGAAGTGAAACGAATCATCAAATATAATTATAAAAACTAACGTGTTGCGTAATTCGTCTTCTAATACTGATAAATATATCAGACCACCACCATTCGACCTCATTGACAAGGCTGAAAACTTTTTTGAGTCAGAGCCATGAAAGTTATCAAAGACATGCATCTGCCCTTCCTATTGATTGTCTTGCCATCAGTAAAGCGTTCCCCAGAATAATTAAGCATATTTAAAGTATCAAGGGAAATATCAAACATCTGCCAGTTATTCACACTCATACCGAACTATCTGCTTGCAAAAATTGTAAAGCTATCAAAGAAAAAGTTGATAGTAATGGGTGGTTACATGATAATGTTATATTTTCATTTTCTTGCTGTCTTCAATATAAAATTATATTATGACTATAAAAGAGATGAACTATCTAACATTTAGGCGAGTGTTTAAATTAAATAATAACGATTGTACAAGCCTAATCATTGATTATTAAATTCTGTAGCTTGTATTGACATTAAGTTGTTTAGCAGTTTATAAAAAAAAATATAGTTCTTTTCATTAATCACATCAAACAAAGAAAATAAAAACATATGTCTTTGATTTAATGTTAGTGAATGATGGAAGGAAAATAAAGACTGGGTATTGAAATATTTTTCACAGTCAGCATAAACTTCATATAAATAAGAGACCTATGCAACCCTTACAAACTTCTCTCATCCAATTTAAATTTTTAGGGTATAAGCTTTTATGGTATCGATTTAAATGACTACCCAATGAGTACTCCATAGTTTATTGACTATACCGCAGATGATCCAGAGTCAACTACTCATATTCTCAACTTACGCTGAGTAAGTTTAAGTCCCTTTCAGTTCGAATAGTAATTTTATTTTTTACAGTTCAAATAAAGTTTACTGTCCCCATATTTCCAAATCTGGGCAAGCAATAGCTGTTGTAATCAAAGCAAATAGTTCATGTCATAGTTTTATATTGACTCCAACTCAATGCCAATTGCGATAATGTTGTACTCCGTCATTCCTTGTAATGCTTTTAAATAGATGGATATATATTATTTTACTAACAGTCATTTATCATTTATCATTTATCATTCATAGTGCGAGAAATTTGAAAAATTCTTTAATCAATATGATGAACCAGCCTTAAGTTATTTTCAATCAGAGCAACAACTTTTCTCAATATTACCATTATCTTCTTGTTTTACTTCAGGCCTACTTGAGCAACAGCTTTCTTTGGAAGCATCTAAACCAGCTTCAATTGTAGATTTAGGTACGAGGTTGTGATTTGGAATATTACTCAATTTAAAAAGCTCATTGTTATCTTCGACTTTGATATTAATATCATTTCCAGGATTAAAATCGTTGAAGTTTTGATCAGGAAAATCGGATATAATTGAAAGTAATTTTTGATCCATAATATTTGAACTAAAGAATTCGTCCAACTTGTAACCATTGATGATTCCGTGAGTTTCACAATTCGTACAATCACATGATTCTGGTGGACAAGAACAAGACATTGACGCCGGAGATTCACTTTCAATCGATCCATTACTATCCAGACCTGCTTGTGATTTATATGCCTGTGGTGCTGATAATGATACGTTTTGAGGAAAATTAAACGAGCTTCCATTTTCAGATAAGTCATTTTCAGCTGGTTGATGTTTTAGTTGCACTTGTTGTGGCTTTTGTTGCTGTTGTAGTTGTTGTTGTTCAGTGAAATTTACCACTGCATTAGATATTGAACTTAGTATTATGTTTGTATCCGACATACGGTTGAAGTTATTCATGTCATTTAAATAATCGAAATCATTTGTGAGGAATTTATTTGATTCACCTATGGTTACATTTCCATGAACTACGCAGCCTTCACAAGAACAATTATCATCACAACAACAAGAACCTGGGATTGAACATGACGGTATTGGTACGACATCGAAAAGTTGTTGTTGTTGTTGTTGTGCATCTTGTTTAACATCTGTGTGTATGATTTGATCTTGTTCTGATTTGAATTCATTAATGAACTTTATATTGACTTGTCTAGAATTCAAATTGACATTATTACTTATATCTTGATTCTTTAACCGTTGTTGAATATAATTCTTTAATATTTTTGATTTATTTACATTTTTCCGGGACTTGTTATTGCAACATCCACAACTTGATTGTTTTGATATTCCATTTGAACCTCCACTACAGCAAGTTGAAGTATTTATAAAACTATCACTACTGATTATGGGAGGTGGAGGCCGTTGATTTGGCTTTGGTTTGGAGAAGTTTTCATCATAAGGACCGATGATCTGACCACTTATTAAATCAATAACTTGTTTAGGAGAAGCTTTAAGGATTATGACAGGACTCTTTTTACATTTTATACTATCATTTGAATCTGCAGGAGTAGGTGATTTTGAAGTACCATTATTATCATTTTCAGTAGCAATTTCCTCAGCAAATACTGCAATTCTATGATTTGGATTGCCATTGGCATGAACATTGGGTCTACCTTTAGATCTAACTTGTAACAAAGGTCGAGCATGATGCCGGCACAGGGAAGATCTATGACCCCGTATACATTCCACACACGAGAACTTTAACTCGTCTATCAATATCATGGTAGATTAGTGAAACCAAATGATACTAATCTGTGGAAGTCTTATATATATTCGATTGAAGTAAAAGCTTTTTGAACCATATAGTGAATCATCTAACACTTATACTAAAAATTTTTTAGGTCAATGTAACGGATTTACTAATTTGTTAAAGCTTAATGATTGGAATTATAGACAAATATTTTGTGACATGATATTTTTTATGAGGTCTGAAAAATGAGCAAATTTCGATTCCTTAATTAAGCTAAAAAGGTTAGCCACTATATATGATGTGTAGCTTAAATGGCAAATGTCGGTCTAATCGAACTTTAACGTTTAGTAGTAGTTATTAGCCTATTAGATGTAAATAAAATCTTGCAACAAGTTTAAAATTAAACTATGGTGACTTTATGATTCTAACGGCCATCTAGCAGAAGCTTTGCTAAATATAGCTTAATAGGTGTACGATAAACTATAAGTACCTTATATAGCTAACCACTGTTATGTTAACACATACTTCAGATATATCATTTTCTCGTAATTCTCTGTAACAAAGCTACCTTTTATAGAAAGTTAACCAGCTACCATATTCTATCTTGCCAATTGATGTTTTGTATGAAGTAAATCGTACAGTATCAAGGAAAAAAAAGGTACAGTCAAAAAAAAAAATTGTATGTGAAATAAATTTCTGATGAGCAGAAGAGATAACAACCTTGATTCAAGCATTATTCGAAAGAATGCCAGCTAAAACCTTACAAGAGACATACGATGAGATAGATTCGGAATCTGGTAATATAGCCGACTCAAAGATCAATTATCAAGACGCTATTGATTATTGGTCATCAGTTCCAGCTTCTGTTAATGGGGTACTTGGAGGATTTGGTGAACAAACACCAGTACCAAAGGCTGATATTGTCGGGTCTACTTCTTTTTTAAGAAAATTACAAACGAGAATGAGTTGTCCTGAAGGTACTGAAAAGTTGACCATTGACATGGGTGCAGGTATAGGTAGAATAACTCGTGATTTATTATGGAAAGTAAGTGATAAAGTTGATTTATTAGAACCAGTTAAACCATTTGTGCAACAAATGCATCAAGAATTAATCCAAGTTTCTAAAAGAGGTAAACTAGGTGATATATATGACATAGGTATGCAAGAATGGTATCCTCCTGCCGATAAGAAGTACTGGTTAGTATGGTGTCAATGGTGTGTAGGTCAATTACCAGATGATGAATTAGTACAATTCTGGTCAAGATGTCGAGAATCATTATTAGAAGGAGGACTCGGTACTATGATTGTTAAGGAAAATATAGCACCATATGATGATATATTTGATGATACTGATTCATCAGTAACTAGAACTGATGAAAAATTTAGACAATTATTCATTCAAGCAGGTTTTAAATTGATTGCTAGTGATGTTCAAAAGGGAATGCCAAAGGAATTATTTCCAGTTAGAATGTATTGCTTAAAACCATTGTAGAGGAGAAGGTATTAACTTTCCAGTGTAACATAATAGATATAATAAAATAAAATTCTCATAGATAAAAATAATTTCGCACAAGACTTGTAAAAATTAGCTGAGTTGCAAAAATATTATGAAAATAACATAAAATTAAGGAAAGTGTAATAATTAACGTTGAACTACTTTATTATATTTATTATCTTAGTTACTAATACACAAGAAAATATTAATGATGAACCAGTCACCAAAACTTTAAAATAGATTTAAAAACGAATAAAACAACACAGACGAAACAAAGCAAGATATATATAAAAAACTGTATTAATAAACTCTAAACAACTCTTTGTTTCGAAGGTTCAAATGGTAAGAAAAGTGCTAAAACACCAATAATTCCAATAAATGACCCACAGATCCAGATTGGAACTGAAGAACTAGTGTTTGAATAATAAGCAATCACAGGCACAATACATGCAGCAACTCTTGTACAAGCAATGGCAATGGCATTACCAGTAGCTCTGGCCACAGCAGGGAAAACTTCTGGAGTATAAGCATATAAACATGCATAATAGATATACATACCAGCATACGAAGCTGAAGAAAGAGCCACATTTTGAGTATGATTCTTAATAGCAGTATAACCGAATAAAAGTGCCATACCGACAATACCACCAATAAAAAGAACACCACGACGACCTAATTTAGGGAAGAAGTAAAGTAAAAGACCAGCAATAATTGGACCTCCCATCGAAGATATATTACCAACCACATTATCACGATAAACACCAGCAGTAGTATCGGCACTAATATTATGACCTCTGGTAGCTAAATAAACTGGTAAGAAACTTGAATATAATGGATAAGCAATACCTAAAAGGGACCAAGATGAATACACTAAAGCAGTAGATCTAGCAACTTTTCTGGCGGAGAATAAAATCTGAACATGATGTTTAACTAAGGTGTAGATACCTGCAAGAGAGGTATCTTTTCTATAATCATCATTACTTTCAATTTCACCATATTGAGCTAATTGATCTAAAGTTAAAGAACAATTTCTGTTATATTTCTTAGCAATACTTTGTAAAACTTCAACAGCTTCAGCATCACGATTGTTGGAAACTAAAAACTTAGGAGTTTCTTGTAATCTAATAACTGTAACTCTTAATATGGCTAACACTAAAACGATAGCACCGTTAGTATAGAAAACATATCTCCAACCTCTGTTTTCATGAGATGGACAGTTTTCAGCCGAAGAACAAGAATTATTTGGTAAGAATGCATAAGCTAATAACACAGCAACAGTTTGACCAATAGACCAGAAGAAAGCAAAGAATGTTAATAACCATTGATCTTTATGAGGTAAGTATTCTAAAAACACACATGTATCTAAGACTAAATTACCACCACAAGCCCACATGGAAAGAACCATAAAGATACAGTAAGTGGCCATAGAACTCATAGCACCGTTCATGATGGTTAAAACAGCTGAAAGGAATAAAGAAAAATTGAAAGCAGTTCTTCTACCGATTAAATCAGCAGAGAACCCCCAGAATAAAGCACCAACTAATAAACCAATAGCCAACATTTCATTTGAAATAGGATAAGTCCAACCAAATTGATAATTAACATAAGTTCTGACACTACTTTCAATTTGAGAAAGTTGTGAATCGGTAGCGTAACCCATACCGTTTAAAAAAAATAATTTTAAATGATAAGGAGTGAAACCAATTTCATCAATAGCATCATTTATAAGTTTCATTTTTTTGGCTAAGATGGCATCATTACCTTCCAACTCATACATATCAGTATCAGCAGAGGATGAAGCATCATCTTCTGAAATACTGCGGACAGTATCAACGACGTTGAATTTCTTCTCTTCGTCTGTAGACATCTTTGGTGGCTATTTTTATTCTTCAAAGCGATAATAAACGAAACTTTAAAAGGATAAATTGAAAATTATTCAAATAGATCAGACATTATAAGAAGATATTGTTGAGAATTTATATGAATCAAAAGTATTTAATTCATTATCCTAATCAAGATAATAAAACACAAAAAATGATTTCAGGTAACTTTGATACTAGATAAGGCAAACAAATGAAGTACAGGCAAGTTTAGAAATTTGAAAAAAAAAAAAGAAAGATAAAAAATAAAATTATAGATAAATTATGGATAAATTCGTTCTTTGATTAGGAAGTTTTGTTGATATTAGGATAAATAAGGGGCACACGTTCTTATAAGGTGTTACATCACAATACTGATAACTAGTTAATACCAGTGTGAATTATCACTACTTAGTGTTAAGGTGTTGCATTAATTTAATTTATATAATTTTATATTATTTTTTCAACTTCTAATAATGATTAGAGATATTATTATCGGCAGCATTATTATCATTTGCTAAAACTTTAGATAACATTGTCGAATGATAACTTTAGAGTTCGTACTTACTACCAGGCAACGATGTACATATACTCTGTTGGGGACATTTTCTTTCGAAGCTGTAGATTTGATCCAGAAACAGAAATATAATCAACTCTAATTAGAGACAAGCCGAGCTTTATCTAAAACTTGTAAATTAAAAGGAAAATCATTCCGTAATTAGACTTATTATAATTACAACTCATAGGCTTTGACGTTAATTCGGAATCAACAAATGAAAAGCATATTTTTTGACCAATTTAGTGTGTCAATATTGTCGAAAAAAGCTGTTATCGCTCCCCTGATCAAAAATGAGTTATTCCTTATCTTTGGAAAAACAAAAATTATTTTTTTAGCTCATACGCTAATCCCAGAAGAGTAATTTCTCTCCAGACGCCATTCCTTCCGCTAATTTTGTATGGTGAGCGGAATAACACAAAAGTGCCGTAATTTAATCCTGATTAAGAATATCAACGAGTGGCTCCTCCACTCATTGTTTGACTAATAAATTTATAGATTTGTGTGGAATGTGTTTATAATTTACGTAATATGAAGTTTTAACTTGGAAGGGAAATGTAACCCAGTCCCTATTCGATAGTGTTTGAGCCCGTGTGTCGGATCCATATTAAAATTTCCAGATTTAGATGGATGCAAAAGTCGGAACGTAGAGAGAGATAGTCTTTATACATATGGCTTATTTTATAATTATAATTAAGCATCATAATGAAGTAAGGGTTGGTTCGTAATAATATCTTTTTAACTGGATGTAGTAAATATATGTCCGATTTTGTGATTAAATCTTATCATAAAATCCAAAGTAGATCCTATAAAACTTTAAAAAAGGCTTGGATTAAGCTATTATCGCTAGTTAACCAAAGACTACACAAATAAACATATCAATAAATAATGAATAAATAAAATTCTTAAAAATAAATAATCTAAACTACTCTAGTTTTTGAAGGTTCATATGGTAATAATAAGGCAACAAATCCGATAATACCAACAAAAGCTCCACAAATCCAAATAGGAATTGATGAACTAGTATTGGCATACCATGCAATGACTGGAGTGATAGCAGTTGCAATTCTAGTACATACCAAACAAAGACAGTTACCAGTTGCTCTTGCTGCTGATGGGAAAACTTCAGGTGTATAAGCATAAATAACACCATAATAGATATATAAAGCACAATATACAGCCGATGATAATCCTACATTTTCAGCTCTTGTTCTAATTGCAGTATATCCAAATAAAAGTGCCATGGTAGATACACCACCAATAAACATCACACCTCTACGACCTAATACCGGAACGTACAAAAGCAAGAGCCCTGCAATTATAGGTCCACCAATAGAAGCAACATTACTTATTAAATTATCACGATAAACTCCCGAGACATTATCAGCACTAATATTTGCTCCTCTTGTGGCTAAATATACAGGTAAAAATGATGAATATAATGGATATGTGATACCTAAACAAAACCACGAGAAAAATAATAATAAAGTTGATTTAGTAGTCTTTTTATTTAAGAATAAAATTTTTAAATGTCCTAAAGTCAAATTCCAAAGTCCTTTAAAAGTTGAATGTTTTCTATAATCATCATTTGATTCAATGGTTCCACATTCTTTTAATTTGTCTAATGTTAATGAACAAGTTCTATTATATTTATCAGCTATATCGTGTAAAACTTTAATAGCATCTGCATCACGATTGTTAGAAACTAAAAATTTAGGAGTTTCTTGTAATCTAACAATTGTTACTCTTAAAACTGCCAATACTAGAACGAATGCACCATTAACGTAGAAAACGTATCTCCAACCTTTATTTTCATGAGATGGACAATTATCATACGAGGAACATGAATTGTTTGGTAAGAATGCATAAGCTGTCAAGACAGCTAAAGTTTGACCAATCCCCCAGAAGAAAGCAAAGAATGTTAATAACCATTGATCTTTATGAGGTAAAAATTCTAAAAACACACATGTATCTAACACCAAATTACCACCACTTGCAAATGACATAAGTAGAATGAATATACAATATGAAGCCATAGTTCCCATTGTTCCGGTAAGAATGGTAAATATAGCAGAAAGAAACAATGAAAGATTAAATGCTAATTTTCTACCGATTAAATCAGCTGAAAATCCCCAGAATAAACCACCAGTGATCATTCCAACAGCATATGTTTCAGCAGAAACTGGAAAGTGATAACCAAATTGATAATTGACAAATGTTCTCACACTACTTTCAAGAAAACACAATTGAGTATCAACTGCATACCCCATACCATTTAAAAAGAACAATTTAAGATGATACCAAGTGAAACCAATCTCATCAATAGCATCATTGACAAGCTTCATTTTTCTCATTAATATGACATCATTGGCTTCCAAATCAACCATATCAAAATCACTTGACGAAGATTCATAGAATTCACTCTTTTCATATTGACCTTCTTCATCTTCGAGATTATCTACTTTAAACTTTTCCTTTTCGGATTGAAACGGTATAGCATCTGAACTATCCGATACTGTTACTCTCTTTATCTTTGGCATCTTCCACTTAATCTTGTTATCTTTATCAGCTGAAGACGGAAAAAGCAAATTGATGAAAAAAAAATAATTTTGAAAAATTTGAGAAACGCAAAATAAATAATAAAGTTGTGGGGGTGGGGCTATTATATACAAGGATGATTTATTAATAGAAATTAATTAAAATGAAATAATGAAAATTTTTTCTTATTTATATGTATATTTTAATTAATTATTAATTATATTGTGTAATAAATTGTTTATATTCGTTTAAGGTTTTAGAATTATGATGTAATTTTAAATTAGATTTAATTTCAATCTAGATTGATGTATGTCAATGTCTATCTAATTAGACATTCATCTGATCTATCACTTGCTAAACTTTTTTAAATCAACATAACAGTTACTATATAATCAATTTGAACATTTGGTCTTTATACGGATATCAAATCAGGCATATCAAATAATATCACCATAAACTTTTTACATTGCATGTTAAGTTTGACTTCTTTTTCCTTCCCGAGGCTAACCCAATTAAAAATAGGTTTCATTATTTTTTTTTACATGTTTTTTTTTTCGGAAGGTCCCCCTTAGACAAGAAATGCGGAAGCTCAAATGGGAAGATTATATTTGATTATTTTATTAGTGGTTATATCAAAATCATCACCTCCTGGGGTATGGTCCCGGTAATTGATTCCGTTTACTATTGGATTGCTTTACTTTTATTATTAGTATCTTTATGTTTATTAATTTGAAGACCCTGAAAAGAATATTTACACGAGCCGGGGATTGAATTAGGGCTAATAGCTATAATGGTTATTTACATGGATGTCCTTCTACTCGTAATCTTCAATGAACTTTTCTCTCATTGCCATGACCTTATCAAAAAGACACGTATAATCGGTTAATGAGTCGTTATTATGCTGAAGTCTTAAAATTATATCGTCTGGAGTCCAACTTTTGGAAGTGTAATCTTGAATTAAATCTCTAATATTAGTTAAAATGTTATAATAGTTTAAATTTGGTTGAATTAGATTTTCATTGAATTTGGGAATCTTTGAGTTATTTAATAAAAAGTCACCATCAATATCTAATGATTTAAATACGTTGAAAATCAATGAGATAAGATTTAATAATACTTGACATTTGTATTGATATAATTGAGATAATTCTAATAAATTGATTGGATCAACATAAAGTTCCTTAGATTTTGATCTTAAATGATACTTAAGTGGATTCTTTTCTATATCGTGACATAATTCGTATAACCATGATAATTCAATATCACTAGGAAAAGGTAATAGTTTTGAAAATTCCCAATCACCTAATATGTCAATCAGCTTTCTAATAAGAGAATACTTTGAAGTACCACTTGGATATCTATCATAAACAGCTAATTTTAACTCCTCTGATGGCGCAGGGAAATCTTCAAAGTTCTCTTTGAGTTCGGACAGAATATTGATATTAGGTACTGCTAATTTATATAGTATACCTTTTATATTTCCCCAATGAACAAAACTCTTCAATGCTACTAATATATCTGGTGAATTGAAAATGTCTAAACCATTATTATGGTGTTCGTCATTTTCTTGATCCTCAAGACTGTTACCATATCTTGATAAGTAATGTTTCATATAATAACCTTCAATTTTTGTACCAATATGATGATCTGTATGTAAAAAATTCAATTTAGCACAATATAATAAATCAATTCCAGTTAAAATATGTTGCTCTGCGATAGGATGATAACTTAACCATTCATCACATTCAGCTTTACAATCCAAGGGATCGAATTTACAATTATTGTAGTGTATTACACTTGAATTTTCAATTTCATACCATTTGTTAGCTTCTAATTGCTGAGCTACTCCAAGTATACTGCAACAAAAATCAGGGAAATCATTTAATATTTGTCCATCATTTATATTTCGAAGTATATTGAATGCAGATGCCTGTCCTACATTCATAGATATATCTTGGGGATAAATCACAAGATGCTTGTCTTCTTCTCTTATTCTTTGAAAATTGTTATTAACATAACGGTAAACGCGTCCTTTTTTGCTGTATTCTAACTTGTTTAATTCAGTAAACGAATTTAGTATTGCATCAGACACCGCTATTAATGCATCTGAACTGTAAACCATCTTGGTGTTGAATCGATCTTAAAGACTAGCCAGGAAGCGTTTAAAGAATTTGCTGTTCTTCATTTGATTTAGGCCCTCGAAGTTAACGAGAAAAAAAATCTAAAAATGTAAACAAACGACCAAAATTGGAATTTGACACAAAATAACGATTAACGGTTTTATTTACAAGTTCCAGAAGATGAAATTAATGATTAGGCTAATGATGATCATCTTTGACTTAACTGGACCGCCAATTTCATTGATACACAACCCTTAGCCTGTATATTTATGGATCAGCAAAGGGTTTGGTAATTATGATAATGTGAAGATCCTCTGAGTACTAAGCTTTTAACTCAATGAAATTCTTATCAGATTTAAGAAAAGTAAGACGCTGAGATCTAAATTAATTTGACAATCCTAACATACATGGCAATTACGGGTGATCTAAAGTGAAATACTAAGGTCAACTCTACACAAGAAAATTCATTATAACAAATCGTTCAACATATTTTCTTAATAGCATTGACAAGAAATAGTACAACATAAAATATAAGAATTCAATATATAATAATCTGCCGGAGAAATACAAATATAAAATCGATCGTTAATTTTTCATTTTACAGACTCATGTGAAAATTAAAAAGTGTTCAACGTATTATTTAAGAATATTAAGTACCACATACTTGGAGAGATTGTAAAAAATAAACTTAATAACGAAGTGTCAGCGTCAAACAGTTTTCTCGTAATTGGCAATCATATGCTTTTTCTTATGCAAAGCTGACAGTTAGGAGTCCTTCTTGATAACCTCCCCAGACTCCGATTTCAATTGGTGCGGAATAAATGGAAAGCGGACGTATATAATGTACATATGCCTACTCGCGCATGCTTCTGAAATCCAGTGGAGAAAGTAAAATGAGAAACTCGGTATAGACCAGTCCAACACGAATATATCATACAAATAGGCGTTTCATAATGATAAGCAATGGAGGACTATTTCAAGTCAAATAGGGGGCTTTGAGGATTGTGTAGTTAAGAAGGACTTCATGAAAAAAAAATGGTTTTAACAAATGTGATGCAAAGTGGTGAGATAATAATAGGATCAAAATGTGTACACAAGAAAATAAAGTATAATATTTTCATAGAAATTAGCTGTTACTAGCTGATGAGGAAGATAATAAACAGAATTGTCCCAGTTGTCACTTTACGTAAAACCAAGCTTTTCCTATTTTTTTTAACACAGTCTTCTCATATTTTTTTAAACTTTATTATGAATTTTTATTTTTTTCCCTTTCAATTGAGACATGGCATTACGGCGTCTAAAAAATTATTTAGTCTAATTGTAAAAAGTTCGAATTTAAAATCATGGCGATCACACACACTTTCACACACTCAATTAAACACTTCACCACTCAAACACTCCTTTATTTATATAATTCAAGTAATTTTCGTAAGTTAACACTCATGCTGAAGAGACGTCAAGATTAGGCGCATAGCAAAATTTACCGTTAGACATTCGTTAGGACAGCAATTTGTACAACTGAAACAGGTACAAATTCAATTTATAACGCATTTCAAAAAATGACAGAACCTGTGGTATCAGGAAATGACACATACATTCTCTTCATGTGTGCGAGTGGCTTTATTGTTAGAAAATAATTAATCTGTTAAGGGAAGAAAAAAAAAGGTCTCACTGCTTCCAGGCTCAACGGTGAGAGATACCTCACTAAGTTCTCACTAAATTATCTTTTTTTTTCTCCCTAAGCTTATTTTTTTTTCGAATGTCGTTTTGTACTTTTCATTGTGCATGAAACTGAGAGCTACAGTCAACAATAGCTGCTGCCAAGACAAAAACAGATCAAAGCAAAAATAATATCGTTAAAAAATAATCATATATATTTGAGCCTCCTTTTGTTCAAATTTACATAATTGGAGTTTATGGCGACCTAACTTACGGGATATTTTTGACTGACTAGTGTTAAGAGCATTTAAAAGTCATTTTTATAGAATGACCTTTTGAAATATGAAAATAATAATATCTTAAATAATATGGGCGACCATAAGATCTTGGATAACAATGCCCAAACAGAGAACCTAAAAGTATACAGAAAAAGGCGCAACAAAAGATTGAAGACATGACGAGGTACGAAATTAGACCACTTTTGATAGGCGATAAAGCATTTAAGGTTAGTTATATCACATCATTACGGTTGAAATGCAGACATATTATCTTATCAATACAGCAGCGATGCTGTCTACATAAATTAGGTTAGGTTAAGGGGCGAAACAGTAGTATGATTAAGACAAGAAATGACTGTTAGAATCGGATCATTATTAAATTATTAATTGCATAGTCCTGACAGAAGAATCGGTATCACTAAATCTTTTTTTTTTTCGTTCTTTCTATTGTTTTTAGGGCCATTATTTTTTTTTCTTGTGTGCCATGTATTGCTATATATTTCTTCCCCACTTTTCATAATGGCTTATCCTGTATATCTCACCTAATGGACAGTAAATGCAATTACACAAACAGCACTATGCCAATCAGGTCAAAACTGATTGATTTATGCAACATCACTTCAAGATTGAAATAATAAAGTCATTAAAAGTTGGATGACAACAGTAACCATGCGAATCATTTTTTGTAGAAGAATTTTTTTTTTTTTTCGGTACAACTCCTCCATCATTTTAACCCATTTACATTTTGACAGATGTTATGTATGTAATCAAAATAAATTCCAGTGAATGATTACCGTACAATTAGCTAACAATGGTTTTGAAATTTGTTACAATACGCTATGTTTGAGATAGATCGTATTGTTTTTAATTGTATAATTTCACTCTAGAATACACTGACACATATAATTCGTTCTAAACATTTTAATTGTTCGAAAACAGAACGAAGAAAAAAAAAATAGACGAACGCAATAAAGTGCATGAATATAGTTAAAGCATATGCGCGTTTACCTAGAAACACTTTCATATTTAACATACCATCAATATCAAGAAAACTAACCAGGAATTAAGTATCCTAAGCATAACATTATAAAGCATTCGTAATTAGATCATAATAGTTCTGGCAGGCTTTCCGATTATTTTTATTTTCATTCGTTAATAAATAATATCCTTATTGTGTTATATAACACCCTTTTACCGTTTTAGTTTGCAGCGCACTCTAAATTAAAAAATTAGGCAACCGGTTACCGCGAAGATGTTTGGAAAGGCGGGTATGAAAGGTTTGAAATTCAGGTTCAGTGTAAAGAATGGAGATGAATTGATACCAAATTAAATTTGGTCAAGAAAGTAGTAAGGTTTTCTTGTTCATGTCACAACTATGAATCATTTGGAAACTTAATTCAAGATTAAGAATTCATTGACTGATGATCTTATTGTTCTTTTGAAAATATGGTTAGTTCACAAGATGAAGCTATTCTTGGTAAACAGGAAAACATGGAACCATTAATCTTTGGTTATCTCGAAGCAAGAGAAATCGTTATATACAGACGCTTGGCTCATTGGTAACCTTTCTTCTCCACTGTATTTTGTGTCGGGATGCTAAGAATTTGAAATCTAATGATGGATCGTTGTCACAGTTTATTGATATAATTCTTATTTTTTTTTTTTTTTTTGGCTTATAGTTTTAATCTTTAACGTATGACTAAGTGGGTGGCAGTCGTCAATCGTTAATCATAAAAAATAATCCCTTTTAGGACAAAAGAAAAGAGAATCTCATTTTTTTTTGACACACAGACAAAAAAAAAGGATAAAAAAAAATCTTGCAAGCGAACAAAAAAAATCCCCCTTAATCAATTGAGGATAACGCTAATTGAACACAAAATAGTATAATAGGGAAAGAGAATGTGTAAATTTCTGCGGAAGTCTAGCCTAGTCCGCTGTTAATATAGAGTAATGTGTATGTGTATTGTAGTGTGGAGTAGTGTAGTTTATATATTTTGAAACTAACACATTTACCACATTCGATATTTACGAGAAATCAAAGTAACAATATACTTTACCAAAACTTATAATTTATTAAAAGATTTTTAAATTAATACCTATACCAAAATAATATAACAAGTTATATTTTGATGAAATAAAATAAATTAGAATAAATAAAAAAACCAAATATACATAATATAGAAAACCTGTTCCTTTTTCCTGTTCCCTGCCATAACCTATGAAAAACTAATGTTAAATAAAATCAAATCAAATTAAACTAATCCTCTTTTGTTCTTTTAACAGTTTTATCTTTCTACGACGAGCATTAATAAACCAATTGGATAATTGTTGTTGGTTTAAACCTGTAGCCATCATTAATTGATTCTTTTCGAATGAATTTGGGTATGGATGATTTAAATGGTCATTAAGCCATTTTAATAATATATAAGTAATTTCTTTAGGTAAATTATTTCTTGTTTTCCTCTTTCCATTACCATCACTAGAATTGGCTTGTAATTTATTCTTATTTTCGCTATTAGAATATTCATCTTCATCATCTTCACTACTTTCACCAATTGATCCATTACGAATATTTAATCCCATTGGAGGTGAACTATGAGTCTTATATAATGTTGGTGGAACGCCTTGTTGATGCTGGATTTGTACATAACCTGGACCTGGTACTTGTCTTTGGTATAAAGTATGATGCGATTGACTTTGTCTTAATGGAGGCGAAGCTAATGAACTGGTGATATGTTGAGTTGGTTGATGATGTGGATGTTGTTGTTGATGATGACTTGGAATGTTAACAGTAGCACCATATACTGGAGATGAATTACTTGATAATGGAGATCTTGTGGCTAATGATGGTGGAGTATTTAATGAATGGGATGGAGTCATTATACCATGATTATGTACACTACTACCATAATAGTAGTTATTATTGCCTTCATATACTTGTGTTGGGTGAGAAGGTAAATATCTATTACCATTGGCATTGATAGGAGGAAGTAATGATCTAGAGACCCTCAATTGTGGAGGTTGAAGAGCAGTTTGAATTGGAGCAGTTGGTTGTTGAATAAGATGAGGTTGATGTTGTGGAGGTATAGATTGATGATTATGATGATGATGATGATGATGCATTGGAGGTAATAATATATCTGAAATGGGAGGCAAGTTTATTTTAGTAGGTGTATTATTACTAGTACTATTTACAGTACTAGTTGGAGTAGATGAAGTATTTAGCATGGTGGTTACAGTCATCACAAATATTCAAAACTTAAAGATAGCTAAACAGCAAAAACTAAAAGTAAATTAAAAAAAATCCAAAAGGAAGATTGATTAAACCTCTTTTTTTATATTTTACAAAAGGAAGGAGAAATCAGTTTCATTATATTCTATTTATATTTAAGTTTAAAAAGACAGGCAGACACTTCAATTATCATTAATTTTTATTTTTAAATATTTTTAAGACCTGAAATCTGGTCTTTTTTTTAAGTATTTTCTTAAATTTCTTGGTATTTACAAATGTTAAAAATTTAAAAATTTATTTTCTTAGCCTTGAATGTATGTACATTTAAGCAAAAATAAAAAATAAATAAAAATAACAAACCAAATCCAAAAAAAAAAAACTATTCAGAAAATAAAAAAAAAAAAAAAGAATTAAACCCCTTCATCAGTATTTTTGATTTAAAAAATGTCAAAATTTATGCTTTGTGTAATGCATCTTTCGCTATTTTATTTTTATTTTCTTGAAAGGCAGCAAAATCTGTTCCGAGGAGAAAGAAAAAAACTAAGTTTACGTAGGATTGATTAGTGAAGTTGTTGCTCGCAGCGGCAGTATTTTTTTTTTTTTACCTTATTTATTATTTTCTGTTTATCATCTTTTCAAGTACGAGAAAATGACAAATTCCTTAAATTTAAAATTAGAAATTACACCTGTCTTATCAACATATTATCATTACCGACGATTTTTACAGCAATTTATTTTGGTTTTGCGCATCAAGGCTAATTCAGTATTTATACTGAAAGGGTATATGAAGCGATATTATACCGTTTGCAGTTCGTTTCAAGTCATGTCTTTGCAAACATAATTTAAGTATTGTTTCAGTTGTATTTCATATTGTAGGTGGTAGTATTTAATGATTTTTTGTCTTTGTATATAGCTTAACTTAAATGTCTGACAAACTGCTAATCTTTAAAATATGCTTTAATACATCATAACCCTTCAGATTGATTTACAATAAGTAATTATAATCATGATTGTATCGATTATTTCAGTTTCTTTTATTTTCTTTACTTCTCTGTCCTTTAAACTTTATTTTAAGCTTCAATCGGGGTTTCATTTTGTTTAGATGCAACACTGTCCGATGAATCCTTTCCATTCTACGCGAATAGAATATACTTTAGCCATGTCCCCCATATTCCTACTGTTTATGGCAGACAATACGATACACGCTCAACAACAAATATATAACCATTTATTCAAATGACACCACTATCATTGTTGTAACTAATTCCAAGAAGATGAAATAAGATTCAAAAAGCTTAACTTTATTATTTAACATAGTGTGTGTTTAAAACTAATGAGAAAGAAAGAAAAAAAAGTTCGTATCTTCGTCAGTGAAAGAAAAAAAACAGAACATAAAAACAAAAAAACAACTAAAGAAAGATATAATTTTTAAGTGTAAAATTAAAGGGAGAAAGAGATTTTATAACAGTTAAAAATAACGGGAAATAGCCCACAAAGGAAAAATTCTAGTATATTTTTTGGCTATTTGTGCTTTGCAGTTGAATTTTAAGTTGAGTTTAAACAGCAACTTGAAATAAGCGATATGTCTAACGTGTGCTAATTGGATGATGAATGTGCTTATTTCAGTAGTAACAATAGTAATTTTCGATTTACTAATTCATGTGTGCTTGCTTTTTTCCTTGTTTAAATTTTCTTCTTTTTCAAGGATTGTCGATTTAGTCTTTGTTTTTCGTATGTGAAATGTGTATGTCTTCACCCCATGACACAATTCGCAACCGTGCACATACTGAGACTTACAATTATGAGCTTCATGTTACATACAAAAACAAATAACTCATGTATATGTTTAATTATTATTAATTGGACTGTAGTTCCCGCCATTTGGTTTGAAACTTCGACGAGTGGGCTGTTGTAGCATTAGCAGCATCAAGTTTCCAAATCAGCAAAAAAAAACAAATCTTTAAGGTTACGACGGGCAAGACAAGAGAACCAATTGTTTTTTAGATTAGAATACCAAGAATTCACGTCAATTATGAGATAATCTTCAAGCATAAGAAGAGTTAAGTCAAAATTATAACCATGTAGAATGATCGAGCCAAGAATTCATTATTCTGGAGTCGGAATTTAATTGAGATTATTATTGCGATAACTCCTACCCGAGAAGTCCATCTTCTCTAACTCGCAACAACTTGCTATAATTCGTTCATTTACTTGACATACAAGCGATTTCAATGTAGTTATCTTTTTACTTTGCAGTTTCGTAATATGTTAAGTCTATGATTTTCTGTCATAAATAGAGATTATTTTAGTGGTAGCTAGAATTTCGCTGTGTTTTTTTTTAGTGAGAAGAAACTATAATCGCCTCCTTCCATCGATATAATATTTTCTAAACACAATGGTTACACAAAAGTGCCCAGGTAGAATAACAGGGCACGATTGAAGAGCAGATTGCCAAGATGGTTTTACTTCACTCAGGTGTAAAAACTAAACTCTTAAGCCCTTTAACACAGACCAGATCGTGGTTGGGACCTAGATTAATTGAGTTCAAATAAAACAAGTGTGGTGTAATTTAAGTTCTAAATTAGAATATCGTTTAGCTCCTAACGATCTGTAATTACAAGTTTAATAAAATGGTCTAAGCCTAGAGGGTACTTAATGTTTCATTATTTTGAGAGGCTTTTTAAATTATTTTTACATTTCTTTTAGTCCACTAATTTTTTTTTTCCCTAGGTGTACCGTCCCCTTCCAGTGACAAAAAGTTAAAAATTTAAAATTAAATTGGGTGAATACCTGCATGTAATTCTAGTTATTTTTTTAATTTGCCATTAAAAAATAATTTCTATAATGCACAAAGTTTCGTAGTTGTCCGAGAGATTATAATGTGTATGAAGAAAATGTAATGAGGTTGAATGTTTCGATGCAATCTATACTGACACATTTTCCAGAATATATCAAGGATTGATCAGTACATCTGAGTTAGTAATGATGTCATGAATCTATTAATCAAAACTAAGAGATATTGGATGCACCAGAGTAACCATTCAAATTGGCTAGCATTTGGTTGTAAATTGATACTAACGTTTTGTAGATTACTCCTTATTTTCGGTCATGTGAATCTAGTCACCTGAAATATACGAAAATTTGCTTTTGGTGCAAAGACCTCTAAATTGAGTTGGTCAAAAATAACCGCTTACTAAGAAAATTGTATAGGTAAAAGCATGTCATTAGAAACCATTATATACAGTCCGATCCCTCCCCAAGATGATGTAGTCTTTTGTGTTCTTGTATTCATTTGCGTCTTATAAATAACTCAACATAGCCAACCTTTTATTCTAATTAAGTATAGAAGTCTGTATCGTTGTTATATATCATGATTCCGATTATATGGTCGATCTTTTGCAGTTGTTCAACTACTGTAATTCCATTGGCGTTAACTATCAAGTCTTTAGATTCATCCTTAGTCAATATACAGATTCAATCATATCAATTTTTACTAAATTATTGGATATATTATATCATTTTACAATACATACAATATCAATTTCTTAATCATGATTTAATCTTTGTTTCTGTGGTATTCAGTTTAATTAAACTTTGGTTATTCTATGGAAAGAGTTCAAATTTGCAATTATTGAATAGATTTATCTTAAATAAAATATGGGGTAGCAACAATAATGAATTGAATCTTACTACCACTGGAAATGGATTAATCAATATAGAATTAAGAGTTATAGATCCGTTATTAAAAAAATACATATACACCAGTCACTCCTATCAACAAATTACCATACTACATCATTATTTGAATCAATTGGGTAGGAAATATAATAATCCCTCACTGCCATCAGTTGGTTCTCCTGACAGCAATAATCAATTTGAAGAAGTTAGTTTTATTTATTTAGATAAGTTCATTCAAATAATACGATTTTTTATGGTTCAATTCCTAAATTATACATCAGATACTAAAGTTCCATTACAATTGCAACCACAAAGGTCATTATCACCATTTGCAAATAAAAATAAGACCATGAAAAAGATAAGAAAATCAAATTCAGCGAATTCATTGAATGGTATTAGGTCAATCAGTACACCTCCTCCCTATCCTACTCAGGAAAATGAATTGATATCGTTACTTTCAGTTGAATCAAAATCCAGAAGTGTTTCACATGATTATCCTATAAATAGTAATGTTGGAAGTTCTAGCGATAATAGACAACGAGCAAGATCAATCGGTGAAGTAACTGGAAATGAATCATTCCGTATAACTCCGATGTCGATTAAAGCAGTTAAACAAGCTCAAGTTCCTCATACTCACTCTCATCATCATACTCACGTCTATAACCAACAGCCAACACAAGAACAACAACCATCCATGGTGATAAATAATCCTAAAGAGCAATTAGATCCCCTACCTACTCCGCAACAGCATCTTATGATGAAATCTACTATGAATACGAAGAATAACTTACAATATAAGAGATTCGCATAAGTGCAATATTCTGTGAGTCCATGCCATTTATTCAATCTTGGCGTATTTCATATTATTATTTATTTTTCCTTTCTATATATATATATATATGAGCTCGTAATGAGATATGATCCCTTTTTATAGATTAAGTTTTAGAATATAAACATACATATTCGTACATGGGGTAGAAACAGTTCCTGAAATTCATTTTAATTTTTCATTTCAACTATCTCTGATTTATCAACTCATCATGAAGTTGACATGTTTAGACATACACTTCATTGATATTACATCTTTTCACTCTGTCAGTTGATATATCAGTTTCAGCAGACCATCTTATTGAATTTGACCCAGTTTATATGCAGACCAAGGGATAATGTAAAATTACATCATAACAGTAAATTTTTCTAATTGTGCGCATGGTTTTTTATTTTAGTGATTAGTGGGGGGTCTAGCCAGGGAAGGGAGTCTAAATCGCACTTTAGTGCATTCTGTAACTTTAGTTGTAACAGAGCGATATATATCTATTCATAAAACCCACGATGGATATATGGTTTGAAATCTTTGTGGAAAAATAACATAGATGAATTTGATCAGCTAACCTTATAAGCAATTCAATATTCCGCCTTTGACATGACAGTTTTCCGTTAGGTTTGCTTTTAATCTGTACATTTCATTTTCACTTTTAAGGTTTTAATTCTTTTTTTTTTTTAGTTTTTGACTGCTGCTGCTGCTGCTGCTGCTGCTGTTGGTTCTTCTGTCGTGCCGTTCGCCATAGACAGACACCGATACAAAACTATGAAAATTTTAATTCTGACTTTTTCAATAATTCTGACGTGATAACGATGTCAGAGTCACATAATTTGAAATTCGAGGGATTAATGAAGAGCAAATATTTAACCTTTAATCAGAATTAAAGACGCATATCATCATTACCTTTAGTTAGTCTTTGTTTAATATATATTTGAAAATATTTCCCATGAAGATATAAAATCAAAAATCAAATTATTACTCTTTGTTCATTGTAGGTAAAGGAGTTATAAATAATTTTATAACGTAACTACCGCAACGGCATAATCACGGCTGAATCTACGAACACAAGGAGAATTCAAAAAAAAATTAGCAATCTTTTATATATATTATTTTGCTAGGGAGGCACTACACATTGTCTAGCTCTTATTGTATTAACAAAAAGGAACGAGAAATATACAATTAAAGGTAACGCAACTTGATATCATCATTAACATCAGTTTAAATATTTACAATAGCATACTATAATTTTAACTTAAAATTAATTTGGGGTGGTGGTAGGAAATTAAATTACAAGTTTTTTTTTATATTTTTATTTTCGTCTAAACAATATTTATTTTTGGTAATTTTATTTTTTATTTTTATATTAGGTTTAAAAACTGTCAATTTTTTGGGTTGTTTTCATTTCTAATTATTATAATTCAAAAACAGGTATAGATTGATAAATTTCCAATTCCAATTCCAATTTCAATTTGTTATTAGACCTATCAACCAATCCATTGATTAAGTAATTCTAAAGGGAAAAGGGGTCTCATTTAAGATAATGAACCCAGTCATTGATATCCCAGTATCATCGTTACCAGAATCAATTCAATTAACTACTACTACAACTTTTGTACAGCCTCAATCTTCTCCTATTCCACCTACTCCGGCTACTCCTACAGCATCATCATCATCAACGGCATCAATAAGCTGTAACAATACTAATACCATGGCTACAGCAGCCATTCCCATAAATAATACCCCAGGGTCAAATAATCAACATTACACTGCCTTCTCATCTGGTGACACAAATTGTAATTCAAATAACATACAAGCTTTACCTTCCACACAATCTACAAGTGATCGTTTCAATAACCCTACTATTAATAATACTCCACGAACTCATAGTACTAATGCTGACGATTCAAATATTGAAGTAGTTGCTCCATTACCAGTAGTCAAACCTAGTGCAGCAGAAGTTTTGCAACAAAGGCTAAGATTAAAAGAAGAAAAATTGAATGAAATTAAAAATCAATGTTCATTATTAATAAGTGAATTGGATTCAAATCAAGATCCAGTAGCCATTGTTAAGAAACATATCTCCCAATTAAAGAAATATAATGAATTAAAAGATATTGCTCTTGATTTGGTTAGATTAATTGCCGAGCAACGACATGTAAAGACTAGTGATATTTTTAATGAAATGGAAGTCGATGTTAAAGATGATTGATAATCTATTTTGAAATCAATTGTCTTATAATTAGATCATTCGACTCACCTGTAAATATAGTGGGAACATTAGCTACCGTTTTTACTGGATAGACGCGGTTACGATCAACTGTCTATGTAAATATCTAAAACAGCTTAATATTTCACTAGGTTTTTATTTTTTTAAAGCTTAAAAATAATCACATTAATCTGGCAAAATCCTGAAAGACAAGTTCAACCTTACACAATTACAAAGTTTACAACAATAACACTCATTCACTTCATTATTTCATACAATCTTTTTATGCTTTACGTCTAAATTTACAGTTCATGATAAACATGTATATACATAGCTCGTCCCCATAGAGAGTTGGCTAGACCCATTCCAGATTTTACCTGTACTTAATTATCCTCCATTCACTTCCGTTCCTCAATTAACTTACTTTTGAATTTGAAATATATGGTTTTATATTAATTCATTTTTTTGAGTTGTTTCTTTATTTTGATGTTTATTTTTTCCTTTTTTTTTAATGCTCCATTGTTGTTTTAATCAATTGTTATCTTTTATAGTTTTGTTTGGTTACAATTTAGTATCGCTTGGTTTGTGCAATAGGGTTATGTTGTATTCAATTTAAGTTGCTTCTTTATTAATCTTTTTCTCTTAATATTACTGATATTTAGTTACGCATCCTTAATATCTCACTTGCTACGTTATATATACTGTTTATAATACTGCACACGTTAATAATCACCTAAAGTCATATCAAAGTTATGATTGTAGATAGCTATTTTATAGTCGTACTAAATAATTTAACCCCACATTATAAACACTGTCATTTTAAAGGGAATAAAATAATATACTCCGTATAATCTATATAAGACATATACAGAAAACATCGAACTATACTTTTCCACATCTACATCATCCATCCATCACACACTTTTCATTAAAAAAATAATACCTCATAATTAATAATCTTCTTATTGTTTTATCAATGATGATGGGCTCAGCTGTTGCAAATCAAAATTGATAATGTCGTCAGATTAACCCGCACGACAATGTCTCGTCCATGCAATCTGAAAATGAAACCAAAGAAAAAAAGAACAAGCATAGAAAAAAAGAATAGAATAGAAAGACAAAAAAAAAAAAGAAAAGGTTAAAATTTTTACTCTATTTAGGGATAGAGATCTTCATCCATCATTTTCATCAACCATATACTAAACCATCATCGTCTAATCCATCTATCAGACCTATTTGCTATTCTCCCCCACCCTCTAGTCATATCTATACATCCGAACCTGAAGTAACAGCTGAAGTAATCAACTATCACAGCCTCCCCAGACTCCATTGATTTGAATTGCGTGTACAATTTTGGTCTACCTTTTTTTTTTTGTCCCGTATCGATTTATACTCAGACTACCATAACCAAAGCATTATATGATTAGTGATTGAATAGTGATTAGAGTGAATCCAATAACATGCGTCCGATCTATTTCCTAATAGGTGTAATATCTATATTCATATCGTTGATATATGGGTCACCCCGACTAGAGAAGATCACCACTCAATACTTACCAAATACCAATAATCGAATAAATCATCAACAGAATGCATATCAATATCATACACAGCCTCCAACAGTAAGGAATCCAAATCAAGAAACTACACAACAACATCAAACTACTACAAGGAAAGATTCATTAGTGCCATTGGATTTAAGATCGATTGAAGATTGTAAACTTACCGATCAATTACTAATCAGTGATATTGATGGGAATTTACATGGAGTAGAAAGAAATAGTGGTGCTTTATTATGGACTTTACCCATTGAAGATCCATTAGTCAAGATTCAAACCAATAATACATTCGATAGCTCAAGCAGTCAATCCAATATCCTTTGGTTTGTAGAACCTTATCAAGATGGTTCGTTATATTATTTCACTCCTAAATTTGGTTTGAATAAATTACCAACCAGTATCAAAGATTTAGTACTTGAATCTCCTTTTTCATTAAGTGGTGATGATAAAATATACACAGGTACAAGAAAAACTTCATTATATACCATTAATATCTTTACAGGTGAGATTGTAAGTTCATTTGGTAATAATATTCCTGAACATTGTCCAGTTCCAAATAGTCATTATCAAAATGCAAGAACTATGAATAGTAATATCGATGATACCATCATGATTGGTAAAACAACTTATGAATTATCAATCTATTCCAAATTAAATACTAATATTGTTTGGAATGTTACATATTCCCAATGGGGACCAAATAATATTGATAATGATTTAATCATGCAAAATCAACAAAGTTTGGATGAATTATATTTCACTCCATTCCATGATAAATCATTATTAGCTATTAATAAAAACTTGGGCACTCCAGTTTGGATTAGTAAATTACCATCATTAGCTGTAAGTGTATTTGATGTATTTAATAATTTAAAGACTTCAGAATATGTTATACTACCACATCCATTAAAGGTTTTAAATGATTTACAAATTCAAATAGATGATGAATCATTTTCGAATAATAATGATTTGGTATTTATCAATAAAACTGCTAATAGTGATGAATGGTTTGCCATGAGTTTTAATAACTATCCAACTTTGATTAAGAGTGCTCCTGTTTCAAAATATCAACTTTCACTTTATAAACTCTATAACAATCTCGTTGACATTGAAACTATTGATTATTTAAAGAACTTTCAATTATTGACTAGTCCAAAAAATGAAGTTGAATCATTAATTAATGGCATTCATAAATGTTTCCCCTTGTCAAGTCATACATCTTATCAACCAAGTTCAAGATTCGATATCGAAGATCATTCTATTAAACAAATTGGTGATGGGTCAGATTTTGACATTGATTATCATGACAGTAATCACCATAGTACAGGTAAAAGTCAACAAATCTTGGATAATCCAAATAAACTTATTGATGGTATAAAATTCCCAGATGGAACTCCAACTCCAGGTTATGATTTAATGGTTGTGGATCAATCTCGTGAATTACTTGAGCCTACATACCAGTACGATGAATTAATGGCCAGTGCACATTCCTCAAATAGTCTATTTGCTGGTGGTATTATACGAAGAATTTTTGAAGATTTGGTCGTGTTGTCCGTACTTTTTGTCCTCTTAATGACATTTGGTAAATCTTCTAAATATGTCATCGCCATTCAAAAGTTATTGTTTGAGAGAGGAATTGAAGTCGATGATGAAGAAGAGGAAATTGAAGAAGAGGAATTACATAATGATGAAATGAAAAAAGACAATACAAGTACTGTTAAATCCTACGAAGTTTCCAGTTCAGATTCTTCAAATGATAAATTCATGAATGACGTTACGAAGCTTTCCACCAGTAGATCTATCAAAAAGGTAACTATAGTAGAACCGAATGAATCTTTAGAGAAAGAAGAAGCTGAACCAGGACATGATATAGCCAAAGTTGAAGTTTTAACAGAAGATTTTGAATTGGTAGATAAAATCGAAGGTGAAGAAGAAGAAGAAGTCGCCACAAAGAAGAAAAGAAAGAGAGGTAGTAGAGGTGGTAAAAGGGGTGGAAGACATATCAATAAGAATAATTCGAATAATGAAAACAATGACTCAAATGAAACTGCAAATACTGAAAATGATGATGATGATACTAATGCTGCAGAAGAAGAAATTATAACCACTCAAAGTTTAGTTAAAAGTTCAAGTGCTCCTATTAAGATTCCTATTAAGAAATTACAAATTGAAAATAACTTAATCATTTCTGATAAAATTTTAGGTTATGGTTCTCATGGTACTATAGTTTATAAAGGTACATTTGAAAATAGACCGGTGGCAGTTAAAAGAATGTTATTAGACTTTTATGATGTTGCAAACCACGAAGTTAGATTATTACAAGAAAGTGACGATCATCCAAATGTAATAAGATATTTCTGCTCCCAATCTAGTCAAACTGAAAAATTCTTATATATCGCCTTGGAGTTATGTCTATGCTCTTTGGAAGATATTATTGAAAAACCTAAAAAGTCATTAGTCCAACAACATTTAAGTATCGTCAATGTTAATGATGTTTTACATCAATTAGCCAGTGGATTACATTACTTACACTCCTTAAAGATTGTACATAGAGACTTGAAACCTCAAAATATTTTGGTAGCTGATGCCAAGAAAACCAATAATCGTTCAACTAAATCGTCGTCAACTGTTAAACTTAGTCAACAAGAAGAAGAGAATAATGTTAGGTTATTAATATCTGATTTTGGATTATGTAAGAAATTAGATAATGATCAATCTTCATTTAGAGCAACCACTCAACATGCCGCCCTGGGAACTTCTGGATGGAGAGCTCCAGAATTATTATTAAATCATGATTTATCAGAAATATCACCGGATACAATTTCATCAATTGGATCAAATACCGTTAATAGTGGTACTGCTGCTTCTACATCTTCAACACTTACTGGGGGTAAGAGGTTAACCAAAGCTATTGATATTTTCTCTTTGGGATGTGTATTCTTCTATATATTATCAGGAGGAAGTCATCCATTTGGAGATAGATATTTACGTGAAGGTAATATCATTAAAGGAGAATATGATTTATCATTGTTGGCTACCAAATGTCCTAAAGATAGTCATGAAGCTGAAGATCTTGTTTCTCTGATGATAACGGCTAATCCAAATAAGAGACCTAACACTTCCAAGATATTGAGACATCCATTATTTTGGTCTACAAATAAGAAATTGGAATTTTTATTGAAAGTCAGTGATAGATTTGAGATTGAAATACGTGATCCTCCAAGTCCTTTATTACAAAAACTAGAAGAGAGGGCCATTACTATACATGGAGGTGATTGGCATCTGAAATTTGACGCTGAATTCTTAGATAATCTTGGAAAATATAGAAAATATCATACTGAAAAATTAATGGATTTATTGAGAGCATTTAGAAATAAATACCATCATTATAATGAAATCCCAGAAAATTTACAAAAACAAATGAGTCCTTTACCAGATGGATTCTATCAATACTTTAATGAAAAGTTCCCTAACTTGTTAATGGAGGTATATTTCTTAATTGAAGAAAACTTATCTGAAGAACACCTTTTCAAAGATTTTTATTGAAACAATATCATAGTATGACGAAATTATAAAAAACAAACAAACTTACAAAAAAACTACAAAACATTTACTTGTTATGATGATGCATATGAAATAATTTAATTACAATTCTTCCTTCTTTTAGAATCCCGATAAAACCATCATAAACTAACAAAAACAATAGTCGGCGAATGGGATTCTTTAACTTTTTACTACAACTTATTCAATTTTGAAACGCATTTTTTTTTTTTTAATCTTACATTGCTTCAGTTCTATTATTATCATATAAATACTATTATGTCTAATGTCATACATTAGTTTTATTTACAAATATATATCCTTATAAATTTAAATTCTTATTTTGTAGAGTTTTTCTTTTTGGAAAGCTTTGGTTTAGTGACTTTATTGTTTGTCTTTGATTTAGTCTTTTTCATTGGGGCTGATGATTTAGCCTCAATCTTGGAGTCTTCTTCTTTCACATCATCATCATCATCGTCACTTTGACTATTAAACTTGGTATGTGTACCCTTAAAATTTGATGCACTGATAGCAGGAGAAGATAAACTGTTAGGCACGGCTTGACCACCACTATTCTTAAACCCTAACGTATTCTGTAAGAACTGTTTAGCCTTTTCATTTTCTTCCTTTTGTTGAGTATCACTGGTTTCAACATTATCTTGTAAATCTTTAAATCGTTTCATGAATTGTTTTATTCTTCCCAATTCCTTCATAATAGGATGTGAATCGGTCTTAACCCCAAGGGACTTGATATAGGCAAACAATACCGATATCACAGTATATGTGAAATCATTATAAAGCTTTATCTTTTCTATTGGATCATTGTTACTAACATTTCGAGCTACTAGTTCATGTAATGATTGTTTTAGTATTGGTTCTAAGGAAGATTCTAGTTGTGCTGTACTTGAGTCTAACGACTTTATGAAAAGTTTAATATTCTCTATATTTTCCATGATGACGTATTATACCTCTTATGATCTTGTCGTGGGATGCTATTAGACTAGTGGATGAAGATATGTTTTAGCGTTTACGCTTGATATTTTTAGGTCAGATTTTTGAGATGCTCATTTAATTTTTTTTTCTGGTAACTTTTTATGATATCTGCAAAATCATATACTTAAGACATCAAATTTGATATAGAACCAGAGCAAGATGGCAGGCCCTAGAAAGAATAGAGATATATTAACCGGTGGTAAAAGGTATGCTGAGAAAGCTGCCAAGAAACATGCTGTTGATGAAGTCGTGTTTGATAAAGATTCAAGAGAAGAGTATTTAACTGGGTTTCATAAAAGAAAATTACAAAGACAAAAGAAAGCTCAAGAATATATAAAAGAACAAGAAAGGATAGCTAGAGTTGATGAAAGAAAGAAGATGAGAGATGAGAGAAAGAAGGATTTGGAAAATCAATTAAAGCAATTTCAAGAAACTGTTAAGAAGATATCGACATTGGATGATTCTGATGATGAGGAAGAGAAGGTTGAAAAAGAAGAATGGAAAGGATTTAAAGGAGAACAAGCAGAAGAAAGTGCTGATGATAACGATGACGACGATGATGAAGAAGAAGAGAAACCAGTTTCTAAAGGTTCTGCAGCCAAACCACTCAAGGGAATATTACATCATACAGAAATATACACTATTGACAAAGATGAACCCGTTTACGCATACAATCCTAATAATGGTAATGCCATAATAGATGACGAGACTGAAGTTGTGGTTGAATCATTGGATAATCCAGCTATAGTGAGTGCCCAAGAAGCTAGTTTAGCTGCCATTGCCAAATTAAATAATGTTAATCTTGAAAAATCAGAAGAGATATTAGAAAAGACCATCCATAAAGCTCAAAATTATGCTAAAGTGGTACAGAATTATGAAAAGAAACAACATCCACAAAAGAAGAAGAAGTTCAGATATCTTACCAAAGGTGAAAGAAGAGAAAATACCAGAAAGGAAAGATATAAAGGTAACTCAAAGAAAGAAAGATCCAAAGATAAAGCTAAGGATAAAGGAAGTAAAGATAGAAAGGGTAAAAAGTGATGTAACTATAGAATTCATTTTTCTCAAGTAATCATAGCATTGTGAAGTATGTATTAAACCACTAATATATTTATTATCATTAGAATAACTGATGTAGAGCCATACCTTGATATAATACCTATTGGTTATATTGCAAACATCAAATCCGGGTAAATTCTCATAAATTGTGAGGATTTTGAAATTTTTTTTTCATCTCATTACCACTATAAATTTTTTTCCATAATATAAATTGGATTTACTTCTTCTTCTTCCTTCCTTTCTTCATCAACAACAACTATTAAAGAGTTGTGTACGATATATCATTGATATATATACGTATAATGAGTATGTTAATCCAACCAATCTATATGAATGCATGAATTAATGGAATCTTTATATTATTATGATGACAAGCTGTCGCCCCAAACGGAGGCTCCTATTCAGGACTATGACCGATTCGATTCAATGCCAAACACACTGAAAATTCTGATGTATAATATAAAGAAGTTCATTAATTGAAAGTATTCAACTTTGAAATCATTTTAGACCTTGTTTAACTAACATTTTATGAAATTAGGAATGACTGAATTGTTTTGATATGCAAAATTTTTGTACTATCCACTTACTGTAAAGTGAATCATTCTAGAGAGGACTTTAGTTGATTAACTTTCCAGAGTGTTGTGGTTTATTTCTTCCCATTATATTGTGTATATATTCATCAATGGTTTTCTATTGTTCTCTATGTATACGTACCTTTTAATATATTGATTGTTCTTATTTCAATATTACCAATTTAAACCTAGCGGTCCAAAAGGATGATTTGAAAGGATAGTTAATGGCTAATGATGTTTCCATGCTAATCATGAATACTTCTGATTAAAACATACTTAAATCGTGCTCTTTTCCAAAGAGGAAAGACACGTCTGAAGCCTTAATTTTACTTGATATCATCTTTTTGGAACCCACTTACAAATTTAAATTCTCTTTATTCCTCATAGTAGTCATCAATGTGAACTATTATTTATTCGATTCTACGTCCCTGCTTTAGATATTCATCCCACTGATTGATTCAAATCAAGTTGATTCAATTTGGCTGTAAATTCAAAAATTTGTGCTGTAAAAATGACACGCAAAAATAAATTTTGGCTGCGTGTACGTAAACAATCGATGTCAATGAAATTTATTTGAACACAGTTACAACAATAGATAGTTTGAACTAGATACGCCCTATCGAATAAGAGGAGTTACTCCTAATTCATACCTCGATTGACTAGAGAATACAGAGTATTATATTATACCGTCTTCCAAACCCCAGAAAAGACGTGATATTCATTCGTTTGTGATCTTTCAGTTATAAGATCTCATCTTAGCAACATAATCATCAACATCATTCATTTATAGAAGACAACTTGTCACCATCATCATATCAGCAACATCATCATCATACTATGGAACAGGAAATTGATTTTGAAACTCCTACCCATGAGCTTTTATTCGATGATTTGATACCGTTACCATTCAAAATCTTATTCATAATACAATTTGGTACCTTTTTATGGTTCTTATTGGTTTACTTATTATACAATTTCACCAACATTAATGTATTAAGATTATTGGATTTATCCTATAATAGTCATAATTATTCCCAACTAGATGGTGAAACCACTATTAATAATAATGGTAAACCTGTGAATGCCAATCATAATCTTGATGCATCATCAGGAGAATTCAAGACTAATTTACCACCTGATTTTAAAGAGAATCATTTATTATTAAATGGTATTTGGAATAATTTAAAAGCCATTACTTTAATAAATTTCTTAACTTGGTCATTATTTAAATTTGTTCAATACTTTTATGAACAACCTATTGAACATGATAGGAAAAAGACTATTTTAACGGAAATGTTAACACCATTATATTATATTTTACCAATTTCAGCATTTTCATATTTATTTTATAGATTATTTTATAAATCCAGAGTTTCAGCATTAAATCATAAAGGCCAAATTAGAATTTATACTACTATGACCAGAATTTTAGTGGGTGGAATCAACTCAGTTTCTATGAGAACAAATGATATTTTGATTTCAGATTCTTTAACATCTTATGCTAAAGTTGGAAATGATTTTGGACTTTTCTTTTGGAATTATTATTATTCAGATGAAGTAAGTTATAATATTCAATTAGAATTTGTTATATTATGTATTCCAACTTTCATTAGAATCAAACAATGTTGGTGTGAATTTAAAATCTCAAGAAAATCTCAACATTTATTAAATTTATTAAAATATACTACTGCATTAGGTCCATTACTTATCAATCTCCTTATTAAATATCATCTTACTTCAGCTAAGAATGTCGATGATGATGATTTAATCCAACAAGCCTTATTAAAAAGAGTTGAATCATTAAATACATGGTGGTATTTCTTTTCATTTATAAATTCAGCTTATTCATTCATATGGGATGTGAAGATGGATTGGAATTTAGAATTATTTGATTCAATTATTAATCCTCGTAAGCCTTTTCATATGCTTAGAGATTCATTGGCATTTAAATTCACTGGTATTTATATCTTCATTATTATATTTGATTTCTTGTTTCGATTCGTTTGGGTTTTGAAATTATTTATTATAACTGATAAACATGAAAGTCAAACTAATTTACATGTTTTCTCCACATTTTTATTTGGATATGATGTATTTTCGTTTGGTTATACTGTTTTAGAAACGATTGAAATCATCAGAAGATGGTTATGGTGTTTTTTAAAATTAGAATCAGATTGGGTTAAATTAGATGCTGTGAATTATATAGATATTGAATTAGCATCTTCCTCGAATAAGAGAGATATATAACAGGTCTTCTACAAATGATCAACAGTTTGATATAATTGAATATCATTCATTTATTTAATGTAACTTTATAAAAACAAATATACATAATTATATATATAAACGATATTAACAACAAGAATATGCAAGTAACTTAAAAAGGGAGGTGGAATAAAAGATAATGTACTGTGAATGAACTGAATTGAAAATGAAATGTACTGTGATTGAGATGTGATTATAATGCAGGGAAGTAGATAAATGATTGGTTAAATCATTTACTATCAAGCCATTTTTGAGCAGCATTTCTCCAAGCTAAATCAGCTTTTGGACTTATTCTATTTTCACTGAGCCATTTATATTTCAAAGGAGATTTGATGGTGATGTAAATCACAGCAACGGAACTCATGGTTGCAATAGCTGCAATACTCAATGGTTTAATATGGGCCATCTTTAATAGTTGTTAAGGTTGTATAGTTGTATAGTTGTAGCTTCTTCTTTACCACTGGTTGGTTCATCCAAACTTATTTTGGTTTTACTTTGGGTTTATTGGTGAGAATATTTCTTGTGGGAAAAGTACACGACTTCTTCTTAAAATTTTTGTTGTCACAAAATTTATACAGTGAAAAAAAAAAAATTGGTAACGAAAAATCTTCAAGATCATAAGACCATAACCAATTCAAAGTTCAATCATTATCCATCATATCTTACCATCACATACACATTCAGGAAGATGTTGAGGAGGCTGATGATAGTGAAGGATTTAGCCAGAGTGTCGAGACTCAGAGGATTAATGTCCATTCCTCAACCTCGTCATTATAGTCAACCTTCAAAAGCAGTTAATCAACAAATTAATTTACAGCATTATGAAAATTTGAATCAATCAACAAGTTCATTTCAAGCCAAATATGATAATATACAAGATTATGGAAGTTATAAACATAATGTGTTCACTCATAGATTACCTGAATCAACTGCATCTCAATCACCACCATTGGTTGCTTTACATTCTCGATTAAATTTATCATCCCAATATTCATTATCAACTTTATCTCAAGCTTTAAATTTAAATAAATTTGATGATGGTTTAGCTAATAATTATGGATTGAATATCTTAGGAAAGAATCTTTTATCATATTATGTCAGTGAATATTTATTAGTTAAATATCCTAGATTACCTATGCCAATTCATAATGTTGCAGTTGATTCATTAATGGGATCAAAAGCATTATATCAAATTGGGAAAATTTGGGGGATTGAAGTTGATAAATCTTCAAAATTAGATAAATATTTAAGTCAAGAATCTGAATTTTTAAAATATGGGAAATTAAGATATTTAACTGAAGAAAGATTAGATAATAATGAAGCAGAATCTGGAGTTTATGAATTATCTTCTGAAGAAATCACCAATTTAAAATCTAATAATAATACTGCATCATCATCATCATTCATATCTGATGAAGTTGAAGCTTATGGTTCAGCTGTCAGAGCCATCATTGGGGGATTATATACTCATCAAGGTGAAGAAATCACCAAACAATTTATTCAAGATCATATATTATCAAGAAAATTATTACTTGAGAATATGTTTGAATTCAGTCAACCAACCAGAGAATTGGTTAGATTATGTGATAAATTGAATTTCCAAGATCCAATAGATATTAGATTAATTGCTGAAACTGGTAGATTATCATCTCATGCTATTTATGTGGTTGGTGTATTTTGTGGAGTAGAAAAACTAGGTGAAGGAGTTGGATCATCAATGAATGAAGCTAAAACTAGAGCTGTGGTTAATGCTTTGATGAGTTATTATTTATATTCTCCTATTGATAATGAAGGTAATGAAGTTAAAGTACCAAGTGATAAAGATTATAAATATCTTGATGGTATAGTTGGTCTTGGAGATGTTGCTATTTAAGCAAGATATTACAAAGACGAAACTCATGTTTATAACATAATAGACTAATTTTTTTTATTATTATTATTATTCTGTACATATTAGATTATATATATAAAAACTCATTACATGTATATATATAAAAGAAAGAAAGAAAGAAAGAAAGAAAGAAACAAGAAGAAGAAACAAAATTTGACGTAGAATCAATTAAAACGTATCACGAGAAAGAAATATAACTTACTTATTTACCACAAGCACCATTGGTAGCATTATAAGCAATGGCTTTATCTAAAGATTTGAAACATCTAGTTTGAGCTGGATTTGGAACCATATTCTTTAAGGCAACAGAAGAATCTTGAATTCTTTCAACATCTAAAACACATGAATAGAAAGTAGCATCTGATGAACAATTGTTTGGATTTTCATAAGAAACAAATTCAAAAACACATTGAGAAATACCAAATTGTTGTTGTTGATTGAAACATTCACCACTTGTATTTTCAATTTCTCTAGTGAATAAAGCTTTTGAATCATGTTGATAATAAGCTTCATTATCATAATCTCTTTTGTATAAACCAGTTTGTTGAATTTCTTGAGTATTTAAATTGATTTTAATGATTTCACCATTAGAATGAATAGAGTTAATCACAGTATATTCTTCAGGATCTTGTTCAGCTTCTAATTCAGCTAAATGTTGAAGAACTAAATCAGTAGGGGGTAAAATAGCAAATCCATCTTCATCTCTAAGTAAATCAAATGAATTGACTACAGTGGTTAAGGATAAACCAATAGCAGCAAGAAGATTTAAAGAAACCATTGTAATTGATTATAAAAGTTAAACGTTAACTTTGAGCTTAATGAATTTCAAAAACAAAGGTTTATGAATAAAAAAATTTTCCAAAGGGGGATAAATTAAATTAGTTTTATATATGAGACAGAGGAAAAAATAATTTACTGATCTTTTTGATAATTTTTATCTTTTCCATAATTTTTTAATGTTTAATTTCCGATGTATGAGGAGTGAGTATTTGTTAGAGGAATTCTTTAATTTAATTGGTTTAGAGATTTCTATAAGGTTACATTTTATAAAAGCCTGCTTTTACATATGATGCTATAATTGGTTTGACTTTATAGTATTTCCTTTTATATATCTACGTAATGTATACACATACTATAAACTAGTAAGTATTATGATATCTCTAGATAAATTTAATGGATAAGAAGTTTAAATACTATACCAAGAAATATCCTTACCATCTTCAATTATGTCAAATAGTTAGAGTTGTTTTTGTACAAACAAAATTATTTTTCTTGTCATAATGGTTTGTCGAAAAATGGTTATGTCATGTCGAAAACAAGTTTGATGAAGCAGAAATGACACAAATTGAAAATAATGCGACAAATCAATCAGTTATGACAAGGACAATTTTGTAACTAAATGGTTCTACCTTTGATTGCAAATGATAATAAGTTATTATCGTTTATCAGTGTATGATTTTGAATCCATTTAGTCGATTGATAGATTGAAATCAATCAATCAATCAATCAAGTTATCAATTACTCAAACAAGTTGATAATCATATTATCAATGCCGTTCTATCTATGGTCTATCAGGTACTTTTTGCATACAAGATTCTTGCAACATGAGCGCAATTTTATTATTAGAGTAAATAAAACCATCATTTCATTGTTTGACATGATTAAACTTGCTTAAATAAGTAGTATTAGAGTTCTGAAAGTTGGAGTTTTATAGATTCTTACAGTCAAGTCACTAATAAGTTTTACATTTCAAACAATTTGGCAGAAAATGGAGATGAATTGATAAATTATCTAAAATCACTTTAACTTTACACTCGTTTCCTCAAATTAAATCTAAGTCACTCCAAATAGAAGGTAATACTATATTATAACAACTCCATTCACCTATATCCCTTCAATTGATCAATTGGTGGTAAACATCCCATCTATATCTCTTCTTCTCTATCAAATACTAACTATTGTTACACTCATCGCGAAAGCCCTGCCATACAGACAAACAAAAATCAGAGTCAAAATAATTTAACTACTAATAAAAAATAAAAATTTTTTTTCTTAGTATCAGAAAAGCTTGCACCAGATTCAACCTGAAAATAGTATTGAAATTTAACCATAACTAGGATTCATCTCTTCTCTTTTCCTTTTAGTTTCTAATTTCTAGTTTCTAGTATTCAACTCAACAACGACAACAGCTTAACTAGCTAAGTTTATACTCTAGCCGTTAAGTCAACTCAAAGTCAAACAAAACAACGACAAACAACAACAATTAATATGTCTTTTGATCAATTAAACATTCTTGTCATTGGTAATGGAGGTAGAGAACATGCTATTGTTTGGAAATTGATTCAATCTCCAACCGTAGCCAAGATCTACGTGGCCCCAGGTAATGGTGGTACTTCATCTACTAATGATAAAATCATTAATGTTCCTGAATTATCATCATCTCCAAAAGATTTTTCAAAATTACAATCATTTGCAGTAGATCATCACATCAATTTAGTTATTCCTGGTCCTGAACAACCTTTAGTTGATGGTATTACTACCATTTTTCAAAAAGTTGGTATTCCAGTATTTGGACCATCTCAAAAGGCTGCTCTTATGGAAGGTTCAAAAGCTCATTCTAAATTATTTATGGAAAGACATCAAATTCCAACTGCTAGTTTTAAGAATTTCACTAATGTAGAAGATGCTAAAGCTCACATTGAATCAATTGATTATAAAATCGTTTTAAAAGCCGATGGTATCGCTGCTGGTAAAGGTGTTTTAATTCCAGAAACTAAAGAAGAAGCTTTACAAGGATTAAATGAAATCATGGTTCAAAAGAATTTTGGTGATGCTGGTAATGAAATTGTTATTGAAGAATTCTTACAAGGTGATGAATTAAGTATTTTAACCATCACTGATGGTTATTCATTCTTTAATTTACCTGCTGCTCAAGATCATAAACGTATTGGTGATGGTGATAAAGGATTAAATACTGGTGGTATGGGTGCTTATGCTCCTGCACCAATTGCAACTGCTAAAATCTTAACTAAAATTGATGAATTAATTATTAAACCAACCATTGATGGTATGAGAAAAGATGGTTATCCAATGAATGGGATTTTATTCACTGGTATAATGTTAAATTCTAAAAATGAACCAAAAGTTTTAGAATATAATGTTAGATTCGGTGATCCAGAAACTCAAACTGTTTTACCTTTATTATCTGATGATACTGATTTAGCTCAAGTTATGTTAGCTTGTGCTGAACATAGATTAGATTCAACCATCATTAAAATTAAACCAAATATGTTTTCCACTACCGTTGTAATGGCTGCAGGTGGATATCCTGAATCATATAAAAAAGGTGATGAAATTAAAATTAAAACTCCTTTACCAGCTGATACTTTCATTTTCCATGCTGGTACTACTACTACTAAAGATAATAAAATCGTTACTGCTGGAGGTAGAGTTATTGCTGCTACTGCCATTGCTTCCACCATAAAGGAATCAGTTGATAAAGCCTATATCGGAGTTGACCATGTTTCATTCCAAGATAAATATAATAGAAAAGATATTGCTCACAAAGCTTTCCGTGATGAAAATAAATCAGTAAGTGGTGTAACTTATGCTGAAGCTGGTGTTTCCGTTGATAATGGTAATTTATTAGTTGATCAGATCAAAGCTAAAGTGAAATCAACTGCTAGACCAGGTGCCGATTCCGATATTGGTGGTTTTGGAGGTGTATTTGATTTATTAAAAGCTGGTTATAAAACCGATGATACTTTATTAGTGGCTGCTACTGATGGGGTTGGTACTAAATTAAGAATTGCTCAAATTATGAATATTCATGATACAGTTGGTATTGATTTAGTAGCTATGAATGTTAATGATTTAGTGGTTCAAGGTGCTGAACCATTAATCTTTTTAGATTATTTTGCTACTGGTAAATTAGATATTGAAGTAGCAGCTAAATTCGTTAGTGGGGTTGCTGATGGTTGTATTCAAGCTGGATGTGCTTTAGTTGGAGGTGAAACTTCAGAAATGCCAGGTATGTATGATGAAGGTCATTATGATACCAATGGTACTGCTGTTGGAGCTTTAAATAGACATAAAATTTTACCTAATATTGCTGGTATGAAATCAGGTAATGTTTTAATTGGGGTTAAATCTGATGGGGTTCATTCAAATGGATTTTCATTAGTTAGACATATTATTGAAAAATCGGATAATTATGATTATAAATCAATTGCACCATGGACTAACTCTGGTAAAACTATTGGTGAAGAATTATTAGTTCCAACTAAAATTTATGTTAAACAATTTTTACCATCAATTAATCAAGATTTATTATTAGGGTTAGCTCATATTACTGGTGGTGGTTTAGTAGAAAACATTCCAAGAGCTTTACCAAAGAATTTACAAGCTAAAGTTGATATTAGTAAATGGGAAGTTCCAAGTATTTTCAAATGGTTTGGAAAACAAGGTAATGTTCCATATGAAGATATTTTAAAGACTTTCAATTTAGGAGTTGGTATGGTTTTAATTGTTGAATCTCACAATGTTGAAAAAGTGATACATAACTTAACTTCAGAAGGTGAAGAAGCCATTGTTATTGGTGAATTAGTTGAAAAGGTTAATTCAAGTGATCCAGGATGTATTGTAGAAAACATCGAAGGTTTATATTAAGTTATTTGAGTGTTTCATTCTTTCCCCCATTGTACATTATTATTATTATTATTAAACCAGAATTACTTATATAAAACATGAAAAATCATTAAATAGTTGGTAAAGTATATATTAAAACGACGTTTGCATTTTTTAGAACTATTTCTATTTAAACTTATCTATTGAATTTCCAAATCGGGATAATGTCGCGGCGCTTAGAATGTCGCTGGACGACACATCACGTGAATGGTGCAAATTCAAAAAAAATGTATTTCGCATCCACAACTAAGACAAATTAAAACAGAAATCTCCTCATAACTGATTTAGTGTAAGGTAAAGTAAATTGATACCTAATTAAGCAAATATTTACCGTATCATTTAAAGATGAATAGATTTGATTGATTGAATAAGTTACTAGCCATCAGATGCTATTTCATAGGTCATTATTATTACGATGGATTATTATGATTATTATTTATTTTAATTTAAATTTTAACATAGCATAGAATCAGCCAAAAAAAAATATAATTATAATTAATAATCAAAAATAGAGTTTAGCCATGGATGGTTACTGCATGAATGACATTATTATTGATTTAGTGAACAAAAGGTATAATGAATCGTGATGTTACGAATATGAGTAGTATTTAGTTGTAGATATTATTCAGAGCTAAGAATAAATAGTATTATGCAGTGAGAAAATTTTGAGTTTAGGGGTAACGTTGTAGTGATAGCGAGGAGAAAAATAACGGTGCGAAATTAAAATTGTCAGTAAATAGGGAGAAGAAGGAGGAAGAGGAGGACGAAGGAGAGGGAGAGATAAAGCGATGGATGGAATCATTGTTAGCCGGTGTATAGTTGATCTCTCTCTAAACTCCATCAACCGCTCAGTAAAACTAAATAGTTTCATAGTACGATTTCTTTTGAGTCAACCTATTTAAATTTGAAGCGGCTAATAAATTTCCTTTCCTGATTCCGTTAATTTTTTTTATTTATTTTAGTATTACTAATTGTCACCACTTGACAAGATAATATAATAATTCAGCCTTTCCCCCATCTTTTCTTTTTCTGGTTAAGAATTGATATTATTATCATCATCATCATCTATTGCATTACTAGTTCAATTGCTGTATATATACAATCGATCATTCATTGTTGTAGAGAGACAAATCTGATAGTTAGATAGATAGAAGTAGGGATAGAGCAATTATATCTAATCTGATATCTCATCCATCAAATAACTCATTAACTTCATTCATTTTCAGTCAAATTTCAACTTTTTCATTTCATTCCATTCAACAGCTACACAGTTACAATCACAACACTACGTCCTAACATACCGGTTTAAACCTTTAAACTCAAGTTGTGGATCACTGTAAATTAATTTTAAATTAATTAATACATTAAAGACCACAAAAAGGGCTTCCGCTATTTAAAAAAAAAAGAAATTTTTTTTACGACCCATCCTTCCTGGCTTTCTGCTAAAAGTTTAAAAAAGCGTCTGTGAAATAAATAAAATCTCTAATCTGATAGTTTCACCAACTTTCACTTTCCATCCTTCATTTCATTTCATTTCACTTCTTCACTGTTCCAGTGACTCACATCCTAATCTATCTTTTTCATCACAACCTAAATGGGTTTATTATCATTAGGAACTCCATTAGATTGGCATGATTCAAAGAAATATAATGATCATGTACGTGAGAATGGTATAACTCAATTAATCAATATCTTTAAACAACATGGTCCCACTAGAACTAATGATACTTTCTTATGGGGGGATGAAGTTGAATATATGTTAGTCACCATTGATGATGAAAAAAAATGGGCCAGATTAACCATTGATAAAGATCATATCTTGGATGATTTAAATGATCCTCAAAAATCCTTACATAAATCTGTTGATAATAATGTCTTGTTCCATCCTGAATATGGTAGATTCATGATTGAAGCTACTCCTGCTAAACCTTATAATGGTAATAGTTTGGCAGATTATGTTTATGTGGAAGAAAATATGATTAAAAGAAGAATTGTAAGTCAACTGGAATTACCATCAAATATTAAACCAATCACTTTGACAACTTTCCCAAGAATGGGATGTAATATCTTTACTTCTCCATCTGCCAAACCCATTGGTCCTGCATCTCAATCATTATTCTTACCTGATGAAATCATTAATCGTCATGTTAGATTTCCAACTTTAACCGCCAATATTAGAAAAAGAAGAGGTTGTAAAGTTGCTATCAATTTACCAATGTATCCTGATATTAATACCAAGTTACTTGATGATTCTATCCCAAAGAGTCGTGATTTATTCAAAAGTGATCATGAACCATTCATAGGTGCATCTAAACCAGGTCATGTTTATATGGATTCAATGGGATTCGGTATGGGTTCATCATGTTTACAAATCACCATGCAAGGTAAAAACATTGAAGAAGCAAGATATCTTTATGATTCATTAGCTGCTATAACTGCCATCATGTTAAGTTTATCAGCTGCTGCTCCAATCTTTAAAGGTTTTCTTGTTAATCAAGATGTAAGATGGAATGTGGTAAGTGGTGCAGTTGATGATCGTACTTTTATTGAAAGAAATATTGAACCATATCCTAATTATAATCTATTTGGAGGTTTAAATGTTGATTTACATTCAAAATTACCTTCCAAAACTCAATCTATAAATGAATTTGGAGATTTAAATGGTGTTTTCACTAAAGAAGGTAAACCAATTCAAAGAGTTCCAAAATCAAGATATGATTCTATTGATAGTTATTTGGCAGATGTTAATTTCTCCACTAATTATTTCAAAGATGAATATAATGATATTAATCCTCCTATTAATGAAAAAGTTTTCAATCGTTTATCTTCAAAAGAAAATCATCATTTATTTGATAAATATTTAGCCAAACATTTCGGTCATTTATTTATTCGTGATCCATTAGTATTATTCAGTGAAAGAATTAATCAAGATAATGAATTAGAAAATGATCATTTTGAAAATATCCAATCTACAAATTGGCAAACTTTAAGATTTAAACCTCCTGCATTATATACACCTGAAGAATTAGATTTTTCAAAGACTCCAGGTTGGAGAGTTGAATTTAGACCTATGGAAATTCAATTAACTGATTTTGAAAATGCTGCATATTCAAATTTTATATCTCTTTTATCAAAAGCTATCATTAAATTTAAACCAAATTTTTATATTCCTATACTGAAAATTGAATTAAATATGAAATTAGCTCATAATGTTGATTCTGTACTTGATGAGAAATTTTGGTTTAAAGCTTTAGATCAATGGAATTTAAATAATAATGATTTCATAGGATATGATTTATCATGGTTTGATCGTTTCATATATGAAGGTAATGATGAATTAGGTAAAGAAGGTGAAGTTTATATGAATGGTTATTCATTAAATGGAGCTATTATAAATAAAGTCAATTATAATAAATCAGGTCATCAATGTGCTTATTCTCCTACTCAATTAAATGGTAGTATAAGTATGGCCACTTCATCTTCATCAGGTACTATTACTCCAACTTCAAATACCATTGAATCCATTACTGATGTTGATGATGGTGGTATCACTCAAAAATATTCCATTAATGAAATCATAAATGGTACTGATAAATTCCCTGGTTTAATCAGATTAGTCATTAAAGTCATTGCCACTGATTTACTTCCAACTGATCAACTGCATCATTGTGATAGTGAAGAATTAGCTCGTAAATTAATCACTATAAAGCATTATTTATTATTAATTTCAAATAGAGCTAATGGTAAGATTCCAACCATTGCCCATTGGTTAAGATCAAAAGTGTTACAATCCCATTTATATAAACAAGATTCCAAAGTGAGTGAAGAATTAAATTATAATTTAATTAAAGATTGTGTTGAAGTGACTGATTTATCCGATAAATACTTATTAGAAGGTTTATTTGGTGAAGTTATAACTGATTATTTATTAACTTCTAATAGAACTACTACGTTATCTTAGTTTTATACAGACCCTAACTATCTATACAAATAATATACATAAACATATCCACGCATACATCATACTTTAATTGAACCTGTCACGGTTTAGAACCCCATGACCATCAACTCCATTTTAAACTTCAATCGAAAATTTCCTATTTGGGATTATGTCTTGAAATTTGGGACAAAAAACACGACTCACCGAAAATGTAAATAGCAAAAAAAAAAAAGGCTGACGTGAATTCTGAAAACATCAGACGGTAAATATATATATATATATTGGTTGGACAGTCTTCATATATAGTATCTTCGTATTGGTATTTACGAGTTATACAATCTTCAGTCATATCCACAAGTCATAGTTTGAGATCCTACTTTCGTCAAGTGTGAGTTTAGTGGGTTGGAATCGTGTTATTATATCGTGTTTTCTCCATTCGTTTTAGATTTGTTTCTCAACAACAACAGTCATTGAACACTTTTATACATATACTAACGTTTAAATAACGATATTATCAATCATAAGTCATAATAAGATATATTGAAAAATGGGTTTACTAGATAACGTTAAATCATTCATTCATTCTATATCTACCGAAGATCATTACGCATCGTATGATTCTCCATATAGGAATACCAGTGATAATAATAGTAATAATATCATTGGTGGTGGTAATAATGGATCCAATGGATCTAGTTCAAGACTTCATGAATTAAACAGATTAAATGGTAATAATTCTTCATCTAATATTTTGGGTGAAACTCCTCATGCTGGTTATACTCCAGGTATGAAATCTTCTGCTGCTGAATTACCATTACAAGATTTTAATAATGGAGGTCAACCTCCATTACCTTCTATGGATTCACTTTGGAATAGAATTGATAATTGGATAGAGGAAGAATATCCTGAATTAGATGATTATTTAAATGATGGTGCTACTAATGCTGATTTAAATGAATTTGAAAATGATTTAGGTTGTGGCAATTTACCAACTGAATTTAGACAATTTTATAAAAAACATGATGGTCAATTCGATGGGGGTAAACCAACTGGTTTAATCATGGGTTTAGGTCTTTTGGATTTGGAAAGTATTATGGAAGATTATGCCTTATGGGGTAAAGTTGCTGAAAGATTAGAAAAACAACAATATATGGCTCAACAACATTTATTACAACAACAGCAACAAGAAGCACAACAAAATATTCTTGATAATGATGATGAAGCAACAAGTTCTTCTGCTGCAACTGCTGCTGCTAAAGCTCAAGCTCCTCTTAATAATTCCTTCATGTCAAATCAAAGATCCATACCTCCTAACAGTGTGCAACCATATTATTATCATAAAGCTTGGGTACCTTTATTAAAAGATAATACTGGTAATCAAATTGCATTAGATTTAGCTCCAGGTCCAGCTGGGAAATGGGGACAAATTATTTTATTTGGTAGAGATTTTGATACTAAAGTTGTTATTGCTTCAAGTTTTCAAGAATTTATATTTTATTTTGTTACTGATTTAGAAAATGGTAATTATCATATTGATTCCACTCAAATTGAAGAAGATTTAGGTTATTTATCAGCTTCTAGGAATGATGATTACATGGTTGGTGATGAAGATGAAAACGAAGGTCAATTAAGTTTTTATGATAGAGAAGGTAAAGAATTCGGTAAGGGAGTTTTAAGAGGTACTGTAAGTTATATTGAAGTTTTAAAAAGAAGAGCTTTAAAGAAATATGGTTTAACTGAAGATTTCACTACTGCATTCACTCCACAAAGAAATCCAATTAAAAGAGATATACTTAATGGTTCTTCAACTTCTCCTCAAAGATCACAAAGTCCATCTGTTAAAACAAATGGAGCTTCTACAGCTACGAATGGTAAAGCTAATAGTCCTTTGATCAATGTTGAATCTGCTTCTGATAGCGTTACTCTTCCTAAAGAAACTCTTATTGATGATAAAGCCGTCAAGGAAGAATCAGCCAAAGTTGAAACTGAAGTAACACCTGTAGAAACAGAAGAAGCTGATATTGAAGCTGAACATGAATCTACAGATGAAAACACTCCTTTGAAAGAAGTTGCATCTGAAGATATTGCGGGTGTCACTGATGGTTTAAAAGAAGTAGAATTATAGATCTCCAAGCCAAATCATAGAAAACATAAAAAAAACTACAAAACCTAAGTCCTCAAACTTCATAACGATTACAAAAAAACTTAACCATTATCAATATTTATTCAATTTTCAGAAGAGGAAGATAATGAATTATTTTATGTCTATTTATTTACTTACCCTGCTGTCTATTTGCTTCAAGCGGGCGACAATTCCTCATTCGCTTAAGCATGGAATACCACATGTAATTACATACTTTATATTATTTAATAAATATAGTTTTATTATTCCTTGATGTGCTTGAAATGTAGTTTCAGTTTTTGCAACATGATTCTCTTTTGTTGATGTTTATTTTTCCTTTGGTCGCGTTGTGTGTATTTTTTTGATCTTCAAATTGAGAGATAGGAATTTTTGAATCAAATCAAAATCAATCCATCAATCAAGCATCAAATCCATAGATATCAATGAATTCTTCAGGTCATTGGGATCATTCAGGTGTTTATGGTCGTACAGGAGATACGGCTGATGAATATGATGTCAGGAATCACCCGTTTAATTCATCATCAGTGAATGCATTAGCAACTTCACTGCATGGAGATTTGGATCTTTATCCCAGTAATCAATCATATACTGAAAGGGATCTGGATTTCAGGACTCATGCTAGTGATTTCATGCTGCCAGATGACATTGCTTCAAATGCAATGCAACCCAATACTAATATTGGAGGTGATGATAATGCTTATGAATCAGTGCCTCTGTCAGGTCAATTAAGTATCGAACAAGCTCAAAGAGTTTATTATGTTAAAGGATTAGAAGAACTCGAATCATTCCAATTAGTTGATCTTTCCCCATTGGCTAATTGGAAATTATCCTCTTATAAACAAGGATTCGGTTTGGCTCAATTGAGAGATGATTCTCCTGATAGTTATTGGCAATCAGATGGTAGTAATGGGAATAATAATAATAATGCTATTTTGAATAATCAACTTTGTAATCCTCATTCTATCACGATTCAATTTTCCAAAAAGGTTTCATTAGAGAGAATCTCAATCTTTACCAATTATTCCCTTGATGAAAGTTATACCCCTTCACAAATTAGAATCATGGCTGGTAGTTCTGAAGGGTGGGATTTAGGTGAAGTTTGTACGGTTAATTTTTCTAAACCAATTGGTTGGTCTCATATTATATTTAATGGAATCAGAGGCGATGGAGTATTAAAGTGTTTTATGGTTAAGATTATTATTCTTGCCAATCATCAAGATGGTAAGGATTCTCATATAAGGGCAGTTAGATGTTTTGGGAAAAAGAAATTAAACTCTATCAATCTTCCTCCTATATTCAGTGAACGTAAACATGGTGATAGTACTTCATATGATGCTATCGCAATCAATAGTGATATATTGAAAGATTTAAGTTTGGCTAGTGGATTAAGTAATTCATCAGGATTCCTGATAAATCAAAGAAATCAATTTACTCAATCATCCATTAATACACGTCGTGAATTCTCTTATATTGAAGAAGGAGAAGGAGATAAAGATGATGATCAAGTCGAGGAAGGCACTATTGAGAATGAAACTGATAAAGAATGTTCTAGAGTTTTAAATAACGTGGCTGATGTAATTGGATTTAATTCTGGATTCCAAAGTTTAGATTTACAAGCTGTATCATCTATTCGATAAATATGTATTATTTTATGTGTATTAATGTTTTTTTTTTGCTAGATTTTCCTTTATAGCATATATAATGAATTTACGACTGATTAATTTTTAAAGAAAAGTCAATAACTCCAGTACCTTGATGGATAGAAGAAGTTGAATAAATATCAATATCATTTGATAAATAACCTCCCAAATTTTGTAATGTCAAACCACCTGAACATTCAAGAAGGAATGATTTACCAGATCCTTTATAATGATCTTTTAAGCTTTTTGCTACTTCAATTAATTCAGCACCCTTTAAGTTATCTAACATGATAACGTCAGCACCAGCATCAATGGCTTCACGAGCATCTTTTTCAGTACTTACTTCAACTTCAACTTTAACAGCGAAACCACAGACGGATCTAGCGGATTCAACGGCTTTGGTTATACTACCAGTAGAAGTGATATGATTATCTTTCAACATTACCATGGTACTAAGATCATATCTATGAGTATCAACACCTCCAACTAACATAGAGTATTTTTCTATAATTCTTAAACCAGGAGTAGTCTTTCTAGTACCAGCAATTAAACCAGTATAACCATTATCATCAGCCAATTTCTTAGTGATATACGATTGAGTGGCAACACCAGAAGCTCTAGCTAATAAGTTTAAAGCAGTTCTTTCTGAAAGTAAGATTTTATTAGCTGGACCTTTAACAGTTGCAACTACTATCTTACCACCATGTTTAGCTAATTCTTCAACGGTGATGAATTCTCCTTCTTTGTGAAACCATTCAACTTCCAATTCACATTGGTTAAAGACTTCTTGAGCAAATGGAACCCCACAAATCAAACCAGATTGTTTCAAGTATAATGAAGCTGTTTCTAATTTGTTACCCACGACATAAGCACCGAAATCGAACGATGGAACATCTTCAGATAAAAAGTCAGTAATTTGTTGTCTCCATTTACCATTGACTGGTAATAAGTTAGCGTAGTTCGATGACATATTGTATATTGGTCTTCCTCTTCTTCTTGTAGTCTTCTTCAACAGTTGTAAGTCGTATAACTTTTTCAACTTGTGTTGAGTGATGAATAATTTTGAAATGGAAACGAGCAAAAAAAAAAAATGATTGGGCCCGATCTTTAAATTCCGGGGACTATGCGTATAACTAGAACAAAAAAAAAAAAAATTCACGTAAACAAAGATCTGAAGTTGATGTATTTGGTATCAATATAACAAGAAATGATATGAAAGGAAGTATACACCAATTGGTAACACCAGATGGTTCGGATCAGGTAACACCAAGTCCAGAGGCTTCTCGAAAGAAAGTGAAGAAAGTACAAGCAATTCTTAATTTTTCATCATCACTAGTATCATCACAAACCAAGACGTGTAAGATATGTGGAATGGCCTATTATGAACATATTAATAAGGAAGTTGAAATCCATAAGAAGTATCATTTGACTTTCATTAATGGGATATTATGGCCCGATACATTCAAATGTAAAAAGGTTAAAAGTTTTGCCATAATTCAGAAGTCTACCACAAAGTTACGAAAATCAAATACCATACAGTTAGAGATTGTAACCATTGATAAAACAAACAAGAGGCAAACCAATAAAGTAGATCAATTACTTGATCTAGTGAATAAGGAATTGAATGCTCCCGAGGATACCAAATACTGGAGAGATCCCCTTAAAGAATCAAGCAAAGCGTTTGTTGTGATTATTGACGATAGAGCTGTGGGATTATGTACTACTGATACTATAGAAGATATAGAATTACAAGGTCGATGGATGATTCATAGTTCACAATCAATCGTACCTAATCAAGTCAACAAGAACATCAAGTTAGGAATTTCAAGGATTTGGATTGCTCCTAAATGGCGTCGATTAGGTATAGCTAAAGTTTTGCTAGAAATTGTTCAGAGTCAGTCTATTTATGGAGTAGTCCTTAACAAAGCTCAAATCGCATTCAGTCAACCTAGTCATAGCGGTGGTCTACTTGCAAAAGAATTTAATGGCGTTATACATAAAAGTGGAGAACTTTTGGTTCCCGTATATTTAGAATTATAGGGTAGTATAGATATATATATATATAATGTTAATGAAATTTATAATGATTATTTATTCCGCAAAAAGTGTTTGACCTCCAGCAACCTCTACGACACCTTCGACTTTACTATATACAGCAGCTGTCAAACCTCCACTCACCAACACTTTAAAAGCTCTTGGTAAAGCACCCTTAAACAATGCTTTTGCTCCCTCATCTAAAAATAATCGATAAGCAGTGCTTAATGAATCTTTATAAATCATCTTACCATTTTTCAGTTGAATATGTGATTTGACAACATCCAAAGGTTGGGTGACAGCTATAACAGCAATCGAAGACAATAAATGTAAACCCACCAGTTGTATAGCAGTATGATTATGACCGAACCAACCTTGTTCAGTATTATGTGGATCTATAAGTTGTCTAGTAGCATTATAAGTTGAAAACCAAACTGTAGATATCGCTATTTGACGTGAAAAGGTAATGAATGTACCAGCTGTGAATCCACCTAAACCCTTCAATAAGTAAATTTCTTTGATGGTTCCTAAAAAGGTCAATGAAGGATGTTTGTTATAATTTATCTTTAATATATCCAATGGATCATGCGGTTTAGGAGGTTGGAATTTAGAATAATTCTTTCCACATTTGTATTGGGCTATAACATCACCCGTGAAATAAGCATGGGGTGAAACATATTGCTTTGAAAAGACTGTTGCATGTGTTTTATGATGCTTTCCCACGACACCTGATCCAGTTACATCAAGATTAGGAGATCTAACCATATCATTCTGAAGGGATTGATTTTGAATCATGGTTATCTTTATATTTTCAAATGGTATTAAACACAAGGTTTCAACAAATGCACTCATCATACCTGCTATAACTATTCTTGGAGCACTAGTCTTTGTTTTATTAGTACCATGTGCATTATGAGATTCAATAGCCATGAATTTACACAGCCAGTTATAAGCTATAAGTCTAGTTGAATTCTTCATTACTGATCCTAGCACCAAGGCACTACAACCTCTATGTAACTGGGCCAAAGAAGATGGGAAATTTCCTGGAACCTTCCATTTTGCCATATATGAAGCATTGTTCAATTGTTGTTGCGTTTTAATAAAATCTAATGAATAAGTGATTGTGGATGTAGCGGCAGCAGCTGTCGATCCCGCTACCAATGCAGTCAACAAGTTATCACCACTTCCATTTGTACTCATCGTGCCATACACTTCAGTAAAACTCTTTTGATAAACAATTTATGTTTGCTAAATTATTTCCTCTTCTGATTCTATTATTTTGCTACTCGTTTTTTTATAGTACAAAAGAAAAAAAAATTAAAATATGCAAAATATGTAAACAAACGAACTGAATCAATTTATAGATCAATTGAGTTGCAACGTATAGATACAATGGATGATATTGTTGAGAATGGGGGTGAACGAAGGTCAGCCACTGAACCATCTACTCCTTTGAGGAATATCGTTACGACTGATAGCCAGTCTGGAAATTATACCAACCCAACTCATTCAACTAGCATACACTTACCTCCCAATGAATTGACAGAAGTAACGAAGAGATTAAGTCAACAGTTTAGATCATCCATAATCAGACCTAGATCTAGAACAAGAGTGCGACAATCCACTCCTGGAAGAGATAAACAATTAACACCCACCAGAAGTAATGGTAACAGAAGAGCCAGTGAAGTAATTAGAAGAAGAAGATCATCTATGATTACCGATAAAGGTGAAGTAGTGTACGGTTCTGAATATGCTGGTCCTATAACTATAGATTACTTAAGGTTCTTCTGTAAGGTGGTCATAAAACAACAAGAACATGATATCCATGAGAAAGAATCAAATGTGGAAGAGGATCATTTCCTGCCTCAGGTTCCAAAATATTCACCTCCCAAGAACAATTCGTTTGAACTGCCATTTATAGATGCAGACTCGACCCCAAAACCTACGACTGACTTTGATCAATCATTACCATTACCATCATCTACTGAAAAGGTACTTAAATCCCCATTTCAAATTTTATCTAACTTAGATGACTCTGGAAATTTTACTCCCACCAACACAAGAAGGAAAAGTTCCAATCTAAGTTACTCTACTGATAAAGAAAATGGAGAGGTTGCTAGTAAACCATTATCATACTTGGAGAAAATCCTTTTATCCAAGAGATTGAAAAGAAAGTCTGATACTATCAAACCTATTGAAAATTCAGTTTTACAACCACACGAACAAGAAATTTACTCCCCAGTTAAAAGTGAATTCATCATACACTCAGATAGAGAGAACAAAGAAGTATCCCCATCTGTATTGGACGACCATCATCATTTACCAATCTCTGCTATGGATGCCCAATCTGAGGAGATGGACTTTCATATTGCTTACGATGTATTAGAGAACCAGGTTCAAGATTTTAATGACGATATAGATGACCATGATATAGAGAGAGATCATATACCTGGCCTTACACATACAAATGACGTACCTGAGTCACCAGTTCAAGTTCATGATCAAGTACAATTACCTATTAGTCCAATGGTTACTCCTCAAAATGCCGGTGTCGATTTCAATAATGGGTTCTATCCTGAAGCAATAATCCAAGAAGAATTCACTATGCAAGATGAGCCTGGTAATTATTCAGATTTATTAGAGAGAGATGCTTCAATTGAAGCAGATGGAGGATCTTCTGAAGTAGATGCCGTCGAGGGCGACAAGCTCATAAAGATTCCCACTATTAGAAGTTCCACCGTTAGAAGTTCAAAATCTTTATTACCTTTACTGTCAGTAAAGAATTTGGTGAAGTCGATCCGAATCCATGCCTCTAGAGATGACCACACAAACCGTATAACAAAGAAGCAAAAGGTTTTGAAAACAATCCCTCAAGATGTCTATCAAAATATCCAAGCAAAATCAGATCAATTTTTGAAATCCCTTCTACTGGATTTGGAGGCATATTCTCATCATAGATCGAATGGGAAGTCATCACAGATAAACATGAAGGATATCCTGTTATACCTAAATAGAATCAAGTTTGCTGGAAAAACTGGTTCAAGGGATTCAGAGATCAACAAAATATCGGTACTTGCTCAAAACTTTCTTCCACTTGAATTATTATTACAACTTAATAACAGCTTAAATGGTCAATTAGAAAGAACTTCAAATGACGACGATGAAGATGAAGATATGTATGATGACAATCTGTATGATGACAGTGTCTGAATACCAGTTTATGTATTATTTACGTGTATTATTTTAAATAAATATTCTATGTACAATGTTTGAATAGTTTTTATTTGCGATTTTGATGGAATTCTAAGCAGTCAATTCACTTCTCTCTTTGGCAAATTGAGCTTGATTACCCTTAACCAATTTGAATAACTCAAAGATTGCGGCTGGAGTGACACCTTGAATTCTTCTGGCTTGACCAATGGTCTTTGGCTGGATAGTATTTAATAAAGTACATACTTCATGTGAGATCTTTAACGAACCTTCATAAGAATAGATATAATTAGGTGGTAATAACAAGTTCTCATCCGCATTATAAGCATGAACATGAGCCTTTTCCTTGGACAACCAAGGAGCATAATCACTTTCCACATCAATTCTGTTGATTAACCTGTTACTTATATTTTGGAAATATTCTGGTACAGTTTCACCTTTAAGAAACGAATTCATATGAGGCAATAAATCAGAAATCAGCATTCCCTTGTAAGAAAGTAATTTCCAACCATTAACAAAAGTTTCTCTGCTCACATCGGATTGTAATCCTTTTAATGCTGGAGCCCAATTAGCACCAGAAAGACTCAACTCACTTAAGAAGTCCTTAATATTGTTGTATTGTGTCATCTCGCAAGTATAAGCTCTATACCTCTTTTCACCAACTACACCTGCTTCGTATCCCTTTTCTGTTAACCTTCTATCAGCATTATCGGAACGAAGAGAGACACGGAATTCAGAACGCGATGTGAACATTCTATATGGTTCTTCCACTCCCTTGGTGATTAAATCATCAACCAATACACCTATGAATCCATCCGATCTTGTGATTTGTAAAGCTGGCTTTTCCAAATATGATAAACCTGCATTTATTCCAGCCAAACAACCTTGTGCTGCAGCTTCTTCATAACCTGTAGTACCATTTATTTGGCCTGCTAAATATAAACCTTGAACCAATTTAGTTTCAAGGGTATTACTTAATTCTCTTGGGTCAACGTAATCATACTCCACACCATAACCTGGTTGTATCATCTTTACATTTTCACAACCTGGCATAAGTTTAACAATCCTTTCTTGAATATCTTCAGGCATGGTGCATGATATACCATTCGGATAAACTAAATCAGTATCTAAACCTTCTGGTTCTAACCATACCATATGACTTGTCTTTTGAGGAAATTTAATGATCTTTGATTCTATAGAAGGACAATATCTTGGCCCTTTAACAGTTTCTCTTATATGAATTGATTTATCAAGATTATCAGCAATAATTTTATGGAATTCTGGAGTGGTATAGGTTTGATGACAATGTACAAGTTGTTCTTGTAACTCTACTGAATCATTCATAAATGACATTGGTTGTGGTGGATAATCTGATGGTTGTACCATGAGACCCTTATAATCTATGGTTTTCGACGAAAGACGACATGGAGTTCCTGTTTTTAAACGTCCTAAACGGAAACCTGCATCTCTGAATGTATCTGATAATCCAAAAGTTGCTTCTTCTCCTATACGACCTGATGGATATGCAGTTAAACCAATGTGTATTTCACCACCTAAAAATGTTCCTGTAGTAACAACAACTTTAGAACAGTTCAATACTCTTCCATCACTTAATATTAAACCCTTGACAGTTCCATATTTTCTTCCTGTTGCATCTTCATTATCGTTTACTGTAGGTTCAATGATAATATCGTCAACTTTTGCTTCCATAACTTGAAGATTTGGATAGTTAAGGATTTCCTTTTGCATTTCTTCCAAGTATATATTTCTGTCAATTTGAGCTCTAGGACCATGTACAGCAGCTCCCTTTGAAGCATTCAAGATTTTAAAATGAATTCCAGCTTTATCTGTTACTCTTGCTGCAACACCATCCAATGCATCAACTTCTCGAAGTAAAGTACCTTTACCCACTCCACCCATAGATGGATTACATGAAGCAGTTCCTATTTTATCTATATGTGGTGTGATTAACGTGGTTGAAGTTCCGGATCTGGCAGAACCAGTAGCAGCTTCACATCCAGCATGACCACCACCTATAACTATAACTGGATGCGTTGGTGAAGTAGCTAATTTTTGCCTCAAATCAGCATTAATGATGATAGATCTGGTCTGTGATTTGATAACAAGGTTGGGATACATATAGCGTATCCTACTAGTCACTCTATACATTTTCCATACACTTAAGATCCAACTGGTAGTTTTTGATTACGATATTTCAAAAATTAATTTTTGTACCTTTATTTTTTTTTTTTTTAGATGTGAAAAATTATTGTAGATACTCATCTCTTTGCTTAAGATAGTATAACCAATATCAATACCACATAAGATGCCAGTAGCAGGAGACGACCTTGATGATGGTTTAGCTTATGATGTTGAATTCTCTGAAACAGAAGCTGCAGATGAAGAAGCTATCAATTCAGAATATGAAAATAACGATGATGATGAACAAATTCCTGTTAAGGAAGATCAAGAAACTGAAAATGGTGGTAAGAAAAGAAAGAAGACTTCAAACAAATTGCAAGAAAAGAAGAGAATAAAGGTTGAAATGGACATAGAACAAAAGAAGAATTTATCTACTGAATCGAGTCCTGAAGTTATAGTTGATTATATCAATAACAAAATCTTAAGAAAGAACTCAGATTTATCTGCATTAGAATTATCAGAATTGTACTTTAGCAAAACTGATATTAGATCAACATCTGACTTTGAGGAAGAACGTAACTTAGATAATTTGGATAAGTTGATAACTTCGAAGTTCAAGAATATGTTACCTAACTCTTCTAAGAAAAGTAATAAGAATAAAAAGAGTAAAAACAATAAGAAGAAACAGCCAGATGCAGAAACTAAAGCTGAAGGAGTGGAAGAAAGAAAATTCATAGCTATTGTTTCAATGTCAGCCTTAAGAGCTTGTGATATTCACAGAGCCACTAAAGATTTAAGTGGATCTTCATTAAAGATTATTAATAAGAATAAAATCGATGTGGATCTTAAATTAGTCAAAACTACAACATCTCGTATCCTTTGTTGTACTCCAGGTCGTTTATTAAAGGTTTTAAATAATGAAAGTGAAGTATTAAGAAGAGATGAAATTAAAGTCATTATAGTAGATAATTCTTACTTGGATGTTAAAAGTCAAAATATTTGGGATATAAATGAAACTACTGATACTTTGAAATCTTTAACCAAATCAGGTTCTAAGATTTATCTATATTAGGTCTGTATGGTGTATAATAGTGTAATTAAATATAGAATAATCAAAATAATACTATCTACTAGATCAGAAGTGGTAAGTATATAGATTTACTTGATCTGTAGAATTCTGAAACTCCTGTAACAATCACCTTGGCAGATATATCATCAATAGTATTAGCACCATAATGAGAATGAATATTATCTAAGGCGGCTCTGACACTGTCATTGTGGATATCCTTTATAGGTTCAGCAGTGGTGAATTGTAAAATAAACACTATATTTGCAAATAATTCATAGGCTGATTGCGATGGTTCATTTTTATTTGGTGTGGTCTTTTCAGCTTGAACGGTATCCTTTTCAGTACTTTCTTCTTGGGCGGTTTGGTCGTCTTTATCATCACTATCTTCCTTTGATCCATCGTTGGCTTCCTCTACATCAGCAGCTACCTCTTCAGACCCATTTTCAGCTGATGATGGGCTAGTTGGTAGTGGTTTCAATGTTTTATAAATCTTATCTTCAATTAAATTCTTCACAAGCCATTTATTCTTAATGTCAACGAAAATCGAATTAATATGAGGATTCAGGAAAAGTTTGCCAAATTGATATTCATGTCCTTCAAATCCAGCATACAAGAAACTCCTTGAAAAATTATACATCAATGCTGAGAAGAGCATAGAAGGTCTTTCGGGAAGATCTTCAACTGGTTCATTGTTTGATAATAAGGTCTTGAAAAATGTATCAAATTTGTCATTAAATTTCGTTGGTAATTCATTAACAATATTCTGGAATAAATCTCTAGAAATATTATCAATTTGTGTAATAATCGAATCACCTTCAATTCTAACATGGTTTAAGTTGATTATATTCTCCTTAATGGTTAATAAAATATCCAAAAGATAGTAATTAGAAAGTACTTCATACTCTTCAGAAGAGTCTAACAAATCGCTAGTCTTTGTAATAAACGAATTTAACTTTTCCCAAAAATCAGATATTATTCTCTTATTTAGTTTTTCAAACTCTGATTCAAATAAATTTCTAGAAAAGCTTCCCCATTTAATTTCTCTCTTAGTATCTGATGATGATCTAGAAATGAGTTGGAAGATACTATTTAAACTATTGAATGCTGTCAATTTATTAGATGAGATTTCTTGTTTATAGTCCAGCAATTCATCAAGCTTGACGAATTTGGTGAACCAGGCTTGAATTAATTCACAAACTTGATCGTTTGAAGTCGATAATGAGAAATCAGTCATTATATCAATATATTTCTCCAATTTTGAGTCCATGACATCTGATAAATCCTTAGAGAATAACTGTACGCTGTGAGGGTTTAATTCTGAGGAATGACTTGATAACTTAGATTCAACTATTTTTGAAATACTTGAATCAGACTCTGAAGTAAGCTCATCAAATAATAATGCATAGGAACTTTCCAAATTACTTATAATGATATCGAAACATTTGGAAGCGATGTTGTCCTTATTGTTAATAACAATTAAATCAATTAACTTTGAGCTTGATTCATTGTAGGTCGCAAAATCAAATAAACGCGACAAGTCCATGATAAAATTATGAAACATCATCAATGATTGTGAAAGCTTTTCAAATGGATCTTGGTTTAAACCTTCGGTTAAATTAGTAATGAAGTCAAATAACAATTGAATCCAACTCTTATTAAAATCATTCAATGATGCTGTCACTGACTTTGGAAGATCAATTAAATATACCGATTGATTGAAATAAACTTGATTGCTTTCTATCCAATCTTTAAACCCAATTAATTTGGTGGCATCCCATGACTTTGTATATAATTTTAAGTTGATGAAAAAACTACTGTTGGAATCTTTAAGATATTTGTCGATATATATACATGAGTTTTCAATGTATCTGAAGATTTGCATGAAATTGACTTTGGTTGGACCATATTTCACCAACGGCTTTAATAATGATTGTAAATATTTGAATCTTATATCAGCGAAATTCTCCAATATTTTTGAAATAGTATCTAATTCAGGATTATTTCTGTTGACAATGGTGTATGCTAAAAGGAAATTAATGATTGGAACAGAGTTCTTATTAAATGAATCTAACTTTGAAAATTCAGCTTCTTCATTCTCAAATTCATCACCACCATCTTCTGTATCATCCTCAAACGTGTCATCTTGTAACATTTGGTCAAAGATAGTATAATCATCATCAAGTAAAATAGTATGGGTATTGATTAAATCAGTGAAAAACAATCTCTGTTGAGGAGTTATTTTATCACTTGAACTACCATAAATTGATTGTTCTAATGCATTATAATGACCCAATTCTGATTCCAAATACTTGATGAAGTTGAATTTCAAAGAATTGAACTTTGATCTGATATGTACGTTCTGTTGTAAAATATCGCCAAATATAGTTTCAATTGTGTAATATAATTTTGAGTAATAGATATAATTTGATGAATGAATTAAAGGTGATGAAGACTTATTAGTTGCTATTTTCAAGTCCAATTTTTCAAGCTTATTATAAATCAATGCTCTTAGTATTGTTATCTTGTTCTTCTTTCTGACTTCGGATGATTCCTTAGCTCTGATTAAACTATCAAACTTGGAGAAATTGTTGGTAGTAGATAATTTTAAGAATTTTGATGGTTTATATGAAAGATCAGATATTCTACCATCAGTTCCATATGAGATTTTATGCATTTCATCAATATCTTCAGCAATTTTTATCAAATCCCGATACTTTGAACCCACCAAAGTATGAAGATCATGTTTACTTGATTCAATTTTCAATTTATGATCTTTATTTAACTTTTGAATGTCAGGGATTGTTAGTTTTTGAAATATGTCATCGACTGAGGAAAAACCAGAACCTTCAAAACCATTTATTTCTGAGTTTAAACCCTCATAACTATTTGAATATGAATTTGACATTGGTTTGTATCTGATTTAATTGAGCAGTCTGTGGTTGTCACAAATGCTTGGTTGTCAAATTAGGTTATTATGTGTTGATACTTTTTTGTTATGGGAGGCTGCGACAACTACGACATTTTGCGACAATAATCAAAAAGATGCAAATAATCAATTATTCAGTTAAGCAGGCATTTATTACGTTACATATATAATCTATTAAAGTATATTTTGACTATTCCGGTGACGTATAGATATTCCTGTAATTTCATTCAAACCAAAAAATACAAAAAACGTCAATGTAAAAAAAAACAATATTAAGTTCTTATATTTAGCTGAATCACAACATTTATAGTCTTCGAGCAAAGTTTTTGGTTTTTTGGATTGATTTGCCATATTAATTCTAATATCTTCAATGTCATTAATTATTACTTGAACTGATTCAAATAGGGCCCCAAGCGTATTATGGGCAGCAACTACTTTTGTATCCATTATAGGATACATTGTTGCGTCCGTTGTTGTATCCATTGTGGCATCCGTTGTTGCATTCATTATGACATCCATTATTGCAGTGGAAGTGCTTCTTTTTATAATGATGGCGTACCACAAGGACAATTATAATGATAACTATGAGGGACATTGACTTTCTTGTAATGAAGATAATTAGCTTCGTAGCAGGTATTTAGTATAATGAATAACGAAGAAGAAGGAGAATTTATTCTACAATTGTCAAATCCTCATTTGAAACATTTATATTCTGTTACGCTTGTAAAATTAATATTAACTGTTCACCACGGTAACTGCTTATTTGGTTATTCCTTCTCATAATTCTTGTATGTATTACCTGCATAAATTACATATACTAATGAGAAAAGAAATTCTAACACAGCTCCTGCTACTATAAAAATATAAGCATACTTTTGCTTCATACATGTCAATGAATGATTACGTCTTCTTAAGTTTTCGAAGAATGATTCATTTGTTGGAATAATTCTGTCTGTGTTGGACAAGATGTCATGTCAGTTAAAGGGATATTAATAGGTATTTGCTTTCGTTTCTTAACCACAAAGATTTCTATTTGAGAAGTTGCAAATAGTCTTTTAGCTGGCAACCCTGAGTAAGTGGTTGAAGTCATAATACCCTACAAGAGTACTTTATAATCAGACTTGACGATAGAACACCAGGTCACTAGGTGTATATATATATTAAGAAAAAGTCTGTAGATTAAGAAAGTAAAAAAATGGTTGCACTTAATTTTATGGTGCACCTCTCATACTGGGAAGTGTTTTATTCCTATAATTGCGAAGACTTCCTAGACTGTTGAGCAATTACAATATATACTGTTCGTTGCTCATATATCTCGTAAAACAGTGTAATTGTACTGGTTAATATTAAGAACCAGTTGGTCTAATCCTGTCCATATTTGGTTGCTTTACAAGAAAATTATGCTTTCCTTGCGTTCAATCTAACTGATTGTGGTCAACTATGAACCACAATTTTCTGTGGATCGCAATCACTGTATTTTCAAGATGTTAGGGTAATCTCCTACAATTAACCGATTGTATACTTTCATTTAAGATTATTCATCGTGCAATGTAAGATCAAACTCTTTTAACGGCCAAGAGAAAAAAAAAATTCCATCTGGTAACGGTTATTTTGGTTGGTTATGGGTGCAAGCGCGCTTAATTTTTAAAAATTTTTACCCAATTGGGATGACTAATTATTTTTGAAGTTGAATTTAAAACTAATCATCAAATTACTGAGTAAAGTGATAGTATTGGAGGAATACCGAGCATAAGGAACATACATCATATCTATGAAACCTAAGACGACAAGGTCTCGAACAGGTTGTTATACCTGTCGAAGACGAAAAAAGAAATGTGATGAATTACTGTTTCCCACATGTCATAATTGTGAATCAAAACATCTACAATGTGTATGGCCAAAGGCTACCCAAGAGTTATATGAAAAGCTTAGACAAGTTAAATACATTGATTCAAATGATAATACAAGTCATGTTCATCATCATAGTACAAATGGTATACGACAGGGTCCATCAACTACTACTATAATATCAACGAGTTCAAAAGTACTATCAAATTCGAAGCTAGAGGTAAATCAAGATGAATTATCAACTGTAGATGGATCACCATTTGATCAGTATTTGCAGTCACCTTATCTGGATTATACCGATATCTCAGAAACCACCAAAACAATAAATCAATCCCTACCTTCAAATTCAAATACTTTAAGTAGTAAAAAATCAAGTCATATACTAAACATGATTGCAATGCAACAGGATTGTGTTGAATCAGATGAAGATGAGATGTTTTCAAACCCTCACCCCATACCAGTGCCAATATCTGCATACCCATTATCATCTGGGAATTCGTCAACGAATTTCCCATCTATTATAACTAATTCAATTCCGATATCTACTTTAAATTCTACAAAATCAGTCAAAAATAAAGCATTGCATTCTGCTATAGCATTAATGGAAAGTCCTAGATTAGAAACTAGTGATAATCCTCCACCCGTATTTAATATTGACTTCAGTCGATTATCTTCGCCTGAAGTCTAAATAAAGTGTAACCTCTAATTTTTAATAAATGTATCAATTATATATATATATATACAGTATAATGTATTATAATTCCGAGACCGGAAGTCGCTTCCATATAAAAAAATCAGACAGTCAAAAAAAGGGACAAAAACGTAAGAGAAAAAAAAAAAGTGGGAAAAGGAAAAAAGGAATCAAAATTCTGAAAAATTAGACAACGAATTGACTGTTAAAGTAATTTAAGTTATCGTATCATATAAGGAAAGTTAAACCAGAGTCAGTAGGATAAAAGACAGACATATTGGGGATAAGAGAGAATCACAAAATAATAAACAATTAATTAAAGAATCATTTTTTCACATCTCCATTTACTTATTTGGTGTCAATTTAATCAAAGCTATACCATATAATCCATAATGACGTCGTTGCAAACAGCAGTGACGGATACCAATACTTATTACCAAGGCACTCCAACAGGTGCCACTTATTACAATTCACATACAAATGGCATCAGTAGTAGTAATCAACAATCACAAATGGACACAGGATCTTCCTCCTCAACATCGACTCACTCTACACCATATTATGATGCAAGCCAACAGCAACAACAAGTGCAACAACAAGTACATCAACAAGTACAGCAACAACAGACCTATTACGAAGAAGAGAAAAATGATAATAATAGTCCTGTGGAAGAACAAGGAGGAGAACAACCGTTCTATGTCAATGCCAAACAATATCATCGAATTCTAAAAAGAAGAATAGCTAGAGCCAAATTAGAAGAGAATTTAAAAATTGCTAGAACTAGAAAACCATATTTACATGAATCAAGACATAAACACGCCATGAGAAGACCTAGAGGTCAAGGTGGTAGATTCTTGACTGCAGCTGAAATAGCGGAAAAAGAAAGACTTGAAAAGTTGAAGGAGTTGGAAGATAAACAAAATGAAAGTAATAATGATAATACGAATAGTAACGAAACAATCAATAATAATATTGGTACTACTACGACTGACAGTGGTAGTACAAGCCTTACTTCATCTGAACCAGCTACTGTGGATGGTATTGTCAGTACTGGTGATGCTACCACAACTACAGGTGTTTCAGAAAGTGTTATATCTGACTCAGACAAAAAGTCTACCTTAAAAATTGATAATCCAGAAGAAGATGCCATGTTTGAAAATCTAATCAATGCTGCTGATAACGCTAACAATTAGATTATCAATCTTAAAAGTATAATTGCAAAACCACAAGAAAATTCAAAACAATCAAAAGACAAGATAAAACTCTCCCAAAAACAAATTTAACAAAATGTGAAAAAGTTTGTATTCCCACCCCTGTCGTTGTTTGACTTTAGTTTCTTTTTATTTCTATTTGTATTATTTTTACGAAATATATATATGTGTTACGAAAATTGGTAAATCTACAAGAATTTAATAGTCGTAGTTAACATGACGAACTTTTATTTGATTTTAATTTCTGTTCTATGTTATCCTATATACCTAAACTTTTAAGAGAATTTTTAAAATCATCACTTAATTGATTCAATACTTCGATATTAACCGCTTTAATATTGGATAAAATTGTGAATTTAATTTGTGGGTAATCATTATTTTTAAGTTGACTAATTGGATCAAACGCTTCATTATTAATAGAGACTAATTTTGAAAATTGTGATCCAAACGATGAATTATCAATATCGAAATCACTTTGAGTAGTACTAACATCTACCACATTACCATTTCCAGTCAAACTGGTTTGAATAATATTTGATGTTAATGATTTGTTTATACCTTCATAAGTTTCCAAATTCTTAATCAATTGTTGGATGAGTTGTAGTTGTAAGTTATTGTAATTAGTTAAGAATAATGGATTAGTTAACAATTTAGATATACCAATGTTGATGATCTTCTTATCATGTAAATTAATGATTGAATTTGAAGTTGGTAAAACGAAACTAACGAATATTTGTTGGAATAAATTAGCTTGAACTGAATCAATGAAATTTATAATAAATGATTCTGGTAAATTCAAATTAGGTCCACTACTGATATTAATAATAGCAAAAAATAATGTAAATCTCTTGACAAACTTTTCAGTTCTCGAATTCTTTAATCTTGTCAATAATAATATCGATAATTGATTTATGAATGGTTGTAAATATTGAAGTCTAATATTTAATAAGATTGATTCTAATAAATCAAATCCAAAACTATCATTCAACTTTGATGAGATCAATTTTTGAAATACCCCTAATAAAGGAGTTATTTCTTCTTGATTATTAAATATCACATTAGTTTTATCATGTTCGATGATAGTAATTAATAATCTAGTGATACCTGGAATATTACCCCTGAATTCCCATACTGAAGGAGATAATAATGGTTTGATTAAGTTCTTATAAGTCTCTGGTAATCCTAAATCAATAGGATAAATTTCTAATAAATAAGCCAATATTTGGAAAGTATATGGCACGAATTCTTGAACATCATCACTTAAGATATTTAATAAGGCAGGGATAACCAATTCAATGAATTTATTTAAAAGCTCAATATCAATATCAGCAATATTCGTAGGTGGTTTCTTGGTGTTATTCTTAAGAATACCAAATTTAATTAATAATCCAATTGATTCAAAAGTATAATGAGAAAACTTTGGATTAGATGGATTTTTAGCAGTTATCTTCAAAATCTTCAACAATTGTTCAATGATTGATAATCTATTTGAGATTAAATCTTCACTTATAATAAGCACTCTCATTATACATTTAATTAAGAATTCATTTTCAGCTAATTTCTCAGGAGTATAATCATGTAATAAGATAAGATTGAATAAGTTTGTGATTAAATTATTCATGAATGGTTCAATATCTTGTTTATTGAACACTGGAGTATGAGTTTCATTAAAGCTTGTTAAGGATAATAACTTTTCAATAGTGATAGCAGAATAAGTATAAACCACCGTATTTTGATTTCTACTTAAATGATCAATCAATAATGGTATGGCTGATAATAATTGATCTTTACTTAATTGATTTCTGAATGTGAAAATATATTTGATAGAATCAACAATTAAAATTGGATGCAGATTATTACTTCCGATTAAATCATTAGCAATATTATCAGTGAAGAATTTAATAACATCAACTAATACATTGGTGGAAGTAACCCCTAAATTAGTCACTGACCCTTTAGCAGCTAATGAACTGAAAAGGTAAATAGCAGTATCTTTGTTTCTCCAATCTTTATTATCATTATTATTGGATAATAAGAATTGATTGACATATTTCATAACAGTAGCAGTTAATAATTCACTATTTAAATCTTTCAATTCTCTTAAGAAATCAGTAGCTGATTTTCTTCTTGAATCGAAGTCACTTCCTTCTAAATCAGATCTAATGAAGTTGATTGGCTCATCTTCAAACATTTCTTCATCAGATTCACGGAAATAGATATTTGGTAAGATAATCTTTTCAATGATTTCATTTATAGATCCTTCATTTTGGAAAATATATTGGAATTTTTGGAATTTGATAATGGAAGTAAGGAATTGTAATGCTTTTACAACCAAGATATCGAATTTTTGTTGTTTGGTAACGAAATTATTGATTAAGGTCCACACTGTGGTGATGAAGCTTTCGATTAACGGATCAAATACATCAGCATATCTTGATACATAAAGTGAGACCAATTCGATGATGGAAGTTTTCAATTTGATTAGAATATCAGGTTCGAAATCTTCCAGTAAATTGATTAATTTTGGATTTTGATAATTTAAATATTTGTGAATTAAAGTCATCAACACATTCAAGTTATCTTCGAAGAATTCTGGAATATCTTGACAATTAAAATCATAATAAATTTGAATCAATAATAATAAATTCTCAAAATAGATATTCAATAATGCTTCATTATCTTGATTGATTTCAATTAATTTATCCAATTCTAAGAATAAATCCAAGAAAGGTTTAGTAAACTTTTCCAACACCAATTTAATTTCTGAGAATAATTCATCTGATCTAAATAACGATCTCCATTTTTTAAAAATAGAATGACACACCAAAAGAATCGATTTATTGACAAAGAAATCAGTTATGGATAGTTTAGAAATCAATTGATCAATCAAAGTATTCCAATTCTTGGGGAATTCACTCTCAGCAATCAAAGTTATCGACTCTCCGATTTGAATTTGTAAATTCTGAGGTAATTTAATCATAATATCAATGATTTCAGCTTTGATCTTAAAAACATCTTCCTTAGGTAAAAGATAATCACTACCATCACTATTGAACCATTTTCTTTTAGTAAGATTCTTAAAGAATAATGATCCAGCCAATCTTTCACCAGTAGATAAATTAGTGGAATCAATGACATGAAGAAGATTGATTGAAAAACCAGGCAAATTTTCAATTGATCTCAATTTCTGCTCCGCTTGTTTGGCTGTAGCAGGGTAGAGGGATAACTCAAGATACTTGGCAATAGATTCCAATGAATTATCTTCAACTGACATGGTGACTATTGTTCTTGTTGCTGTATGTAAGGATCAATACTTTCTTTATATTCTGTCTTTTTGTTTTTGATCTCGCAACTCCAGCGATTGATAATTAACTTGCGTTGTGATGAAATTCGATGTGAATATATTAAGGGGAGTAAGATATTCTCTTACACGGTGAGGACAGTAACTGATTTCTGATGATGATATTCCACAACAACAAGTCCAATTGGATGACTGATGAAATTTGATGAAGTATGCTGTAAATAGAGTTGAAAAATGGCAGTCAAAAGTTTTTTTTTATTCTTATTTACATTTTTTTTGATGTTGTGATGTTTTCCATTTTTTTGCAAACCTACACGAAAACTACAGAGTATGGAACCAACCCCATCTGAACTGCAAAATGAAGAACATTGGATGTTGGGTTTGATTCAAGAGTAATTTATTACATCGCTCGTTATAGTCATTCAGGAATAAATTATATGTATTATATATATACTATATAATAGTGAGTGGTAACAATAATTAAAAAAATAGGGTATAGGAAGTATATAATCTATAGTTCAAAACAATATGATAAGATAAAAAAAAGATAAAAAAAACAACTTAAAAAAAGGATATTAAAGTAGAAATGGGATAGCTGAACCATCATTATAGTATACAATTTGATTGATTAGTTAAAATGATGATTGATGAACACAAAATGAGATAGAGGAGAAAATGATTTCAAATTCTCATCTAGCTTTATTTTGAGGATGGTAAAGCTTGAGCAGCAGCAGCATCTTTAGCTTGCTTTTGTTTAGCAACAGCGTAAACTAAACCAGCAACGAAACCAACAAAGATGGAGGAAACGGACCAGAAGTTAACGGCGGCATCGAAAAAGACTAAACCTAATAATGCAATTGGTAATTTATTTAAAGCACCAACCATAGAATAAGTGGTTGAAGAAGTAACTCTGACACACCAAGCTGAACAATAAGAAATACCAACAGAAGAAATACCAGATAAAATCATGGCGAAAATAGTAGCACCTCTAATATCTTCTGGGAAATTTAAAGCTAAATTTTCACTAGTCCAATTTTCAAAAGTAAAAGAAGAAACTAATAAAATTGGAATAGATAATAAATTGTTATAGTACATGGTATCGAAATCTTTAAAGTTAGTTAACTTTATTCTTTTTCTCATGATTAAAACAAAAGCAGCAGAAGCAAAACAATTGGTGAACATCCAAAAGTAACCGATATATAATTCGAATAAATCAACGTTTGAGGAAGCAGCAGCAGAAGCATCACCATACCAAGCGATAAGAGATGATAAAACCATTAATAAGAAAGAACCTAAAACCATGGAAGTAACTTTACCACCGAACCAGATAACTTCACCATAAGCAATTAAGATGATGGTTAAATTCTTAAAGATGGTATAAACTGGAATACTTAAGAATTGGATAGCTTTAGAAGCAGTATAGATCATAACCACTAATAAGAAGGCGATTGGGAACCATTTTTGAGCTTCATCACGATTGAATTGTCTATAAGTGATGATACCAAACCCTTTTAAGGAACCAATGGTAACAATACAAACAATCGATTGAATGGCTAATAAGAAGAAATTCAAGTTGAATGAGAAACCAGATAAAACATATTTATTGGTAAGGGTCATCAAGATTGATGATAAACAGTAACATAAGATTGAAACTGGACCAGAATTGACAACTGATGCTAAGGGTGATGTAGCTGATTTTTCCATATTGAATGAAGATGATAATTTATTAGTTAGATGAAGAGGGAGAATACGACTATTTTTGAAGAATTTCCGTTTGATGATATAAATTAATTGAGAAATGAGATAAAACAGTAATAATCCCATACACTAGTGGTATTGATTTGATTTGATCTGCTTGAATTCTGATGGAAGGGCGAGTGAGTGAATGCAATCAAATGTAATTGAATAAGCAAGGACTGACTATGGTTGAGGGGAAAGTTGACTCGACAAGTAACTGATGATGATGATGATGATGGAATTCCTTATTGATTGGATAAAGAACAAATGAAGTAAATACAACAAATAGGAAAGTAATTAGTTGTTGTTGAAAAAGAAAATTTATTTTGGGAAAGTAAATAAAAAAAAAAGACACCCAAACTGAAAACAGATAAAAATTTCATACGCCTAATTGTCTGTCTGTGTGTTAGTTAAGTTTAGTGTCTGACACAAGTAGTGTCTGATTGATATTTTTTATGTCTGATTGTTTGTTTTGAATTTTATTTTAATTTTAATTTTGTGTAATTTAAAATCCTATTTTTGTCTGAATTTTGTGTAATTTCATAACAAACCGTGTCCCAAGCAATCTCTACATAGTTAATTCAATTCAATTCAATCAATCAAGATAAATGTGTTAATAACAAGAATTCAATTTTTCATAATTGTACCCCTAGATAATCAGAATAAGAATAAGAATAATAATAACACGTAAGTAGATATATACGTGTTGTTTTGTAGTTGATGATCCTTCAAGACCCGCTATCACTACCATAGGTTAGGTAACTACTATATGAATTCTACATCTCATCATCAATAGTTTGCATATTCCAATTCAATTCAGGTCAAACTTTTCTCGTAATTCAAATCTGACATTTTTTATTTTTTTTGTAAGGTAAGCAGGAGGCCATGTAGAGTTAGTTACCTTTATGTAACTTGTAAATATAATAGTTATTCCATGATAATTTACACTTTAATCCATGGCTTATCTCTTCACTGTTACAGGTTAATTGGGCTCAATTTAGAAACGGTTTCAAACATTCTCCTTTAAACAATAGATAATACTGGTTTATTGTACTTATTGCATCTATTGTACATACCATGTTAATCTGTTCCTTTAGGAACTCTATTTAAACTTTACATTCATACCTATCACAGTTTTTATGTGGCATATGTCTATCTAGTTTAACTTGTTAGTTAATCTCTAAACTGCACGCGTGGGTTACTGTCTGTCTGTCTGTCTGGTCTGTCTCTTTGGGTGAATATTTCAAGTGCCTGTCAGGTGGGCGGAATATTATTATTTAAATCTCCTATGATAAATTTAGTTCAATTAGATAATTAACGCGTCTTTATCTCTACTAACATACTTTCAGCCCATTACTTTACTATTGGATAATACCCTGTACTAATGTACGAATGGAATATACTTCCATGAAGGGTCGAGTTCAGGGTTAAAATCAGAAGCAGAAGCAATTCAAATCGAATAAATATCTATCTTGCAATTTGGTTTTGTGTCTCATTTCTGCATTCGATGATTCTTGATCCTTTTTAGGACCCAAGTTGTCTTCTAATGTGCTACTTCTATTTGGTTTAATATTGCTGTAGTCTACTGTAATAGACTCTTTACTACCGTATAATACTTAACGCTGATTATAATTAAAAAGTTAAATGTACCTAACAGTAAAGAAGAGTGTTAAAAATTTAATATTATTAAACATTTTCGAAGTTGACTATTTTTCACGTTAATTCTACAAAAACCTTTTTAAAATCAATGTCTAATATCTATCTAATTAATGAATTTTTATTATCTTTTTTATATATGCTTTAGTCTAATTTACAAATCTACTCAAATACTTACTTATCAGCATAATCACCTCTATTATATATACTAATATCCACTTCAGCTTTAACGTCAATCATATCACTAGCATCAATACATGCATCAATACTTAACCCACGACTTCTTTGATCTTTAATTCTTTGATTTTGAGCTCTTATTTTTTCTAATTCTTGAATATAATTATCTTCAACACCAGTAATATATTCTCCTGTGAAAACACCAACTTCAAATTGATCAATTTCTTCAGTACGACAACAATCAACTAAATCTTGTAAATCTTGATAAATAACTTTATCAGCTCCAATTACTTTTGAAATAGCTTCTTCATCTCTTTCAAACCCAACTAATGCTTTGGTATCAGCTAAATCAATACCATAAATATGATTATATCTAATTGGTGGAGCACATGAAGCAAAATAAACTTTTTTAGCTCCTGCTTCACGAGCCATAGCAACAATTTCTTTGGAGGTTGTACCTCTAACAATAGAATCATCAACTAATAAAACATTTTTACCTTCAAATTCTTGTTGCATAGCATTTAATTTACGACGAACTGATGATCTTCTTTGTTGTTGATCTGGCATAATGAAAGTTCTACCAATATATCTATTTTTAACAAATCCTTCACGATAAGCAATGTTTAATGAAACGGCACATTGGAAAGCTGATGTACGAGAAGTATCAGGAACAGGAATCACGACATCAACATCATTTGGACCTAAAACTTGTTGAATCTTAGTAGCTAATTTATCACCCATTTCAATACGAGATCTATACACTGATTTACCATCTAAAACTGAATCAGGTCTAGCGAAATAAACATATTCAAAAATATCAGGAGCAAAGATTTTTGGAGGAACAACTTGTTTAAATTCTGGTTTGGAAGAATCTTTCTTTATTATAACTGCTTCACCAGGTTGAATATCTTTAAAATTTTCAAATCCATGAGCTTTTAAAACCACAGATTCACTGGCTAACATATAATCAATAGAACCATCTTTATTGATTCTTTCACCAAAGATTAAAGGTCTAATACCATTTGGATCTCTGAAACCAATTATACCATATCCTGCTAACATAGTAATACAAGCATAAGCTCCTCTAATAAGATTCATAGTACCAGTTAAAGCACTAAATAAATCTTGATTATTAACTCTTGATTTATTGAATTTATCTAATTCAGCTGCAAACACATTAATTAATAATTCTGAATCTGAATCAGTATTAATATGTCTATGAACATCATTATCTAAATAAGTTTTTAATTCAATGGAATTAACTAAATTTCCATTATGACTTAAAGTGATACCATAAGGAGAATTGACATAAAAAGGTTGAGCTTCACTACCAGCTGATGAACCAGCAGTTGGATATCTTAAATGAGTTATACCCATATTACCTTTTAAATTAACCATCCGTTGTTGAGTGAAAACATCACGAGCCATACCATTACCTTTACATTGATAGAAACGACCTTTGCTTCCACAAGTAACGATCCCAGCAGCATCCTGACCTCTATGTTGTAAGAACATAGCTCCTTCAAACAATTCATTGGCTACATTGAGAGTTTGATCATGTAATACAATTCCTAAAATACCACACATTTTTTAATGATAAATAATGAGAATGATAGTTGTTTTGAGTAACGAGAGTGACGAAACTCAGAATGAAGAATGGAAAGATCTTTATCAAAAAGAACTAATCTAATATCTTAAAAAGAAAAGGAAAAGAAACAAGAATTAAGAAGTTACAAATGAGTTAACTGTGAAATTTTTTCTATACCCAAATTGGCTAGCCTTTCAAATGTATGGATGGGATTTGTTAACAAGCAAAAAAGAATTATTTTTTTTGTCTGATGAGTCTAATTAAATCTGGAGTATAGTACTACAGTATAGGAGTGAAAAAAATACTACTACTAATAGGTAAATAATGCGCTAACTATTATTATTATCATTCATTGTTACTGATAAAGAAGTCAAATCAATTTACTACTAATTAATCCGTATTATCTGTGTAATATGTTACTTACTATTGTGATATATGAACTGAAAAATTTTTATGTCTTCTCTCTGCTACCAGAGTCAAAAAAAAGAAATGAAAGTTATGTTAGGGGTAGTTATGTGCAGGACGTGTGATGTTGTTCTTTTTTTTTGATTGCCGCTTTATACCGTAGTTAAGTATGAGCACAAGTAATGATACTACAAATAATCAATGATTACAACGATATGATTTATATTTCTATACTAAGATAGAGATAAAACTATACTACTATGTCATAAAAAAGCCAAAAAGCCAAAAAAAAGAAAAAAAAAAGTCCAAAAAAATCAAAAAAAGGAAAAAAAAAAGAAAAAATTGGTTTTTTTTGGGTAGATATCTATGATGATAGATATCAATGTAATATAAAAAGAAATGATTGATTAATTACTGGATTGGATTGATAGCAGTGTATGTTCTGTAGATGATGAACAATACATCCAGTAATTATATTTAAAAAAATAAACAGAAAATAAGATAAAAAAACAATAATAATAGTGATAAAAAAAATGAAAATCAATCTTTAAAAATAATAGTAGAACTCCGATAAATGAATTTAATAATAACTCCAGTAATTAGAAGGAAATGGAAATCACATTAAATTTATAAAAAACAAACAAACAAAACAATAATGATGGGATAGAATGTAGTAAACATAAAAATCTCTAAATTGATCATCAATTTCGTATCACCATCATCATCTTTCAATAATAATATTATAGAAGAAGTAACTTTAAAACAAGGAAACAAAGGTACAAAAATAAGGAGAATAAAATTTCATGACATTTCATTATTGATATGGTTGTTGTTGTTGTTGTTGAGATGGTGGAGGTTGTTGTTGATATTGACCATTGACTTGTGGTTGAGGTGGATATCCTCCAAATTGTGGGGGTGGAGCTTGTCCTTGTTGATATTGATATCCATTAAATTGAGGTGGATATTGAGGTTGTGGAATTGGAATTTGAGGTTGAGCTGGAGTTGAATTAGATGATACTTCAGGTTGACCTTTATATTCATAACCTTTCTTACTTAAAGTTTCATTACCTTTTGGTAATTCTTCAATTTTAAATGGTCTTGGAACTGCATCTGAATTTTCAGCAACATATAATGATTTATCAATAGTAGCTGGAATTGGTTTAATTTCAGTACCTAATTCTTGTTCAATCTTATATAATGAATATCTATCATTCCAACTCATTAAATTGATAGCTAACCCTAAATGACCAAATCTACCCGATCTACCAATTCTATGTAAATAAGTTTCAGCAGTCTTTGGGAAATCAAAATTAATAACCACATTAACAGCTTGAATATCAATACCTCTAGTTAATAAATCTGAACAAACTAAATTACGAACTTTACCTTGTCTAAATTCATGGAAAACTTTATTTCTAGCTTGTTGAGGCATCTTTGCATGAGAATAATAACATGAATAACCTAATTCAGTAATTTTCTTAGCTAATAATTCCACTCTATTAGTAGAATTACAAAAAATAATCGATTGATTAATTTGTAATTTACTAAATAATGTATTTAAACAATGTAATTTTTGTTTTTCTTCCACAAATGCATAATATTGACTTATACCTTTTAAAGTTAATTCATCCATTAAATTGATTTCATAAGGTTTATTTAAATGATCATCCATAAATGATTTAACCGCTAATGGGAAAGTTGCTGAAAATAATAATGATTGTCTCTTTTGAGGGAAAAATGCTAAAATTTGTTCAATAATTCCTTTAAATTCTCGTGATAACATTTTATCAGCTTCATCCATAACAAATAATGGACATTCAGATAAATCAGCAATTTTTCTTGATGCTAAATCTAAAACTCTACCAGGAGTACCAACTAAAACATGAACTGGATCATTTAATCTAACAATATCATCTCTTAATGAAGTACCTCCAGTAGTGACCATACATTGAATACCTAAATGTTTACCTAAAGTTCTAACCACTTGAGAGGTTTGTAAAGCTAATTCTCTGGTTGGAACTAATATTAATACTTGAATTCTATTTAATTTTGGTTTGATTTGTTGTAAACTTGGTATAACGAATGAAGCAGTTTTACCTGTACCATTCTTAGCTCTGGCTAAAATATCTCTACCAGCCACAGCCATTGGGATTGATTCTTCTTGAATTGGAGATGGTCTTTCAAATCCAGCTTCAAAAATTCCCATTAATAATTCACGCTTTAAATTGAAATCTTCAAAGGATTTCCCTTTCGTATTTAAAACATCGTCAGTTTGAGGTCTAGTATCCTTGGTAGGAATATTTAATTGTGATTTCCAATCTTCTGACATTGTATGTAGTTATATATATATTGTGTGATTTAATTGATTGATTAGTTGATTGATTGAATGAAAATGATGGTTTGGTTGAATCAAAGTTTTAAATGATGTTGGTTTCGATACAAATGATAATAATAAATGCAAAATGATTTGTAAATGAAACTATTAAGTGTTATAGTTGATTGAATGATTGATTTGTTATTGTTAATAGGTTGACTGATGTAATGGTTGCCTAATTCGAATTTTTTGGAAAGAATAAATATAATTTGGATCTGAACTCTCGTAGTTGTTGTTATTTAAAAATGGAGTTGCAGAAAGGTTATTCTTTATAAAGGACAATACAATTTCTAAGTATTTGGGGGAGATGTATTATTTAAAACTATGTAATTAAAGAACTAGAAAGAAGCTAAATAGATAAATCTTCAAAACACACCAATCTCAACTCAACCCTTAAACCTCCTCTGGTTCACACCAGAAAAACTTTTTCGTTGGCCTTTCCCAATTAGGAAATGTTTAGCTGAAAGTACACGACCTACAACTAAAAGGTAGTTTCTTACCCGGATCTTTACCTTACTATTTACTGCAAAATATGATATTATAACTGGGAACCCATGATCCATATTATATCAAGTAATATATAGTACTTGATATGAATTGGTGATTGAGTTATTAATGAATTTCATTTCGGACAACAAAATGTTGATGATTAGTCTATCGTTTAACTAAATTCATGATCTCATCATCGGCCTTCGATATAAACCGTGCTATATTCTTGTTGACATTGGCTTCGTTGATCATTTTCGATTCCATATGATGCATTATATCGGACTCATTGATATTAGATATGATTAGATTTTGTTGTTTTAATTCACTGATGGATAAGTTGAATGGATATATACAAGTTTCACTAGGACATGATATAATTGATATGGTTGGTTGTAACAAATGTTGTTTAAGTGCAGTCGAACATAATGGACAGTTCATAGTTAGTCAGTACTCTAATTCAACTCTATCTATATCATAAGATAAACACCCATGAACCTTCAAAGTAGTAGTGATATCTCAAGATGATTACTATTAGAGATCAATAAATTTTCAATATTTTCATTTTTACAGTGCGATGATTCAAATCTATAAGCACAAAAAAAAATTGGCAACATAATTCTATTATTATAAATCAATCATACTATCACGACAAGAATATAAGCCATGAGATTATCTGAAGAAACAATCAATCAATTACAACTGAATCCGTCATGTATAAGGAATATCTGTATATTGGCTCATGTGGATCATGGTAAAACTTCATTAAGTGACTCTTTATTAGCCACAAATGGGATTATATCACAAAGAATGGCAGGTAAAGTCAGATACTTAGATTCCAGAGAAGATGAGCAATTAAGAGGTATTACAATGGAATCATCAGCTATATCATTATATTTCAAGATGGGTCGTAGAAAGCAAGACTCTGAAGAAACTGAAATCAATGAATATTTAATTAATTTGATTGATTCTCCAGGTCATATTGATTTTTCATCAGAAGTGTCTACATCATCAAGATTATGTGATGGTGCCGTGGTATTAGTTGATGCTGTTGAAGGGGTATGTTCTCAAACTGTGAATGTACTTAGACAATGTTGGATTGATAAATTAAAACCAGTGTTGGTCATTAACAAAATCGATCGTTTGATTCTTGAATGGAAATTGACGCCATTGGAAGCATATCAACATATTTCAAGAGTTATTGAACAAGTTAATTCTGTTATTGGTTCATTTTTCGCAGGTGATAGAATGGAGGATGATATGATTTGGAGAGAAAGTGGAGAAGATAGTGAATTTGTTGAAAAAGATGATGAAGGATTATATTTTACACCTGAGAAAAATAATGTCATCTTTGCTTCTGCTATTGATGGATGGGCATTTACAGTGAATACATTTTCAAGAATATATGCTGCGAAATTGGGTTTCTCTCATAGCGTATTAACAAAGACTCTCTGGGGTGAATTTTATCTTGATATGAAGAATAAGAAAATTATCCCAGGTAAGAAATTAACTGCAAAACAACAAAGCTTAAAACCATTATTTGTATCTTTAATTTTAGAACAAATTTGGGCAGTATATGAAAACTGTATTATAGAAAGAAATCAAGAAAAGTTGGAAAAGATTATTGAAAAATTAGGAGCTAAGATAACTCCTAGGGATTTACGTTCTAAAGATTATAAGAATTTATTAAATTTAGTAATGTCACAATGGATTCCTATAAGTCATGCTATCTTAGGAACTGTTATCGATTATTTACCAAGTCCAATAATCTCACAATCAGAAAGAATTGAAAAAGTTTTGGATGAAAGTATCTATAATGTGGTTGGTTCTGAAAAGGATAAATCGAAATTAGTCGATATAGAATTTGATAAAGCAATTCGTAACTGTGATTCATCTGATCCAGAACATCATACCTTAGCATATATTTCTAAAATGCTTTCTATTCCTAATAAAGAACTTCCAAAAGATACACCAGTCGGTGGTGAGTTAACAGCTGAGCGAATCCAAGAAAGAGGAAGAATAGCTAGAGAATTAGCCAAGAAAGCATCCGATGCTGTTGGTGCTGCACAACCCGCCAACAATGACGAGTTTGTTATCCAACCTAAAAGTAAAGATGCCTTTGAATGGGAGTTTGAAGAAGACGCTTTTGAAGAAGATGCAGAAGAAGAGGAAGAAGAACAAGAAACCGAGACTTTGGTTGCTTTTACTCGTCTTTATTCTGGTTCTTTAACAGTTGGTCAAAAAATTACTGTTGTGGGACCTAAATATGATGCTTCCTTACCCAATGATGATCCAACTAACGAAGAACAAATAACATATGATGTAGAAATACAACAATTATATTTAATCATGGGTAGAGAATTAGTCAAAATCACTACAGCTCCGGCCGGTAATATTGTTGGTGTAGTTGGTCTTGATAAAGTAATTTTAAAGAATGGTACTTTGTGTTCTAAAATCGAAGATGATAAACCATATATTAATTTAGCATCAAGTTCGACCTTAATCCACAACAAGCCTATTATGAAGATTGCAGTCGAACCTACCAATCTTTCCAAATTAGAGAAATTAGAAAGGGGATTGGATTTGTTAGCTAAGGCTGATCCAGTGTTAGAATGGTATTTTGATGATGATTCAGGTGAAATCATTATGTGTGTGGCTGGAGAACTTCATTTAGAAAGATGTTTGAAAGATTTAGAAGAGCGATTTGCCAAGGGTTGCGAGGTCACAGTTAAAGAACCAGTCATTCCATTCAAAGAAGGTTTAGCTGATAACAAGAAGGATACTAATTATGAAGATTCAGATGATGAATCAGACGAAGAAAATAATCTCGGTATTAGTCTTGAATTTGATGTTTCTCCGATTTCTATTGAAGTAACTAAATTTTTAATCAATCATGAGTCAGAAATAAGTGAACTTAATTCTCAAAAAAAGTCATCTGATAGTTCAAATGAATTTAAACAAAAATTCATTGAAATCATAGATGAACAAAAATTCGAACATGAATTCGAATCATCTGAAGCTTTAGTAGATAGTATAATTGCTTTTGGACCAAAAAGAATCGGACCTAACTTATTTGTTGAATCTCCAAAGAACAACAATCAATTCAGACATGTATTCCAAGAGTCATCTTCCACAAAGTTTGAGTTTGAAAACAATGTGTTGAATGGATTTCAATTGGCATCAAATGAAGGTCCAATTGCTGCTGAACCCTTACAAGGGGTTCTAGTCACTCTTAAGAAGAGTGCTAGAATCGAATCGGATGCTGCTGCTATATTGAATTTAGGTGGAAGAATCATAACATATACTAGGGATCTTATTCATAAAGATTTCTTACTGAAATCAAGAAGATTATTCCTTGCTATGTATACATGTGATATTCAAGCATCAGCCGAAGTTTTAGGTAAAGTTTATGCTGTTGTTCAAAAGAGAGGTGGATCAATTATATCTGAAGAGATGAAAGAAGGTACACCATTTTTCACTATTGAAGCTAGAATTCCAGTGATTGAAGCCTTTGGATTTTCAGAAGAAATCAGAAAGAGAACTTCAGGTGCTGCCAGTCCACAATTAATTTTTGATGGATTTGATATGTTAACCATTGATCCATTCTGGGTTCCTCATACTGAAGAAGAATTAGAAGAATTAGGTGAATTTGCGGAAAGAGAAAATGTTGCTAGAAGATATATGAATACTATCAGAAGAAGAAAAGGTCTATTCGTGGATGAGAAAGTTGTTAAGAATGCTGAAAAGCAAAGAACCTTGAAAAAGGATTAGAGTATTACCCTATATAAAGAGTAAATTTAATAGATCTGTAAATAAAACCAAATTTGTATACCAAAATCTCATTATGTACAGTCTCACTAGTAATCTTTGATGAAGAGAGGAAAAAAAAATTTGTGACAATTTAAACTGTACAAAGAAGACGATCCATTGCAACCAAGTGATTTATGACTTATATATAGAAACAGACTGAATTAATTTCATTTGAAGATAGCTTAAAGAGGAATATACTGCATTGAAAATGTCAGTGAATGATATAAACCCCATATCAAATGTCAATTTAAGTCTGAATCTTGATAAAAAGGCAACTAGTTCTATTAATAATACTACCTCAAAACCACATCTAAACAATGGCAAACAGAATATAAATATACCATCATCTTCTCGAAACAACGAGATACCAACCAATGCAAATTCACATTCTATCCCAGTGCGGGCATCTGTTAAATCTGCTACTAATGGTTTGAAACTACCTGGTCGTACAAATGCAACTGGTATTGATCCCCAGCGTTTATTTGAATTGGTATCGAAGAACTATGAAACTTGGCAACAAGCCATACATAAACAATTCCAAGATGAAGATAATTTCCTGCCATTCCCCAATGAAGATGATGAAGATAAACATTTCGATGTGCTTAAGAATAACTTGAAAAATAATAATTTTAAAGATTCAGAACCCATATTTGATTATAGTCTATTGGAAGCTTTAGAAAAAGCATCATTTGAATTTACGGATAATATAAATCAATTAGAAAGTAAAGGTTCTACAAGTAAGGCTAGATCAAGTGGTTCTGGTTCCCTTGGCGCTTCATTTGATCCCATAACTGAAGTAACCAATCAAATTAATAAAGCATCTAAATCTTTAACTAAAAATAATAGTTTATTAAATGAAAATGAAATTGATTTCTTAAGGGAAAAGATATCACAAATGTTGAATTCAAATCATCAATTGTCCGGAGCTCCTAAGAAAAGAAAACAAGGATTTTCACTATATGATACTCAAGATGAAGAAGGATTACATGAAGAAAATACTGATCAATTTTATGATAATGAAGAATATGATGATAATGAAGATGAAGAAGATTATGACTATGATTTAGATGAAGTTGATGACGATGATGGTTATTTACCTTATAAACATCCAACCCATCATATTGAAGTGGAATTAAATACTGGAGAATGTCCTGTTCATGGAATAGATGATTGTGATTGTTCTTTATACGAATATGATGATGAAGGTCATGAGCTTGATGATAATGTCGATGGACCATCATGTGAATTTACATTTGAGTATGATCATACTGGGAAATTAGTACCGACTTATAATAATGTTGAAGAAAAATTACGATTAATGAGTTTACAATCACGACTTTCGAATGCAGCTGCATTTGCTAAAGCTAATGGAGTAAATCTTGGAGCTGATAATAATAATATTAATAATATTAATGGTAAATCTATGAGATTACCATCTATTAATAGTCTTGATATTGGTAATGCTGCTAATTCTACTAAAAGTAAATCATCCAAAAAGAAAAAAAAGAAATCTAAGAATAAGAATCATGATGAAACATCATCAGAGTCTAAAGTTGATGAAAAGATAACTAATTTCATTAAAGGAGGAGAAGATCAGTGTTGTTTACTTTGTGAATATCAAGCTATTTACGGAGTCAAACCTCGACAAATGATTAAATCCTATAATAAAAGAATTAGTGGAGATGAAAAGAGACGAGAAGAATTGCGAAAGAAATTAGATAATGTTAAACAGAAAGCACAAAGACGACAACGAGAGTTAAGAGATAAACAACTTAAGAAACAAGAACAATTGAAGCAACAACAGCATTTACAAGAACAACATCGAAAACAACAGATGATACAAAAGGAACAAGAAAAACAGCAACAGAAAGATAATGAAGTAATTGCCAATTTCATTGATGCAGCTGCTAATACAGTCGATTAAGTAAATAAAGATTTATATGATAGTTAAGTTAATAATTTGTAAATATGATTGAATATATTCAACTTTTGTATATATATATATATCATTGATTTCCAAAATAGGAAAGTATTCGGCACATGACGTGTCAGCTGACTTCAATTTTTTATAATAATATTTTTGCCAAAGCGGTTTGTGGTAACCCCACTTTTATTTAAGATTTCAGGCATTTTTTTGATTTGATTAGAATTTTTTAAATAACGAGAGTTAATTAATTTTTACTTAAACGGTGATCAGTTCGTAATTAACAAATAGGAGATGATAAGGTCCAACGGGAAGATAGGTTTACATTGTATATGGACATAATTAGTATCATTCAACAGGTAAAAGTGAGATATGTCTAGTAAGGATAAGAAAAACCTAGAAAGTTATAAGAATAAAATCAGACAAATGACAAAAACATTAAAAAGGGAGGTTGTATAAAAATAAGACAAAAAAGACCACTAAGCAGACAAAAACAGACAAAAAAAAAGAGGCAACTTAAAAATTATAATCTGGAAGCAAAATGAGGTTTGAACACCATTGTCAATTTTATATCGTATATTAAATAGTGTATGGTTAATGATTCAATTATAGTGTGGATAACTGAATGGATGTTGTGGGTGAAATCAGGTTTATAAATAGCAAACACAATTTGATAACTTGTTCTTCTTTCTTCTTCTTCCTTCTTCTTCTTATTCTTCTTCTCTTCTCCTCATATCATATCACATCATCCCATCCGATTTCACCACATTGATATTGCTCACGTTCACATCGTTACACATCCAGCCACCAACCCACCAACTAAGCATATACTCTCAAGCGTAAGTTATTAAGTTTCCTTCCCATATTTATAATTCATAATTACTTGTTATTATGTTTTCACGTAGTGGAACTCATACTCCAGTCTTATCCCCTATGAACTCTATTCATCAATCTCCTGGTACTCCGCACCCACTTTCTCATTCCACTACTGTTGCTTCCACCAATAATCATTATCATCCTCACCATAATCGTAATTATAATCCTCGTCATGAACCGGTAGATGATACCGTTACTTGGGTTAAAGATTGGTATTCCCCCACATTAGTGTCATCTCAATCGAAAGATGATGATTCAACTGCAAGTTTAGTTGATTCTATTAAATTAAAAGGTTGGGTTAAAACCAATTTAAATCATAAATTATTAAATCAATCATCATCATCTTCAAATAGTAATGTCTATAATCCTAACGATATTTTGGATTTAAATCAATGGAAATATTATAATGGAGTCCCTATTACGGATCATTCCAGAAAATCATCCATAGTTGATAGAGTCTTGGATAATGATGATGATGAAGAGGATGATGAAGGCAGTAATGCCAATAATAATGATGAAGATATAGAAGATGATGAAGATGATACCATGAGTTTCATGGAAACGGATAATTACATTGCTACTTCTAAAGAATTGAAATCAGCCATCAGTTTTAAAAATGATGAAGGTCATATATCAGGGTTATAATTATAGTTCTACTTTTTTATATTTAATGATTGTTTAATGAATGTTTTTTAGGTCTTACGTTTTATTTCAATGGTGAATACATTTTGTATATTTCTATTTATATATATATATATGATTGTTTGATTGTTTGAATGAATTGTATCACTCTTTTAACGTTATAAAAGTGACCGATTTCTTTGCATTGGTAGTTGCTTCATATAATTCTTGTAATTTATCAAAATCCCAACTATCTTCACTTGCCAATTTAGTTACATCAACTCCTTCACGTTCTAATTTTTGAAATTGCTTTCGAATATTCTGTAATCGAATCATTTCTTTAGCATCTCCAATCACAGAATGAATTATCATTAAACTATCTTGAGGTAATCGTTCATAAATTGTAGTTAATCGTTGATTCAAAGTCTTGTATAATTCATTCATCTCTTCTTCACTTTTACTATCTCGGATACCATTATAATGTTCAGGAATTTGACAATTAAATCGATCATTATTATTAAATTCAAGTTCTCGAAGCGTTAATATTGTGAATCTTTTATCTTCATTGAAATTTTCAACAAATTTTTCAACCACTTCATCATCATTATTAACATATTCCACTTGAACTTTATTCTCAATTGGTTCATTATATGCTTCTTGATATTTATAATCACTATAATTAATAAATAATGATTTGAAATCATCTTGTTTAAACTCTTTACTAATCTTTTTAAATAATGACATTTCACCTACATTTAATCCAAAATATTTCCCCTCCGTGAATTTCAATTTAACTAAATCCAAACATGCTTGAGCATCTTCAATTGATGAATGCCCATCGCCATTCAATTCACCAGTTTGAATAGCTCGATTAAGGAATTTATTACTCAACCATTTCAATGATGGTTTCAGAGGTGGTCCTCTAACATGTTCATATATCACTGATGTATCGACTATCTTAGTATGTTTTATTTTCATCACATTTAAATCTGATTCTAATGAATGACCTATCAAAATATCATCATCAGATATTATGGCAAGAAGTTTGGTTTGAATATCTTGTAATGTGGTAGTTACATCTTTTAAAAGTTCTTCTGTTATACCTGAATATTTAGTTAAATAATCAGTAATTTCTTCATCAGGTTTCACTAATAAATCCATAACTAAATCACCTTGGAAATTAATTAATGAAATACGAGTTAATACTTTCCCACTATTTGATTGACAAAATTCACAATCTAATGCAAAAATATGAGATCCTTCATGTTCAAATGACTTGGTCTCAACCCATCCTTTATCTACTTTATCTTCATCATCAAGACTCATAGGATAATTATTTTGGATCAATTGAGATTCAGTCAATAATAAATCATAAATTGTAATTGATTTATTCTTAGGAGCATTTAATAAATCACTCTTTTCTCGTTTGGTTAAGGGAATATTAGTTATAGCTTGGATTGGAGGGAATAAAGTATCCTTCCCACCAGGACATGAAGTTTGAATGAATTGTTTGAAATTATTATTAAAGAAATCTAAATCTTCATTAGACTCCACCGATTCCATTGAAATTAATTGACTTTTAGATGAATCATCCACAATGGAAAATTTATCTGCTGGTAATCCTGGTACTAAACAAAACACAACATTAGGTATAAAATTCTCATGTTCAAATCTAAACCATTTAGATTTATTACTACTACTGTTGAATGCCTTTAATACTAATTCTCGTATACAATGGAATGGTAATCGTTTGTCACTTTCTTCAATATCAAATTGTAATGATGGAGTTCTATGTTTTTTTTTTGATTTCTTATTGGTATTACTTTCAGAACTACCATTACTCGGTATATCTAATTTATTTCTTTTATCACGATGGATGTTACCATTATTATTATTATTGTTATTGATGTTATTGGATAAGTTATCCTTAATGATCGGTATGGATGATCTTCTTCTTTTCATTCTTTCGTTAGTTTTAAGACTATCAATTTCATCCATTGAAGTTATAGAAACCACAGAATCTCTTCTTGTTAATTCAGTACTATTCAATAATTCTTTAACTTGAAGTCTAGGATTATCATTCTCAACATCAATGGTGGATATAGACAATCGAGCTGTACTATGACTTAATGGATCATCTGACATAATACAATTTTGAAATAATGCAAAGTTAATTCAATTTAAACTTGGAAACTTGTCACTTTTAGATTATCAATTGATTCAACTTTACTATGCTTGCAACTATTTTAATGATTCACTCTTTGATCTATCCTTACTCCTTATAAATTTCTCATATGTTTATATATGTACTCAATATGTCTTAGTCCTATATATACCCTTATGTATTCTTAATCAGGTTAAAAGAATAGCCTAAATATTGCTAAAAGACTAGAGTTGCATCCTCTGGCACAATCTTACATTTTTCTATTACCCTAAATTTTTCTAGAGCTGCTTTGATGGTGTTGAGATTTTTTTTTTTTCGATTTTGTTCATCTTTTGTGTGCAGGAATTGCCTATTTGGGAACTGTTATTGCAATGCTTGGTTTAGTAGATCATGAAATGATAATCTTTGTTGGATGGTAATAGTTGGAGGTGTTGATATTGTATTTGATTGTTTGAATGATAATAGAGGATAATCTTCAAATTTGAAATTAGATTCCATATTGTCAAATGATAAGAATCGATTGTAACTTTGATCTAATTGTTGAATGATTTCAACATTATTCAATAATGTATTATTATCATGGAATACACTTGACTTTGAGATCAATGAGATTTTATTCCATGAATCCCAAGCTTTAGGAATAAATAAATTAATAATGAAGTCTTGATTAAATATCTTCTTCTTTGATGATTCGAATATTGGTTGTGCTTCTGATAAAGCATGCACGTACTTAATGAACAGATGTGCTGACTCTTTGGTTAATACGTCCAAATCATTCACAATGACAAATCTTCCTCCATGCTTGAGGGTAAAGTACCTTGAATATTGATGTATGTAAATACTATCGACCGTTGATAATATTATACTTGTGTTATTATTTGTGGTGGTATGATTAGTCTTGTCTAATGTCAAAGAATGTGGGTCTATAACAACGACTAACTCAAATGAAAATGGTTTGTCTCCATGACCAATATCTGGTGTTAAGTTGATTTGATTAACTTCATCTGACTGTAAGTGACGATTGTATTGTTTCGTAAAGTCTAGTTGATATATATCCTTGCCCTCTGTAACTTTCTCATGAAGATATTTCAAAACTCTTAATAGCTGAGGAAACTCTGTCATCAGTACAATGACATACTTCTCCTTATATTCTCTTAATAATACATCTGATATATATTTTAAGAACGCAATTGGGTTTGTTATGATATATGTTTCACAGTCATCATTAGAATCAAATTCAATCGACAGGTGATCGCCATTCTTCAACATTACTATAACATTTTTAAGCACTTTCTTATTCACAAACTTCGTCAAAGACATCTTCTTCTTTATCCTATCTCTTGGTTATTCTTAATACGATACCCTTAATGATTCTGAATCAGAGTTTAAAAATTGTTATTTACATTTTGAACATTTCGCACGTCCCTCTAAATTCTAAGTCAGTACAAAAATACAACGCCAAAAAACTAAACTATATGAAGACAAGGCATATACGAACTTAGGATCAATAGTTAATCTTCATCGTATATACATCTGGTACTGTTGAGCAAAGATGCCTGGACCGTCCAGATCATCTAATGGAAACAGTGATGCGAATGATGATGATAAGCTTCTCCAAGATATCATTAATCCAAGTGAAGTTCCCGATGATAAGTTGATTGAAGATATCTTTCGGGAAAGAAAGACAGTACATGCTGATGACGCTGTTGATTATGAGGATATTGATGAGTTGGCAGATGATGAAGACTTACCAGAGGAAGAAGAACCTTCTAATACCGCTAATGGGATTCCTAACTTGGATGATCAATTGAATGAAGAAGTACAGGAAGAAGAATTACAAGAACAAGCCAATGCTGAGTTTGATGATATGTTTGGTAATGGAGATGATGTGTTCGATAATGATAACAATGGAATGAATAATAACTTATTTAATGATTTGGGGCATGATAATCATTTCATGAATGATGATGATGGATTGAAAGATTTAGACATGGGTGAAATATTTGAAGAGAATATCATTCCAGCGCCAGAATCAAAAAAACGTAATCTAATCCAGGATAATGAACGATTGAAGAAGAAGCGGAAATTACAAAGAATAGTAAAACGTTTGGAAGTCAAACATGAAAGGAGGAATATAGCATATCATTTTCCAACATATTCAAGGCATAAACCATTTAATTATCATTTATTATTTCAACCCGAACCAAAATATTATAGATATCATCGTCCACCATTAACCTTTAAGAAAACTGTTAAACCATTAATGCCAAATAAAATCAACTTGGAAATGGATTTTGATCTGAAGAGATTGTTTAAATCAAATAAACCTATTCCAAATAATATTCCATCTTCATCAAATAGAGGAATTGTACATATAAATCAAACTGATATTGATTTCATCAAAGCATTGAACTATAAGAGAACTCAGAAAGAAACATTCCTAAGGAATGAACCATTCTTAGATAAAGATTGGAGCAGTAGTGATAAATTTACTGATTTTTCAAAGGATTTAATACTTGCAACTGCTGATTGGGATGATGATGCCATTATAAATGCTGGTGATGAAGATAAAGTTAAAAAGATAATACCTAATATGGATACTAATATGTTAGATTTACCATCTGATGAGGATGATGAATATATATTCAATGGTCAATTGAATGATGATGTTATCAAGCTTGATATGAATGACCCAAATCTTTTATTCATACCTCAGCAACAGAAGTCCTTATCAAAAGCATTTATTCCAACCAATGAGAAATTAATGGATTTGAAATTCAATATATCAAACGATAAAGCATATGAAATCCTTAAGGATAACTATAATACCAAGGTCAGAAGTCAATTAAGTAATCTTAATATCGAACATTCTGTTCCCGCCTTGCGTCTTCAAGGTCCTTACTATAAAGTTAAGTTGACAAAACAAGAAGCTCGTTCATTTCACAGACCACAATTCATTATACGTCCTGGTTCATTACTTAGTTTTTCTAAGGTTAAACAACGTAAGAAGAAGAAGGATAAAGGTAGGTCATTAAAAGAGATATTTTCCAAAACTTCTGATTTAACAGCTACTGATAGTGCTCCAATATTTGGTTTAGAATATTCTGAAGAATATCCAGCAATATTATCAAACTTTGGTATGGGTTCTAAAATTATTAATTATTATCGTAAAGAAAGAGAGGATGATTCATCAAGACCCAAAACTCTGGTTGGTGAAACACATGTTTTAGGTGTTGAAGATAGATCTCCATTCTGGAACTATGGTGAAGTTGCTCCTGGTGATTTTGTACCTACCTTATATAATAACATGGTAAGGGCTCCAATTTTTAAACATGAAGCCAAAAGTACTGATTTCTTATTGGTTAGATCACAAGGAGCTGGTTCTCATCAACGATATTTCTTAAGAGCTATTAATAATGTATTTGCTGTTGGTAATATTTTCCCAGTGATTGAAGTACCAGCCCCTCATTCCAGAAAGGTAACAAACACTTCTAAGAATAGATTGAAAATGGTTGTATTTAGAGTGATGAATAATCTTGGAAATGCCCGTATATCGGTTAAAGATGTTTCCAAACATTTCCCCGATCAAAATGATATGCAGAATAGACAAAGATTAAAAGAGTTTATGGAATATCAAAGACAGGGGGATGATCAAGGGTTCTGGAAAATTAGAAATAGTGATACTGTCCCCAACGAAGATGAAATAAGAGCTATGATAACGCCAGAAGATTCTTCTTTACTTGATAGTATGCAATTTGGTCAGCAATTATTAGATGATATAGCCATGATTTATGGTGAAAAGGAAGATACTAAAAAGGAAGAAGTTAAAAAAGAAAAGAAAGACAAAGATAAGGATAAAAAGGAAAAAGAGGATAGTGTTGAACTTCCAAAAGAAGATGAGGACGATAACAATACCAAAAAAGAAAAAGAAAAAGCAAGAAAGGCAAGAGATCCAGATGCTGAAATTGATATTGATGAAGAATTATCACCTTGGAATATAACTAAGAACTTTTTGGGATCTACTCTGGCTAAATTCATGCTTCAACTTAATGGTGAAGGTGATCCTTCTGGTATTGGGTTGGGTTACTCATTATTAAGATCGACGCAGAAGAACGGTTTCAAACCAATGTTCCCACCTCCAAAAGAAAAAATCCCTAAAGTTAATACAGCTGCATATCAACAAAAATTATATGAAGCAGAAGTTAAAAGAATTTGGTATTCTCAAAGAAGTTCTTTAGTTGATCATGGATCAGATTTCAATCTTCAAACCATTTATGATGAATACACGCCAGCTAATCATGAAAAATACATCAAGAATGTGGTTAAAGAAGAAAAGAAATTAGCTGAAGCTAATAAAGAGCAGGTTAATAACATTGGTGATAAAGTATTAAGAATCACAAGAAGAGTTTGGGATGAAAACGGTATAGTGCAAAGAAAAGTTGAAACAATTTCAGATCCTCGCTTAATTAATGCTTATATTAAACGAAAGAAACAACTTGAAGATGAATTATTAAAGAATGCTGATGTTACTGAAATCTTACCAACCAATGATAAAGAATTAAATAAAGTTAGACGTAAAGCTTTATTGGATATGTTAGCCAATGTTGAAAAGAGAGCTAAACAAAGTAGAGCTAAGAAACCACCTAAAGATTCCATTCATGCAGCCGCTGCTGCCGGTGGTACTATTATTGATGCTAATACTGTGTTGTTACCAGATGGTTCATATGCTATAGGTGGTAAAGGTATTGGTAAAGGTAAGAGTACTACGAGAAGATGTAAATCTTGTGGTTCATTTGGACATATTAGAACTAATAAATCTTGTCCATTATATGCAGCTACTGGTGATGGTACTATTCCGGTTAAAAGAGATGAACATGGAAATATAACTGAACCTTTAGCAGCTGTTGAAGCTATGGCCAAACTTAAGGCCAATGGGAATGTCAATGGAAATGGAATTCTTAGTAGTAGTGCGGGTTCTAAAGAACCAAGTTCAGATGATAGTAGAAGTAACATGGAATTGGACTCTTCCATATCTACAGCTGATTAAATTGTATTATTTTAATTAAATAAGGGTATATAATCCTTGTATTAAACATGACAGGTTAAGTAAAGAATGAAAAAAATTAATTGTAAATTTTGTAAATAAACATTGAGAAGATGTAGGAAAGAAAATAAAGTTTGACAGTGGTCAACTTTAAGTAACTTTGGGTATTTAGAAGCGAAATTGACGATTTGATAGGTATGGAGAATGCAAACTATCACATCCATGTCAAAATAGATTTGATACCTTTATAGTTGATCCATATTTTCTTGCAATTCCTATAACGGAGGTTAATTCCACTATACAAAACATCCACACTTTTAAGCGCAAATTAGTCTCATTTGGGAAATATCCTACGGCTCCATTGAGTTAATAAATTTAGGCTAATATTTAAAAATAGGTTATTTAAAAATAATTTGAAACTATCTACGTATCTCTATCCCGAACAAGTGGAGGCAGTCTTCATCCAATCTAGCTAGACTGACAATAAATAAATTTTACCAGAAGTTAGGGATAAAATGCATTTTGCGCAAATTGGCTTTTTTCACCCTTGCGCATACTTCTATGCAACTTACTGATAGTAACATGTCAGAAGAAAGACGGGGGGGATTGGTATGTTTAAGCTTGATTAATGAATTTAATACCATTTTCAATATTTGAAACAATAACAACTGCATACCATTCAAAGGGTTGAAGGTTCAACAGCGTCTAAAATCTTAAACTGAGATTTTGAATCCATTTAGTGTAATGTTTAATAATCCGAAATTGAGTATAATTAAGTAGAAGCCACACAAAGGTACAGTTAATTTAATTTATAGTTATGTTTTGTGAAATAATTACAATTTAAGAAATTTCTTGTTCATTATAGTTTTTAGAATTGTCTCTAATTATACCATTACCAGACATAAATTTAAACTTTTGAACTATACAAAGTAATAGTAAGAATGCCTTTTAAATTCCTTAATCAAAAACTTTTTCCAATGGAAACCAAAGCTAAACCTAAGGAGTTCTAAATATGAGTATGTAAAAAATAGTATCCCTACTTGATCAGACGACCCCCCAATAGTTAGTGCCGTATGACTTATTCCTTCCTAGTTAATCCCACTAAAAATTACTTAATTTGCAGCGCCATAGTTGAAGTAGGAAATATTTTTTAGCATGGAGAAGAGAGGGCTTTTTTTTTTGTCTTTCTTTCTTTCTGCAAATGGCGGTTAGCAGCCTAATTAAGGTTTGAATGTAACAAGATATGAAATAAATTTACTGATATATATATATGGAGGAGAGTTCGAAATTTGATTTAGAGATAAAAATATGAATTTGACTGTTGTTTTTGATCTTTCTTATAAGTTATCTAATAACTTTTGTTCTATTTTCTATAGCTAATCTTAGCAAACTATTGCTTCCACTGATAAGAAGAACCAAAATAGAGATAACAAAGTCAAAATGCTGTATAATGAAGATTATGAGAAAAATATATCTCACGATAACTCAGATGCCTTTAGTCAATCCAAGAGTAAAAAAGTAATCAATAATGATATTGATGAAGAATCACTCAGTGATGCCAGTTCTTATTCTTCAGGAGCTCTTTCAACAACTCAACTTACAGGATTTGCCAAATTCATCGATTCATTTAAACCTATTAATTTTGAAGAAGATGGTATTGATACCTCGAAAATGTCAGCTATTGAGAAATCAGTCATTGCAAATTCAAGACATCCATTAGCTAGAAGATTAAAATCAAGACATTTACAAATGATTGCCATTGGTGGATCTATTGGTACTGGTTTGTTTGTGGGTAGTTCATATGCTTTATCATTAGGTGGTCCAGCAGGTATGTTGATTGGTTATGTATTAGTGGGTTATTCAATGTTATGTGTGATTTTCTCTCTTGGTGAATTGTCCGTACAATTCCCTGTTTCTGGTTCGTTTAATGCTTTCTTTACTAGATTTGTTGATGATAGTTGGGGTTGGACTTTAGGTCTTTTATATGCTTGTTCTTGGTTGATTTCATTTCCTTCAGAATTAGTGGCATGTGCTTTAACTATTGAATATTGGAATGAAACAGTTAATCCAGCCGTTTGGGTAGCTATATTTTATGTGATTATTATATCGATTAATTTCTTTGGAGTTAAAGGATATGGTGAAGTTGAATATGTATTATCATTTATTAAAGTTTTAGCGGTGGTTGGATTCTCTATACTTGGTATTTGTATCATTAGTGGAGTTGGAGAACAAGGTTATATTGGAGGTAGATACTGGCATAATCCTGGAGCTTTTAATCATGGATTTAAAGGTGTTTGTTCAGTATTTATAAGTGCAGCATTTTCATTTGGTGGTATTGAATTAGTAGCATTAGCAGCTGCTGAAACTCAAAATCCAAGAAAATCATTACCAAAAGCTACTAAACAAGTGTTTTGGAGAATTACTTTATTTTATGTAGTAACTGCCATTATTATTGGTTGTTTGGTACCTTATAATGATCCAAGATTATTAGATGGTTCATCATCCGAAGATATTACCTCATCACCATTTGTTATTGCTATTCAAAATGGTGGTATTAAAGTATTACCCCATATCATGAATTCTGTTATTTTAGTAGCTGTTGTTTCTGTGGGTAATTCATCTGTTTATGGTTGTTCAAGAACTTTAGCTTCTTTGGCTGCCCAAGGATTAATTCCCTCAATCTTTGGATTTATTGATAAAGCAGGAAGACCAATGGTTGCTATTATGTTTACCAATTTGATTGGATTGTTAGGATTTTTAGTATCAAACAATAATCAAGATACTGTATTCACGTGGTTCTTTTCAGTCTGTTCATTATCATCATTTTTCACTTGGATGGCTATTTGTTTTACTCATTTAAGATGGAGATGGGCATTGCATGCTCAAGGTAGATCCTTAGATGAAGTAGCATTTGTATCACCAATGGGAACTTTTGGATCATATACTGGAGCAATAATTTTATTTTTAATTGTGATTGGAGAAATTTGGGTTTCAATTTGGCCTATTGGAGATGGAGTTTCAGCTGAAACTTTCTGGCAAAATTGTTTATCGTTACCATTATTAATCTTAATGATAATTGGTCATAAGACTTATCGTAAATCATGGAGAAGAATCATGATTAAATTAGAAGATATTGATTTAGATACAGGTAGAAGAGATGTTGATCTTGAATTATTAAAGCAAGAAATTGCTGAAGAGAAGCAATTTCTTAAATCTAAACCATTTTATTATAGATTTTATAGATTCTGGTGTTAGACTTTACATAATATAAATAGATACTTTTTTTTGTTTATAAAAGAATCGTGTATTTCGTTATATACGTTAATAGCATTAAAATCAATTTTAAATAAATACCTAACTAGGCAAGAATCAACTTAACCTATGGATGTTGCATTATTTTAACGTTGTTATATTCAGCATCACTTCTAACAAAAGCCTTTTTGATAGATGATTTGTTGTAGTAATTGGTAAACATCCAATAAACACCAGCACCGTATAAAACACTGCCTGCTAATAAAGCCTTTCCTGGAGCCAACATTGTTATGAGATTTTGTTATTTAATATGAATATATATGAAGTTTGATTATAGTTATATAATTAATGATTTAAAAAAGAAGAAGAATTCATATAAACTCGAATATAAAACGTGGAATTATTTGTACTATTTATAGTTTGCTCCACCTCACCATTTACGATCAACGACTTATGATTCAACATTTACCAACCCATCTAAAGATTCACTTCTAAGAGAATTTATGAAGTCATGTTTCTTACCTTATTTTGGCTGAAAAAAAATAAAATTTTACTTAGACGCTCACGTTTTAACTATTGCAAAAACTAAAAAAAAAAAAGAAAAGTGGTGTTATCTCATCACAAAAAGTCACTCCACCACCAATTTTTTTTAGGTTGAGGCATGACGGGAAAAGGTGATTTTATTGATGTAAAATGATTTGTTGATGTGTATTTTGAAATTCTTAGGTTTACTGGGCTTGGTATTAAAGACCATTTTTGTTAAATAATAATAATATAAGCTTGTTTGTCGTTATGTTAGTCATATATTTTATATTTGAATCATACCAGTAATTTGGTCAATGACGTATTTAAGATTGTGAACTTTGAAATTCGATTCAATGTCGATGAATACCAGTTTTTGCAACTATCGTAGAACATCAATATCAACATTGTCCACTACGTCTGTTTTTTGATTAATTCCAACCGTAACTGAATAGTTTTAATTAAAAATACATAGTTAATAAAAAGAATAAATAAATAAATAAATAAATAATAGGTACATAAGCTATAGACGCTATAGACTTAGTACATTCTAACCCCATCACCAGCAGGTAATATAGGTAAGAATTGACCAATGATTAACATTGGAATATCAAAAAGATCACGTTTGACCGTCCACACTGAACAGAACTCAATATATAAATTACATTCATCTCCACCACTATCGATACTATTATTACGATGATGATTTATATTTAATGAAGGAGAATTTGATGATGAAGTTTCAAGGATTTTATTTTGATTTTTAATTAATTTACATTTAGTAAAAATTGACAGATTTAAATTCCCAATCGCAACTGATTTAAATAATTTAAAATAATTTATAATTGATTCATCATCATACATTAATTCCATGATAAATGTTCTTTTAGAAATAATATCAGCTAGATTATACCCTAATAAACTTAATAAATCATCCGTTATACTAACTATTTCTCCGGTTCTTCTCCAGATAATAGTTGGACTTGAATTCAATTGGGATAATTTTTCATAATCAATCAAACTTCTTTGAAAACACATTTCTAAAAATTGTAAATCATAAGGCTTTAATAATGATTTATGAGCACTAATGAACGTTGGACGATAACTGGCAATTAATTTCAAAATAATTAATAAATTGGATCGTTTGACTTGTTTCTCTTCTGGGGATAAATTATTTCCCAGGAATCTTTTCTTTAAAAAGAATGTTAATGAATGATATGAATGAGGATATTCAAAATTCATAATGTTGTTGGTATAAATATCTTGAACTGATTGATATAAATGATGTGTTACCAAGGGGGAAATATATTCGGTAGGGATAGTTGCGGATTGAGCTAATTTCTTCATAATAGGATTCTTTGATGTATTTAAGGAAACATTATTATTCCCTATATTTGTACTATTTGAATTCCCACTATTTAAATTAGAATTATTATCTAAGAAATCGGTAGTTGACAGATTATTCTTTTCATCATCCATAAAACTATTCAGAAATCCTAACGCGATGAAGGGACGTGAATCTTTTAAAGTTTTTCTTTTATGATGAATGTGTTGTTGTTGATTTTGAACTTGTTGATGAGGTTGGATTTGTTGTGGTTGAATTAAACTTGTTGAAGGTGATACGAATCCTGCAGGTGATGTGAATGAATTACTAGGATTGTTATATTCAGAAACACTAGTATTGGAAGGGGATGGTGAACTTGGTTTAGAATGTAAGATAATATCACCTAACATAAGATATTCTTGATTTAAATAATTTGAACTGAAATTAATATTACTATTATTTGATAATGATGGATCTAACAGCATATCATTAGGATCCTGATTGTTAGGATTTAAATCATTGGGGGATATTATATTTGTTGATAAATTCTGTTCCAATAATAATCGATTCAAAACATCATTGGTTGTATTCAACATTGGGTTATGAGTATTTGTTGAGTATTGAACTCGCGGTATCATCTGATCATAATTGGTTGGGGATCCTTCGAATCCTATTGATTGTTGTTGTTGTTGTTGTGCTTCTGGTTGTGGTTGTTGCTGATTGGCCTTCACTTGTTGTGGTGGTTGAGATGAATTTGAGAAATTAATAGGTGTAGTGGCAGTTGAAGTTCCCACATTTGAACTTAAATATTCATTATCATTAGTAGTATCGATTTGTCCCGTACTACTTACACTACCACTTCTACCAGTAGATTTATTAATATTCATATATTTGGCTCGTTTTCTAACGATATCTTGACATTCATGACCTATATTACGTTTAACACAATTTTTACATGGCCTTTCATTTGAACATTGTAAATGTTTTTCATGACAAAATATACAAGCTCTAGAAGCTGGTTTTCGATTCTTCTTCTCTAGTATGGTTAATTTCTTAGTCATCCTCTTGAATATATATGAATTATATGTATAAGTTATATGTTGTTGTTGTTGTTGTTGTTGATATTACTATTTATTGTGGGCCAATTTTTCATATATCTATTATTGATTGGTTATAGTTTATTTGATGTGGATGATTTGAAAACGAGAATGTTATTGGAGGAGGAGATGAGGGAGTAAGTTGTATAAAAAGGTTAATATATAGCCAAATGAAGCACTAATGATCTCGATGAATAATAAGATGAAAAACTTCCAAGGCTATGATGACGGTGAAACCAATTTAAAGTTAAATTTGAAAAAAAAATGAACAAGACAAAAGTCCGGATCTTTAATCGTATATATTTGGATATAACTTAGACAGACTGAGCTTATGTTATGAATAAAAAAAATCTGGGGTATGACCCGGACACCATCGGGAAAAGCGCTAAACTTTTAAAGTTAACTGTTAACAGGCGTAGCCAATATTTGTTTATTTGGGGGGAGGATGGGGTCCAGACTCGGAGCCGATAGTACTAATTTTGGTCTTTTTGTTCCGCACAGGTTACGAGATGGACCGGGACGACTCACTAACAATGTTGCAAAAAGTTCAATTAACTAATATAAATATATAAAAGGCATCGTGTTTCGAGTTTGCTTGCTTCTGCTATAATCATGTACAGAAGGTGGGGTACGTCTGATATAGACTGTCAAGATAAATTGATCTGATCTGTGGTTTCTTTAGTCTTCTATTTTTTAGACCATACTTTTCAGGTTCATCGATATCTAAGATAGAATTATTTTCAATATATGACCTCTGGGTTTTTATTTGTATATGATGTTACATGTGTCCCTATAATCTGACGAATCGTGATATTTAATGAAAAGTCAAACCTTTTTAAATTAAATCAGTTTTTCACCTATTGAATATTACGTTACCGTTTCATTAAAATCTAATGCGAAATTTACAATAATTCAAAATAACCTAAGTGATGGAAAAAAGAGTATTAGTTCAATCCCCCTCCCCACCATTAACATTTTGCTGATATGATCTTATAGCTTGTAAGGCTTAACGTTGTACTTATATACCTAGCTGATTCGAAATATATGAAGAGATGTAAATCTTATTACACAAAACCAATCACGTGATTGGTTTATACCAATTTTTTTGAAGTCCAGTTAATGATATGTATAAGAGATACAAATTGGGTGATAAATATGATATGATTGAAGTGATTATAATTCGTACTTGGTCATCACAGATCCGTATAAATACGTAAGGGGATTCTCAATAAATTCGGTTATAAGATATTAGACAACGAATGAATAAACAGTATTAAAAGTTTTGGTTTTGTGAGTAAATAGTTGGTGGCAAGTTTGAGGGTTATGGACTATGGTCATTTCAGAAAAGCAAAGGTTAAAATAAATGAATTTTAAACTTCTCGTTCACCGTTGATAGTTATTAGGAATGGTGATATCCATAGTAATCTTTATACAATAAATAAGAATCCCACCTAAACTTAAAATCAGACGGGCTAATGTACTGACGAAATGAAAATTTTTAGTGGGAAACTAGTAGATATTTAGTGGAATGCGTTAAACCTGAATTTTAAGATTTAGGGAAAGAAAATTTTCTTCTGCGCGTGAGCAACTAAAACAGATGCTTTTTTTTTTTTTTTAGCGAGACATGGAGCATAATGTCGTTCTGATGGTTTTATCGGCTTTTTGATGGATTTAACTGATCGCATATTGAAATCCCGTCTAAACCTATTATGCCCGAAATTTTCTTAACGTGTATCATAATTAGTTATTTAAGTTGGGAGAATTGTTCGAGGAAGCTACTTATTCTCTGTACCGAGGAGGAGATTTTAGAGATTATTTTTAATCAGAAAGCGATCAGTAATAATTATGCGATCAGTACCTATTATGCGATCTATAACAATTAGAGTACGAACTTTTTTTTTATCCAGGACTGGAATCTGAGTGTGAGGCAAGTTTATAGATTTACGAACTATGAATCTGATAAACCTAGTTAGAATGGGGCTGTATACGTTGGATCATTATTTTTAAGGATAATTGAAATGGTGATTGTTGTTTGGAAGTTTATTTAAAGAAAATAAAAACTGATATATGGGCACAAAGCCTTCAAATAGAATATTTTTTTATTTAAATGTAAAAATAGGAGAAGAATACTGGAAAATATTTTAATTTAGGAGTTGCAATATAATATAATACTCTAGTTAAATCATATCAGATAACACAAAATTATTTTCTAGTAAGAAATAGCCAAGATTAAGTCGAGGAGTGAAAATCCCAACAGACTACTATACTACAACACTCACAAGACAAATAACTCCAAATGATTCTCTTTGAACTTTAAAATGGTTAAGATTTGGATTTTCAATTTCCATGACTACTAAAACCAACCTTTTGAGAATAAGAGGGAGCAAACAATTTAATTAGAATTCATGTAGTGTTATTAAAAAGCTTAAAAGTTTAATTCTCGCGGTCCGATACTGAGAATGGGTTACAGTTATCAGGGTGATGTAAAATTAAAGCAAATTGAGTAAGATTAATTCTCCATAAATAGAAGTGGCGAAGTTATAGATATAAATAGACAGATTATATATAGTAACTAAGGTAATCTATATATAGACGAATTGTAGTAATTATAGTAATTTGCGGACGACACACTTATATTTGTTTTGTTTTGCGCTAAAAATAAAGGCAACAGTCAATCAAAACAAAGAAGAAAGATGTCACGCTAGATGAAAAAAAAAAGAAATGTGTTTTTTGTTTTTTTTCGTCTTGTGACTCCTGCCTAAAAAAATAAAAAATTTAAATCTGCGCGACATTTTTTATCTTTTACCCTCCCTAATTACAATTTCCCCTTAGCAAGAAGGCAAAAAACCTCAGTAAAAAAAAAATTATGGAGTTAAAAAAATACCACAAATTCAATCGGAGTGATTACAAGACTTTTATTGAATGTTTATGAAAACCTACCGCTTTCGACTTACGTACTCTACTCAAAGGAAAATCTTTATTTAGATCATACCATATCTATATATAAATCTAATCAATAATCCTCCTATATAATTAAAAATAAAATTTTATAAATTCCTCTTTATTCTTGTTACTTTAAATCTATTTGGGAAAAATCTTCAAAACATTCAAAAGTTGAAAGGAAATAACTACTATAAGAAATTATATCCTATAAGTAACGGCAGAGGGTAATTTTATTGTTTCCGAACTTCATACGTGTTTCCGACTATATTTACTTTCCATAATTTGAAAAAATATACACAGCGGGTTAAGCCCCTAGATTCAAAAGACAACAAATAACACTAGGGTTTCGACATCGATCCCGTCCGGTCAGTTATAGGGTATAAATAAAACTTGGAATCCACCGTTTCTTATCAAAAGTTTATTTATTCGTTGTTGTTCGATCAAGTTAAGTGGGACCAAGCTCGTTTTTTTTTTCTTTGGTTACCCTTTCCATTCTTCATCCTTTTATTGTTGCATTTATTTTCGGATAGTTTAGGTTATAACCTTTGCCCGATACTTCCAGGTCGATTGCAATTAAATAATATTTTATATTATAAGGTTTTAAGATTATATTGTTCTTTGATTATATTTTATCTCTCCCATCAATCAATTGATTTGATCAAAACCTGACAACACCATTTCTTCATATCACCCCTCATTTCCTTCTAACTTCCATCCGTAAAATAAATATTTTTTATTTTTATCTAGCGGAAACAGTACTGTTTTTATCATTTAAATAACACAGAAATTCTTTCCTTCCAATCCACTCCACCATTCAAAATATTTACCTTTCGAGTTTTTAAATTCATATTTATATAATTCATTTGTTTTCATTTCAAAGTTTGTCATTATTCATTCATTATCATTTTTCATTCCACTCCATAAAATTTTATAAGCGGAGTACATTTTATCGCACCACCCATACATAATCTGATTTTGCATTCGTTACCCGCAGCACCATATATAAGCATATAATAATAAAACCATGGTGATACTATCTTCATATCTAAAACCACTTTTCAATCCATTCATACTTATATTTCAATTATTATGGCGAATCTTTTGGTCAGGGTTAAATCAAAAATCACTTATCAGATTCTTATTAAATTATTGGATTAATTTTTCTCCAGTTTTCATTTGGTTATTAATATTTAAAAATGCAGGATTAATTCCAAAATCTATAAGACCTCATATCTTTGTCAAATTAGCATATAGAGTCGATGAACGTTTATTCAACTTCTTCGACTTCCCCCTTGAAAATTTAGCCCTTGTAATTTGTTGTGGTTTAGTATCATATTTATTATATTGGAAAGTTTATGGCCCTATTGGAAAAAATACTTCATCAGTTCCGACTTCAGAACATAATGATAATGAAGTGAATCAACCATTCTTAAAAACTTATGAGGTTTCTCCGTCTCATTCATTTGAATTAACTGATGTCGATTCAACATCGTCAAGTGTGGAATGTCAAAATTCAACTCAAAATGAAGAAAATATATCATCTGAAACTTTAACCATTGATGATTCACCATCAGACCTATATGATGAAGATGATCCTAATAAGTTCATGGATCTAGTCTATTTCAAACATAGAAGATATACCCCTAATAATACCAAACTTGAAACCATCATTGAAACCCGTCAGCAACAATCCTCATCTAATCCTTATCGTCCTTTAAATAATTGGTATTTAACCGCACCTCTATTATTATCAGCAAGTTGGTTTATATTAAATTTTGATTATTATTTATTCCGTGAACCAATTCATACCCCAAAAGATATTTTAGCATGGTTTTCATATGTCATTGGCCATTTCTGTGCCCCATTATTCACAGCTATTTGGTTATATGTCTTCCATGCTCCTGGTTCATTAAAATTATTTTCTATTGCATTAGGGGTCCAAAATATAGCAGGAGTATTAACTCATTTATCATTTCCAAATGCTCCACCTTGGTTTATTCATCTTTATGGTGAAAATTCTCTTGCTGATTATGATATGCCTGGATATGCGGCTGGATTAACTAGAGTTGATGTAGCTATGGGAACACATCTTAATACCAACGGATTCCATGCTTCACCTATAGTGTTTGGAGCCTTACCTTCATTACATTCAGCTATGGCGGTGATGGTATTCTTTTTCCTTAGTTATTATTCAAGATGGACCTTTGTTAAATTGATTGGATTATCCTTTGTCATTTTACAATGGTGGGCTACGATGTATTTAGATCATCATTGGAGATTGGATTTATTCGTGGGAATGTGTTATAGTATCGTTATGTTTTCCATCTTACAACCTTGGTTAAGAAACAATGATAAAAGATTCATGATGGCCCGTTTAAGAAAGGATTATTTAAATAGTCATACAATGGGTATGAGAGTATTCAAAAATACATGGTTAGAATCATTCTTTGATCCATTATATTTAGCTGATGAAAACTAATAATTTTCAAATCAAATTATATCATATCAAATTGCTTATACAATATGCTATTCATATCTATGCTTAAATAGTTTCTAGATTGTCTTACGACTTGATTTATTAATTTCAACATCTGCATAAACCTAAACTAAAGTGTAAAATTCTCTCATAGATAGTTGAAAAAAATGGCACAGCCTGTTTTTTCAATCTTTGTGCCGCACCTCTAATACCAGGAGCCAAAAGACTGATTATTAGTTAACTCCCTGTGTAATCCTTATCCAATGTATACCATCATTATTCAATTCATAGTTGCAAGTGTTTGACTGTAAAACTCTTTCAATTGAAGATGTTGAGAATAAAGCATTGGAACTGTAACTGGAATGTTCTGGGATAGTAACGCTTCCAATCTCTGTTTCTAAAACTGTCTCATTTTGAACGTTATCCACTTCAATTCCAAACCGATTAACGTAATCCTGACAAATTTCTAAGATATGTGGATCTAGTTCAAATTCATTTCGAATAGCATTAACTATTGGTTCTCGCAATTGATCAATAGTTAATGTATCATTATGATAAAAATCCAACACAGCTTCCAATCCAAACCATGGCAGTCCCAATAATAAAAGCCCCAATTGAATCTCATTCAATTCTGAAATGGTTATATCTCGCAATTGTTTCACATAATAAACACCAGGTGAATTTGCAGATTGAAAATGCCATGTATCAGGTAACATTCTATCCAAACATGCGTCTTGTTCAATTCGGTCTCGATGTACCCTGCAGCTGAAACTCATTTCATGATCTATATGAGTTACGGCCCAAGTGATAGCAAACACTAATTGAAACAAATTTAAGAATGCGAATAGGTATGTAGCAAGTTTAAGTCGTATTATGAAGACATATTATAGAAGAATACTTATATAAAAATAAGAATTTAAGCTTATGTACATAAATTTACATTTAAGTTTCCATTGATTGACAGTCTAAGTGCGAAAATATTTAAGTTAGTAATTGTTAAGATTGTACATAACTTAAATATCAACCATTATTTGGATTAAAGAGATTATTGGGTCAAGTTAGTTTATAATATTCATCTAAACTCGTAAATTACGAACTCATCAGACTTTAAAAGGGACACTGGCTACGTAGAAACCTCGAAACCTCTTTAAACAGAATGGTTACATCTAACCCATTTGAGCTGTTTATTCGATCCAATGATCGTAAGACCTTTTAGACGTATTAAACACAATAGTTACAGTATCAAGACAATCAAAAGTATACTATTCGATAGGAGTTAACAGGATTAAAGAGTATAGCCCACGGATGTAAGTGGCCTTAACTGACTTCGCCCGGTTTAGCTTTAAACATAAAATGAGAGAAGTTTTCCTGGTCTTACAATAAATATTCAGTCTTGTTACTTATTCAAACATCAAATAATATCAAGAAATGAATAAATTATATAATAAATCCAATCAAATATTGCAGTCAAAGAAAATCGTGTCAAATATTGATAAAGAAACTTCAATCATCATAATTGAAGAATAAACTTTTGCAATCTTGTCAAAAATCAGCCACTATCCAAGAAAACCCTACCCCCAAAATAAAATATGTCATCGTTGTTTCTCACCTTGGTCTAATGTTTCTATAAAAGATTTAACTACTTCTATTAACAAAATTTGTGTCATTTCACTATGAAAGAAGCGACATCCTAAAAATAAAGAGTAAACATAAGGCTGTAGCAAAGATTTCGATCCTTCTAGCAAAAGGTTTCTTCCTTATCAATCTGGTTCAGACAAATTGTCAGATTTCCCACTATTCTTGTTATCTTTTTTTATTAATTTACAAAATATAAAGTTTTTGTCTGGAAATATAAACAAAAATACCGACTATATACAGGAATTATTCCCAATTCAGAGTTTAATTTTTAATTTTTAATTTTTAATCTTTGAGATTTTATTATTTTAGATACTACGTCATAGAGGGAGGATCGTGACGACATTTTTTTGTTAGCATCATCACTTGTTGTCTCACGACCTTTAATGGCGGGTAAGTCCCCCCGTACCCGAGGTATCATAAAATTGGATAAACTTGTTGCCCTCCTAAAAAATTAAGTTGAATTAGACTTGAAATAAGGTGATTTATAAAGTAACCTATAAGTGTAATAATAGTGATTGAAAATAATAATGTCAACTTTAATGAGAGTAGAGAGTACAAAAGAGAGTGGGAAAGTATCAGACAATTTTAAATTGGGAATAAACCGAAATTAAGGACATATTCCCCCTAACTATATAGGTTGAAAAAAACAAACAAATTAAGAGAAGACAGTATCACAATTACGTTGAAATTTTCTAATTGCAGAATTTTAAAAGCCTTGTTGAAAATTGGCTATCGTTTGTACTTACGAGTTTTGTTTTAGTGAGAAAAATAGAGAGGGAAACTAATTTTCGTGGGCAGTGCACGAAGAACCAAAGTTCTATTCCGACTCCGAAAATGGTCCATCAAATTACACATATTTACATATATCCTTCAACGAACTTGAAATTTGAAACTTTGATAAGGCTAAGCTGTGTTCATATGCAATGTAGCATTTCAAACATACCCCGTGTTTGTTAAAGAATATTAATGGGTATCTTGTTACTATTAAGTTGAATTGTGGAGAGTTAGAATTGAACATAACTGTTTTATCGATTCCTTTATTTTACGCCACTATTTGCGGGCTATGCTTTATTGATTATTGATACGATTTGATATATATTGATTGAACTGATAATGACTCTAGAACCACTGATCAAGACTATTATCAGACTAAGGAGTAAATGTGGAGTAAGACAAAAATTGTCCCGTAAGGATGGTTTAACATGTTGCATTTACTGATAATTTCTAAAGGGATAATTAAGGTATTGCTCAACCTTTTTTTTTCTCCTATAGGGGGAAAATGTCGTCACCTCCATCCAACTCCTCCTTTCTCCACCCCTCAAAAACTTTCATATCTCGCGAGGCTAAAGTATCGTCTCTCTCCTATTTTTAAGGTTTTTTTTTTGCTGTCGATGGTGATGGCGGATCTATGTCTGTTTTAAGAAATTAAATTAAATGTTTGCTGAACTAACTTGCGATTAAGTAATCGCATCTATAATTTTAAAATTAAAATCTTTTTTTAATGTCCAATTTAGAAAGTGTCGGCATCTTCAATATTACACTACCTTATCTTTCTTACTATAAGGCTTGGCTTGGCTTGTATAAAGTAACATGAACCTAAAACCTTGGGGGTCAAGGATTACATATGTGTAAGGAAATCAAAAGATACTTTCCATTATGTCAAAATGTTTTGACATAGATTAATAGTCATCTTCCTCCACTTAAACACGAATAAAAAAAGTTTTATGAATTTCTTTTTTTTAATTTATTTAATTTTCCTTTTTTTTTTTTTTTTTTAATGCTTAATTTCAGTCCATTTTTTAGTGGTAATAATTTCATTTTGGTTACAACTAGTGTGACCAAATCATTCCATAACAATCATAAAAAGAAATCAATAGGTTGTTGAATAATGTTGGCATTGTTGGAAAGCTTCTTATATCGCATAATAGCAAGGTATGTCAGACGATTGCTACAAGATAAATGATTATAAACGGAGAATTTCTTTACATAATTCTTAACCAAACGAAGCTTAGAAAGGGCTATAGCATATAAAAATGTCAAATAATAATCAAAAAAATGTCTGAAAAGATAAATGTTAAAAAAAAAAAAAAAAGAAAGAAAATAAATATTTTTTTTTTTTCTGCACGGCAAAAAATAATAAACACTTCAAATTTTCCTGCTTGATAAAAATTTCGAATCTCATATAAATATGGATATCGATTCCAATTATATATAGTTGTAGGGAATTGTCAATTTTGTAGATTTTATATTCATAGTTACTTATAACAAGTCCATTTCATTACTTACTTTCATTCTATTTTTCATTTCGCTTCTCATTTTCTCGAGTTAAAATCGTATCTAGTTACTTGCAATCAAGTTTTCGCAATAAGCTTTTAAGGTTTAACCTCGTAACTCGCCAACTTTCCCCCACTTCAAAGTTTGAGATTTACTATATTATATCGTTTTTGATAACAGTCTTGTTTCATCTTTATTCATATTAGTAATATAACACTTTCATTCGTTCCAATATCTTTCTAACGAAGTTAACGATTCATACCATTCTCTACTAAAGTTTCCTTATTATAATAATATATCGAACTTCACATTAAAGAATATCTCATATTAATAGTTAATACTTTCATTTCATTCAATCATTTAAAATATCTTATTTCATTTTCATTTTTGCATTAAAACATTTATAATACTCATATTCCCTTCTAGAAATACAGTTTAATCAATATGGTGCTACCGAAATTTTATAATAAAAGACTCAAGAATTTATTCATTGGTTTAATCCTTTTAACTACTTTATTCATTTCATTTAATTTCCAAATATTTGACTTTTCATTATCATTCCCGGTTAATACTAAAGCCATTCAAACTTTATTAGAAACTCAAGCTTTAAAACAACAACGTGATTCCGATTTCAATCCTCGTTCTCCTTTATTTGCATTATATTCTTATTTAAACAATCAGCCAAATCCTAAAAATATCGGTAATTCAGATGGGATTTTCTTTCATTGGGATGATTGGACTGATTTATCTCCAGGTAACAAAATCTTAAATCCTTATAGACATCAAGAACCAAGTGGTAAATGTGATTCAATCATTGAACAATTTGCTAGTGTTGATGGTTACTGGATTGAAAGTTATGATAAAAAAGTTTTAAGAAGTACCACTAATCTCTATTGTTTAAAAGAGATTCCTCAAAATATTTATCTTATGAATGACGATTCTATGACTACTATTCCAGTTATTGGAAAGAAAAGATTAGATTATACTATAATCGGAGGTGATCACGTTAATAATATTGATCTCTCCAAACAAAAGTTAATTTCAGAAATGATTAAATATGAAAAGCTTCCTGAAAAGAAATTTGAAATTACCCCATACAAAAAATCATTTGCTGATGAAATTGACATTGATGTCGAAGATTTCATATTCAATCCAGATTTAGAAATCTTCAAATTACAAAATAAATTAAATGATAAATCCATTAGTGAAAAAGAATTAAATTATTTACAATTTTTAAAATACTCCAATAATTATGCCGCTGATAATTCAGGTCGTTATTTCAAATATCCTTGGATCATAACTGATATTGTAACAGGTAGATCCCATCATTTAGCATACCCATTCTTTAAAAGATTCATTGGAGATAGAGAACGTCAAAGTATCGTCCACCATATTATTAGAGTTTGGTTTGAATTTGCCAAAACTAATGATTTTGTATCTTGGATTAATTACGGAAATTTATTAGGATGGGAATACAATGGTGTTAACATGCCTTGGGATACAGATGTTGATATTCAAATGCCTATTGTTCAATTAGATAGATTAGCCAGAGAATTCAATCAATCTTTAATCATTGAAAATCCAAGATACGGTAACGGAAAATATTTATTAGAAGTTAGTCCAACATATATTAAACAAGGTAATGGTAAAAATTTCATCGATGCAAGATTTATTGATATTAATAGTGGTATCTACATTGATCTTACTGCTTTAAGTCATTCAAACTTCAAACCTCCTAGTGATATCTATGATAAAATCGAAGGTTCAAGTGATTTAACCACTATGTTTGTTCACTGTAAAAATTGGAACTGGCATACCATTGATGAATTATTACCTTTACAACAATCATATTTCGAAGGCTCACCAGTTCTTATTCCTCATAACGTTACTCAAATTCTTTCCAGAAAATACGGTAAGGAATCAATCTCATCAAAATTACATTTCCAAAATCATAACTATCAAACTGATATTCAAATGTGGGTTCCTGATAGTATCTGTAAGAATGCTCCTTCTTTGGATCATCTGAGATTTGATAAATTCAACAACAGTTTAACCTTCGAAGGGGCTTGTAAGAGTGATATTTTACAAGATGAATATAATATCTTACTGGAATGTATCCATCGTGATCAACTTTTAAAGAGTAAGGAAGTTGAATTTGATGAATTAAAGGAATTACCATTGTTTAGAAAAGATCCATGGGACTATTTCAATGATATCAATAATAGATTAGTCGATAACGAAAGATGGTACGTAAATCAAGAAATTGTCTAACTATTCTTTAGAACAAAAACTCAACACGCTCAACATTCATTGCATTTATTTCTCATTTTGTATTTTTATATATATACGCATCTTTAGATAACCATAGAATAAATAATGAAAATATATGTTTAAAACTTTTTAACATCTGTAATCGATGCCTGAGTTGCAAAATCTCACCTCATTAGCGGTTATCTCAAACCTTTTTTGTATTGCTAGCCTTTTTTTTTACTTGTTTCTGGCGCTAAAATAATCGCATCTTAGATAAACCTAATTAGGCAATCGTTTGCGTTGATGAAAAATAATTGAATAATTTAAATTGAACTATATAATTACATGTAATTCATCACCAACATTTTGATCCACTTACATTTCAATTAAACAAATTGATCAACGTTATTAGCGGTTAAAGATTTCTCTGATCCATACAAATACTATCAAGAAGAATGGTAGATAAAGTATTCATTACTGGAGCTTCCGGGTTCATTGCTCAACACATTGTCAAGTTATTCATTTCTAATGGTTATTACGTTATTGGTACCGTTAGATCTGCTGATAAAGGAGAGAAATTGAAAGCAAACTTGAAATCAAATAACTTCAAGTATGAAATTGTTCCAGATATCACTGCCGAAGGTGCCTTCAATGAAGCCTTAAAATCAAATCCAAATATTAAATATCTTTTACATACTGCATCACCATTCACTTATGATACGACTGATCCTGAACATGATTTAATCATTCCAGCTATAAAAGGTACTGAAAACATTTTGAATTCAGTTTATGAGTTTCAACCAAGTATTGAAAAAGTTGTGATTACCTCCTCTGATGCTGCCATTTACTCTGCTGATGATGAACAAAATTCATCACTTTCATTCAATGAACAAAGTTGGAATGATATTAGTTACAGAGATTCATTGAAGAACGCAGTTTCAGCTTATTATGGTGCTAAATCATTTGCTGAAAAGTTAAGTTGGAAATTCTTGGAAGAAAAGAAACCAAATTTCAAATTAATCTCAGTTAATCCTGTTTATGTTTTCGGTCCACAAGCATTTTTAAATGAAGTTAAACCTACTTTAAATGTTTCAAATGAATTAATTCATAACTTGATCAAAATAGGTCCTAATGATTCATTTGATAATGATAAAGGTGGATTCATCGATGTTAGAGATGTCGCAAAGGCTCATTTATATGCTATTGAAAAAGAAGAATTGATTGGCAAACGTGTATTCATGACTAATGGCCATTTCAGTGTTCAAATGATGTTAGATATCATTAATGAAAAGTTCCCTCAATTAAAATCAAAAATCCCTACTGGTACTCCAGGTTCAGGTCCAACTGATATAAAGACCTTGGCAACAGTTGATAATACTCAAACTAGAAATTTATTAAAATTTGAATTTATCTCTTTAGATAAGATTGTCACTGATACAATTCAACAAGTATACGATGCCAAGGCAAAACTTTAAGTTCATTTCTTTACATAAACTTTGATAGAATTATAATATACTTTTACTAAATAAAAACTATATCTTTATAAAATCTGTGCTATTCAATGAGAATGTTGATCGTCCAGCTCCACAGCCACAATATAATTTTGTTTAGCAATAGATGGAGAAGGCGATGAATCATTCAATTTTATTTGTTCTGGAATGTATCCTGTCTTAGAATTATATAAAAATATTCCACTTTTGATAGCATTCCTTCTTTCGTCTCGCTTATAATAATAATAAGCCACTGTTAATAATAAATTAAAACCAACAGATAAGGCAGCACAAGTTGAAAATCCGGCTGTGAATTGAGGAGCAGCTGTAGTTTCAAACATTAACTTTGAAGCCCAAGCACTTGATTGAAGTCCTAATATGTAAATAACCATCCATTTGATGGCACGTTGATTATTGTCATGTCTCAAAATATCACTGATTAGAGGATTAAACACACTACTCTGACTCCATGACCAATAACTTAAATAGAATCCAGCCCATTTAACTCTTTCTGGTACATGCCAAATTGCTAATATGATATTAGCTATAAAATTCATTATGAAACTAAAGAATATCATTCCGAATCTTTTCTTAGTTACATCAGCTCCAACACAAACTATCATAATCCAAATCACTCCTAATGCAGGTGGAATAGCAGTTAGATAGTTTAATTCCTTGGTGGAGTATCTATTTAAACTCTTTAACCACAATGCAAATGAACCACTTGAGGTATTATTAGTATTGAATCCCATCATTTGTAAGAATCCTAAAACCCAAACATGCCATGATGTAATAATACTCTTCCAAGTATCCTTATCAAAAAAGGATTTGACATCGTGAGAAGTATCAGTTCCATTTGCTTTCATTCTTCTTCTAGCGAGCTTGATTTCATCATCTGTGAACCAAATAGAATAACACCGCTGAGGTGTACCGGGTTGTAAAAAGAATGAAAGTAATGCCACAAAGAATGAGATTGATCCATCAATAATAAACATATATTGCCAACCTTTCAATGATCCTTTAATAGTTGATGCAGCTCCTTGTAATAATCCACTAGTTAATACCCCTATAAATTGACCACAGTAGAATATAGCTCCAATAGTTCCTATTTCAGTAGGCTTATACCAAGATGCAGCCGAATAATGGAAAATAACAAAGAAAGGACTCTCGGCAGCACCAACTATAAATCTGAAAGCTTGCAATTCACCAGTATTACGAACTCTATAAGTAAGTAACGTAAATAATGACCATATAATTTCAGCAGCAAATAAGAAATATGGTAATGAAACTCTAGGCAATAAAAACATCCAAGGTAATTCAAATATAATATTACCAATAAGGAATATAACTTGAGTATTAATCAAATCATTTCCTTTCATACCAATATCTTCTTTCAATCCACTAACATAAGCATTGTTTAAATTAGCTGAATCAAGATATTTAACCCAATAACCCAATAAGGCATACACACCAACAGTTAAATCCAATTTAATTAACAATTTTCTTTCTTCTGGAGTTAATGATTTATTGAACCATCTGAATCTCCACCAGTCTTCTTTTTGAAAGTGTTCTTTATTCTGTTGTTCCAGAGTTAAACGATATTCGAATTCATCAAAGAATTTCCACCATGGTCTATTAGCTTCATCCCTATACTCTTTAATTACTACTTTGTTAGTATCTCCCTTTCCATCAAATTCATCCAATTGAATTGAACTATCATCATTGCTTGTTTTTAACAACCCATCTCTTTCACTGATTGATTCAACGTCGTCTTCTACTTCACGATATTGCGGTATGAACCAAGGTAAGCATACCATTCTAGAGTGCGATCTGTTATTATCACTATCAAGTAATACATATTTCCCTAGATTCATTCTTACGAGAATTACCATTCCTTTTATACCTAACCGAAGAATTTAGAATTTGTTATATTCTTCCGGTAACTCAAAGATGCAACAATACGGTCAATTATAAGTGGCTAGTACTTACCATCCATGTGATCTGATAAGGAGAGATTTTGAAAATTGCGAAAAGTGACACAAACAAAAATTGAATCCACAGTTTTTTTTTCTCAATTACAATTACTCATTAACTAACCCTTACATACCACTCTGGTCTGGTATGTATAACAGCTAATACGTATATGTAAGGCTTGAGCATCCCCTCTTTGTTATCTTCTCCCAATTGTGTTAAATTAAAGAGATATATTTAAGCAATCCGATTAGTGGCTCGGATAACTATTTTGATTACAAATTTCCACATTCAATTAGTCATTATATAGGTTTACAAAATTGTGCCCAAATATAAATATTAATTTCAATTATAGTTGATCTTTCCCAGGTGTGATTAGTAAACACTTAATTTGGACTAATTAAAGAAAAATGACTCTCAGTGTTGAAGAAATTGATAAGAAGTACAACGTTAGACCATTTGTTGATCCACAACCAACATCAATTGATGTCAATCCTTTAACTTTGACTGCAATTGATTTATCTCTTTTTAGAGAAGGTGAAGATGGCTTAGAAAGTAGACAGAAGTTAGCTTCCATTTTAGAAAGTTCAGTGACAACATATGGGTTTTTCAATATCATTAATTTTGGTATCGATAATGATCATATTGAACATTTAAGAGCGGTTAGTCAAAGTGTTTTGACTATTCCTCATGAAGAGAAATTGAAGTATTTAGCTAGTGCAGCAAGAAAAGAGGACGAAAAACCTGGTAACATTGGTGGTGAAAGAGGTCAAGGATTCAAACCAAAGGGATACTGGGCTATCAAGAATGGAGTTAGAGACTCAATTGATTTTTATAATGTTAGAGATACTTATCATGATGACTTTTTAAATCATCCTGAAAGACATCCTGAATTACTTCAAGCCCATTTGAAAGAAATTGCTGATTATTATAATTATTTACATCGCGTTATCTTACCACAAATTTTAAGATTATGTGATTTAATCCTTAAAATTCCAGAAGGTAGTTTATTAAACCATTATTTTAAGAATTCAGGTACTAATCAAGATACTTCAGGTAGTCATGGTAGATTAATGCTTTATCAACCATATGATGAAGAAACCAGTTTAAAAGAAACTGAAAATATGTACTTAAGAGGACATCTGGATATCAGTGCTTTAACATTTATAACTTCACAACCAATTTTAAGTTTACAAATTAAAGATGTTTACAGTGGTAATTGGAGGTATGTTAATCATAGACCAAATTCATTGATTGTTAATATTGGTGATGCACTTGAATTTATTTCTGGTGGACATTTCAAAGCTTGTTTACATAGAGTTGTTCAACCTCCTAGAGATCAAGTTGGTTTTAATAGATTAATCATAATCTATTTTTGTAATCCAAGTAATGAAAGTGAATTAGATCCTGAAGTGTTGAATTCTCCTACCTTGGCTCGTTTAGGCTTAACTAAAGAAGATAAGTTAAAAGAGTGGCAAAAGATTCAGTTCCATGATTGGAATGATACTAAAGGTCAATTATTGGGGAGATCCGAAGCGGGAGAGAGGAATTTATTAAAGTTCTATGGAAGATTCATTGAGAGATGGCATCATTTCCCTTTAGAAACATAATTAAATCTATAATTACGTTAAATCCATTTATGATTAATAATACATCGTAAATTTTGCAGTGCAATACCAAAGGTACGTAACGATAAACTAATAATGAAATACGGTCCTCTATTCTCCTCTGGTAGATATAATCTTTGCATGTCTTCGCTATAGATTTTAATTTCAAAAATTAATAATTATCACCGCCTTTTTTTGCGCTTCTGAGAAAGAAAATGTTTAATTTCCGTCCAACCGGCGAAGATTTCCCAATGGGGAACTTAAACGAACATCTTAATTCCTCCTGAGCGGCGTACAGCCGTAAAGCCCTTCATTGTTGTTTTGAGTTTGGTTGCAACTTTATTCCAACATCTTGCAATTAGTAATAGATTTAGTAATTGTAGAAAGCTTCTGAATATGGACTTAGATCCGTCTGCAAAGGCGGTTCTTAGTTAGATACTCAGAGTTGGTAAAAAATTAACTTGCAAAGGAAACCATTGCAAAAATATACATTCGAGTCACTAATTTCAACGCGTTATTGATTACCTCAATCTATCTATCGATGGCAAATCTGCTTAGATGTTTCAAATAATAATATAAATAATTCGTTACCGTGTACGGAATCAAGAATAATAAAGATAAAAAATAAAACGACCGAAATAGTTACATAATTGCAGTTGCCTTTCTTTTTATGATGCGGTGTTTAAACGGAAATAAAAATATGTATTAGCCTCGCATCATATTTTTAGCAAGCTATTTTTATCACATATTGCAGACTATATATATCGACTCAAATCATGTTTGATTTAAACAATTCCTATAAGATGTAATATAAAATAATCAAATCAAATCAATAGATCAATCAAGTCAAATATAATATAATATGTCTGAACAACCAGATCATGAAAATCAAAAATCATCGAAGCAATTCATTGAAAGTGATGCCGGTGATGGTACTAAAAGAGAAGATCAATATTTACATGGTAGTCGTTTAGCTGCTTGTTTTGTTGCTATCTTCCTTTGTATGTTCCTTGCTGCTTTAGATCAAACCATTGTTACCACTATTCTTACTACTGTCGGTGATAAATTCAATTCATTTGACCAAGTTGGTTGGTTAGCTTCTGGTTTCCTTATGACCATGGCTATTTTTATTCAACCATTTGGAAAATTATCAATTATTTTCGGTAGAAAATATACCATGATGGTTGCCATTGTTATTTTTGAAGCTGGTTCATTAATGTGTGCTCTTTCTCCAAATATGAATGTATTAATTGGTGGTAGAGTTTTAGGTGGTATTGGTGCTGCTGGTATTCAAGGTTTAACTTTTGTTATCATTAGTGAAGTTGTTCCAATTGAAAAACGTCCTATTGGTATGGCTGTTATGAGTTGTGTGTTTGCTCTTGCTAGTGTCCTTGGTCCATTAATCGGTGGTGCTTTTACTACTCACGTCAGTTGGAGATGGTGTTTCTATATCAACTTACCAATTGGTGGTATTGCCATGACTTTCTTTATTTGGGCTTTTAATCCTCCAAGACCAAAAGTTGATATGTGGGAAGAAGTTAAGAAATTTGACTACTTTGGTACCTTTTTATTAATTGCTGGTTTTGTTGTCTTCTTATTAGCTTTAACTTTTGGTGGTAATGCTTATTCATGGCATTCAGCTCCAGTTATTTTATGTTTTGTTTTAGGTGGTTTAACCTTAGTTGCATTTACTATTTGGAATGTTTACTTTTCAAAGAATCAAATCTTTCCAAATGAAATTACCAGAGTTCCTCAAATCATTGCATCTGTTCTTACCATCAGTGGTAGTTTTGCTTTTTTCATCACTTCAATTGTTTATCTTTCAATTTATTTCCAAGTCATTCATGAAGCAACTGCTATGGCTTCTGGTTTACATACTTTACCACTTGTTATATCAGTCGTTGTTAGTGCTATGGTTTCTGGTATTCTTATTCAAAAGTTCAAATATGTTAAACCATGGGGTGTTGCTGCTGGTATTATTGGTCCAATTGGTTGTGGTCTTCTTTGTTTATTAGAAGTTGATTCTTCATTTTCCGCTCAAGTTGGTTTATTAATTCTTGCTGGTGTTTCTGCTGGTATGCAAATGCAACCAAGTATCCTTTCTGGTCAAATCAGTGCGCCTAAAACCGCTGGAAGTCTTATTATGGTTACCTCTTTCATTAACTTTGCAAGATCAATGGCTGCTGCTATTGGATGTGATTTAGGTGATGCTGTTTATACATCTTCATTAAAATCACTTTTCAAAAAAGCCATTGAACATGAAACTAATCCTCAAATTTTAAGTGATTTACAAGGGGTTGATGTACAAAGATTAGTATCCAATAATGCATTTGTTAAAGAATTAAGTCCAGCAACTCAGTATTTTATTAAATCTCAAAGTATGGGAGCCATCAGAAATGTCTTCTATATGTGTATTGGGTTCGCAGCAATTTCAACCATTGCTTCATTATTCATAACAAACAAGAGGTTACCTGATGCTCCATCTGGTGCTCCAAAGCCTGCCGACAAAGAAAAGGAAGAAGAAGAAGAAGTTGTGGAAAAGAGTGAAGATAATAAGGAGCCTAGTGATAAGGAAGAAGAAGAAGAAGAAGAATTAGAGTAAATTTAGATAAATATCAAATATAATTTAGAAGAAATGGGGTTTTTTGTATATAGAGACGGTCTCACTAATAAAATTAATACATAATTAATAAATAATTTAATACGTAATAATAATAATAGAAATGAAAGTTACTTCCAATTTGTAGATTATTAGAAACTCACTATATGCATCAGAAAATTACGTCTCTCGTTAAAATGCCAGCCTTTCCCAATTAGGCGTTTTGTCTTTGTGTAATAATTCTTACCACATAACTTATACAGACGACTATGAGAGTTTTCAATCTAACTTATAATAATACCCATATGCCTTTCTATACAATGGATTCACTCTCGTAGGAGGCAATATGTAGTAATCTAACTATAATAATCAAAGTTAGTTCAATTGTTTGTTAGGATTTAGGAAGGTCTTACGAATTACGGAATTAAAACGGAGAGAAAAATAGTGTCATGTATAGAGTCACTTTATATTTAAGATGATTGATTCCACCCATGATTTATAAAACCTCATTTTTAATTTTGTATTCATCATAGATATCTTTATAAATTGATATTAAACTGATATTCAATATTTATGGAAGATCAAATTAATCATAATGTCAGATCCTCAACCTGATAAAGAAAATCAAGTCCATCCAAAACGATTTATAGAAAGTGACGCGGGGGATGGAACATTAAGAGAAGATCAATATCTTCATGGATTTCATTTGTTCGCTTGTTTCGCTGGTGTGTTTCTTTGTATGTTCTTAGCAGCATTAGATCAAACCATCGTAGCAACTGTCTTAACTACCGTTGGAAACAAATTCAATGCTTTCGATAAAGTGGGGTGGTTATCCACTGGTTTCCTTTTGTCGTCAGCCGTGCTTATTCAACCTTTTGGTAAATTATCAATTATATTTGGACGTAAATATACCATGTTAGTGGCAATTGTCATATTTGAAGCGGGATCTTTAATGTGTGCTCTTTCTAATAATATGGATGTATTAATCGGTGGAAGAGTTCTAGCTGGTGTAGGTGCTGCAGGTATACAAAGTCTTACCTTTGTAATTATTAGTGAGGTGGTACCAATTGAAAAGAGGCCAATGGGAATGGCCCTTATTAGTTGTGTATTTGCTGTTGCATCTGTTTTGGGTCCCTTAATTGGTGGTGCGTTCACTACACATGTAACTTGGAGATGGGCATTCTATATCAATTTACCAGTTGGTGCAGTTGCTCTTTTATTCTTCACTTGGGCATTCAATCCACCACGTCCAACTATTAAAATCATGGAAGAATTAAAAAGATTTGATTATGTTGGGAACTTTCTTTTAATAGCTGGGTGTGTCATCTTTCTTTTAGCTTTGGCCTTTGGTGGTAGTAATTATGGATGGGATTCAGCTGCTGTTATTCTGTGTTTTGTCCTTGGTGGGGTTATATTGGTCATATTTTCATTTTGGAATATATATTTTTCAAAAGATCAAATATTTGGAACTGAAATTATAACCAATAGTTATATTCTCGCTTCAGCTACCGTTATTTCCAGTACTTTTGGATTCTTCATTACTAATATATTATTCGTAGCTATTTATTTTCAAGTTATTAAGGATGTTAGTGCTATGGCTTCAGGTTTGCACATATTACCTATTATTATTCCAGTTGTTATATCAAGTATTTTTTCGGCAGTTACCATTCAAAAGTCTCATTATGTGAAGCCATTTAGTGTGATTGCTGGAATTTTAGCACCAATTGGTACTGGACTTTTGACTTTACTCCAAGTCGATTCTCCATTTTCAAAACAAGTTGGATTATTAATTATAACTGGAATATCAGTTGGACTTCAAATGCAACCTTGTGTTATATCAGCTCAAATAAGTGCACCAAAAACACCTGGTAGCACCATTATGGTTACTACTATGATTAATTTTGCCAGATGTATAGGAGCAGCACTAGGAACTGATTTAGCTGATGCAGTATATACTGCATCTTTGAAGAATATTATGAGAAAGGCAATTGCAAATGAAACTAATCAAACTATATTGCAACAATTAGAAGGTATAGATCTTAGTCTGTTAATGTCAAACAATGCCTTTGTTCAAAAGTTATCACCAGATGCTCAATTTTTTGTCAAAACACAAATCATGAAAGCTCTTCGTAATGTATTTTATACTAGTGTTGGGTTCTCCTGTATTACTACTGTTGCATGCTTGTTTATAACGAACAAGAAATTACCAAAGATAAGTGGCCGTTTGCCTCCGACTGAAAATGAACATGCAGAGGAACAAATCGAAGAGACTGAGAACAATCATTCAGGTTCAGCGGAAATAAAGAGAGAAGAAAATAGTTCGGAACCTGGAACCGATTCGCAATCTACTAGTGACTAAGCAGTTGCATTGTTGCGTATGGTTTTAGGAAATACTTCTGTAAATAGTAATAAAGGTTACAATCTAAACCCTAAATACAAAAACGCCGAAGATTACTAATACCCATCGTAAGTAGCCTTTCAACTATAGTACGTAATAGTTTCAAATCAAACATTTGATTGTAATTGAATCCGTATTCGCGATCCGTATCGATGAAATCATTATACTTGCGTCCCAAATAGGAAAGTTTTATGCACTTCGGTTTTTAAGCGGAGCACAATGTTTAGATTGTAGCTTCCGCAGTTACTATCAAAATCTACATAAATAGCACTAAATGTCCTTCTTAATTCTTGAAGATCGTTGCCTGATCTGTCTATATAGAACTCAAGGAATTCAATATGTCTGATAGTGATAAGATTGAACCTGAAAAATTACAAGATCTTGAAACCCAAGCGGGAAAGAAGAGATTCATAGAGAGTGATGCTGGAGATGGTACCAAGAGAGAAGAACAATACTTACATGGTGCTCATTTAATAGGTTGTTTCATTGCTATTTTCTTATGTATGTTCCTTACTGCATTAGATCAAACTATTGTCGCTACTATTTTGACAACAGTTGGTGATAAATTCCATGCCTTTGGTCAAATTAGTTGGTTAATTTCTGGATTCTTATTGACTATGGGTGCGTTTATTCAAATGTTTGGAAAACTATCAATTATTTTCGGAAGAAAGTATACTATGTTAGTAGCTATTGTTATATTTGAATTAGGTTCATTAATTTGTGCTGTGGCTCCAAACATGAATGTATTGATTGGAGGTAGAGTAGTGGCAGGAATGGGAGCGTCTGGTATACAAGGGTTATCTTTTGTTATTGTGAGTGAAGTGGTTCCCATTGAAAAGAGACCGATCGGAATGGCCATTATGAGTTGTGTGTTTGCATTTGCTAGTGTGCTTGGTCCTTTGGTGGGAGGTGCATTCACTACTCATGTCAGTTGGAGATGGTGCTTCTATGTTAACTTACCTATTGGAGCTGTTGCATTTGCATTTTTATCTTGGGCCTTCAATCCTCCAAGACCAAAAATAAACTTTATAGAAGAATTAAAGAAATTCGATTATTTTGGTGCATTTTTATTAGTGTCAGGATGGATTTTATTATTAATAGCATTAACTTTTGGTGCTAATGAATATGCTTGGGATTCTCCAGCAGTTATAGCTACATTTATTATTGCAGGTTCTATAATGATTGGATTTGTGGTTTGGAATTTATTCTTCTCCAAGAATCAATTATTTGCCACGGAGATTATTGTAGTTCCTCAAATTATGGCTTCGGTATTAGCTATTACAGGAATTTTTGCCTTTTCGATGACATCTTTGTCTTACATTTCAATTTATTTCCAAGTTGTACTTGGTTACAGTGCTTTAGGGTGTGGTATTCATTTATTACCGCTTACTTTGTCAGTTGTGGTGTCATCTCTTGTTGCTGGTTTTACAATTCAAAAGTTCAGATATATTAAACCATTTTGCCTTGCGTCTGCTATATTAGCCCCCATTTCAGGGGGTTTAATAATGCTATTTGGATTAGAACGTGATAATGGTAAACAAGTTGGTTTCTTAATTATTGCTGGTGTTTCTGTTGGTTTACTAATTCAACCATCACTTATAAGCCTGCAAATTAAAGCTCCTAAGACCCCAGGTAGTACGATTATGGTGACTACATTTTATAGTTTTTCTAGAGCTATTGGATCAGCATTAGGTACAGCTTTGGGTAATGTCATTTATTCGGTATCGTTAAGAAACTTATTTAAATCTAAATTGGCTACTGAGACAAATCCACAAATATTAGAAGCTTTACAAGGTCAGAATATTAATCAACTTGTATCTGACAACACGTTCATTGCTGAATTGAATCCAGTAGCACAAATATTTGTCAAGACTCAAATCTTACATGCTATTAGAAAGGTTTATTGGTTGGCTCTTGCTTTTGCATTTGTTGGTAGTATTTCCACTTTATTTATAACTAACAAGAGATTACCTCAAGTTAGTGGTCGTTCAGATACTGAGAAAGAAGAAAAAGAAGAAGAACGAACCGAAGAACCGGAAAATGGACCATCAGGGGAAGAGATAGAAGAGAAACAACAAGAGACTAAAGCTCAGGCTGTAGAAATGACAGAACTGACTTCAAGTTAGATCCTATAGATATTATATTAGACTTATTGATATATATATGGTTTACAAAAAACATGTACATAGTGTTAAATAAAGTACTACCAAAGAATATTTTATATTGTAGAAATCGTAAATGTTACCCTTAGCAAAAATTAACACCGAAGAGCTGCGAACAAAGAATTTACACAAAACTGAAATTTTGGTCCGTCTGGTAGCCCCGTTCGGCAGCCGTCTTACAATCGTATATATGTGACACATATATCTTGGCAATTTATAATGATAGCCTTGCGGCGGACTCCGTTCTTGATAAAATATAAAGTACATCTAATTCGAGAAGAACCACAGGTGAGAACTATATGATCACCATCATGATTATGACCCTTGTTTTACAAAGTAGTAATTGAATAATCAATTTAAGATCAAAAACAACTGATCTATTTGAGGAAGGCTCACCTCCTCCCAAAATTGCAACCTTCAAACGAAAGGTAACACATTTGACATCTCAACGCAGCTCGGTGATTACTCAGAATGGATGGAAAACCCGTTTAAAAGTCCGATTATTGCCATAATTATAACCCTCAAGGTTGAACCAATAAGGTTCATATCATGAAACTGATGCTTATGATTATCATGATGTGTTTGATATATGACATTTCACCATTTCATTTCGACCTTCCAACAATACACACCCGAATCCCTATTAGTTCAATGCTTAAACCGAACCATTTATACCCTATTGGATTTGAAAATAACCATCTCATACACAAAAAACAATTTTTTTGGGCACACGGAGTTTCGACGGAATTTACCATTTTTGTACTTTTTGTTTTGATTTAATTGCAAATCGACAATTTCAAACTATTTGATAAGGTGTAAGATGAGGAATGTATAAATATACCTTAATGTCCTAATAGTTTTGAGTTAAAATTTTCGATATATAGTGATTTCTTGGATTTTGAGTCATCCTTCCCATATTATCCCATTATCCATACTATAAAATCATTCATAATGACTGATCAAGAAGCACAAATTCCTAAACCTGATAAGAAAAATTTCATTGAAAGTGATGCTGGAGATGGTACTAAACGTGAAGATCAATATTTAACCGGACCTAAATTAATCTTATGTTTTATTTCCGTGTTCTTATGTATGTTCTTAGCGGCGTTGGATCAAACTATTGTGGTAACGATTTTATCTACTGTAGGTAATAAATTTGATAGTTTTTCAAAAGTTGGTTGGTTATCATCGGGGTTTATGTTAACTTCCGCCGTATTCATTCAAGTTTATGGAAAGCTTTCCATTATGATCGGTAGAAAATATACCATGTTAATTGCCGTATTAATCTTTGAAGCTGGTTCATTAATGTGTGGACTTTCAAATAATATGAATACTTTAATTGGAGGTAGAGTGTTAGGAGGGATTGGAGCTGCTGGTATTCAAACCTTATCACTTGTGATTATTACTGAAATCTTACCTATTCAAAAGAGACCACTTGGAATTGCGGTTATTAGTTTAGTTTTCGCTGTGGCCAGTATTGTTGGTCCATTGATTGGTGGTGCATTAACTACCAGAGTGTCATGGAGATGGTGTTTCTTTATCAATTTACCTATCGGAGGTATTGCGGCTGTATTCTTATGGTTTGCATTCAACCCACCTGTTCCTAAATCAAATTTAATTGAAGAATTAAAGAAATATGATTATTTCGGAACCTTTTTAATGATATCTGGATTTGTGGTATTTTTATTAGCCTTAACTTTTGGTGGAGTTAATTACCCATGGGGTTCAGCACCAGTTATATTATGTTTTGTCTTAGGAGGAGTTACTATTATTGCATTTGTAATTTGGAATATTTATTTTTCCAAGAATAAATTATTTCCTAATGAAATCACTAAAGTTCCCCAAATTATTGCCGCTGTTATTTCAATCGGTACTATGTTTGCTTATTTCATGGGTATAATTATCTTTGCTGCTCTTTATTTCCAAGTTATTCATGATGCCAGTGCTATGGGATCTGGTTTACATATTTTACCATTATTGATTTCATTTGTATTAACATCGGTGATTTCAAGTGTTATTATTCAAAAAACTCGTTATGTTAAACCTATCACTATATTTTCGGGTATTTTAGGTCCAATTGGTGCCGGTTTAGTTTGTCTTTTAAAAGTTGATTCATCATTTGCAGCTCAAGTAGGATTATTAATTGTTTCCGGTATTGCATTAGGATCTCAAATGCAATCGGCAGTGATTAGTGCTCAAATTATGGCACCAAAGACTCCTGGTAGTACGATTATGGTTACTTCATTGATTGGATTTAGTAGATCTATGGGAGGTACAGTAGGAGCTGATCTTGGTGATATGGTTTATTCTACATCATTAAAGAATTTATTTTTAAAGGCTATTAAAGCGGAAACTAATGCTGAGATTTTATCTGAATTAGCTGGTATTAATATTTCTGAATTAGTGAGTGATAATTCATTTATTTCAAAATTAAGTCCTATTACTCAACAATTTGTTAAATTACAAGTGATGAATTCATTAAGAAATGTATTTTATATGTGTATTGGGTTTGCATGTATTGCCACAGTATCTAATATATTCATTACTAATAAAAGATTACCGTCTGCTAATATTACGAAGAAGACAGGAGATGATGAAGAGAAGAAGGTTGATGGTGAAGAGGAAGAGGAAGAAGAAGTTACAGTTGACGAAGATGGAGACAAAGAACAAGCTGTTGCTAGTCTTGTTGAAAGCATTCCAGAAACCAAATAAGTAATTTATTATCGTGTAAATAAAACCACATAATATAACACAGTTAATTATATATAGAGAGGTTATGTCCCAATATAGAATATTTTTGCAATTAGAATCGAGTTATTGAATCGGACATATTTATCCGTAGAAGTTATATATTCTATCCTACCCCACTTTTTACCCCTCTCACTCACCACAAAAATATTTTTTTTTTTATTTTTGTTCTCCACAATTGATGAGCGATCCTTTTTAAGGCGAGACAGCCAATCAACAATTATTCCAGATTCCGCTATTACGCAATATGATAGTTTGAATCTAGGGGGATTTCAGGTTAACAGAGTCATTTAACAACAGTGATGATGATTTGTTTATCCGATTATTTATGAACGATGACTAGTTTGAACATAATGATTAATCACTTGCTATGACGTCTTTTGTCATGATAGTTTAAAGTTTTAGAGTTAGAGTTTGTGTCGTGTTTATAGTAAATTTAACTAATAAGATTAATATTGACCAGATCAAAATTTCAAATTATACAGTTAATAATTCGTATTTTGTGTAATTAGATAGAGGATATGAATTTGATTATCTAGTTATAAGACTGTAATCATTGATAATTACTACAAGTAACTCAATAAGGTCATTATTTAGAAAAAGATCTAGACATCAAAGGGAATATTCCGAATTGGGAACAAATTATTTACTATATCGAGAAATAAGCCTAAGTATTGGTACCGCGTATTCCAACAATAAGATAAATAAGTAAACCATTGTATACATATCATCCTAATATCGTAACGATGTGTATGTTATTCCATTAACTTCCATGCAATCAACCCACAGGGTTATCCAACCTTCCATACCATGCCATGCCCCATACTCCCACTAACTCACACCCACTAAAAAAAAAAAAAAAGCTCTCCACTTTTTTTTTTGTTGGAGTGCGTAGGTACAAAATTTTTAAATGGCTTAATGAGGAGGAGGAGTAAAAAAAAAGTCAAAAAGTAAAAATTTATTTTTTTGGAGTGGAGGTGTCTGTCGTTTCTTTTTTACAGTTTTAGTAATCCTGTTCACCACCACCACCACCACCACCACCACCACTATTTATACAACTTGTCCTTTAACTTCTCATCTTTTGTCATCGTCATCTTATAGGACTATCACACGCTATCAATACTAAACATCTTCAATATGGACTCGTCAGGGAATATATCTCCTGAAAGCGTTGGGTCTCCCTTAGCTAGTTTTTATTACCCTCATTTATCACCATATTCAACCACAAGTGATATAAGTTCCACATCAATATTTTCAGCTCCATCTCCAAATGGTCTTCATCTAACTCCTGAAGAAGAACAAATCTTATTACAATCTACTCAAGATCATAACTTGAACTTTCATCATCTTGACCAAGATCAACATCATCATCATAATCATAATCATAATCATTTACCTCCTGCTCCAGTCTCATTACCTTCATCAATAATACCTCAACTGGATTTCAATTATCCATCTCAAGATCAATCAAATACTCAAATAAATCAATCTCAACTTAATCATGACTTCATCCCTCTTCCTCAACCTCCAACTACTACTAGTACCACCACCTTAAAATCAAGAGTTAAAAAGGATTCAAAACGTAAACCAAAAATTGTACCAAAGATTGAACCAGGCACTACCACCTCTTTATCATCTAATAAACGTAAAAAGTCAATTATATCAAATTCAAATGATAAATCTTCAAGATCAAGATCAAGATTTGGTTGTGAAGAATGTAAATCAAAAAGAATTAAATGTGATGAAATTAAACCAAGATGTTCAAGATGTAAATCAAGAGGTATTAAATGTAATTATAAAATTATTCTTAAATTTAGAGAAGATTTAGAACATCAAGGTAAAAAATTCGGTAGAGAAGGTGTATGGTTTAAACAAAAGGAAAATGCTAATAATGCTCAATCATCAACTGATTTAATCTTAAAATCAAAAGATTCATACTATAAAAATATTAAAAATATTAATCAATTAAAATTTATTAATTTCTTTTATCAAGATCTCATCCGAAATAAAAATTATTACGCCAATTATAAATTAAGTTGTTCGTTACAATCATCAATCATCCCTGTTGATATTTTAAATTCAAATCTTATAAGTGATGATCCTTCAAGTTTAAATTTCGCTTTAACCTATTATATCAATTTTATCTCCCCTATTTTAAATCCAGTAGGTAATCAAACCAAATATTTCAATTTAACTTCAAATAAATCAAATAAATATATCGTGGTTCAAAAAGGTTTGGATTTATCTTCATTAGTACAATATTCGCAAAATAATAATAATCTTTTTTATTTAATTCTTTCCCTTGGATCAATTTATTTATCAAAATTAAATGGTGGAGCAAATAATGAACAAGATTGGGTTGCTAAATCTAAATTATTTCAAAATTTAGGTATTGAAAGAATTAAACAAGATTTAGATAATCTTTTCTTAAATGAAGATTCACCCATCATCCCAGAAAAAATCTTTAAAACAGATGTATTAATCTCCTTAACATTATTGATTCTTTATGAATTAGCTAATGATTGTAATCCTCAATGGACAATCTATTTAAAAATGTGTAAGAAAATTTTACATTCTTCAAAATTCAATTTACCTCATGATTCAATGGAATATTCCTTATTGAAATTCGCTTTGGAATTCTTAGATTATCAAGAATCAATCGGTAGAACAGCTTGTAAAGATGAAAATTCATTCTTCTTAGTATTTGAAGAAGAAGCTGAAAAGGATCAATCTCAATCTCCTACTCCACCCACTGAATTAATCCCTAAAAGTCAATATACTCCAACTCCAGTTGAACAAGTAACTCTTGTATCTTGGATGGGTTGTGATAAACGTTTAATGCAAGTCATTTCTGATATCACTGATTTATCATTCGAAAGATATAATGCCGGAATAACCGAAGCCAATTATTTAACGCTTTGTCAAGATATGAGACAAAGATTAGATAAAATGAGTCTTAATATGATGGATTCTTTATTATTTGATAAATCAACTTATTCATCCACATCAACTTTCAATTCTACTGAACCAAGTACTCCTCGTGAAGCGGAAATGTGTCTTATTGAATCGGAAATGGAAGTGGAAGAATTTTGCTTTTTATTGTCGTGTGAAATTAAAAGATTGGCTACCATTGTATATTTGGAAAGTTGTCTTTTAAACAAGACTCCTGAAGATGAATTAGTTCAAAGATTAGTAAGACAAATCTTTACTTTATTGGAATTCATTGTCATTAAGAATGATTTTAAATGGTATTCAACTTTAATTTGGTCAGTATTCATTGCTGCTTCGGAAATAAGTTCCTTATGTGAAGAAAGTGAAGAATTAAGATATATCACCTTACAAATCTTGGATCTTTTAGAATCAAATACTTTAGGTAATATCGGAAGAACGAGAAAGATTATCATGGATATTTGGAAAAGAAGAGATTTAGATAATAGTGATGAAAATAGTTTTGGATATGTCAGAAAAACTATTGAAGAAGGCGGAGATGGTAAAAATGCCATTGCCAAACGTGGATTATACTTGGGATTTCAAAATGATTGGGAAAAATACGTGGTTGATGAAGATTATGCTATTTCATTAGCATGATCTAAACTAACTCAAACCCAATTAACAATATTAGAATTTAACGAATTTTTAACGACAATAATTATAATGAAAAATGGAAACAAAATCAATGTTTACAGTTACTTGCTGACTTACTACTGCAACAATTAGTGCCATAACTATTTCAATGACCTTTATGGTGCCAAAACAAAATAACTTATATATTTCAAAAAAATAAAAATACCCCCCAAAAAAAAGGAAAAAGATGTTTAACAAAAAAATACAAACTCACATATGATACATTCGTTAATTTAACGACGACAACGTACTATCACAATACGAGACATACGAATGAATTTACTTAATCGCTAAATTCCCATGCTAGCATTTTTTCATGTTTTATTTATTATATAGGATTTTTTAACTGTTTTTAATTAATATATTTACATTTATTTAAACAAGACTGATCTGTAGATTTTTGACGTAGAATAGATATGGAATTAATTTGACTGTCTAAAATTGAATATGAGTTTTGATATATTCATGAGCATTGAATTTATTATTGGTAATTGCTTCATTGGCAAGTTTTCGAACTTTAATTTGACCTGATGTTAGATGTTTTTCATCTATGTTGAATGGTGTTAACCCCATGGAGATTAATCCTGATTCATTCGAAATATGTTTGATATCAGCTCCATGATATTCATCGGCTCGATCTTTTTCACTTAGTTGAGAACTATAATCCTTAGGTGATTTGTTATTTAAGAAGGCATATTTATCTTCTAATAATGTATCGATATTAACTAATGATAATGGAGTTAAAGCATAATAAAATACACTGGATGGTCCATTTCCATTATGGTGTTTATCAACTTCATGAGCTATATCAGCATGCCAGAATACAAACGAACCTTTTTTTACATTTGGTATACTAACTACTGATTCAAATTGATTTAAATGTTTGAAACAATCATCATTAAGGAAGAGTTGACCGGTACCTGGTACTGCACCAGGAAATTTTGGAGTTTCTAAATCAATATGGTATTCTTCATTACTATCATCCCAAAAGAATGGTCGTAACATTATATAAGCCATGGTTAATTTAATATTTGGTAATACTCTTAAAGTACCTTCGCCTGAATTATTATCACTTAGAGCTAACCAGCCTTGTAAAGTTCTAAATGCTGAACAAATAGTAGGTTGAGGAACGTTATGATCATCATATAAATTTTCAATAGCATTGGCTCTCTCATCTAATTTAAATGGATCCCAGTCTTCCCAACATCCTTCAAATATCTCTTGATATACTTTACTATAATTATTATCTTCCCATCTTTCAATCGAACTTGAATCTAAATGTAATGGTAAAGTAGCGTTCTTTCCTGGTTCACGAATTCTAATTCTATCACCGTATACAACTTGACTATCAAGATCTATAGGTAAGGATTTATCATTAACATAAAATAATTTCGACATGGCATTAAGAACTTTTTGAACATTAGGATGACTTCTTGCTTCCGTTTGAGGCTTGGTCCAGAAGATATTATACCAAGCAGTTGGGTTTGGATAAGTATAGCCTGCTGTTTCTGGATGATCTTTACAAAATTGAACTAATTCGTTAAACCAAGTATCAATTTGATCTCTATCAACCACATCATCAATCATAATTGCTCCTCTTTCTTTGAATTTTGCAGCTACATCATTAGGTAATTGATAATTATTATCCACAATTTCCTGGAAATTAACCTTTGGAACATAATCAGGTCCAGTTTCAGCAATTAATTTAAAATGAACCTTGATTGCAGCCAATAATCGATTCCAACTAGCAGTAACCTTTTCGATATTTTCTGGCTTGATTAAATTCTTCTTAATGTCGATGAATCTATCATCTAAGTTGAATTGTTCGGCTAATTCATTAACATTGGTCTTACTAGGTGTCATTATCAGTAGTGTATGATTATAATATGGCTATAGTTTTGAAAAGAAATTTTGCAATCAGAGAATTCAGCCAGTTTAAATACTACATATCTCGGCGAGTATTTCAGCGAATATCACTCCTTACACAAGCGAGCTTTACTATAAATCATTTAACAAATCATATACATTATTAAGGTCATCTTAAGGGAATATAACATTGTCGCTATCATTTACTTATACATATGGGAAGTTTCTCGCAATATTTTTTCGAAGTGTTATGTTTTTTTCTTAGCACTACTCCGAAACGACCTTAAACCTAAGTGTCAATTATGGGGTAACCGAACCATCATGAAAGGAGTTAGAGTTTGGTTATGATGTGTTGGGGATTGTTCGTTTAAAGGTTAGCATCTAACTTCATATCTTCTATATATGTTGCACTTTCCCTGTTTGTATTAAAATTGCAAGAAAGAATAAGTGGGGGACTTTACACAAAAGAAATATTTTTTAAGTAATTGCAGCCAAAAAATTTATAAAAGTAATAAAACTTGCAAGTTATGCAAAAATCATAGATAAAAGGACAATTTTGAAAAGTGTAGAAGTAGTAATTTAAAACAATACTCTTTTCCGATATCTTATTAATTAGCTACTAATGACTGATATTTTTGAAAAGTCAATTGAGAGTTCACTTAAACATATATGGAAATTGTTGGAACAACAAAAGTTACAATATGATCTCTTTAACCAACCAAATGAAGAAAGGCGAATGGTATACCAAGTGTTTAGAGCAACATCAACCGAAGACCTTCACCTTATTAAACTAGATAATACATTTTCAATTCATTGGACGAAAACCGTTGCTAATTTTCATGTTCTTAAAAATGTTGGATGCTTGAATGTATATAGAGCCGATCCAAGCTTTGTAACAAATAATAGAAAACTCATGCTGTTGACTTGGAGCAAGTTAGAATCTTATCTCTTTGAATGTATTGAATTCTCTGAAGATTCGTTTTATAAAAATACAACCAAACAAGAATTATATCAAGTTTCTCAAAATATACTCAATTTAGCCATATTCTTTCTGCTTCCTTCACCTCCTTATCATTCATATCCTCAACCATTGCCTAAGCCCATCAAAAAGGGAAAGGGAAAAGGAAAGGGAACGGAAAATATTAGTCCTGAACCACTTCCTTTATCTTATGAAGAATTATGTGATTCCGTGACTGACTCTTCTGAAGATGTATTTTTTACAGGGTTAGATCACTCTGACTTTAAATTTAAACCTATTTTTAAAATTTTTAATGAAGAAGAAGAAATCGAAAATTTAGTTCGTGCTTTTGAAGTTAAACTTTCTGATTTAATTAACGTATCTATTCCTAGACCCACTTCAAATCATTACGAAGGACACAACAAGCGTAGAAATACGATTTTGCAAGATTTAAGTGCAGGCCATGAATCATGGTATTTCTATCCAATGCTTGGTTTACTTCGAAGTAAATTTCCTGATCTTGATTTTAGACATGGTCTTAGAATTCAAGAAGGTGACTATTGTATACAACCAGATTTATGTTTTGTTCATAAGGTCTATGAACAAATTCATTATATTCCTATTTTAGTTAAACCAACTATTAATTTAGAAACTCTTCGTAATTATTATTATAAAGATTCATATTCCAATGAATCCAAAGAGTATGTTGCTTTAGTGAATGAATTAATAGTTTTAATTCTTAAAAGTGGATCATCCATGGGAATTCTCATGAATGATTGTTCAGCTTTGACAGTCCACATTGATTTATCAAATGGAGTAAAATGTAACTATAGAATAGATTGTGAGAATTTTGTCACTTATATTAATGTAAGCTGCTTATTTTTAGAAAATAAGCGAGGTCATCTTAATATTCAAACAGTCTTGGTAAGCTATATTTATCAATATCTCAAGTCTATTAATAGATCGCAAAAGGCAAAATCATTGAGAGTATTAGCTGACTTGGAAATTTCCATAATGGTTGATGATCTTGACTGAAATAAACGACGATCATGATGTATTTATGTAACAATTTTTTTCTCTCATAAACAGTAGTACAAATAAAAAAAAAGTTGAAATTGTTTACCTATTCAAGTATCTTTATGTAGAAATATTCTAACCCATATCCTTACTAATATAGATGTTAGATGCGATTCCACTGACTATTGCCCCTTGAAAGCAATCTACCCTTTGAACGGTCTTATCTTTGCTTTCTATTTTCTCACGTCAAAAATGTCACTTTTTTCTGTTGCATTCGCTTACAATTGCTTAATTTCATAATTGTCACAATCAGAAAAAGCGAAAAATGTCTGAGGGAGTGAGACATAAAATAGAACGAACGAAATCAGACAGACAGACAGACAGACAGAAATTTAGTGAGAGGCTTCATGACATTTTTTATTTTCTACCAGAACTGATTATTTACAAAGGGAAAAATTTTAAAACGTTTAAATAATTTTAGATTTAATATTTTGTGAAATATATAAACCATATTTTTAAGTTTAAAAGTTATTATCTTATAAGACTGCTGAACCAGTTCAAGGGCTTGTGTTGAACTGCGTAACTGATAATGTCGAGTGGTGGTCCTAATCATCACAACCTTTATTTTGAAGGTGTCGTACATAATGGTTTAGGGAGTTTGGGAGGAGCAGATAATATAAATTTCAATAATAAGAATAATTCTACTACTACTACCACAACAACCACTCCAGGTAATTTAGGCACGAATCAACCAACTAGCATGTATCAACATTATAATCAACCACCTGGCTTACAATCATCTCCTTCGTTCGTTACAGGTAATAATCTGGAGTTCAATCCTTCTAATCAATATTTTCCCCAGCAACTGATCTCACAATCTCAACCACAGCAACCACAGCAACCATCCATTCAACAATCACATCAACAGATAATACCACCTTTACCACAATCTCGTCAACAACAAGGAAATCATAACTATAACCATATGCAGAATTCTTCTCAACAGCAATTAATAACACCATATGGCAATAGTCAGAATGCCATTAATGATGACTTTGATTATTTCTCTTATGAAGGTTCAATCTCAGTACCATCCTCGAAGATAGATCATCCATATTATCAAGAATTGAATTTCAATATCAATGACATTGACTTGAACCTTCTGATCCCAGGTATTGGCAATCAACCTCCTCATCAAGCCCCTGATGATTCTCTGTTTCATCAACAAATACCATTACCACCACAACAATTTCATTTTGATAATATACCAGCTGTAGATCAGCATATTGATAAACGAAATGAACTCAACTTTCAACCTCCTACATTTAATACACAACTGCAAGTTCAGCATCATCATCAGCAATCACATCATGTTCAACACGAACATTTGCCTCCACAACATCAAATTTCTCTGAATCATATACCACAGGTCCCAGTGACTGATTTCATCCCAATACCTCAAGTCTTGCCTCAATTTCAAGATTCTAACATAAAAAGGAAATTAAGTAGTTCTCAACTCAATCAAGTGCCTTTGAAGCCACCTGCCAAAGCTAAACCATCCAAACCTCCAACGATACGACAAAGTTCAATGCCAATAATTTCTGGTACAGGCTCAAGAGTCACTAGCAAATCATCTCATAAACCACTGTCAAATTTGGCTGGCCAAACTCAGGATGTTTTTGCTGATACTGATTTATGGGATAACTACATGGCTGATAATAGTGATATTCCGTTATTTAATGCAAATACAGATGTATCTACAGGTGCTACAGCTACGAAACTTACTACTTCAAAGAGTACGAATCAAAGTCTGCTGTTGAAGAATCCAAGAGGTAGACCAAGAAAAGGTAAAAAAAATCCTGGGTTCTTCTTAAAGTTGGATAGTATTAAATCAGATCATTTACTTAACAAAAGTAATGAGATATCGTCATCACAATCAGATTCAGGAATTTATAGTTTTGATAATTTAAAGAACTTCACTCCCACTAGTACTTTATTTAATTTCAATGATGATAGAGTATTAGAACAAGATTTAACTGATCTTCAAAAATTCCCATCAAACAAATCAATTATAACCCCATCACATAGACCACCAACATCTGGAAATAGTTATTTTGAATTGGAAATCTTTGCCAACAACTCCGACGATCAAGGAAATTTAATTTCTCCACGTTTGAAGTATAATGAAGGTACGTTTGATAATTTTAATCAACTGTTTGAGCAATATTTGGATACACCTAAAGATTTGAATGCTACCCATCTCGCAAGTAGTGATAATAATTCATCAGCATCACCTTTCAATCATGTTGTTCTCAAAATCAAGAAGGAATCAAGTGCGCCTGCTGCTTTAATCCCATCACAAACTGTTTCAAGTTCATTTGATTCTCATGTTTCTAGTTTTAAAGATACTCCCCATCCAGTATTGTTAAATGCTGCGAATAATAGTAGTTTACCACATCTCAATGTGAATGATGATTTACAAGGCTCAGATAGTGATGAAGAAGACGAACAAAGCTCTGATGGCGAAGAAGATGATGACGATGAAGTTATTAAAGGTGAAAATGCTGGTTTTCTTTCGATTGGAGATATCCGCCCTAACATGGAAAGAACAGGTTCTAACCAAAGTGTTAGTAGTGGTGCATCAGTATCATCTAATAAAGAAAATACAACCAAAAAGGAAAAGACAAAAAAGAAGAAAATTCCAAAAGGTGCCGTATGTCCAGTTTGTGATAAATTCATTAGTCGAGATCTAACCAGACACATGAGAATTCATAATGCAGTTGGAAGATTTCAGTGTGTTTATCCCAAGGTTATGTGTAAGCATAAGACTCAATATTTCAATCGTCCATACGATTACAAGAAGCATTTATTACATATGCATTTCAAGTTTGATGATCCAAAGGGGAAAACAGCGATTACTTTAACGGATAAATTGCCCTTAGAAGGTACTTGTATAGCATGTGGGGTACGGTTTATAGCTAATGATTGGTTAGAAGGTCATGTTTTAGCAACACAATCCGAACACAAATGTCCTTTCGTGGAAGATAAGGATCCGGGAAGTTAAGGTAAGGCCCCAATAATTTAAGTGAGCAATTAAGTAGACTATAATTGTCAATATTCTATTCATTAGAATATCTATTTATTGAATATATTTATAACTAATAATGATAACATTTACCCTGTAGGTGATATATCTCATATTTTTGCTGCTTTTAGCAGTCGCTAATTAAAAAAAGAAAAAGTGAGTGGTTTTCAGTTGCCTAATTGGGAAGTGGTATTTTGCGCATATTCTCTTTTTTAAGCTCTAGATATTTGCTCATACCAATCCTTAAGATCTGATAAATTTTTGATATTTAAAAGGAATATAAAGTGATATGTGTTTCCTTTAAATTATTTATAAAGTTTCGTATTATCTATCTGATATTAGTTCATTCGTTTAGACTAATTACATTCATTTCTTTAAGATTTTGGTTATTACCAGTTTCACTCACTCATAGAATCATATAATAGTTAATCAGTAAGCAAAAAATGGAACGTCGTCATGCAGGTCATGGAGACATGGAAATGGCAGGAATGGATGCTAGTACAACTATGGCTATGTCAATGGCACTGGCTACAGCATCAAGTGTAATGTCAATGGCCACTGGCATGGATATGGATATGGGAGGTATGTCAGAAATGCATATGTATTTTACTACTCAATTTAAAGATTATCCAGTGTTGTTTAAAGGCTTAACTGCATCTAATAAAGGTCAAGCGTTTGGTATCTTTGTTTTGTTATTCTTTGTTGCATTTGTTGCTAGAGGTTTAGAGTTTGTTAGACTTTATCTTGAACAAAAAGTGTGGAAAAATCCAAACTATATCAACAATTTTGAACAACAACCAAAAATTCCAGGCTTCCTTGGAAATGAAACATCCCAATCTCATGATAGTATTCAAAAATCAGATTCCATTGGATTACATTCTCATCAAGTTGAATCTGATGTCAGTTCATATAGTTCCACTACTTTACCAATCGCATCTAGATTTTTCAGAGATATATTGAGATTAGCTTTATGTATTCTTCCTGATCTTTTAGGTTATTCCTTAATGTTGGCTGCTATGTCTTATACATTGACATACTTTTTTGCTGTTGTTGTTGGTTCTGGTGTCGGTAGATTTTACTTTGAAAAATTATCCGGAAAGCATAACCTTAGATCTGGAGGATTTTCTCTGCATTGTTAAATCACTGTGAAAAAGCTAATGAAATAATGTAAATTTGATATCCAACAAGTTATTAAAATGTGTATATTAGAGTATAAAGTTGTATATAGAACGATTTCATACAGGTCGTGAAATTAATAAAAGAAAGCCGTTACACTATATTATATTATTTACTTTACTGCTTCGTCAATTTTCTTGATTAAATCAGCATATTTGTTCTTATTGAATGTAGTTCCAGTTCCATCAGCTAATTTTTCACTATAGACTAACCTTGCCAAGTTCTTAAATTCTTCTACTGTATATTCATTCTTCTTCTGTTTAACAGTGTTGATGAAATCGAACTCATTAGCAACGAATAAATCATAATAGGCCGACGAAAGAGTGAAATCAATAGATTCTGGATCTTTCAAAAGATTTCTTAACATTTGATTCAAAGTATAAATATTCAAAAGAATTCTCTTAATACCATTACTATTAATCTTTTTAAGTGTTTTTGAACCTTGAATAAGTAATCTATTAAGGAAATATTGAATACCAACAAAGATACTATCTCTTTCATCTTGAGTTAAAACTTTTCTAAGGCTGTTATCAATGCTAAATACTTCTTGATTCAATGATGCCACGAAGTTATCTGAATCACCTGGTTCAGTAATTGGCGTCCAATCAACGTCTCTGAATGATTTACCAATATAATAAATTGACTTGCACCTTAAATCATATCTTAAAGCCAACAAAGTCTGATCTCTAATAGATTCAAAAGTTTGAACCAATTCATCAAATTTTTGAATCTTATCAGGAGTTAATGCGAGAAATATATTTGGTTGAGTAACGTCTTCATTACCGCCGGTAATGTTAACTAGTGATTTCCCATTCTCAAGGAATGACCAATTGTATCTTAACTTTTCAACTACCGAAAGTCTTATTGATTCATCTTCTTCTTGATCAGCTTCGTAAACGTCATATTTAGATTCTCTCTTAATAGAAGGTAACCAAGTCAAAATCCAGGATGCAGTAAGTAAAAGATTACATACTTGATTAAAGGATTCTTTATCCAAGACATCCTCCTTATTTACATTGAAAGTATTGGCTCCATTATCATGCTCCATTAACATAGCTTGTGATTCTTGAGCAACTAAACTACCTAGATCTTCTGCGTTTATAGCATTAGCACGAAGTACAGCACCACTAACTTCAGTCAATACTGGAATTTTCATCCACTTGCTTATTTTCAGTATTGGCTTATTACCAGAATCAATTGAGTTTCCATAATCATTCAATTGGAAATTTCCAGTTGATAACAATTCCAAATAAAAATTTGAGTAAGATGTAGCAAAATTCTCTAAGAATCCAAGAGCAGTGTCACTGAATTCCTTTCTATACGTCAAGGAGGTGTTTAAAATAGAACAAATACTGAGGAACAACTTCTTAAAGTTCAATGCATTTTCATATACTGTAAGCGTATTATACTCATTTGAATCCTGTAAAGAACTAAATATAACATTACTTGTTGTATTTTGTTTAATCGATATTAAATCAAGTTTAAGACCTGTAAAATGGGATGCACCACTTTGATCATGTTCAGCACGGATAACTGTACCTCCTACAAATCCCTTAAATGATAAGTCCAAACTTTCCTTCACATGGGAAAGAAATGATACTTTCATGAAATCATCAAAGAATTGTAAGGCAGTTTTGTTTTGAGGTCCGCTGATCTGTTGTTCAGTTTTGAAATTCAAGAAAAGTCTTTGAGAACCTTCGATAAATATTAAAAAGAATTCAAGCATGATTCTCATATTAAATAAATTTTTCGGTACCAAGACTTCTACTAATGCATTGATGGTTTCATTTTGAATATAAGGTGACGATGAATCAATCAAGTTACTCTTTGCATCAGATGAATCATGTAAATTAAAGCCTGGAAACATATTTTGAAGAACATTCAGGAAGTCAGGATTTGACGGAGTAGATCTTTCGTATGATACATCTTCAAAATGGAAGATATTTTTAACTGATCTGTTTTCATATACTCTTGTCTTGGATCTGGCTTTCAAGAAGTCGGCAGTATCAACTTGTGACAGGTTATCAATAATAATATAATTCAACATGACATTCTTTAATTCTTTTTTCAAAATGTTCCAAACCGTTGTTAAATCATAATGATTTGTTGCAGATGCAGTGTTTTCTTGATCGTACTTGGTAACTAATTTAGTTGTACCGTTAAGTTTAGATCCAGATTCGATAAGATTAACAATCTCACCAATTATCTTATGTCTTTGAAAGACAGCCAAGAACTTAACAAATATTGAGCCGAAAAGATCTTGAAGTACTACAACTGAAGAATCACTAAAATTGTTCTGACCTATTATACTTATTTCTGAATTATGATCGAATTTTTGAAGCTTAGCTAGTTTGGCTAACGCTGATGCATTTTTTTGTTTTACTTCTTCAGTTATTCTATTCAATAAACCATGAACTTCCAGTTGATGCCTTCCTATAAGAATTTCAACAATTTGATTTAATTTCCCAAGCCTGGAAGCAGTGTGCAAAAGCATATAGATATAATGGAAAGATCCCGAATTAAGATTCATAGTAGAATCAACAAGAATAGAGTAATTGAGTTGACCTTCGTTATTGACGTAATGATTATGAATTTTAGGCAATTGTGTTTTTAGGAATGTCTCCACTGGTTCTGTTAAAACATCAGTTACTTCAGTTATATCCAAGTTAGCTGAATTATGTACATATTGCTCTAAATTTGTCAGTTCAGTAATTAAAGACTTTAACGACGATAATTTTGGATTATTGGATTTGGATAATGTCAGCCATGAGTAGACATTTTGTTGAGATCTATTGGTTATTGTTACAGCACCCTTTAAATACACCTCACTTTGTAATTCTTCAACTATGGTGTCGAACAATTGATTTGATTGAGTTTGTAAGGCATCTTTCGTAGCACTCATAGCACTTAATGACCACAAGTTATACTTTTCAGCGGTTTTATAACCTTGTGATATAACATCATAGACTTCATGAATCTTTCTTTCTTGGGTTAATTGATCGATTTTGTTAGGAATAGACGAAACCTCAGTAATAGCATCTAAGATTTCAATCAATTCTGAATATCTGGCTGATGTTTGACTGTATTCACGTAATGCTTCTGATCTATCCTGTACATCTCTGACTGTAGACTCCAAAATATCTTTAATATCATTTGAATCTGATTGTGAGTCTTGTAAAGTATCCAATAGCAAATGGAATGAACCAATACTATTATTGAAAACTTCATGATGATCATTGACAACAGCCCTTAAAGCATTTTCTGTATTTGATCTAATCATATCAAATTCCTGCTTCTTATGAGCAAGACCTACCGAAGAATCATCCAACAAATACATTGCTGTTTCAATCGGATTGGCATCGTCTCTTAATAAATCGGCCCAGTCATATTTGATTGTATTCTGAACTTCTTTCAATTCAAACATTGATTCAAAAGACCCCACAGCACTAACCCCATTCTTGGGCATACTGAATGATAATCTCCTCTGCACCATGGTTTAATGTATCAGATCAATCAACGAATCACTCCAACTATTCTGTCGTTTTAAACTATGTATGGTAAATAGTTATGTTGTTTGAATGATTTTGAATTTGTTCAGCTAAATTGTTCCATGCAGGAATTTTGATTTTGAGGAAACCAAATTTTTTTTTTGGTTTATTTACTTTTCATTAAAAGCTATTGGGAAACTATTGCAGCCAACTAAGGTATTTGATGATAATGTCGAACCACGAAGTAATAGAGTTATTGGATGACTACAGTCCCATGAAGCCAATTAATAGAGGCCAAAGAAACGAAACTGTAATAGAAATGTATGTAATATCTTTCATTATCAATATTTTACCATACGCGTATACTAACTGAATCACATAGCCTATCAGACGATGAATTGGATCATGATGTATTTGTCGATGCCCTAAATGAAGATCAGTATGTTGATGCTGAACTTGAAGAGATATTAGGAAGTAAAGGAGTTAGTAGCGATAAAGCAAACTCGACAAAAGTTAGCAGTGTAAAGAAAGGTCCAGTTCCTGAATCACGAAAGCTTTTTATTTCACTGTCACCTATAGCAAAATCAATAGAAAATGATAGTATAGTGGATTCAACATTCTCATTCCTGAAAACTCATGCTCCAGAAGTAAAGATGGCGAGCACCTCAATCCTAGATATAGATCATTGGATTTCTGATAGTGACAGTGACAATGATTCTTCCAAACCAACCAAAGCTGTCAGATCTTCTACTATGCCTGTTACAGCCAATACTGGTTTCCAGAAAGTTAATGTGGTAGTGGATGACATATTAGATACTTTAAGTCCTATTTCATCTTCTCAGCCGATTCCTTCAAGTGCATCGAAAAGACCAAAGGTTAACATGGAAACACCACAGAGGATAGTATCAGCTACTTCTAAATTTTCAATAATTCCAAGTCCGTTACCTCCAATACCGAGGGTAAGCAAGCCAAAGAATCAAGTCACAGTACCACCAACTCAGTCTTCACAACAGTTTGAATTTATAATTGAAAACCAATCACAATTACAACCCAAACCTAAAGCAAAGCCAAGGGCAAAACCAAAACAGACTGAAGAAAAACAACAGCTTAATAAAGCTAATAGAGTCACTAGAAGTAAAGAAGAACTATTAACTGAAATGACCCTTGTTTTATCATCCACAATAATTCCCAAATTCAAACTTGAAATATTGACTTCCACATTATACCCAAGTAAATATGAGACTTCATTTGAAGATTTACCAGTTGTATATTGGAAGAGAAGAGTGAAGGCCACTTATGATAAGGAAAATGATATCTTCAGACCATGTGAGGAGAAAGATATTGTTGAAAAGAATATAGTGTTGTATTATCTGGCGGAAGAGTTTTTCAGAAAGGTTCAAGAGAATACATTAAAGCATGTTATAAATCAGGCCAAAGTGTTTTATAATTCATTACTTCCAGTTCATGAAGATTGTGTGATAACGATTTTAATCGAAGGTCTTGAACTATTTATTAATAAGATAAAGAACAAGGAACAAAAGGAATATAAAGAATCAGTAATCCAACGAATGAATCCAGATGATATACCTCGATCACAACCTAAAAAGAGAAAAGCTGATGCTATGGATGATATTACAATGTCTTCTAAATCTGTTGAGTTTATATTACAAAAGGCACAAGTTGAACTTAAAATTGTGACCTTCCCCGTTAGAAATGCATCTGAGGGGATAATGTGGTTACAGTCATTCACCTATACTATAGCCCAAGCGCTTTATGATAAATTTGAGAGAAATTCAAGTTTAGCCAATTTACCCACCATTAAATCTGGTAAAGATACCAAATCAACGTTTATGCAAAGTATCCAACAATTTAAATTCATGACAGAATCAAAGACGGAGAGATTATTTATGTTTTTCCCATCGCTTAAAGCTATACATGATAGATTTGTATCCAATGGATCAATAGGTAAGGATTCCACAGGTAGGAATATTATTCCACCATCTACAGATGTTGCCATGAAGAATTTCTTTATGGCTAAAGATCCAAATACAGCTATTAATGAATCGATTTGAATAAATATTAATTAGACGACAAAACTAAAAATCTATAAAAGAATGTATATATATATATAATGATGAATGATTAATTTAAAACTTTCTTAGCAGCATCGTAATCATCAACAGATAAAGTATCCTTTAAATGATGAACATTTTCTAAACCTTGAGATAAATCAGCAATTTCAGTAGAAGTGAATTCAAATCCTTCACCGGCTAATTGGGATACGATATTCAAAGCTTTATCTATACAACCTGCATGACCATCTTTATCTAAGATTGATACTAAGAATTTTATCAAGTCATGTTCACGTAATTGAGATTGAGTTTCTTTAGTTAAACCATTTGATAATACTGATGATATCACTGATAATAATCTTAATTTAACTTTATGATTTTGTAATGGTTCATTATTTATATTTTGAATGATTTCCCATCCATTTAAATTATTAAATTGAAGGTAACCTTTTTCAAAACTCCTTATGGCACAAGATATAGCTAATAATGATTTTAATAATAATTCTTTAGAAGATTCCTTATCTAAGGCGATTTTGATTAACTTTTCTAAACCATCAGTTTTATTGAAAGCTTCTTGACAATTTGGATTATTTTGAACGGCAACAGCAATGACAGATGCAGCATATACTCTTAAAGATGGAGGAGCATCTGATGAAAGTTGATTTATAATTGCAGGCCATAGTTTTAAATTTTCGATATTATTGGCATTATCCAAGTTTTCGATAAGCATCTCGAAATTATCAAAGGCAATTTCTTTATTTTCTAAAGTTGCTTCTTCATTTTCAATAATGATTATAGCTTGTTTCATTAAAGATGGATCATCGACTCCACCAAATAATTGTTGTAACATCTTTGCATCTGGTTGTCCGACTTTGCTGATAGCTTCTTGATCACCCGATTCTTGGGCTAGAGACCAGTTTAATAACTTATTCATGTTTGTTTATTAGTTGATGATGGATATAATAGGTAAAGTTTGGTTAATCCTTATGAAATGCTTATATAGATATATAGATCGCAAAATTTTAGTGATGATAATGTCGTCATATTTGCTAGAACCTTCTCGAAGAGTTACATACAAAAGTTTGTCATTTATGGACGACATTGTATGTCAAATATGCGACATTCTATGACACAGATATGTCCATATTAGCGGTATGGATGTCAATTCTAATTACGGTTAAAAGGTACAATTAAGATTTAAGTTTTCATGGTAGTAATAGTAGTTATTCGGTTGAACAGGATAACCCGGTTAGTTAGATTATCATACTATAATGGTAGTTACTAACAAAAGTACATGTGGGTACTACTTAATTATTCAAAATCTGATGATATTCCTAGAAGTTATTGGCGTTGTTTTAGTTATAAATAAATAAATAAATAATCAATCACCTGATTCTCCCCTAGTTATTCTCAGTAACAAAAATCAAAAAGTTGTTGGTGTAACGGGAGTGAGGTATCCGCCGGGATCAGAATATTTTTAACGGAGTTCATCCAGGGAGAGAAGGGGAGCAGGGGGGGGAGGAATATCTCTAAACCATTATACAGGAATTTTTCACTACTAGAGTTAAGTTACGTGGTGAACGAGCGAGAGAACCATTCATTAATTTAGTGAGAAATTATTAGTGGTGGTGGTGGTGGTGGTGTGCACTGTACAGTACTGAGTGGGTGGACCAGATTGGGTATGCTCACCACCTCCATCCCAATTATTTAAAATCATCAATATTTTCCTCGATTTCCCAAATTTTATATTTCATTTGTTTTATGAATTTTTATTCAATTGGTCAATTTCTATATCGAATTTCTCCTTTTAATAGCAAAAGTCCATTTATAATCATGTCATTATCTAAAAAATTATCTGTCAAAGATTTAGATGTCTCCGATAAGAGAGTTTTCATCAGAGTTGATTTCAACGTTCCATTAGACGGTAAAACCATCACCAACAATCAAAGAATTGTGGCTGCTTTACCAACCATTGAATATGTCTTGGAACATAAACCAAAGGCTGTTATCTTAGCTTCTCATTTAGGTAGACCAAATGGTGAACCAAATGCCAAATATTCTTTAGCTCCTGTTGCTGCTGAATTAGAAAAATTATTAGGTAAAAAAGTTCACTTTTTATCTGATTCTGTTGGTCCAGAAGTTGAAAAAGCGGTTAATGCTGGTAAAGATGGTGACGTTTTCTTATTAGAAAATTTAAGATTCCATATTGAAGAAGAAGGTTCAGCTAAAGTTGATGGTCAAAAAGTTAAAGCCAGTGCTGAAGCTGTTAAAAAATTCAGAGCTGAATTAACTTCTTTAGCTGATGTTTATGTTAATGATGCTTTTGGTACTGCCCATAGAGCTCATTCATCAATGGTTGGTTTCGATTTACCAAAAAGAGCTGCTGGTTTCCTTATGGCTAAAGAATTAGAATATTTCGCTAAAGCTTTAGAAAATCCAGTTAGACCATTTTTAGCTATTTTAGGTGGGGCTAAAGTTTCTGATAAAATTCAATTAATTGATAATTTATTAGATAAAGTTGATATCTTAATTGTCGGTGGTGGTATGGCTTTCACTTTTAAAAAAGTTTTAGATAAAATGCCAATTGGTGATTCATTATATGATGAAGCTGGTGCTCAAAATGTTGAACATTTAGTTGCTAAAGCTAAGAAGAATGGTGTTGAATTAGTCTTACCAGTTGATTTCGTCACTGCTGATAAATTCGATAAAGATGCTGAAACCGGTGTTGCCACTGAAGCTGAAGGTATTCCAGATAAATGGATGGGTTTAGATGCTGGTCCAAAATCAAGAGAATTATTTGCTGCTGCCGTTGCTAAAGCTAAAACCATTGTTTGGAATGGTCCACCAGGTGTTTTCGAATTTGAAAAATTCGCTGCCGGTACTAAATCTTTATTAGATGCCGCAGTTGCTTCTGCTGAAGCTGGTAACACTATTATCATTGGTGGTGGTGATACTGCTACTGTTGCTAAGAAATTCGGTGTTGTTGAAAAATTATCCCATGTTTCTACCGGTGGTGGTGCTTCATTGGAATTATTAGAAGGTAAAGAATTACCAGGTGTTGTTGCCATCTCTGAAAAATAAATAAAATCGATATGAATTGATTTCATTCTCAAATTAATAATGGTTTTTATAACGTTTTTATTATTGTTTACTTTCAAATAATTAATATAAGTTTAAATGTATTTAACTCATTTTTAATCTACAGTAGCATTTGACATTCATGTAAAGGCATAATTTATTATTTTAAAAAGAAAGAGAATGGAAGAAAGAAAGAAAACATCTAAAAAAAAAAATCAAAACAATAACTAAAATATAAATAAATAAAAAAACTAACAGTCACTGTAGAGTGTAAACAGGGGAAATAACTTTGGAAATAGTAACACAATGGAGAGCAGAAACAAAACGTCTATAATTTAGCTTCTCCATTAATGATCGTACTCCAAGCTTCATGAGTTAATTCTTCATATTTATCCCCATTTAACCAATAAATAAGTTCATCATTATTTTCCCCTTTTGGTAATTTTTGATTCTTAAATTGATTCTTTGGAACTTTATGATTATGAGAAGCTTCAATTTCACGACCAATCTTAATGAATTGGGGTACAGCATATTTTGGTAATGAATGATTTACATGAGCATAGATCTTGGATAAGATATCTTGATGTTTTGAAGTATCGAGATATTCATCTAATGGATCAAGAACAGCAAAACATGCTCTACCTTCATGATTTGGAACTTGAACTCCAACCACCACGGATTGTTTAATGGTTTTCGATCCCATTAATTCATTTTCAACTTCAGTGGCGGAGACATTTTCGGATTTCCAACGGAAGGTATCACCTAATCTATCCACGAAGTATAATAATCCATCAGCATCAGTTTTTAATAAATCACCACTTCTAAACCAGGCATCACCTTTTCTAAATACATCAAAAAGGATCTTTTTGGAAGATGCTTGTTTATTACCATAATAACCTTGGAAAGTTTCTTCTGGTTTGGTAGCATTTAAAATTCTCATTAATAATTCACCTGGTTCACTATTAGCAGCTTGAATACAGAATCCAGTTTTTGGATCTCTATAAATCTCACTTTCATCATTTGGATCCATCTTTACTAATGTCTGAGAGAATGACATTAAAAGATTAAGTAAGGAACCATATTTACGACATGCACCGACACCAAATTCACCATATTGTAAATTAGTAGTTGCAATTGGTGATTCAGTTGAAGCATAGAATTCACCAATGGCTTCAATATGGAATCTCTTTTTGAAATCTAACCAAATATCACGACGTAATCCATTACCATAAGCAATACGAATATTATGACTATCTTGATCAGGATGATATTTGGAATTAGTTAAATAACGACAAACTTCACCAACGTATTGCATATGAGTAGCACCAGTTAATCTTGCTTGAGTCCAGAATGAAGTAGCAGAGAATTTCTGAGATACAGATACACAACCACCAGCTAATAAAGTTGGACAAACCCCCAACATGGCAGCTGTAGAATGATATAATGGCATAGCAGTCAAGACATTTGAAGATTGTTTTATTTTAACAATATAACCGAAAATGTAAGCGGCCATAAAAGCTTTTCTCCAAGACATTATACCAGCTTTTGGTAAACCAGTGGTACCAGAAGTATAAATCAAAGCACAACAATCAAAATCTCTATCATCTGGTCTTCTAGTTTTATCACTAGCTCTATGTTTTGGTCTTGATTTATCGGTCAAGACTTTTAATAATTCCGGTTCATTAATATAATGCAATTTAACTTGAGGTAATTCTTCATTAATTTTTGCTTCAGTTTCTCTAATTGGATCAGCACAATCTGGATCAATAAAAACTTGAGATACTTTAGCGATTTTAATACAATGAACTAAAGGTTTATCTTTAGTATTAAAATTTAAGAAAGCAGGAGTAGCACCAATATTCCATAATGCTAACCAAAGGAAAATGAATAATGGTTTATTCATACAATCAACAGCAATAGTTTGTTCAGCTGTAACTCCATAATCATATTTCAAAATATATGAGAATCTTAAGATGATGTCATATAATTCTTGATAAGTATAAGTTTCAACTGTGAATTGATCATCATAGATTTTAAAACCTTTATCGTCGACTTTTGGAGTTGGAGGATCCTTCTTAGGTCTTGGGAAGGCAATAGCTTTATTATTAGGATATTTCAAAGCGGTTTGTTCGAAGTAATACCAATAACTGGCTTTACCATGTGATGATCTATACAAATATGGAAGAGCACCTCTTACAACTTTTTGAGCAAGTAAGAAATCTTCTTTGATATGCAATTTGGCTTCTAATAATTGAGAACCTAATAAACCAGCAACGGCTAATTCAATACCTGACATGATGATGATTTGATTTTATTGATTTTGGGACTAATCTTATCTAGCAACAGGGTGTATGGAAAAGGAAAACAAAGTAACTTTTGAAAAAGATAGAAAGGTAGTTAAAAAAAAGAATGAATGAATAAAAGTAATATATATTTAAATCAAATTCAAAATCAATGTAAATTCCAATTCCATAATATCACAGATTGTCCTTATTATTATAGATAATTCAATATCTTCTTATGATACTCTCCGCAACTCTAAAAAACCCCAAACTTTTCACACTATGCCATCACCATCATAAAATAAAAATAGCACATGAGCGCGACAACAGCTGTAAATTTATAGTTGCCAGGGAGGAAGCAGGGAACTAATTCTCACTAAATTTTAGTGACCTTTTAAACAATTAAAATGCAAAAATTGCCGTTTTAGGTAATATATGTTATTAGTACTAGTTCATTTACCGTGGAGTTATCTAGTATAACTGGTCATTCCATACTATATAGTTGTATCATTACAAGCATACTAATTATATCTACACATTATTAGTCCAACTAGACACCCCTACGAATAAACATATCAATAATTAAGATAGTCTCATGAGTTCCAATGGGCTCACTAAATTATCGGTGCTCAGTAATTCTCGGTACAGACAAAATCAGTTAAAGCTCGGTTCAAATTATTATCTCCTGAAGGTGCGCTTCACATGCAAACTCTATCGCCTTTTGTGTCATTTGTTTAAATACGGCATATAATATATTTTAATTCAACTTTTAATCTATTTGGTTGCAATTCTTTTATATAAGATGTTTATATATATACATTTTTAAGATTATAAATGTCGTAACTATATGAGAGGATTAAGTTGACGTTGATGTTTTATTCCCTTATCACTTCCTCTACTTCCTTCTATTTCTGGTTCACCGTCACCTTCTTCATCTCCATCATCATTCATAGTATTATTATGATTATTATTACCTTGATTATTATCTTCCCTTAGTACACTCCATGCTCCAGGAGTTGTTGGTCTTTGACGAGCTGTAGAAAATTCAGGTACTTTTGCAACTTCACGTAATGGAGTATCTGGAACTTGAGGGAAATTTACTTCATTTAATGGATTAGCTGTTGGTGGAATTATAGGTGGTCCTTTATATATAACATTACTAGGAAATGTAGTACCATCTTGTTCAACTTCAGCTTTCCATTTCTCAACTATTTCAAATTTTTTACTAATTAAATATTCATAGATTTTCTCCGTTTGTTTAAAAACTTTTGAATCATTCTTCGACCAAAATCCATGTTGAATTATTGCTTTTAAATCACTATCATTTTGTTGTAAATATTCTTTCATACAACAATTAGAATGAGTCTTAAGAATTTTATTTAAAATTTCATAAAATAAATATTTGGTTCCTGATGTAAAAGTTATTGCAATTGCTATAGCAATCATAGGTATCATACTTAAATATTCATGACAAACTGAAATTTTAACGGCTTCTCGGAGTAAAATAAATGCCTTTAATTCAATTTCTATCCTTATTGTCTGAGGTATCCAATCTGTAGGTCCTAATCCTAATAAAATATTACAAAAATATCTAAATATATTATGTCTCGATTGAACTATTGGATCAACTAAATTCCATTGCTCAAAAGTTTTCTTAAGTGATAAAAACTGAGCTTGTTTAAATGATAACTCTTCTTCATCATCTCTTTTAACCAATTCTTCTTCAGCTTGTTTAAATGTATAATGAGTCCAACAATACATTAATACCATTTCAATGAATAAACTTTGATCGTACTGACAAATGTTTGAATTGACTTTAATAATATTAAATAAGTAATTATTATCCATGATAAATTCAATTACATCATTGAAACTAGGAATAAAATAATTAGGATTATCAAATAATTTATATGAAGCACCCATAGATAATAATTTCACAACATTAAGAGCATTTTCAGCTTTCTGGATTCTAATTCCTTGTAAAATAGATTCCGCCTTTGGAGAACTTTCTTTCTTTAGAGCTGCTTCATATTTTTCATCTATAAAGTTGGGACGAATATCGACAATGGCTTGATTGGCTAAGAGAACGGAGGGGAAAGTCAGAAGTGGGTAAGGTTTAGAACATGTAAGTAGTGTAGTCAATTTTATATATTGCTTATCACCTTCTTCATCCCTTAATTTGGAAAATAACAGCTTGTTGATTTTATTTCTAATTTCATAAAGATCTTTATAATAATATCTCTTTTTATCAACATTATAATGTCCTAATCCTTCTCTCTCTATAAGTGCCGTTTTTATAAAACCAGTTATTGAATCTTCACTAACAGCATCACTACCATTGTCATCATTAAGTATCTTTATATGTAATAAAGATTGTATTTTCGTTTGTAAACTCTCTGAACTTGAACTTCTTATTGCTCCAGAATTACCAAAACCCTGGCTGTCTGCAAAGTGAGAAAATATTGAGTTCAAAGGCATTTGGGGTCCAAGAGATTGACTTCCATTCCTTTCCATTTCATATCCAACCGCTGGGCTTACAGGTTCCTTTCCATTCTCTAATTGTTCTTCATTACCTTGACCTAGGTTATAAGCATCATTTTGGAAAGAAGTATTATCAACAATATCATTTTTCTCTTCTTCAACATTTTCCTTTGCAATTCCTGTTACAGTAGCAGCATTCCAATTAATATCACGTAATCTTGCACTTGTAGCTGACATGGCCCTTTTTGCAAATGAAAGCCAGTACTCTCTTGTAGCAAAGGCGATAGCGCCAAATACAACAAATCCAAAAACCAAAAGTACGTAGCAGTATCCTGTACAGGCGTATAAATCATATGAACCAAAGTCTTTAAATAGCGCCATGCTTTGGACACCACTATGTTGCACTATAGGATCTTCTCCAAGTAATAAGTTTGTTCCGAATGATACATCATTATTATTATTGTTGAATTCAAAGTCCCTCTTTGTGAATTGTAAAGTTGTAGTTATTGATCTTTTCTTATGATTCACTCTTATAACAGATTTTCTGCTTTTTTCATTGTCAATTTCATCATTAGATTGATAAATATCACCAATATACATCCTTTTAAGATTGATTATTTGATGATTATGGTTTGTATGGACCTTAGTAGATGAATGCTCTCAAAATGTAAATGGTAGCTAAACTTTTTGCTGCCAAAAAGTTTTTATGAAGTGAGCAAAAAAATATCTATCTCTAGATATGCTGTAAAAATCTACAAAATAGTAAAACTAAAATATAATTCACCGTAAATTAAATTTAATCTATTTAAAAATAAAAAAAAGTATCTAATTATCTTCCTTAATAGCTGTACCTCTAATATGTTTTTGTCTTTCTGGTACGTAAGGCTTACTACCTTGTTTACTATGTTTTCTATCATTTTCTTGTCTTTTCTTTAAACTATTAATTTCAATTCTCTTGATTTCTTCAGCCTTCTTAATAACCTTTGGAACATGTCTATGTTTAGATATTCTTTTAATTTCAGGCATATGTTTAAATCTTTCCTTTAAGGCGTTATCATATTCCATCTTATTTCTTTGTCTTGTAGATTTAATACTTGCTCTTTCTGACGAATTTGCTCTCCAAATTCTGATATTAGTATCATCTGAACCACTTAAGATATATCTTGCATCAGTAGTATATTTGACACAGAAGATTCTTTGCATTCTCTTGGTATGATAGATATCTCTTGAATGACCTTCTCTAGTTCTGAAGATTCTAATGGTTTTATCATATGAACCAGTAACTAATTCTTCGCCAGTAGGAGAGAAATCAACATCCATTATACCAGCCACATGATCTTTATATACATTAATCGATTTATTTAAATTTCTCATATCCCATAAATAAGCATTATGATCATCACTACCACTAACGAAATTAAATGCTTCCATTGGATTCCAACTTAAACAATTGGTTCTTAAACTGGTAACAACTTTTTGAATGGCGGTATTGGTTCTAATATCATACAATACAATAGAATTATCTGAACCTGATGAAGCAATTATATTAGTTTCAGTCTTATTGAATTTAACAGTATTAATATTATCAGCACCCCAACTTAAGTCACTAATATGCTTTGATCTATTAATATCCCATAATTGAATGGATAATCCCCCAGTAACAAACACATCATCTTGATGATGATGATCAATGCCTTTAAATGCATGTTCTCCTAAAAAGGTTTTAACTAACCCTTTATTCTTATTATTATAAACTTCATCTTCACCAAAAGTATGATCGAATTCTTCATGATTCACAGACCATAATTTAATATATTTATCATCTCCACAACTTAACATTCTTGATTGAGTTGGAGTCACCACTAACCCAGTAACCATACCATAATGGGCTTTGAATGTAACACTTTCATCTCTACTAGTCATATTCCAGTATTTTATTATCCCATCTCCTGAACCACTAGCAACTTGATTAGTAGTATTGAAATTCTTTGCAATACAATAAACCCCATCACGATGACCATCACCTAATTGACCTACAAAAGGTTGAGCAAACATTCTTTCCAACTTGGTTGCTGTTAAAGCTTTGGTATATTCTCTGGCTCTTTCAAAGGGATGTAAGGCAGGATTTAAATTACGTGGTAATGATGATTCTTGAGTGTTTCTAACGGGAACATATTGATCTGATGATCTACTGATGGTTTTTATCTTCATGTTTGCAATAGATTTACTTATTCTTTGTTCCTGGGGTGAGCGTTAAACGTACTATGCTAAATCTTATGAATGAAATATGCTGATATGATGTGGCTGTCTCTTCCGTTGGAGACTGTGTATGTAGTATTTATAGGTTTATAATATGGTATAAACTCATCTCTGGTTAACTTTTTTTTTAATTTTTATTTTTGGTTAAATTTTTTTCCTGTTTAACTTACTGCGAAAAATAATTTGTACATAGTAATAAACAGTTTCATATATAAACATATGCATTATAATTACAGAGTTATATTGTATTAATGTTAAGTATAATAATAATAATAATTAATTAGAAGTAATAGCTTTATGTAATAAGACCATATTGATGATTATTAACCTCTCTTTTGCTTTCTTTATACTATCATTTTTGACCATGACAACAACAAATAATAAAAGCCTTAATCAAAAGATCCCATCGATAAACCTAATTCAACAATAAAACATAAGTCCTGCTTATGTATGTGCTATTGTTTATGAAGATAGTACATCCTCTTTTAAAAATAGCATATCTATCTTATTATCAAACTTTGGTCTCTTTCTTTGTTTCTGTTGATTGATTGAGTGATTTAGTTTTAACATTTTGTTTATGATGGAGCTTTTCTGTTTTGGAGGTGGTGGGGATGAAGATATATCTTAGTTTTGGGTCTTTTTGTCAATTGCTGAAAATCTATAAGGGTGTTTGGGATTAGCCATAGAATAAAAATTAAATAAAATTAAATAAAATAAAAGTGAATAAAATAAAAAATATTAATATAATGAAAAAATATGGGAAAAAAGTTGCATAATAATGCAACGAATAATAACAGTAACGATAATATAGTAAATGGAAAGCGGGATGAGGTGATGAATGATAGTTTATTTGATAGTTTTTGGAGGTAATAGTATATATATATAATAGTAGCAGTGGATGTATTTTTTGTTCATTTTGTTGGTTTATATGATACATTTATCTATAATGATATATCTAAAACTAATCCAACATCATCAACGTTGGTTTTAGATATATCTTCTAAAAATGGTAATAAATCTAATAATTCATTATCATGAGTATCACTAAACCAACTTGAAATTGGAATGGAATGTTGAGGATGGAATATATAAGATGCAGGTGAATTATCAATAATAATTGAATCACTTAATGTACGTCCTATTTGAGATAAATTTTTAATAAAATTTCCTTGATAAGTATAACATGAATCTCTAAATAATCTATGATGAACAGAATTATAAATATCCAATTTATTTAATAAAGGATCTCCATATTTTGCCACTGAAGCTGTAAATACTACAACTTCATACCATTGACCAACTTTCTTTAAAAATTCATCCACTCCAGGTCTTTTTATTACATAAACATAATGAACTTGATTATCAATTTCAACTGGAATAGTAAAATCAGCAGTTTTTAAATATTTAAATGATGAATGAACTAAAGTTTCATCTAAATCAAGAATAAGACATTTTTTAGAACCAAATTTTTTATCCTTTTTGCCCAAAAGAAATCCAGTTTCAGGATTAAAAGCTTGACCATCTTGAAGTTTAGTTAAATCTAAAACTGATTCATCTTCCATTTCATCATCATCTTCATCATATATTTCTTCATCATGTTCATCATCATCATCATCTTCATCTTCTTCATCTTGTTCTTCAACTCCATTTTGTTTATTTTGATGAGAATTAATGGATTTATTAGAGGCAGAAATAACTCCATTACTTGATGATGGACTAACTTGAGTTATTATATTTTGTTGTTGATCAGATGATAATTGTTTATCAGGATGAGATATAGGAGTATTATTGGCTTCGTCGCCAGTATTTGTTATGGTGTCAGTTTCATTTATAGAATTATCATCATCAAGTAAATCTTTTTTATGTATACTATTACTATTTTGATGACCTTTAGAAGTTTTAGTAGCGGTAGCAACTATTTCTGGCACTTTTGATGTATTGGATGTAGTAGATTTAGTGGTTGATGATTTTGGATTAATATTATTTGCGGTTATATCCTTTCTATTTACACCTGAACTAACGGTTCTAGTTTGAGGAGTTTGAGATTTATCATCACTTGAATCAGAAGATTCACCCAGACAACAGAACAAAAAACTCATGATAGATTGATTGAATTAATGATTAACTTTCGATTGATGGATGATAATTGAATAAATGTGGTTGTAAAACGGACTGTCAATGGGAATATGAAATGAGAAATAGTAAATATAGGTGGTTTACCATAAAATACTAAAGCGGGTATAGTTTGAATAGATGCAATCGAAAGGTTAAGATGCAATTAGATGATATAATTGATATTTTAGGTTTAACGCCTTATTATCGTATGAGATAACCACAACTTTATCAATAGATGAAATAATTGATTATGGAGACACCCGAAAATTATACACTAACGTTAACTAACTATGATTTTTGTCTGAATGTGTAGTATCGTGGAAGTTGGATGGATGATGTTTAAACAAGGACCAAGCAATGATCTACTCAGTATCGTTGGAACTACGATACTCTCTATAAAGGGTTTGGTAGTGATAAAGAACGAAGAAAGGTAGAATAGATTGAGCTTCTCTATTTCTCTCTTCTTTCATTTTCACTTTCACTTTCATTTTCATAAATCCTTTTTTTAGACTTTTTTTTTTTGTCTTTTACTTATTTTTTTTTGTCTGTCTCTGCTTTTGGTAAGGACTTTTGTCGTACACAAAATTACACAAAATTAAAATAACAATAAAAAATGAGAGACAAAAACAAAAATCAGACACTGAAACACAAAAATATAAACCAAAACAATCAGACAGACAAACTGACAATCAGACAGACAGACTGCCATTTAAATTTTTCAAATTATTCACATTTTTCATTATTTACGGAAAGTGTAATAAGGGATTTACAAAGCTATTCTTAGTCACTCTAGATAGTCACATAGTAATTCTGTACGGGTGCAAACCACACTTCTAAACGATAACGGACGAAGTCATCCGTCCCCTTCACCACATTTGAGATAACAGATGTAATCATTAGTCAATTATAAAATTTAAACCAGCACGACATTTTGTCTGATTATTTTTTTTTTTGAATTTCCCCTTTTGTTGGTTTTCTTTTATTTTTTTTTATTTTTTTTATTTTGGTGTATTTTATTTAGCGGTTATCTCTGTCAATTTATTGGCAGTAAATAATTTCCCATTATTAAATTTATAAATTATGTCGATATTTATCTCTGTCTTCTATTATTTGAATTATATAATTACTAATTATAGTATCTATGTTGACGTCAACTACTTGACTTTCTTACGTCAGTGAAGTTTGAATTCGAACTCTATAGTAATTAAAATGTCTAATTCTAATTCTTGCTACATGCCGTGCATACCATAGATTTAGGGATTTTTGCCGATCAGTACCAAAAATAAAAAGAAAACCTATAAACTGGAATAGGGGGCTAGAATTATAAAATGAAATAGCATTTAGTATTTAGCCGTACCCAATTATAAGCAATCAAAAACTTTTTCTTCAATTATAATGTAACTTTAAAACATATGCAGTACATCTTAACCATACCGTTCCACCCATTTCCTATACTAACCGTTTCTAACCCGTCTGTTAGATTTATATTTCGAAAAAGGTTACAACTAATGAAATTAATGTACGATAGCGCCTTTATTATAGTCATCGTGATTTCTAATTTATAATTAAATTTATCACAGGGTATAACAATACTAATCAATTTAGAAGGTATAGATTTACAGGTGCCATAAATTGGTAGTCTTCCGATTATATCGGGGATGTCAAATGTTAAACTTTATAATTTTAACTTTGATTTGTTTTATAGATCAGAAATCGTCAGATATTGGACATTAGCAGAAGTTTGTCAGTAAATGTGTAAGTTGGTTATTTAACTGGATAATTTAGCCATTATATAAATCAAAAGATATGAGTTAAATTTATACAATTTTTGAGACCATCTACAATTGACTTTCCAAGCGTCTGCGATTGTTAATATTGAATCACCACAGTTTAGAACTTAAAATATTCGGTTACGATGAACTTCACCTTAACACCCTATTTCAAAAGTAGTTCACCCTTCTCAGAGCCCTTAAACTCAGCTCAGTTGATTATCATACTGCCAACACTATTCCTACTACTTATAGAATTGTTGCAAATTAATCCATCTGTATAGTCCAAATTATGCATAGTTAATAATATGTCTGACTATCATCACTTCCCAATTAGGAAAAATCCTTTTTCTCTCAGACTTTTTTTTTTCTTCTATCCTTCTTTTTTTTTACCAGCCATTTATTTTCAGACGCGCACAGACACGACACAACACGACACCACAAAAATTAAGCAAGAAATCTATTTTGATTGATCTATACCAAATCATCCCATCTCATTTCATCTAATATCACTTATTTATATGTCAGATCAAATCATCTTGTAACTACTGTCTCATATTCTTCATCTATTAGCTTAGTTATCAATGTCACATATCACTTTAACGCCTCTGACGCCGCCTAGATCCAATGCAAAGTCAAGTAGGACTATGCTGACTCCGTTGTCATCAACTACTCCAATTCAACAACGAAATGGTTTGATAACTCCTTCAACTACATCAAAGTCTAAAAATCCATTCTTGTCAACTAGTAGTAATACTGTCAATGCTAACACAACCTTTTCAACTACTCCGACTACTTTCAAAACGCCAAGTTCAATACTGAAGAAGAAGTCAAATAATTTAACTATTCCTAAATCATCTGTTAAGTTATTACCCATAACACCTGAATTCACTCCTCATAAATCTCCAAACTCACGGAAAAGGAAAATAATGGGTAATCTTAGTGATTTCTTTACTAGTAATCTGAATGTAGAATCAAATAGAAAAGAAAAATTATCATTTGGTTTATTATTGCCAGCTCCATCTAAAGTTGGTTCAGGAAGACAATATGCTAGAAATATGTCACATAAGGATAATATATTCTTATCATCTGGTGGATATGGAAATGAAGTAGAAGAAGAAGAAGCAGATGAAACTATGATTTATCGTGAGGAAGAAGAGGAAGAGGAAGATATGAATATACCTCAAACTCCAGGAATTCAATTGATAAATGATAGTCTAGTAAACCATTGGCATGGAAAATCATATAATAATTATTATTCATCTGATGAAGAAGATAATGAAGAACTTCCAACACCTACAAAGCTTGAAAATCCATTCTTGTCAACTACAAACTCTACCCCAGTACATAAATCAACCATGTCTTCAAACCCATTTGATGACAATTCTAAATCAGTCAATTACGACACACATATGGAATTGGTTAATAACAAGACAGGGCAAAGAAGAATTGTGAAATTAACTGCAAATCAATCAAGAATCAAACCAAAGAAATTGGATTTCTCCGGTATATAATTTCGAATAAAACACATTTTCTTAACAGGTTAAGGAAATTTCAAAATCTATCACAGTGTGCCATAGATCAGGGTAACGTCTACCTCTACATAGCTTAGTTTTTATTAAATATTCATAATACAAAGATTTGACATTTTTATACATATATTGTATTTGCAACAGTTGTAAAAAGTTTATAGGTTCTCTTGTATACAGGAAACTCCATTTTAGCCTGAAAATTTCTCATACACAAAAATATACCGTTCTTGTTGCCTTTGCAGTTGATATAACATACTACTGATTATACACCATTAGATATAATGTCAATTCCAGGATTTGGTGGTGGTGATACTTCCACTTTCCGTCCGGAAGATAGTATTCAAGTTGAAATACCTGGGTTTTCAGAGTGGAGATTCGAAGTTCCTCATAAAACTATCTTAAAATTTAAGATTATTGATGGGATTGGAGAAATCTTTGGAACTGAATTGCCACTTAATGTTGAATTACAACTTACTGGGGTTAAATATGCCATATATGCTCCATTATCGAATGGATGTAAGTTGGAATATACCACTTTACAAAACAAAGCTGTCATAACTAATGAAGATGAAGAAATATCAGAATATTTAAGTAATGAAACTCAAGCTCAAACAACTTATATCAATTTACATTTAGGTTTGGAGACTATTCGACAAGAAACTAGAGATTCTAATATTTTGAATCCAAAGGATTTGAAACAAGGTCCAAAAGTTTTAATCATTGGAAATCCTGGATCAGGTAAAACATCTTTAGCGAAGACTCTTGTTGGGTATGCTAATAAAATGGATAGTCGTCCTATTTTAGTCAATTTAAATCCAAGAGATGGTGTCTTTTGCTTACCAGGTTCCATATCAGCTACACCAATAAGTGATACCTTAGATGTTGAAAGCACAAATGGATATGGTTTCACTACTACAACTGGTAGTATGAATCATAATCCAAAACAACCCATCATTAAAAACTATGGATTTTCCGATATCAATCAGAATTTAGACTTGTATAAATATCAAATATCAAAGCTTGGTGTCACAGTCTTGTCCAGATTGGAAGAAGACTTATCCATTAGAAATAGTGGGATAGTTATTGATACTCCGCCTTTATCAATAAAAGATTTCACCATCATTGAAAATATAGTATCTGATTTTGAAGTGGATATAATAGTTATAATGGGGAATGAAAGATTATTAATTGATTTAAAGAAAAAATTCAAACATAAATTATCCCAATTACAAATTATAAAAGTTCCAATTAGTGGAGGTGTGGCTGAAGTTGATGAAGGTTTCATAAGAAGAAGTCAAGAAGAAACTATCAAGGAATATTTTAATGGTAATCATAAAACAAGATTATCTCCATTCAAGACTGATATCGATGCCAAAGATTTAATAATATATAAAGCTGTTCTTGCACTGGATATCGCATCCACGTTGGCGTTTTTACCTTCGGCTGATTCATATGCTGCTGATGAAGATGAGAATTCAGAAGTTAAATCGAAAACTGATGATAGTTTAACTAAATATTATTCATTATTGACTGAGCCAAGTTCATCCAACTTGGATAATTCCATCATGGCTATAACCCAGTTACCACAAACTAATAATCTGGGAAAGGATTTATTGAATACAAGTATAAAGGGTTATGTTCATGTTTCAAAATATGAGGATGAAAAGCATAAAATGAAGATACTACTTCCATTTGCTGGTGCATTTCCAAAACATGTTTTAATATCTACTAATATTGGGTTTAACGAATAAATAATTATCTTATAAATTATATATATAGCGTATGTATATCTTATAGATAGAATGTATTATAATTATATTACAAAACTAATCGAATGGAATTGGCTTATGATGTGTTTGATGTTCTGCCATTCGTAAACTTTCTGAAGCAGCGATAGCACTAGGAATCTTGATACCACAACAATCACCCCAAGGATTTGCAACATCGTGAAGATGGCCACAGTTGTCATCATGACCATGATCATCACTGCTATTTTCATCGTGTTTACTGACACCTTCAGGACACAAAATTATACTTCCAAACATGAAATGTTGTATGATTGGCAACTTGCCTAAAACTTCTGCCTTATACATTTTGATCATCCCTTCTTTTATCTTTTGCCATGATTTAGCAGCCAGAATATCATCTAACATTGGAGAGTGCCACCTTATACTGAGCTTTTCAGTTTGATTTTTAGGGATAGTTTTAATGTTGTTAATGAAATGAATACATTCTAGATACATGTATTGTTTGTAGTAAAGGTCTACCAATTCTTCGTTATGAATCAGTTTGGGTTTCATATGAGGATGAGTGGCTAATTGAGCTGATCCAAATAAGAATGGTAAGAAGTGATAGTCATCTAAACCCCAAACCCCATGAGATCCAGCTGGCTCTAACCAATATATTTTTTGTAATCTTCTCATGATGGCAATATACTTTGTAAAAACCTTTAATACCAAGGCCGAGTAGTCCTTCTGGTTAACTATTTTTAATTCTCTTAAGGATAAAAGGAAACAAATAAAGTTCAATTCATGACCTGAACCATAATCTATTCTGGTTCTGTTACCCCAAGCTTCGTCAAAATATGATGTCAACTCTATGAATTTGTCATTAGTTTCATCCAACAATGAAGATAAAAATTGCTTTGATTTCTGAGCAACTGAATCATAAAAATCTCTAAATTCAACTTTACCAAATCTCGATATGTTTTTATCAATCTCAACTGGATTTTCATCTATTATAACATTTACTTCATCTAATGCCTTTAAAATCAAATGAACATTCTCTGATGTATACACTTCAGCATCATTAGTTAAACCAGTGATCAGATCTTGCAAGTCAACAACAAATTGTAATATTAAATTGTATGAAGGAGACTCCACCCACTTTTCTAAGTCTTGTGGAGATACTATTCTTCTTTCAGGCTTTGGCATACTTGTGTTTTGAATAATCAACTTGTAATTAAATTGATCATATAGATAGTTTTCAATTAGTAAATAAAAAGTTGCCATATTTGTTTTACATGCAGTCCCAGTTTAAATACAGGAATCTTTTTCAAAGCAGTTATGGATTAAGATTTAAAAGTGCAACTGCTCTTAAAAGAGGATACTAAGGTTGGAGGAGTAACGATGAGTAGAACGGGTAAAGCTTTGACTAAGGCGTTCTATGAGTTTCCAGCTAGGAGGAATCAGTTCCTTCAGGAGCTTCAGACAACAGAAACGTTAAAATCACTTTGGGCAGCATCAAAGCAAGACAATTACCAGAAAATGAATTCAATCGTTACCATTCCAGCTCCAATAAAGTCAAAAGAAGACATATATGAAGAGATAAAGAATTCTAATCCTGAAATACTAGCAGTGAGCTTGAAATGGAAGCAAGGGATCGCATTTGCCAAATCATTAGCAACCTTTTACAAAGAAGGATTATCTAGAGTTCTGCAAGGAAGGAAACTCAGACGTTCCATATTATCGAATATGAAGCTAATTAATCAAGTCGATAGTAGAGGCAATGGATTATCTATCGGAATTAGAAATTTTAAAAAGTTAACTCTTGAAATGTCCCAAGTTTTGTATATAAATGATATTCAAAATTCCACTAAATCGCAAGAATTCATTAAACGGGAAAATAATAAAGACAATTTACCACTCTTCAACTTGACTAGAAGTGAATATCAAGTACTTAAACGAGCACCTTCAAATACCAACAAGATACCTTTGTTTGCGGTTTTAGCTTTAATATTCATGGAAAGCACACCATTATTGTGCTACTTTGTTCCCGAAGTAGCTCCTCTGACATGTGTTTTGCCATCTATATTACCTCTGTTGTGGAACGTGTCTGCCTCCAAGAAACTTGATGAAATAAGAAGCAAAAGATACGACTCAAATCGACTTGTGGATTTATCATTGAAAACTGCATATAACTTACCACTTGATGAAGCAAAGGTTCTAGCTAAATCATTAAGACTTGTACCTAGAATGTTGCCATCTGTACTAGTCCCGGAACTAGTTGTACGGAGGATATTACAGAACTATTACAATTATTTATTAGTGGATAATTATTATTTAAGTGGTGCTAATGATAATGGAAACATTTGGGATCTTGGAGAAGAAGAGTTAGTGATAGCCAGTTTAGAACGTAATTTGATTCTTGATCTTAAACTGGATTTGAAATATATTGGCGAGGGTAAGACATTAGAGGAAAGGAGGGTACGTAAAGAAGAATATTTAAAGAACCTAAGACTTAGATTGCTCGTCTTTTTAGTTGATTTTAAAAACTATAATATTGGATATTTAGGAGTAAATCATATGTTGAAATATCCTATTGATGAGAAAGTAATAGCTGAATGGAGAGACCTTCAATGGTAAACAGTATATAAATAGTCGCTTAAATTTGTAAATAGAAACTACAGATAATGAGTAAATACATGAAAAGCTGTATATATTAAAGTCTAACATAATGTATAATCGCTAACGACTGAAGCCAGTCAGAACCTTTTCTCTAAGAGAGTTATCGATTGAAGTCATGGGAGTAACTTTAGGAATTTCTTCGCTGACTGATTTCTTTGCATTTCTATCAATGACCCTAAATCCAATCAGTTCATTCGAGCTGTCATCCATAAATAAATGTACGATATCTTTATCTCGTATTATGATTTTTCTACCCTTACCTATAGTTTGTTCGCCCACAGCACATGAATTTGTACTAATGTCTAATAACTCTATGACATATTCTCCATCAGGATTGCTTCTAGATCTATGAAATATACAGTGGATTTTAGACATTCTATCATCATTTATCCAAGTATCACATACTTCCAGTCTACCAATTGAATGATAATTTAATTCATCCATGTGGACTGGGCTAGTATACATTGAGTCTTGGAGTGGCTCTAAAGTTAACCAAGTTCCCTTAGGATAAGTTTCTGTTGACACTTCAGCAATATTCAGCAATCCATTATTGCCTACTAATCGTTTCTTTTGTAAGTTCGTTATATTGTTAAATGCTGTTGAATTCCTGCTTGAGGAATTATCAATTTGAGATGCGAATTTTTGTTTTTTAAAGTTCAATTTTGAAGATTCATTTTCATTCTCATCATCATTACTATTTCTTCTTGCTCTATTCGGTTGTGAGCTTGATATATTTGGTTCATAAGGTTGTTGAGAGGAGGCTCTTTGTTGTTGACTTGCGGGTGGTGCTTGTGTTTGAGGTAATGGAATAACTCTCTTCGGAACTTTGAATGCGTTATTACCAGTTTTGACTTTCTTACCCTCTAAAGGCCTGAACATAACGTCTTCATCAATCTTACTCATAGATGCATCAATCGCTAAACCATTATCTATCTTCCTTGATTGTTGTGATTGTGATTGTGATAAACTTAAAGGTTTTTGCAGTTGAGATTCTTCGCAGTAAGCTCCTTGGATCCAATCATGGTTCAAAGCTTCATCGGCAGTGATACGTAATCTTGGATTTACTTGTAAACATTGCCTTAGGAAATCTCTACCTTCGTGTGAAATATGGTATGAATTTAAAGGTGCCTCATGGAATTCACCTAATTTGATCTTTTGAAACATCTGTGCTTGCGTTTTCCCATTAAAGGGTAAATGTGAGGTGAGTAATACATAGACAAGACAACCCAATGACCATAAATCAACAAGGGATGAATAATTTCTTTTTCCATTATCAGTAGTCTGTTCGTATTTACCAGTTATAATTTCAGGAGCCACATATGCTAAAGTTCCACAAAATGTTTTCATAAAAGTAGAATTATCACTAAATTTAGCTAAACCAAAATCCGTTATCTTGACCAAAATTGGATCATCTTGCATAATTAAAATATTATCTGGCTTTAAATCTCTGTGTGATATTCCCTTTTCATGTACATATTTTATTCCTTCTAAAATTTGTTTAGTTATAACTTGAGTTGCCTCTTCACCAATTGCTCCATTTGCAGCCACAAAATCCATCAAATCACCTCCTGGAACTAATTCCATTACTATATAGTAGTTATCCATATCTTCGTAAAATGCTTTCAATGCGACAATATTAGGATGATCCAACTCTCTCAAAATGGACAATTCTCGATCAACACCTTCCAATGCTCCACCACCTGTAGTATTCAATGCTTTTCTTCTATTTATAATTTTGACGGCAAAAGATTTACCTGTGGATCTCTCTATAGCCTTTTTCACAGTTGCAAAAGCACCTTGACCTATGGTCTCACTTTTAATTGTAAAATCCTTATGTATTCCTTCATCTTGAATTATTGAATTTTGATTTGAAGTTGATAGTTTAAGTGGATTATAACCATCGGAGAACAACACCACAAACTTTGCCACATCTTTCGGTACACCATTTCCTACCGATATTTCATCTCCTTGATTTAATATATAATTTGAACCCTTGACTAATCTATTATTGTTTAAATATGTACCATTGGTGGAATTATCTTGAATCCATAAAGACTTATCATGTTCATTTAACCATACTTTGAAATGTTTACTTGAAAGTCTTGAAGAAAAGTTCATTTTGAAATCACAATCTGTACCCCTTCCAATAACCCACTCCTTTTTACCATTGATAGTTTCTTTCTCTTTACCAAAGTCGAAGCATTTCAATTGACCCGTTGCACATATAAATCGACATATTAACTTCGAGTCAACTTCTCTACCATCTTGGGTTTGAGTTGGAGGTGATTGCTGGGTTGGTTGTGTTTGCGTAGGCTGGGTAAACTCCATTTAACCAATGACTGATGGTGCTAGCAACTGACTATGATGATATTGATTTGCTTATCAAACACCAAACCTTATATTAATTAGAATGAAATTTTTTTAGTCATTACGCGTTCTTTTGTTTTGGTTTAAATTTCCATGGAAAAATGGTCAGGTGATCTATCACGTTACCAATTATTACTATTTAGCAAAGGGTTTATAGAATACTATTGTATGTACAGAAGTTGCCTTTGATTCAATTAAAAGAATATTGTTAAAATAATTAGAAAAGAAATACTTCACTTGGTTATGAAAACTCTTCAAACTATTCTAGGTTTTAGTTATCAGCCTCTAGAAGGAATATAGAATATTTAGTCGAGTTTGGTTGAAGGTTACAGACTAGCTGAACTTGGGCAAGAATTATCAAACCCAAAATCGTACAATGTGGAGTTCATACCCCATAAATAAATGTGTATTTGTGTATCGGGCCTATGTCTGAAAAAGAACTTAAATCCCTAGTTCAATCCCGGTGGATAGCACGATTGTTTTGGCTTTAGGGTAAACTTGGACAGGTATATTGCCTTTCCAACACTCCTGTCATTAGAATCCTTAAATCGCGGCAAAAGTTCTTAATTATCCCTTCATTGTGTACTTAATAGCCTTCTATAATCATAATGATTTTCGCTTTTGAGATTTGCATCGCAGCTCTTTGAATGGTGGGGTCCACTTTAAAATCATACTCCAGTAAGAATGAAAATTATGGAAAATTACTCTAGAATACAATAGCTCGCCTCGGAAATCAAAGCCTGACAAAAGAAACCATTCGTTATGAATTGAACAAAATGTTTAAAGTAGTTCAAGTAAGACTCCTTTCACTATTTTTGGATCCAAGCGGCTTGGGCACAAAAATCATAAAAATTGCGCTTGGGCTCATAACCCTCACTAAAACAGATATAAAGCTACGATCCTGTTTATCGAACAATTGGACAAACTCATCATCTTAGAAAGTATGGGGTCAATAAAAACCTTAATTTGTAGATAAAGGACACTGTGATTTCTCTACCTATGATCTTAAAAAACTCAGCTATAAATACTTCAGATTTCTTTTATTTTCCAATGATGATGCAAACTTTTCTATGATTTAAATTTGAGTATCTTCAATTTGCTGCGAAAGCTCAACGAAATTTACTTAAAAATGGGAATTAAAGAAGCTTTTGCAGATGAAGTAGAATTTGCACCTGTACTCACGTTTTCAGAAGAAGATTTGAAAGACTCTCAACATGTTCTTACCACTATTGTATCCCCTCATACTGGGAAACAGGTGAACATTACCAGTGATGTTGATGAGGCTATGAAATATGCCATTGCAAATGCAAATTCAAACGTTCATTTAGATGCTGCAAGAGATAAAAAGTTACTTAGAAAGATAGATTTATACCTCATGCCAATCTTATGTCTATTATATTGCTTTCAGTATATGGATAAAACAACCAATTCTTATGCTGCTATTTTGGGATTAAGAACTGATTTAAAGATGGAGGGTACTATGTATGCTTGGACGGGTTCAGCCTTTTACATAGGTTATTTATTTTTTGAATTTTTTTCAGCAAGATTATTGCAAAGATTTCCAGTTGCAAAGACAGCTTCAGTGTTTATTATTCTTTGGGGTATTGTATTATGTCTTCACTCAGTGCCCAATTATACCGGTTTCGTAGCTCTTAGAACAATCTTGGGTATGCTTGAAAGTTCCGTTACTGTTTTTAATTTAATCATTACCGGGTTCTTCTATAAAAGAGAAGAGGTATTTTTCAGATGTGCACTTTGGTTTTCAAGTAATGGTATTGGTACTATTATTGGAAGTGGAGCTATCGCCTATAATGTTTATACTGATCAAGATAATTTCTCCGTTCCAGCTTGGAAACTTATATTTATCATCACAGGGTGTTTGACTATTTTCCTTGGATTTATTTTCCTTATTCATGTTCCCGACGTTCCAACCAAAGCTTGGTTCTTGAATGAAGAAGAAAGGATTTTAGTAGTCGAACGTATTAGACAAAATCAACAAGGGTATGGTAATAAACATTTCAAATGGTACCAATTTAGAGAAGCTGTATTGGATTTCAAGACATGGTTGATCTTTATGTTTGCTCTAGCCACCAATATTCCAAATGGTGGTATCACCAACTTTGGTAGTATTTTACTTCACGAAGACTTCGGATTTTCAACGCAAAAAACTTTATTGATGCAGATGCCTGGTGGTGCTGTCGAATTTGTGGGTTGTACATTATTGGCATACTTTTCAGGGTATATTAAGTCGAGAATGCTTTGGTCTTGTATTGGTACAGGTATTGCAGTTGCTGCAGAATGTATGCTTGCCTTCGGTTCAAATAAACACATTCAATACGCTGGGTTGACTCTCTATATGATATGTCCAATTGGATTTATTTGCTTATTATCAGTCATCTCCAGTAATGTAGCTGGTCATACTAAAAAGGTTACGGTAAATGCAATCTTTTTGATAGGGTATTGTGTTGGTAACTTAATTGGCCCACAAACTTTCCTACCACAACAGGCACCAAATTACCCAACTGCAAAAATTTGTATTGTGTCTTTTGGAAGTTTGTCATTGGTATGTTTGATGTTAATTTGGTATTCCTATTGGAGAGAAAATATTAAGAGGGATAAATTAACATCCGAAGCAGCGGAAAAGTTTGAGCTTATTGAGAATCATGAATTCGCTGATTTAACTGATAAAGAAAATCCTCTTTTCAGATATGCGTTATAAGTTAAACATACTTACTGGTTAAGATGTTTATTATATAGTTATTCATTTCATTTAAGTAGATATTGTTCCATTATAATATTACTTCTTTTATTGAAATACATATTCATAAGACTTTAATATACACAGCACGAACACCTTGCATTGTACTACAACATTTTATGAGCCTATCAATTTTGAATACTTATAAAAGAAAAAAAATTTGTAATTATAATATTTCTGAAGGAAATGCAGTTATAGATAGAAGAATTATAGCTCGCTATGATTCTAGACTAATTTACCTCAATTATATGCACCCCAGGAGTATTATTCCGAAGTCAAACAAATTGCGCCTGTTTCTGATAAGCCGCCTCTGAAATAAAGATAACAGCAACTTTATAATTGACTTCTCCTACACTCTAATTTGAAGTGGTCTTTAAGATAGAAAGGACTGAAGAGTCAAGAACAACTAATATTTAGATGAATAATTGTTCAACTCTAAGATTCCGTAGAAAGTGGTATCAGTAGATAACACATAGATTACAGAGATAAAGCTTTTAATTTCTATGTTACGCACCGATAGCCCTAAGGGTGAAAATAAAAAATAGTAACATATCCAACAGGTCTTCACCCAGAAGGGAAATTAATTCCTATTTATCTTTTTCTTTATCTTGATCTTCAACAAAAGGAATTTTTTACATCATTACACTTATTTATATTAGTTCTCTAAATCCTTGAGGTATTATATCGGGTTTAACTGTAAAGAATAACTGCTCATACAAATGATGGAATTTATTTTTTTGTAGGATTTAGATAATGATTGATTAAATGTGTTGCCGTCAAAGCTATCCATGGGCCGGAATCCACTCAGCGATGGCCGATTCTCGAGACTCGCAATATTTCAATTCTAAGAAAAGTATTCAAACCACTAATAAACATCATGTCTTGACATTACTTTGGTGTATAGGGTCCAATTTTGAATAATATACAAGATTAGTCATTGTAGAACTATAAATTGCTAATACATTAGGTGATTATAGTAAAATTAGCTGATCAAAGCAACTTATCCGGTAGGATATAAATTAAGAAGTGTGGAATTAAAAATGGGAAATTTTCCAAGTTTAATTAATTTGACCCCCCTGTCTATTTTGGGGCCGGCAATAGTAATTGTCCAAAAAAAAATATTTTTTGCGCTTGTGCTCAGAACCACACTTAAAATTGATAAGCTGCTAATTTTAAATGGTTAACAATTAATCAAACTTTAATTGTTTGAAAAATTATTGTGTCAACAAAATGATAAGGTGTGTCTGATTCCGCTATCTGATTCCGTTATTTAATTTAATAATTTTCAATATAAATATTACAAAGTTTTCATAAATCAAAGGTTTAAGTTTTGATCATTTCTGTTTTGCAGTAATAAACAACTTTAAAAAATGGGTGAAAAGGAAGAAAACACAGTTGAACACTTAGATCCAATCTTATCATTCTCGGAAGAGGACTTGAAGGACACTCATAATGTCCTTACTACTATTATATCTCCTCATACTGGAAAACAGGTTAAGATTACAAGCGATGTAGATGAAGCTATGAAATATGCCATTGCTAATGCAAGTTCCGACGTTCATTTAGATCCTGCAAGAGACAGAAAGTTGCTTTGGAAGATTGATTTATTCCTTATGCCAGTATTATGTTTGTTATACTGTTTCCAATTTATGGATAAATTATCAAATTCCTATGCTTCGATTTTGGGATTAAGAACTGATTTAAATATGGTTGGTAACATGTATGCATGGACAGGTTCAGCATTCTATATCGGGTACTTATTTTTCGAATTCATTTCAGTAAGATTGTTGCAAAAATTTCCTGTTGCTAAGACGGGTGCTGTTTTCATTATTCTTTGGGGTGTTGTTTTATGTCTCCATTCAGTTGCCAATTTTGCCGGTTTTATAGCACTTAGAACTATTTTAGGTATGCTTGAAAGTTCAGTGACAGTTTTCAACCTTATTATAACTGGTTTCTTCTATAAAAAAGAAGAAGTATTCCTTAGATGTGCTCTTTGGTTTTCCAGTAATGGGTTAGGTACTATTATTGGGAGTGGAGCTATTGCCTATAATGTTTACAGAGATCAAGAAAACTTCTCGTTACCAGCTTGGAAACTTATATTTATCATTACTGGATGCTTGACTATCTTCCTTGGTTTTATATATCTTATTCATATACCCGATGTTCCAACAGAAGCATGGTTCTTAAACGAAGAAGAAAAGATCCTCGTTGTTGAACGTATTAGAGATAATCAACAAGGGTATGGTAATAAACATTTCAAATGGAACCAATTCAAGGAAGCCTTATTGGATGTTAAGACTTGGTTGATTTTCATGTTCGCTTTAGCGTCTGATATTCCAAATGGTGGTATAACAAATTTCGGTAGTATATTGTTGAATGAAGATTTCGGATTTTCTACTCAGAAGTCCTTGTTGATGCAAATGCCACAAGGGGTAGTGGAATTTGTTGGTTGCTCTCTCTTGGCTTATTTTTCAGGGTATATTAAATCAAGAATGCTTTGGGCTTGTATCGGTACATCTATTGCTGTAGCTGCACAATGTATGCTTGCTTTTGGTAAGGATAGAAATGTTCAATTTGCTGGGTTAACTATCTATGCTTTGGCACCTATCGGTTTTATTTGTTTGTTATCTGTTATCTCAAGTAATGTTGCTGGTCATACCAAAAAGCTTACTGTTAACGCCATTTACTTAATCGGTTACTGTGTGGGTAACTTAATCGGTCCTCAAACTTTCTTAGCATCAGAAGCACCAGATTACCCAACTGCTAAAATTTGCATTGTTGCTTTTGGAAGTTTATCATTAGTATGTTTGCTTTTGATTTGGTTCTGTTATTGGAGAGAAAATGTCAAGAGAGATAAATTATCATCAGAAGCGGCTGAAAAGTTTCAAGAAATCGAAAACCACGAATTTGCAGATTTAACTGATAAAGAAAATCCTCTTTTTAGATACATGTTATAAGTTATGTCAACTTACTTACTGGTTAGGTGGTTGATAATATTCTTTTAGTGTTTATAGAATTTCCTTTTTTATCTTTATGTCTATGTTTATTTTCTTGAAAAATATATTAAAACGTAACGCAATGAATAAGTTAAAAGGTACTATGTAAATTCAACTGATCTCTTATGTAAGACTCTTGAGAGAACGAGTTAAAGAGGCGACTGGTTTAAGACCAGTACTTTGTTCATATTCATCATCAGAAGCATATTCTAATCTATTAAGTTCATCTTCTTTATCATTGTAGCCGTGGTATAAGAACCAGAAAACGCAACCAGCAATGAAACAAGAGACTGCTAATCCAGTATAAGTCCAGACTAATTTTGGATCTTCGGAAGTTGAAGCTAAAGCAATACCTAATGCTGAACCGACTGCGTTGGTGACTAAGAAAAGAGATGTAATAAATGATTTCATAGATACAGGGGCTTTGGTATAAGCATATTCTAAACCAGTAATTGAAGCAAAAATTTCAGAGAAACCAATTAATGCATATGCTGGAACTTGAATGGCAACATGAATATGATTTGGAACATTTCTATATTCTGGAGCACAAGCTTTTGGATGGTCGTAACAAGGTCCAGTTTGATAAATAAAGTGTTGTAAAACAGCAGCGTAAACCATAGCACTTGCAGCAAACATAAAACCAAAGAAAATTTTAGTAATGGCTCTGAATGGAGTAAATTTTCTAATGAAAGGATAAAGTAATCTTTCACAAATTGGGATGAAAATGATGATAGATAATGAATTAATTGCTTGTAAAATATCATTTGGTAAACCATGTAATTCCATTTGACCAGCTTGGGAAACGAAATTATTGATCATTTGACCGTAACAAACCCAATAGAATGGATAGAAAACAAAGACTTTACAGGCATAAAGAGCTCTTCTAACTTCTTCAACGAATTTATCAGACCATGGATAGTTATGTTCAGGATGCAAGGAAGGCTTGGCAGCATCTAAATTGAATTTGTTTCTCATAGCGATATAAACACATCTAAAGGTTTTGTTAACTATCTTATCGCCAACTGGAACCTTAACATATTGATTTTTACCAAGAATCAAAGCAAGAAGAGCAACGAAGAAGAAACAGAATGGTAATAAATAAGCAGCCCAGAAACCAACGTGATGTTCTAATTGGGTTGTTGCGATGACAGATAAAGAACCAACGTTAATCATAAGATAGAAGAACATGAAAACATTTTGGATAGTAATATTTGGATCAACGACAACTCTTTCACCTGATTTTAAAACCTTAATAACTGGTTTTGATTTTGGAACTTGATCTGCAATCAATGGAGAAACATTTGATTTGACAGCACCAGTTGCAAGACCTATAATGATTAGTGAGGTAACAAAACCACCCAAAGCAGTAGTTCTATTTGAAATAGAAGGAAGAGAGGTTACGAATAAAAGAAGTATACCACAAATATAGACAACAGCAAAGACTGTAATGGTCTTATATTTACCCCAGTAGGTATCTGATAACCAACCACCAAAGATTGGAGTAACATAGCACCAAAATTGGAAAAAGTATGATAAAGCGGTGGCACCTTGTTGATTCAAACCTAAAACACCCTTTGGAGTATCCTCTGGAGTATTTTGCATATAGTTTTGGAAAGGAGCTGATAAACCGTAATAAGAAAATCTTTCGGCTAATTCGACAACGGCAACTAACCAACATCTAAGAGGAATCTTATCAGAAACATGTCTCAATGTTTTCATTTCTTCAAGAGTTGGTTCTCTACCTTCATCATCATTAGTTGATATTTGACTACCTTTCAGTTCAAGGTTATCTGATGAATTTCTAGAATAGTCGGGGGTTTCTTTAATTTCTGACATTATTATATAAAAATGGAATGGCTGTTAAAAGTAGAAATGAAATTGTTTTTGTAATTGATAATTTTGGGGATTAAACGCATTTAAGTATGCTTAAAAAATAAAATTAACTCTCAGCCATCGTTAAAAAATGATGTCTTCTGATGAATATGAAGTTCTGGGGAAGGTTAGCTTATCTATCACCACTAAAAACCTTCAATGGTATCATAGAGCTTTAAAAGCTATATTAACCAAGACTATTTTGCAATTTAATCCCAACCATCCGTATGGCACTGGTCTCACAGGGCTGAAATGCCATATTCTACCTTAAATAAATTCTGGGCTGACGCTCTAATAAGGTATTAGGTATCCACAACCGCTCTTATAAATCAGGTTTGTTATCTGAAACTGCCAAGGACAGGAAACTATAAGGCATTTCAAACCTCTCATGATGACAAAATTCTTAGTTTAGCTGCTATTGTTTTTTTCTTGTTTCGCAAATTGCTTATTTTTTCCTACTAGGTTTTGTGTAATGAAGGGCTTTTACATAAAGTTGCAAATGTTATCAGTTAAACGGTAAACTAAGATCATAATATACTGTTTTAGTATATTATCAGTATGGTGCCATATCTACTGTCTTGATTTCGTAACTGCAAAACGTACTTTTGAACAAAAATTGAAATTAAAATTAAAAACGTTAAATGCCACTATATAAATTGTTGTATATACGTAAAAAAAGGGTATGCAAATGAATACTTTAAATAAACAAATAGTAGATAATAAAAAAAATGATGCTGGGAACTATAATAATACATTATGAGAAATCAAATAATTTAAAAGATTACTTAATTTAAGTTTTCGTTAGTAGATCTTTTTCTGGAATCTAGTTAACTCTAGGCAAGACTTCTAAGAGAATGAGGGAAGGTTGTAACTGGAACTAAATCAGCTTCCTTAGCAAATTCATCTTCATCAATGAATTCTAATTTGTTTAATTCATCTTCCTTATCATTATAATGATGGAAACAGATCCAGAAAAGACAACCTGCAATGAAACATGCACCGGCTAAACCAGTATAAGTCCAGACTAATTTTGGATCTTCGGAAGTTGATGACATAGCAATACCTAAAGCTGAACCAATAGCTGTGGTAAGTAAATACATAGACATAATAAATGATTTCATAGCAACCGGAGCTTTAGTATAAGCATATTCTAAACCAGTAATAGAAGCTAAAATTTCTGACATGGCAATTAAGAAATAAGCAGGAGCTTGAATGGCAACGTGAACATGGTTTGGAACATTAGCATATTGTGGAGCACAAGCTTTTGGATGATCATAACATGGACCAGCACTGTAAATAAAATGTTGTAAGACAGCAGCGTAAACCATAGCACTGGAACCGAGCATGAAACCCCAGAAAATTTTAGTAATAGCTCTGAATGGAGTGAATCTTCTAATGAATGGATAGATTAATCTTTCACAGATTGGAATGAAAATAATAATAGCAATAGAATCAATGGCTTGTAAAATATCATTTGGTAAACCATGTAATTCCATATCACCAGCTTGAGAAACGAAATTGTTTAACATTTGACCGTAAACAACCCAATAGAATGGATAGAAGACGAAAACTTTACAAGCGTAAACAGATCTTTTGACTTCTTCAACGAAATGATCATTCCATGGGAATTCCTTATCTGGATGTAATGATGGTTTAGCAGCATCCAAGCTGAAACCATTTTTAATACCGACAATGGCACACTTGAAAGTTTTGTTAATGATTTTATCACCGACTGGAACTTTAACATATTGATTTCTACCTAGGATCAAGGCAAGGACAGCAATAAAGAAGAAACAGAATGGTAATAAGTAGGCAGCCCAGAAACCAACATGAGCTTCTAATTGAGTAGTAGCAATAACAGATAAAGAACCAATGTTAATCATAAGATAGAAGAACATGAAAACATTTTGAATGGTAATATTTGGATCTTGAACAACTTTTTCACCTGATTTTAAGACTTTAATGATAGCTCTGGTTTTTGGAATTTGATCAGCAATTAAAGGAGAAACATTTGATTTAACACCTCCAGTAGCTAAACCAATAATAATAATGGCAGCAACATAACCACCTAAAGCAGTAGTTCTATCGGTAATGGATGGAAGAGAAGTAATGAATAAAATGAAAATACCAACAATATAGATAATACAAAATACAAAAATAGTTTTATATTTACCCCAGTAAGTATCAGCAATCCAACCACCAAAAATTGGAGTAACATAACACCAAAATTGGAAAAAGTATGATAAGGCAGTAGCACCTTGTTGATTTAAACCTAAAACACCCTTTGGAGAATCTTGAGGAGTATTTTGCATATAATTTTGGAAAGGAGCTGATAAACCGTAATAAGAAAATCTTTCGGCTAATTCAACAATGGCAACTAACCAACATCTTAAAGGAATGGTTTCTGAGACATGTCTTAAAGTTTTCAATTCTAACTCAGTTGGTTCTCTACCTTCATCTTCTTCAGGATTAGTGGAGAATTTTTCAACTGGTTTATCTTCATCTATAGAAGATGATTTATGATCTAATGAGTCAATTGGACCAGTTTCTTGTTCAGAAAGGTGCTTTTCTAAAGACGATTCTAATGGAATCTTTTCATCATTGATTGAGTTTGACATATTTTGATTATAGATTAATCGATAGGTAATCAACAAGAAAAAGACAAGAAAATCTAAGAAAAGCTTAACCAGAAAAATCTCTTGACCAGGGAATCAATCAATAATTATATTTATATTGAAAAATTTAGACTAGAAATAAATAAAAAAAAAGAAACTATGTCAAAAGCTTAAAAAAAAAGAAAACATAAAACTCCATTATTCCATCTCATTTGCGTAATTTAAAATGATATAATTCAATATCTGTAATTGATATCTTCCAATCAAGACAGCTAATAGCGGAGACCTAATTTAAACTCAGGAGCGGAGAAACATGAACACAGATGTATGACGCCAACACGCAAGACAAATAGTCCCACAAAGAAAGGTAAACGTAGCCAAAAATGATTAACCTGGTTGATAATAATGCTTAATTAAATGCTTCTGTCGTCCATTTTGGGAAGTTGTAAAATCTCGCGAGGCCATACAAACAAGGGAAAGGAAGCCATCTCTCATAGTTAAGCAAACAATTGAAATATATTTAAACTTGAAAAAATATAAGGCAATTTTTATAGCCTAATTAAGCAAATGGAATATATTTTATGCAACCTCTCTAAATTCCTGCTTCCCTCGCGATGTTACCAAAGGGCATTTTTCCTTCAGTGAGAAATATGCCGAAAGGAAAAAATTTCTTTTTTTTTAGGCTGCTTTTCCCGCTGTGAATGTCTATTTTTAGTGAGATCTTCTCGTTAGAAAAATAATAAAAGTCTCGCCAGCATGAAATTGGTCACTAAAAAATGGATACGGCGTTGTCATCAATTTTTAAACAATTATTTTCTTTGCTTTTCTCTAATTCCCTTAGAAAATAAATATTGCGCTATATTTAAATGTTTGATTTATTATGGACCAAACGTGATTGTATTCAGCTGACCAGAGCCATATCATAATTAGGCATCAAATATGATGCAGATGCATCCATTTCCAACGGTTAACCTGCTTTAATGGTGTAAGGAATGCCGTGATGCTTGCATGAAAAATTGCCCTGTTTATTCGTTGTGGATTGTAGCTTACAATTCCCTTTGTCGTCAATCCTCGTACTTGAGTAAATAATTTATTATAGTTCCATACCAAGTGTTCGTATTAATTAAATTGACATGCTAGATCTAGGGATCGGGTTGATGGGGGTTATAAATCGCCCTTCATAAGGTTGACAGGTATACTTTGTAACCTTGGAGATGATGATTCATGTCCTATAGCGGAACACTAAATTTTCACATTACTAATGAATGAATGTTTTACTGGAGTTGGATTCCTCTTCTGAGTTGGTCCATTTAATTGTTCATAGTGTACAAAACTATTTTGTAAGATGATTTATAACCTTGTATTAAAAATTTAAGCTTTTAGCAATCAACTATTATATTCTTTATATTAAATTTTACAAAATCGTAGACAGGGAATCTTACAAGGTATTTATATTAATGAGAGATTCAGCCTAAACCACAATTAATCTGTAGTTATATCGCCATTATCACTAATCTATCATAAAAATTCCCCCTATCAAAGCAAAAGATAAGCCAAACTATTACTAACTTTTTAATTAATTAACTAAATTTAAACCTTAGTGGCGCCAAAAAAAAATTTTTAGCGATCCATCTCATGAACGGCTCTAAATATTTTTCTCTCCCTAAAAATCACTACCTATACAACTATAATTTTTTAAAAAAAGAAATGTGAATTTTAATTCATCTGTCCAATTTATGCTGCAAATTATTTTCAATAATCTGAGTTTATCTAATAATTCTAATTGATAATTTATTGATGTATTTATCTATTCTATTAATATAAAAATGTATCCAAATAAATACATAAATAAATAAGTAAATAAGCAATTACTAAACCACTTAATGAACTGGCCAGTAACCTGGGTGAAGGAAATGCATCTTTTCTAACAATTCCTTTTTGACACCATGTGGACTAGTACTAACGGAGAATTTCATTGATCCAGTCAAATCATCACCTAAACCAGTACCTTTAGCAAACTCATCAGCAATAACATCGATTAACTTAGCAGCTAATTTAGCAGCATTAGCAGAATTAGCTTTCAAGTTACCAACCACAGTTTCAACAGTGACTGGTTCTTCATTTTCATTCCATGAATCATAATCAGTAGACATACAAATCATTTGATAAGCGATTTCAGCCTCTCTAGCTAATTTACCTTCTGGTAAAACAGACATATTGATAACTGATCCACCCCAAGTTCTATAAAGTCTTGATTCAGCTCTAGTACTGAATTGAGGACCTTCCATACAAATAACAGTTAAATCTTCACCTTTATTGGTGTTTTCCTTAGTATGGAAAGTTGGAGTATGTTCTAAATCAAATCCTTCTAAGAATCCATGGGTTGGAATATGATCACTAATTAATTTATTTAATTTAAGATCAAATGGTTCACCAAACATAGCATGAGCAACAAAACCTTTTTCAAAAAAAGTAGAAGGTCTAATGCCTTTAGTTCTATCAATGATTTGAGTTGGAACCACAAAATCTCTTGGTTTGATTTCAGGTTGTAAAGATCCAACGGCAGAAAAGGCAACAATGGCTTTAACACCAATATGTTTTAAAGCTGCAATATTAGCTCTAGATGGAACATCAGATGGTAATAAATCATGATGTTGACCATGTCTGGCTAAAAATGCCACTGGGAAACCTGAATCAGTAACTGAAATAGTAATTGGTGAAGATGGAAAACCCCAAGGTGTTGAAATAGTTAATCTTGCCACTGGGTTTAAGTTTGGTAAATCGTATAAACCAGTACCACCGATAACAGCCAAAGTAACCTTTCCATCATAATGGTGAGGCAATTGAGCTAAATCAACTTTATCTCTATGTAAGGACATCTTTGTTAATAATTTTGAAAGGTTAGATTTAGGGATATTAAATCTTACCATTCACTAATTCAGGAAGGGAGGAAGGATATGTTGATCAATTTATAATTGAAAAATTTATTATTATTATTATCGTAATCGAGTCGGTGCACATGGGTAGTGTGCGTAAAAATTGTGGCAGTTTCTAAACTGTAAATCAGAAATATAATCACCGAGTTTACATGTTAGTCACAAACTGCAACACGTGAATTAAAACTGCAAATTGACTCAAAACTTTTTCCGCCTTTTTTTCTGCTGACTACTAAGTTTATTATGACAACCAAAAATAACATAACGATCAAGTTAAGGGAGCTATCATATTTTACTTGCTTTCTAATTATACCGACTTAAAAATCATGTTGTCTGCTAGTATAAGGAGGTCTATAAATAGAGTTCCAGTACGTGCTGGCAACTCTATGTTTATTCATTCGTTCAGATCAATTTCATCAAAACCTTCGTCTTCTAAAGATGGCGAATCTGCAGTCAGTTCTACAACTGCTGCTATAAAGAATCAAAAATCTATACTGGCTTTCCCTAAGAAAAGAAGCAGTAAAGTTACAGCATCAGCATCAGCATCAGCATCACAAGCATCATCATCTGAATTGAATGCAAGTTCTGTTGAAGAATCAGTACCGAAACTGACTGGTAGAAGTAAGGGGTCAAAAAAGATTACTGATCACAATAAGAATAAAATATTGAATTCGAGCACCAATACTGCAGCAAGTCCAATTCCAAGCTATTTACCATACTCTGCATTACCTAAACCACCACAATCGGTCCTTGATAAGTCATTACTGGAATTATGTACCGAAATGGGATTTGGTGGAGCTGATGTAAGTCCTACAGTTGAATTCCATGAATTAACAGACACAGAAGCTAAAGTGAAGGGATTTGAAATACCTGATCTTTATTTGAAATCCAAAATGGATGGACTAGTCACTGATATTGATCGTCAAATAGTAGATGAGATTGATAATATTCTTGAATTAGATAATGATGTGGAAATAGCCCAATCACAAATGAAAATCGTTAAATTATACTATGATCAAGAATCAAATAAATTAAAAGAGGTACCAGTACATTCATTCAAGACATCATTACTGGGAATGATCAATTTGAACCCTGCTATGGATGAAATTGATGACGATTATTTATGGCAAATATTCCCTCGTGGGAAATTATTCGGATCATTACCATCAGATACCCATGAAGAGATCAAAATGAAAGAAGAAGAGATTCAAAAGGCCAAAGAAAACAACGAAGAGTTTATTGAATGGAAAGAATCCCTCACTGATTCCAAATCACTTTATGTCAAAGCTGGATCTCGTAGAAAGGTCGATCGTAAATCAGCTAGAAATTTTAAGAAGTTAGATAAAGAGGATAAAATTCCAAAGGCTAATTTTGTAGTTATCAAGCATGGTTGGGATAAGAAGTAATAGTTTGATTTCTTTTAACGAGTGTTTTTACATGTTTTCATTTTTTCATCTTTTCATTTACAGGTAACTTTCACATGTTTGCCTTTGGTTTTTAATCGTCTTGTTTATAGTTTTTTTAATCGGTTATCGTCATTACAGAATAATTTATAATAATAATGCATTTTTATATTCATGTTACAATGTTTAGAATGAATTGTAGATGCGTATATATCTCAAAAAATGGTTCATGACTATGCCAGTAGGCATTTAACTATTGCTTTTGATTGATTGTTTATATTTGTTCGTTCGTAATTCTTCATTATCTTTTTTAAATCGTTTTTGATATTTTTCATTGTTTGTTATGTAGTACTTTTATTCAATAATGTTCAATTCCACATCTCCATATCCGTATTTATGTTTATTATCCTCATATACTCGTTTCAACTCTTCCACATATAGCTTATGATAATAATCTAATAAATCTTGAGGGATTTTAGTCTTAATGGTTGATCTTTTCGGTTTATCATCAACTATCTTAAACAAATTTGAAAATGAATCCTTTCTTGATACTGATTTCAAACTTGGAGGAAGTGGTAAAGAAGTGTCGTTTGGATCTTCATGACTTGTATGAACTGGAGTTGCCTTTTCTTCAAAATCAGGATGTTCAGCTTTATATTTTTCCAATGTACCACTAGGAATATGGATAGGTTTACCCATGCAAACATTGATAGGATTTCTATAGGATAAGAACCCAAAATCATATATGAATACTCCTCTAGCACTAAAAAACGGTACTGTGAATTGAAAATTTGTTTTCATCCACTGTTGGAATGCATAACCCCAAGATCCCGGTTGAGGAATGGTTAATTTATAAAGATCAGCTTCACCAAATGCAAATGTAGGAACAAGAGATATATTACCTAATTCAATGGCTAACTTAACAAATCCTTTCCGTTTATGTAAAACCAACTGAATTTCCTTCTTCTTTGTTGGTTCTCGATCTTTACCACCTTTGAAACCTTTACCAACATTATTATGGGATCCAACCATATTATTTAATAATGATTCTTGAGCTCCACCAACGACAATACAAACAGAATTATCACCATTATTAATTAAACTTTTAATATTCTTAGCAGAAGCACTGGTTAAACCCAAACTTAATAAATAATCTCTATAGAATGGTAATGTGAATTGAGTAGTTAAGGTTAATGGGAAGACATGACCAATACCTGGAAATTGTCTTACTCCTTTAGTAGGATCATGAAATAAGGGTTTTAAAAATTTTAAAGGAGGTTGAAATGGTTCATTTCTAATGGCATTGGTAGCGAATAAACCCATACAACCCATTGATATGACACCATGAGGATGATAACCAAAGATATAACGTGGACCGGTAGAAACTCTTTTGAATCTTAAAGGAGGTTTCCTTTCAGCATTTGAATTTGTGGATGAACCTGAAGAAGTCAGTGATCTTGATGATTGTGATCTTGAAGTTGAAACATCCTGTGAAGTTGGAGGAGGAGAATAAGAACTTGAATCATTAAGTCTTTTTCTTAACCCTAATCGTTTAAATACCACATCTATTAAAGTACGAGAATCTTCAGAAATTAAATCTTCTTCATCATCTGAACCTTCAAAATCTTCTTCCACCAATACTTCTGAAAAGGTAGGTTCAAAATCAACTGATTTATGAACTCTAATGGGGAAATAATCCACAAACCATTCCCAAAGGATCATATTTGTCATCCAACTTCTAACTCTATAAACCACTTTCCCATTCGAAGGAGTATGTAAATCGAATCCATACCACCAAATAAAATAAGGTAATATAATCGCCAACCATACTATCCAACCTAGTGAGACAGAAAGAAGAAATAAGCAAATGAAAAAGGGTATAGATATGGTATGCCATATAACACCCAAAGTTTCCAATCGTTGACGAAGTGGTGTATTCAATGGAGCTATATTGATATTGACATATGGTTTTGATTTCTTAGTTGAATCTGGTACTGATTTTGATGACAATGATGGAGTAATCTTTTCTTGATTGCCGCTGTTCGATTCATTTTGAAGATCAGTACTAGTACTATCATTGACATCTATACTAACTTCATGTGTGACTGAATCTTTATCATTTTCAGTGGTTTCTCGTACTATACTTTGATCGCCTTCTTCATCTCCACCTTTTCTGTGTCTTAAGGTTTGATCTGGATAATCCTGTACTGCACCCATGGCTATATATGTTCTAACGAGACAAGGATTAGATGCTGACACACTGTTGCCTTCTATGAATAACCCCTTAGACCAGTGTGTTTCTAAGATTTTTGTTGGAAAATAATCAATGAATAATTTATGATATCATTTCCCTGACAGGGCAAGACCAGCAGCCAGGCAGGCAATCATGATGATTCTTTTCTAATTACGCTTTCGCATACAAAAAAATTGATTCAAAATTACACAAAAGCGAAAATAGAGAAAATAAAAAAAAAATTTTTTTTAAGAGAAACTTTAAAACTGGGGGGGAAAGAGGAGTAGGAAGGGAGGGGGTGTGATACCAAATAAGGAAATATGTGTTTGTATACCCAGAGGATAATTGTCACAAATGTTTATTAGAGTTAGTTAGGAGTTATCGTACAAGATTAAAAGGAAAGGAGTTATTTGTTTAGTCCAATTTTTGACAGGTATAGTCAAACTAGACAAGTCTACTTTTTAGCAATCTAGCAATGTAACCAACTGATAGCAAATCTACATGTGGTACTCCCTAGAAATCAAGAAAAAATAATAAAAATCTAACATGAATGGAGATCAAAATAATAGCAATTAAATGAATTATTACAGTCAGACCATAGGTATTATTCCTCCCACCCTTGATAAAACTATTCTTTAAAAATTTCTAAATCTAGTTACAATTTCAATCAATGTTTATTATATTATATTCGGTTCGTTTTTTTTTATTTAACATTTTTTTTTTTTTTTGGATCTCTTATTTTATATTGTGATATTTTCAATCTTTGGTTTGAATCACTCTATCGATACGATAAATTCGTTATACCGGTTAAATAGAAACGAACAATTATTTTATGGCTAAATGTCCTTTAACGCGAGGAGATTTAATGTAAATCTTCCCTTGTATTCCGCTACCTTGATAAATTCAATATCAAACAAAGAAGACTTAATTAATCAATTCCTTATTGATGCAAAATAATATCAATAATTTAGTTTTTTTTTTTTTCTCATAACGAAAGTACTATGAAACCTTAAAAATAGTATTATTATTATTATTATTATTATTGTCTACAATATGAGAATGTGTTAATCAAGAAATTAAAATGTGGGTATCAATTCAAAAAATAATAATATAACTGCAATTGGTTGATAACTTTTTGCTTGGTGAAGATCAATCGCTCATACTCTCCTTCAAGTCAACATATTCACAAAAATGGTGAGATTAAATTTGTATTTAATTATCATTTTGAACCACGGAAGAGTGGTTCTATGGTTAATTACATCTCCCTTCTTCCTTAATAGTGGTTATGAGTCTTTCAATAATATCAAATTATCCCCTTTAGTCCCTTATTTGGAAGTAAAGTTTTCCATGAAAACAGACGTATGGATGTTTGATAAAAGTTTTCATAAAGTTCGAGGTATGGATGTTTTATGGTCGTGTACTTTTGTTCGGTGTTTTGTTTTTTTTGAATTTTTCTTTTTTCAGAATTTAAACGACTATAGCGGGATCATTTGGCTGTAAAACTAGCTTATACCTATCATTTCCCACCAATCAAGCTTATTTTTGATGTCAAAGAGGAGAAGAACCAATAAAGATGATTATGAAAATGATTCTGCATCTGATAGTGAAAGTGTGACGCCACAGAATGGTCATTCGAACACGTTATCTGATAATAATCAAAAATCATTCTATTATATAAAACCCAAGGTATCTCAAAAGAAATCATCCCAAGTTGACTTATCATCCAAATTCACGACTTTATTAAGTTGTTTGATGGGGTCTAATACAAACTATCAAGATTCAAATAGTTCAAAAAGACCAAAACGCGCTGATTCAAATATGTTTATTAATTTATTCAATGGTAAGGAATCAAATGAACAAGTCAATCGAAGATTTGAATTATATCAACATTATTGGAATTCACAACATAAGAAGGTAGATGATATCTTAAACAACACTAATAAACAATTATTCCTTCAATTACAAAATTTCATTAATAGAGATCATCAATCTAGTAGATTTAATAAATTACCCTTGGGTTTCTTACAATTAAGTTCGAATACCGCTAATAATTTAAGAATTTTACAAGAATTTAACAAGTTTTTAACTTTGGAGAATCAAAAATCAGATACTGAATTCGATTATAAAATCATAAATATGAGTTCAAAGCATTGTTATCATATAAAAGCTACGTTAAGAGAACTTGTGAAACAAATGTTAAATGCGATAGAGAATGGTAATAGCAATACTAATATGCCACAGAGAGTAGGAGACGATAATGATGATGATGAAGAAGAAGAAGTGATTGATGATGATAATGATGAAGTAGAGGATGATAATCAATATCAAAGTATAAATACGAAAGGGAAATTACAATATGATTTAGATATGATTGAAGAATGGTATAATGATAAGTATAATCAAAAGAAATCGTTACGTTTCATTATAGTCCTTCAAGATACAAACTCGATCAGTAATCATGTCATAAATCAATTAATCAAGATCCTTTATGGTTATAGATCTACCTTACCGTTAAAGTTGATCTTAGGTTTATCAGCTAATAATATCAGTAATTGGATTAATAATAATTTTAATAACGAAATTAGGATATTAACTAATGGGTTTAAATTCAAATGTAATGATAATAGAACTTTGGGTTATTTGATTTTAGAAAGTTTATTCTTAACCGATATGGATGATGAAAATTCAGATCAACCCTTAAATTTATTATTGAATTTTAAAACTAGTACTATTCTTTTATCAAGATTTGAAAATTCAAATAATTCGATTGATTCATTAATAGCTGAGATAAAACTTTGTTATATGATTCATTTTTATAATCTGCCATTAAGTGCATTGATAAAATATGATAATGTTAGTGCAGAGTATACCAATGGATTAAAGAAATTACCCTCTTTCAAGAAGTATATTGAAAGAAAGATTTACGAACATAAAGTGGATGACATAGAAGAATTATTACAAGATGATAATGATGATAGGATTAAACAGTTACTTATTGAAAAGAGAAAGGATTTTATTAATTATATCAATACGGTCATAGGATATATTAAAATTCTAGATAAATTACAAACATTAGTTAATTTTGAACCGAGAAAGGAACATTTGGAGTTATACAAGTTGATAATCAGTAATAGTGCAATCCCCTCATCTTCAGCTACGACTTCAGTATTCATTTCTGAATTAGTCGGTCAATTTGTTGATTCAGATAACTTTGAATCCAATTTTGCCGCATTAAGATCATTTTTAATATCCTATGATAGTGAAACACCTGTCATATTAAAATTAAGATCATTGATAAGTGGTAGTAGTGCAAAGGATTCAGGGTTCAAAAAGTTATTGACTAACTTCTTTCAACCTATTTCAACCATGGAATCGTTACAAGATTTCTTATTTAATGAGATATTCACTATGAATGGAGGAATTGTATCACAAAGTTCTCAACCTATTAATGAAGAAAGTTATGAAAATTTAATGATTAATTTAATAAGACCAAATTTAAGATCATCGATTGAATTAGGATTAGATAATTGTTCAACTTATCTTAAGAATCCATTCTTTTATAAACAATTGAATGAGAAATTATCCAATTTAAATCCTATCATAACTCAATTATTTCGAGTTTATAAAGAAGCTCCAACCACCATTAATGTTTTTGATTTTTATATGGCCTTCAAGCAATCCTTGAACAAGAATGAAATTAAAGTTTTGATTGAAAGTTTTATAAAGGATGAATCATCCGATAAATATATTCAAACTTTAGATATTGAAAATAATGAAGATGATTGGAATAAACTTACATTTGCTTGGTTTGTACAGAATTGTCAAGAATTAGTCATGATGGGATTATTGAAAGAAAAACCAAAAGGTGATCATTTAGAAAAAGTTATTTGGAAAGGGATTTAGATATGTGTATAAATGTCAATTAAAAGTATATATAGAGTATTACAAAAGAAGGATTATGAATATGTAGTACAGTAAGCGATAAAAACTAGAACTATCCTTCGAGATTAAATAAGTCCAGCAACTTCATCGTTCTTAATATTTGAATCTTCAACATCAGAGTCAACATCGGCACCAGCATCAAGTTCATCAACCTTAGATTCAGCAGTAGATACACCACCTTTCACTTTTCTTAAATCAGCAGCTTTATCTTCATTTTGTTTTTGTTTTTGATCAAATTGCTTTTGCTTTTGCTTTTGTATTTCTAATAAATCTTTATCTTCTGGTTCAGTATTTTGTTCTACTTCAGCATCGGTTTTATCATTCAACAAACTATTCCCTAAAGTAGTACCAGCACTGCTGTAATAATCCATAGCTTTAGAAATCATTTCTTGAGATCCACCTTTACCAGCAAAGGCAGTGATCATCAATATCACAATGAAGAATGCTAATATTATAAAAATTAAAAACTTCAGTGATCTGAATAATCGATTGGAAATGGCAGTTGAATTAGCAATCATCTTAGCTCTATTTGTTTAAATTATATCCACGAGGTTAGTAATTCAAAATGTAAGTTTGTCACGGGTTTCTTTGCTTGGAATTTAACAAAAAACACGTAATACTGATATAATACAATAGATCTATAAAGGATCGGCTGTTATGGCTTGGTATCATCAGACCGTGTTATCAATTAATTTTTCTTTTCTTACAATTTTTGTCTGTCTTAAAAAAAACACGATCCTGCATGGTATACGGTATTTACATCGGTGATTCAAATAAAAAAAAAAGTTCTATAAATTGTCATAAAAAATATGAATTGGTATACATACATATATACATGATTGAATGATGATTATATGAGTGGTGATGTCTTTACTACCACCAATTGGTCGAATCCTTTACCTTAGGGTTATATTCATCATCCAATTTCTCATTTAATTTTTGTTGTTTCTTTAATAATGATTCCTTTCGCTTATTAGCAGCTAATTTTTCCTGTACTTCTTCATCAACTTGTGGTTCTTCTTCAACAAAGCTAAGAGTATATTTCTTCTTTCCTTCCTTTTCATCTTTCTCAATTTGAGCATAAGAACGATAATCAACTTCTTCCATCCAAATATCACCTAACAGACCGAAATAAAGTTGTTCTTCTTCAGAATAACGGATAAGAAATCCTTTAGCATCAGGCGAATCACCAGTTCCAACTGAACTATATCCACACCAGGTATAACCACCACAATATTCACCCATGTTTAACCATGCTAAATTTGGTTCTCCGTCATTATTATCATCATTTATTTTTAAATGAGGTGGAACAATAGCTGATTTAATAATTAATTTTGATGTAAAGAATGCTTTGAATTCATTTAATGTTTTAATATGGGTATACCTCTTTTTAACATCAAACTCCCCTTCGAAATTTACTTTTGGAAGTTGATTACAAAACACAAAACCTGAATTGAACCATAACAAACTATGATTATCTTCATCGTTAATATGAGCAGGATGATTTGAACAAATTTCTTTTCCTTTGAATTTATGAGCTTTTCCAATATCCAAAATTCTTTCTGAATCAGGAGTGACAATACCAATGGCAGCAGCAAAATGATTATTAAATTGAAATGATTCATCTCCCATCATGGCCATACTTAACCAAAATAATTCCTTATCACCATAAAGTCTTGCTTGAATTGGCATATAGAAATTCATATGAGCCATAATTAAAGCTTGATCAAAATGTTTTCTTCTGTTGATTAAGACTAACCCTGATTCCATTAAATGATTAACACGTTTAGAGAAAAATGGTAATTTAAGTGTCAGTTCTGTGATTTGAGGTAAATTAAACATAATTTCATCTAATTGATTATTCATTAATTTTTTAAAGAATTGAATATCACTATCTGGTCTATATTCAACGGCTGATCTATCCTTATAAAACAAAGTTCCATGTTCTTGATACTTCTTTAATTCGAAGAATTGAGCTGGTGGTTGAGTAATTACTACATCAGCATCTAAAAAGATCATATCTTCAAATGTATTGAACAATACTGCCAATATTTTATTTCCAAATCCTCCAAATTTACCGATAAAATCATGAGCTATAGCACGATTAACCTGAACAAATGTTAAATCTTGTTTTCTTAAACTATGGAATTTTGAAGTGGTGGATTGAAAAATTTGATATTTTGATTCTTCAGATAAAGTGGTTGAATCATAGATGATTTGAATAGGTAAATCATTGTCCAATTGACGTAATAAATGCATCAATCTGATGGTATTATCGACATGACTATCAGCAATGGTTAAAACTATACCTTTACCTCTTAACTTGGCCTTAAATAAACTTAAAAACGATTGTGTTGAATGGAATTGAGTATTTGGAAGTATTTCATAAGTTTTACCATCTGAAGTTTCAAAAAGTGGAGATTTTTGACTTAACCATGGATAAATTAAAGTTTCCAAGTAATGTTCATTATGATAGTTTGGTTCTATAGTCAATGAATTAAATAATCGTTCAGGAACTTTAAATGATTTGATAGTATTCTGTTGTTGATAGATAAAGGCATCTTTTACAATATCATTATCAGAAAGATAACATTTATTAAACACTTTCAAATGAGTGATGAAATCATGTAAACCTTGATTATCTTGATTGATATTATTTTGAATAGACGTATAATCTTCAGATAATTTTTTCTCTTGTTCAACAGTTAAAGTCTTAATATCTGGATTATCCTTTTGAAGTTCTTCAATCATATCTTGTTTAAATTCATCCCAAGTTCTATAATGACCTCTATTAAAGTCGAAACTTTTATGAGGAGCCACGATTGGATCCCCTGATTTATGATTACCATATAAACTATTAAAGTAAAGATTACAACGATCTTCATAATCTAAATTCAATAAAATATGGTATAATTTTTCATTAAATAATGATCCAGTATCATTAATCTTTAAGATTTGATCATAAACATTAGAATAAACATCTGGATCATAATAAAGAGATGTATCTTCATCAAATTGATAGATTGATTCTGTTGGAGTTACATTAAAGAATTTTGGGTATTTTGAATTGATGAATGTTTTGAATGAATCAGAATCTATGGTAGGAGCATAAGTTGACATATTATATAAATCATTAAGTTGAGTATTGGTTCTGGTTGAAAGATACCGGGTTTGGATCCAATACCAAGCTACAAGAAGCCATATTATCATACCTACTCGTATGAGCAGGGTTCTATACTTTCTTGAAGATGGAGTTAATATACTTGTCAATGCCATGATCGATTAGCTAATATGATTTGAATAAGTCGATGTAGTGTGATATCGATGTTGTTGAATCAAATGATTTTCAACAATGCGGCGCTAAAATTAAAATACGTAATAGCAGATAAGAAATAAAGCAATTTTGACCAGATTCGTTCCCCTCTGGTATGAAATGGATGGATCGATCAACGATATCAGTATCAAGACCTGATCAAACTATGTCTTATGGAACTTATAGACGTTTACTAACCAAAATAAGTCTAACAATCAGTTCAAAATAATCTCCAATTAAGGGAACAATGAACACCACTCAAATTTTTAAAATCAAAAACAAAAAAAATAAAAAAATTGTTTACCTTTCCTGTATATATGATCTCCTGTATATTAAGTTCTATTTTTAAATTACGGTGTTTGGACAAGGCTATGGTCTCTGAATACAACTCCTCTTCGTGTTAGGGGTATCCCTTTATTATAACAATTTATCAATGGGTTGATACGCTTACTGCTTAGTTGTTCTTCAATTAGAGGCACTATAATGAAAGAATTTGATATCGACCGTATATGTCAATTCCGGTCACCATAATGTATTAATCTCACCACAAACAAAACAAAACTAACTATGACAATGTCGTTCTACTTTTGAAACGACATGGGGAAGTCACACCCCGTGTTTTTCGCGACATTTTGCATCAGACTTTTGAAACGCGTCATCAATTTTACGATTATTTCAAATTTAGGGGGTTATCACCAGATGAGCTGAGCTTAAATTTGATAATGATAACTTGCATTCCCCCAATTAATTCAAATTTACCAAAATTATGGAAGGTTAGACTAATATCTATAAAAGTATTCAAAGTTCAAATTACAATTCACCGACCAATAGACAATAATCTTGTTTTGTACATTTGGTGCCGTAGATTTAAAAATATTTTTTGCTCCACAAAATATACAGATAGAGCGTTTTTGATAGCCGCTAACAACAATCTCTAAGGTTTGTGTCTCTATTTTGATCTTAATTCAATTACGAATTTAAGAGGCTAATCATTCCTCGGCTAATCAACGATTAACCATAACCTTAAATTATGTTTCCTAACGACTAACACATTTATCAAAGGTTATTATTTACATTGGGTGCATTTGAAACATTTTGAAAAATATTGAATTAAAATTATATATAATTAAGAATAAGAAAATACTAAAATAAATAGTATATAGTTAAATAATTTAGAATTGAAATAACGATTGTAGAAATACATTTATATAAAACCCACTGAACCCTGGAAAATATGAAGTCTTAGAATCTTTTAAAAATACTAAATTTATTCCATTCGTGAAGGTTAGCTTAACACCAGAAGTTCCATAATCTGTAGTATAAAGGTCTGGAAGCAACGTAAGCCTTTTCTTCGGCAATTTCTTGTTTTAATAAATCTAAATCTAATTCTCTTCTACCAGTATCAATATCGATATCCTTGGCTCTGATGAATAATCTCCATTCTCTCTTCCATAATTTGTGGATAATCCAGAAAAAGATAACAACTGGAGCACCTAAGTAAGCCATGAAGAAATCAGCAGCATTTGGAGAACCACCTAATGGGAATAAGGCAATCCAGAATTGAGCAATTAAAACAAGAATAATAACTAAGACACCGTAAGCAGCACCATAGACACCAACTTGGGAAGTCCAAGCGATTTCATCAGTAGTTCTACCTTGAACATATAATGCTCTTCTGAATCTAATTAAACACATATTAATTGAACCCCAAGTAAATAATGATGATAAACCAGATAAAGCTAACATCCAATTGAAAACAGTATTAGATTGATTGGAAGCAGTAATGAAACATAATAAACCAAAGACACATTGGACGATAATACCAGCTAATGGTCTACCTTGTTTATCAATGTAACCAAGAATTTTTGGGGCTTGACCAGAAGCAGCTAAAGCAGCTAAAGTTCTTGAAGAACCGAAAACTGAAGAGTTACCGACAGATAACACAGCAATCATAATAACTACATTCATAACTGAAGGTAAACCAGAGATACCAGCATCAACAATAGATAACACGAATGGAGAAGCTGAAGCATCTTCAGAACTGTTGGCAATTAATCTTGGATCATTATATGGAACTAATAAACCGACTAAAGTTAAAGAAACAACGTAGAATAAAGTAATTCTCCAGAAAACTTGTTTGGTAGCTTTTGGTAAGGATTTTCTTGGGTTAGCGGTTTCGGCAGCAGCTAAACCACATAATTCGGTACCACCGAAGGCAAAAGCAGCAGTAACGAAAACTGAACAAACACCTTTGAAACCATTGGCAAAGGCACCTGGGTTTTGCCAGTATTTACCACCAATGTAACCACCTTTTGGACCACCACCGGCAGCTAAAATTATACCTAAAATGATATAACCTGACACAGCTAAAACTTTAACAATTGAGAAAAAGAATTCAGCTTCACCATAACCTCTAACACCGAAGAAATTAATAGAACAGATTAAAACATAAAAGATAACCACAAAAGCAGCAGAATTAGTGTGGGCATCCCAATATTGAATAGTGATAGCGGCAGCAACCAATTCCAAAGGTAAGACAACTAACCATTGCATAGCATAATTCCAAGCCATAGAGAAACCCCATGATGGTTCAATAAATCTAGAATTATAGGTAACGAAAGCACCAGCAACTGGGAAAGTAACAGCTAATTCCCCTAAAGATTGACAGGTACAATAGATCATAGTACCAATGATAATATAAGCAATAATAACCCCAGCTGGACCACCCGTACCCAAAGAAGAACCGGCACCAACGAATAAACCAGTACCGATGGCACCACCAATAGCAATCATTTGTAAATGTCTATTTTTTAAAGATCTTGAAAGTGGAGAGTTAGCAGTCATAATGGCAATTTTTTCAGTATCTGATAAATTTGGATCGAGACCTAAATCAGCAGCATCAGCTCTTTTGAAACCATCAATGATTTTAGCAAAACCGGTTAATTGTGGTTTATCATCAAAGGCATCGATGTAGACACCACCGTTCTTTTCGGTAGAAGAGCCATCAGCAGCAACTTCTCTTGATCTGATATAATCTAATTCTTTTTCAGGCATTGTTGATTGAAGATAAAGATAATTATAAAGAAAAACAAAAAAGAAAACCTAAAACAAGAAATCAAATTGATAATTGAAAATAAAGGATACTTTGGAGGATATATATATGAATGAAAGTTTGAATTGTCCCAAAAATTTAAAATGAGCTCGACAAATAGAAACCGGTAAAACTAATTAAAATAAAAAAAAGCCAAAAAAGAAATACGATAATTTATCAAAGTTAATTAAATTAAATTAATATCAAAAATAAAAAAAAAAAGATTAAGGTCAAATTGAGAGAATCGCCCTTTTTGATTATGAAAATCAGTAGATTCACTGGGTTCATAAAGCCTTGATTAGTAGAAAGTATAAAATTGATTATGAAATTAAATGGAAAAAGAGGGCTACAATATTTTGATTGTTTTTATCGCAGCTTCCAAATTAGGAATTATGCCAGACAATTTAAAATTTCTTTTTTTTTTGTCTGTTTAACTTTGGTTTGTGTCTTAAAATTTGAGTTCTTATCAGTGAACTTTTTATCGATGGAGAGTTTTACACCACTGCACGACCTAATCTTAACCTGTAAAACTTTTATAACAAAGTTTTGACAAAAAGAAATTCTCAAATCGCCGTACCAGTATCCCACTGCGAATCCTTTTATTATAGTTTCCTCCCTTACAAAAGTTATGATAATAGATTATTATCAATTACTACATTATATATATACAAATTTCTATACGGCATATTGTACTTGATAGTTTCTATTCTATGTATTTGGGGTATTTTATGAAGTGGAGATTTTACATGTTACCGCTAATAAGACGAACATTGTATGATTAATATCAAATAAAAAGAAAATATAGAATAGCAATTAAAGCTGTGGTTGTTCAGTAGACAACAGTTATTACAACATTGCAACAGCTTCACCAGAACAATTACCCCACATATGTTAATGATTTTAGTTTTGATTTACATTTCTTTTTTGTTAGTTGTTTCAAAGCTTATGAGATGAGATGGGATTGATTAACTGATAGATTGACATACAGAACAAAAAACAAACCCTAATTACTAAATTAATCATCTAATAAATGGAAATGTCACTTAACTCTGTGATTCTATAGTATACGGTTTAGAAAATAACCTGAAACCCATAATAGGTTTTATCTTTCCCACCCACCCATTTTTACAGGTTAGAGCGATGATACAAAATTAAAAAAAAAAAAGAAAAAAAGAAATTTATGATAAGGTATAACCTGTAAATTTTGCCATCAAATAAGGCTTTTACCCTCTAAGATTATTACAGGTTTTACTTCGATTCTTTACAAAATTAAATTAGTTAGTTAAGGCATTTCTATTATCAAAGAACTTTTTGATAAAGCTCTAAATGAACTGCAAACCAATTAGGCTAATATCGATAGATAAAAGAATAAGACAAACCGTATGACAATAATGTAGATATATTATTAAATTGTCCCCTACTACTGTTTAATTCCATATTATTGTTCATTTACGACTTTAATGTATGCGATGAAATTGAATACCAGCTTATTGCTCGTATCTTAACTATAGCGCTTAATTTTTATGTAGTTAAGGTGCAACTCTTATCACCTATTTAAAATTATTTTGTTGTTGTTATTATTACTTTACCACAGTATCTGCTTTATTATTTTTTGACATTTCATTTATTTTTCTTTACCTGGTTGGTCCGTCAAGAAGTTTTTCGACAACATCATCTCAATCTTAACAATTTTTGACTTCTGGTGATGCCTGTTGTCTTAAAGTTTGTAAAACAACCAATTTAATCTTAAAAATAAAAATTCACAATTAGATCCTTTTTTTGTATAATTTGTTCTTTATCTGCGGTACCTCTTAGAGCTTTTTATCTATTCGGAAGTCATAGTTCAGCTATTGTAAAGAATTAGTTAATTCTGTAAATTTCGTCTTTGACTATCATATTTCCATTTAAGGCTTTTTTGCCTTATTTTTCTGTATACTTATCTTCTTATCTTTTTAGTCTACTTGCTGTACTCCCTAGTCTCTTTGTTTCCTTCCATTTTTGTAATTGTTCGTTTTTTTATTTTCTGATTATTTATCCGCTTAGCTTCGTTTACTTGTTTCAATAATTACCATTCTCATAACATTTCTTAGGCGATCGTTTGCCTTATTGTAATTAACTGTTTATGATGGTATTTCAGACTTCTTGATAATCATAATTGATTCTATACAGTAGGTGCCTAACCTGTAAAAATTGATTGTTAAGAGATTGTCCGCAACTCCGCGCTTAAGTTTTTTTTTTTCGTTTTTTCGGTACATTAAGTCAAGAACTTTTTCTTAACTTTTTGACATAGTCTAAACAGATACATTTTTCTTATGTTGAAGACCCCTTTATTGGACGTCTTCTGTTCTAAAAGTCTTTGACCTGTTCTATATATCTTCTTGAAATTAATGAAGAACTTTGAGAAGGTAGCGTGTCCGTTGTAGACAATTAAAGCTTAAAATCTACTCGTTTAAGAACCCCATACATAACCTTTACAGCTTAAAAAAATTAGTTTGTTTGGATGGAAGTAAACATCCGAATGCGTCAATATTATCCGGACAAAAATAACGTCCTATAACGGGTAAATTGTGCTACATTATCTTTCACCAATTTTGACTTCGACATAAGACACTAGTTAGATTGTCGATTTTAAACAACACTTTATACTTTCTCTTTAATGACATACAATTATCTCAAGCTATTTGTTGATGGTGTACCTTTTGTGATTTATAATTCACAAGATAAATCTGATCATCACTCGTAATTGAATGTTGTTTTTTTTCTTGGGTAAAGATTGAGGCAAGCGTTTAAAGTTTAACCTTTTTAAAGTTTGACTAACAATGTTCAATCATTGCGTATGATAAAGTAGGTCAATGATAACTTTCCCCAGACTTTGTAATTCAAGTATATTTGATTAGTGATCCCCCTCTCTGTTTCCCTTTTGAAAATGAATAGGTTTGGGGTATATTTTTGTCTGATGCCGTGCATTCTAGACTGTGATTGTTGAAGAAGGGGGAGAGTTATGTTGTTACACATTTACAAATAACAGCAAAGCGCTCAACCGCTTCACCGATATAGGAGCAAGTGGGGATCGCAAAGGAATGGTAAATTGATGTATGTACTTTGACGACTGATATCCAGATTCTCAAAAGGCATCACCCTGGGCTTTGACTATTTAACAAGACAATAAAAATATTTTTCTAAAACGCCGTTAAGATACTAGCTTTGTGTAGTTTTTGATTGCAAAACAAATAAGAGCTTACCATAAATTTTTAACAAAACTCCAAATGACGAAAATGTACAGTGAGCCATAGTTGTAATTCGACTCAAATAGATCATACAATGTTGCAAAAAGGGATCGTACTGATCTTCAACCTTTTTTTTTGAATTTTCATGTAGCGGAGTTTCTGAAGCTAATTTAAAGTTAGTTTTCTCGTATATTTATTTTAACTAATATTTTAGATTTTAGTAACTACCATTTATACAAGTTACAACTTGTCCACCAACATATACTACAACTTCTCCTTTATCATCGACATCAATGGTTACTGAAAGTTTAGCATCTCTTGAAAGCTTAGCCCCTTGTTTAATAGAGATTTTAGATTTAAGTTTATGTTCTTTTAACACTGATCCAATATAAGCGCCAACTGCTCCAGCTCCACTTCCACATGCAGGATCTTCTTTAACACCTTCAACAGGAGCTAAATTTCTTAATTCAAGACTACCATCTTCGTATTTACCATAAATACCATAACCAGCCCAATCATATTTAATACTCAAATCGCTGATTACATCGTAACTTGGATTTAAATCTAATACTGATTGACCTGACTTCAATTGGAATGTTAACCATTTAGGACCATCATCAATTAATATTGGCTTAGTAATAATATCATCAACTTTAAGATTCAATGACTCAGCTACTTCAACCAATTGTTCATCTGAAATCGAGGAGGACTTATAATATGGCAATTTAAATGAAAGATAAACTTGTGATAAGTCATCTTTAGTAGTGAAATTTTCCACACTGATTTCAACTATACCAGCTCCACATTCTGGATAAATTTTATTTTCACTATTTGGTTGGATCTTACCAGCTTCAAGTAAAGAAAAACAAGTACCTAATGTTGGATGACCTGCAAATGGTAATTCACTTTGAGTCGTGAAAATACGAACTTTATAATCGGCCTCTGGTTTGGTTGGTGGTAACACAAATGTAGTTTCTGAAAGATTAGTCCAATTAGAAATTGCTTTCATATCTTCATTTGATAAATGAGTAGCATCAAAAAAGACAGCTAATGGATTACCTTTGAATTTGACATTAGTGAACACATCCACTTGTTTGAAATCAGGCATTTTGCAACTTAGTTGACTTTAAAGTTAAGTTTTCGTAAATTCAAATGATACAAATTGTTGTCTTTATATATTCTTTTTCAATTTGTCGCGGCTATAAAAGGCAACACAAAAGCTTTGAACTATCTCCTGGAATGAGTAATTTTTGTATGAGTCAACTATAGCTCCACTAAAATCTAAACATCAAAAAGGAACATTGGCCACTCAAATTATCACATTGTGGTTATTGCAGCCGTCTGTGTGAATAATATTAGCTATCGGAATGCTAAGCGATATATGAATATCGGTAATCTTGCTTTTATGATCTTTTTTTATTACTATATATTGAATTTTACAAGATTTTCGCAACAATTATGACTCGTTTTTCTGAGAGATATAACATAAACTTAAATTTAAGAAAATGACAACTAAATCTACAGTTTAACGTACTGAATATTTCAAAATCTAATAACTTTTTATTCTAATTACAATTAAATAAATATTTTAAATACACTTATAATTTTTTAGCAACTCTTGACCAATCTTCGAATTCTAATTGACCATATTGAATTGATTTAATCCAATCTAAGACTTGTTGAGTCAAAGGACCGAAATCATCCCCAGTTGGAACTTTAATATGTTGTTCTCTGAATTCAATATTGTTAACTGGAGATACAATGGCTGCAGTACCAGTACCAAAAATTTCTAATAATTCACCATTATCGGCTTTTTCTTTAACTTCATGAATGGTGATTTCACGTTCACTAATGATCCATTCATCAGCAGATAACTTTTCTCTAGCTAAACGTAAAGTTGAATCTCTAGTAACACCAGGTAAGATAGTACCATTTAATGGAGGAGTAACTAATTCTTTTTTATCACCTTTCTTTAAGACGAAAAATACATTCATAGCACCAACTTCAGTAATATTACCTTGTTCACCGAAAAGCCACAAGTTTTGATTATGCCCTTTGGCAGCGGCTTGGGTTTGTGGTTCAATACTAGAAACGTAATTAGCACCTAATTTGAATTCACCATAACCCTTTGGCCAAGCTCTAACAGCATATTCAGTAGCTTCTAATGAAACTGGTTTGAAATCTTTACCGAAATATGGACCAACTGGAGAAGCAATAACATATAATAAAGCTTTGGTTGGTTTAGTGACACCTAAACCAACAGTGGTACCAATTAAAGTAGGTCTTAAGTAAAGGGAGTAACCTTCACCTTGAGGAATGAATCTTTTATCAACTAATAAGAATTGATCAATAATTTTCATTAATTCTTCATTATCGAATTGAGGTAAAGCAGCTCTTTTAGCTGATCTATTCATTCTTTCCATATTTTTGTTTGGTCTGAAAGTTCTAACGTTACCTTCAGCATCAAGGTAAGCTTTCATACCTTCGAATAATTCAAAAGAATAATGAAACACAACTGCGGCTGGATCAAGTGATAAATTATGACGAGGATTAATTCTTGGAGCACCCCAACCATCTTCTTTAGACCATTCGATTTCAACCATATGATCAGTGAAAGTCTTACCAAACACTAATTCTTCCTTTGGTAAAGGTTGAGTTGGAGTTTTAGTTAACTCAATAGTTAATTTAGATGCATCTAAGGACATTATTGTGGAGTATTATGGTAAATGAAGTGAAATGAAATGTAAATTAAAATGAATTAAAAAGTGGGGAAAGCTATTATACGTATATACCTACAATGAACAGGTATCTTAAATCAAGTAGAAAATGAACGTTTATTTATAATTATAGTCAAGTTAGACTTCGCTGATATATTCCAATGAGTCAAAGTCAAATTTTTCAAATTTTTCAAATTTTTTTCTTCTATACGCCTTTTTTATTGCTTTTTTCCCTTTCTCGGTTACTGAAGGGAAATCTGACCATAATAGAAAATATGCGATACTATGATTAGATTTGACAGTTGTGGAGTAGATATATGACTCTGAATTATCAATTTATTACACAATTAAGGAGTTCATACTCCTATGCTTGCGATCGCGGTTATATAGGAATCACGTTGAAGTATGTTTACGTCTACATGATTCGTGTAAAATCTTCATTTAAGCTATTTTGTATTTTCTTTATTATTATCAACTACGTATAATGTATGTATATGTGATCTAAGATTCAATCTAGATTGACTAAATTTAATTACTTTTGATATTCTTCAGGATAGAAGATCAATCTTTCCACACCTGACTTAGTCAATATAACCATTCTAATCACCCCACCAGAAGAACCATCCCATTTAATAGCTTCACTTAATGCAGTCTTTATAAATTGTACACAATCATCCTTTTCCATTTGTGGTTTATAATTTTCATTACACCAACCATAGATGAAGGTAGAACCACTACCTGCTATAGCATATTCTTGTTTATGTATGGATCCACCAATTGGAATTGAATAAACTGAACCACCATTCTTAGCATCATAACCAGCACAAATTATACCAGCAGTTAAATGTTCTTTATTATTATAACAAATTTCTTGAAATACATTAGCAGCAATTTGAGTAGTTGGTTTTTCATTAGGAGGTAATTGAGCACTATAAATTTGTAAATGATATTTAACCATATCAGCAACTGCTTGAGTATCAGCTGCAGAACCTGATCTACAACAATATATGGTATCATGGATTTGAGTTAATTTATCAGTAACTCTATTAGCAATATATGAACCTGTCGTTGTACGAGAATCAGCTCCTAATATAACACCATCTTTAAAATTGACGGCCATAATAGAAGTACCCAAGTTAACTTCACCTTTCTTTAAATGATTGATATCGACTTTAATTCCATTCATATTGATGAATTGTATTTATTGACTATAATTAAATGGATATGAAAATAGATTAAATCGATTGATAATCTAGCTTATGTATGCAAATAAATGAATTGATTTCAATTGAATCAGGTCGATTATATGAAGGGATTGATATTATAAAATAAGTAACTTGTTCTATTAATAGAAACTACTAATTAATTATCAATGAAGATATATTTGATAATGATATATTCTTCTTGATAACCTATAATGTATCAATTGAATCAGATAATGTGAATTGTACTAAATATCTATAAAGTCTTATAGATTCTGGTTTCGATACTTGTGTTTGATGAATTGCCACTCATTCTTTTTGTTTGGTAAATTTTCCAAACTCAAAAAACTAGTCGTGTGAAAAGGTCATAAAAAGTTAATCACGCGATTAAAATCACGCGACTAAAGTTTTGTCAATTTTTGTCATCTTCATTTTGAAATTTTACGACAAACGAAGTTGAATTTTATTTTCCATAACTGCGACTTTAAATAGCGCATTATTTTTTATGCGCTTCACCCCCCAGTTTCGCCAAAAATGAAAGTGAACATTTAAATTAGTTTAAATCTTCGAAAGGCGGGCATATATTATATTAAATTTAATACTTCTATTTCAATTTAGCGTGTTCGAGGCTCTGGTTACTGCTTAAAAATAATTATCGCATTTAAGAAAAACATAAGTTCTGGGGTCGTCTTATTAAGGAGTGACAGGTGACGAACTGCCATTAATTAGGCTCATAACCAATGATAAAAATATTACACTTCCTTCTTGTATAGATACTCAATACTTAATTATAACAATTTGATTAATGCTTCAGTATAAGTTTTGATAAACTAATAAAACATTGTACCCTGACTTTATCTGCATACTGCAAATATTGATCTAAAAAAAATTTGAGTTAAAAATAACTTCCATATAGCAAAATAGCAAAAGAACAATGAGTATAGAAAAAAAAGAAAATAACAATCACATTTAAGCGATAATTAGATAAAATGTGGGTATTTTCTCTCGTAATCGAATTAAAAACGTTTTTAGATACTCTTTTTCTTCCATTCTGTCTTCTATCAAGTCATTATACAAGTTTAGAAGTTACAATTATAGAGTTTCTTAATAGAAAGATAGACTAATCGAATAGAGTTCATTTTGCAAAATTGAAAAAAAGATTCAGTACCCTTTTTCGTTGAATCTTTGTTATTTTTTCTATCGCTAATCGGGGGTCCAATAAAAGTTAAAATTGGGAACTTAAGGGGATTTAATAAGCAGATCAGATCGATATCATGGTGTATATGTATAAGGTGATACTATTGATCCTGACGTTGTTAGGAAATGCTCTTCTAACCCAAGGGTACCCATTATTTGATGAAAGTCAATATCTTACCAAAGACGAGGCGCAATATTTAGTGGACGATCCAGTACTTACTCATAAAGTTATTTTTGAAATAAGTCAAGATTCAAAACCGATGGGATCAATAAAGATAGCGTTGTTTGGTAATACTGTGCCAAAGACAGTCAAAAACTTTATTGGATTATCTGAAAAGGGTCCAGGAGAAGGATATAAGGACTGTAAGATTCATCGAATAGTTGAAAATTATGTTCTTCAAACTGGAGATTTTGAAAAGAAAAATGGATCAGGAGGATATTCAATATTTAATACTCCATTATTCGATGATGAAAATTTCGATATAAAACATAATAAAAAGGGTAGAGTTTCAATGACAAATAATGGTAAGAATAAAAATGGATCTCAATTCTTTATAAGTTTATTGCATAGAGCTTATCATTTGGATGAAAAATACGTCTCATTCGGACAAGTAATTGGTGGGTTTGATACCATACAGGCTATTAATGTGGTTCCATTGGATGATGACAATGTTCCTTTATTGGACATTTATATTACAGATGTCAAAGTGATTAAAATGAAATTTAAGAATAAAAATATTCAAATTTTTGATAGTGATGATAATAGTCAGGATCAGAGTATCAATAATGAAGATTTAATAGTGGTGGATGAATTCATCCCCAATCAAAGTTGGGTATTAATTGGATTTTTTGGTGCTATAGTCTTAACCTATATATTGAGATGGGGTTGGATAAGGACATATAAAGAAAAGCATATTCATTTGAAACATCCGCCAGAATGATCTCCTAGTATCAGAAGTATAACAGGATAGGTCTTATATAGATTATATAATGAATAATGTATGGATTTTTAAAACATTGGTTTAATTTTATTGTTCTAAAGATGGATCATCTATAGTTTTTGCAAACAAAGCAATTTTGGGCCACAAAACCAAAAACAATATCTAAAAAAAATTCTGAGTGTTAGAATTCATCTAATGAACCATATCAGTCAAACAGTCTTTCCTATATCTAATGTCCAAGTCATCAGATTTCCCTATAGTACACGCGAGGAACATACCGTTTGGTACTTCCACAGAATCATTATACGAGTTGTTTTCCAAACATGGTAGTTTGAATCAAATTCGAATCTCCAATCAAGACAATAAGAATGATTGTTTTGTCATTTATAATAATTTATCCATTGCCAAACGAATTGTGAAAGAGTTGAATGGGATCAACTTCAATGGTAGATATTTAATCTTATCCCTTTATGCTATCGATAAGTCTAAGTTAACTGATGATGATATTACTGCTAGTGGTGATGTGGAGTATAAATTACGTCTTGATGAGTTAAACAAATTAAAACAACAACATAATATCACATAAAGATACCAATTACAACATTTAATCATTACGAAGGATTTATTTATTCATTCATTTTAACCTATAGTGGTAGTTTTTTTTTGTTTTGAAGCTATAGAGATATCTATGTATTTTATTATAAAAAAAAAACCTAGAAGAAGTATTGTACATATAATACCACCTATGAAGAAGCTGATGATGGAGCTGATGATTGAGCTGAAGCAGGAGGAGTTGAACGCTTCTTCTTATCAGTGATAGATAAATCAATTAATGATAAACCATAATAACTGATTAAAGCAATAAACACAAATCCTGAGATTTTAGCAATTTTTGAAATATAATCTAATTTAGTGTATTTGAATTTAATAAGAACATTCAATCTACTGGCATCATCGAATAAATCTTGGAAATGAAGAGTTACTTTAGTATGACCCTTTGCCACATCAAGATATGATAATTCATTATTGACTGTGATTGATTTGATATCAATTGGTGATGAAACATTTATAAATTGAGAATTTTCAGGTAAATAAATATTCAAATAAGTATTATTATAAGTTACATCTCTAATAGCATTTAAAATTGGAACTTTTAAAATATATTCATCTTCAACTTGATTAACTTGATGTAAGAATTCACCTAAATTTTCATTCCAACCTAAAGTAAAATTATATTTCCATTCACCAAAGATTGGGAATCTTGGTTGTAAAATTAAATAATCTTTTATAAATTGATGAGTTGAAATAACACCAACTAAATCACTGAAATAATAATTGGCAAATTTAGAATAACTAGTTGGGATTTCAAGATGACTTAATGCAAAATGATTTCTTGTACCTTGAAATCTACCTTTTAACCAATCAACTCTTGAAAATCCTGTATTCAATTGAGCACCATTATTAGTTAATTCATAGTATTCTTCAATTGATAATTGATCGACATCAGAAGCTGGGATCCAAATAGATCTGTTTAAATTATGAACAAAGGTTAATGGTCTATTATGTTCATATAATAAACCCATTGGACTTAAAGTTAAAGGAGAAATTTCGTCAAATAATGGACCGTATTTCAAAGTTTTACCTTCAACTTCAGGTTTTAATTCAGGTAAATCAGGAGTAATATTTAATTCATCAATGTTTTCCACTAATAATTCCATTTCTTGACCTTTAGCAATACCACTAAAGATTAAACTATAATCATCACTTGCATAAGCAGAATAAGGAAATTTATTACCTCTATATAATAAGGTTTGAACTTGTTCCATACCAATTTTAGCAGGTAATGGTTCTAAAACATTAGTATAGACATAAGTGATTTTCAATTCCACGTTAGAATTAGGAGCGATTGGAGTTGGGAATTTAACTTTAAAAAGTTTATGAGGAATGATTTCATCATGTAATACTTCAGTTGGAGTAATTGAATTAAATATAGCAAATGAAATAAGGGAAAGTTGAGGAATTGAATCGAATCCATCATTCACTATGAAATAATATTCATCTTGAGGTTTATCCCCCGTATTAACAATATCAATAATATCAAGTTCCTTAACATATGATTTAGAAAGGTCAATTGTTCTTGAATAATGAGCGTTTTTCCATGAAACGGAATCATCTATGGATTCAGTCAAGACAGACGAAGCTTGGATAAGGCTACCAAACCATAATAATCCCAATAGGATACTTATTCTATTCCAATTGACCATCATCACTTGAACTTTATGACTTGTATGATTCAATAGTTGGTGGGTTGCCTTTTAAAGGGCCTGTGTTTAATTTTGTTCTGTTGTTCAAAAAAACGTCAATTTTTCAGGACTGTATACAACACACACGTGATTAAATTTGATTAAATTTGTTTGATTATTGCAACCACGCGTACCCGTACAGTTCGTCTCTGTATGGATTAGAAGTTAATTATTCTAAAAGGGAGGATATAATGTAATAGATATTAAGTCTGTTTAAAGCAGTTGAAGGTCAGTGATGAGAAAGTTATAATCCTGTTGCCATGTCTTTTTTTAGCAGAATAAATTGATGCTAGTATGAATGACTGTTAGATAACTGATGACTGTAGTTTAAATTTTCGCCACACATAAAAAGTCAGGGATAAGAATGATCTTTAAAGTAAGTTGTTATACCTACTTCGCAGGGAATAACAGCTTTCCAAATTTGTTATATATGCTATAATTTGAAGTGAGCTTAAATCTGCAATAATCTTATTCATTCACTTATCCTTTGATAGTAGCAAGAGTGCTACCATGTTTAGCATAGTTAACAGCATTATACGATTTTACAGTGTAAAAAGAAGGTTCAGCTTTACCGCTCAACTCTTCTTTTATTTCATCATGGGTATCGTTCTACATTCATAATCTTTAAATAAATCACTAGATTGATCTTCAATTTTCAATCAAATCTTACAAAATAGCTACTTTATCATCAAATCAAGAGAGTTTTAAGTTTAAAATAATTCTTATTTTTAACCTTTCTCTCCCTCAACTAGTTATATACTTTCTCTTTATATAAATTCTATAGTTTTATAGTATTTTAGAGTAAGAATATATAACAAATTTGGAAAAAAAAAACAGTGTACAGTAATTAAATGTTATATATATGAATAACTATGATTAAGTAGCTCACAATAATGTGAATATCATTGTCATATAATCATATGAATCGGATAACTCCATCTGGTTAATTCCTTTCTAAATAATTTATAGATAAAGAGCAAACTAAAGTTAAAGTTACACAAAATATCAGCCTCATTTTTCTCCAATTAAAATTGTCAATTTAGAAACTGTTAATGAAGAGTATCATTGATAGTTTACATGATATATAATAGATTAATAACAAATGATCATTATCAATTGATAATGCAAATATAACAAGTTGTTGAGATTAACTCATATTATTAAAAAAACAGAGTAAAACAGATTCAAAGTCATCAACAATTTTGAATAGTGGGGGACGGAAATGTCTGATTTGGAAGGCAAAATTTTGCAATTTTTATATAAATAGACACTAAATGATTTCAACTCTATTTCATTATATTCTTCCATTTTCTTCTATATTGTAATTCGTACCTGCTATAACCAACTCTGATACCGATTCCAATTGGTATACAATATCATTTCTTGATTATAACACTACTTAAACTTAACTTTACCGTCTCATTCCAACATTATTTCATAAAAACGTCTGTTTTTTTTCTATACTTAAAATTTTCAAATTTTAAATCTATTTTTTTTTTGTCTGATTTTTTTTTCTTAATTGGAGAACGAAAAAAAAACATCCTGAAATCAAAACAATAATCATTTACAGCCAATTCCAATCAACCAACCACAATCCATCTATTCCTCAAGTTCATCACACCATCCATCCATCTATCATCAACAGCGGCATCTTGATAGTGAGAGTCATCCTAGCTTCATCCAACTGTTCATCAATTCAACCATTTTGTATCTTATTCAGCCGCAACGATACACCTTTCCCTTATACCTATAAACGGTAACTTTTTCTTAGATTTAGACACCATAAAATTTTAATAACTATTCAATCTTGTTTTTAGCAGCATGTCATTTCACGACCTTATCCCTGTGGTCAACAAATTACAAGATATTGTAACTACTACTCAATTATCTGATTTAGACTTACCTATCTTAGCCGTGGTTGGATCTCAATCATGTGGTAAATCGTCAGTATTGGAAAATATTGTCGGTAAGGATTTTTTACCAAGAGGTACTGGAATCGTCACCAGAAGACCTTTGGTGTTACAATTGAATCATGTCAAATATGATGATCCTATCATTAGTAATGGTTCAAATGATTATCAACCACAATCATCTCCATTTTCATATTCATCTTCTACTGATAATGATGAAGAAGGTGAAGTTAATTTAGAAGATCATTTAAGAAAACATGCCAATGGAGGGAAATATCAACCTCCAAGTGAATGGGGAGAATTCTTACATATTCCAAATAAAAGATATTATAATTTTAATGATATTAGAAAAGAAATTGAAAATGAAACTTTAAGAATTGCCGGTACTAATAAAGGAATATCAAGATTACCGATCAATTTAAAGATTTTTTCACCAAATGTATTGGATTTAACCCTTGTTGATTTACCTGGTTTAACTAAAATCCCTATCGGTGATCAACCAACTGATATTGAAAGACAAACTAGAAATTTAATTTTGGAATATATTTCAAAACCTAATTGTATTATTTTAGCAGTTTCACCCGCTAATGTTGATTTAGTTAATTCTGAATCCTTAAAATTAGCCAGACAAGTTGATCCAACTGGTAAAAGAACAGTTGGTATATTAACTAAATTAGACTTAATGGATCAAGGTACTAATGCTCTTGATATCTTAAAAGGTAATGTTTATCCCTTAAAATTAGGATTCATCGGTATTGTTAATAGATCTCAACAAGATATATCAGAAAATAAAGCTTTAACTGATAGTCTTTATGATGAACAACAATTTTTCAGAAATCATCAAGCTTATAAAGCTTTGTCGAATAAATGTGGTACGAAATTCTTATCTCAAACTTTAAATAAAATCTTAATGAATCATATTAGAGATAGATTACCTGATATTAAAGCTAAATTAAATACTTTAATGGGTCAAACTGAACAAGAATTGTTAAGTTATGGAGAAATCCCCTCCAATTTAACTAATTCTCCTGAATCAAGAGGAGGTTTAATATTAACTCTAATGACAAAATTTGCTAATTCATTTGTAAATTCAATTGAAGGTACTTCATTAAGTGAAATTTCTACTAAAGAATTATGTGGTGGGGCTCGTATCTATTATATTTTTAATGAAATATTTGGAGCTCAATTAGCTGCTATAAATCCAACTCATAATTTGTCCATCTATGATATCAGAACTGCCATAAGAAATTCAACTGGTCCAAGACCTGCATTGTTTGTACCTGAATTAGCATTTGATTTATTAGTCAAACCTCAAATTCAATTATTAGAAGATCCTTCTCGTAGATGTGTGGAAATGGTTTATGAAGAATTAATGAAGATTGTTCATAATGTATGTTCATCAAACATTGGCTTGGAATTGAATAGATATCCGCGTTTAGAAGCTAAATTGATTGAAGTTGTAAGTGATTTATTAAGAGAAAGATTAGGTCCAACTATCAAATATGTTGAATCAATTATTGAAATTCATCGTGCTTATATTAATACCAATCATCCAAATTTCGTTGGTGCTGCTAGAGCCATGAGTCTTATCGTTGAACAAAGACAAAAACAAAAGGAATTAGAATCAAGAAATAAATTAAAATTAGCCAGTGAAAGAATTTTAAATTCAAAAATCATACGGGAAGAAGGCAGTAATGGTGAAGATGATGATGATGAAATTGCTGATGATGAAGAAGATATTAATTCAGTTGATGATGTCATAAAACAACCAAAACCAATCAAAAGTGGTTCTTCTCATAAACGTTCCGATTCTAGCAAGACTAATTTCTCCATTAAATCAGAATCAACTCCTTCTAATTTGAATGGAAATGCTTATCCTGAATCATTCTTTAATTATTTCTTTGGCAAAGATCCAATAATTCATCAACAACATTTACAACATCAAGCTCAATTAAATCCAGTTCCATTTAAATTCCCAATTCATCAAGAAAATACTTTACAATTCATAAACAATAATTCTAATAATACCAATGTTCATTCTACTAATTCAAGTTCAAATACCATTTCAAGTCATAACCTTACTGAACAACAATTTAAGCATTTAAATTTAAGTGATCCATCTCAAGATGATTCTACTTCATTTGAAAGTGATGATGCTATTAATGAATTAAGTGAACGTGAACAATTAGAATGTGAATTAATCAGACGTTTAATCGTATCTTACTTTGGCATCGTTCGTGAAATGATTCAAGATCAAATCCCTAAATCAATCATGTGTTTACTAGTTAATTATATTAAACAACATATTCAAAATCGTTTAGTAGTGAAATTATATAATGACGCATTATTTGATGAATTATTACAAGAAGATGAAAATATTCAAGCTGAAAGGGAAAAATGTATGGAATTATTGAATACTTATAGGGAAGCTTCAAGAGTTATAAGTGAAGTTATATAAAATGGTGGTATATCTTTTTTTACGTTTTAAATGTTCTTTTTCTTTTTCTTCTTTTTCTTTTTATCATTTTGTTATTAAAAACCTTCTTTGTAAATAAAATCTTTGTTATTAATGTGATCTATGTTTAGAAATTATATATATATACATATAAATACCCCAATTATTAAATAAATAATTAATATAAAAATTCTACTTACTTTAATGACTTTCTATAATTCAAAATATCAACTTTTGTGATCCTCTTATTGAAATACTGATAATGTTTAATCAAATCACTATATTTGATTTTAAACTTATCAATGATCGCGCTAGTATTGCTACTGTTGGTTGTGTTTGTCAGACCTTCAGTATCAGTATGAAGATGATTCGTTATATCATAAGTTGAATAACTTAAGAATTTATAAATCAATTCGTAGCTGTCTAAATTAATCAATTGATTTTCAAGCACCTTTAAGATTGATAATGTTATGGAAAAGAATTTGATAAGATTGTTCGGTATATCGAACTCATGTTGATTATTATTGATATCTTTATCATCAGCATCAGCATTAACTTCGTCATTTTCATTTTCAATCGTCTTTTCGCCATTAGTGACTATTTCGTAATAGTTATTAATCAACAAGATATCAAATATCTTAAACCATAAGTCTAAATCGATGAAATTCAAATCAATGAATAAACTTAACCACCAATTAATTATTATGATTTCGACATCGATATTTAACTTCAGAAATAATTTATATAAAGTAGGAATATATTTCTTTAGGTAAACATGATTGATGATTTTCAAATCAAGTTGAATATTGGAGAATGATTGATAGAATAATTGATAGGTCTTTAAACTTGAGTTATAATATTTCGGTAAGATTTCTTCAATGATACCAATGAAGATCCAAAATATATCTTCTTCTTTCAAGATCAACGTCGTGATGGTTGGTTGGTTGATTAATAAGAGAAGATTCCCCACGAGTTTATTCATCCCTTGATAATAACCTATCTCAGGTTTATATATGATAAAGGAATACAATATCCGTTTAAGTTTATAGAAATTTGGACCTGGTTTTAATTCGATTAAATTATTGAAATAGTAGTTTCGAGGTAAAGTACGATGAAGATCAAGATTAATCTGATTAATGTTGTTCAAAATACCTGCATTGACATCATCCACCTCAACGTTCTCATCATCAATTTCACTGGATTCACTCTTTTGCATGATTTGGTGGGATTTATTTATCAATTGTTGATATTCACCATTAACACAAAGATTCTTCCCATTTGAAAATTCAAACCATAATAAATTCCGATATTTGATTAATATTCCAGATTTATAAATCAAATTAATCAATTTGACGTAGTTCGTATCATCAAACTTTAATAAATTCAAACCCATTAATCCAAATATTTCTAAATTGTTAAAACTTTGATTATCATTATTACGATTACCTGTAGTGAAGTAATTCAAACGTTTGAAATTATACGCATGATACTTCTCTTCTCTATCTTGTTGATGTTTATAAAAATCACGATTTATATCTCGTATCAACTCATCCCATTCATTTTCAATTTGTAAATTGGTTAAATCATGATTCTTGGAGATTTGTTTAAGTTGATTTATAGTTTGATTTAATGGGATTTTATTCTGGATCAAGATTGCTAAACTATCTGCAAACCCCTTTGATTCTGTTTGAGGTGGAGTTTGCAGTGATTGTGGTGGTGGAGTACTTGTAGCTGTTACTGTAGTAGTGGTTATATTATTTAAATCATTGAAAAATCCATACTTATCAATATTAACTGATACTGAGGTATCCAAAGCTGATAATTCAGGTATAATTGGTGATGACATACTTTCTAATTCAACAGGTACTTTTACAATAGTAGTGGAGTTATCATCATTTAATGAATTTTCCTTTAATGATTTCTTAGCTAATATAGACGAAGACAAATCTTCACTTGAATTAAACCATTTAGATAACCAATGAGTTGAAGAAGATGGACTTGACATTAAGGTGTTGGTATTTGGTTTATAGTAGTCTAATGATCCAATCGATGACAGTAATGGGATTGAAGGTGGAGGGGCAAATTGTATAGATGCCATAGGTGAAGCCATTGAATTAGATGAAGTAGCTGAATCTATGGGAAGTAAGTCATGTTCATGAATAGTAGTTGTTTTAGATTTTAATTGAATTGGAGCTGGTGAAGATACCCTTTGTTTATCTTTCGTAGATGAAGTGGTATGGGAATTATTATTATTACTTACTAATTTATCATTTAATGCTTCATTTATCAATGATTGAACGATTTTCAGATCTTGATTAAGTTGAGATGGAGGAGAAAGTTGATGATCCATATCATTTATACGTTTATTGATTTCCAAGGTTGATAAATTACTAAATTCCATACATAATTTAATCAATTTTTGTTGATATAAGAAATTCTCTTGTCGTTCCACAATCAATTCTGATTCTTTCTTCAATACATCGATTGATAATTGTTTGATCAATTCAATGGGATCATTATTATATTTCAATTGGATTAATTTCAAGATTTGACTGGTTTTTAATTGATGGAGATTATCGCCACCGTTAAACGTTATATGATTTGCAAATGATGAAGATGATGCAGATGATGATGATGGTTGAGTATGTCGTATGATTGGATCTTCTTCATTATTGTCTAGAGGGAATAGTAGGTTGTTATTCTTATTACTGCTCATGATGATGATGGTGATGACTATGACAATGATTGATGTATGTCTCTCCAGAGCATTTGACTTTCAAACAACGATTGGTAGAAATGGAATATACGATGAGTGCTACCAAGAAGATGATTTTGAGATTTGTTTTGTTTATAAAATGAGTGAATTATGAGGAGCTACCATATTGTACATTAGTATTACCATAAAGAAAATATTTAATAAATATTGTTATCAGCTATCATATCATGATGTTATCATCTAGAAGACATATCTATAATGGTATACACCTAGACAGGTAATAATAAGTCATGGTCATTACCAAGGATAATCCAGTCATGTGATTAGTTGTATGTATAAAATAAAAGGAGAGTAAAGATGATTGAAGACCAATTATAATTACACGAATATTATTCAATCACTTAATAATACTCATCTCACTATATTATATCAACTATATAGGTTATAATTATCATTGTTCATAACAATCCAACCGTCAAAAATCATATTAAATTACTATATATAGGCTATGCATTATTAACAATACATTACCTCATACCCTTGCTTATATACAGTACTTATGACATGTGTTCTAAAATCAGAGGGACAACACTGAAATTTTGTGTATGGGAAAAGTAAAGGAATGTGTGTCGATCGAAAAGGGTTAATATCAAATTTAACACATATTGAAAAACTTTTCTAACTTTTCTTTTTCAGTTACATTTTCACATTTTGATATTGGTTATTCTGATCTAATTCATCTTTTCTTTGGTATATTGGGGTCTAGTTTGTCAGATCAAACTTAACTAGCATCAACTCATTATAAGGTTAACGATCGCCATCAAATCACCCTACAAATTTTTTTATAGATAGACTTTTCCCTCCCCACTACACCGCTCCGCAAACGTCAATCGATTCTTAACCAAAACCTTAATAATTATCAATTGATTTTTTGACAATTTCTCATCTGGTTCAGCTTGTACATACATACATACATACATACATCCATCCATCCTCATCGTCATTCACATATATAGATATTAAAGGATGAAACGAAGTCAAGTTAATCGTATTGTTGCAATCGCGATATGTGTATTCATTCTTTATAGTGTCAGTTATTTCATTCCTGATACTTCTGATTCAGTATTAAAACAACAAGCTTTAAATAAAGATCCTGTTTCCATGACCTCATCTAAATTAGATGAAATTAATAATCGAATTCAAGAAATGAAAGATATTTCCAAAACTGGTCCAACTCCACAATTAAATTTAGCTGAATTACAAAAATTAAAAGAAGAAGAAGAAAAAAAATTAATTATTCAACAAAGTAGTGTTAAAGTTAATCAAATTGAAGCTAGTAAAGATCAATTACGTAAGAAATATAAAGCTGCCAATCCAGGTACCAAAAAGATGAAAGCAACTTTTGTTACATTAGCTCGTAATAATGAATTACATGATTTAATTCGGGCTATAAGACAAGTTGAAGATCGGTTTAATCTGAAATTCAATTATGATTGGGTCTTTTTCAATGATGTTCCATTCTCTGATGAATTCATTAAACAAACCTCGGCCATGACAAGTGGTGAAACCAAATATGGTTTAATCCCTACTGAACATTGGTCTTATCCTGATTTTATTGATAAAGATAAAGCTGCTAAAGCAAGAAAAAAAATGAAAGATGATAATATTATCTATGGAGATTCAGAAAGTTATAGACATATGTGTAGATTTGAATCAGGATTCTTTTGGCAAAGTGAATTATTGGCTGATTATGATTGGTATTGGAGAGTTGAACCTGGTATTCAAATTTATTGTGATATTGATTATGATGTATTTCAATTTATGGAAGATAATAATAAAGTTTATGGTTTCACTATTTCAATTCATGAATTTTTAGCTACCATTCCATCACTTTGGGAACATACTAAAAAATTCATTGAAGAAAATCCTCAATATTTACATCCTGAAAATTTCCTTAATTTTATAAGTGATGATAATGGTGATAGTTATAATTTATGTCATTTTTGGTCAAATTTTGAAATTGCCAATTTAAATTTTTGGAGATCAGAAGCTTATCGAAAATATTTTGATTATTTAGATTCCACCGGTGGATTCTTTTATGAACGTTGGGGTGATGCTCCAATTCATTCAATTGCGGTATCTTTATTTGCTCCCAAAGATCAAATTCATTATTTTGATGATGTAGGATATAATCATGGAGTTTATCATCAATGTCCGATTAATGCAGATTTTAGACAAGAACATAAATGTTTATGTAATCCTGATCAAGATTTCACCTTTAGAGGTTATTCTTGTGGTAATAAATATTATGATGTTATGGGATTAGCCAAACCTGATAATTGGGAAAAATTCACCTAGATATATTTCACTTATTTATTTATTCATTCATTAATTCATATCTTGTAACTTTGCATTGTTTTCTGTACTATAGTCTTTTCATTATACAATAATTATAAACTTTAACCTTTAAAATGGAGATAATCTTTGTCATTGTAGTGAATGTAAACCGATTTAAAAAACGTCTCAATATTACACAAACTTAAAATAAAAATCAACGGTTGTAAAAAAGTTATTTTGGAACAGCAACAGCAAAGATAACTAAAACTAAGGCTGATAATTACTTTAACTATTTCAGTGAAACTTGTTAAGCATCACAAGACATACTCTTAGTTATTCATAATGAATGTGTTAGTAGTGGGGACTAGATAATAATAATGATATTTATATTATTTTCTAAACAACAGGTCGATGTTATGATCTGTAGATCAATGTATGAGATGCGCATGGACCAGATTGAATCATTGTTAAATCAAGATTGATAAAGTGAACTCATATTGTCAGGAATAAGATTAACATTGTCGAGACTATATGGTTTTATTTTAGTTTTTAGTAGGATATTATTATCTATGTAAAGAATAGATGTTCATAAAAGCTTAAAATAAGGGATATAGTTTATAAAAAAAGTTTGAACAATGATATCCAAAAAATAATATGAAACTATAAGGTGGATTAAACCAACAATGATTTACAATTTGAGGTGATAAGTTACATTTAAAAGTTCCAAAAAAATATGAAATATTATCCCTTAAGTTAATAATAATATTATTTTGATTAATTATATGGTGATAACTCCTTACGGAGAAGTTGGAGTATAATATAGTTTAAGGAACTATGAACTGGGTAGGAAGATAGGGCATGATTGGACCCTTTTTTATTTATTTTTATGGTCATATCTCATCAGAAATTACACAAATGACACAAAACTGATTATACAATAGACTATCAGCCACAAAGGAGAAAATGGTGAAAAGAGGACAACTAATAGTTAAGATTTATTTAGTGGAATGAATAATGGTTCATACTTGGCTAAATGAACTGAACTGAACTGAACTGAACTGAACTTTAAATGATGAAAGGTACCAGTCTTGGCCATACAATGAATCGATAGATAACAACAACTTAATTACTACAACCTAACCTCTATGAATGTATTCACCTTATCCTCATTAAAATTAGTTAAGGTGATATGTCGCGGATAAGTAAAAGTTGAATGTCTCTGTTTAAGTTGGGGCAATCTGTAGCGATAAATTTGAATTGAATTACGTGTCAAATGGGAAAAATAATTACACGACACAAAAAATGACGAATAATTAAATTGTACGATTAACATTAAGTAGTACGTCAAAGAAGAAGAAGAAGAACATGAACATGATTGATTAAGAACAAGCCAAAACAATGATGATGGAGATATAATAAACAATAAATAAACACAGTTGAGGGATGGATTATTTTTAACTAGAATCAAGATTTAAGGTTGTGTGGGTGTTAGTTAGTTGACTAGTTATGAGTTATGTGGTGATGATATCACTTACGCGTAGAATGAATCATTATTGTTAATTATAATCAATCAATAATAGTGATGATTGTTCAAACTAATCTCACTCCTACTACTCCAGATTATTTCCATTGATATTATACTACAAACGGTTAACTCTATAGTTAAATTCTAGTCTACAAACTGTAATCAACAGTATCTCACACTACAGCAAAAAGAACAACAGAACAGCAAAAAAAAGCGAAACAGAAAATTTCAAATTTTGTGATTCCTTTTTTTTTTTTTCTTTTTTTTTTTTTTTTGAAGGTGAAAGTCTCCCTCTTTTTCGTTCATTAACAGAAAGAAACACGTCAATTATATTATAGCGCTAGTATTATGTAGTAAATAATTCTTTTTTTTTTTATCAAAACCACGAACCAAAATTATTATTATTTTCAAAGATATCTGTTCTCTTTCTTTTTATATATTTTCAATTGTTTTCTTCCTTTCGTTAGTCTATCTGCTTAGTCACAAGTCATCATTATAGTATCTAATCCTTACTGTTAACGACCCATACTAACAAACACTCATTTGATACGATGGCTTCTACTCGATCAAATGCTAGGATTATAAGATTTGGTATCTTTGCTTTAATCTTAATTGCTTGTGGATTCATCTTAACTCAAGGATCTTCATTCAATGCCAAATCAAATACTGCCACCCCAAGTGGATCTACTCCTATTGCTATTCCTGAATCTCAAAAATTCGCTGCTGTTAAATCAGGTCCAACTCAAAAACATTTTGAAAAGGGAACTCCAGAAGCTGAAAATGAACAAGCTGATGTTCCTGCTGCTGAACAATGGTCTGAAAAGGATAAAATTAAAGCTACTTTTGTCTCATTGGCCAGAAATAGTGATTTATTCGCTCTTTTAGATTCCATTAGACAAGTTGAAGATCGTTTCAATCGTAAATTCCATTATGATTGGGTTTTCCTTAATGATCAACCTTTTGATGATGCTTTTATTGAAGCTACTACTGCTTTATGTAGTGGTAAAACCAAATATGGTTTAATTCCAAAGGAAAATTGGGGTTATCCAGCTTGGATTGATCAAGAAAAAGCTGCTTTAACTAGAGAAAGAATGAGAGAAGCTAAAATTATTTATGGACATTCTGAATCTTATAGACATATGTGTAGATTTGAATCAGGATTCTTTTGGAGACAAGCTGCTATGGAAGAATATGAATATTATTGGAGAGTTGAACCTGATATTAAAATATTCTGTGATATTGATTATGATATTTTTAAATGGATGAAAGATAATGGTAAAGAATATTCTTTTACTATTAGTTTACCAGAATATAAAGAAACCATTCCAACTCTTTGGGAAGAAACTCAAAAATATATTGAAGCAAATCCAAAAGTTTTAGCTGAAAATAATTTATTAGATTGGATTTCCGATGATAAAGGTAAAACTTATAATGGTTGTCATTTCTGGTCAAATTTTGAAATTGCAAGTTTAAATTTCTGGAGATCAAAAGAATATAGAGAATATTTCGAACATTTAGATAGAGCAGGTGGTTTCTTTTATGAACGTTGGGGTGATGCTCCAGTTCATTCCATTGCTGCTGCTTTATTCTTACCAAGAGAAAAAATTCATTTCTTTGAAGATGTTGGTTATTATCATGTTCCTTTTACTAATTGTCCTGTTGATCCTGCTATTAGATTTGGAAGAAATTGTCACTGTAACCCTGATAAAGATTTCACTTGGAGAGGTTGGTCTTGTACTACTAAATATTATACTATTAATAATTTAAAGAGACAAAAGAATTGGGAAAAATATACCGCTTAGATCAATTTTTGAAAAAGTTTTAACTGAAGCTTATACCTTTTTCATAAGTTGTACTATTATTGCACTATATAAAATCTAAAAATTCCAAAAGAAAAAATAGAAAAATAAAAAAACTCCAAGACTCTTTTGTATTTAGATATCATGACCCAATCATTTATCCTTCCATACATTTCACCTACCCATTTATTTTATTTATAGGTTTTCTTTTTTACTGTCTTTATTGTTATTATTTAACTTAAATATATATACTTATCATATCAATTATGTTGCTCCCCGTACTTAAGTTGGTGGAAATTATTTTTGTCTATGTGTGGAAGTTCCATATTTTGTGTATGTATGATAAGATTGTGCATATTTTAAAACACGAGAAGTTCGATTTGGTCTGATGGTTTGATAACGAAGTCATCAGTTGATCTAAATGTCGAAGTTAATGGTTGAGTTAGTATATGTTGGTTATATGGCCCATATTAAGTTGGACTTAGAAGTAACTACAACTACTTATTTACTAGATAAAATTGTTTCGCTTATTGATGGGATTTAAGGTACGTTAAACTATAAATTGACCTTACATAGTTAACAGAAAAATGTCAGTTGTAGTTAGATTATTGACAGATACTGACATGTCACTTGATACACATTAATGTACAGTAATCTAACATTGTACGTCTTTCTCTACCTATAACATCTTTCTTAAACTAGTAAATTAATTGCCCATTTTTTCATATGTTTCATGATTATAATAATCTCGATTAAATTATTTTTTAAAAATCTGAAACATCCTCATTTTCAACAATTATAAAAAAATTATGACATATTACCAACTGGTACAAATTCGTTCATTTATAGTCCAACTTTAGTTTAAATATATATAGTTCATACTCCTTCATACCTTTAGAAAGTTAACTTTCCTATTTATACTATTTAATCATTTGGTGTGGGTAGAATTTCAACTTATTCATCAACATTTCTGTTTGTAACATCCGCTATTTACACATCTCGTCTTTTTTTTCCTGCCCGCTACGCTAGTCAAAAATATACAATTTATCCTAATTTCATCACTTTTCACTATATCAATTGTGTTCAACATTACAAGTATCCGACATATCATTGCATATAAAAGTATTCCTGATTGATATGCCGAATAGTAAAATCGTTAATCCTGCTCGTCCTGTTGATCCCCCTCAACCAACCACCATTTCAATCACTTCACCTTCTCCTTCACCATCAATCAATCCTAAATCAAATGAATCTCTGACTAATACTAAATTACCTACTTTATCGGGTATATCAAATATCAATAATCCAACTTTATCATCCTTATCTAATAGAAAACACCGACCTAAGTCACTTAATTTATCTCAAACTGATTCAAACTCAGATGTCGCTTTAAGAATCGTAAGTCCTGGTTTACCTCCATTAAATCATGAAATGAAATCAACTATGATTAAATCTCAAAAAATTGAATTACAACAACGTCATTTAATCGCTTCTATTAATAGTAGTACCACCATAAGTTCATCACCATTGTCTGGATCTGGAGGTGAAGAAAGATCTTCACCTGTAGTGATTTCAACTTCAACTACCTCAGCTACTCCAACTGCACCACCATCAACCAATACAAGTAATGCTACTGCTGCTAAAACAACAAATGATACTGCAAATGGATCTAACTCTGCTACAGTGGCGTTCAATTCTACCAAGAGGAACTTAACTCAAATGGCTGATGAATTAGATTTGAAATTAAATGCTAAAAATTCAAATGAAAGTAATGGTGGTCGTTTAAAGAGATCTAAAGTTCCTACTCCATTAAATTTAAATTCATCCCTTAATTCAAATCATAATCTTGCTCCAATTATTCATTCCGCACCTATTAGACCTCATAATCATCCCTACAATCAGCAACCTGTAAGACAATCTATCCCTAGTCAAGCCCAACTCCAACAACAACGTCAGCAACAACATCAACAGCAGAGAGCTACTTCGTTTGCTCGTCAAAGATCTATCATATCACAACATCAAGATCGTAATTTAGCAGTAAGAAGATTGCCACCTACAATACAACGCGTTCAATATGTTCCTATGCCAAATACTCAAGTCACTTATCTGAATTTCGTCCCCCAACATATACCAACTGGATATTATCCTGCTCCATCACCATATGTAGGAAGCAATGGTATTTATCCGCAACCTCGCAGATATGATGTACCTTATACTTCTGTTGGTTCTCATTTTCCAAGAGTAGGGAGATACTTCCAAACTCCCACTGCAAGATACCCATATCATCCTTACGGTGAACATGAGGTTGTTGATGTGGATGAAGTTGATAATGAAAGTGAAGAAGATGATGAAGATGATGATGATGACGAGGATGACGAGGATGATGATGATGATGAAGGTAAAGTATCTAAATCAGTATCTGTCACAGATGTATATCGTGATGAAGTATCTGTTGCAGCTCCTTTAGCTTCGCAACCTTTATCAGCCCAACGTGAACATTTTAATCGTGAAGAAATTGAAAAGGGACATCCTCATCAAGAAGGATCAGGAGATGAAAATCATGCGGATGAAGGTGATTTAAATGATGATGAAGATGCTAATGGTGATGATGAAATTGAACGTAAGAAATCTGAACAACAACATCAATATTACTATTATCAACAACGTCAACATTTAGGAAATAATAAAAGTAAGAAATCAACCACTAGCTCAAGACTTAATCATTCATCAAGTATTAATAATCAAATTGAAGCTATTAAGAATGGTGAGATTTTTGGTTCGATAAATTTAATGAATGAAAGTGTATTTAATTTCAGAATCTTTAAGAATTCACCTAATAGTACTACTGCTTCTGATCAACCAACTCCTGCTGTACCACGTTCTAATATAAGTAGTTCAACTGATCCAATCCCATCACCTGAATCACAATGGATTTCTAAAGAAAAAGCTAAATTCCTTAAGATTTGTGAAACCAGTTGGGATAAATTCGTGGCTTCAAAATTCCCAGCTGCATTTGTTAAACCTGGTTCAAGTTCAACCTCGAAATCAACTATAACAACAAATTCCACAGTTCAACCAACAACTGGTGCTACTTCATCTACTACGATTCCAGTCCCAGCTATTACAAAATCAGATAATACCCCATCATCAGCTTAATAAGTCACAGACATTAACACTTTCATATAAACATTTTGTACAACATACAATGATACCCCCTCTATTTTATAATGTGTAATTATTATTTTCTGTCTAATTAACTAACTTATAACTTATAATATAAAATTTGCAACTATTTATACATACTTTAAACACCTCGTATTGTATGCAGGATATCTGGGTTATTTTCTGGAAGGCGAAAAAATATGAAAAAAAAGGTCTTAGGATCTGACAAGTCAAATGGTATAGCCTAGACCATATAGAATTATAACAAAACATAGACGTTTCCATTGTGTGAATTGTTTTTTAAAGAAGTCATTTAGCTTTGTTAACATACGTATAGCAGAGTATGATGATACTTTCAGCGACGTTAAGGGGTAGGTCTCCTATAATAGTGTCTAGAACGAGTGTTTCTATCATAAGGTCGGCATTAACTAGGCCATCAACTACATCTACTACATCCAGATTCATATATCATAATATTCCATCAAGCTACGGTGTGAGGTCATTTTCAAGTATAAATAATCGATTAAACTTCAAGCAATCGTTGCAGAACTTGAAAGGAAAGAATGAAGATGATGATAAACCAAAAAAGTCCAAGAAAGATGTTGAAGGTGAAGAAGCAGCCCTTCGTGAAGAAATAAGAGAGCGTCTTAAGAAACAAAATAAAGATATCGATCCTAATAATATCAAGATTTATAAGTTTGATGCAAAGACATTAGGTAAATATTTTGTGGGATTTACTTTATTTCCTATTTTAATGTTGTTTTTCATGTTAAATAATGGTGATAATAATCATGAAAATGATTTATCATTCCAAGATTTTAAAACCAATTATTTGGAAAAGGGTTTAGTAAAGAAATTAAGTGTCATTAATAAATTTGTAGTGGAAGCTCAATTAATTCATGGAGCTGTCTCTGACCAAACTTTTAATGTTCAAGGTAATCCAACTGTGGCCTTCACTATTGGATCTATTGAATTTTTTGAAGATGAAATGAAAGCTATTCAAGATAAACTCGGTATACCAATCAATGAAAGAATCCCAATAAGTTATGAAGAAAGAGGTTCATGGATTAATTATATCTTACCAATCTTACCTACTGTGTTATTAATTGGTGGTTTATATTACTTAACTATGAGAAGAGCTTCTCAAATGCCGGGTGGTGCCGGAGGTGCTGGAGGTCCAGGTGGTATCTTCAAAATAGGGAAATCAAAAGCCAAATTATTTAATCAAGAAAATGAAGTTAAAATAAAATTCAAAGATGTTGCAGGTTGTGATGAATCAAAAGAAGAAATTATGGAATTTGTTAAATTTTTACAAGATCCTCAAAAATATGAAAAATTAGGTGCTAAAATCCCTAGAGGTGCTATTCTTTCTGGTCCGCCAGGTACTGGTAAAACACTTTTAGCCAAAGCTACTGCTGGTGAAGCTGGTGTTCCATTCTTATCTGTTTCTGGTTCAGAATTCGTTGAAATGTTCGTCGGGGTAGGTGCTTCTCGTGTTCGTGATTTATTTAAAACTGCTCGTGAAATGGCTCCTTCTATCATCTTCGTCGATGAAATCGATGCTATTGGTAAAGAAAGAGGTAATGGTAAGATGGGTGGTAATGATGAACGTGAAAACACTTTGAATCAATTATTAGTTGAAATGGATGGTTTTGATAGTTCTGATCATGTGGTTGTCTTAGCTGGTACCAATCGTCCGGATATCTTAGATAAAGCTTTATTAAGACCAGGTAGATTTGATAGACATATTTCTATTGATATACCAGATATTGAAGGTCGTATTCAAATTTTCAAGGTTCATTTATCAAAATTAACTTTAAAGATTGATAAAGATATTAAATCAAATGAAAAGGATATTGATTTCAGTAAATATCAAGAATTGAAAGCTGCTGCTATTGAAGAATTAGCCGGAAGATTGGCCGCTTTAACTCCAGGTTTTGCTGGTGCAGATATTGCCAATTGTTGTAATGAAGGTGCATTAGTTGCTGCCAGAGAAGATGCTCATTCTGTTGAAATGTATCATTTCGAACAAGCTATTGAAAGAGTAGTTGCTGGATTGGAAAAGAAATCAAAAGTGTTAAGTCCTGAAGAAAAGAAAACTGTTGCCTTCCATGAAGCTGGACATGCTATTTGTGGATGGTTTTTAGAATTCGCTGATCCATTGGTTAAAGTATCTATCATTCCAAGAGGTCAAGGTGCTTTAGGTTATGCTCAATATTTACCTAAAGATCAGTATTTAGTTTCTAAGGAACAATTCAATCATAGAATTATAATGGCTTTAGGCGGTAGAGTAAGTGAAGAATTACATTTCGATACAGTTACCAGTGGTGCATCTGATGATTTTAAGAAAGTTACTCAAATGTCTCAACAAATGGTTTTAAGATTAGGAATGTCTGATAAATTAGGACAAATTTGTTATGATAATGGTGATAGTGATGGATCATTTAAAGTTCATAATACTTATTCTGAAACTACCTCAAGATTAATTGATACTGAAGTTAAGAGGTTCATTGATGAAGCTTATACCGCATGTCATACATTATTAAGTGAAAAAATTGACTTAGTTGATAAGGTTGCTGAAGAATTATTCAAGAAAGAAGTTCTTACCAGAGAAGATATGATTAGATTGGTTGGACCAAGACCTTTCCCAGAAAGAAATGATGCCTTTGATAAATATATTAAAGGTTACGATGCCTTTAGAGGTAAACCAAAAGCTAAAGATGAAGGTGAAGCTCCTAAAGATGCTGAACCAACTTCTTAAGCCATTGTAAATAATAAACGATTAAGAAAGACGAAATTATTAAAAAAAAATTGAAAATAAATTAAATGTAAATAGTTATTCTATATGATTTTGGTACTAGAATAAAAGTATAGTACAGATATATTCTATTTTAATCGAATAATTCATCTAATGAATCATTCTCCGTAGGTTCATGATCTTCAATAACGGTAACTTTATCAGTAAAAGTAGGTTCTGTCACAGAAACATGTCTTATTTCTCTTTTAATTGGTGAGCTATATTTTTGATAATTGGTATCTGAAACGCTTCTATCATCCTCTTCGTCAACCAGCTCTTCATCGGCTGAATTTTCGAAGCCACTTGAATTGTTATCATCGCCACTGAAAAGATCTTCCACATCATCAGGTATAATGATTACTTCCTGAATATCCTGGTTTGAAGATCCGGTATGACTGGTATCCAGCACAAAATATTCTAATTTTGATAATTCTTGATGACTTGGTCTTATATGATGTTTCTCTTTAATGAAATGAGCCCTCCATTCTAAATAACCATCTTCAGTTAGAAATCCACATCCAAGCAATGGACACATTAGCACACGCTTTTTGTGAGAGCAAGCGTCTTCCTTCTGATGATTATACATATCAGATTGAGTAAGAAACGTTCTGCGACATCGTTTATTATTGTCCAATAACTTATTACAAGTCAATGGTTGACCATCCTCCGAATCTGGGAACGGTGGGATAGGATACGTTAAGGGAAATTGTTTGTTTAATCGTGATTCATTAAATTTGATTGTAGTAGGTATATGCTCGGGTACAGGTGAGATTGGATAACCAATGAAATGTAACTCGGGTGAATGCTTCTCAAGTAAATGATTTTGATATAACGACCTGTTTCCCGTACAATATGAGCATTCATCAAATGCACATTGATAGATAGTGATAGTGTTGCTGATATCATCAAAGTAAAGAGGATCAAGTACAATCAGATATTCATCATCAAAACTTTCTTCATCCTCGTTTTCATTCTCATCTTCAGAAGGATCAATAATAGAAGAAATTCTGTTAGGAAATACTTTTGGGGTATCTTCCTGTTCATTCTGGGAAAATTCTGAATCTGAATTAGAGTCATTACCTTCATTTTCTTGTGATGACTCTGGTTGGGAAGTCTCTGATGTTTCATCTTCATGGGGAGACATATAACTAGATTCTTTACTTGTACTCAGCAGTATATGTAGATTTGAATCTTCAAGAAACACATTGCTTGGATGAATCGATCTTGAAGGCTTTGTGGGCGAGATTTTCATCGTCGGTATTGGTGTCTTAGACTTAGTAGGAGTGGTGTAGCTTAAGCGATCTTGCAGTATAGGACTTGACAGTTTTGTGAATCTATACTTTTTAGTTGGTGATGGATCCAATTGAAGTAAATTATCTTCCTGAGGAATTCGCTTCTTATTTGAAAGATTATCATATTGCAAATTGAACTGAGTATTATCGAGAGAAACTGTATGAAACTTCTGTTCCTCTTTTAGCCTTGCCTTAAGAGCATGCTTTCTCTTCTTCTTTCTCAATTCATTTCGTCTAGTCTGAGTTAATTGTTTGTCAACATCATAATCATGATGCCATATATTACCATCTAATTTAACATTCCCCACTGCCAAATTCTCACTTTGTAATGATTTAAGATGACCATTATCCTTGATTATCAAACCAGTTGATAAATCAATTTCATCACTTTCCTTTTCATCATCTATTACGGAATATTTGTATAGAATCTCATCCCATTTCGATTTGAAACGTTGGGTACTCTCAGTCTTGAGTCGATTTATCTCAGCTTGAAACTCAGATTCATTCTGATAAAGGCTGGTATCATTATGGAGATGTGAATAATCATTAATCAGATCATTAAAACTATCACTATCATCTTCAGTCTCAATTGAGATCAGATCTTCCTCTAGCGGTAGAACTCGAGATAGTATCATACTTGGCAGTTTCTGACTGCTGTATGACAAATCAGCTTTATTCTCCATCTTCCTTAATCCATTGGTTGTAGATTCGGTAGTCTTCTAATTCTTGGTCTTGCAATGTTTACTATTTTTTTTTTGGTTAGGACTCCAGTCGTAAATATTTTTTTTGTGTAAATCTTTAAATTTTTTCTGTTTTTGGAAATGATTGTTAAAAACTGTATAACCAATAAGATTCATAAAGTTGTAAGGTTAAGGATGTCTAACTCACTGTTGGAGAGTCAACGGAAGCAATTGGAAAGTTTAATGAAAAGAAATCCTGTGATAGAAGTCACTAGTAATGTTGATGTGGAGAAAAAGACTAACCATAATGAAGATTCAAACAAACGTAAGTATAACAAATTATGGATTAACTCATTAGACTTATTGACTAACATGAAATATTCTAGCTCAAAAAAGATCATTTGATTACTCAAATTACATAAGAAATAAAAGGAAACAGTTACAATTGACAAAAACAGAAGAGATCAAACTAAAGGAACAAGAAGAACAAGAACAGTTTAAATCAAAGGAAGAAAGACGTAGACAGGAGTTAGAAGCTAAAACTGCAAAGAAGAGAGCAGTCAGGCAGAAGAAGTTATTAAAACTGAAAGTAAATAATGAAAAGAAGAGTTAATTCATTGTTTCGGTTGAATTGATTAGTTTTAACAATCACCAATAATAACAGGTTTGTAATACACTTTTGATTTGATCATCTACATTGAATTGAATCTAATTAATAGTATTAACAAGATTTATCTATTGATGAACTATTTACACACTTATTATCTATTTACATTGATTTTGAATTATTTACATTTCATGTATCATTATTTATAACATTCATACCTAAAATATCCTAGGTATCAGGATTATCCACAGTCAGTGTTCTTTCGTTATTATTATGTTCGGCCCAACACTTTCTAAATGCATCCATTTCCTTAATACATTGTCTCCAATCTCCAGTATCAGCATGACAAAGTTGCAATGTTAAGTTTTCTTCATGACATCCTGTCTTCATGATCCTTTGATCCCATTCATCAGGTTCATCGTCATCATCTTCATAGTCATTAGCTTCACTTTCAACTGTACTATGTGAGGGTTGCATTGGGCTTGAGTATAGTCGGTGTCCTATTAAAAGCATGAAGAAGATGTCATTGTCACTTGAACTCGATTTCAAACTCCGTCGCATTATACAAAATATGGAGTGATGGAAATGGACTAGTCCTGCATATTATCGAATATATATGGTTAATACTATTTTCTACTAATACATTTAAATATATATATATTTATAAACTGTCAATATAACTTAGAAACCAAATCCACCCTTGGAATAGGCCATTGGCTTAATATCAGGATGAGGGACGGCGGCGAACTTTTCAAACTTAAGATTCCAAGGACAATTTGGATCATTGACATCTCTATAACCTTCACCATTATCATTGTCTTTATTATAAGCTTCATTTTCAGTGATGTGAATCACAGCACCAAGATTACCACTTTGATCACAGTAATTAGGAGCACTAAACACAGTAATAAGTCTACCATTATGTTCTTCTTCATAACCTTCCATTCTGACTTCATGAGATCTGATAACTTTTCTAATCTTGTTAGATAAACAAAATCTTTCAGTAATATCAGGTCCAAATTGCATACCAATACCTCTCTTGGATGGACCACGACCATTGACTTCTTGTGGGTCAGTCCATAATAACTCCATAGCAATGCCTTGTTTTGGAGGTTGAGTTGATCCTGATGATGGGAATCTATTATAAGCTTTAATGTCTTGTAAAGTAATTTTATCATCAGAGAATAAACCACCATGCATACATAAGTAAGAGCCATTAATCAAAGTTGATAATGGTAAAGCAGCAAATGATTCTGTGAAAGCATCAAAGATTTTCTTAGAATATTTGTGTTCACATTCGTCAGTAAATCCATAAGTTCTATTCATATCAATGGTTTCATGATTACCTCTATTTATATAAACTGAAGTAGGGAATATAATCTTTAACACATAAAAGTATAATGCTACTTCACAAGACCAGGATCCTCTATCCACAAAATCACCATTGAAAAGATAAATATGATCTGGTGATACATAACCGAATTTTTGGAATAAATTCAATACATCATAAAATTGACCATGAGTATCTCCTACTATAGTAAGTGTCTTACCATTTTCTAATATTATTTCATCAGTTGAATTGGAAACATCTAATTTAGTATGAGGTAAAGAAATTTCCACCATGGTGCTTTCCTTCCTAAATAACTCATGTACTTTTGCAATGATAGCAAATACATGTAATTTTGGTAATCTTCCACCATCTTTGAATAACTTAATCATATATTTCAAATAATCAATATCCAATCCTTCAATTTGAAGTTGAACATCAGTATTTTCAGTAGCCTTGGTAGCGTTGATCTTTAAGGAAGGACCTTCCCAAGATTTTTCAGTAACGGCACCATCATAATTGATGGTATTTATAACTAAAGTATTACCATCAGTAGAAATGGCTTTTTCAAAAGCTAATTTCTTTAAATAATTGGTACATTGTTTATAATTTTCTAAAGTTAATTTATCATTTGGCATCTTATTCAAAACAATTTTAAAATTTGCTAAAGCATCCTTATGTCTTAAAATAGCCATCAATGAAACACCTTTTCTATAGTAGGCTTTCACCAAGTCGGCATCAATCAATAATGCTTCATTACAATTAAGAATAGCACTACCATAATTTTCTAATTTGATATGAGCTTGAGCACGATTGGAATAGAAAATAGCATTGGTTGGATCTTCTTCAATTGCCTTGGTATAACTGGCAATAGCCTCTTCATACTTATGTTCTTTCAAGAAGGCGTTACCTTCATCCTTGTACTGTATAGCCAATTCCTTGTTGCTTTCAGAACTCATCTTACTTATTTGTCTTAACTTGATATTCTAACAAACTGAAAAATTAAAATTAAGTCTAGATTTCAATTTTGATATTTCAAATCTTTTTTTTTTTCTTGTTGACGTCTCACTGAAACTGAAAAATTTCTTTTTTTCTTTGATCTCACGACTGTAAGGCTTTATCATAACAATTAACTGGCTAATTAATGGGTAATAAATGGTACATAAAAACTATATTAAAAGCATTTTTGATTACTTACTCCAATTTTCAAAGAAGAAATATGTATATATATAAAATATAAATCAAGAAAAAATAATAGGAAACAAAAAAAGAGAAGAAAGATTCAAAAAGAATAAAGAACATTCATGTGGGGAAGTAGTTCCCAATGTTATTGAGTCTATGCGGGGGGGATCATTAACCTCTGATACGTAAACCTGAAGCTTGGGCTCCAACAGCTGTGATTTGGGTGATTTGACATATAGTACCCTTTTCTTGTGGTTTATATTTGGCATCAACTAAGGCTTCAGTAACATATTCATCACCTTTATATATTGGAGTATGAGTTGCAGCACAGATTTCAAATTCAGCATATGGATCAAAATCAATATCTATAGCATCACTGGCAATGGTATCAGATCTGGCTTTGATCTTTTGGGCTTGTTCTGCTCTAGCTGTGGTTGATGTTATCTTTAAGAATTCACCAGCAAAATATGATGCACTAGCATAATTCTTATTCTTAAATGATTGACTCATAGCAACTTGTAAGGCATTAAGTTTATGAGCACTTTGAAGTTGAACTCTGGTGAAATAAGCAGCTAATTCCAAGTTACGTTTAATATTAGTAGCTGGTAAAGCACGACGTTCTAATTCAATTGATAAACCAAGGATATATTCACGACTTAAAGTCAAGATTTCCTTACATTTAATTTCTTGTTCTTCATCGTCAACTGTAATCACAGCAATAGTATAAATTATATTTCTGAAAGTATCAATGGCACTTTCTAAATTATTATCCTTGAAGAATTTGAACCCTTTTTGTAATTCAGCTTCTAAACTATCATATCCAGGTATTAAAGGTTTGAATCTATTTGGGTGATCTTCATCGTTATCAGCTCTGATATAATCTTTCATTGGTGGTAAGTCATCAACACCAGGTAAATATAACTTAGAGGCAAGATAAACTTCTTGGAATCTCTTTCTTAATGGTTCAAATTCAACAACTCCTAACTGTTTATTCAATAATGACGCACCTTGTTCAAAAGCACCAGCAGCAATATATCCAGCAGCTGTCTTGGCGTTCTTTAACCAATAACCAATTTCACCATCAGCAGCACTAACCACTGGTAAATCTTCAACCACAGCTTCTTCATCTTCACCAATATCTAATTCTTCATCCAAATCCCAAGCACCACCATCTTCATCTTCTAATAGATCGTCGTCTTCAAACTCAACATTAGCAGCATCAACAAAAGCTGTAGTATCTTCTTCAGCATCCTTAACGGGGACATTTTCAACGTGACCAGTAAGTAATGCAGATTCGAAGAAAGTTAATGAAGATTCTTTTAATGGCCATTCACTAATTGGACTTTCTTTAACTTTAGGTATAGAAACTGAATCACCTAATGCAGGTAATTGGATTTCACTTTCTTCAACATCAGCTTCTTGTAAGATTTGTTCAGCTAATTCTGTTAATCCATTCGATTTGGCTAATAAGTAAGCAAATGGTAAAGAACCTGCTTGAATAAAGACTTGGATTCTCTTTTTAATATCATTATTGTATAAAGTGTTTTGAATTAATGAAGATACATCACCACGATGTTCAGCAACCACGGTCATTTTAGCTAATCTTTCCTTGTCACCCTTGTATACATAAAGGAAAGATAATTTTTCAAATAAATGTAGTTGTTGATAAACTAATTCAACTATTTCTAAATTACCTTGAGTTAAAGCTTCTTCTCCTAATTTTTCCCAGATGGTATTATTATTTAAGATCTTAGCTTGTTCTAAGGCAACTTGTAAATTGCTACATTCCAAAGCTAATTCGAATCTGGTTTCTGGATCTTGAACGAATTGCAAGGCAACTTCAGGATATCCTTTCTTTTGTAAGTATGCAATGATATTTTGACCCACTAAGTTTGAATTCTTAATGATTCTTAATACTTCATTGAAATTCTTATTAACTAATGATTTCTTGAATCTATATTCAGTTGGATCAATAGTAAGAACTTCAATTTCACCACTTCTGTTCAAACAGTAAACTTGTTTTTGATTGACTTTAGTGATATATAAGGTATTTTCCAAAGTTTTAATTATACCATTATCACCATTTAATAAAGTATATTTAATATGATTTAAGGTTGAGTATAATAAAACTCCTGAGTCATCCCAAGCAGCACTCTTAATTCTGATAGTTTCATGCATAGAGGTTATCAATTCAAGATCTTTATTAGCAAGAGTGATGGTGTGCTTTGATAATAAAGCCAAGTTCTGACCATCATTTGACCAAGCAACGTATTTCACATTATTAGCTGCAATTTCAGATAATTCTTTTCTTTGTTGAACGTCGTAATTAATAACGGCATGACTCTTAACTAATAAGACACGACCTGGACCACCATATAAAACATCAGTAATAGAATTATCTAATTGAATACTCTTGGTAACGTTATTACTTAAATCTTTAACATTCAAAGTCTTGGTAGCTTTAATGAATGTGACAAATCTATTACGAGAAATAAAGGTAGCAAAATTACCTTCACCTTGTCTAACATCAGTTGGTTCAATAGCCCCAGTGATATGTTTTGGTAATGTAATTAAGGCATAACTAGAAGTATCACCTTCACCATATGTAACTAAGATAGAATTATCACTTTGATTATAAGAGATGGTTCTCATGAAGGACCAAGTTTTACCTATTTTCTTTAATGATAACATTGGTAAAGAAGGTTCATTTCTTTGGAAATCATATGATTGGATTTGTTTTTCAGCGTTAACATAGAATAATCTATTAGCGAAAATAGTTGAAGCTGGTCTTTCTCTATCTAATTTGAAAACCATAACCCCACCATCATGACAAGCAGCGAATAAATTAATATTTGGATGAGAAGCAATTAACCAAAATCTGTCTTGTTCTCTTCTAAATTGTTTAATTGGAACTCTTTTATTCAAATCCCAAACTCTAATGGTCTTATCGTCTGATACAGAAAGAATCAAATCTTGATGAGGATGGAAAACAGCACATAAAACATTGGCAGTATGACCTCTACAAGTATCAACTTCCCAGGCTTTAGTATCACTCATTCTCCATAATTTAACAACTCTATCTTCACCAGCAGAAACAATTAAAGGTAAGGTTGGATGGAATGAAGCGTAGTTGACCCCTTTATCGTGACCTTCTAACACGTATTTAACAATAGCATTAACGTTACCAAATATATCTTGTTGAGGTAATTGTTGTCTTTGTAATTGATCTTCAAATGATCTGATAGAAGAAGTTGGAGCTGAATGTTTTTTTCTCAAGCCTGAAATATCCCAAACTCTAACGGTTTGATCTAATGAAGCCGAAACAATTAAATCTTCAGTTGGATGGAATGAAGCAGACATAACATAATGATTATGACCAGTTAAACAAGCAATTTCTTGACGATTTTGCCAATTCCAAATTCTGATGGTCTGATCATCGGAACATGAGATAATCCAGGGTAAATCACGATGGAAAGAGACACCTCTAATATAATCCAAATGGCCATTTAAAGTGAAAATACATTTTCTAGTGTTTAAAGACCACACTTTAATTGAGTAATCATCACCACCAGAAACGAATAAAGGTTGGGTGGGATGGAAATCAACACATCTGACAGGACCCACATGATCTTCAAAACGATCAATTAAAGTTCCCATACGATAATCCCACAATTGAATGGTGGATGAATGTAATGAAGCCAACACCCAAGGTCTCTTAGGATGGAATGCAACACCCTTGGCCCTGGAGGACTTTGACTCAAATTTAGTTAACATCTTCATCTTGGCCGTGTGATATGAATTGACAAGTCAATGAATGGATGTTAATTGTGTTTTGATGTAGAATGGAAAACTATACTATATGAATCAACAACGACTCGTTGATTTGAGATTTTTCGATTCGGTGGTCAATTTGTTTTTCTTTTTTCAAAAATGGTGAGTAGGACACGCTAAACAAAACAACAGTAAAAAACATCAAAACATCTCACTACAGAAAAATCCATACCGCGATTTTACCACATTTTGGTTGGAACTACAATAAGGAAGATATGTTTAAATTAACCATTTGTATTATAATAAACTAAGTCTATAAATATGAATATGAAAGATGAGTATAATAGATTATAATCTGATCTGATCAATACATTTGATTGATTGGCTTGTTTGATCTATTAATGTTTACTTTTGATAGAAAGAATTGAGTTTTATAATCCGTGTTGCAAAAAAAGGGGAACCTACATAAAGAATGAAATAACACCAAGACCAATGGCACTAATCAATCCAACTATACCAGCGATACTGGTAGTAATGATAGCAGAAGCTCCTGAAGAACCACTTGATCCAGTCGAACGACCTCCATTGCTTCCTGCACTAGTGGTAGCTTTGGAATTTTGAACAAATCCACCAATACCAGCTGCTGAATCATACGTTTCTTGGGCAGTAGTTACAACTACGGTTTGGCCACCATTGACTTGAATTTGTTCTGGAGCATTGGCGGATTGAACTTGAGCTGTGGTATGGATAGTAGTTTTAGTGACGACTGATGATCCACTAGTCAGAAGAATGGTTGATGTAACATTTTTAACAATTGGTTTATCATTTTGAGGATCAAATCCAGTAGCATTAGAAGATCCTAACCAAGTTTGTTTATTAGTTAAGTAAACATCGGTGGAATTACCATCGGTGGAATTATAAAGGAAAGCATTTAATTCAGTTTCATTATTTGAACCATCTAATTTAACACCACTTGGTAAATCATAAGTTTCAACGGTAATATTTTGAACATAGGCATAATAATAACCATATTGTTGAATATCTTGAGAATCCCAATTAATAGCACCACCAGCCCATTCAATAGTACCTAAACCATTAAGAGAATCACCACCAGGCCACAAAGAAAATTGAATTCTTGAAGGAGTTTGAGGAAATTCATATCTGTCAGCAGTTGCATTCCAAGTATCATTTCTGTTTAAAGTACGAACAGCTACTCCATCAATCAGCCAAGTTAAATAATCTTCAGTCCAATCCAATCCATAAGTATGGTAGTTTTCAAAAGTATCTGTGGTTGAAGAATTTCTTGCATTAGTATAATTTAAAAGACCTTGAGCATAATAATTTGTTTGAGGAGCAGTTAAATTATAACCTAAGAATTCATAATCGATTTCATCTTGAACATCGGAGAAAAGAATGAAGGCAGTAATAACCCCAGCATCATGAGAGGTCTTTAAAGTTGCATTAACTCTCCCATACCATAAATATTTGGTGGATGATACCACAGTACCGGTTGTATCATTTGGCATTTGTAATAATAAGGCATTGTCATGTTCAGCAACCCAGCCAGTATAAACCCAATCTGATTCAGAAGAATTACCTAAATATTGAGTTTGTAATTCGACATCATCAATACTAGTGAAATCATAAGTAAAACTAGTCATTCTTGGCATTGGCATACATGATGATAAATTAAAGGAATATCTGATATCACAACCACCTAAACAATAGGCACCAGAACCACATTGACCATATTGAGAACAGCATGGAGAAGACTCTGGACACTGGACGGTGGAATTACAATAGCTGATGGTATCATCAGCTAAAACATGAGATAATAGTATGGAGAACACTATGGGTATGAACATCCATTTAAAGGTACCAGAAAAAAGCATGGTATTTATGAATTATGAAAGGAAGTTAATATGCAGAAGGATGGTGTTTGAGACGAGTTAAAATATGCAAAAATAGTTCCCTGATTTGGTTGAAGGAATAACGAAAGTAGAAGTTAATGGATTTATGAATCGTCTATTAAGTGAATAGTGCAGACGAAACCTCTATAGGTATGAAACAGTAGTTAAATTGAGGAATGAATGAAAGTAAGTAGTATAAAAGCGATAGTGGTATCTACTCAGACTTCTAAATGAATAAAGAACGAAATAATCAAACAAAGAAACCAATGTCTTTATATCCACTTCGAACAAGGTCAGATTTAGGAGATCAACTTCACTAAAACAGATCGCGAAAATTTTCTTTATTTTTTTTCTTTTTAATTTGTCCTAAAGCAAAAGGAATTCTATTTTTAACAACCAAAAAAAAACACTCACGAAAATTTTATTGACATTTTTCCCAAAAGGGAAATGAAATTAAATTAGTGTTTTATATTAATTTGTTTCAGTATAGTTTCATACTATGAGTGTGTGTTATTTTATAGGAGTTGCAAATTATACAGGGTGTACAAGGGTCTTGGTTAGAGTAGGAAAAGATAAGCTTAATCTGTTTGAATCGAAATGTCCTCAACCATGGAGATTTGCAGGCTATGCAAGAGTTAACGAATAAAATCTCGAGACTTTTGCTGCATTCTCAGTCACTCAGCTTACGGTGACTCGTCAAGGAATTTCTTTTTTAAGGTAGCTGTCCGCAAGTGTTAATTAGTGTTAATTACATTGGTCTGGGTTTGTACCTTATAAAAGTTTCTTTTTTAAGTAGACGTCAACATATCAACTAATATCTGATCATCAATTGCTTCTAATGTAAACATTACCAATAACTGTCCATATTAATTGGTTACTTTACCCTGCCTTTGAACTTAATATATACAGGGCTAGAATTAAATTACTTGCGCCTTGTCATTTGTCTCACAAAATGAGAGACCTCTCAAACCCCCCCTTAAAATCACATCTATGCCGCTGAAGTCACTAATTATTGCAAAAAGAAACTCCTACTACAGATAACTTATATGAATGAGAGACATGTATTTGTATATAAAAAGTGTATAAAAAGCAGAAACTAACCGTTGTTATTATTATTGGAAAAGAAATTATACATATTAGGTTGATAAGTTGATGGTTGATCATAAATTAAATTACTACCACTATTGTTATTGATTCCATTTCCAGCAAAAGGTGATTGTTGTTGCTGAGGTGGTGGCGGTGGTGGTGCTTGCTGATGGTAACTTGGTTGCTGAGATAATTGACCTTGTGGTGGATATTGAGGCTGACCTTGATACTGCTTAGGTGGAAGTTGTGGTGGTAATTGTGGTGCAGGTCTGGAATATCCTCCTCCAGTACTATTATTACTTGCACCTCCATATGTTGGTGTCTGATACATTTGGTTATATGATTGTTGATTCTGAGGAGGTGGTGGTGGTGCTTGGGACTTGGGTGCTTGGCCATATGAGTCCGTAGTTGGTGTATTGTATAATTGAGGTTGAGGATATTGCAGTTCAAAATAATTAGTAGTACCACTGTTACCAACACTTGGAGATGGTGAATTGTTATAGTTCTGATTATAAGATCCTGGATTGGATACTCCACTTGGCCTTCTTGGAGCTTCTTGTTGTATAGGGGCTTGTGGTTGACGTTGATATCCATAGTCACTACCTGAATATTGAGTCCCCAATGACAAATTATTAAATCCTTGAGTAAGCGATGATTGACGTGAAACTGGTTGAGTTGGTGGTGGTGGAGGTCTGGATGAAAGACGATTAACTTCACCATAAATCTGTTGTTTCAAACTAATAGCATAGTTTAATAAATCATTATAAAACTTAGAACCTTTCTTCAATCCAGTAGAATATCTCTTCCAATTCTCATTATAAAACTTGGTAATCTTCTCAGTTTGATCTTTAATTAAAACATCCAGAAATGTCTTTAAATTCTGAACGGATTTAATCTTTGGATTGGTAGATAATTTTTCCCACTCCAGTTTTAAATCATTAATAAACGTACGTTCTTTGTCAATCAATTTATCCAATTCTTCATTATAAGGTTGGAATTTCTTTAGTTCCTCTGGGAAAATAAGTGATTTGATTTCATTACTTGATTTAATCTTGCTATTCAAGATCAATATATCACTTATGTCATCGCTATGAATTTCTTTCTTCAACGTATCAACTAATTTCATCTTATTAGTTTTAACCACATTGATATCATGTAATAAATCCTCAACGGTTTTAATTTGTTTGTGAATAGCGACATTTGGATCCTCTAATTGAGATTCATCCATATCTAACAAACTTAACCCAGCAGAAGCACTAGTTGTCGATTTTGAACCACTACTTTCACTTTTGAATAATTGTTTAAATTCAGTTGAATTTGGACCCTTCTGCAATATTGAATATAATCCTAAGTTGTCGCTATTGATCAATCCAAATAATTGATTGTCGGAATTCGTAGCATCGTACAAAGACTTCTTTAATCTTAAAACATCATCCTTAAACTTAACCAATGCATCGCTGAATTGATGACCTAATGCACCTTCACTTTCAGTAATAACTTCATATATCTGCTTTCGAATTTGAACAATCTTATCTTTGTTGAAACTATCATTAGAAGCTTCTTGTTGGATTTCATTTGCAATACCTAACAAAGTTGGGTCAATATGACTATCATCTCCACTCTTTTCCAGCTTTTCGTTATTTATAATCAATTCCTTGATAGTCACCAACGATTTGGGTAATTTTAAGAATTCCAATGCTGAGGTAGTTTCTTCATTAGAAACATCCACAGCATCAAGTTCATTTCTTAAAAATTGAGATTTCTCCTCAGAATAGAAACTAGATAATTCATGAATATTAATAGGAACAACATTAGTTAAGAAATTTCCATAATTGTATTCATTCACTTCTTGGAAAACGGTATTTTGATTAATTGGAATCACCTTCGTACTATCCATAGGTTTTATATCAGGTAAGGTAACTAATGAAGGAATAATTTCATGATAAATTAAATCATTATCCTTGGTTAAGTCAGCCAACTTAATAGCAACAGCATCTTTTTGATACTTATAGTTATCTAAGATTTCATATGAATCACCTGAACCACTCTTAGCTATATTTTTTAACCAAAAACTATTAATTTCGTTTAATATCTCTTGAGATTTAGTGAAATATGCTAAGGCTTCACCATATTTTCTACTAGATTCTAAATGCAATCCATTAAAGTAATATGACAATGATTTGTAATAGATATACTTGAAGTTAATTGTAGAGACCCACGATGGGTCTAATCTTGCAGTTACATGTAAAGTATTATCTTCAACACTTTCAGTAGCAACGGCTTCACTTTCATCAGATGGATCAAGGAAATTATTTTCAATCTCATCGGAATCAACAACAGTGAAATCATTAAAGTTTGAAGTATGAGTTGGAACGTAAGTTAACATGTTATGACATTCTTCATAATGAGCTGAAGCACTACGACATAATTTTGATATTAATGAGTTCTTCTTTTGTTCAAGATCTCCGGTAACAACTTTAAGAACAAAGACTTCTTGAGCTTGAGCCAACATCAATTTAACTAAGAACTTAACTGTTGATTGACTCAAATCAGCTGAAGGAGCATGTAAGAAGTTTTCATTAAGGAATTGAAATATACCTGCCGCTTGTTGGAAATATTGCAAAGCTTCTTTGGTAGTTTCGTCATCAGTTCCAGTAGCTTTCTTTTGAGATTCTTGATACTTCAATGTAGCTAGACGAGATAAAAGAGCTCCTAAATTGAATAAAATGTTTGCCTTCTCAAATGGTAAAGCACCTTGCTTGTGAACAATACTAGGTTGGAATGCATCAAACCATTCAAAGTTAATCTTCTTATGCTTATTCACAGTAGCAAATGGAATTCTAAGATCTAATAATTCCACTTGACTATAGTACTTATAGTATAACTTGATACTAGTAGTGTCAGCATTAGCACCTCTTATATCTTGTCTTAATTTGTTAAAGGCATTGATATCCTCTATGTAATCCGTGGTAGAGCCGTACACAGATATCAAGTAATTACTCAATGGCTTAATCCAGTTGACCTCATCAGTCTTCTTGGTTGGCACTTGAAGTAAGAATGTCTTCATAATCGATTGATTGATTGACTGTAAATACTGATGATCTACCTTCTAGCCACTGATTACTGATTGTGATTCTATTTTTGTGAAGTACGGGGCAAATGATCTTTTCCAAACAGAAAAAAGGTCGTGCTTAAAGTTTCAAGATTTAATTTTAAAATGTCTGCAAAAAAGTTACAAAATTTGATATTTAATTAGAGAGAAATATAACAACATGTATTGAAGTAACAAGAGGGGAGGGTGAAGGTATGCTGACGAACTAAATAAAACAAAACAAGGGGCATCAGCATATACCTGCTATATAGGTATTAATGTAAATATAGCTAAATTTTTAATAATATAAAAAGAAAATCATATAAAAAGTGCAAGTAAGAATAGATAAAACTTATATATGCGTTGTAATTGTCAGGGTACCGTAGAACGGACCGCATGACTCCTAATAGTGGATAGGTAAGTAAGTTTGAAATATGAATATCATAAGTCGTAAAGTGAATAAATAATTACTACTAATAGTCCACATTTAGTAGAGATATTAGAGTTCTAGACTATATACAAAAACTTCCTAATACTAAAAACTATTTACACGCAAATTATAAGCACTAGAGGTTTTCTATATCTAAATTTTTAAGATAACCACCTTTATTACATAAAGAGTAAAACTCGGAAGTGTCATCTTTTAATAAGTTTTTAGGAGTATCAAACTCCTTAACTTGTCCATCATGAAGGACAAGTATTCTATCACTATCTAAAATAGTTTCCAAACGATGAGCAATTGTTAAAATAGTCTTATCCTTAAAACTTGATCTAATAGTTTCTTGAATAATTTTATCTGTTTGCACATCAACTGCAGCTGTTGCTTCATCTAAAATCAAGATTTGTGATTTATTCAATAAAGCTCTTGCTAATGATAATAGTTGTTTTTGCCCAGAAGATAAATTTGACCCTCCTTCAAAAACAACAGCATCTAATCCCATATCATAATCTGAAATGTCTTCAATATTAATAGAATCATCAGAAACCTTGACTTCAGTTTGCTTTTTCTTCACATTTTTCTTTGTTTTCATATCTTGAACATGCTCTTTCAAATGAGACATTTCTAAAACATTCCATAACTCTTCATCTTCAAATTCACCAAATGGATCAAGGTTCTCTCTCACACTACCTTCGATGGTTTGTGCATCTTGAGGGATAATGTTAATTCTATGACGTAAATCAAATAAACCCATTTTGCTAGTATCGACTCCATCGATTTCAATATGCCCTTGCGATGGTTCAATAATTCTAAACATAGAAATAGCAACAGTCGATTTTCCTGCCCCTGTTCTTCCAACAATACCAATCTTTTCACGAGCCTTGATATCAATATTTAAATCTTTCAATACTGGATCTAAATTATCTCTATATTTGGTGGAATAGTTCTTAAATGAAATTGAACCTGACTCTGGCCATGCTTCACGGGGTCTATTGTCAGAAATAACTAATGGAGCCTCCGGCTTCAACTTACAGTATTCAATAATTCTTTCTATGGCAACTGATCTAGCTTCAACTTCAGCCCAAAGCCTAATCATAGCATTCAAGGTACCAGTAATACTCAAGGCATTCATCATAACAAACCCAACTAATCCTGAATCTAATTCATGAGAAGTTCCCAATGTAGATAATATAACTAACGTGGTAGCATAAACAACTACGGCTGAAATTGCTTGCAATCTCATACTCAACCATCTACCACAAGATAGGGCTGCAAAATTTGTAGAAATTAATCTATCTAATTTTATCTTATTTCCGTTGACGAACCTGTTAATTTGATCATAAGCACGAATAGTCTCGACACCTGTTACTGATTCTTGAAGGTGTGAATACACAGGGCTTCTGTAAGCACTTGCTAACCTCTTGAGTTCTCTGGCAGAAGGAATATAGTATTCTCTGAGTTTGTTGTAGAAGAAAAAGAGTACCAGAATAACTATAATCATGACTGGAAAATTAAAAATAATAACAGCTAAGATACCAATAGTGGTAGAACCAAATCTTAACACACCAAACAAAAGAAATGTAAGCTGATCATCTATCACATTCATATCCTCGGAGAATCTGTTCAATATTCTTCCAACAGGAGTAGTATCAAAAAATGACATTGGAGATCTTAAGACATTTCTAGCCATATTGTCATGAAAATGCTTTGAAGCTCTGATACTAGATTTCGTTCGACCTAATATTGAACCTCCAAAAGTTCCTAAAGTAGTAATTCCACCTAAAAGCGAATATAAAATCAAATAGAACTTAGAAGAAACATTTTGTCCAGCATCTAAATTATCTTGTGACCAAGATTTTAAAGCATAGCCTGACATAATCTGACTAACTGTTGAAAGGTTCATCAAAAAAATAATAATAAATATGTCTATAACGTTGGCAGCTTTGAAATATTCCCAGTATACTTCCAACTTCACTCGTCCTTTTGCCCCCTTTTCAACCACATGCTCAGTCCTTCTAACAATGGTTTCATCTTGTTCATCTTCTTCTTGATATTCATGGTCTAAAGAAGTCATACTAGCTCGTCTAAGGGAAGATATTGAATCCACAACTTCCAAAGGAATATCGACTTCAATGTGATTCTTCACATTGGAAGCATTTAATTCAATGATGTTATCATCTTGCAAAGTAGACCCGACAGAAACAACATCAACTTCTGGTTCAAAATCTTTCTTAATCTCATCCTCCAATTCTTCCAATTCCTCTTCAGCTTCTTGTTGTCCAAATTCTCTAATTAATACGGCTAATTCATCATTTTTGGCAATTACTTCTTCATAATTACCACCTTCAGTGATTTCACCCTTCTTCAAAAGAACAATGTTATCAGCTTCATGTAAAACTTTAACAGCATTAGTTGCTAAGACAATGGTCTTGGATGCAATTATACCATTTTTACCTAAAACTTGATCAACGAGATTCTTCCCAACATGAGCATCGACAGCAGATAAAACATCATCTAAAAGATAAATATCAGCTCTTGCATAAACAGCCCTAGCGAAAGAAATACGAGCTTTTTGACCACCACTTAAAGAGATTCCCTTTTCACCCACAATAGTCTTATCACCATCTGGGAGAGCATCGAAATCAGGCAATAATTGACAAGCAGCTATAGTCTTTGCGTAGAATGATTTATCATATTTGCAACCAAATAAGATATTTTCCTTGACAGAACTATTAAGGATCCAGGGAGCTTGAGAACAATAAGCAATTGTTCCATTTACTTCAAGCTTTGTGTTATTTTTCTTAATTAGGATTAATTCTCCAAGAATGCTCTTCAAAAGAGTAGTTTTACCAGAACCTACTTTTCCCACAATACAAGTTAACTGACCTTTTCTAGCTTCAAAATTAATTTCACTTAAAGCAACATTATTTTCACCATCAGACTCAATACGATCTTCATCAGTATAATCTTTATCTGATTCTTCATTCCATAAAAATGTAGCATTGTTAATCTTGATAGAAACATCATTCTTTTTAAGTTCTTTATAAGAACGATCAGTGATTGCCGACTCTAATTCACTTAATTCGAAGAAGTCACTTAATCGTTGCAATGATATTCTCATATTAAAGAAGTTGTTGAGAATTTCAGGAAACGTGACAATTGGTCTTGATAATATTTCAAACAAACTCAAAGCAGGAAAGCAGACAGCTGGAACCAAAGGAACTTTTGAAACGAATACGAAGGTCACTAAGCAGGAAAGTGGAACAAGTATCGGAATAATAGTCCAAAGCATCATAGAACAGGAATTAAGTATTCCTATTTTTTTGGTAAGGACCAATTCTTGATCATTTCTGATTTTGAACAATCTTTCCAACATGGGATTTTCCCAAGAATATAACTTGATACTCTTAACGGATGATAAAATTTCCGAAGTTAACTTGGTCCGTTTATCTTTATATTTCATATTTTCTTTAACATAGCGCATAACAAAAGCACTAACTTTCCCCGTAATAGGTACAAAAACCACTGTTACAACAAAACCCGATAAAGAAGAAATACCAATAATCTTGTATAATGATAACATAGTAAAGATCAATTTCAATGGAGCTGTAATCAATTCTACCAATCTTGGCATTTCACAAATAGCATTGACATCAACTGATAAGTTATTAACAATTTCACCTGTTGTTTTAGTCTTTTTAGATTCGGGAGACAAATCCAAAGCTTTTCTAAAAATCATAGTACTTAGTGAACCTTGAATTTCACATCGAACACTATAAAACACAGCAAAGTATTGATTACTACTAGCGAACCTTAACACAGCACAAACAAAAATACCAGTTGCATATGCAAAACTTACTATAGCAGGTTGCTTATTAACTTCAGCTTGATTCTCACTAAAGAACGCAATAAATCTTTGAAATAAAAACGCTTGAATAAACCCAAAAAATGATTCACCGAAATCTAAGGTACCAGCAATTAACAAATCCCAAAAATGAATCAGTATCAAAATGTAAAGTAATGATGGTTTCGACGTCTGTTTATATTTTAACTTTAAATCTCTCAATTTTCTTGCTAATTTATTGAAAGAAGTGTCATTTTTCAATTCAATTGGTACCGGCGGAATATCCTTGATATCCAATTCATCAGTATCATAAATTTTCTTAATAAGGTCTTCAAGCCAACTGAAAGTTATTTGCGAAATCATGTTTCTTACTGATGATATTTCCCAACCATTTAATGAATAATAATCACGTAATTCCACACTTGGTTTAAAAAGAGAAGTTTCAAGAAATAAGACGATCGCAGAGTTAATGAACAAAAATGTTTCAAGAACATAGACAAGAGATTTCGAAGAATTACCACTTATAGGAATATATAATTTAAATCCAGAGAAAACATCTTGAACTAAAACAGACAAATTTAAAAACAAAATTATTATCCAATATAATAATAATGAAGAATTTGCAGTAACAGTTCTTGTTGGTTCAATGATGTGAAAGGGTAAGATTATTAAAGTAAAAATGCCAAAAGATGATGCAGTTGCAAAGAATAACATAGAAGTCAATGAAGTAAAGTTATAAAACGCTAAAAGCATGAGTGCAGTTGAATGTAAAAATAATAAAATTAATTTTAAGATTTGATAACCACCAACACTTTTAATTTTGAACGATGAACCCAAAGCATAATGAATTCTGAAGGGACCATGGCTATTATAAAATAGTGATTTAAGTAGTTGATAAGCAGCAAAAGCACCCAAAAGCGAATTAACAATCAAAGTAAATGAATATACGAAACAAGGATCGACTGAATTTTGAAGACTAGCATCAAATGGACGGTAAATTGCTTCAATAGAACAATTGGAATAACGTTCCAATCTTTTATGATGTATCTCATTCAACAGTTGAAACATTTTCTCAAAGTTATTGACATTGATATGAAATCACAAGTGGTCAAAAAAGTCAAAACTGGAAAATTTATAGAAAGAAAGAAAGAAAGGATATATCTATATTAATATCTAAACAGTTAAAAGTGTGCTTGACATTGCTAATTTATAGGTGAATCAGTCATAAATCGATCCTTGTTGGGTTATCAGCCTTCCAATAAAACGACGCCCTTTCGTCAAGTGGATAACGGAAATAAAAGAGGTATATGCAGGCCACACGGCACTAAATCCTGATTAGGCTTATCAATCGATGTAACGTAGTATACTTTTCTGAACTAGTTGTATGTTCACAGTTAATATATATAAAAATTTAGAAAAAGGATTAAAATAAGTGGATTATGCCTGTTATAAGGACATTTAAGTCAAAGACTTGTATATGTATCATTGTTTAAATCAAGAAATAGGATTTATATAGAACGAACATCTGTTGGGGTTCCCCTTTTCAGACGTTGGACATTTGGTCTCAGTTTTGTGTAATTTTATGTTTGGAGGAGGAGGGAGGAGGAGAAAGTGATGGCTGCGTGGATGCTTCATTTATATGAATAACAAGAATCTAATTTTGTATTGAAATAAAGTTGCAAATGGAGCCAAGAGACCTACCACAACTGTCAAGTAGTATGATTCACAACCTTGACATAAAAGTTAAAACTATTAAATGTCAATTCCAGTAGATGTGACTGAAGAACACCGGACTCAGATACTTTATCTAGCTCAATACATATAAATTAAGCGCACCTGTATATTGGACTGGCGAAATTTTCAGCATAATTCTGGGGTAGGCATAATTACCGTTACCATTCAGAGATGAGTTAATGCAATTATGTATGAATTAATCCACTAAATTGAAAGCACCGGTACCTTAGCTGAGATTAAAGCCGATATGCAACTATCGGTATAAAACCCAACATTGAGAATTATGCTAACATGTTGGTAGTATTCTAACCTTATTATCGGTTTCATGTGCTTTAGTTTAAAATATTTGTTTGCGAAATCTCAACTTTACACACCATATCCTAACCAAACATGACAACTCCGATTGAAATCATTTATCTACAAAAGTACACACTATTCCCCACAGTAATTTCCTATTTATAAATTTATTTTGTTTACCATGTAGTATAAATAGATTTTGGATTCCATCATTAAACTTAAACCTGTAATTACCTTTATAAATAAATTACCCTATATCGAGCAATAACTAATAGACATGCTGTTACTTATCCATCATATTCAAGACATACTCTTGAAATGGTACGTTCTTGTACCTATCTTGCTTGTCGTACTTAAGGTTTTTTCATACTTCCGTAATAAATCATTATCGAAAAAATTAGGTGCAAAAACCCATACTAATTATGTAACTGATGGGTTCAATGGGTTCTTAATCCCTAAGACTTTGATTAAATATCAAAAACAAGGAACGTATATCGCTTACTTACATGGTTTATTTTCGAAACTTGAACGTCCTGATGTTGCAACATTCATTTTCAGAATATTTGGAAAGAATTTAATTATCACTAGAGATCCTGAAAATATAAAAGCAATGTTAGCAACTCAATTTAACGATTTTGGTTTAGGTCTACCAAGACATACTTCGTTTAATCCTTTATTGGGGGATGGGATTTTTACTTTAGATGGGGAAGGGTGGAAGCATTCAAGAGCTATGCTTAGACCTCAATTTGCAAGAGATCAAGTTGCTCATGTCCAAGCTTTAGAACCCCATATCCAAGTATTCGCCAAGCATGTTAGAAAGTATAACAAACAACCTTTTGATATTCAAGAATTATTCTTCAGATTCACAGTTGATTCCGCAACTGAATTTCTCTTTGGTGAATCTGTTGGTTCATTACAAGATGAATTTATTGGTATGAATAATCCCAGTACTGACTTTGATGGTAAAGCTGGCTTTGCTGACGCTTTTAATAGATCTCAACATTTGATTGCTCAAAGATCACTTTTACAAAATTTATACTTTCTTATTTCATTTGGTGAATTCCGTAGATGTAATGCTCATGTTCATAGATTTGCTGATCATTATGTTCAAAGAGCCCTCAACACTAATCTCGAAGAATTAGATAAAGAATCAAAAGGTGGTTATGTATTCTTGTATGAATTAGTTAAGGAAACTAGAAATCCAAAAGTCTTAAGAGATCAATTATTAAATATCTTAGTCGCGGGACGAGATACTACTGCTGGTTTATTATCTTTTGCATTCTATGAATTATCAAGAAATAAAGAAATGTGGGACAAGTTAAAAGAAGAAATATATGAAAGATTTGGATCTGGTGAAGAATCTAAGATTGAAGAAATTACTTTCGAATCATTAAAGAAATGTGAATATTTAAAGGCTGTGTTAAACGAAACCTTGAGAGTTTATCCATCTGTTCCAAGAAATGGTAGATACTCATTGAAAGATACCACTTTGCCAAGAGGTGGTGGTCCAAATGGTTTAGATCCAATATTTGTTCCTAAACATAGTAATGTCTTGTATTGTATCTATTCAACACATAGAATGGAAGAATTCTATGGAAAAGATGCCGATGTATTCAGACCAGAAAGATGGTTCGAGCCAGAAGTTAGAAAATTGGGTTGGGCTTATTTACCTTTCAATGGTGGTCCAAGAATTTGCCTTGGTCAACAATTCGCATTGACTGAAGCATCTTACGTTGTTGCTAGATTGTGTCAATTGTTCCCTGACTTAAGCAGTGACTTCAATTTAAATAGCGAGTATCCACCAAGAATTGCAACACATTTAACTGCATCTCTTCAAGAAAATAATTTAGTATCTTTATACTAATGGGTTTGTTTGGTTTAGTGAATTTTTTATTTATATATTTTTCTATAATATTCTATAATATTCTATATGAATTTGAAGTGATTTATTATTATTATATTAATTTTGGGTCTTTAATACTGCAGCTTGATTGCACAAGGAGTAGAATTCAGAAGAAGTATCTCCTAATAGATTTTGAGGAGTGTCAAATTCCTTTACTTTACCTTTATCAAGAACGATAATTCTATCATTATCGAGAATTGTCTCTAATCTATGAGCTATTGTTAAAATAGTCTTATCTTTAAATTCTGATCTAATTGTTTCTTGAATTATCTTATCAGTTTGAACATCAACAGCTGCTGTAGCTTCATCTAAGATCAAAATTTGTGATTTGTTCAACAAGGCTCTAGCTAAAGATAATAACTGCTTTTGTCCTGATGATAAGTTAGAACCACCCTCGAATACAGCAGCTGATAATCCAGTATCATATTCGATATCGGTATCATCTACATTTTCATCTTTTTGATCTTTCTTGGTTTTCATTTGAAGAACATGTTCTTTCATATGAGCATGATCTAACACCTCCCATAATTCAGCATCTGAATGAGAACCAAGTGGATCAAGATTTTGTCTTATGGATCCTTCTATAGTCTGTGCATCTTGTGGGATAATATTCAACTTATGACGCAAATCAAATAAACCTATCCTTGAAGTGTTAATACCATCAATTTCAATATTCCCTGTAACTGATTCGATAATACGGAACAACGAAACTGCAATTGTTGATTTACCAGCACCAGTTCTACCAACTATTCCTATTTTTTCCATTGGTTTGATACTTATATTTAAATTATGAAGAACCGGATCAAGGTTGTCTCTATACTTAGTTGAATAATTCTTAAATTCAATAGATCCATTTTGGGGCCACGATTCTGGAGGTCTTGAGTCTTTAATTATTAATTCTGCCTCAGGCTTTAATTTACAATATTCAATAATTCTTTCCACCGCAACTGATTTGGTCTCTACTTCAGCCCAACATCTTATAATTGAATTCAAAAGACCCGTAATACTCAACACATTGATCATAAGAAAACCAACCAATCCTGGACTAATCGAATTACTTCTTCCAGCAGTAAACAAAATCATTAATGTGGTAGCATACATCATTATTGCTGACATCATTTGCAATCTGAAAGATAACCATCTACTAGTGAATAGACTTGAATACATGGCACTAATTAAGTTCTCGGCATTTGATTCATTTTTAAATATAAATCTTTCTTGTTGATCGAAGGCTCTAATAGTTTCCACTCCAATTATAGATTCTTGTACATGAGAAAATATAGGACTTCTGCTAGCACTAACCAAACGTTTTAATTCTCTACCTGCTGGAATGAAATATTTTCTGATACTGTTAAACAAGAAAAAAAATACCAAGATAACTAAGGCCATTGGTGGTAAGTTGAATATAAGCACTCCCAATAATCCAAAAGACTCTATTATATAGTGCGTAAGTCCTATCCATGACCATATAAGCTGATCATCCAATACATTTATATCATCTGAAAAGCGATTTAAAATTCTTCCAGTTGGTGTTGTTTCAAAGAATGACATTGGTGATCTCAAAATACTATGGAACATGCTAGCATGAAAATATCTTGAAGCTTTAATAACACTGAATATGCATACAACTGAACAACCAATTAAAATAAACAATCCACTTGATATTCCTAATGCGGCATAAGTTGTCAAATAGTAAATTGGAGATACGTTGAATCCGACTTGAAGATTCTTTTCTGACCATACTTTCAACACATAGTTAGCCATAAGAAGTGTACTCATGCTACCAATATAGGTGAATACATAAAATATAATTGACCAAATATTACATGCTTTAAAGTATTGTAAATGTACTGAGAACTTAATATCACCAGTTGGTCCTTTTTCAGCATTGTCTCCAGTCTTTATGATTAAATCATTATCTTCATCGTCATCTTCTTCATCATGAGTAAATGAAACTATGCTAGCTCTTCGATGAGATGCCCGACTTCCGATCACTTCTAATGGTTCAAAATCCGAATCCTCTACAACCAAGTCGCCAGCGTTGGAAGGGACAAGCTTAATAATTTCATCATCAGATACAAATTCGGTATCTTCAACCACCACTGAAGGTTCATCTATGATCACTTGAGGCTGAATTTGGCCAAACTCTTTAATTAGTTCCGTGAGTTTGTTATCTTGATTTATAATTTCATTATAACTTCCGCTAGCTATTATTTCTCCTTTTTGTAACAATATTATGTTTTGAGCTTTATGAAGTATACCAATAGCATTAGTGGCAAGAACAATTGTTTTAGTAGATAATAAACCTTCTGGACCTAAAACTTTGTCAATCAAGTTTTTAGCAACATGAGCATCAACTGCTGACAAAACGTCATCTAACAAATAAACGTCTGCTCTAGCATAAACAGCCCTAGCGAGGGCAAGCCTAGCTTTTTGACCACCACTCAATGATATACCCTTTTCTCCCACAACTGTTTTATCCCCATCAGGTAATATTTCAAGATCAGGCAATAACTGACATGCTTCGATCGTTCTTTTATAGAAGACTTTATCGTATTTAAATCCAAATAAAATGTTCTGTTTGACTGTAGCATTCAAAATCCAAGGAGATTGTGCACAGTAGGCTATTGACCCATTTACACCAATTAATGTATCTGGTTTCTTATACAATGGAATCTCACCTAATAAACTTCTAAGGAAACTGGTTTTTCCAGATCCTACCCTACCAACTATGCAATTTAAATTACCTTTTCTCGCCAGAAAGTTGATATTTTTTAACGCAATATCAGAAGTTTCAACCTCATGTTCATTAACGGTCTCTTTTTTATTATCCCAATGAAAAGTTGCATTCCTAACTTCAATGGAAATATCGTTATTTTTTAATTCGTATGAAGTTCTGTGAACAGTAGAAGTATCTAACTCCTCTAACGCGAGCAAATCTTGTAATCTTTTCAATGAAACTTTGCATTCAACTGCTTGTGCAAATATATCAGGAAGAAACAATATTGGTTTAGCCAAAATACCAAACAATGATAAAGCTGGGAAACAAGTGGAAGGAACTAATGGTATAGGAGAAATATAAGAATAAGTTATGAGACAAGCACAAGGAATGAAAAAGGGTATCAATGACCACAAAAACATAGATAAAGCATTGAACACACCAATTTTCCTTCCAAGAGGTAATTCCCTATCATTTCTAATTTCCAGTAATCTTTCGGACATTGGATCTTCCCATGAATATAATTTGATACTCTTAATTGAAGTTAAGATTTCAGATATCAATTTAGTTCTCTCGTCTCTTATACTCATAATCTGATTATAAAGTGATGTGATTGATGTACTAACTTTAGTTGTAGTTGGAACTAAAATACATGCAGCAATAAACCCCGAAATGGTCGAGACTCCGATTATCTTAAACAAAGCATATAATGTAAGAAGTAACTTAATAGGACCTGTAGCAAGTTCAACGAAATGAGGTATATCGGCCAATTTACCAACATCTATTGAAATATTGTTAACAATTTCACCTGTTGTTTTGCCCTTTCTTGCTTCTGGTGAAAGATTGAGTGCCTTTTTGTAGACCATATCAGTCAAGGAACCCTGAATTTTGCATTTCATGGAATAATAGTTTGAGTAGTACCTGTTTACAGTGAAATACCTAAATACTGCACAAGTAAACAAACAAGTAGCGATACAGAATCCAACGAGGATTGGTTTACTAAAATCAGGACTTGTAGATGAACTTACTTCATTAAATAACAATATGAACTGTTGAAGCATAAATGCTTGTGCAAATCCAAACAAAACTTCCATTATGTCAAGACAAAAACCAATCAAGGCATGAAACCAATGAGTTATAACAATAACATAAAATAAGGATGGATTTTCTTCAGAAGCTGAATTCTTAAAGTTATTCCAATGTTTTAATAGCTTTTCGTAAGAGATTTTAACCTTGAAGTCAATCGGAATTTTTGGAAGGATCTTTATGTCTAATGTGTTGGACTGGTAGATAATTCCAATGTGATTCAGTGCCCATGAAAAGCTTACCTCAGTGAACAAACTTTTAACAGTTGATCTTTCCCAGTCATTTAAGTCATAGTATTCCTTTAACTCCTGAGTAGCTGTATAATAAGCATTTTCTGTGACTAATATCAAAACTGAAATAACAAATTGTAGAACCTCTATGGTAATAATTAAAGATACATTTGAATCGCCTGCAATATAAATCTTATGATCAGAGAATATATCTTGAACAAGCACAACCAAATTAAATAAAGAAGAAATCAACCAAAATAGTAACAAAGAAGCACATGGTATTACCGATCTGGTTGGCTCGGATATATGTAAGGGTAAAATTATGAAACCTATTGCGATAATAGATGACCCAGGACCCAACTTTGAAGCTGGTGATGAAGATATAAAACTCAATAAAATAAACAGTAGCAACAGTATTCCAACTAATCCTACTTTAAATATTTGAATTATTCCAACACTTTTAAATCTTAAGTATGATCCGAACGCAAACTGTATTTTAAATGGCCCATGTTTATTGTTTCTTATTAACCATATGAATTGAAATAATGCAAAACAGCCTAGTATAGTATTGAGCATCAAACTTAAAGATGAAAGAAAGCAAGGATTGAACGAATTCTGAAATCCTCCAGAAAATGGATGCGTTATAGCATCAAGTGAACACACTTTGAATGTTGTATTATAACTTACTATCTGATTTTTCATTATACTTATTTGAGCTTCTTAATACTGAAAAATGCTTGTAAATTATTCTTGTTGGTGTATAGGTTTGAATTTATAGAGAAACATCCAATACCAGCATTCCATCTCATAAGTTTCTTCTAACCTACGCCTGATATATGCCATTCGATGTCATGGTTCTTTGGCTGCTAATCTCAAACTAGTCTTTATTTATTTTGAACGCCGAGAATAGTCACAATTTCCTAATTGAGCGATAACTCCACTCATGACTCAATTTTTTTGCGCCCATCGAAAGAAGTGTTGTCACCAAAAGGTCGTGCGCTCTTGAGAAGAGCCGAGCAATGTTTTAGCAGCAATTACAATTTTATGTATGAGCTAAATTTACAATTAACTTACAATCAAATTATCCAAGAAAAATATTTTTTTTATTTTATAATAATTATCTAAAACAGAACTGACTCTACTGACAAACCAAACTATAAAAAAAGAAAACAAAAACTTAAACTGTCTAACAAAAAGGATCCCTTACTTAGGGAATAAACTAAAGCTTATCAATATCTAAATTCTTAAGATATCCACCTTGTTTACATAACGAATAGAATTCAGTACTTTCATCTTTCAAAAGATTCTTAGGAGTATCAAACTCCTTGACTTGTCCTTTATCGAGGACAATGATTCTATCGCTATCAAGAATGGTTTCTAATCTGTGGGCAATTGTTAAAATTGTCTTATCTTTGAATTTAGATCGAATAGTTTCTTGAATAATTTTATCGGTTTGTACATCAACAGCAGCAGTTGCTTCATCCAAAATTAAAATCTTGGATTTGTTCAATAATGCTCTAGCTAATGATAATAATTGTCTTTGACCAGAAGATAAATTAGATCCACCTTCAAATACCGTGGCTGACAATCCAATATCGTATTCAACCACTTTGTCTTCTGCTGAATCATCTGATTCTTTATTTTCTTCTTCTTTAGTAGCACCCTTCTTAGTCTTCATTTGTTCAATATGTGGCTTTAAATGGGCTAATTCCAATACATTCCATAATTCTTCATCGGTATATTGTGCGAAAGGATCTAAATTTTGTCTGACACTTCCTTCAACGGTTTGAGCATCTTGTGGAATAATATTTAACTTATGACGTAAGTCGAATAAACCTATTTTACTAGTATCAACTCCATCAATTTCGATATGACCACCAGATGCTTCAATTATACGGAATAATGAAATAGCAATAGTTGATTTACCGGCACCAGTTCTACCAACGATACCGATCTTTTCACTAGGTTTTATATCAATGTTTAATTCCTTTAAAACAGGGTCTAAATTCTCTCTATATCTGGTGGAGTAATTCTTAAACGATACAGCACCTTTAGTTGGCCAAGATTCTTCTGGTTTAGTTTCAGGGATTTCAGTTGGAGCTTCCAGCTTTAAATTACAATACTCAACAACTCTTTCCATAGAAACTGATTTTGTTTCAATATCAGCCCACATTCTAATGATGGCATTTAAGACACCAGTAACACTTAAAGCATTAAGCATAACGAAACCAACTAACGCTGAATTTAATTCATTTGCAGTACCTAAAGTTGATAAAATCATTAAAGTGGATGCATAAACAATAAGAGCAGAAATACTTTGCAATCTCATTGATAACCATCTATTACAACAAAGATTGTTATATGTGGTGGCAATTAAGTTGTTGATATTGGTCTTGTTTCTATAAATAAATCTGTCCACTTGGCTATAAGCTCTAATAGTTTCAACCCCTGTAACAGATTCTTGAAGATGGGAGAATACAGGACTTTTATTAGCACTTGATAACCTCCTAAGTTCTCTAGATGACGGAATGAAATAACTTCTAACATTATTATAGAAGAAAACAAGAATGGCAATGAGAAGTGCCATAATTGGTAAATTATAAATAATCACACCTAATAAACCAATAGCATTAAAAAGGAATTCAAATAATAATAAGAAAGCCCACATAATTTGACCATCGATAACATTGATATCATCTGAAAATCTGTTCAAAATTCTACCAACTGGTGTAGTTTCAAAAAATGACATTGGAGATCTTAACACTCTTTGAGCCATGGTGTCATGGAAATGTTTGGATGCTTTAATGACACAGAAGGTCCAAATAATAATATAAGCAAATAAAATGAATAAACCGGAAGAAATACCTAAAATACTGTATACTACCAAGTAATAAACAGCTTCCACATTTCTGCCATTGGCTAAATTTCTTTCGGACCAGTTCTTCAACACAAAGTTGGCATAAATAGTAGCAGCTACATTACCAGCCATACAAAAAATGTAAAAGGCAAGATAACCATAATTACAAGCTTTGAAATATTCTAAATATACAGTTAACTTGACCTCACCTTTAGCACCTTCTTCAACAGTGTGACCTGTCTTTTTGACAACGTCTTGATCTTCATCGTCTTCATAGTTATGTTCGAAAGAAACAAAACTACCTCTTCTGAGTGTATTTCTGGTTTCAATTCTTTCTAATTGAGAAAATTCACCTTCAGCAGCTAATGCAGCGGCAGCACCAATAGCAGCCGGATCGTATTTGACGATTTCATCATCTTTCAAGGAAAGACTTGACGTAGATTTGGAAACTTCGGTAGCTGTTTCAGTAACAACTTCACCAGCTTCTTCTTCTTTTTCGTGTTCTAATTCTTGTTTACCAAATTCATTAATTAACTTAGAAAGTTCACCATCTTTGTCCATGACTTCATCAAAATTTCCTCTTTCGAGGATTTTCTTATCTTTTATAAGTACAATTTCATGAGCTTGATGCAAAACGGTTACAGCATTAGTAGCCAAGACAAGAGTCTTTGTAGCTAACATACCCTTTGGACCCAAAACAGCGTCAGTTATTTTCTTACCAACATGTGCATCGACAGCAGATAAAACATCATCTAATAAATAAATGTCAGACCTAGCGTAAACAGCTCTAGCAAGAGCAATTCTAGCTTTTTGACCACCACTTAAAGAAATACCTTTTTCACCAACAACAGTTCTATCTCCATCAGGTAAGACATCAAAATCAGGTATTAATTGACAAGCTTCAATAGTGCTAGCATAGAATGCTTTATCATATTTACAACCAAATAAAATGTTTTCTTTAACAGTTGCATTCATAATCCAAGGAGCTTGAGCACAGTAGGAAATGGTACCACTTACCTTAATTGAAGAATTTTCCTTCTTTAAAGCTGAAACTTCTCCAAGGAAACCTCTAAGTAAGGTGGTCTTACCGGAACCAACTTTACCAACAATACAGGTTAATTGACCTTTCTTTGCAGTAAATTCATCAATTGATAAAGCAAGATTGTCAATACCTTCAGATTCAACATCTTCTTCAGTAGCTGCGGCTTTCTTTTGGTCGTCAATATTCCATACAAATTCAGCGTTTTTCACTTCAATTGCATTTTCGCCAACGTTAATACTGTCAAGGGATCTTTCAACGACAACATTTTCTAATTCATCGAGAAGGAATAAGTCTTGTAATCTGTTAACTGAAACTCTGGTTTCAACATAATTGGTGAATAAGTTTGGAAGCATTAAAATTGGTTCTGATAACATGTTGAATACAGTTAAGGCTGGGAAAACAATTGAAGGAATTAATGGAACATCAGCAATGTATACAAAGGTCATTAAACTAGCGCATGAAACCAAGAAAGGAATACAGAACCAAAGGAAACCAGCAAATGAGTTAAAAATACCAATTCTCTTGGAAAGAGCTAATTCCTTTTCATTTCTAATTGCAAATAATCTTTGCAACATTGGAGTTTCCCAAGAGTATAACTTAATACTCTTAACTGAATTCATAATTTCGGAAGTAAGTCTAGTTCTTTCATCTCTAATTGTCATGGATTCGTTATAAAGTTTAGCAATGGATGTACTAACTTTGGTATTTAATGGGACTAAGATAAATGCAACAAGAACACCTGAAAAAGTGGAAGGACCAATGATTTTATACAAAGCAAGTAAAGTACAGACTAGCTTGACAGGCGCATTTAATAATTCAACAAAGGTTGGCATATCAATAACCGTCGAAACATCAACAGATAAGTTGTTCACAATTTCACCAGTCGTCTTACCTTTTCTGGATTCTGGAGAAAGTCTTAAAGCTTTTTTATAAATCATACTGGTTAAAGAACCATGCAACTTACCTCTTATTAAGAAATATTGGGCAAAGTATCTGTTGAAACTGATGAATCTTGCTACTGCACAAAGGAAAATAGCAGATGCAATAGTAAAACCCACGATAACTGGAGGCCTTTCTTTTTGAACATCTTCTGCTTCACCTGAACCGCTGAAAAATAAGATAAATCTTTGAAATAAAAAGGTTTGACCGAATCCAAATACCATTTCTCCTAAATCTAAGAAGAAAGCTATAACTAAACTAACCCAGTGAGTTTGGAATAAAATGAAAAATAAGGAAAGGTTTAATGTCTTATCCTTTTTGGAGGGATTGGAAAGTTTCTTAAGCTTTTCTTCTAATTGAAGATTAGCTTTGGCTTCCTTTGCACTCCATATTTTGTGAAATAATTCATAACTAACTTCACTTTTTAAATCAACTGGTAAAGCAGGTAAATCTTTTTGAACCACTTTACCTGTTTCATAAACCTTTTTGATAAGAGGTTGAAGCCAAAAGAATCCAATTTCGGAAAATAAGTTTCTTCTTGAACTTTCATCCCAGTCATTCAAGTCGAAATATTCTGATAATTCTTTAGATGGAGCGTATAATCCGATTTCAAAACCTAAGATGACAATTGAGTTTAATAATAACCCGATTTCAATAGTATAAACTATGACAGCGCCTATATCATCATTAGTTGGAAGTAATACTTTATATGGAGAAAATGAATCTGACACGAAAACCACTATGTAAACCAATATGGATAAAGTCCAATATAATAAAAGTGACGCGCTAGCAATGACTGATCTAGTTGGTTCTATAATATGTAAGGGTAATAAAACAAAAGCGTTTACGATAACGGAAAGCAAGACTCCTAAGGTTATAATGGAGTTGAATGAAGTATAAATAAATGAAAACAAAAAAATAGAAAGGATAACTTGTAAAAAGACTGAATTTAATTTAACTAATTGAAAGATACCAACACTTTTCAATTTAAAAGGTGAACCAAAACTGTATTTTATTTTAAAAGGACCAAATGAATTATTGAAAAGAAGGGTAATTAATTGAAAAAAGGCAAACACACCAAAGATAGCGTTGAATAAAAAGATAACAGCACCAACGAAACAAGGGTTTAATGAGTTACCCCTTGGGTCGTATAATGGCTGAGTTATACCATCAACGAGGGAGCAAGCCAGACGAACCTCGTCTTTCAAGATCACCCCGTTCCCAATATCTACTAAGTTCACTAATTGAGCTATCAGAAGTGACATTTCGATAATAGTACGATAATAGGAAATAAAATACAAGAGAAGAAGAAGAAGAGAGTTAAATTAGTTGTTAAATTTCGTAGACAGCGATATCTGACCTTATCTATACTTCCAATTTGAGGTGCGTAAAAATGAAAAAAAAAAAAAAAAAAAAAAAAAAAATAAGAGAGGTTAAGTTTTACATGAACAAAGGAGCCACTTTGATTAATAATAAGAGGGGGGGTTAAGGTGGGCTTTAAGGTTTGGTCATGCATGATTCTATTCCATACCAATTATAAGGCCTTCTTATTGGTCAATAAGATAACTTAAAAACCATATTCTTGCTAACATGCTCATAGTGTTCCTTATCGTGTCATAGAAATATGGCGCCTTTTCGTCGTACGGACTTTCTAAAATTATCCTTTTTTTATATGCAGGGTGGCTCAAACGCCAGAAAAGACATCACATACGATTGGTAGCATATAGTTAAGTTTATTGATGTAAGTAAAAATCGGTGAATAATAATGGAAATGTGCATATATCTGTCGGAATAGTAAGGCTGTACTTTTGGTTTAAGATGAAAACTATATTTAGCTATTTTAAAGTTTACGTGTTTGTTGATCAAATGGTAACTCCTTATTTCATTATTTTTGATAACTGAATATGGCCCTAGGTCGCTTTCCCTTACTAGGATTGATCAGAATAATGATTCTGATATCTGAACTAGATGCATTATCTTTCGATCAATGCTACAACCGTTAAATCCGAATTAAGGATTAATATATATTTACAGTGTGTAACACGTCTAAATTAATTATGACTCATCGATTCAAAGCTTCTTTCTATTGTTTGTTATTGGAACTTTTTCAATTTCGATGACCTTTGATGCATTATAACGTTCATATGTATTGCTTTGTGATTATAATTTAGTGTTTAATCCCCTCTTCTTCTTCATTATCATAACTGTTAGATCGTGTAGACCTCCATAAAGTACAGCATCAAACGCAGTTATGAAATCTATGACTAATCATTATCAAAACATCTGAAAAATTTTCATAAACCTCTACACTAGATCAATTGAACCTGATTTGGAACAATTGTGAAAAATTTGAAAAATTTGAAAAATCAGGTTCCATTATTATATCATCATTTAATCTTTAACGGTTTTATTGTGCTTTTTGTGTTTGTGGTATGGATGTACTAGAGGTCTGGATGTTTGGGTTTCCACAAAATCAAAATGTATGGGGGAGATGAATTGAATTATAACTGGTAACTATAATATAAGGCTTAATGAATCTTTAATTGAATAAGAAGTAGAATCTATGAGGAAGCAACGACATATAAAGTCTCCTTCAAATATTCAACATATCATCGAAATCACCAATGATTTGAATAATTTGTTGCCAATTGGAACTTTGAATTTTCACCTGTTGCCATTTCATAAATCAGACTTAGGTGGTCTACCGATAAGTAATTCACCTGATGAAGTATGGAAATGGCTTGATATAAACTTCTTGATTAGCATATGTGGTGATGATGTCCATCCTATACTATTGGATTTACAGTTCCTCATAAATTTTAGATTCATAATGTCAACCTTCACCATCTATCATGTTAAGCAGAATAATAAGGATTGTCCTACTTTTCCAATTGCAAAGGTGAGAATATATGGGATACCTAATGATATCAACGGATCAAGATACCTTACTGAATGGCGTTCAAGTAGACCTAAGAATGCGGCAATTGATAGAAACTTAAGATATAGTTGGCCACGATTACTACAATATCTCGATTTTTCGGAATTGAGCTGGCAAACTCCAGGGGATAAGATCATACCATTAAAGAAGTTCTTGAATACAAAGTCTTTATTATTACTAGATGTAAAGTGTGTGTCTTCATCTCGCGATGACGTTTCTCAAAACTTCAATTTTTATGTCCATCGTTGGACTCTTAATCAACATTACTATGAAGAAGAAGCTAATATGTTAAAGAATGAATCGTTTGGGAATAGAGTTCAGAATATTTACAACAAAATTCAATCGCCAGAACTTTCACAATATGAGAATAAAGTTATGAAAGTACCGCCAAAGCTGGGCTCTGTACCTACATCAGAGGAAGTGTTAGTGAAATTGATACAAAATGCCAAACATGGAGTAACATCAATCGAAGGAGTCACGTCAATGCTTTATCCTTTTCAAATAAGGTCCATCGCCAAAATGTATGAGAAAGAATCATTCACCAAAAAGTCATTAGTTCCAACTTTTGTACAAATACCGTCAATATTCAAACCAAATACATTTTATTATTTTGATTTTCAGACTTACTTGTTATTTGAAAAGCCGGAAGTGTTCACTCTACCAAAGGGTGGAATCCTAGCGGAAAATATGGGTTTGGGGAAAACTTTAATTAGTTTAAGTTTAATTTGTTTAACTAAGTACGATATTTCTAGAATTCCAGATGATTTATTATTACACGATTCTAATGAAGAGCCTGAATTGGAAGAAGTGACTATGGATGAATCGGGCAATTTCATTTCTACAACACCTAAACCAGTGCAAAAAGTTCAGTCTCTAGTCAATCTTTGTAAAGAAGTCGTCAATCAAAACTCTTTGCCTTGGAAATATTACTCAAAAGATTTACCTCAATCAGTGATTAACATACTAAGTGATGATCCAGGGTACTTTAGAATTAGGCTAGTTGACAAGCAATACGAATCATCGTTTTCGTTAAGAACAAGAAGTCCATCAGTAAGAAGAAAATTATTCGAAGAAGAACTACCAAAAGAGGGAAACATTTATAGAACCCTTTTCTTGAGTAATACCACTCTAATCATTGTTCCTGATAACTTATTCCAACAATGGATATCTGAATTGAGAAAGCATATTGATTCAGAATTTCTTAACAAATTATTAATTTCAAGTCATTTCAAACATCCTTCAAACACTTCCAATGCAATTTATACTAATGAATTACCCATGGATCCAAAAGAATTAATTAAGTTTGATTTAATTATCTTAACCCACGCCTTCTTTGCTAGGAAGATTGGTGATTTATCAGTTGAAGAAAATCCCCTTAATAAGGTATATTGGAAACGATTAATCATAGATGAAGGTCATAGCATGAATTCGAAGTCTTCGAAAACAAGCGAACTTTGTAAAACATTAGTGACTGAAAGAAGATGGGCGGTAACAGGTACTCCCACGACTGGATTGACTAAATTGCACATGGATGAAGAAGAGAATGAAAATAAAGTTTTAAGTAGTCCTAAAAAGAAAAACAAATATGTCGTTAAGAGCCAGTTTAATGAGAAGGCCGATTTAATGAAATTAGGAAACATTATAGGTAATTTTCTTAAAATCGAACCTTTCCATTCTCAACCGAAGAGTTGGACAAAGAATATAGTCAATCCGTTGACTTCCAATCTTTATGGAGCTGATACTGGTTTGATAAACTTATTGGATTCCATTGTGGTTAGACATAATTTAAGTGATGTTGAAAGTGATTTAAAATTGCCTCAACTTCATCATGATGTTGTTTTCTTACAGCCTTCATTTCATAATAAAATTTCAGTTAATTTATTTACTGCAGTTTTGGCAGTTAATGCAGTTTCATCAGAAAGAACGGATATTGATTATATGTTTCATCCTGCGAATCGTCAACAATTGAGAAGATTGATCACTAACTTACAAAGAGCTACTTTCCACTGGACGGGTTTTAAACAAGAAGACATTGAGACATTGATTAGTATTTGTAATAACTCCTTAAAGAAGAGAAAACCTGATGGAAAGTCTGTGTATAATGATTACGATTTTTCGTTGTTGCTGAGATCTTTAGAAGTGGCTAAAATTGCCTTAGAGAATACAAGATGGAGAACATCTGCCTTATTACACGAAATGAATTATTTTGTAACTGGACTACCTGATATATTTGCAAATTATTTTGCAACAGGAGTGGTGGATAATGTTGGCGTTGATGGTCACCGCGCTAGTTTAGGTGTCTATGGGGCTCCCCATCTCAATGCTATTCAAGAGTTCTTCTATAAACATCGATTTCTTGATATTAACGATCAAGAAAAGCTAAAAGAAAAATTATCAGAACAGTCAAAGCCATTCTGGGACAAGTACTGGAAAGACAGTGTAAGGAAAAGTTCATCAAAATTTAACAAACAAGATTCAAATAAGGATTTTGAAGTAAGCGTCAAAGGTGGAGCCATTGCAAATGCTCTTAATGTTCCTGACTTAGTTAAAGACTTCACTCCTGAAATTATGCAACCACCCTCAGTATCACTTATGCAAAAGACTAAAAAGTCTTTGGACTCTAGTCCAGGAAGCAAGCTGAAGGTTAATTATTCAGAAGGATTAATATCAGTTGATACACTTCATTCTGATGACACAGATACAGTTGATAAGTCGATCAGAGAAGCAACAATATTAGGAACGGCTTCAGCAAAATTGTCCTATTTGGGTGCAAGATTACTCGACCATCAAAAGCAAGGTATCAAGTCATTGGTTTTTTTTGAGTTTGAAGATAGTGCATATTATTTGACAGAATTGTTAGATGTCATCGGTGTTAATTATATTTTATATGCTACATTTATCAATTCTGTTGAAAGAGGTAGAAATTTGTCATTGTTTACTGGACATAATAGTGAAGAAGAAGAAGGGATAACTTTAATAATGGATTTAAGGTTAGCTGCACATGGTTTGACTATCATTTCTGCCACTAGGGTCTATTTTATCAGTCCAGTGTGGAATAGATCTGTTGAAGCTCAAGCAATTAAAAGAGCGCATAGAATTGGTCAAACAGAGGATGTATATGTTGAGACATTAGTTCTTCGAGACACTCTAGAAGAACAAATTTATAGAAAAAGATTCGATAATAAGCAAGAAGAGACAGAGGAGAAAACTACAAATGAAACCAAGAATTTGATAGATGATAATGGAATGAGAGAGTATATTTTAAAACATGAGTTTTTACCTTATGATCCAGCTGAACCTGAATATTCTCCATTTCATGCACCTGAATTATCAGAAAAGACTGTAACCGGTCAAAATTTAGATATAAATGAATTTTCTCTTCGTGAACATGATGGAAAGGTACTAGATCATGAAAAATTTTGGAAAATATTCTTATTTTCAGACTTGAATCAAAAGAAGCTTACTGCAATAAAATCGGTGAAACATAATTACGGTGTTGATGGCGTTAGTGAAGGTGTCGACAATGAGGAAGGTGATGATGGTGGTGTAGTTGTTAAAAGAAAGTTGGTTCAATCAAGGGTCAAATCTAAAAAGGTTAGATTTTGAGTATATAGAGAGTAAATACATGAGAAACAAAAGAGTTTTATATGAACTGTAGATGCGTCTATTTCTATTCTAACTTATTTCCCTAACTATAACAAGACCATCATTTGATGATGAAGCCAAAATGCCTTCAGATGGATGATAATCAACTGATAATACATCACTTTGGTGACCTTCGAATGTACGTTTAACTCCACTGGTAGTGAAGTCCCAATTATAAATCTCATTGCCTGATCCTGAAAAGATTTGAATACCATCATTGGCGAAAGACGTCCTTACCAAAGCATTTTCATTTACCTTTGAAGATGATCCCTTTAAGATAGACGGATTCATTCTCTTCATCCCCTCTGGAATGAATCCCTTTGCATTGTATGTTCTGATCTTATCATTCATGGTTCTAGCGGATAGTATCGAATCATCACTATTGACCACTAATGAAGTTATTGATTCATGTTGACTCGAATCGGTCCATAAAGGTTTCTCGATCTGTCGTATATCAAAACATTGTATAATAGGATCTATCCCCGAGATGTAAAATAAACTCCCACTCTTATTGAATGTGGTAGTTAATAATGGATATTCAGTTTTAACAGTTCCAATGGGTGATTTCTCTCGTTGATCCCATAAACATGCAAATCCATCATCAGATACACTTACAACAGTTGAAACCGGGGATATATCGACTTCGTTGACCACTAAATCATGACTCAGACACTTCCTTATTCTCTGTCCTGTTGTAGCATCCCAGAAGCCAACAGTAGAATCAGCACTTGAACTGACTATGATTGAATCATCATATGACCATCTAACAGATGTCACAGCTGATTTATGACCAGTTAGAACTCCATAATTGGGGCTATAATCTTGGTTATCCACTGGTAAGTTCCAAAGAAGGATGGTCTTATCAACTCCACTGGATACTATCTTGTTACCATCACGACTGAACTTGGTAGATAGCACTCCTCCTTGATGACCTTCTAATGCTACCACTGTATCGACTAGCACTGATGGCTTATTGATTTCAATTGCCTGTATAAGTTGTTTCTTGTTATCACAAAGATCTTCGCCTTTCCTCCTCTTGACCAATGACATGGCTGATATGTGTATTTCTTGTAAGTGATATGGGGCTGCCCTGTCAATTGAAAAATCTATTTACACTTTAAATTGCGAAAATAATAACAAAAAAATATACGCAAATATTTATCTATTTTACTTATAAATATATATCTATACACTCCATATAGAAAGACAGACAGACTTAAGATAAATAACGATAAGAGTTGTTTTCAATACGTTCAATATATAACTTCTCAATCAAATGATCAATGACTTTCTTCACATCAATCACCTTAGCTTGGAACCTGTTTGCTGTTTGAGGTAATACTTCATTTATTAAATCACTATGTTGGATAGTTTTTCTTGATTTCATGATTCTAACAATACAAGCTGAAAGGAAATTTCTACGAGCTTCGTCAACTTCTTTAGCAGTATCATCTTCTTCTTGTTTAGTACCTGTTATTTTAACTGCACTTATGAAACTTACCTTTTGTCTTTTTGATTTATAGTCTTCAACTATAGTGAATTTTGTATCTTCTTTATTTAAATTTTCTTCTCCTTCAGGTACTTGTTCAAATAATTTATAAGAAATGAATGGTTGTAATTGAGCTTCAAATATTTTACTTGGAGTACCCACTATTTCATGTAATTCTTTAAATGTATAACTATTTTTTTCATTAAATGCCATAAGAATCATTAATTGAGTATTGGTAACAAAAAAAGTAAAATATGGATATTTCAGATTCTTTTTGGTTACATTTGCTCTTAATTCAGCTCTACCATGATTCCAAAGCCAAGTTAATTGTCTACCATTATGTTTAGTACCATATTTTTCCACAACTTGATTAAATTGATCTTGTAATATTGGAGCCACTGTTAAATCATAATCGGGATTATGATTGAATGGCCACATACTCTGAGCTAAGATTAATGGATTGAAATCTTTAACAGCACCAGCATCTCTTAAACCAACTCTTAAATCTTCGGAAGCCTTCATATCACTAAACATTTTAGACATCTTTGCAGTATATTCACTTGAATTTTCATCCTTTAATCTTTGCAATAATGAAGCTTCTAATTCTTCTGATTTTGAAGTATCAGTAATCAACCTTATAGCCAATTGACGACGATAGAAACTTTCAAACAAATCCTTATCATTTAAATATTTAAATACAATCATTAAATTATCAGCATTCATATCTAAAATATCAAGATCTTTACTACTTTTCTTTAAGAATATATCAGCATATCTTGCTAATATTTCAGGAGATTTACAAGCAACTTTTGGATTTGGACTGGCAATAACATTCTTGTTAACATAATGACGACAAGCATTATCCAATGCTTTAATGAATTTAACATCATTATTAAAGGCATTACTGACAACTTCACGATATTTATTATAAATATCAATCAAAGTATGAACATAAACTTTGGTATCGACTGTATTAGCCCCACCTCTTTTAACTCTAACTGATTTACCAGTAGTACCGGGAGCAGGGGTTGGAGTTGGACTTAATTCATCAGCTCCACTTTCACTATCAGCTTTAAGTTGTTTTAATCTTTGATCAGCTTGATCTTTAATATAATTTTCTAAACTATCAGCCAAAGGTTCTAAACCTCTTGGAACTTTAACTAATAATTTATACATTCTTTGAATATGAACGGTTTCATTTCTTTCTATTAGTTGAATGAATTCATTATAAATTTCTTGAGAATGATCTTCAATTAAAACTTTATGTAAAGCATCTGATAAATGTTTTTTAGTATGATCTTCTAAATAATTATTTGATCTTGAAATCTCTTCACTTAATCTTGTTTCACATTTAATCATATAATCAATAACATTATTTTTAGCTAAGAATTGATTACTTTCATTTTGATAATAAATTTTAGTTTGTTCTAAAAATTTTTGTTCAAATGATCTTACATAAACCATTAAATTTGTCTTTTTTAAATCTTGAGGATCAATACCTAAAAATACTAATGATTTAACGGCAGCTGAAATCAATGAAGTATCAACAATTTCATTATTTCTTTGTTTTTCAATTAGATCCATTAATTCATTAATTAAAGCTTCTTCATTTGGTTTAAACATTTCTTCTTTCCATTTGATTAAACATAAAGTATTAACATCATAAACTTCTCTTCTACCATCACTTCTTTCTTTATTAACCCAATTTTTATTCATATATTCAAATACATTATTCAAATAACGAGCACCAATAGTATATCTTGTCCATTTTCTAACATAAAATTCCAATAAACTATGATAAGAATCTCTAGGTAATTCTTCTAAGAATTTAACCAAATATTGATTTAATTTATTATATAATTCAGCTCCAGGTAAGATATAAGAGTTATTATTAACATCAGTACCCAAATTTCTTGCCCCTGCTTTTCCACCCATATAACTATTACCTTGTATTTTATCAGTACAATGATTATAAATGGCAGTATAACAACTCATATACATGATGGCAGTTATCCCAACATCGTTATTGGCACCTAAAATGCAATCCAACCCAGGTTTAACGAAATCCCAAGTTTCATTCACCGTTCTTTGTGGATGAGGCATAATGGAATGGAATGGAATGGATGATCTTCAGTAAGGGGTGATAGTTTATGGACAATCTAGTATGAACTTCACGTGATGATAGATTGATAGATTGAATAGATCAATTTACCAGTAGATATTCTAACGTGTACAATGAATCAAATCAATTGATCAGTCTGACAAACACACACGACAACAATTGAAACAGGGGGGAGGGATGCGGATGGCGACGTTTAACAATTCTGATTTGTAAACGACAAGAGTCCTAATATTATAAACTCCTTCAATTGACAACTATCAACCACACTAACAATGAAAGAAAAGGTTGATATGAACAGTTTTGATGAAATCAGTTGGATGCTTTCCAAATTGGTGGTTGATTTCTAAATTTAATTGTTGCCCTTTCTAACTTTGGAGGAGGAACAAAATATGTGAGTGAGAGTGCGGTATGGATGTTTTTCGTTTTTCTAGTTTGATTTATCAGATATAACTACAACTGTATCTATATAATTATAAGAGTAAACCCTTTTAAATAATGTATATTTGAATTGAATTCTATATTAATTAAAAATATCCCCGTTATAAATAAACTTAAATTGAAAAACAAAAAAATGTACTAAAATTGTATTGCTTTTGTTGTTTTTTAGTTATGGTAAACGTTCTCGTTATAATGTCTTCTCTCTCTCTTGATCTAACAATTTGATCAATCAATGGATTGAGTAGTTGGTGTACTTACTCTATCAACTACTCTTACTATACTAAGGGCAAAAGTTACCACCCAAAGACAAACCACCAAGAATAAAAGGGCACATAATGCTCTTTGTCTTCGACAAATTGATCCTACTACCGGATAAATAATCCCAATTTTAACTAATTCAGGTCGATTATCATTAATACAAACCCATTCTTTATCATATAAAGTATTAAATGTTAATGATAAATTAGCTGATGAAAAAATTATAAATAAAAGATCCAACATAATTAATCTCATTTTACCTAATGGATCTCTTAATCCTAATGGACTTCCATTATATTCATCATAAGCAATATAAATCAAATATGCTATAGCACAACAATTAACTACAATGGCCATGATTGTACTTGGTTGTTCTTGAATTGGATTACCATCATAATTTGTTTCTGAAAATACATAGATTGTACATGCTAAAGCTAAAGCACAAGTTGAAAATACAATAATTAATATTCTTAAAAATAATGGAATAAGAGGATTTTGAACAAATAATCTTCTAATAGTTGTAAATAAATCTTTTCGTTTGGCATTTGACATCCAATAACCAGCAGTTGATCTTACTTTAGGATGATTGTTTTCTCCATTAATATTATGTTGTTTTGATTCATCATGAGGTGATTTATTATGATTTAAACCGAGTAATCGTTTCCACCAGGGAATATAACCTTCATTACTTGAATTACCATCTTCACTTGATGTAGGACCCATTAAAGCTAATTTTAATCGATCATCTCCACCCCATTCACCATCTAAATCAAAATCCTTTTTACCGGTTGATTTTTCAAATGTAACTTCATCACTAGGATAAGTAGCAGGATAATTCATCGATGATATAAATGTCCCCCAATTATTATCTAAAGATTTCACAAATGGATCATTTAAAAAACTTAGATATTGTTCTTCATCATTTTGTTTCGAATGAACTGATTTTATAGATGGTTGAATATCAGATTGATTATTATTAACATTATTATTGTTTAATTGATCTTTATAATGAACTTTGGATAAGGTATCTAATACATAAGGAGGTATAGTATTAGCTCTATGAGTATATACACTAGTTTGAGATGATAGGAATGGGTTTGTTGGTGGGACCGGTACTAGTATTCTAGGTTTATTATTATTGATATTGGTATTAGTGGTATAATTTGGGCCATTATTACTTTTGATGCTATTATGATTATGATTATGATTGATGGTATTATTATTATTATTGTTGTAGTGGTGAATATTATTATTACTGTCTTGAGTTGAACTCGTGGTCGTGGTGTTTGAGGAAGATGAAGTCGTCGTATAGCGGCTATCTGCGCTTTCAGGTCTAGTTTGATCCGATAGATGAGTTTGGGTCATCAACACAGGTATGATTCTTTATTATTGGATGATATATAAGGGGGGAAATTAAAGGGGTGATAAAGGAATGTGATGAAAAATTGGTAAATGAAATTTTATTAATGATGGATGATATATGGGGAAAGAACGAAACCTGCAGATGTCAGGAAGAGTAATGACAACAGACACACAAATGACTTATCACACTAGATGATAAAGTATGATGATGATAGTATAATTGAATAAGGAATGTAGAAAATGAAGTGTATAGTGGGGTTGTAAATAATTAGGGATGGAGTTTATTGTTCCCTCCTCCTCCTCCTCATGGCTGTCTGTTTGTGGATGGATGAATGGCTACTGATGCTATTGCTGCTGCTGCTGCTTGCTTACTGTTTTGTTTACTTAGTGTGCGGTTATATACAGGACGGATGTTTTCCCCTATTTAATCCCACTTCCTGTATATAGAACACTTCATGGATGGTAAACTATAACTAGTATATTAATAAGATATCTTATTTGATTATATTTCTATACAGTATATCATCAATGTAAGTACATGTTTCTTATCATAACAAACTTTGAATATGATCATACTGACATAAAGTAAGGTACCATCAATCAGATTAAATCTTGACATCGAATCAAATTAAATCAAGTTGCAAAAAGTTGACTTGGCAATCTAAAAAATAATCCACGTTTAATTAGAAACGTGATTCCCACTCTTTTAATTATGAATAATTTGATCTGTTGAATAGGGGTGTGTTAATCTATGGTCATGTTTATTGGTCTAGTTTATGCTGTAGATGTCAATTAACCTATTTTGTTACTTAATCTAATTCATTTCAATATTATCATTTAAAGCATATAATATTAATTTACTAGTATTTCATGCCAATTATATAGAACTTTTATTTGCAACTCATAATCAGTTTGAAACCACTTAAACCTAACAATCAGTTGTAATAAAACATACTAACCAAAATTCCATTATTTAATTAATTGTGGGTAAATATACTATAAATGGCATGATTTATAAGTATAAATTTTAAATTATACAAATACTACTGCGGCATGGATATGTCCCTTTATTTGGTTCAAAAGGTATATAGAGCAACCAAAAACATTTAACTGTAAATAGAAACTCAAAGTACATACTTACATTTAAGGTATAAAGCTTTAAAGTTATCAATTGGTTATAGGTATTGAAAAAAGGTATCGTGTTTGTTGAAACAATATGAAAAGATTGACATCAATACATCATAATGGTTCATTAATACTATCTTCCAGAATTACCGATTTTGCCCCCACATATTCAATACCATTATATCGATATCAATCAACTTCCACCTCTAGAAATCCCACTGCAATCATCAATCATGATTCGATATGGGTGATATCCATACCTATTACCTCATCTCGATCATATATTTATTGTAATCATAAACCTACTATCTTAGATGGATCACAATTACAACGATTTCCATTAGTTACAAAATTAGAAACTCGATTAATTGGAATAGCATCTAAAGGATGGCAGAAATTAGCTAGTTCTAAGTTCTGGGTTAATAAACGGATATATGAATTTGCTAATCAAGTATTAAAGAGAGTTCCATATCAAGAGAATTGCTTAAAATCATTCCCATCGAAACGGGCTATGATTCGAGAAATTAATGAAGAATCATTAGAAGAAGTGAATCGGAAATTAAACAATGATAGTGGGAATCATCATCCTAATATAATTCAAACTGATGTGGATGAATTTAAAATCCCCTTGGATCAATTAAAATCAATCCCATTATATCATCCATCATTTCAAAATCCATCGATTATCCTAAATCAATTATATAATTTCCGAGATAAAGAGAAATCGAAACATAGGAAATATGCTATTCTATGTGCTATTGGAATTCCTATATCATTACCATTTGCTTTGATTCCAGTTGTACCTAATATTCCTGGATTTTATTTAGCTTATCGATTATATTGTCATGTTAAAGCATTAACGGGAGTTAATCATTTAGATTATTTATTAGAAGGATCTGAAACAGCCTTGATTGGAGAAGAAGATGAAGGTGATACTGGAGAATTATTGGCCGATCCTAAAACGGTGGCTGATACGAGACATATTTCATTTAAATCGATTTCTCAAATTGATAAATATTATGATAATCCTACTATGATTAATTCCAATAGTATATCTGAAGATGAAGAGAAAGTGATTATTAATGAAGATATTATAACTCGATTGTGTAATGATTTAGAATTAGATCATTTAAAGGAAGATTTATTAAGAGCTTTAAGTCAAGAATCGACTCGATTAAAGCAGAATCTAAAAGTTAATGATACAGTAGAGTAGGAGGGACAATACTGTTGTAGATTGATTTTATATTATTTAATTGTACATATTTAACATTACCTTATATATACCCTGAATGAACATATCGTAACATATCATATCATATCATATCATATGAAATAGAGTATACCACCCATTTTTATAGATAGAACCCTACAACCACACACGTGACATACCCTAACAGTCACACGCTACCACAAAATCAGAAAAATGAAAAAAAGTCACTCAACTTTTTTTCGCAGTGGGAAGCATATGAGCTAAGGTTCATAGTTAGAGGTTTGAGAACTGAACTGAACGATAATTATAAATTTCAACTTCTGGATTTTAATTTACTTTTCTTTTACTTCTTCTTTTTGATTTTTTTTGTTATTATACACAATTTATCATTCAATATGAGAAATAAGTGGAGAAAGAAGAGAGTTAGAAGACTTAAGAGAAAGAGACGGAAGGTAAGAGCTAGATCCAAGTAATCGGACAGCCTGAATTTATGTTAATTGAACCATTGCTCTTTTAAAAAAAGAGAGAGAGAATAGTTTCCTCCAACCCCAGTCTAAAACTAAAACTAAAAAAATATATATATAAGATTGAAACGAAGACTTGATATGGATGATTTGATATGAGTTGGTGTTTTAAAAAAGGTCAATTGTCATTGACCTTTTTGGTGTTTTATCAATATCGAATGAATCAGTTGAGTTATATCATATGAGTTACCAAAAATCTATTATTATTATTATTATTACTACTACTACTTTTTTGATGAGATTATCTTTTTAACTCATTCATTCCTATAACGTTGATGATGATGCTTACTATGAATTACAATCCAATTTTAATATCTAATGTGTTTTATATATGTCTTTCTTGTTGCTTGCTTTTTTCATTTTTACATTTTTTTGGGGTTTATTAGCCATTTTCTTTACCTTTTTTTGATTTTCATGGTTTGATTATTATGTTTTCAAAGTGTTTATATTTCTAGTCTCTTATTTTAAACCGTACTTTTCCTATTTTGAAGTTGTTCAGTTTTAAACCTAAATAACCATTAATTTGATTAGTTACATGTCCGTATATAAAGATAATAAAAAATTTACTATTGTTTAACCATTTATGGTTTAACAGTGTTATTAAAAAAATTTCAATTTTTGTAGTTTGTTTGGGAAGTTGTTAGCGATTGAGATTTGGCTGCATTGATCTTAGTGGTTTTTGGCTGCGACACCACAAATGAATAAATTCCTATCTTTTATAATGTTTACAGTTATATATATCTAGGCGTCATCTTTTGATATTAGGGTTACAGTATAGAGGTTCAATTATGATTAATGTTCCACTAACTGTTGATCATGTTAGACCTGGTCAAAGTAATCATGATGATTCAATTGATGTCTATGAATCTTCTTCATCAGTTCACATTCAATCACCGCCAATCATAAATGATACTGAAGTTAATCATCCATTACCTCCTCCTCTTCTTTCCCCATCCTCTTCATCACCACCACAAGGTAATAATCAACTCATAAATCGTCATAAATACATTCCAGCCAACTCTATTGATGTCTCACTTTCACCCCCTCCAAATGAAAATCCCGTTTCTGAATCTCAATATGAACTAAAAAGATTAAATTATGAAAAACGTAGAAACCGATTAAAGACTCCAACTAAAATTAGAACTAAAAGAAAATCAACTAATTCAGTTCCTTTATCATCAATCCCCTTAACGAAAGTTCCTAAAATAAATCAATCTCATCCATTACATAGTATTTCACCTCTTCCAATTAATGATATTAATTTTCAACCAAAATTATTTGATGGCAGGCGCTACCACACTTATACGTTTAAAAATTATGTTAAATCACCATTAAATCCAAATGCAGTTAGAGTCATTAATTCTACAGGGAAATTAGGTACCACTTCAAATGGGTTAAATAATAAAGATCAATTTAAATTAAGTTTGGAAAATACTCACTCTGATAATATTAATCCTAATAATGAAGAACAAGATAATAATAATGATGGAGATGATGAATCATCTGGATTTATAGTTGGAAGTTCAGCTCATACTTATTCTCAAGAAAGTTCGTTCCCATTCCGTGATTTAACTTCAATCATTCAATCTCCTCATGAACCTCCATTTCCTGTCCCTCCTATTCATCCTAAACAAGGTCCAGTAAGACAAAAAGTAATTAATCAAAATAATACAAGATTATTTGCTCCTACTGATCATTTTCAAGAATATATTGAAGAAAGATTAATTCGTTGGAAACCATCTGATTCTCAACATAATAATGAATCAACAATCATTGGTAACCATCCTTTCCAATCATTAGAATATGATAAAGTTGGTAAAAAGAACAATAAACCTTTTAAATTATTTTCAACTTTAGGAAGTTGGTTTAATCCAATTGAAGAATTAGAAACTATGGAATCTCAAGATTTAGAAGCTGGTCTATCATCAATTGATTCAATTCAACCATCGGTTGAAATCTTAAATATTAAAAAGATTAACGATAATAATAATAATTATGATAAAATTATTGGAAATTTATTATTAAAACCAAATAGTTCAATATCAATTTTACCTTTACTGCAAAGATCAACTCCTCAACCAATTTCAAATCAACCTCTGGCTATTCAAGCTCCAAATTATACTCCCAAAGGTATCCCATTTAAAGATTATGAAATTAATTTTGAAAAACGAAGAGAAACTAATGAACCTAATAATTCAGATGATGATTTATCATTACTTGATACTTTAGATGATGATGTTAGACATCTTGTGGATGGTATTGATAATTTTGTTATTAATTGTATTGATGGAATTTGGAATTTTTTCTCATCCTTTGGAAATTTATGTTAGATAAGATTTAATAGTATATGTTTTAAAAATGTAAATGATTTTATATTGAAAAGTCGTATTTAAAGAACTTTAAATGATATAAGAATGTGCAAAATAAAAGACAACATGAGATAAAGTAATAATAAAATGTATAAAAAATGGGGCAAAAAGAATTAAATAACTAAAAAAAAGAGGGTCGAAAGACTAATCTATTCAGAAGCTTCAGCAAATCTTTCAGAAATAGAAGTTAATAAAGTATTAAATTCAGCTTTACCTTCTACTTCACCTCTTGATGGTTCAAAGAATTTAGCGGATGAAACTTTATGTTTAACATCAGAAGTAGATTCAGCCAATTTAGACCATTGAGCACCATTAGCCACGGCTTTTTGAGCTTCATCATAATAAGATACAAAAGCTCTCATCATATCAAATGTCTTCCAGATTGGACAGAAAGCATCATATGTAGAATAACCATTTTGTTGTAAGAAATCTTCCTTAATTAAATTGGCCACATCTAAAGTAATCTTATCTGAATCAGATAAAGCAGATTTACCCACTAATTGAACCACTTGTTCTAATTCTTCAGCATTGGAAATAATTTCTCTGATTTTATCTCTTAAAGCTGGGAATTCAGGATAATTGGAATCATAATATTTATTTAAAACATTGGTATATTTGGAATATGACACAGCAGTATTAATCGATGGGAAATGCTTTCTTTGAGCTAATTTTTTATCTAAACCCCAGAAAACTTGAGTAATACCTAAAGTAGAAGTAGTAACTGGATCAGAGAAATCACCACCGGCAGGGGAAACAGCAGCAACAATAGAAACTGAACCAACTCTATCAGGTGATCCTAATGCAATAGATTTACCAGCACGTTCGTAGAAAGAAGCTAATTTGGCCCCTAAATAAGCTGGGAAACCTTGATCAGCAGGCATTTCTCCCAATCTACCGGAAATTTCTCTTAAAGCTTCAGCCCAACGAGATGAAGAATCAGCAATCATGGAAACATCTTTACCTTGGTCTCTGAAGTATTCGGCTAAAGTAATACCCGTGTAAATTGAGGCCTCACGTGCCGCGACTGGCATATTCGAAGTATTTGCAACTAAAGTTGTACGCTTCATAATTGGCTCCTTTCTTCCAGAAATCTCTGTAAATAACTCTGGGAACTCCATCAAGACCTCTGCCATTTCATTGCCTCGCTCTCCACAGTTATGAACTAAGGCAGAGTTTGATAATAAGAATTGATGATCGGAATCATCTTCAAGGGTAATACCATAATAATCATCAACATCCTTTTCTTGAAGGTAGAAGCTGAATTGTTGAGGTTCACGAGTAACTCCAACTGGTTCTAAAGCCTTCTTACGAGGGGCTGCACATTTACAAAGTACAGAATCTAAAGTAGAAGAGGCTCCCATGTAAATAGCATAGGACTCTTGATGATGGACACCACCAACGACAATTGCTGCTTCAGTCGAAACTGAAGTTGAAATACCCAAAGAACGGGCAACAGCAACAAGACCATCTCTAACTGCAGGATAAATTGTTTTAACAGTAGCACTGAGACAACTATTTGTTAATTCATCCCTCTTCACATGACCATCGGAATCAACTAAACCAGCAACGAAATATTCTCTAACTTCAATAGATTCAGAACGGAAAAAGCTAGGAACTGATTTTAAAAGCTTCTTGCCATCCCATTCAAAAATATCTCTAAGTAAAGACCACAATAAATTGTTGGTATTTTGATTACGACGAATACCCTTTCCACGGGTTTCAGTGTTGTGTAAAGAAATTGTAGAATCACGGGAAGCCTTGTAATGACTTTCTCTCATTTCTAAATCAGCAACTTCTGCGCAATCTTTGATACGTGAAATAATTTCTTCATCTCTTGAATCGACCGAAAAAGCTACTCTCTCTGAATAACCATCACCAACCCAGAAACCAAGCAAATAAGCCATTTCGTTTACAATTGAACCATCATAATCATTTCTTTCAATGTATTTAACCAATTCATTGTTTTCTAATAAAACAGGAGCAGAAAATTGTCTCGTAGCACGGCGGACATGATGACCCATTTTGGCAACATCACGAGCTTCAACAGTCCAATTAATATTGGAGGTCGAAACTGTATTTCTAAATTCATTGGCTTTTCTAATTGCATTTTCTGGACCATGTGTCTTATGTTGAAACGATTTGGTAGCTAAATATGGCATCTTATATTGACGACCGGTAGAATCTTTCTTGTCTCTCAATTCAAAATAAGTGACAGAAGTTTGAGGCTCACCACGCAAAACATGATTAGTCATATTAATTCTTTGATTGGTTTGAACAACTAATTTATGGGTGGCATTACAAGTGTATGTAGTTGTTCCATAAATCTTTTCAGCTCTGTGTTGGGTCTTTTCAGAAACTTCATACATAACTTCTCTACCTCTTGGTAAAGCAACGACTTCCCTTGGAAGACCATCTTTACCCATAACTTTATCACCAATAGCAACATCTTCAATACTCTTATCGTCACCATTAGACATCATGACTTGAGTACCTTTAGCAAAACAGCCTACATAGATAATAACATCAGAGTTCGAATACTTGGATAATGATTGTGAAATTACGGTTTTTCCGCAACCGAAAGCACCTGGAATACAAGTAGTACCACCTTGAACACATGGGAACAACGAATCCAAAACTCTTTGACCTGTTAATAATGGATAATCCGCTGATAGCTTTTCAGCAACTGGTCTTGGAACTCTGACAGGCCAAGAATGCATCATAGAATAAGAATGTTTCTTACCATCAAACTCAAGTTCTAAAACATTTTGATCAACGGTATAAGAACCAGCTTCAGCAATGGAAGCAATGGTACCTCTAGCTCTTGGTGGTAATAAGATTTTATGATCATCTAATAAAGAGTTTTCAAAGATAGAACCAAAGATATCACCACCAGTAATATGATCACCAACCTTTAATTTACCTGGAGTGAAATCATATTGAACAGTTCTAGATAAAGCTGGAGCATCCACACCTCTTGGGATATAAATGGATTGAGATTGTTCTTTAATGGCTTTTAAAGGTCTTTGAATACCATCATAAATGGTTTCCATTAAACCTGGACCTAATTCAACTGATAATGGTTTACCAGTTCTTAAAACAGGATCACCAACAGTGACACCGGCAGTTTCTTCATAAACTTGGATAGTGGCTTTATCGGCATTAATACGAATAACTTCACCAACTAAGTTATCATGTCCAACCTTAACTAATTCGTACATGGCACAACCGATCATATTTTCAGCAATGACGACTGGACCAGAGACAGAATAGATAGAACCATATTGAGATTCAGCAAGATCATCTATAGCAAGACGCTTGATTTCTTTACGAGCATTTTCTAAAGCACCAGCCTAAATAAAAAGTTAGTATATTTATTCAATCAAATTAGTATAACCCTAATTTACTATCATACAAATTAGGATCTCGAAGAAACTGTTTCAATAGTCATCTATCAATTGTATACCCTTCAAAAGCAATTGACAGTTCAATTGATAGTTCCAACCATTCACTCGACTCATTACATACCATTTTCGTTAACTATAATAGTAATAATTGGACAAAAGTACTTAATTGATTCAGAAGTTATATCCAATCTTATCATCTTCTCTCATTTACTAATTAATCCCTCGTTTCTTTCCAACGAAATGGATGGTCGTGTACCGCCCCTCCATTTTCCAACCAAAAAATTGATAGGTCGTTTGAAGTTCAAAAAAATGTTTAATTTCTGTATAAGATAACGAATTGAAATGGCTGTAAATATATATATAGTTAGATTAGTACCACTTCGTTGTTGATTGTATCTACAAATTCAATTATGAGTATTGGTTCAGATTCATAAAGATCAAATGATCATGATCATTAATCCCTAAGAAATTTGTTCTATTACTGATAAATGTCTAGCTAAGTCTAGTTAAAGTTACAACTACTTATAATGACTACAACTTTCCACCTAACTTTCTAGCTCTATCTAAGGCAATATCACACATTGCTTCAAAAGCCTCTATTCTTTCCAATTGAATATTATTTCGATGTATTCTTTCTTTCATATTTTCCATTATGACCGCACGAGAACGACCATTGACAAACACCACATATCGTAATCCAGGAAATGTAGTTTCATAAAGATCGTTTAGTTTAATCAATTGTTCACTTTCCTCTTGTGAAGATGCTTGTAATGATTTCTGTTCTGCTGAAGAATGTTGGGATAAATTTGTGTTGGTAGCTTTCGATGATCCACCTAATCGAGGATGGGCAGCAATTATCTTAGAAATTCGAGGATCAATGGGTTGTTTTGTAGTTTGGGATTGTTTCTCTTCATTAGTTAAGAACAATCTCAACTCTTCTCTAACCTTTTCTATAAATTGTCTATATGATGTGAATGGATTGTATGATGCATGAGTTAATATGTTATCTATTATAAAAGTTGATAACGTATCGCATGGTTCAAACAAGTGAGCAAGAGTTTCCACTTGGTCTGGCCTTGAGATCGACGACAATGACTCTACTGGAGGCAACATATATGACATCGTATCTATTGACTCTTCAACTTAAAGAAGTAGTTAGAATATTTCTTCCTATTTATATATACTTTGGATAAGAAACATTTTAGTTAGTGCGATCAAAATTATCTCGGTAGCTTCCGAAAATAGAGATATCATAGTTAAAGTTAAAGTAGACTTTTTATATTAATACTAAAATAAAATGCAGAATAAAGATATATAAATCGTTTTATATATATGAAAGGAAGTAAAATTGGACTATAATGTGATAAAAGGGTGAATAGATTATGCTAGGATGGATGAAATGTGTTGTTGTAGTTGTAGTTGTAGTTGCTATGGTATAAGGGTTGAATCTACATGATATGTTCAAGTTGTCTTAATCTAGCTAATTCTTTCTTTGATGGAGCACCCTTTTGAGCAATCAAAGGATGTCTCCATTGTTTGACGTAAGTAAACAACACGTTAGCCAAACTATCTAAATCTTCTATACCTAAATCTCTAAATGTCTTTGCGGTTGGATCTATGGTTTGATGAATTAAATGTCTTTCAACTTGATCTGGGTTAGTTAATTTCCAATATGCCAATTGTTTAACTTGAGCAATTATTTTAGCAAGTGGTAATGGAACATAATAATCAGCAAAAGTATATGGTAAAGCACCAGCATTGGCGAAATCTTGAGTAATACCATGAATCATTTGTCTAATTTCTAAAAAGGATAATTTTTCAGGACCATATAATTCAAAAGTTTGACCAACAGTTGAATCATCATAACCAATTTTTTCTAATGCTCTTGCCACATCTAAAACATGAATTGGATAAATTTCTTTAGCATTTTTATTTGGAGTCCACATTTTTATCTTTGGACCTAAATAATTTAATAAATTATCTTCTCTACCATACATTGGAGATGGTCTGACAATAGTTGAATCTGGTAAAATATCTTTAACGATTTGTTCACCAAGACCTTTAGTGGCATAAAAGATTGAATTTGAATCTGGATTGGCATTATAAGAAGAAACATGAACATATCTTGGTACACCAGCATCTTTAACGGCTTGAGTGATTCTTTCAGTTAAACCGATATTAACATCAGCCATGGAGAAATTCTTGGTATTATAATCAACACCAATACAATTGAATACAATATCAGAATGAGCTACTGAATCTTGAATTGATTTTAAATTTCTAGCATCGAATTCAACAAAATTAACGACACCTAAATCTCCAGTAACTTTTAAAAATCTCTTTTTCATATCATCTCTGAATGGAACCACAGTGGTAGTACCATGTCTAGCAAGTTTAGAAGTCAAATAACGACCTAAAAACCCAGTAGCACCAAACACAGTAGCAGTGTATCCAGTTCTTGAAGATCTACCTCCAGCACCTACTGATACATTGACTTTACCATTTCTAGTGATATTAAGATCTGATTCCAACACAGAAGTATAGATGGATCTAGAACCCAATTGTCTAGTTATATTCTTAGATGACACTCTCAACATAGTCGTGTTTAATCTCTCGTAGTTCTATCTTGAGTTTGAATGGTTTCACTTCTTCTTCTTCACTTCAATTTTGATAGTTGATATTTTTTTAAATGAAAACATAATGCGAAAATTAAAGGCTCTGGTTGGTTAAATCGAATGGACTGCATATAATGAGACATAAAATCATATACAGAACAGAACAGAACAGTATCATTATATAGTTTTACAAATTTATTAAAAAGTTGTATTGGTACCAATAAGATATATAAAAGTATAAATATAATTTCGTTAATTTAAGTTAAAAATAGCAATATACTAAAGGAAAATAGTCAAAAAGTTAAAGTTTAAGTAGAATGAATATAAAAAAAAAGGGGAGGTAAAGTGGAAAAGGAAAGGCAAAGGGAAAGGAATTTATTATGAATTCAAAACAGTATAAGATTCATTGTAAATATAAAAAAGGACACTTTATACCATAATTGAAAACACAGCAAAAAACTCAACAATAAAAACAATAACTATAACAACAATAAAAATCAGAGCAAAAGGAAATGACAGGACAGGACAGGACAGGACAGGCAAAATTTAAACAGACTAAAACAGCAAAGGATGAAAAGTAATAGTAATTAATAATAATAGTAATTGGGGGTGTAAATAAAAAATCATAAGAAATAATCGGGAGTTTTTCTGGTAACAGTTGGTTCACCTGGTCTTACTGAAGGATCATATTGTAAGAATTGTCTATTGTGTTGTTCATCAACTTCCATAATAGCAGCTTGATTACCACATCTATAACAATAATTTGGAGCTGAAAAGATGGTTACAACTGATTCTTGATGAGACCAACTAAACCCTTCCATAACCAATTGATGAGCTCTAGCAATAAGACTTAAATCATTTGTATGATTGAATTGTTCAGAAATATCTTGACCAAAAGTGAAACCGGCACCTCTTGGACTTATACCCCAACCACCTCTATCATCAGGATCAGACCATAATAAATCACACATTGGACCTTCATGAGGAACTTCTTGTATTCTATTTAATTCTCTTACTTGATCAATAGTTTCAATCATTGGAGATAAACCACCATGTAAACAAAAGACTTTATTATCAACTAAAGCAGTTATAGGGAAATAATCAAATAAATCAGTAAATAATTTCCAAACTGTTGCTGAACCATATTTTCTTAAACATTCATCATAAAAACCATAAACTTGAGTAATTTGTCTTGATTCATGATTACCTCTTAATATAGTGATTCTATTAGGATATCTTACTTTCATACAAACAAGGTAACTAACTGTTTCAACAGAATAATAACCTCTATCAACATAATCACCCATGAATAAATAATTTGTATCAGGACATGGACCACCGATTTTGAATAATTCGATTAAATCATGAAATTGACCATGAACATCACCACAAATAGTGACTGGAACGTGAACGGGTTGAACATTTTCTTCAAATTGTAATACTTCTATAGCCATATCACATAATCGTTTGACATCAGCTTCTGATAATGGTTCACATTTACTTAATTTGTCGATCCATTCATCCAATTGATTGATGGTACCGAGACTCAAATCATCATGTAGATTTGATGGATTTGAACCAGATGCATTATTATTTGTAGTTGATGATGTTGTATTGGAGGTTGATTTTGAGTCTGAGAGTTTTGATTTCAGAAGTTGTTGTTCTTCAACGTCTTCCATTGGTACATCTGTGTCTAAATCCATTCTTTATATTTTTATATTATGATGATTATGAATATTATTATTAGATTATGATGTATTTTTTTTTACACTATTATTATGAATATTCCAAGTTAATTGAAGGAGAAATGAGATGATTAATGATAAAATTTAAAGTAAGAAATGAATGACTATTACTAAATCTGAACAATTGACAAACCGTTAAAAGATATACGAGTATATGATAAATGCTATTAATGCTGGGAATGGAATGGAATGGAATAAGAGAATTTTGGGAACAAAAATTAACCGATAAAAAAGGAATGAAATGAATGAATAAAACACACAATTGAAACTAGAATATAACTAGATAGATAGAAAGAGATGCTAACACAGGACTCTCCTAAGATGATTGATCTATTGTTGCAAAGCTATGATCACACCAATGAATTGATATGATATGATGATCGCAATGAACGAACAAAATAAATATATAGTTATGAAGTGATTTCAAGAGGGAGGTAAGGAGGAGGAGGGGGGGATCGTTTGATTGCACTAGATTGAGTATTTCACTGGGATCGATCGATGGATAGAATAGTTGGCGGATCGATGGACTCACAGTAAGTACGAGGAAGGTGATTGGTGTGTAATTGGGTTTGATTCAATATGATACTTTCTAATTACTAAATCTGTGGTAAATTATCGTTCATTCCCATTTAATTTCAAATTTTTTTTTGTTGGAGACACTTTAGTGTGACGCTCATAGTTAAGGGACAACTCAGTGACAAAAAAAAAAAAGAGAAAGGGTCGTGTGAAAACGGACAATTTTTAATCGGTCTGATGTCACACCCTTTTAAAGGCATATACCATATAGTAAGTAATAACACATAGTTAAGATACTAACAATGAAAGCGTAATTTGAATGTGTAATTGTATAGAATGTGGAAGTTAATAACCTTTCTTATCAGTTAATTTATCACTTTTTCAAGGTATTCATAGTTCTAGTATCATGACCTTAATTATCATCAAACATGGTGTCTTTCATTATAAGTAATGCTTTTTATTCATAACTATTTACATAATGCATAACTAAAGAGATATACTTATGTACATACTCAGATACTTTTCATTCGTTCGTTCGTTCGTTCGTTTAATGTCTCCAACTCTTCAAATATTGAATACTTTCACATCTCAAGTCTATTCTCCAATATCTTCATACCAATCTTGGGGTCTTTCATCTATAAACTTCTTCATTAAATCAATACATTCTTGATTATTCATATTTACCACTTCAACACCTTGGGATTTCAATAATTCTTCTGCTCCCACGAAATTAACATTTTCTCCTAACACAACTCTCTTGATACCATACATTATACAAGCTCCAGAACACATATTACACGGTGATAATGTAGTATACATAGTACAGTTCTTATACACACTTCCCTTCAATCTACCTGCATTTTCTAAAGTGGATATCTCTCCATGTAATGTAGCTGAATCCTTTTGAAATCTCATATTATGCCCACGTCCTAATACAGTCCCATCTTCTGAGATTAAAGCTCCACCAATTGGAACTCCACCTTCTTCATATCCTAATTTAGCTTCTTCCAAAGCAATCTCCATCCCCTTGATATCATTAAAGCCCATGTTGTTCTAGTTGTAAGTTGAATGATATACAATAATCGTATGGTTTACAAGAAATAAATTATTACTTTTTTTATTTTTATATGCGGAAAATAATTCCGTGCTATTTTTCATCTCAACGGTTTTCTTTCGCAATTTACTATTTACTCATTTATAAACATTAACTCTACCAATTCTATCCACCGATATGATCATCTTGGTAGGTGTATTGACCATTTCAACATCAGATATCTTATCTTGATGATCAGTGGCACTACCTGATTGTAAAGCTACTACACTCTTTAAATCATAACTTTCCTTTCGTTTACCATAATCGGGCTTTGCTTGCTCCGTTCTATAAACTTCACAAACCATCTTGGCAGTATGAACAAATATAGTCTCAATACCTTTTCCAATAGCACTTGATTCGGTTATATCTTGAATATTCCATACGATAATTCTCAGATCCCACGTTGTACTAATGAAACTATGTTCACTTGGATAATATTTGAATGAACTCATACTACAATCAGTAGCTTTACCAGATTCATCTTCCAAGTACATTTTATCCAAGTTTAATGAGATACTATCGATCACATTATCAAGATTCGAATCCTTAATTGAATTACTAACCTCAGTAAGACTATATCTATCCCCAAAATTCCGACCTTGAATTGAAGACCGTAAGATTTGTTTACATTGGAAATCAGGTATACTCCAAATAGAAATATCAGGAGCTTCACTTCCTCCAATCATCACAAATGAATCCTTTAATGACTCACCTAATGGTAATTTATAGTCACCAGGGAAAATCATCAATTTCTTGATTCCAGTAGTTGGTGATTGATCAAGTTTCACTTTATAACTCTTAACCAATATCTTAAATCGAATATCCCATAACGAAAGAATACCTCTATCTGTACCAACAATCACCCAACTCATTTTATCACCTACGATGAAAGTAGTGATATTTCCATGAATTTGAGGATTTTGAACTTCAAGAGTCTTTTTCATCTTGATAATGTCAATGGTAAGGATTTTAGATGCAGTAGTAACTGCAACTAACACACTCAGCTTTTCAGAAATACAAAATTGAAGTTCTGTAGCATACGTATTGGCATCTAATTCAAATTTTCGAATCAAACTTAAATCCAGATACTTTGTAATCTTCTTGTTATTTCGAAGTACGTCAATTCTATAAATCCGAATTATACCATCAGCAGTCGAAACAGCAAACACAAATCGATTTGGAATGAATTGAATACAGGTAATTGAAGAACCTAATTGTAAACTTAAACTTGGAGTTTTCATTAATGCCATAGCTTCTTTCATTTTTACACAATCCCATATTTTTAAACCACCCAACTCAGATCCTGTGATTATAAATTCCCCAGTAGGACTAGCTAATACACAAGTGAATCCACCAGTGCTGCCTTGATCTATTTGTGAGATTAATATGCCTGCCGCCTTAACGGGTAATTCCTTCTTCTTAGATGAAGCCAACATAGCTGATTTATGACTCTTCACATAACTACCAAATTCAGGGAAATCACTTAATGTTGGGTCTAAGGCAAGATCAGTCAAATAATTCAATATAAATGGATTATCCCCTTGATAATCATGACTCGAATTCGCAGTAACTATTTTTGAACTATTGCTTGTGAAAACCTTATGAGTCGAACCATTATGATCTTTGACAACTTTATGAGAAGAGCTATGAATTGAATCATGAGCAATACCATCATAACTTAACTCCATCTCTCCAAATACATTCTCTTGAACAGTCTGCACCGAAGCTTTAATTCGATTAAGATTGGGAAGTATGAAGGAATTTAATGATCTTGATTCAAATTCTCTAAGTGAAACAGAATCACCAGGATTAGTTGAAGCATCCACATCCGACCTAGTAATTCTTGATGCTGTGATTAATGGCTCTGATTTATAAGTAATTTGAAAAAATATATTCCGAGGTTTAAGATTTATAAGATCTCTTATGCGATAGAACTTTATATCATCGGGCTCCTTACCTTCATTTAATTTTGGTGTACTAATATGTGATATATAATCACGTAAAATGAATATCTTAATCAAATCTTTATCATCTAATCCGATAGATTTCAATTTTATAACCCATTGTTTATCTTCGGCAGATAACGGAAATGTTGGTTTTTCGGCACCACCATTAGTTAAAGTTCTATTGGGTTCATTATTATTAGTTATGGGAAGATAAACTGATTTAGCCATATTCTTTGAAAATGCCACAAGCTTTTTAGATGAGTTTGTTGTATTAGATACTAATGAAAAATTCTTTTGATTCCAGAACAATGCCTTCTTTGTAGCATTTAAAGACCATGTAACGGAAAGATCAAACACTGGCTTTGATAAAGGTTTGGTCAAACACACATATAAAGCTTCCCAACTGATTTCCGAGGGATCGTATGATAAAAACCCTTTTATGACTGGATATAGAAAACAATATTTATCAGCGTCACTTAATTTATCACCTATTGATACAATTAATGTTAATACACTTTGACGGATCCATTCATTTGGTAATAATAAAAGATTAGTTGAATTTGAAAGTAATTCCTTATAGATTTCCAGAACGTTAAATTCCTTTTCCGGATTGATTAATTTATTTACCACAAATTGATTGAATATTTCCAATACTTTAAGAACTACAAATGGTTCTGGATCACGTAAGGTTTGAATAAGTAATGGTAAAATATACTGTTCGAATGATAATACCGCCACAAAGGGAGCAATCTCTAAAACTGATGATAAGAATGATAACCGAATACTATAATTTGAATCATTTAAATAACTAATTAAATGAGGTAAAATGATATCGTTTGTCTTGTCAACTCCGAAATAGTCACACAAAGGGAGAATGTTATTGATCAAGCTGATCTTGACATAAGAATTACTATCGATTAATATCTTCAACGTCAAATCTTTGAATGGAATATCTAACTGATCCTTTGAAATATTGAATGTATTGTAATCATCACCATAGTTTGTATTCAAAGATAATGAACCCAACTTACTATTGATATTGTTGAGTGTCTCGCTCTTAAACGTTTTTGACATCATAAGGAACCTTTTTGCCGTTAATGCCAAGTAAGGTAAGCATCGAGCAATACAAATTCTCACAAGGTCAGCATCGTCAAGGATTTCCTCTTTGTATGGTCTTTCAACATCGACAACAGAATTATTAGTGGTATCCAAAGGAGTTGACAAATTTTGCCTTTCTTTCGATAGTAATCTAAGAGAATACAATGCATTTAACCGTGGTAATAAATATTCTTGAAACATGAGAACATTAATAGGAGTGATATATTTACATGACTCTAATAAAGCAGTGATGGCAGTCAATGCCTTGCATATCACTATGGCTGATGTTGACGAACTGTCTATAGGTGCTCCAGAGCTTGGCCTATAAACATCGAATAATGACATTAAATATGGCAATGACCTATCAAGTTTTTCTTCATCTTTTATTCTTTCTGAAAGAGCAAGGATTAATTCAGCTGCTTTAAGTTTGGATGAAACTCGTTTTAATGACTTTGTAAGGGAAAACACGATACTTAAAATGATTAATGCTGGTTGTTTTGGCTCACTCGATGGATTAGGCTTGATACTGTAATTTGGTGGCATTCCCGGAAGATTTAATTTTATTATTGAATTACGTGATTTTTGACCATCAAGGGGAGTATACTTAAAGTTTAATGCCTGTGATATTCTTGCATAACTTGAATAAATATGATCGATCTTGAAATCACTGGATGACATGTTACGAGTATTAAGGGATGAATCACTGGTGTTTAATTCACCAAGGAAATTATAAAGGAAATCATAAAAGTGCAGTGGAAAGCATTTGTCCTTATAATCTCTTAAGATACTTGATGCCAGAGGTCTTTTGGATGGATCAATATCAAGTAACTGAGTAACCAACTCTCGTATATAGGTATCTTGTATGGCAGATAAATCTGGTACATATTCGTTTTTCATAAATTTGAATAATTGGGACAATGTAAAAGTTGGTTCTCCATCAGAATAAAGTTCCGCTATAACACAACCCAAACTAAATAGGTCCATTTCCTCTGTAAGTTTATCGCCATTGAAATGACCATCATCATCGACATTCTGTACAATGAAATTCGATTTCTGTGAGCTATAAAATCTTTCTGGAGCTAAGTAACATACTCTTCTTCCTGATGTATCATAATAAAATGAAAATTGATTGGGATTATCCTCTAAGATATATGTAGGTTTACTGTAATCAGCAAAATCAGTTAACATAAGCCAGTTCCATGACGTTACTAAGAAATTCTCTAGTTTTATATCTCCATGATAAATATTTAAGGAATGTATATCACTCGCTATCTTTAACATTTGGAATACCATAAAGGACTTTTCAATAGGAGCAAGGAATGGACGAAGTGAAAGTCTATCGTATAGATTTGTCTTCAATAGTTGCCTCACTAGATAACCAGCCCTATCAGTTTCAATAATCTTTTGCCACGGTAGTATATTGTTATATTGAGATAGCATAGATGCTTGCCTAGCTTCTAATGCCACTATATCATCCAACTTTAGATTATATCCATTTGATGGTTTGATGAGGATTTTAATTACCACGTAATTACCTGTTTTAGAATCGATTGCCTTTATCGTCTTTAAGAATCGTGAATTGTTTAACATCTCCACAAATCGAAAATTCTCTAGAACATCAACATAAGACGATATAGCCACCGTCTGTGCCGAGGGTGCCATTAAAGACAACTTTGCTCCCATTTTCTATGTTGATTGGTACTTTTATTCTATGCAATTGACGTCTGATAATTAGATGTATTCCCCAAACAGTTTGTACTTTTGCATTATCGCGAATATTTTTATATTTACAATTGCATTTTTTTAGTGTTAGTTATGACTCTATAATTAGATGTCACATATACGGCAAGGACATAGAGAGGAAGAACATGACACTGGTAGTTATCTAGATCCCACATTTGGTCAGTATCCTGCATTTCCATCTAATGGAGTAGGTATTGATTCGGAAACCAGCGAAGAGGTATCTAATTATTTGAAATCAGTAAGAGAGGAAGCTGAGAATGATGACTTAGTTCATTTTGCTCCACGAACAAATGGTACATCAGGCTTGAAAAGGAAGCATGAGTCAGAGTTGGATGAAAAGCCTGTTGGAGTTGATTCTAATTGGTCAAAAGATTTATTATCAAAGTTTGTCACGATCAAGCAAGATATCAATCGTCATCATGGTATAATAGCAAACAGTGTAATTACCACATCACTATTACCTGATACTGCAGCTCAATGTCGGAAGCTCGTATTTGAAAATGATCCTCCTCAAATAGAACGTTTCTTTAATAGCATAGATAGAGGTAATATCTTTAAGCTATTAATATATTTCACAAAATGGTTAAGTAAAAGTACTAATGAACATTTATCAAAATGGATTTGGATGACGTTCTTAAGAATTGATAACGAACTTGAAGCTAGTGAATGTTCGATAATACGAGATTTGGCTAAAAAAGCCTTGAAATTAGCCAGTAAGGTTCCCATGGAAGAATTGGATGATAATACAAGTTACACACTTGATATGATCATAACGTTAGTGGGTCATTATTACGGTCAAAAGGATTTAATTTATTAGCATTTTATATAGTTTATTTATTCATTGATAACTTAATATATAAGTTATACTGTGGTATATATAAGCATATCAATCATGACTATGTAGTAAAGGCTAATCTATTAAAAATTAGTATGTGTTGAGAGAGTGAGCGCAAAAAGATCACCACCGAAAAATCTTAAACTGAAAAATTCAACGAAAATAAATCACATAGATAACTTTATAGTGTTATTTACAACTACTTTCATATATCAATCACAATGGCTCCAAAGGTTAGACAAGACTTAGTAGTTCCTTTCAGACACGCTCCAGCAGCCGCTCGTGGTGATGCTTCTAGTATGATTTCACAAACCTTACCTATGGCAGCTATGTTCATGAGAAACAAAATGTTATCTTGGGCTGCTGTATTCTTAGCTATCCAAGCATTTTTAAATGAACCAGTTAATGTCATCAAAAAGGAAGGTGATACTTCCCAACCTCCAGCTTTAAGAATTGGTTTTGCTCTTATCTCGTTAGTCACTTGTTATATTGATATCTTTTTCCCTGGTACTATGCCAGGTGGTGCCAGAAAAGCTGCTGATATCGCTAGTGCCACTGCAAGTATCGTTGATGCTGCCAGTACTTAAAAAGAAACCAAAAAAAACACATTTAATGCCGGTCATTTCTACGTAGATCTGAAGTTTGTATGAATCTTAATTAAAATAATATACGATTTTTTAGTTTATAATACATAAATAATACAAGGGTGTAGAGAACATAAAAATTTCATATTTAAACACATATCTACATGGAGGGATTTTAATCTTTCCAACCAAGTATAACACTCTTTACACCACGATAAGATACAGACAAGTTAGCAGAACTGTTGTCCCAATGAATATCACATATACCTGTCTTTGAATCTATTGAAGAAAGATCGTTAGGTATGTTAGCCGCAAAAACAGCTAAACATTTTAATACAGATTTAGGTCCTGATCCTGAACTTGTATATGCTTCAGATGATACATCCCATATACTGACTCTTCCTAGATCATCACCTAAGGCAAGATATTTATGATCTGATGAAAGAGACACTGTAAATACTAATGCATCTTGTTTGATATTCACATCTGATTCATCGGAAATTTTAAAGTTATCACTATTCTTGAATAATTCTGTACTTAATAAATTGACTCCTGATACAGCATTCCAGATATTTAATACACCATCTATTGACACTGATAATAGCACACTATCAGTATTGTTTAAGTTTTGAAGCCATTCCAATCCAACTATCGGAGAATTATGGGGTTTTATACTATCACCAGGAACATTTAAATCAAGACCCTCTTGAGATGAACCTCTACTCCATACTTTAATTTGATAATCGAAATCAGAACTTGAAGCTAATAATTTAGATTGATCATTTAATTTTAAGTTCGTTATTGTATTCTCATGGCCATGAAGGAAGCCAACTGTTTGAATATCTGCTGGTTGTTGTTGTATATCGACAGAATAAATTTTGATTGAATTTTTGATGGTAGAAACGGCGAATTTGTCATCCCCAAGCCAAGTAGCAGCTATTAGGGTATTGGAGTTATCTGATATATGAGGAGGATTGATTTGTTTGATCAACGATAATGTATTACCATTCCATATACTGACTTGACCATGAGTATCTATACATAAAAGTAATTGACCTGATTCACTCCAAAGAAGATCAGTTATATTAGGGGTAGAAGCACCTTCAACAGGTATATCATCATTAAATAGATGAGCTATGTTTCTTAACTTTCCATCTGGAGACCAAGCTCTTAATTCACCATTACTTCCAGCTGTCACCAACACATTACCATGAGGAGACCAAGAAACTACGTTGATTTCATTTATGAGATTTAATACGTTTGGATGCACCAAATTAACAGACTCGGCTATAGAATCATCTTTGATGGCATTTATAATAGCACTTGAATTATCTTTACCATATGCAAATACTTCTGTACTTGGATGCCACAGAGAAACTAAACTTTCATCATATGTTATTCTTGGTGTTATTATTTTGGTGGTAAACTCTTCATTGGATGTTTGGGTACTAGTTTCCTCTATACTATCAATTTCCATTTCTGTTGTAGTTTCATTTGTCCCATTTATAGGTACTTCTGACTTCAATAGGAATCGTTTCTTTTCACTATCTTCGTCACCATTTGTATCTTCATCATTTATGTTTCCATTTTCTATTTCTTCTCTTAATAAAGTGCCAAAGAATGATAAGTTATTTTTGTCAGGTTCTTCGGAAGCCTCGTCCTCGGCTAACGAATATAACATCCCCTTCTGTACTAGATTGACTAAACATCCTGGTTGTATCTTCGAAATTAATTGCAGATTATCGTCCCGCTCATAGTCCAGACAACGAGCATTCTTCTCCAACGCAAACGCAGCTAGTTCAAAGCCTGCCTCTTGAAGATATCTCCACACCAAGTAGTTTAGTTCTGTACTTGTCAATGACATGGATTAGATCTACTCTATGTGTGAATTATGGGAATTGAATAAGAGAATAATCGATATTCAATATTTAAAATTCACTATTTTTCTTTTATGTTTTTTTTGTTCTGCTTATTCTGTTAAATGTTTTTTTTTTCTGGTTATGTTCTGTTTTAGGCCAAATTGTTTCTAGATTTAGTTTTGGTACAAAAATTGAGTATCACATAACAAACAGATCAACAATTGATTTGGCATAAAGAGGGTAGGCAAGATTGAACCAAATGGAGTTTGAAACCAAGATCAATCATAGGAAGAGTCGAGCTGCTTGGCAAGTGACTGGTCAATCGACTGCTTCCAATACAAACACTCATAATCCATATGCGGTGGAGAATAGCTCTGTGGTGAAATCGTCTGGGAATGGTAATAATAGCAAAGGTTCAAGTCCTGAAAAGAATCCCTATGCAACAAATAACACTAATAGGAAACAGAGCAGAAGAATGAGTATTCATGCTTCAGCAGCAGCTCATGCTCATGGGAAATCATTCTCTCAAGCTGCTCCATTTGATTTAAGTACCCTTCCTCCTGTTCCAACGTTGGAAGCAACCGTTAGTCAAGCTGCAGAAGGGAATCAATCAGTTGACAATCCTCAAGATATTGAAAGCAAGTTGTATGCTGATTTAACCAATGGATCAGCATCTGAGATTTATGATTATTTCCAAGTCCTTACCAAACAACGAGAAGTGATTGAAAGAGATATTAAAAAGAACATTAATGAAAATCAAAAGAACATTTTATTATTAACGAATGAATTAAAATCAACCCAAGATGAATTATTACAATTAAGAACCTCAAAGAAAGACCTTGAAGAAGTGTTTGGATATTTCCATGAAACAGCTCAAAGAAGATTGGAATTGGAATTAGAACCATCAACAAGCCAAAATTCAACTAATAACGGTAACGGTGGACATTTAGCTCAAGCCAGCAACTCAAATAAACGTAAAGATAGATCATCAATATTAGTGCTAGAAAAATTATGGGCCACTGAGTTACAATCATTATTCAAACATGTGGAAGGAGCCTCTAAATTCATCCAAGCTTTACCAGGAAGACATGTCTTAGCCGAAAGTGGACGATGGCAAGAAGTCAATGTTGGTTCATGGAAAGCTACCAATTTAACTCATTTATTCGTGTTGAATGATGTATTGTTAATAGCCACCAAAAGAACTGCTCAAGATGGAGGTAATGGAAATAGTAGTAATAAATCTAGATTACAAGCCGTTCAAAGTTGGCCTTTGAACAAAGTTGAATTATTTGCTATTGAACCTCCTGCATCATTACATAAAGCTGACGATAGTAAAGTTTACTGTATCAATATTAAATCAAAATCCCTAAGTTTTGTATATCAAACTGATAGATATGATCATTTTATTAAAATTACAGAAGCATATTCCAAAGGTAATAATGAAATGTTACAAAAAGAAAGATTAATGTCAGCTGGACGTATGTCAACATCTGATAGTGTTGATTTAAGAGAAGAAAAGAAACAATTACGTGATTCATTGAGAAACTCAGGTGTATACGAAGGTATTGATGAATCAGGAAAGAGACTAAGTGGATCCCATAGAAATAGTGCTGAAATGGTATTACAAGATATTTCAGCTCGAGTTCATTCTCGTAATAGATCCCATGATCTTAATAGTGTTACTGGTAGTCTTAAATACAATAATGCCACTACTTTCAATAATGGTAATGATCGTGGTCAATTCTTTAATGATATACGATCATTGGAAAGTCGTTTAGATGATGTTGATGTGGAAATAGCGCATAATCAATATGCCCAATCAGTTGGATTTATTGCTCATATTGAAGGTAAATTAAGAAGTATTGAAACTGCATTAGTGACTAATAGTCGAGGGAAAGATATCAGTGATGAATTGTTACTTATAGATGTCACCAAAATAAAATTACAGAATCGTAAAGAGTCAATTCAAAAGTCGCTTGTGTTTGATTTACAACATAATATCTCCAAATTAAGTGATGATAAAGTCGAAAGTATAATTATATACTTTGAAAGCTTCAATCAATTAGACAAAGGAGTTGAAAGCTATTTAAATGCCATGTCCAATTATTTGTCAAGTACTGTATCAAGATTAATTGTTGGTGTTCAAGGTTCAACCAAGATTGATGTGGTTAATTATTTATCTAATTTGGTCGTTGTCTATATATCTATTATAAAGAGAGCCATACTGGTTTATAATCGTAAGATTAGTGTTATCCTTAAGAAAAATCAAAATGGAAATGTTGATTCTAGTGGATTGATAAATTGGTGTGTGGAAGAAATTAATAATTTAAGTATCCAAATAAAGAAACATCTTTATGGTACATTATTGATTTCAATTGGGATTAATGAGATTAATAAAAAGATTTATAAAATCAAGGATTTAAAATTATTTAAGGAATTCTTGGCTGTTTTAATTCCACAATTAGATGAATTAAAAGTTGTTGGGGTTAATGTTGATTTTATTTTTGAAGATATTTTATTCTTATAAGTCATAAGAATTTCTAAAAATAAATAAATAGTTTAAATGAAAAAATGCAAATAATAAATAACATAAATGTATATACTCTATCTTAACTTCACGTTACTTTTAATTAATAGTCTGTTTTAAAGCTTATCATATAACTTTCCTAATTGATAATGCTCTCTAAAATATGGCCCTTTACGTTTCAAGATGATCAATGATATAGATGCAATGGACATTATACCCATCAAAATAGTGAATAAAATGCCTGGTCCAATGGCTCTTAATAAAGGTTCTACTACAAATGTAGCTGTAGCAGCCAAAATTTGACGAATTAAATTATTTAATGCCACACCGGTAGCACCTTTACCTGGTAAAGTGTCAACCAAATATGTTACAGTTGCACCAATAACCAACATTGAAGCGAAACCAAATAAAGCCGTACCAATCAATGGGATAAGCCAAAATTCTCCATACTTCAATGCCCATCCAAAAATAAGACAAGCAGGTGGATATAATATGATAGCCGTGACAATATTCCAACTTATTCTTGATTCTGGAGCCAAGTCTCCATTATGAGATTTAGCATATTTAGCTAATAAATGATCATTCCATTTTCCACCAATGATGGAAGCTATGATATAAGTGATTGAATTGGGGATATATAATAACCCAATGATGATACTGGAGAAATTGTATGGTTCATGAGCATAGCAATATGAAATGGTCATGTTGAAGAAATAAACCACCGCAAAACAACAGGATGAATAGACAATGACTAATGCTACTGGTGGATGTTTCAAAAGAATGATGGAATGCATAGGACGAATTAAGATTTCATAAGCGTTATGTTTATACTCATCCCATTTGGAAGGAACTGCGTTTTGGTCATTTGGATTTACATTGGCATCACCGTCTATATTATTATTGGTATGGGATGCTATGTGAGATATTGATTTCTTTAATTCTTCATCGAGTAATTCTTGAGCTACTTTACGAGAATAGGTGGATCTATTGGTAGCTACTTTTGAAAGTGATGGCATTATAGGATCAACCACGATTTCGTCCTCTTCATCATCACCATCCCTGTCATTTGGAAAGTTGCTTAAAAGGATTGAACTTCGAGAGCTGAATCTTGATAAATTGGTAGCCATTCTTTGCAATACTTCATTTGGAATTTGAAGTGGTTCTTGATTTTTGGAACTTGATAAGGTTAAATTAGCAGGATCAGAATCATCTTTTTCACCACTTCCAGAAGATTCTTCTTCTTCCTTATCATTTGAATGAGGATTAGTTGCATCTAACATGGCTCTTATAGCAGCTAAATTATCACTTTTTCTTAAAGTTTCTGGTAATAAAAATACAATCAATACACAATTACAACCACTGAATATAACCAATAACCATTGGGTAGCTCTCCAACCCCATACTTGAGCTACAACCCCACCTAAGATTGGAGCGAAGAAAGGACCACATAATGGACCTAAATAATAATAACCCATCGCATTACCTCTATTTTGTGGAGAGAATAAATCAGCAATGGTACCAGCACCAACTGCTTGAACAGAAGCAGAACATCCACCTTGTAAAACTCTTAGTACGATTAAAGCTGAGATAGATGGAGCTAACGCTGTACCGATTGAAAATGCAAAAAACATTAAAAATGATACGAGATAAACACTTCTTCTTCCAAATCTTTCACTGAATGCAGACCACCATAAGGGGAAAATACCTAATGATAGAAGATAAATCCCCACTGAAATATTAACCATAGATACGGTTGTGTCTAAGTTTTTGACAATATCATCAATGGCAGGTAACATGATTGAAGTACCCATTGGACCTGTGATGGCAGCAAAAGCAATGATAGCCACTATAGTATATTTAACTGATAAAGGATAATCTCTGGCATCTTCATATTCTGGAATTAAAACTATGGTTGATAATAATCCTCTTCTATTCTTTAGAGATACCCTATTTGTCTTTACGGAAGATTGTCTTGATTTAATACGGCTAGCTGTTGATATTTCCGATACTGATGGTTGCACTCCAGTAGCATTATCAGTCAGATGGATGGAGGGATGATCATGTATAGGGTTGACTTGATGTTGAGAGCTGATTTCTTCTTCGTTATGAGAAAGGGACGATGCTAATGAAGCCGTCTCAGATATGTTATTGTCGCCAGACATAACTATATATTGTATTTTGTGTTATTACTAAGTAATAAATGGTATAATAATTAAAGTTGAAAATAAAGTAAATGATTCAACCATTTAAGGCTGTGAAGGTTAGTATAATAATGTATAAACAGATCTTATACAGTAAATAAGGTAATAACGGGAAGCAAACACAGAAATAGTTTTATATAAATTTGGGATCATATAAATGAATAAATATGGAAATAGGTTAGGCTAATTTTTCTATTCCCTTTTGACATCATCGGTTGTAACTTTTGTTGAGAGTTACCTGATTGGGGATTTTAGCCGCTTATATGAGAGAGCCTTACAGTGCAAAAAATTAATTTATCGAAAGAGTTACTAATTAAGGTTTTGCTTACTAAATAGGCATTTCAAGTAATGCTTTCAAGGATACTTCATGCTTATTAACGTGGTATTTAAGGTTGTTTACATGGTAAGGTATTAACTGTGGTGGTTAAGTCATGTTTATTATGCACAGTCATCGGCCCGGTTAAAAAAAGTATTCATACTGCTAAAGGTGGAGTGAGAGTGGTATGGATAACTCAAAAGTGAATGAATTTATGAATAGTATAAATAGTTTGACAAATCTTCTATTTTATATAGTTATGTAGCCGACTATCCCATTTAACCTCCAAGTTAACTTCTAAGGTATGTAAAAATGTAAAAATACGTCTAAACTCCTTGCATATATCCTTTAATAATCAGGATCAAAATAGGCAATATCCGTTAATCTTAATTAACTATATAATAGAAAATATTTGTACTCCGAAAACGTTAAATTCTCGTCCCATTGATAGATAGAGGTAGACCAAGAAAAATTATATAAAATAAGTAAGGCAATCATTTAAAAGAATGTACTGAAAATCAGTTAAACATCAAAATTCTATTTTAGCTATAATTGTTGTTTTCCTGTATACAATTTTTCTTTGTCTACGACAGTTTGGTAGCGCGTGGGCTTTAATTCCGTCAATTAATTCCGTGAGGTCGCAAGGATTTTCCTCGCTGTCACTAATAGCTAGCGAGAAAGATCCTATAGATCTAGTTTCCATTGCATCCATCGGCATCTAATTAACTTTAACATTCAGTGACAATATAACATATCATTCCTACTAACCATGTTCTCGTCACATGTGAATTAACGATAGCAAGCTTTAGATTGCTGATTATGAACTATTTAAGCTTTTAATTACGTGTGTCAAAAATAAATTAAAAATGTATCCATCGGTAACTAACTTTACCTCCCTCCTTCCTTCCTTCCAACTCTACCTCCCTCCCTATCCCAAACTCATTACGGCGACAAAACTCCCTAAAAAAATATAATTGCCACTAAAAACTTAAAAAAATAATTTTTACGCGCGCGCGCCTCTTTTAAAATTAGAAGTAAAAATTACCATTACCACCGATGATGGATGGGTCATTTATAAATAGATACAAATTTACACAACAACAAAATCCTTTAACATCTAGATTATATTGATCGGATCGATTAGATTACAATACTGTGAATCATATCTTTATCAAGTTTCACGCATCATATTCCTCGTGTGATTTGATCGTTAACTAGTTTGAATTGATAGATTGATTGATTGATCTCTAGTTTTGCCGTCAATCATCACAGTACAGTTTTATTTTTCTTTGATTCCATCAGATCCATCTTATACGCATACATACATCAATTCATCAATCCAAATCCAATGTCATCATCAGTGGTTACTGAAAAGGATAGTCTCCTTCTTCGGATCTTCATAGTGGTGAGAACTGCCATTGCGGCATTCTTATTCATATCGGGTAGTTTGATCATTGTGGGAACTCAATTGATCGGTAAATTCTTATTTGATGCCAATTATATCTATAAACAATACTTTATAAATACTTCGAAACTTCATTTCCTTAGATTGATGACTTTCTTAGTTAGTATGATCCATGCAAATGATATTTCAATCACTTATGATACCTCCAAATTAGTTTCTAGTTCTTCATCTCCATCAACAGTATTCACCGTTGATGATCAACATAATATTCATTCCAAATTATCCCCTAATTCAATCGTCATTTCAAATCATCAGGTTTATACTGATTGGTTATATCTTTGGTTCTTGGGTTATACTTCAAATTTATCTCAAAATATCTTTATTGTATTAAAAGATATGTCAAATATTCCCGTGTTAGGTTATGGTATGAAGAATTATAATTTCTTATTCTTATCAAGAAAATGGGAAACTGATAAAGTTATCATTTCTAAACAATTAGATTTGATTGATTCAGATGCTATGGGAACTAATAAACAATTGCAACAACTTGGTAAACCAAAAACTATCTTACCTTATTATTTAATCATTTTCCCAGAAGGTACAGTTCCATCTATAAGAACTAAAAAGAAATCATTAGAATATACTCAATTTAAGAATTTACCACCTTTAAAACATATATTATTACCTAGAGTTAGAGGTTTATTATTAGTATTACGTAAATTACATGAATCCGTTGAAGTCTTGTATGATATTACTACTGGATGTGGAGATTTGGCAGCAGGTGAAATTGGTGAAGATAAATTCTCCTTAAAGAATCATTTTATAAAGGGAAATGGACCACCAATAATTTATCATTATATTAAGAGTTGGAATTTAAAGGATATCCCTCTTGGAGATTTATCAGTTGATGTCGATGATTTAACTGAAAAGGAATTACAAGCTTTTGAAGATTGGATGTTAAAGATTTGGTATGAGAAGGATGAATTAATGGATAAATTCTATAAAACCGGTCTGTTTACTGATCCAACTAATAAAAATGAAAAAACCGTGGTTGGGAAATTACAATTAAGAGGTACATTTGAAGTATTAACTATTTATATTCCTTTAACCATCATCTTAGTTTCATTGGCGTCATTGTTTTATTTAATCAGGTTAATCTTCTTTTAAACATACACACACATACACAAGTTTGAATTTTTTATTGGGGTTTTATATTTCATTTCATGCAATTCGCTATATTACTACTTATCTGTTACTGTTCTGAAACTCGTTTGTTGCATTTTTTTCGTTGTTACTCGCAAATCTTCTATTTATTATGGCTGCTAAAATAAAATTAATTTATTTTAAAACTTTCAATTGGATGTCTCCTTAATACCTATACCCTATTACCTGTGCTTCTAATTAGAATTTATAATCTATATATATATATAATCTAATATTCCCGAATAAATTTTTATTTATTTTGTTTTTGTCTTTTCTTCGTAGCACACTTATCACATATTACGATGTTTGCATTTTTATTTAAGAGATTACCCAAAGTTTTACTGTTGGTGTTATTATTCATAGCTATTGTCTTGCTTGGATTTCTCCTCATTGGATGTTTAGATAATACCAATCAATATCTGAAGATTTATTTAGCTCAATTTCAATTCAATCAAACTTCATCAGATGTTATGAATGATATTATGATATCTAATTCTACTCAAACGTTTGATTCCATCAGTTTAAAGGTTAATTATCTAGCTGTTTGTATTGATCTTAATCAAAATTTAACATGTACCACTTATGATAAACTTAATAATTTAACTTCTTTCAATGATATTTCAATCTCCCCCACCTCATCATTAAACCTTAATTTAATCTCGATTGTTAAAAGTTTCAGTAAAATCTGTCACCCAAAAGTTTTAGAAGCAACTATTGTCCTCACTCTAGTCCTCCTACTCACTATCTGTTATACTTCTATCCCATATATTCCATTCAAATCGAATGTTAAAAAATTCAACTGTGTATTAGCGTCAGGCACAACTCTTTTATGGGGATTAGGATCAATGTTACAAATGGAAGCGGTCAATACTTCAACCATAATGGTTAATGATGCTTCGATGGATATGGTTGTGGCTAATAGAGGTTTAAGAGCTGAAGCTATGACTTGGACAGCGTTTGCGTTCATTATTGTGGTCAATATTCATTGTTTTTATGTTTGTTTCAAAGATGTTATAGATTTAAAAAGAATTGAGAATCAAAAAATGAATTCCGCTAATTTTTCAGTCAAAGTTTAAGTAATGTGAAGTTTGTACTCTATTTTTGTTAGTAACTAGTTTGATATTTAGTTGTTATATACTTTTATTTAATCATATAAGGTGATTTCAAGATAATTATAAGTATATGTTCTAAGAAAATTACCTGTAACACCCACCCAACCCTATTTCTAACTGATTACCCCGTACCCATTTGGTTGCTAAAAGAAAATTGATTAAAATTTGATCACGCGCAAATGGCGTGACTTACGCGTGACTTTTTCAGTAATTGTTCAAAATCAATTCCCACTTTTTTCCCTCTGGTATAGAATTTTTTTTCAACAAGATAAAGTAAACAATTAGGCAGCATTTACGTTTAACATCATATAATTATCACCAATATATATATATATATCTAACTATCATTGTAATCCATTGAAAGAGAGCAGACATGTCGTACACTGCGCAACTTGACGTGTTTGTGTCACGACTCAATGATAGTGCTGACTATAGGACAGCCCATTCTATATTGTCAGAGTTATTAGATATGATTGAAACCTTTAATGGTGCAGCTGAATATGAATATTTCTTAAAGAATTTAGTGCCTATTTTCATCAAGAATCTTGAAGATGTTCCTATTTCATTCATTAGTACTTCACCAGAACATAAGTTAAGGAATTGTATCTTGGAAATCATTCATAGATCAATCATGAATGAAACTTTTGAACCATTTTCAGAACAAATATTAGATGCTTTAACTAAAATATTAGTAGATGAAAATGAAGATAATGGGGTATTATGTATGAAAGTTATTACTAGTTTACATAAATCCTATAAAGCCAAATTAAGTGAAAAAGTTCAACCCTTTGTTGAAGTCATTAGTCAAATTTATGAAAATATGCCTAAGACTGTATCAGAAATCTTTAATAACGACACGTCTTCTTCCATAACTGCATCATCCCAGGAATCAGATAAAGAGATGTCACCCTTGATTGTGGAAGAATCATCAACCAAGACTTTAAATAAGGCTATGTTTTCCTTCAAGACATTAGCAGAATGTCCTATTACTATGGTTTCATTATATTCATCCTATAAGACGTTAGTACAAACTTCATTACCAGAATTCTTACCAAAAATCATAAATATATTAGTATTGGAAGTTGAAGAACAACGATTATTCAGAGAAGAAGCCTCTAAAGAAGGAAAAGTCACCGCATCAATTTCTCCAAAGATTAAAAATAGACAAGCTTATAGTGATTTTATCTTAGGTCAAGTTAAAGCAGCTTCATTCTTAGCTTACGTGTTTATCAGAGGATATGCCAATCAACATTTATCATCAGAAAGATCACAAGTGGTACCGGATGTAATCCTTCGTTTATTACAAGATTGTCCTGCTGAATTATCAGTCGCAAGAAAAGAATTATTACATGCTACCAGACATATTTTATCAACTCCATTCAGAACTCAATTCATACCTAAGATAGAATTATTATTCGATGAAAAGATCTTAATCGGTGAAGGATTAACATCATTTGAAACTTTAAGACCATTAGCTTATTCTACCGTGGCTGATTTTATTCATAATGTTCGTAATGAACTTACACCAAAACAAATCTGGTCAACCGTGAAGATTTATTGTGATCTTTTAAAAGATGATTCGTTAGCTTTGACAGTTCAAATCATGAGTGCTAAATTGTTACTTAATTTAGTTGAAAGAATTATGAAATTACCTAATAAATTGGAAGGAAGACAATTGTTTATGTTGATTATTGATTCTTATGCCAAACGTTTCGAAAGCTTGAATAGAAAATATAATTATATCATTAATAAATTTAATGAATTTGAAAAGAATAGAGGGCAAAAGGAAGCTGAGTCCAAAAAGGCTATAGAAAGATATACCTCGAAAAGAATCGATAATGATAGCAATAATAGTAACGATAACGACAAAGATAGTCATGATGAATCCGAAGAACCAGTAATGACACCAGCTACCAGTACTGATGAAAATGATGATGATGATGTTAAGATAAAGGAACTTCCAGAAGATGTGGAAATGCTTGATGAAGATGAAACAGAAACAAAACCCAAAGAAGAAGAAGAAGAAGAAGAGACCAAGGAGAATGGAAAAACAGAGAAATCTGATGTCGAAGAAAAGCATAAAACTGAAACTAAAGATGAAGATGACGAAGAAGCCATATTCCTTGACTTATTCAATATCGAATCTTTCTCTCCAATTGCCACATCTCCAATTTCAAGCAATTCAGATCTTTTAAAAGACGCTCGTTATTTATTCAGAACTTTAATGACATTCTTAAAATCAATGATTTTTGGTCTTAAAAACTGTAATCCACCAGTTCCACCTCAACCTACTCAAAATGATCCTAAGAATCCAGGTCAACAAGTCAATTATGATAAATGGAATGACTCCGCTAAATTGATTTCATATGAGGAAGTGAATGTCTTACGTGCATTGTTCAGAGGTGGTATAAGTTGTTTAAGATTCTTTTCAGTTTCAAAAGTAAAACCAAGTATAGCCCCAGCCAAAGCATTTGATTTCTCAACAGGCGGTCCAAACTTACCAATCACTTCATCAAAAGAAGAAAAAGATTTGATGGAAATCTTTGCTACTATTTTCATTCATATTGATCCAGCATCATTTAATGAAATTGTAAGTTCAGAATTACCGTTCATGTTTGAATCAATGTTGGAAAATGCTACTTTACTTCATTTGCCTCAATTCTTCTTAGCTAGTGAAGTCACATCAGCTAATTTCTCAAGTATCTTAATCATATTTTTAAAGAATAATTTGGATCAATTAGGTAAAGTTGAATTGGTTAAATCCAACATTTTAATCAGATTATTCAAATTATGTTTCATGTCAGTTCATCTATTCCCCGCCGCCAATGAAAGTGTCATACTACCACATTTAAATCATTTGATTTTAGAATCATTAAAATTATCTACTAAAGCTGAAGAACCAATAGTATATTCTTATTTGGTTAGAATATTATTCAGAAGTATCAGTGGAGGAAGATTTGAAAACTTATATAAGGAAATCATGCCTATTTTACCAGTATTATTGGAAAATCTTAATAAGATGATTGCTAATGCTCGTCGTCCTTATGAACGTGATATTTATGTCGAATTATGTTTAACTGTCCCAGTTAGATTGTCCGTATTAGTTCCTCATCTTAACTACTTGACTCGTCCATTAGTTTATGCCCTTAATGGATCACAAGAATTGATAACACAAGGTTTACGTACTTTTGAATTGTGTGTGGATAACTTAACTGCTGAATATTTTGATCCTATGATTGAACCAGTCATTGACGAAATTATGGCTGCTTTATGGAAACATTTAGAACCGGTTCCTTATCATCATCAACATTCTCATACTGCAATTCGTATATTGGGTAAATTAGGTGGTAGAAACCATAAGCATTTCAAACCTTGTAAAAACTTAATAACTCAATCAGAATTAGATCAAGAAATAAAAGCATTATTCCTGGTATATGGTTTGAATGGTAAAGTTCCAATTTCGATAACTCCAGGTGTTCAATCTGCTATTAAACTTTTGGAAGATCAAAGATTAAAGGTTCATTATCGTATTAGTGCTTTCAAATACTTAACCAGTATTTTAAAATTGTTCATTGATACTACCCCAATTCCAGAAGGCTATTCTAAATTCGTGTCTGAAAGTGTTGATATGTTGAAACAAGAAAAGATACTGGAAACTGTCGAATTAGAGGAAACTGGCGTAGCGGATGTTGCCAAATTGGATAGACAACAATTATTATTCACTCGTTTATTGGAAATTTTATTCTTTTCCATTTCTATTCCAGAAGTAAAAGAAGAAGCAAGTGCATTAATAGATGGATTAACTACTCATTTTACATTACTTTATCTTGGAACTTCTGTAGTAGACAAGATTAAGAAAGAACGTCCATTTTCTGTTAATGATAATGAAGGTAAAGCTTATATCAGTGAAACTGCATTTCTTTCAGCTTTAAATTATGCATTAAGTTTCTGGGATAAAGATGTTAGAAATAAAGGTATCGAAGCTATCAAGAACGTTTACACCACTACTGTGACTTTATTCGGTTCAGAAGAAAATGCTTTAAATTCTCCAGTGTTCAGATCTATGTTCTATAAGTTCACTCATTGCTGTTATAATGAATACTACTACTCCAAATTGGGTGGTATTTTGGGTCTTAAAACAATGTTTGAAGATCTTGGAATCTCCTCTAAATGGTTTTTCAAACGTCAATTTGAATTAGTTCGTTCGATTTTCTTTATCTTAAGAGATACTCCAGAAACAGCACCATTCGAAGTACGTGATTCGGCCAAGACATTGGTATTAAAATTACTTAAAGAATGTAATTCAGGATTAAGTAAGGATGAAGTTTTGGAAAAACCATTCCAAACTGTGGTTGGCGCTTTGGTATATGATTTAGCAAGTTCAAATCCATTAGTTCGTGAAGTTTCACAATCAGCATTGAAGGTGCTTTCTGAAACAACCAATGTACCAATAGCTATCATCATGGGTCCATGCAAGCATTTATTATTGACTCCTATTTTTGGTAAACCATTAAGAGCCTTACCCTTCCCAATGCAAATTGGTAATATTGATGCTATTACTTTCTGTTTGGATATTCCAGATACTTTCTTAACATTCAACGAAGAACTTAATAGATTATTATTGGAAGCATTGGCTTTAGTCGATGCTGAAGATGAATCATTAGCCAATGTTCACAGATTAAATGAGTTTAGAACTTCTAAACAATTGATTGAACTTCGTGTTGTTTGCATTAAATTACTTTCTTTGGCTTTAACAAAACCTGATTTTGCATTAGGTCCATTAGCTGAATACCGTATTCGTATTTTAGGTGTATTCTTCAAAGCTCTTTGTAACAAATCAACTGAAATCATCAATGCTGCTCATTTGGGTTTGCAATCTAGTTTACAAGAAAATGCTAAACTTCCAAAAGAATTATTACAAAATGGTCTTCGTCCAATGCTTATGAATTTGTCAGACCATAAGAAATTGACTGTGTCAGGTCTTGAAGCATTAGCCAGATTGTTAGAATTGTTAATCTCATACTTCAGAGTTGAAATCGGTCGTAAGTTATTAGATCATTTAATGGCTTGGGCCCAAATTAACACCTTGAGACGAATAGCTGGATTAGATTTAGAAAATAATCACACCGTTCAGATCGTATTAGCCATCTTAAACATATTCCATCTTTTACCTCCTAAGGCTTATACCTTTATGGAAGAAATCATCAATACTTTACAATATCTTGAAGGTCACTTAGATCGTCATCAGAACTCACCATTTAGAGTTCCAGTTGCTAAATTTTTGAATAGATTTGCTGAAAATTGTATTGAGTATTATATCACGAATTTCAAAAATAGAAAGTTGGGTAATACTCTTGCTTCTATAGCTGGTATGGAAGGATGTGACAAGATAAGGGATATTGCCAAAGAAAAGATACAATCAATTCTTGATGACGTTCAGAATGAAACTGTCGAAGAAACTAAAGTGGTAAAGTTTGCCAATTTAGTTGATCTTCTTGAGGCCATTACCAAATATGATCACGATTGGTTTGACAAACAAAAAGATTTCTTGTCAAATGTATCTAAGTTGGTAGAGAATATCTCAAAAATCAGAAATAATGTTCCATTAGTTTCGCCAGCTCTATTCCAAGCTGATCAAGCTATTGATAAATTACAAGTGATTTTAATCAACTACTTGGAGAGAAACCCAACTGAGATTGATTTGTTATTCGTGATAGTTGAACGTCACAGTCAATTGAAACTCAAGATTCCAAACCAGTTAGAAGACTACATTTTCACAAAGATTGTAAGTTCATCCGATATCGAATACAGAGAGAAGTATTTGAATAAATGTATTGATTTTATCAGTGACTCATCATCTAATCTCAAGTCTAAGATTTTCTTCATCAGAAAAGTATTCAATTCAATTTTGATCTTTGAATTTAAAACAAAAGGTAAAGTTGATGAGTTTTTCACTAGCTCTCCAGCATGGTTGGAAAAGATTTGTAATAATATTTGGAAGTCTACCAATGACATAATTACTGGCCATACTTCGGGTATTTTAGACAGCTACCGTTATGCTTTATTAGAATTGACTGCTTTACTTTTGAAGATTGCTCCCAACTTCATCGGTGATTTGAAGAAGGATATTATCAAATTCAGTTGGAATTACATTAAGTTAGAAGACAATATAACAAAGCAAGTTGCATATGTAACTACGTCTTACTTTATTTCTTCATATGAAATCCCAGCTAAGCTTGCAACACAAGTTTTCGTTGCACTTCTTCGTACCCACCAAGCGGATTCAAGACATTTGGTGAAACAAGCATTGGATATACTTGCTCCAGTGATGTCAGAAAGAATGATTGATGTCGAGTCTCCTGATAGTTGGTTGAAATGGCCACGTCGTATTATTTCTGAAGATGGTTTTAATGTGACCCAAGTTTTAAATGTTTATCAATTTATTGTTCAACATCCAGATCTTTTCTTTGTTGCAAGAGAACATTTCATTTCAAATATTATTACTGCTATGGGTAAACTTACTATTTTGGCTAATCCGGCTATTGAGAATCAAGTTTTGGCCATTGAATTAGCCGAGTTAATCTTGAAATGGGAATCTAGAGCCAAGCTTGAGAAGAAAGATCAAGATGAACCAATTGAAGAAGTCAGAGCTGATGATTTTACTACCTCGCCTAATTATTCTATTCCATTCGGTCAAAGAGAAGCATGTGTTACATTTTTGATTAGATACGTCTGTATTAGTCCGCAAAGAGCTTCTGAAAGTGAACTTGGTCAAAAGGCTCTAGGAATTTTATATGATTTATTAAGTCCAGATCACTGGGCTGAAGTGTCTGTCAAATTAACTTTCTTTGAGAAATTTGTTCTTTCAAATGACTTGAATTCTTCCAATCTCTTAGGTTACTGCTTGAACGCATTAGAGGTTTTAGGTGTTGTTTTGGAATGGAAAAAATCTGAGTGGATTATTTCTAATTTAGCATACCTCCATAAATTGCTTGAAAAATGTATTAAATCTGATAACCATGATATTCAAGAGGTTCTTCAAAGAGTTCTTAAGCTTATTCTTCAAGCAATCAACGAACAGAAAGATAGCGATGAAGATGACGACGAAGATGAAGATGTCAAAGAGTTCATTTCTTTGTTATCATCTACTGTTGCCGAAGATTTAGGAGATATGCCATCGGTTGCTGCTGGTGTCACATTATCTTGGACTTTAGCTAATTATCGCCCAGCTATACTTGACTCACTTTTACCACTGATTATGAGAACATTCAGTAAGTTATGTAAAGACCATATTACAATCACACATCAAGGTTCACAATCATCATCGAAAGATAGTGCTAATTCTGAATATGAAGCTAAAATGACAACAAGACTCTTAGAAAAGATTTTGAATCTTTCGTCTATGAGAATATCCAACTTGGCTGACCAAAGACGTATTTTCTTATCCTTATTGGCTCAATTAATTGAGAGATCACTAGATAAGGATACTTTAGAAAAGATAATTAAAATGGTAAAGACATGGGTCTTTTCAAGAACTGATCTTTTCCCAACTACAAAAGAAAAGGCTGCTATTTTGTCAAAGATGATGGTATTCGAAATTCGTGGAGAACCAACATTATCTAAGGAATTCTATCAAATTATTGTTGATATTTTCGAAGATGACACGTTCAGTTGCACAGAGCTTACTGTACGTATGGAACAGCCATTCCTAGTCGGTACTAGATCCGCTGATGTGTCTATCAGACGTAAATTGATGTCTATTTTGAATAATAGTTTAGAAAAAGATATAAGCAAGAGATTGTATTATATCATCAGAGAACAAAATTGGGAATTCTTAGCCGATTACCCATGGTTGAATCAAGCCTTACAGTTGCTTTATGGTTCTTTTGATTTCGATACCAAAATTGAATTGGTTGATTCTGAAAACAAATTACCACAAGTTAGCATATTGAGCTTACCAAAATCTGATTCAAATATGGAGGTTGACACTGAGAATGCATCTGTTGATGAACTTTTGAAGAAACATAATGAGTTCTTGGCCAAGGTTAGTGATTTAAGGGCCGGTGCAATTCTCGAGCCATTGATTGACTTATTCTATCAAAGCAGTGATGCTATTCATAGAGCATGGTCCAATTTATTCCCTATTGCGTTTACCTCAATTCCAAGATCAGAATATCTCGACTTTACGAGATACTTGGTCATTTTGCTTTCAAAAGACTACCATACACGTCAAGTTGATAGTAGACCCAATGTTATCGTTTCATTGCTCGAAGGTATTGCAAGATGTGATGGTTTACAATTACCACCATTTGCAGTTGAGTGTTTAGCTACTAATTTCAATGGATGGTCTCAAGGAATTAATATCTTGGAGAATATTGAAGAACAATCCGCTATTGGTAATGCTGAAGTTAGGGAAGTAACACAAGATGCCCTTGCTAAATTATATGCAACCTTAAAGGAGGACGATATGTTCTACGGTTTGTGGAGAAGAAGAGCAAAATATTCGGAAACTATCAGTGCTCTCTCTTACGAACAGATTGGATTATGGGATAAGGCTCAGCAACTTTACGAGACTGCTCAAATTAAGGCTAGAAGTGGAGCATTACCTTACGGTGAATCAGAATATGCTTTATGGGAAGATCATTGGATTTTGTGTGCTGAAAAGTTACAACATTGGGATATCCTTACTGATTTAGCTAGACATGAAGGTTTTTCAGATTTATTATTGGAATGTGGATGGAGAGTCGCTGACTGGTTTAACGATAGAGAAACAATTGATCAAACCGTGAAGAATGTAATGGATGTTCCTACTCCACGTCGTCAAGTTTTCGAAACTTTCCTTTGCTTACAAGGATTCGCTAAAGAGAAGGAAACTTTACAAGATCTTTCAAGGTTATGTGATGAAGGTATTCAATTAGCTTTAAGAAAATGGCATGGATTACCTCAACGTTTTAACAATGCACATATTCCATTATTACATACATTCCAACAGTATGTCGAGTTTATGGAAGCAAGTCAAGTTTACGCTAGTCTTCAAACCACCAACGCTCAAAACTTGGATGTTAAGTCTCAAGAATTAAAGAGAGTCTTACAAGTTTGGAGAGAAAGACTTCCAAACATCTGGGATGATATTAATCTTTGGAACGATCTCGTCGTTTGGAGACAACATGCATTCCAGGTCATTAACAGTGTTTACTTGCCATTGATTCAACAAACTAATTCTGGTGGAAATGCCAATTCATATGCTTATAGAGGTTATCATGAAATCGCTTGGGTCATTAATAGATTTGCACATGTTGCTAGAAAGCATAACATGGCTGATGTTTGTATTAAGGAGCTTACCAGAATTTATCAATTGCCAAATATTGAAATTCAAGAAGCATTCTTGAAGTTGAAAGAGCAAGTTAAATGCCACTACCAAAATCCTAATGAATTGAATACAGGTTTGGATGTCATCAGCAGTACAAACTTGGTTTATTTTGCTACTCAACAAAAGGCTGAGTTCTTCACTTTGAAAGGTATGTTCCTAAACAAGTTGAACCAGAAAGACGAAGCCAATAAAGCATTTGCCACTTCCGTTCAAATTGATCTTAATTTACCTAAAGCATGGGCTGAATGGGGTATGTTTAACGATCGTCGTTTTAAGGAAAATCCTAATGATATGGTATATGCCAACAATGCGGTAACTTGTTACTTACTGGCTGCTGGTCTTTATAAGAATGGTAAAACGAGAAAATTATTAGCAAGAATTCTTTGGCTTATCAGTCTAGATGATGCATCAGGAACTTTAGCACAAGCGTTTGAGAATTTCAGAGGTGAAGTCCCTGTCTGGTATTGGATTACATTTATTCCTCAATTGTTAACTTCTCTATCTCACAAAGAAGCAAAATTGGCTAGACAAGTCTTAGTACGTATTGCTAAGAGTTATCCTCAAGCTTTACATTTCCAACTTCGCACAACTAAAGAAGATTTTGCTGCTAAACAACGTCAAGGTGAAGCTGTACGTCAACAACAAGCAAATGCTCAAGCTCCAGCACCACCTAAAACTGAAGGTTCAGAGACCCAAACCACCGATGCCAATGGCAATCAAACCAATGGCTCTGAGAACGGAACGAATGCAACTAATACATCTAACGTGACTGACACTAAAGATGGAGATAATGTGGCATCATCACAATCTCCTAATGGAAATGCTTCTCTGGAAAATGGTGCTAATTCTACTGATCACACGACTACTGCCCAAACTGGAGCCCCACCACAAAGTTCACCTCAATCAAGGAACTCTATTCCTGTAGCTATAACTCAAGCGTTAGAGCACGTGGAAGAAATAATGGGTATATTGAAAACTGCTTATCCACTTTTGGCACTTTCATTAGAATCTTTAGTGGACCAAATCAATCAAAGATTCAAATGTACTGCCGATGAAGATGCTTATAGACTTGGTGTCGCCCTTCTTAATGATGGTGTTCAATACTTAAATCGTCTTGGTAATCCAAGAGATGATGCCAAACTTCCTCCAGTCACTGAAGCTAATATTACTCGATTTGCTGAAACTGTTTTACCAAAACAGATACGTGCTGAATTTGAAAAGGATCTTGTTATTGGAAAGCCTAACTTAGAAACTTACATTATTAAATTAAGAAAATGGAGAGACCGTCTTGAAGATAAACTTGATAGAAGATTCTCTGAAGTCAATCTCGAAAACTTATGTCCTCATTTAAGTGAATTCCATCACCAAAAGTTTGAAGAAATCGAAGTTCCTGGTCAATATTTGTTAAATAAGGATACCAACAGTCACTTTATTAAGATTGAAAGGTTCTTACCAACAATTGATTTAGCAAGAGGTACTAATGCTTGTTATAAGAGATTAAGAATCCGTGGCCATGATGGTAGTTTACATACTTTTGCTGTTCAATTCCCTGCAGCTCGTCATTGTCGTCGTGAAGAAAGTCTTTTCCAATTATTCAGAATTTTCAATGATACTATTTCTAGAAAGGTTGAAACACGTCGTAGAAATATTCAATTTACATTACCAATTGCAGTTCCATTATCACCACATATTCGTATTATTAACGATGATCCAAGAGATGTTACAATGCAAAAGGTTTATGAAGATTACTGTCGTCGTAGTGGAAAGAGCCGTGATGAACCATTCATTTATACTATTGAAAAATTAAGAGCTGCTTTTGATCCACGTTTACCAAAACCTGATATTATGAGTATCAGAGTTGAAATTCTTAGTGCCATTCAATCATTATTAGTTCCATCAACTGTTATGAAGAATTATTTCATCGAGCTTTATCCACAATTTGAAGATTTCTGGTTATTCCGTAAACAATTCACTTCGCAATACGCTTCATTTATCTTCACTACCTATATGATGTGTGTTAATGCTAGACAACCACAAAAGATCCATATTAATAAAGGATCAGGTAATGTCTGGACTTCTGATATGTTACCATGTAAGATTGCTAGTAAGAGTGCATTAATGATGGATAATCAACAAGGAAGACCAACTCCATTATTCTACAATGCTGAAATGGTTCCATTCCGTTTGACTCCTAATATTCAAAAATTAATCGGTGAAACAAGTTTAGAAGGTGTTCTTGCAGTATATATATTATGTATTGCTAGAGCATTAGCTGAACCAGAATCTGATTTAGAACAATTCTTAACCTTGTTTGTTCGTGATGAAGTTATTTCATGGTGTGCACAACAAGAACCTCCAAGACCAATTCCTCAAGATAAACAATTACGCGAAATCGTTAGAATCAATGTTGAATTTATTATCAAGAAGGTTATATCTATTGGTCGTATTTCTTCAGGCCCAAGTGTGGCTACTCAAAATGTGTTAGAACTTATCTCTCAAGCTGTCAATCCTCGTAATTTGGCTGCCGCTGATACGTTATGGATGGCTTACTTTTAATTCTTTTCTATTTACTTTATCTTTGTTCATTAACGTGACAAATTATTAAATTTTAAATAATGTTGTACTAATAAATATATTTATATTAATTAATCTAATTTTTTTTGAACATCAGTAGTTGTATAACCGACCATGACGAGGATAAGAGAATTGCCTTTGAATTTGCTTTTCTTGATACTTTTCTCTTCTATCGATTCTATTGACCAAATTCTTTAACGATTGAGCAGTAACAACTGCATTTAAGAATAACACCACAAACGTCAAACAACTTAAAACCAAACATAATATTGAAATAATTTGAATATATGTAGTCACATTAGTCTTTTCAGTTAATTTAGTTTGACTATCATATTCATACAGAAACATTTCTTTAACATTAAGAGTAGATACCACACATAAAACATTAAGGATTATACCAATGAATTCTAAAAAGGCTGAAAATAAGATGCATCTGAAGGAGAAAATAGATGGAATGGTTGCTGAACAAGTTGGTAATAAACAAGCATTGATTCCAAACTTATCAGCGGTTAGTATAATGTCAAATAAATAGTATTAGACAAGGTAAAACTTACCAGGATAAAGATGAAAATCCCAGTTATGATGCAAATAGAAGGTCTATTGTCGATATCATCAAATGGAACACAAGCATAAACAGAGATATATTGACATAATAATAAACCCATATAGGCTTGAAATAAAACCTTAAACACCTTGGAATTATAGATACTTTCAATGTTTTCAACAATTTGGTTATCACCAATGATGATTGGTTGATCAGTGGGGAGTGGACTGTCGAATAAGACATTATGTACTTGAAGTTGATCGTCAGCCATCTTTGATTGATGATATAATGCTTTGATTGACTGTAAAGAAGGAAAGAGGATTAATTATAAATAAATTTTACCGCTTTGCAACATTTTCAGTTTTCTATATGTTGCGAAACTACTAACAAAACTAAAATTATTTACTTTAGTTTATACTTATTTTAACGTCGAATTATTATGTCATCTCTATTTCGTATATTGATTGTATATTATATAGATAGTCTATTCACTCTTTCTGAAGAGGATTTGGGGGTACAAATGGATCATCAGACCTGGTAGTAACCAATCTATGGTACAACAGTCTTTCCATTACTGGCAAAGCCTTTGATGATAATTCAACTCCTTCACTTAACCATAACCCCCAAGAACCCATCATATTGGCCATCAACATATCTGTAAACAATCTATCCCCCACTATGAGGATTTCATGACTTTGAATATCAAATTGTTTAAAATAATCAGCGATTTCATTAAAACAACCTGGTTTCTTAGTAGGATGTCTTAACACAGTGACCCCAGTATCGTTCTCTAACTTTTGAGCTTGAACATGATCTTTATCATCATTAGTACCAGCTGAGTTACTGACTATCAATAAATGCTCTTTAGGATATGATTGTTTTAATAGATCCCAAGTTTCCTAAAATAACACGAGTTAGTATCATAAATCAATCAACAGAACGCACCCACACGGATGATCTAAAAAAGAATACATACATTATAAGCAGGCCATACTTTATCATCATGATCCTTTGCGATACAATTATCCTTATCCAATACTACACCCTTGATTACTACATCCGGATGACTGGCGATCTTGAACGGTAATGATATTTGATCAAATGACTTCACTGTTATATGTGGTAAACATAGACTTGGATTATATAATAGTCTGGACACGTTCAAAGTAGCACTGACATTGAACATATTGATATTGTTGATATGGAAGTAGCTTATCAATTGATAATAGATAATGGTGAATCAACACAATTACTATTTTCGTATGCCTGCTGAGAAAAATGACCATTGAAAAAAAAAATGTCAGAATTTTTGCTTCAACAACTGCAAACAGAGATTAGTGGAGACAGATCAAGTTTAACCTTGTGTTTATTCAATATATATAGAGAGCAAAAACACTAATGTCAGCCAGTTCTGCTAACCTGTCATCTTTATCGTCATCATCATCCACACGTTCGAGCGTTCCTGGGAAATCAAGAGTGAGTCGAGGTGGTAGGTACAATAATAATAATAATAATAGACTGAGAGGTGGATTCAAGAGAAATAGAAATATAGAAGGGGGAAGGAATAATAATAACAGCAGTTCTAAAGTTGAAGAAGATGAAGAAGAACTAGAAGAAGGGGAGCAATGTATCATTTGTGCTAACAAGATAATATATGCCGCAGTTACTCCTTGTCATCATACAACTTGTCATAAATGTACATTCAGACAGAGAAGTCAATACGAGAAGACTCAATGTTTGATATGTCGTAGTGAGAATGAATGGATTATTATCACTGAAGAGATTTACAAGACTTACGACGATTTCAATATAAATTCATTAAGTGAGGTTAATGAGAAGTATAATATCAAGTTTACTCAATCATATGTCAAAGATGATACTGAGGGCTTATTAAAATTTAATTGTTCATTATGTGACGAAGCTGATTGCAAAACATTCAAAGACTTAATGGATCATGTTAAAGAAGCTCATAACAAATTCTATTGTTTGATCTGTTCAAAGTATAAAAAAGCATTTATTCAGGAATTACCCTTGTATACTTATAAACAATTACAAAGACATCAGAGTGAAGGTGATGAAACTGGTTTCAAAGGTCATCCAGAATGTAAGCATTGTTTTGGTAAGAGATTCTATTCCGAAGATGAGTTGAACATTCATATCAGAGATAAACATGAAAGATGTTACATTTGTGATCAATATAATCCAAAGACAGCTGACTATTATAGAAATTATGATACATTATACCAACATTTTAAAAGAGATCATTACGTTTGTAGCGTTCCTTCATGTATTGAGAAAAGATTCGTTGTGTTTAGAGAAGATTTAGATTTAACAGCTCATATGTTAAAGGAACATGGAGGTTTGAATGCCAATAGTAAAGTTATAATTGGATCGAATAGTACCAGATCTTATCAATCACAATTAAGTACATTCCCTAGAAGATTCGAACAACAACATGCCGAAGAAGAAGATGATTATCAATCACTTGATATCAAGAAGAAGAGATTTGAAGAGAGAGCCAGACATTACTTGAATTATAATCAACAGGAATTTTCCAAATTTGAAGAATTTAATCGATCATTCAAGTATAAAAAGATCAATGCTAAAGAGTTATTAACATTCTACAGGGAAGTTGTGTTTATTCATCAATCCAATGAAGAGTTATCATTATTAATCAAAGAATTCCTGGAATTTTTCAAAGGTCAAAAGGAATTATATGATAGTTTAATCGTCGTTGAGAATGAGTTAAACTTTCAACAACCCGAAAGAGAGCAATTCCCAGTATTAGCAGGAGCTTCAGGTTCTGTCTTCAATGCCAATTCTTGGGTTAACTCATCAGGAGGTAAGAGTCGTTCTCAATCTCCAAATACCATTTTATCATCTAACGACGCATTCCCTGCCTTATCCAAACTCTCCCGTAAACCAGTGGTTAATACCACTAATCAACCTATTAGATATACCACTGTTCTTAAGAAGAAACCAGTTGTGGCTCCAAAAATCAATACTGCCTCTAATCCAAATTATGTTCCTAAATATTTAGATAATGGCAATAGTAGTACTGTTGTATCACCACCATCATCAACCCCAGTTTCAGCATCTTCCAGCATTTCATCCACCCGAAACAATTCAACAGATAGATTAAATGATGATAAGAAATTCCCTACTTTAGAAAAGAAAACAAAAAGGGTAATACCAAGAGTTAATCCAGTCCAAGTTTTAGATCCAACCGAATGGGGTAGATCACAACCTACATCGTCATCATCAATAGAAGCCAATGGTCAACTTGATGATAATCTTGACTTTGGCGTTGGTATCGTCATTAATGATAAGAGGAAACAAAAATTAAAGAAAAAACAAGATAGATTATTATTCAATGTTTAAGCTAGTTTGTAGTATATTAAGTATGGACTGAAATAAACGTTATAATTTCTATATCACTTTGGTAAATGTGTAGATCTAATAATTCCTTGTATGCGATTTTTCTCTGCTTCCACCAGCAAAATGAAAATTATTCAGTAAAGACCACTTCTTTCGTAAGCTTACTTTAAATAGAAGATTATCAGGTGATTCAATCATATCAGAGACTTTATCTATAGACCAAAGTGCTATAGTCATCTCAATTCATTGATATAGCTGATTTCCATGATTATAATCTACCACTCCTTCGCTTCATTCAATTAGTTTGTTGATAGTTTATAAATGCAACAAGTCGTGGAAATAATTCAAGAAATATAGTGGTAAATCTTTTTGCATTCAAATTATGACTTATCAAAGTTCATATGAATTAGATATACCTATAATATCCATAAGAAAGTTGATAGATAAGTACCCTAGCCTTCAAGCCAATTCAATCAAGAAACCTATCCGATCCAATAATCAAATCACTCGCCAGAGGTTACAACTTGACTTTGAATATGAATATGATTTTAGTACAACTAAGAATCAAATTGATATAACTGAAATTATCATTCAAGATCATTTTAACATTCTGAATTATAAACTAAGGAGAGATAAGTTATGTCCTAGGATTAATAATCGAATGGAATATTTGTTGATATTAGAATCGTGTTTGATCGAACCTTGTTGCATTGATAAAGCTGTTCAAGATGCGAATTACGTTATCGACATTGGGACTGGTTCTTCTTTAGTGTATCCTATTATTGGCACCAAGATAAGTCAGTTTAAGAATAAATATATTGCCACTGAGATCAATGAAACTTCAGTCAATCATATAGGAAAGATATTAAATGAAAACATACAGCTACAAAATAATGTTCAATTGGTGAAAGGGAACAATCAACAGTTAATTCCTGAAATAAGTCAAGATAAAAAGGTTAAATACTTAGTATGCAATCCACCATTCTATACCAACATAGAAGAATTGAATGAAAAGGAAGGCCTCAAGAAAACTATCAAACCAAATGAATTAACCATAGATGATAGTGAGTTAATTTATGATCAAGGTGGAGAATTAGCATTTATAAGAAAGTTAATTGATGAAAGCACAGTCTTAATAAACAGTCCTAATACTTTCCCAACATTCGAAAACTGTTGGTTTACAAGTCAAGTTGGTATCCATAGTCATTTAGAGGAATTAAATGAATATATCGAGTTAAGAGGAATACCATTCAAATTCAACGAGAGTATAAAGTTCAACACCACGAGATGGATTATTGGATGGAGATTTGGTGGACATCAATCAGTAATGATTCAAAAGTATGTATCTCCATTGAATTGGCCATCTAGGAATGTTCTTCAAAATATATTTAGCAAGCTTCATCAACATTTGGAAGAAACCAAGGGAAGATTTAACGATTTCCAATTCAAGTTGATCACAGTTAAACATAACAGGAATGTATTCTATGTCAGAACTAATGAATACATTTGGTTAAGAAAGATACGACGGTTATTGAGTAATTCAACTATGTCTAGAAGTTCAGACCTATCTTTTGATAAAGATATTTTAATTCGAATCTTTGTGGACAAAGGCAAGGATAACTTTGATTTAAATATTTTAACAAATGAAGTCGACCATAACATTCATTACAACAGTCTAAAATCAATGATTAATCAGTTGCTAGTACCGTCATCCTGAATATTCTACAATTAGTCTATTATGCTCTATTTTATATTCCGATATATAGAATCCCTATCCTAATATATAATGATGATATGCATGCTTATATTATTTAGTCTAACCGAATAAGCTGCCATCTAACACTTGATAAGTATGACTCAACTCATTGAACCAATCATAAGTTTGTCTTAATGAAACTATAGTTTGATCTGAACTTGATTGATTCAGTTTAAGACTATTTAATAATCCTGATATTTCTATTTCAGATGCTAATGGGATATTTAAAGTAATCAAAGCATCAGTTCCAACTTTCTTCATTCGTATTAAACTCACGTAAGTTATATAATTTGTTGGTGAATCATCATCCTTGGCATCTCTTCTTTTGTTCTTATATTCTATTAAACTGATGTATACTTGCTGACCATCAGCATCTTTGACCTGTTCTATAAAATGATTTGAGACACTTTCATCAGTATCCACTAGATCTTCTATATGAGTGGCAATGGCTTGATTATAATCTTCGTTATCGACATATTCCAATAAATCAAATATTAAAGATTTTTCATATTTAGCGGAAGTCGATGCATTTGACACTATGAAAGCTTCTTGAGTATCAGGGATTTCTCTGAAATTTGAAGCATCAGTTAGGCTGTATGCGATTTCTTCTGGCACTGATGCTGTGATATCACCTCCATATAACTTCAACGGTATAGACATTGACAATTGATTCAACTATATGAAAAAGTAGTTTACAACCATCCATTATCGTCTTCTTATTGTTTGTTATGTCATTTTCAGTCGTCATTTGTGTCTCAAACCTGTACGCAGGAAATGACATGACATAATATTTTGCGACATAACTTCTCAAACTTAACAGCTTGTTCTGTGTGTAAAAATAACTCTTTTTGTTGACAATGAATATATACGGAAAGGAAAGAAAAAAAAAAAAACGACTATCATTACACAGATCAAGGATTTTCATATTAAGATTCATTCGATTCATCTAGTTCAATTCGCCAACCTGTTAGTGTTGATCTGTATAGTACCATCCTAGCTATCACTATTTAATATCTGGTTGTATTTATTTATTAGTTTGTTGGTTAAGTGTTGCATTTTTCCTTCCATCATCAACATTCTCGATTGACCTGTTTCAAACGAGAAAACCTTTATTCAATACTTTCTTGTTTTATAGACAATATCACCTTTATCCTTCGAGTCCTATTCGTTCTTTTAATATTTATTTATCACGTTGATACTCCAATCAGCCCTTTTAGTTCATTTATAACTTTCTTACTTGCATCGATTTTCAGTTTCATTTCATATCAAATTGTAAATTTCAATTCATCTTCAGCATCATTAACCACGATAATCAAGATATACTGCTTATATAACATAGCTTACACTTCCTTTTCATCTATTTCCCCGGTCAACTACTTTGTTCATAACAATTATATAACTGCATCATCATCTTTCTCATAATGGTTAACTACTTTGTGAATCGAAAGAGACCTATCGTCATATCAATAATAATCATAACACTTATATTGTTGGTGGCCAAGATAACAACTTCAAAACATAGTGGGAAGAATCTACAAGAGGTTTTACAAAATATCCCTAATGATAATATATTAGGATTATCGAAATTGGTTTATAGTGAAAATGAAAAACAAGATGAATTTCTCAATAAATTAGAAAAGGTCAATAGAAAGATATTTCAAAACCAAGAACAACTATTGACTAAATTAACTAAGCAAAATGAAATTCTCTTACAAGAAATCAAATTATTGAAAAAACCACCCACCAATGCTTCAATTAGAGAAAAATTAGTCTACATTTACCCATATGATCCAACGGTTAAATTCCCCGCTTACATTTGGCAACTGTGGAAACATGGTTTGAATGATGAAAGATTCGAAGAAATCTACTTGGAAGGTCAAAAACAATGGGCTTGGAAAAATCCTGGTTTCGTTCATGAATTATTTAATGATGATACCGCTCATACTATGATTAAATATCTTTATCGTGAAGTACCGGAAATTATTTCCACTTATGAAGCGCTTCCTGAAGTTATCCTTAAAATGGACTTCTTCCGTTACTTAATCTTATTTGCTAGAGGTGGTGTTTATGCTGATATTGATACTCATCCAATCCAACCGGTTCCAAATTGGATTCCAGAAAATGTTAGTCCTGAAGAAATTGGTATGATAATAAGTATTGAAACCGATTCAAGTTCAGCTAATTGGAGAACTGAATCAGTTAGAAGATTACAATTTGGTCAATTCGTTATACAAGCAAAACCAGGTCATCCAATACTCAGAGAAATAATTGCAACTATCATTGAACATACAAAGCATAAACAAAGACTCTTGAATGAAGATGAAAAATTGAAGTTGGTTGGATCTTCTAATCAAAAAATCTTGGAAATCTCAGCTTGGACAGGTAGTGCCAGTTGGACTGATGTTATCCTCAAATACTTTAATGATTACTTACAATCAGCCATTTACCAAAAGATCACTTGGAAGGATTTCCATCATCTTAAAATACCGAAGTTGGTCAGTGATATTTTGGTATTACCAGTAAATTCATTTGCATCTGAAGCTGAAATCTCGAAGGACGGTAAAAATGATGATCCTCTTGCCTTCGTCAAGCATTATGCTGCAAAGATTTGGAAGACAACTTAATCAATTTGAATGTTATCATACTTAATTAAATCTATAAAATCAAAAATCAAAAAAAATTAAAAAAAAATAAAAAGAAATCAAATAAAGCTACATAGTTAATACATAAACTCATTCTGTCTATATCATTGAAGTTGTAGTATCCATAGTATCTAAAGATACGATTTAAGTTTGGAAATGAAAGAACAGTATGCGTGCATACCAAACATATTTTATCATTAGAAGATTAAACTAGCATACCAAGAATTCTTGCATTATATATATTTGTGGAATTCATTTCATTTTTGATTTATTTATATATTTCATTTCTTTACCTCATTCTTAACAACAATTTATTAGATCTAACTATTCTGCTATCAAAAATGGCCAATCCAGACATGTCAAAATTTGAAGTTTATGTTGATGGCGACGGTAAGGACGCTAAAGTCAAGTACTACAAAAACATTGGAGACTCTAAATTGAAATATCAAAAATTACGTTATAAGAATGAAGATAAAGTTATTAGAGATATTACTAGAAATAGAAATAAGACTCTCACAAATCCAGAAGAAGATGAAAATGATAAACAAACAACAAGCAAAGATTAAATTTAATTAAGAAAGTATCTAGATTGGGAATTGTATCAATATCTACAATAAATATATACTGGGACTCAACTAGGCAGGGTATATTTAAAGTTCAGACTACTTTCAGCTTGACTGAACCCCAATTCTATGATTTATCTATGAAAATTGCACCTTATACTGTTCAACATCTTTCGAAGATATTTACTTGAGTCGCTTAAATACGTGCTATTTATGGTTTGACTTTATTTGCAACCACCATAACTTTTTATTTAAATAATGACTTATATAAACGATATAGTTACAATTTGAGTATTAAATGTATTATAATTAAAGCCAAAAGCTTCAAACATAAACTGAGAAAGGTTATGCGCAGTAATAATTTTTGTAGTTCACCAATTGAATATATTCCATTTAAGGTAAGTGGTATATATTATACCGTTATGCTGTTTTAGAAGCATAACAAGATTTTTCTATTCATATATATTTGTAGATTTCATTATAATTTACAAACACTCATTTCTTTTCTTTTCTTTTCTGTTTCTTTATTCTTTATAATAGATAACTAATACCAATTATTAAACATGGGTTCAAAACACTTAACCACCACGTATTCTCAAGCTATTCAAAAGAGAGCAAATATTTATAACATCAACTTAAAAAATCCTTACGATTACTTAAAGTATGATAGAAAATATACAAGTGAGGTAGATGAAGAATATAAACATTCTTATGATGAAGAAAATGATTCTGAAAAAACCACTTCAAATGATTCCAAGAAAGATTTGTCAGATGATAAATCTTCCAAATCTGATTCAGAAGTTACCAAAAAATCATCTAAAAAGACAAAATCAAAGTCTGACAAACTAAACAAGGTTTGATTTCGGAATCAAAGTTAGTTGTAATGCTGAATAAGTCTATCAAATTCAATGATCTTTTAGCGGAGCAGACAATATACTGAAAATGTTTAGTAAATAAAAATTTAAACTAATTATTGATATGTCTTATGATATCTTTTTATTATTAATAGTTTTTTAATGTAAATATTATTACTATGAGTATTTAAAATGTAGATTATAGATTTGCCAAATGGGACCTGAACTAAATCTACTGTTGATTTAGCTCCTCCCTAATGGTTAGCCGGACTTGTCATCAGGTACGTTTTCAATGTGTGAAATCATTAACCTAGAAATCGATTGATGTATAATTGCCCTTCTTGTTTATATATAGTTCATATTCAGCTTTAATGAATTCCATGATTATCGTTCCCCTACATTGATATATGTTTATGTTAGAATCAATTGTTATTATAATGTAAATTTATTACTGAACTAATCAATTTGTTTTTGTGGATACCAACGCCAATGTTAATAATTCATACTTAAGTGGTGACTAATCTATGACGCAACAAGATAGATATTCTAATTTTCATATCAATAAAAGATTTAATCAAGCATCAATCCAAGCTTAGTTATGTTTATTTCTTTATTGCTAGAATACTTTATTCAAAATGACGATTTTGTAACTTTAGTATATTTTAAGGGGTAAAAATAGATCAAACAATAAATGAACAGAATGCACGACCCTATTCAGATCCTCCCCTCCTTTTCAATTCTGTTAAAGACAAAAAAGGCGATTCTTTATAATTTATTTTTCTTGTGCTGCCAAACTAATTGTTGTCAACAACTTCTAGGAATCAATCAATCCATCATCATGTCAGGATGAATTAGTACTTCAAATCAATTGGTGATATAATTTATATCACCTTCTGACATATTCAGTGTCAGAATTGATGCCAAAAGTGTGAACATAATCATGAGTGTATCAACGTAAGTGATACTAATCATAAGTAGCATATCAGTCTTACATCATATGACTAATCTAATACAATACAATTTAACATACAAATGTTGATGTTCTATTGACAACATATAATCAAATTATCCATTGAATCCGCTTGATAAGTATTTACCCTTTATATCTTGGAATACCAAGTGAACAAAAAGTCTATGTCAGTTTTCTATTTATTTTTTGTCTCTTATTTTTGTCTCTTTTTTTTGTCTATTATTTTTTGTCTATTATTTTTTGTCTATTATTTTATGACAATATGTTTGTGGCATTTGCAGCCTATTTGGGTGCTTTTGCAAATCTGACTTATCCTCAAATATTTTTCTTTATACCTTTATTTCTATATTCCTTCTTTTATTTATATTACTCTTTATTTCTTGGGTACTGTGTTTAGTCCAATAAACTTATTCATACAATTTACATCATTCCATATCTAACCAATAATAGCTACCTTATAATCGTTTTTTGTTTTTATTATTCCAATCTTACTACTTTTTTTGTCTCAGATGCCTGAATCATTACACGCCAACACAAAGAACCCCAATATCAACGTTGAAACGTTGCGATTAATGAAGAAAAGAGAAAAGAAAAATAAGAAAAGACGTCAATTGAGGAGAAAGAATAAAGAAGCTGTTAAACAGAAGAAGCAAGCTATTGAAAAGGAAGATGGTAATAAGATTCTAAATATTACGATGAAAGAATTTTTACCTGCTGAAACTATTTCTCATGCTGCTGTTGACAACTCTATTGGAAATGCTGCTAGATATCTTCTTTTAGATAATTTTATTAAGTATTCTCAAGGAATTAAAGCTTTTATTAAGAACAATTTAGGTTATTTTGTCATTCCTTTAATGATTTTTTGTTATTACATTGGATCCAGAATCTTTACTAAATTATGTTTTAATAATCCTTTTTGCTGATAAATGGTCATTTTTTCCATTTCATCTTCAATTTACTTTTAAGTATCATATCTATTTATATAAAGGAATTGGTTATCTCATTTTAAAAAAAATTTCCAGTTCTACAATAATGGATTGATATATTTATTATTATTTTTATTTCGGTCTGGAGATAACTTAAACTTTTTTATTATTATTATTATTATTATTATTATTATTATTATTATTATTATTATTATTATTACTTTATTACTTTATTATTTTTTATTATATATTATGTTTATTATTTAAAATGTCGTAGCAATTTTAAACAGTAAATCGAAGCTATTTAAACATATGAGATCCTTGCTTTACGAAGTAGATAACTTAAAATGGTTAATTGCGCTTTTTGTTTGCGCATATAGTATACCGGATTAATTCCTATTTTGTCATGCTTACCGACGGAAAACAAATATCAAGTAGAAGTGTGTAATTTTAAATTGAATACAATTAGTGGTTGGAACACGTTACACTACAAATATGAAAGATAAGAGGAATATGGAGAATAGGAAAAGAACTAAAGCCACTAATGGCAAACCAGATCAAGAAATTAGGGATACTGGAAAATCTGATTTCAAAAATGTACCCATAATGATTGTGAATAAAGAAATTCAAGATTCAAGGGATAAAAAGGGTGCTAACGAAGCCATGGACCAAGATCGAGCCCTTTGTCAAAAGATCATTAAAATTTGGAATACATATATATTTTGCTTTGGGATTATGAAAGTTATTTCAATAATTATTTGCCTATGCATTTGTTTACTGGTATTAGATATATAAACACTAACTTTCAGCGAAGTCTGTCGCGGCCTGCCTAGATTTAGTGACATTAAATTTCTTTCGTATTAGCGAGAACTTTGTTATGATAAATAATTAAATAAGTATAGCTGCATATTCTTAATTTCAAAAGATCATAGTTCATTTCTAATCAAATTTCAAGATGGTTACTCAAAATTCAATTTCTTTAGAGCACATTTCATATAATGTCAAACAAGAAATTAATCCTCAAACTATAAAAGCCCTTAAGGAGCTCGACAACAAGATCAGTGATTGTGCGCTTATGGTTCTTAGAGTGCTAGCTGTATTGGCCATTATTTTTTGGATTAGCATCTTATTAGTTCTTCTTTATAAGCTTTTTTAAGGGTTTGCTAAATTTTTATCTGCTTATGGACAAGTTAAACGATTTATTCTGCTAATTATGGAATTAAATAAAACTGGATCAATACGTTTTATTTTCATTACTCACATCATTTTAACATCCAATAGGCTCAATAAGATCGTTATTTCAAATATGTTAGTTGCAGTAGAAGAAACACTCGATACAGGTGAAAATCAATTAGATAAATTGATTAAGGATTCGATTGAACATTATAAAGTTTGTCTTTGTTTCTTAAGTTTTCTTTGCTTCGTATCACCATTATTGTTAGTTGCTACAGCTCTAACTTAAAACAAATCAAATTTGTGGAGACAAGGATCATTTATCGTCAATTTTAATTGGCTATAATTAGACTTATTCTTAATAGGTGTACTTTCTATGCTATTTATGGGCAATCTAGGTTCAATTTAGGGGTAGTAACTAATTAGCATGCCATCAAACTGAATTTATTTACAAAATATCAAATATCAATATATATATATGGAATTATTTAATAAATACCTCAAGGTAACACTACTCTTTTCGTAAAAAATCTCGTTTCGTAAAAAACCTCTTTTCATAGAAACTCCTTTTCTATAACATATGATGAAATGATGAGTAAAATTAATTAAAATTGATTTTACTCTGCTTCCAAAACCGTCGCTCTAATCATTGAGAAAGTTTTATTGTAAAGATCATTATAAAAATATTCTTAACCTATACTATTATAACTATTTACATCAAGTAATGAATGGATTCATCTACAGGAAAGTTGCTGTTTATAGAACTAGCAAATTAAGAAAGCAAAAAATATCAACTCCTAAGAAAACTCTTGTTAACGAAACACTTTCTACTGAGAATAATCTTGAAATAAAAGATAATCTAACAGAATGGTCAAATATAAATCAGATAATTCAGTTATATGTAATTGAATCTTGGAACTGCTATTTATTTTGCATTTATTCAATCTTAATATCTTTTCTGATTATTTGTTTAGGTCTCTTGATTTGCTTCGTACTTCACGTAATGAAAACCACATAACAATATAGTTAGCAGTTATAGCGAGTTGGTTCATTTTAATAATTTTGTTCTGCTTGAATAGCTGAATAAATCACTTCTTCCAAATTAAATAAAGTTAACATGTAATGAACCACTTACATACATCAAAACTCTAATGTCAAAGTCTAAGTTCAAAACTGCTGATGGTATAACAGACAAGGATATTGACCTTGTAAAGAATACAATTGAAGAAGTGTATTTCAAAATGATCCTTATGTCCATTTCACTAGTCAAAACTATGGCAATAACATTCTTAATTTATACGATTTTCACGGTATTCTTCCTAGTCAGAAAGTTCATATAGGCGGTTTTAGAGTTTTAAGTAGTAATCAGAGATAATGTCTACTTAATTGAATATCCAAGAAATGGACAAACTCTGTGTCAACATAATTCATTCTATTTCCAATTTACCAGAATATTTTTCGCAATCAAGAATCTCTCAAAAGGGAAATAAAGTGTGAGCTACAAATTATTTTATTCTGCTTAGAGATTCTATATAATTAAAACATAGATTATATTGATTAATAATCTATCATATATACAAAGGTATTCCAAACAATAGTCATGAGTGGCAGAAAGTGGAAGAATAGTGGTCGAAAGGGACAATTAACTGATATTCACCAAGTTCATCAAGATGATTCACATGATCAAACTTCTTCCAAAACTCCGAACGACTACAATAGTATAAACGAGTTCAGTTACAATACTCCCAGTGAAAAGATTTTGAAATTTTGGGATTCGATTATATTTTGTTATTATTTAATGTGTCTAGGTACAATGATACAAGTCTCTTCTTACTTCGAGCATTTGCTATACTATTTGTAATTTTATCATTAAGTTTGTTGATGCCTAGTATATACCAACTTTTGCGAATTTTACTTAAATAAATTTGGATTACCATTAAATATTTTTACGCTGAATTAATTTATTTTCCTCTAGCACTTAAAACAAATATAAGTTAGTTTGGATCTTAATCAATCGATACAGCACCTTGTTTGCCATGGATGGAACACATACATCTTTTGTTTTTACCTGCTTTGTTTATCTGTTGTTATTTTATGTGTTGCCCCTTTGGTATATATTTTTCGTAATTTAAGCAGCATAAACTAAGACGCTTATTTCATTATAATTTAAAGTCCAATTAGCAATTACATAAATCACTTAAACATATACATTTCAATTAGCTTTTGATATTACAATTGGAAATCTAGTTTCATAATAATAAGCAACAAAATACGATGATGTCCTCAAAAGGTTTGAATCATACTAAATTATTTATTGCGATCCCGATTAATACTATTATTAAAGAGGTTCATTTGAAAGAACAAACTTTATGTTCTAAGGTTCTATGTTATATTAATCATTATTTATTCTATAATTATAACACTTAAACTCTTTAGCATCATGCTCAAGGCTTGAAACATTTCACTCCATTTTTTTTTTCCTATATATTTTTCCCCGTCAAGTTACCAATTTATTTTTCGCAGCCCACTATTTAGAAGCAGAAGAGAGTTTCAAAGCATGGCAAGAATACAGGTAAAACTTGAGCATTATGTTATGTTAATACATAGAATGTAAATAGTCTTGCTTCTAATTTAGATAGATATTGTTTATACCAAAAATATAAAACTTTGATTTTCTATACTCAAAGATTGAATTAAAACTAACCAAATAGTACAATGTCCCTCTATACCGGATATGACTCAACTTTAAGAAGGACTAAAAGCAGTTCTGACATGCCTAGAAAGTTTTCCCCATCCTACTTTGGTAACACAGAAGTCAGAAAAAGATCAGAAAGTACAGTCGGTTATTTTTATTACTTTTCAAACAATCTGGTAAATCCTAACCCAGCAGCTATTCATATCGAATCCGAAAAGAATAGTCTGGAGGAATCTGAAATTACAAAACCAATCTGTACCAGAGATGACCCAAGGTTGAGAAGGACTAAAAGCTGCTCTGATATTCGTAGAAACGTTTACCCGTTAGCTTTTGGCAAGACGCAAGTCAGAAAAAGATCAGAAAGTACAATCGGTTATTTTAATTATCTTTCAAACAATCAAGTAAATTCAAACTCGGTAGCTATTAATATCGAATCGGAAAAGAATATTCTGGTATCTGAAGTTCCAAAATCAAGATCAAAGAGGTCAAAAAAGAGAAAATCCAAAAGTAAGAATAATAAACAGACTAATAAAGATCAAGAAATTTCCGAAAAAGATGAACAGAAGTCCGAAAAGGTGGTGGACTTTGATTTTGAAGATGATATTCCATATATTGATGAAAGCCAGTTCACAAACAAGATAAAGAAGAGAAAGAGGAAGCCAAAACCAGAACGAAAACTAGAACAAGAGTTAAAAAGAATCGAAACAAATAAAAGGATCTATGAAGCAAGATCAAGAACTTTAAGAGATAGGCAAGGTAGAGACGAGAAAGCTTCTATCGATTTAGAAGAAGAGAATCCTATTTCAAAAAGAGCTTGGAAAAGAAAGAGGTATAGAGCCAACTGTGAGTTGAAACAAGATATCGTGGAAGAGAAGGACGAAGTTGTAGATGAAGTTGTAGACGAACCCCTTACCAAAAGGCAATTAAAGAGATTAAGGTATAAAGCTAATACCGAGGCCAAGGAAACAGCTAAAAATAATGTGAAATCTACGAAGAAATCACTAGAGTACAAAGGTTTGCTGGCTCACAAAGAACGCAAAAGAAGACCCAAGTCTTTGAAAGCCATTGCTTCTAATATAAAACTAGAAGAAAGCAATTTCTTATTAAAGGTTCCTGATTTTGTAAAGCTTGTGTCTGTTGTTGGTTTGATTATGCTTACAATAAATTTCAACAGGGTCTCATTATTTCTTACAAATATCTAAAAATAAATTATTTTGTTAAACAATCTATAAATTTTTTATTAAACAATATATAAATCGTAGACTACTTGGTGTTGATACTTTCACTGATTTCTTTTGGTAAGTTTTTTCCTTCTTCATCTTCCAAATAGCTTTTACTATCACCGTATTCATTGTATGTATTGTATCCCCAATTAGATTCCAGATAAAATGTTGGTCTGTTATAAGGAGTAAGCTCGAAACCTTCGGCCAATCTATTCACCAAATCTGGATTAGAAGTAAAATATCTTGAAAAACCAACTAATGTACGATCATTTTCAACATCTTCTTGAATGGATCTAAACTCAGGAGCGTCATAACTGTAATTTCCCGCTCTGATTACTATACCCTTCCATATTTGAGTGATGAAATCATTATTACCAACAATTTGATCATCTGCAACATCAAGACCACCACTAACACGAGGTTCAACAATTGAAATGTACGCTAATTGGTTACCTGTATCAGCTCTCTTTTGTAATTCATTTAATAAATAACTAAAAGTAGTAATAGGATGAACAGAATCTTTTTCAGCAATCATACCCTGAGCTTTAGCCCATGGGGAGAGTCTAATAGCCAATTTAGAAGCACCAACAATTGGAATCAAATGATCTATTAATTCTAGAACAAATCTTGCTCTATTTTCAATTGATCCACCATATTTATCAGTTCTTGCATTTGAAACTGGCTGTAAGAACTGATCTAAAAGGTACCCATGAGCACCATGAAGCTCAATATAATCATATCCGGCTTCGATAGCATTCTTAGCTGCATTCGTATAATCGGTATATATGATATCTTTTATTTCAGTTTCACTTAATGATCGAAGAGGATTTCCAGCAGCTATAGCATTCTTTTCATTGGCTGCGCTCGAATATATAGCAGATGGTCCAACCAAATCAAATCCTTTTTGTTTCAAGACCTCTGGTTCATAACTAACTCTACCCAAGAACCATAGCTGACTCGAAGCAAATGAACCATTATCATGAATCCTTTGCACTACCTTTTTCCAAGCTTCAGTTTGCTTTTTAGTTTCAATAGCTGGTGCTGTAGATAAAGCTCCTGCTCTTCCAGATACAAAAGTAGCTTCAGTGATGACTAATGATCCTGGATACTTCGATCTTTCGTCATAATGTTGAGCAGTCAACTGTGAAGGTGTGTTATCCTCAAGATTTCTTCTTCTTGTTGTCGGTACAAATACAACTCTGTTTGAAATAGTGTTAATACTTACCTTGATAGGTTGGAAAACTTTGGTATTTTTTAATGGTGGAGATTTAGTCATTATTGAACTTAATGAGCTTATTTGAAAACTTAAGAAATTTTTGAAATGAAGTGATATCTAAATGCTTAAATACTTCTCTGCATCATTCGGCTAACACCTCATTCATCATACGTTGTTTATGGTTGATAATCATATCAGATCTCGGATTTTACAGTGGCTGGCTTTAAACCCGTCATTTGTGGTGCGACAATAATTTGCAGTCATTCTGATTATAAATATTTCTGATTATAAATTAGGCTTAAGTTATCTGATCTGTTAAAAGCGGCTTGATGATAAATACGCGTATATTCTATAGATGATTATATATCTCTAAATAGCATAAGCACCTTTAATTGGTTTTGCCACCACTTTAACTTCTTCAGCCTCAATAAACTCTTTATTTTCGTCATACGAATTCCAAGTGTTATAGCCCCAATTATCATGGGTGTAGAACGTGGCTCTAACATATGGGGTCAATTCTAAACCATCTCTCAATCTTCTAACTAAATCTGGATTCGATACATAGTATCGGGAGAACCCTACTAAGGTACGGTTATCTTCAATGTCATTCAATAACGTTGAAAATTCAGGAGCATCATAGGTGTAGTTTCCAGCCTTGATGAAGTTTCCTTTCCAGATTGATGATGCAAATGCATTATCACCAACCTGGTTTTCCTTTTCAACATCATAACTAGCTTGAACACGAGGTTCAACAAGAGAAATATAAGCCAATTGATTACCTACATCAGCTCTCTTTTGCAATTCATTAATGACATAACTGAAAGTAGTAATTGGATGAACCACATCTTCTTCCGCTTTCATGTTTTGGAATTTGGCCCATGGTGAAAGTCTAATTGCTAATCTATCTGCTCCAACAATAGGAAGTAAGACATCGATTATTTCGAGCACTATTCTAGCTCTATTTTCGATCGAACCTCCATACTTATCAGATCTTTGGTTTGTAGATGGTTGTAAAAATTGATCTAAAAGGTATCCATGAGCACTATGTATTTCGATATAGTCAAATCCAGCAGCAAGAGCATTTATGGCAGCCTTTGGATATTGAACATGGATGATATCTTGAATTTCTTCTTCAGTTAATGATCTTAATGGATTTCCAACTTCCTCGGCTAACTTTTTAGATTCGTCAGTGACATAAACAGGAGATGGTGCAATGAAAGGTAAACCTGCTTCTTTAAGTAATTTAGGATTTCCAACTCTACCTAAATACCATAATTGAATAGAAGAAAATGATTTATTAGCATGGATCTTTTCGTTAATTTTCTTCCAACCTTCAACGTGCTTCTCGGTGTAAATACCTGGTACATTAGAAAATAAACCACCTTGTTCGGCACTAAAGGTAGCTTCTGTGGTAATTAAAGAACCTGGATATTGGGATCTATCACCATAATATTGTAATTCCAAATCGGATGGAGTATGATCGTCAAGAGCACGATATCTTGTGGTTGGAGCAAACACCACTCTGTGATTTAATTCGTTCTTACCAACCTTGATTGGTTGGAATAATTTAGTATCCTTCAATGATTTTGGGACAGTCATTTCTACCTATTTCCTTTAAATTTTTTCCACTACAGAAACCTGTCTTAGAAGTAATGAAGCTGACTATATATATATGTTTATGCTTTTGATAAAGTTTAAGGGCTTACTAATTGACGGCTACACAAAATTCAAAAAAGTTGCGACACTAAAATGAAAAGCCACTATTGAATCATCATAATTTTACGGCAACAATAAAATTTACCAGGGCTGCGGCATTTACTATAATTGAAGTTTAAGGTACTGAAGTAGCCGTTTCCTGACGAACCTTTCATTAAGTCAATAGTCATATTACAGGACTCAATTACTAATCAGGTGCAAATTGTTCATTTTTGTTGAGTTTTCTATAGACGTTATTTATTTTATTCATTTTTCTTTTCAAAAGTGACAGAATTGCGATGACCATTGAAAAATGCTCCTAAAAGAGTATAGATTATTATAGCCACTCCGAATAATACAGAAACTAATGTAACGGTAGATATAGTTTCGATAGATCCTGTGGCATTAGGTACATCTATCGTGACAGATGATTGTGGAGTATGAGTCAAATGATAGAATACCGTATTATCAGTGAAGTAACGTTCGTAATTACCTCCAATTTCTAATCTTGAATCAAATGGAGATTTATCCAACAAGAAATCATCCTTAACATTACATCCATAAAAGATTTCTGGTAATGAGTTGTTTACTACGGTTGCGTTTTGTATTTCATTGGGTGACTGATATCTTGAATGTAAAGTAAATTCAATATCATCTTGACTAATATTATTAAATTCGAATAATATTTCACTTCCCCATTCGGTGATTTTATATTCAGGTAATTCTAAGTTGGACACTCCATTGTGAACAACCAATGATGATCCGCTAGGGATTGATTGGTATTTATCAAATATTAATGACTTGTTAAGATTGATGTAGTAATACAAACTGCATTCAAGAATATCAACTTCTTGAATATCAGTGAAGGACTGAAAGTTGGATTTTAAAATTGGATGTAACCCATTCTTAACAATAGAACTAGTTGAAGTAGAATCAATGAATCTATGACGAGGCTTAATATGAAATAAGGTCTTAAATATGTAATCTTCCTCTTTAGATCCTTCCTCTGCTGGAACCTGTTCCTCCTTATCAAATATTACACGTAATCCTGATAACACAATATCGTCACTCGTACTTATATGCTTATCGATTATAAATAATCCGACTTCTTTACGTACTTTTTCATTCAATGAAATCGAAAACTCTTCTGAAGGTGGTAAATAAGTTAATTGTTTCAAAACTATAGTTGGATTCCCATCCTCATTGTTGAATACCAAATCATAGGTTTCACTTGAATCTTGTATTTCATCTGAAGCATCTTGAAACCAAGTTAGATCCAACCTTTTACTGATGTCATCGTGATAATATAACGAATTGATAGTCTTTATCCAATTATCAGTTTTAACATCGATTCCCAATAACAGGTTTAGCAATACATTCACTTGCTCAAAGAACTGTTCTTGATCTTTTTTAGTTTCGACATTTTTAGGAATAACATAAACATTGACACCGTTACTGAACTTGTATGTGAATACTGTATCATTCTTTATGGAATCATCATTCAGTTGAATTCTCAATTGTTTAATTAGATTGAATTGATTAACGGTTGTGGCAATTGCGCTTGACGGCAAAGTGATTTTATTCTCTAATATAAATGGCTCATTTTCATCATTATCGGTTTGAATTACTATCTTTTCACGAGTGATTTTCGAAACCACATCATCATTAGTATCTTTTGGATTGAATATAGTTGTTCTTTGTTTTATCATGGTGTGAATTGATCTGTATTGAAATATACAACTAGTTGATACTTTGTTGTCTCTTTTTGAATTTCCAATTTGAAGTTGTGTCTCAAATTTCGACATTGTCAGAAACTTACATAATCGAATTTTAGACAGAAAAACTTGCTAGTTGCAAATTTAAATATTACATTTCAAAGTTTAATATTATTATTATATATTTATTGATGTGTTTATACAAGAAGCTAAAATGATAATTAAAGTAAGTAAAAACAAAATACTTTTAGATGGTTGTCAATTGATTATGCATGTTCTAGATTTATCTATAGTTCATCCTTTTCAGGAATTGGTTTATTTTTTTCTATTATCTGAGCTCCAGGGACAATGACTTTATATTCAATGAAAAGATCACCATACTCTTCAGACGGATCTGGATGGTTTGGATCTTCGACAATAGGCATACCTTTACCCTTAACGATTTCAATTTCTCCATTAAGAACCACTTCACCTTTCTTTCTTGAAAGTTTCAAAAGATTATCATCATCATCGAAAAATTTGATACTTCTGGTCCAATCACCTGATAAGGATTCATTCAAAGTTAAAACTTCTGTTCTATATAAATTATCATCAACTCTTCTATAACCCCAACTCTTGACGAATTCTTCTCTTAAAGATACAATTAAATCACCAGCAATCCAATCTGGACTTTTATCACCTTCACCATGCAATACTATATTCGAGTCTCTTGGTTGACCAGGTTGAATATATACTTCATAATGTCTTAAACCTTGGTTAACACCATGACCATGACATGAATCACATTTATTAGTGATTTTTTTACCTTTACCATTACATTCATCACAGCCAGATCTCATTTGTTGGATCATTCCCGGAGCAATTTGATGAGTTATCACTATGGTACCAGATCCATTACATTTAGGACAAGTATGAGTTTCTTTATCTTTTGAACCAGATCCTTCACATTTCTCACAAATATTTCTCATTTCAACATCAAATTCTAATAATTTACCATTATAGAAATCATTCAATCCAACATTGATATTCACTTGAGTATTATCACCTTTACGAACTCTTTGTTGACCTCCACCTTGTTGACCACCGAAGAAATCACCAAACATATTACCAAAAGGATGTTGAGGTTGTGGTCTTCCATTTGGATCACCATATTGATCATAATTGAATCTCTTTTCGGAATTTCCCAATGCTTCATAGGCTTCACCAACTTCCAAGAACTTTTCATGAGCTTCATCATTTCCAGGATTCTTATCAGGATGATATTTCAAACTTAATTTCTTATATGCTGATTTAATTTGCTTTTCATTAGCATCTTTCTTGACTCCAAGAATCTTATAATAGTTTTTAGCATCAGCGAGAACACACGTCATTATAAACAAACACGCGCATAGTATGAATGTTATGCCTCTCATGATGACTGACTGTTTTCAATAATGATGGTGTTGTATTGGATTGAATTGAATTGAATTGAATCTAACTGATAACAAATACGTTTTAAATTCGATTGTGAATTTTTCATTACACGTCAACAGAAAGCGACAAAATTTATTTTGAGAATAAAGTATTGCAGTAAGGGTGTGAGTTCAATTGTATTGCGTTATGGAGGTTAAAGCCTTAATTAAAAGTCGTACGGTTTATACCAACAGTATGAATAGTAAATGTATGCATGTATATCATAATACATATGGTCTAAATCAATAAAGTATTGGTCTGCATCAGTAGAGTATTTATAGCCTCTTATGTTTCAAACTATCAACCTGTGAAAGTCTATTCTTTCTTTATGTAACTAACTCTCTGAAATGTTTTTAATATGCATATCAATTCATACTTAACTTAGATTAACAAAGATACTATTTAGTCATTTATTGATTGTTACAGTCAAACTGACAAACAATTAGATATACTTTCATTAAGAACTAAAAATGTAACTTAAACTTAAACTGAAACTGAATGGATGTAAAGTTGAAGTTGAAAAAAAAGAAATTGTTCCCCACAAAAGTTTTGGCTGGCGCAACTTTTGGATATTTTCGAGGCAATCCTTCTATTATCTGACGTCTGTCCCTGATCTTTATATCATCTTGTTGGATCTCAGGGTACATGTCGGCTCATTGGCAGTATATCACAGTCTCTGTGAGACTTGTATCTAAGGAGAATACTTATGCCTTATCAGGTATACATCTTATCTTTAAAGATCCTGCCAGGAAGATTAGTTTTGATTTCATCTTAACCATAAGTTACATTCCTGATCTTGAATTATATAAGATCTTAATTAACTCGGGAAATGATGCAGATGATCATAACGAGAGTACAGATACTGTATCGTGGTATGGTGGGAAGGTTATCAATAACATTGCATTAAGTACTTATCATAGTAAACTTACAAAATACTTATCATATTTCAGACGAAATGGGTTTAATTTCATCCCTTATGATATTATTAATAAGAAATCAAATGATACCAACTTTGATAATCTTTCATTATTGAAACTTGATTTAGTTCCCAATATCAAACAACAGTTTATTCATAAAAATCAAGCGTATTATAAACCTATCATGTTTCATAACAATAGAATCAATAATGAACTTAAGAATTTACCTATCATTATAAAGTCATATCCGTTTAATTTCACTAATTCCATGATATTTTCCAACTTCTTATCCAATGGTACTATCAATTATGTGTTTAAAGACTATATAGGCTATCTATCTGATACTCAATATTTAGAGAACATGATAGGTGGTGTGGTGTTGAATGATAAACATCATACTTCCATAGGTTTAGTATTAGGTAATGTTAAGAAATTAAATGGTGACGGAGATTTAACGTTTATTATATCTTGGAACACGATCTGGAAAGTATTGATGGAGTATGATTCCAAATTAAACAAGTATTCTTCAACCATTCTAAAATTAAACAGATTATCAACGTCCATGACAACAACTATAGCTACACCTTCAAGAAAGTATACTTCGGTCTTCCCCATTACGATTCGAAATTCAGTGGCATCTTCATGGGGTTCATGTGTTTATTATAATCATAATACATTGATGACCAACTTCCATGTTCTACAACCATTCATTGGTAAACATGAAGTAAGTTGTGAGATCCATATATCACCCACTTGTATTCTAACCATCACAAATACTGACCTGATCATAACTCCATTCAGAAATATCGATTTATCATTCATCAAGCTTTCTATGAAGAATATCGTCCTCGTTAATAATAGAAACATACCAGCTAAACCGATTAGGAAATGTTACAAATATGATGTTGGTGATGAAGTTATAAGTCAAGGATTTGGGTTATTCTATAACTTGACTAATATAAGTCCACTAGAATCACAGGGGATAATTAGTTGTAAAGTTAAACTTCCAATAACTTATAAAGTACTTGAGTCGAATTCAATGATCATTACGTCTTCATCATGTTGGAATGGATCTTCTGGTGGTGGGATATTTAAGAAATCATCGTCGTCTACGTCTTCATCAACAAGATTAGAGTTCGTCGGTTTGATTTGTTCAAATGCTCAAATTAAAATTCCAAATTTATTAAATGAAAATTATGATCCTGAAAGTCGTATAATATCTCATGAATCGAGTGATGATATAATAGAAAAGCTTTCCAAATTCTCTTTGATCTTGCCTATTGAAATCATCGATTATTGTTATACTCATAAAGTATCACAATCTCATAATGCGATTCCACCAAGTATAAATCCTAAAATAAAAGATATCTGGCAATTGAAGAGTTTCCACAATGATATTGTCATTGATTCTACAAAGTTCTAGAGAATATATAGTACCGTATTTAATACATATATTATTATAATACATAAAGCTAGATTGTTTGATTTCATAAACTTGATATTGTCGTTATATTTTTTTTTTTTTAAATTTACCCTTTTAGTTTCATTTTCTTAATACATTAGGTATTAAAGTTTTAAGTGTTTTACCGTCATCATTTATGTCATTAGTATTAACTTCGTCATTCACCTTCATTCCACTACTTCCCTTTGGTAAGATAGGTGGTAATAAGAAATCACTTCCAGTAGAATTGGATTGACCCATCATAGTGTTACTATTGGTCATTTCATTACTTGGAGTATTAGAATTATTTAAGGATAATGAAGATGAAGATAATATTGGTGGGGGTGGTGGATAAGTTGAGTAGGAACTATAATAATTAAATTTATTAGAACTGTTAGCATTATTATTGTTAGCATTGGAATTATTCATATTATGTGAACTGTTTGAATTTGAAAATGAGGTACCACCAGTAATGATTGGAGAATTTTGAATATCATTATTACTATTTATGGTATTTGTAGCATGAGAATTAGCTAATACACCAATGGTAATCGAATTGGATCTTCTATAGCCACCAATATTGGCATTGTAGTCATTATAGTTATAGCCAGTATTATCAAGTTGTCCAAGATAAGAAGATGATGAAGGTGCTACTTCAGTTGGAGGAGTTGGATTGATTGATAATGGTTGTTCTTCTTTACTTAACTTCATTAATTCTTGTTGAACTATTTCATTAGTAATTTTATATACATTAACTTTTAATAATGAAAGATTATTGATGAGGATATGACTGTTATTGTTGTTCGTATCATATTTAGATTGAATGGCTTGTAAAGTAAAAGTCATCCAATTATCAAAAATAGTAGTAAACTTATATTTCAAGATCATAAACCAATTATTATTAAATAAAAATTCATCATTTTCCTTTAAACTGTTGTTATTGGACATTAAATTTGAATTTCTGATTGGTGGACTTAATGATGGTGAGTTGTTTGAAGATGTAGATGACATTGAAGTTGACTCAATATTCAATTTCTTATTCAAGGCAGATTTATTATCCAATAATAAGTATACTAAATTTTGCAAGATATAATTATTATTGAACAAATCATGATTATTCCAAATAATAAACAAGATCTTGATCATAATTAAATACCATTCAAATAAGAACATGGAGATACTATGGATTTGGATCAAATTAAACTTTTTGAAATCAATTATACCTAAATTCAAATAATTACTAAAGAAAATAATAGGAAAACTTATAATACTTAAGTTGTTATTGATATCAATAGGATTGGATTTGAAATTAAAAAGATTCTTAATATTACCATCAATCAAAATATGAGGATTTAATAAAAATTCACGTAATGTTTGATTTATAGGATAATTCAAGTTGATTTCTTGCAAAGTCAAGTTTAATAAATCCCAGTTAAAGTAACTTTGTGGGATGAATAAGTAATTGTTTAATAATTCATGAAACTTCAATGGGGAACTGATGATGATATTCTTCTTGAATAATTCAAATAACTTGAGATGAGATGAATCAATTTGGATCAGATTACGATTTACTTGATGAATGTTGATTGATTTATTGATTAAAATGATGGAGTTATGTAAACAATTCTTAGAGCTAAAGATTAAGAAATTTTCAGCATTATCGAAATTCTTCAACTCATTGGATAAAGTGGAGATAATAATCATCTTTAAAAAGTCAGATTCGTTTTCTAAATTAATGAAATTCTTGGAAAACTTTGTCATTAATGATAATAAAGTTTCACTACCCTTCACATGTTTATTCAAAAAGAAGGAATAAAACTTGGGTGGTTTTGATTTTAAATAATTTGAAATTAAGATATAAATATTCCAGAATAACTTTATATTCAAATCAATCAAGTTTTCATTAGAAGTTGTTAAATCCTTTAAATTTGAAATGATAATGAAACTGATATCATTAAGATAATTTAGTATAATATCATTATTAATAAATGTATCATCTTCTTCTAAGGTATTTTCAATATTGTTATAAGATTCAAGATTATATTCAAGGTAAATGTAAGACAATAAGTACAAGTTATTAAGGATTTCAATTTGATCTAAAAGATTATTATTGTTATTATAACTTGGAATTAACTTTTTGATTAACAAATTCCATGATTTCTTAAAGTATAAAATGGACTCAGCATATCTTTTGTTTATAATATATCCCATTGAAATGATTGAATAGATGATACCAATTTTAAAGTTATTTGGATACAATTGTTGTTGCTGTTGGTGTTGAATAGATGCTTGTTGTTGATATGATTGTGATTGAACACCTTGTTGTTTCAAGTTGGAGTTTGATTTGCTATTAGTGTAACTGTTTAAATTGAATATTAATTCTTTTAAAATTTTATCAAATACTACAAAATTTGATGATGATTGTAATAAATGGATATAACCAATAAGGAAATGATCATTGAGTGAAATATTTTCATTACTTGGATCAAACTTAACAAGAATAGTTTGAAGCTTTTTTGTTATGGATAATAAATGAATCAAATCATGATTAATAATATCTTTATTAGCTGAAACTGTATTACTGGAGCTGGAAGTAGTCATTTGTGTAGCAGTTGCTTGTTGAGTTGGAGAACGTAAATGATTAGAATCGGATTTATCAGAATCAGCTGAACGCTTTCTTTTCTTACTTCTTGAATTAGATACACTTAATGGAATGGATTCCAATAATGGAGTTGTCATGGGTGTTAATCCCATAATAACATTAGTGGCATTATTATTATTGACAGAATTGTTGTTGGTTGGAGATAAAGGTTCATTTGAATCACTTAAATCATCATCCAATACAGAGTTGGTTGAAGCTGAACTTGATAATAAAGTGGTGGGACCAGCCGCACCATTAGTATTTGCCTTTTGAATATTAGTACTACTGCTGCTAGTACTTGAATTAGCAGTGGTGGTAGTATTATTGGTAATTGATCCATCAATGGGATCAGTTAAATCACTAATAATAGTTGAACTTGATACACTAGTTGGATTATTCAATGATTTGTTGGATGGTAATGTATTAGGATTCAATTGACTATTATGGACAGTACGACAATGTCTTTGCAACAAATCACGTCTTACAAATGAAGACGTACAATGCAAACAATGAAATGGTTTTTCATTGGTATGAGATCGCTCATGACGTTGCTTATGTTCTGATCTTGTGAATGCCCTTGCACAGAAAGCACATATATACTTCTTTTGAGTTGCCATTTGAGATATATGATTTATTGGTACTATATAGTAATTTGGTTAAAATGTGAGGGCTAGGGCTAGAGAGAGTAGGAAAAAAAGCGATCTCCTCTACCTTCTTCCCTAAACTTTTGACAGGATTGATGTGAGCAGGAGAATTAAATTGATCAATAGTCAATATTGATCAAACTTGAATATATTGGAAAGAACCTTATAGAACAATTCTTAGCCGTATCAAATCTTCAAAACTTCAAAACAGAATTAAAAAAAATCAAAACAACCACGAAATCGAATTCGAATTCGGAAATTGTTCATATTATATATCAGTTCTGGAAAAGGAGGGTGCTGCTGCCAAAAATTAAAAATTTAAACAAAAAAATGTCTGCATACAAGATTGGAGATTCTACTGAGGGAAATACCCCGCAAAGTCAAAAATAAAAAATAAAAATAAAAATTTAAAAAAAAAAGTAAATTTTAAAAAAAAAAAAAAAAGATTTATAAAAAATAAAAAGTGTAATAAATATTTACCGGAGTTTATTATTTTCCCAAACTTGTGTTTAACAATTTCAACTCTAACTTAGGACTTCTCTTACTTGCCTGTTTTTAGGTAGGATGGCTAATGCAGATGGTTTGTGATGGGTTGGGGGGTACGTTCTGCACAATGATAAGAACAGAACGCAGTGATATCTCCATGTTTTTTTACGACTCCATCCTTTTCCGTTTTCTCCTCTAGTGTCCGCTACTCCTCTATTTTTTTTGTTGTTGTTCCTCAGTAAGCCTTAGCGATAAGGAAAAACTATTTCAATTTATTTTGGTCCCCTGCCCCCATCACGAAAAATAACTGAAAATAGCGAGAAACTTGAAGTTTGCGGTGCGCGATAATACAAATAAATAGTGGAGATTGTCGCTATAACTATTTTTACTTTACTGCTGCTAACTTTCTTTTTTTTTCAATTCTTATACTCAATCCAGTAATTTTTCATTATTTAGTCTCTTTTCATGTTCCAAATTTCATCTCTTCAATTGGTATTATAAATACAAGGTCTTTTTCCTTTCCAAAAGGTTAAGTCTTCATTTTAGTCCATTATTTTATTATCAGAGATTATTATTTGAATCCATTCATTTATAATTGTGTTGCATTGTTAGTTTTACTTTTACTGATATTTTTATTCATTTATTTTCATCGTAAAAGTATCACCAATTCCCCTCTTATCCTTTTCCTTTTTTTATTTTTGTCTTTTACTTCTCCATTATTCTAGTTAAACTCTGACTAAACTATCTCCTCTTCTATCCGCTTCCTATATTAGGATAAAAGTTTTGGTAAAGTCTTGCCTGGAAATCTATTAATAATATTACACATGCGCAAGGTTTAGTAAAAGCTAGAGTATAATTTTATTGATTATATCATTACGTACGTTTAGGCCTATGACTAAACTCAATTCATATCCACTACGATAATTCAATCTCTTTACCTTACTGAGAAATAATTCTTTAAAAAATATGAAACTTCATAAGGTTTACTTAACCTTTTTTTTTTGCCCCAGGCATTTCTTCTCTAGCAGCCTTCCTTCTCTTCCATTTACGCGATAATGACTATAAGGCTGGTTCCTTTAAACAAAAAAATTTATCATTTTGTATATAATTAAATATCTAAAATTGAATTTATCATCATAGCCACGTATGCATACGCCGTGAATGCCATACAATGGACCACTATCAATCTCATGCTGACCAATCCCCCTATTCTAATCTATGTAGTTGCCGATACACCCTTTACTCCACTTTTTGTTATATATATAATATTTTTGACTCATTCACATTTCGATGATTATGATAGTAAATCACTAACTCTAGTTGTGATAGATAATAATTTTAGTTAACTACCATAATGCTTCTTTAAACATGTAACCAAAAATAATTTTACATTTGAATATCAGATTATTTAACAATCATCAGTAAAAATATTATCAAAAAATAAACTTTGCAGTGAGATCAAATAAAACAAACCAAAAAAATAAAATAAATATAGATGATAATTTACAGCCTTCGTTAACTCCTCATGAGCTTAAATTTTGTTAGCTCGTACATAGAATTACACTATTTTTCTCCTATTTTTAATTTCCACTATAGTTAAGGTTACATGTCTATTGAAAGTATTATCATAACTAACTTGTACTATAAATAACCCAGAAGATCACTATTGTGACCCATTAATTGCTACCGCACATCCGTTACTGCCAGTGGTTGAAATTTAAAGTTAGGTTTGAAATTGGTTTGATTACTCTAGATTTAACTAATTTAAGGAACTGATGGTCCCACTAACTAAAACTTTCCCCCTTTATTTACAATTACTCTCCCCCATTAATTGAACAATGATACTTTTATTGTACTTGTTGTAGTTAACAAAACTTCTTCTTCGACCGCTGTAATCATAACTTAAGTAATTATTTTTTATCTGGTTTATAGGCTGATTCCATTGTTATGGAGAGGAATAATGTGGTAAAGTGTCTAGAATTCACAGACAGTTGCGCAACCACTACAATAATCCCCACTATGACCTCCACAACCACAGCTACTGTGTATTATTAGCTTAGCTTGTTGTTACCTATCTCACTAAACCTTATAGATAAAAAAGAAACTTTTTCCCCCTCTATTCATTACACTCTAAAATTTCGCGGTCATATTTACCCCTCCATCTCCGTACTGTTTCTACCTACCATGCAACGAATAACCTTAAACCAAGCCATAAAATATTCGATTGTTAAATGTGGTATTGTATTGATTTATGTCATTTCTTTGATTCTCTTATTGATAAAACATTTCAGTTAACTGTATAGGGTTGATAGAATAGACAACAAGTACATAGGATATTTAATTTAAAATTTTTCTGAGGTCATTGGTAAATCATAACATACTAGGAAAGTCTTATCCGTTGTTGCACCCAATCTCTGTCTACTTCGCGCGAGGGGTTAGTGAGAAATTCTCAAATTTCCATTGCATTTTACCCCATTTTTATTTTTATTTATTATTTTTGGATGCGGCTAGATGAATCTTCCCTAACCCAAAAAAAAAAAAGACAAATAATCGTACATAAATACAATACACCCCAAAACATATTGAAAATAGGAGTCAAATGACGGGAAAATGTAGAACAAAAACAACAATCAGAACGATCTTAACACCTTTCAACCCAACTAAAAGCGTTGTTTGTGTTATTTATGTAGGATTATAGCCTGCGTAAGGTTCAATTAGTGCCCCATATTCTTGCAGTAGGCTATATATGACTTAACCTCAAGGCAATATAAAATCTCCTCACAACTTCACTTGCAGATTTGTTTTATATAGTGCTAATCCAGGTTTAATTTAGCATAATCAGTTTTAGGAATGTTGGGGCTAAGAAAATATCTATATTATCGGGACGATTTATCCTTTCTGTTGCATAAAATGTATTGTTATCTTGTCATCTTACAGTTTCTGTTTCAAATGATGTAATTAATTACTTGGTAATGTGGTATTTACCGTTGCAGGTTCAGTTGGTCTCGTAGTATCTGATTCAATGTTTAATCCCGAGTCTATAACGTATCTATAAAAAAGTTATCGTCAAGTGTTAATTGTTTAAATCAGAGTATATCATCAATATAGGGGTAAACACTTTCAACCGCTCGCATCAAACAGAAATCATTAGACTTACCCCACTCGTACTTATATGGTTCTACCTATATTCCGAATTAAAGAACAAGTTATTCAGCTTACCTCCCCCACTTTAATATTTTTTTGTTCAAATTAATTTTTTTTTTCATCCTGACTCAATTAAGTAACTATTCCATTAAATGCTGCCCCACTCTTAAATCATTTTGTGTATTTTACTCCTCATTCTTTTTTTCTGTCTGGCTTTAATTATTGCGCTTTTTTGCGGTTAAACAAAAAACTCTGCTCAGTGCGGTGCTGGATTTGTTTGAAATACTATGGATAGAATCTAATTATACTTTTCAACAATGAGCTTTTGACATGAAATGTATGTTTTTGGAAAATGTCAAGTTTGGTAATTAAATTGGAACCCCTCTCGCTACATGACCTGACTTGATTCTACAGGGTCATAGTAAATCTTTATTATTCTTTCAAGTAGTTCATCTCATACAGCACCTGATCGTAACTTGATGCTTTCATTTATTTATAATTAAGAAACAATTAGAGAAGAAAATAATTTATAAGAATGAGATGAGCAGGACGAACGTCATACGTACGAGTTTTAACTTCTTCAAAACACCTCTGTTAACAAGAATTTCTACAAAACCTATTTTTGCAACAATTAGTATATACAAAATTTATATGCATTGTTAATCCTTATTATTTACATAACTTGGTTTATTATTACTTTTGTATTTCCGATATTCCTGTTCTCTTAACACAAGAAGTATACAAACAAGTTTAATATTCTCATCGCTAATTTCATTAGTATCATAATCAAAAATCTTTATAGTTCCATTTTTAATAAAATGTTTTTCCATTTTAATATTTCCTTCGTCTAAATATTGACTCATGGGGATATTAATTAATGGAGTTTGAGAATCAATATATTTTGATATTTTTAACTTATCTTGACTTTCAATTAATGAATATAAAGAAGACTCGTCAATAGCTTCATCCATACTATCTCGTCTTTTCCTATTGAATTTGACCTGATCTTTATCATTGATTTCGATATCTTTATCATTACATAACAAGACTTCATCATTCTTCATAACGTAAAGCTTGATTAATCCGTTAGTCCCAAACGTAGATGATGTTCCCGTTATACCAACTATTCTAAAATTAGTATGCTCAAAGTTAAAATCAACAGTGGGTTTATTACTATTATTATTCAATAAATGAATTGTATCTATGACTTGACCATTATCATTGAAAAACTTTAAAATATAATAATTTATATGATTAGTCAACACTTTGAAGTACACTTTAACGAATTCATACTTCTCTGTACTTGATTTGTACTTGAGTATAGTTAAAATAGGAGAATTCAACTTTAACAAACTTAATTTTGATGAAAAGGTTTGTAATAAAGGATACTCCCTTTCTGTTGACTTATCCAGTTTTACTTGTTGATCATTAGTGGAACCTAATTCGGCATATTTATTAAATGAATCCAAAGATTTAAAAACCATAGTACCTGAATGTAAGAAAGTTGATATTAATGGTAATTGTCTAACCACCTTGTACTGGGGTAATGGTCTTCTCATAATCTCAATAGGAACATTTATGACGGTAGCTGCATCGGAGTATAACGACATTAGATCGCTATTACTATCATCATTATGTTGATTTGTCAGTTGATTTGGATCCGATCTACCAGTAGATGAAGTAACTAGAGTTGATAATGATTCTTGACTATTTGATCTACCTAATCTTGGAGCAGGTTGATTTGATAATCCTGTTGTTATATTGGTACTTTGATTGCTAGCATTTCTCAATGTATTTGTGGGATTGGAATTATTGTTGTTCCGTCGTAATATATTATTGAACATATACACAATTCTTCTAATAGTTTTATATATGTAAGGTTGATAACAGATTCAAAGATCACACTACAGTTATATATCAGTTTAGATCAAAGTGAAAAAAAAAAAAAACATGGTCGTGTCAAAATGCATAATTTGTGTCAGGTGACTAAAATTTAAATTCATTACGATCGGCCATCACACTGGGGTATATACCCCGATAACGACTGCAAATTCTTGTTTGAAGATTCTGTTTTACTATATTGGAATCAAAGTTAACTTAAAGAGATGTTGACTTATATCTTCTTAAACTACGATTGAATTTTTGATTCGGAGTATACTATTAAACCCTGTGTATCTCTGCGCTACAATGATTACTGAGGGTCCGCTCCCCTATCATCTCGTAATTTACCAATTTACCCCTGACACAATGATTAAACATCACTAATAACAAGATCTATTCATGTCAAAAATTTTATCAATAATAAAGGGAATATGCCAGAACAGTGGTTTTAAACCATTACAGGCCAATCAAACTGTTTAAATTCAAATCGGCTAGATATTAATAAACCCTAATAACGGAGTGTGGCTGAAATGATGAGACGCTATTTGTAAACAGATTTTTTTATGTCGCTAATTTTTCACTCATTACGTAATTTCTAATTTAACTCTAACGTTAAAAAGAATACGAACTTTTTTATGAGATGAATATTTATTAGCAGATAAGGTTAATACTTGCAAAATTAATCTTGTTTACCTTGTATAACTCTAATTATCGATATCTTCCTCTATAACTAATCCTACCTTAGTATACTTAAACCATACCCTTATCACTAACACTTTTTGAGTGATATCATTTTTGACATATCACGCACAAAAAAACAAAAATAACCTTACTTTACCGGAACACGCTCGACACGTCCCTAAAAATTTTATTTAATTATATCTGATCTCATTTGTTTTGAAGAGCTTTTCACCCATTTCAACCTTAGTCATTCCTTAACGTTCATAGCAAACTTAGATTGCTCAGCAACATCAACATCACATCCGTTGTCGTCATGCCTGCTGAAAAACTAACTTTCAAACAACAGATGGAGGGGTTCCCCGTCCGTCAAATGCTTGTTATTTGTATCATTAGATTTAGTGAACCTTTAGCATTCTCATCATTATTTCCCTATCTTTATTTCATGATTAGAGATTTCAAAATCGCTGATAAGGAAGAAGATATCTCGAAATATAGTGGGTATCTTGCTTCAAGTTTTGCCTTTTGTCAATTTTTATTTGCTGTAAGATGGGGTAAATTAAGTGATAAAATTGGTCGTAAATTCATTTTATTAATTGGACTATTCGGTACTGCTACTTCATTATTATTATTTGGATTCAGTCAAAATTATTGGCAAGCATTAGTAGCCAGATCCATAGCTGGGATCTTGAATGGGAATGTGGCAGTATTAAGAACTGTTATTGGAGAAATCGCTACTGAAAGAAGACATCAAGCTATCGCATTTTCAACTTTACCTTTATTATTTAATTTTGGAAGTATTATTGGTCCAGCCATTGGAGGTTCGAAATATTTCACTCATCCCAAGAAAGATAGTCCTTATAAATCTCAAGATTTCGAATCTCAAGGTTTACAATCATTTTATGAACATTTCATTAGAAAATATCCTTATGCATTATCAAATATCGTGGTGGCAGCTTTCTTAATTTTCAGTTTAGTTTGTGGATTTTTATTCTTAGAAGAAACTCATGATGTTTATAAATATAGAAAGGATTATGGAGTTGAATTAGGTGATTGGTTATTAGCCAAAGTCGGTATCACTGCACCAGAAAGACCATGGACCAGAAAACACCATAGTCATTATTATCATCAAATTGACAATCCTTCACCAACTATAAGTCCTGAACCATTGATTGCTTCTACTCCAACTGAAAATTCTCCATTATTACCAACAGCCAATATTGTTAATATTGATGAAGATCAACGTTCAATTCAATCAGAAGCATTAGATTCATCTGATATTGAACAAGGTGAAGATGATGATGATAATGCTGATATTCAAAGTATTAGACCTTATATGTCAAGAAGAATGTCTCAAGCTATTGTTAAGACCTATTCTATGGAAAGTGAAAGACAATTAGAAGTTTATAAACCATCATATTCAAATGCATTTACCCCAAGAGTTATAACTGTCATCACGGGAAATTTCATAATTTCATTACATAATGTTACTTATAATGAATTTTTACCAATTTTCTTAGCAGCTAGATTTCAAAAGGATAAATTAAAATTCCCATTCACTATTGAAGGTGGATTTGGGTTAGATTCAAATTATATTGGTACTTTATTTTCATCAACTGGTATAATGGGGATGCTTATAATTTTAGTTATATTCCCATGGTTAGATCGTAAATTAGGAACTATCAATGGTTATAGATTATCAGTATCAATATTCCCTATTGTTTATTTCTTAGTTCCATTTACAATCTTCACCTTGAATAAATTTAATCCAAATTTCCCAGTTTGGGCTACACCAGTTATGTTATATACTTTAACATCATTAAAGACATTGGCAAGTGCAACAGGTATGCCACAAGTGATGTTATTAAATCATCGTGCTGCTCATAAAGAACATCGTGCTTATGTGAATAGTGCTACCATGAGTATCATATCATTAGCTCGATTCACGGGACCAATTGTATTTGGTTATTTAATGTCCTTAAGTGATAAATTATCTATGGGACAATTGACATGGTGGGTGATGTCATTAATGGCTGCGGTAGGGATGGTTCAATCATATTGGATGGAAGAGTATGATGAAGATGAAGATGAAAAAGTTAAACCTAATGAAGAATTGAATGATGAAAGTAATGAATCACCCGAACCAAATCTTTCGCAGCAATTACAACAAGATTTCACTGCTGTTGAAGTTGAAGATGAGACACAAACTAGTATTCATTAAAACTCATAGATACATAAATAAAGAGATAGAATTGCATTTAATTTATATAGATACTTTTATAGTTACAAATTATATATACACACGATAAACTGAAATAGTGAATGGCTCTGTCTGATAATCAACGTAAAGCGCAACCATATTGAAGTAGGATCATAGCGAGAGATATGTACTATATATCCACTTGTCCTGCATATACCTATCAACCCTCTGCACGACCTTCATATTTCTGCTTAGTAAGACATAATTTTACACAAAATTATATAAGGGCGGATCAGAGTCCCGGACCGCAATAGTTAAGGTTAAATGGTTTCGATTACAATTAACCATTTTAGGAATTCTATGAGAGCCGTATCCCCCAAATTTTTAACTTAACTTACCGGAAATTTGAATTATTTTACCATTACCAATAACTCTATTAATTAAACACAGTGGCTATTTGTTGAACTTATTATTGCGAGTTGATCGCAATAATAATAATATTTAAGATCAACTCATCCCGCCCTTGCTCCCTGGCAGGATCTCCTCCTTCTTTCAAACCTCACTCCACCACATGCTCGTTAATATAGCAAGTTACATATATATATAATGATCTACTAATTATTTTTTTTTTGGTCTCTAATGATTTGGGGGAAAAATCAAATCAAATCATATGTGGTGGTGTAAAAAACGGTCTCTGGGTTAAAGGATCAATGTAAATGCAATGGAATGTACTAACATAAACTCTAATATTATATATTACTCTCTATTGTGTTTTTGGGGTGGATTTTTTTTATCATTTTAAGATTTTAAATTTCATCGTATTAATGGGCTTTTGTTAACCTGTTTTTAGAAATATAGCCGTAACTAAGTAACTTCAAAAAAAATTATTCTTGATTAATAAGGCAAAACTTAAGATCAGGTAAGTAAAGTATGGATATGTATATGTATAGAAAATGATACAATTGTAATTGAAATGCCATATATTTCTTCTCACCTATTATTATCCCCCTTTTTGCTATTAAAACAATAATTTTTTTAACCCATAAAATTATTTAGAGCCACTTTAATTTTATGTATGTATGTAGGTAGCATCCACTTAATAGTCATAATTTATATATATCCAAATTTCACATATTTGCTTTTTATATCCATCTCTTTCTTCTTCTTTCTCCTATTCATTTTCTTTTTTGGTTTTGTTGTATTTATTCATTCAGATCTATAGGTTACCCTAGAAGTATCTATAATTAACTAACCTTATCTCATTACACCACAGATTTCAACTTCATTTCTTTCTCACTTGCAATATTTTTAACGATTTATACCACCCCCATCACATTATTCCATTTCTCATACACTTCATTTTTATGGAATGGATAATGTCAGATATACTATCAACTACATAAACTCCATCGCTAACGTTCACAAATAAAGGTATCAAGCCCTTTCTTATAATAAATTATTTATAACACAAAAAATATATATCTCACAATAACTAGATAAGATAAAAAAGCAATAGATAGATATATACGATAAAGAATTTTTCAATTATGCCAGCATTCACCGTCAGAGAACAATTGGTGGATTTCCCCATTGCCCAAATGGCCATCATTAGTATCATTAGAATCGCCGAACCCATCGCTTTCACTTCGATGTTTCCTTATATTTATTTCATGATTAAACATTTCGGAATAACTGACAATGAGGCCGATATTTCAAAATATAGTGGATATTTAGCTTCTGCATTTTCATTCAGTCAATTTTTAAGTTCAGTACCTTGGGGGAAAGCGAGTGATAGATTTGGTCGTAAAAGAGTTCTTTTAGTAGGTTTAAGTGGTACAGCTATTTCCATGGTTTGTTTTGGTTTTAGTACCAATTTTTATTCCGCATTAGCAGCAAGAATGTTAATGGGATTACTTAATGGAAATGTTAGTGTGATTAGAACTACTATTGGTGAAATCGCCGTAGAACCAAGACATCAAGCTTTAGCATTTAGTTCATTGACTTTATTATGGAGTGCAGGATCTATTATGGGTAATTGGTTAGGGGGAGTTTTAACTGATACTAAACATTTACCTGAAGTTTTAAATGATGATTATAGTTCAAAGTTTCGTCGTGCAACTACAAGCGCCACTGGTACTAAAGATCAATCAGAAATGCTTTTATTTGAAAAATATCCCTTTGTACTTTCCAATATAGTGGTGGCTTCAATTTTATGTTGTAGTATAGTCATTGGTTGGTTATTTTTTGAAGAGACTCATGAACATAAAAGATTTCAAAGAGATATTGGATTAGAAATGGGTGATTTCATAAGACATAAATTAGGTTATCAAACTCCTATTCGTCCATGGCAAAAATATCATCGTATGTCAGATACAAGAGTTATGGATGATTTATTTTATGAAGATAGTAGTGTGGAAGATACCAATAGTAGTGAAACAGATACTAAAAAAGATCAAACTACAGAAGATATTGAATTGCAATTATATGCTAGTGCAGATCCTGATTCAGAAATGGCCGCTAATACATCTCAACGTATATCTGATGAAATTAAACATGAAGCTTTCACACCAGCGGTGGTTAATTCAATTTTTTCAAATTTCATATTATCATTTCATAATTTAGTTTATGGAGAATTTTTACCGGTATTCTTAGCTGGGAAAGTTCAAATTGATTCATTAAAATTCCCATTTAGAATTAGAGGTGGATTTGGTTTTACTTCAGATGCTATTGGGATTTTATTATCATTAACTGGAGTAGTTGGTATACTTGTGGTTATATTTATTTTCCCAATTATCAATACTTATTTCAGTACCATTAATGGTTATAGAGTTGGATTATCAGTTTTCCCAATTATTTATTTAATCTTACCATTATTAATCTTTACCTTACCTGAATATTCCATGTTATTCCATTCTAAATCATTTACAGGATTAGTACTATATATTATGACAGGATTAAATACATTTGCAGGTTCAACTGCATTTTCACAAATTATTATATTAATTCATCGTGCATCACCTCGAGCTCATAGAGCTTTAATTAATGGTTATACTTTAAGTATAACTGCGTTAGCAAGATGTGTGGCACCCTTAGTATGGGGTTATTTGATATCGAAATTCGATTCAATGGGATATAGTGGGATGTCATGGTGGTTATTGGCGATTATCTCGTTATTAGGATTACTTCATTCTTTTGTATTACAAGAATATGAAGAATAATCATCATTAGTTTGATTTTTCAGTTTGTTTGTTTTATATTGTTTGCTATTTTTGTTTTGCTTGCTTTTTGATTCATGTTCATGTTTCGTCGTCGTCGTTATCATTCAAGATTGGTCCTATTGTGACAATCTCCGTATACTAATAGATTTCATAGACAGATATCTATCTCTACATACATAATATGTATGTATATAAATAATATCTCTATCATATAGTCAAATACATCCACATACCTAAATTGATAATAATTCTCTTATCTATCAAGGAGGATCTGTGCAGGACATTTCTCTATAATTTTTCAGCCATACTAATTTTAAAATTAACCAACAGTTTATTGGTTAGAATTGATAAAGCTATATAAAGGTGAAGGGATTAATTGAGTTTAGTTTAACTGTTATTCTAATTGTCTTACTACTACGTCCCTTTATTAAACTTAAATCTGGTTGAATTGATCTATAATCTATCATCATCCATGTAATTACGGTGATTGAAGGAAGGAGAGACCGTGGTAGTGGGTAAATGGTCATACTCTTTCCTCGATTACATAATCTCTTACGTAAGCTTTTTACTCATCTCAAATTTAACTTTTTGGGAAATAATTTCCCCTTCTTCCCTGAGAGCATCCCTCCCAACCACCACCACCACCACCAACCCATCCACTGGAAATTAGCGGATATGGTTGGAGATTGCAATTTTGATCAAATCAGTTGGTTTTACTTTGTCGGTCGGTTGTGCTCAATTGATATCGTCTCCTCTTTAAACATTAAATAATATTTTATTCATTTATTTCAATCCAATCCAATCCAATGATTTGATCACTAATTAATTGTCTGTAATCTACATAAAACGATTTCATTTTTTTTTTGGGCTAGGCTAACTATAAAGTCAGTCTGGAATTTTATATATATTAATATTAATATTAAAACTAATAAGATAAACAAAATAATAATAATAATAAAAGGTATAAATAAAGAGGAAATAGTAGTAGTAATTGTAAGATTCAATATAAAAAAAGATATAGCAAATAAAAAAGTAAAAATCACTCTTGTTTAACCAGTTGAAATGTAAGTAAATAAAAATAAGGAAAGGTGGATATATATTAACACTTCTCTCGTCACTTTAATCATCATTCCCCAATGACGATATAAAATGAATAAAGATAGTGTTTCTATAAATCACTTCCCAACGTTACCATACACTCAATTGAAGTCGTAGTTGTAGTGGATTGGATTTTTTTTTGTAGTGTATTAAATAATTGAAATCTCTCAAATAAATTAAAATTAAAATTTCCTTTCAAATAGTAATTGATAGTTATGTGGTTGGATTGGTTTGAATAATAATAATATTAAAAATGATATGATGATATTTCAAAAGAAAGATAGATAAAAACAACCCTTTATAAATTCAATTCATTGTGAAAATTCCCCAATTCTCACATACAATAAATTTAAACTTAATAAAGATAATCTTCACCATCATCTCCCTCTTTCATATGATTATATATATATAAAATATAGCAAAAAATTCTTTAAAAAAAAAAATAAAAAGTAAAAACATTAAGATTGATAGACTACCCCTAGTCGTAATATGCAATAATAGATAATAATATTTGTTTGGATTGAAAATAGTAATAAAACAATTAAAAAGTATGGAAACTCAAAAGTTGACCATCATTAAAAATTAAGGTAAAAAAAAAGGTTGGTATAAAGTGTATTATAGGATTTTGAAAGTAGTAGTGCTCTTCATGACTATAAACATCAATTGAAGGAACACATTGTTGTTTGAAACTGTCACAGACAGATTTAAAATCTAGTGTTAGATTTCTTGTTCTTTAATCTCTTTTGAACAAAGACGGCAGTAACGGCACAGAAGGCTAAGAAAACTAAGACGAAAACTAAGATAACACCAGCTGGTAACATTGTGAATGAAGACTAAATGGATGGAGTATGAAAGTAAAAAGAAAAGGAAAAGAAGAAAAGAAGAAAGGGAAAAGGGAAAAGAAAAAGAGGTTCAAGTTAATTTAAATTAGTGGAAGTTAAATTATATTTATATTTCCAACACCAGCAGCAGCTCTGATGGTTTTTACAATTTTGTTATAATCGTTCAATTTTAAATTTTTAATTTTATTTTTTTTTGACAGCTTGAGATATTTAAAAACGCACCCGGATGGGATTCGAGGGCATGACCTTATGTATTCCGGACACAATGATTATCTCATTAACCTAGTTTATCTCTATAGTAAAGAAAGTTATTCACTCAAGTATATTGGGTAAGATAGTGGTAGATAATATCAATAGATATCTAGAGTGACCCATATAATGATAATATATCCAGACTTTCCTAACTACGCTGGTATAATTATGATATCATGTACTATACTTTATAATTTTCTCACTGTAACCGATATCAATGATATCACTCATAGTACTTTCACTTATTTATCATCTATTTCTACCTCATCTCATCTCATCTCATATTCTACATACCATCTTTTACTATTACAACATCCATATCATCATACTAGCATCTACCTTATCTCTATGACACTCTCAATCATAAATTAATTATATCACACTTTCCCATTAATTATGGTAATTAAGTGTTGAGCGATGGCGGCTTTAAATTTCAATTTTAAATTAATTGGATGGATGGATGGATGGTGAGACACTATATCCGAGCCACTTTTGTCGCTCAACCGGAATGGTCGTTTATATTTTCGTCGTTTTTACATTTATTTTTGTTACTTACACTTACATCATTCTGTTGGTTGTGTCCAATACAGTTGGTTCCATTTCATTATTGGTAATAATTATTCTATTGAACAGTATCACTTACATTATCGGAGTGGATGGTACTATTACTTACAATCATAATAATTATAATATCATAAATTAAATCAATCATAATGATGGAAAATTTTTCAAATTTTTCAATTTAAATCAAATCCTCAATGGTAGCCGTTTCAATAAAAGTAAACATCCACATACTTACAAAAACGGTACATAAAAACCGTAATTCCTTACCCACTTATAAAATAACTCCCTTGTAAAACCTGGCAATTTTAAGTTAACAGTACCCTCACACCCTCTCTCTCTGTCTCTCTTCCAACTTCTATAGATATAGGCCTATACCCGATGTACCGAAGTTTCCAGATTTTAAACTTACTAAATTAACTATCTCAATTCACTAAAATCTTGACTTTACTACACACACACAAAAACTAATCTATAACCGTAACAATAATTGTCGACACCGTTAATAACTAATCATCTATTTTGTTCACTAGAAATCACGGTAAAATCGGTTAACTTCAAGTCCTGTAAAGCCCAAAGACCGAATATAAAACAAAAAAAAAGACCTCATACATAATTTGGAAGGTCGTGTACCCGATTCCAAAAAAAATATAAAATGACTGTATATAGAAATCTAATTAAATAGAGGGGTAAGTCAAACAGAAAAAGATAAAAAAAGCAATTTATTTCCTGGAGTGCATATAACAATTCATGTGTTTTCGTTCCTGGGTGAGCTGTCCCAATTGGGAAGGGGGAACAGGATTCTTTTTTCGGCTGGCCCGATCAGGGAAGCTCGTTGCTGTTTTGGGAACGGGTCCCATATGTTGATCTTGTTGATATTGCCTAATTCGGTTCCCCACCTTTATATGTATTTATTTATTTATATTTTGCTTTAGATTGATCTTGTCATATTTCTACACACAACTAATTTATGTCATGTCAGGGTTCGGTAGCATGATGGGTGACAGAAGAAAAGTCTATGAATGGTTTTGACCGGTTCTCATAAAGTTAAACTGAGTTGAGTTGGGTTGCATTATTGTGATCATATTGTTACACTAGCTCCCATTTTTTTGCAACTATTAACCCTGATAATTTAATGTTACTAAAAATATATTTATATATATTAACAATCTTTAACCCCTAATTTTACAATAAAAAATATATATAGTATAGATCCTATACTACCTAAATTAAAAAATATACAAGAAATGAAATAAACAGGAGGACAGAGAAATATTTTAGAGAGAGAGCAATGGAACTTGACCTTAGTTAACTTGATGTAATGGAAAAAAAATAACAACAATCCTAACAAAAACAAAACACATAATAATATCTAATCAAATAGCAAACTTTGGAAACTTATATGTGAAAGTTCATAATAATATGAAGAAGGAAATGGTAAAATTGCAATGAAACGTTTTAATGATCTTATAAATCTAAAGGATATAATCAACACTACATGGGTTAGATTAAATATCAAACCTCATCTTTCGTGGAATCCTTGATAAAATCAATTATATAAATTGCACTTTCCTCTTCTATGAAACTTTCACTTCCAAAGCACTAATAAAAAGGAATATCAATGTATACACCACTGTACCAACAGTGATGAATCTTTTTTTTTTTTTGATGTTGTAGAAACGGAAAAATGATATAGAAAAATAATATTATGACTAAAATGATAATCAACAAGTTGCGGTTCCTAATAGTAAGACGATGTCATGGAAATTATGACAAATGGATATGATGAACTTATAAATAAGGGTGAAAAACTTCAATAACGATGGATATAATAATCTTTCATTTTTTTTTTTAAATTTTTTTTTTTTTTTGATTTTCATTCAAGTTTAAAAGACATTTTCCGCTCGCGATGATCGTCGACGCCATTTAGATGCATAGAATTGATTCTTATCATCTGGCGATATCGACTGTGTGGGTGTAGTGGCAGCAGTACTTGTTGTAGTACTACTTTTACTTGGATTGGTGGTTGTACGTTGTAAACTGGTGGATGATGGTTGGTCGTTTAATATCGTTGAAAATTGTCGTGGTCTCTTATCATCTAAATCAATCTTATATTTACCACTTCGTCGAAATTTATCGTAAGTAACATACTTAGGTTTAAATGATGATTCCTTATAGGAATTTTCATCATTGTACCCCTTATTACCCATGATAGAATTCACACCTGCAGTAGTTGATGTGGTTGATTGACTCTTAGATGATGATGATGATGGTCTTGACAATTTTCCCAACCTCATACTATTACTTGAATTAACTTTAACCTTTAGTTTGCCAGTTAATTCTCTTTGAGTAGTATAATTAGCTCCACCAGAATAACTTGTCCGTAAGGGGGTAGTCACATTTGGTCGTCTTACTTTATATATAGGATTCGGTTTTGTTATATTTGTATTCATGTTCAGTCTTGCTTTCATTTTGAAAACATTATTGTTATCTTTCTCGTTTAATCTAGCAGCTAATACTTCAGTACCATCACTTGAAATATCAAATTCTTCAACATTTCGTCTCTTAATACGTCTATATCCCGTTGGAGAAGAAGCAACACCTTGTCTGGATTCATTTTGCTGCTTAATCAATTCGAAAACTTCTGATTCATCGTTTTCTTCTAACAGCCTAATAAATCCTCCAATGTTCTTCTTCCATTCAGCTTTATCAACTGATGATTGTAACTTAAGTTTAGCAATCTTACTTGCAACACTTAATTCATTATCAACTTCACTTATAAATGGTTGCCGGAAATTATAATTGAAATTACTCAATCGTGGTATATTTGGATTACCATCACCATTATTACTATTCTTATTATTATTTTTATCATCTTGGTCCTTTAATACAGCACCATTTCTAGTTAATTCTAATAATTGTAAAATAGTTAATGATTCTCCAGGTGGGATGGCAGTAGGATTAGAAGGAGTTATACAATCCATATGAACTTCTTTTCTTAATACATGATCAATGTCAACTTCAGAAAAGAATGCTGCTGATTGTGGAACCTCATTAATACCTAATTGTTCACAAAACATAGCTCTAGTCCAAAGATTACTGATTTGTAATAATAATGCAGCTAAATACTTATCTTCCTCAACTACAAGATATCTTAATTCATCATGAACTGTGATGGCTAATCTAGCATTCACATTATATCTTTCAATCAAATATGCCATGGAAACAATTAATAAATGTAAATAATCCACTCCTGAACTTTGAATGGTCCAATTTATTCTTGAAGTTAAATAATCATTCTTATTCAAATTACCAGCTGTCAAGGCATCAGTGATTGATGCTCCTAAAACTGGTGTTCTTGGATGTTGTAAATAAGCAATGGATTCTAAAGCATTGAACATAACTGATTCAGATCCACCATGATAAACTTTTCTCTTTAAGAATCTTGATGATGATACTTGACCTTTAGTCTTGGCATATAATTCACGAGCAGTCTTTTCAGCTTCACGATCGCTTAATTTTGGATTAAATTGTTTTAATAATCGAGTAGCGAATTTAACACCTGCACCATAAATTCTACCATAATTGAAAACTTTAGCATCACCTCTTGAAATTCCTAAAATTTCTGAAGTTTTAGAATGTAAATCAGTCTTTTCATTCTTATCACCTTCTAAAGTCATCCAACCTAAGGCAGTACCACCATGTATTTTAAACATTGAATCACCTACTAATGAAGCAATCCATAATTCTTCTGAATCAACATCAGCACCAACAAAACAGAAACCTTCTGGTGCTTCAATCATAGCTTTCAATTCAGAGCCGATTCTGTTCTTCTTAGCATTTGAAGCAGTTAACCATGTATTCTCAGTAGCTCTTCTAGTAACTGTACCCATTGAACATAACTTTGGTAATATTATACCCATATCTTTATGTTCACTTGATTGTTCTGGTGTACTGAAAAAATGATTTGATTCTTGTTTAGAATCATTATAAACCACAAATTGATCCATAATTCTCTTTCTGTTACCCATCCAATATGATGCAGTCGAATTCAAGGCAAGAATTTCAGATGCATAATTATACTCTGAACTTAATGTCCCATCTTCAAAATATCTTAAATAACTCTTTGACATTATAATCGTACATCTTCTACTTGGACCATCAGGATGAGGGATTTTGAATAACTCATAACTATTACCATTATCTCTTAATTCAGAATAGTATTTTTCTTGATCTTCTAATTCCAATTTTGCAATAGTATAATTTTTCAACTTCAATTCCTTGATCTTCTGCTCATCGTACGGTACTTTGAAACACCAACCTTGGGAATCAGTCCAGAATAATGGGTACCCTTCCCATTTTAATCTTAATAATAATGGAGATACTCTTGATCTCATGGTTAAATTTATCTTTCTATCGGTATTTTTGAATAATTCACGATACCATTCAGGATAACCACTCAAATAAGCTTGATTTGCAACTGGTTCACCATTTTTCTTTAATCTGAATGCTTTAAGCTCCCAATTTAATTGATTTAACCATGGATCTTTTTCATATTCGGGTATTAATGAATCATCTTTTTGTTCAATGTATTGAACTAATTCTTTGGCACGATCTTCAAGATTTTTAACTACTTGAGAACGATTATCTTGATAAATTTCTTCAGCATGTTCAACATATTTTTCCCATTTCTTAGTTGTTGGTAAAATTAAATTATTTAAATGTCTTAAGGCTGAAAATGAAACAGGATGAGGAATCTTTTCTCTGAATTCAGGGAATAATTTCTTAGATAATTTGAAAGTATAGTAAACATCACCAGCACAATAAGTCATCAAGTCATTAAAATTATCAATTACTTCCATCGGATCTTCAGTACTGAAATATTCTCTAGCAGATTTATCCATTTGTTCACCACAATGGAATTGGTATACATTTGCTAAAGAATTCGGAGCCCCTTTATTCAACCAAGGATCTTCATAAACTTCATGTTCAAGATCTTTAATCATAGCATCACTATCCTTGGAAGTAAAATCTTCAGCATCAGATGATTCGAAATCATCATTCTTAAACTCTTGCATTTTTTTATTATGTTTCAACCATTTTGAACGTTGTTGAGAACAAATACCACTAATGGAAACATGGAGAGCCATAGCGTCAAGATAAAACGCCTTTGATTGTTTGATATTATATTCTTCTAAGATTCTAGCACGATCATAACTGACATTATAACCAATGATTAATTTTGGTTCATTCAAACAATTCATAGGAATTAAATGATTCCAATTATCATAAGTTTGATCCTTAGCATAATTGGTTAAGAATGGAGATACCCAACCATACCAAGCTTTACTTGAAGCACAAGTTGCTAATACTGAATAATTTGACTTTTTATATATAACTTCAACATCAAATACTAACTCATCTTCTAAAGGATATGGTACAGATTCTGGTTTCTTACCTTTTTCATATCTAGTCCAACCTGATTCAAAGAGCCAATTTTTGGGCATAGGAGGTAATTCTGAATCTTGTTTTAAGAAATTATGAGACATGGATAAATATGGATCAGCATCACTTAACCCTATTTTATAGAAATGTTCATCTAATGACTTATTTCCAATTAAGGGAGGAAAGTTGTCTATATTGATAGGATCAGTTATAAGGGTCTTTTTGTTTAACAAGTTGTTTTCCTTTAAATGACCTTTTGCAATTTCGATTAAAGCGGGATGTTGAGGAGTTAAGTAATCTGTAGTTGGAGTTGATGGGAAGATCTTTTGATGTAAACCTTCGGATAAATATTGGATACCAACCTGATTTATTCTTGGTTTTTCAGGTTCTGGTTGTAGTTGTTGTTGTAACTGAGGATTATATTGACTGAATCGCCTTATATGTCGTGATGACGTTCGTAGTAGTGACCTGTAACAACTTATGGTAGAAGTCATGATTCACGATATGAGTATATGATATGATATGATAATCTGATTTGATTGTAATGAGGGTTATATTCTATACATAAGTTATTGCAGTTGGTTTAAATTGGAGAAAGGTTTCGATCTAAGATGAATGATGTGATAATATATATAGTTAACAAAAGGGTATGGAAAACTTTTTCTTCTATAGGGATGATAATATATGAAACGACAAGGGGGAGGCAATAGCAAAGAGTCTTGTGAATTCTAGATCAGCACACTTTAAAGTTTCACACTATAAGTTTTAAGATACAATGAATGAAATTAGAAAACAAGAATGACCTTTAAGCTAAAACTTTTTTTGTTATTACCAATAATAATTAGCAATATACACCAATACTATGGGGAGGGAGTAGTAGCACTTAACAGTTAAGAAGGTTAAATGATGACACTTCCTAAATAGGCAATGGGATCGATCCAATGTTTTGATTTATCACAAAAACAGTTAATTGATTGATTGAAACTAGGTTAAATTAACTGCTTATACATATTTACAACAAAAATTTGGCGTTGGTTATAATCTTGAATCGTTGAGGTTTTGATGTTTTTGTGGATGTTTGGATTTTTGTCTCAGTTTTATATACAGTACATTGATCTCTTGCCTAATTGGGAATTAAACAAAACATTCCTGTACACAACGCGTGTTCTCATGAATTGTGTGCAGTACCATACTTTAAGACACAGTTTGCACAAATTGGTGAATTTCAAAACAAACAACAACAAATATATCTTTCCCAAGTATCAACAGCTAGTTATTGACGTATTTCCTCCTTCCCGTTAATTACAATATATAATTGAATTGAATCGAATCTTTTACTCAATTTAGTTTAAATTTTAGTTGTTTCCTTTTGTTTTCAATTTGTGTGTACACTTTTTTACTCCTGTTGTTATTGTTTGTTTATTAGTGTTGTTTTGATTTGTATCTACCCATCCATCAGATATATCACCTCCCACCAATTACACTCTAAAATCATCGTCTTACAGACTTTAAGTAACTGCTGCAACTGCAAAAATATATAGTCCCCCCAAAAAGAATCAATCAATTCCAATCCTCATTGAAAATGTCTACTACCTATAGTAAATACACAAAAGCTGATTTACTCAGCGTTCTTAGTAAACTTGAAATCAAAACTACTTCGAAATCAACTAAGAAAATACTTATTGAAAAGCTTGATGCTTATATTAGTGAACATCCTGAAGATGGTTTATTAACCGTTCAATCCTTACTTGAACAAACCGACGATGCCGAAGATGATGATGATGAAGAAGATGATACCACTTTACATGAAGATATCATCATTGAAGAAACTGAAGAATCAGATAAAGATTATGATGCTCCACCTCCATTAAGTTTAAAAGAATGGATTGTTGATCCAATTATTGAAGGTTATGAAGCCGCCGTTCAAAAAGTTTATGAATTTACTGATTCAGTTGGTATCACTTATTTAGAATATAGTGATGATTTAAGAGAACAATTATCAAAATCAGTCACCTTAAACTACTTGGAAATTGTTTTTGAATTATTATTCTTCCTTTATAATTTTGTTTCAATTGTCCCACTTAAAGATAATTTCTTAACTCATGATCTTTTAAAGGATAACATACCTTACTTATCAACTAGTACTATCCCAACTCCTCAATTGATTGATTTATTAGAATATAAATCATTATCAACCTTATTCACTTGGATTGTTTTCTCCGTTGTTGCTCCATTAAGTACTTCTTATTTTGTTAACTTCTCCAGAAGAGTCTTAGTTTTTGATGATGATGAAGGTGTTGTTGCTAGAATCTATGATTATGATCCATTTATCTTTGCTTTAAGTAAAATTGTTATTTTCTTATTAATTGGTAAGAATGCCTCATCTTTATTATCCTCCAAATTGATCACTGGTGATTGTTTATGTTCAACTCTTAAGAATTTCCTTGTTATTCAATTAGGATCTTACGAACACTTTTCTCATTTATTAGGTGCTTTCCCATTAGTTCTTGGTGGTGCTAATCTTCTTGTTGCTCTTTATTCTCAATTTGAAGAATATTAAACCAACAATCAATTACAATATTCCATCACTTATCACGACCAATCAACCTTCATCCCTCCTACTACCCAAAAAATATTAAACAAAGGCTTTTAAAAAAAATTAACACCCCACCACAGCTATACTTCAGCCTTATAAAATGAGAGAATCTTGTTGACTTTATTATTACTTCCTTCTTAATGTGTTATTAAATTGTTTTTCTCCATCCCCCTATCTTCACTCTATTATTCTTCTATTTTAGTTTCTCTAGCAATTTCATTTTACTATTATTATTATTTTTTTTATTTGTTTGTATTTTGCAACTTCTTTATAAATAGCTCTTATTATTTACTATATCTTTTGCTTACTATCTTTTTATATCAACCCAAACTTTTTTTTATTTGTTTGTTGTTTGTTGTTTTTATTTAGCTTACTTTATTAAATATAAATTTGTAACATTATCTTATTATATATATATATTATTACTATTACCTTTTACAATTTATTTTTGTTTTGTTTTTTTTTCACCTTTTTTATAAACCTATTTAGTTATAGACCATTTTGATTTTATTTTCATTTTTTGGAAATCAACATCTAATTCATCAGATCTTAATGATGCTGGTCCAGAAAATTGTTTCATAATCTTAGCTAATAAAACAGCTTCAGAATATTTACTATCTGGTCCATCACCACCTTTCATCTTATCAAATAAGTAACTAGCACCGGCAGCTCCACCAGCAGGAGAAGCTGTGCCACCACCACTTGCAGCTGCAGCGGCAGCGGCAGCAGCGGCGGCATTTTCTTTATTACTTCTTCTACCTCTTCTCTTTGGTCCTGCACTGACGTTAACGCTACTACTTTGACTATCGGATGCATTAGTATCTGATCCTGAAGTTATTCTATCATATAATGGATTTTGGAAGATTTGATGTTTAATATTATTATCTTTAGTTGTATTACCGGTTAATTTAACATTGACGGGTAAATCACCTGTTATAATTTCAAATTCAGCAGGAGATATTAATGGCATAAAATCATGAACAATAAGTGAATCACTAGAGTTTGAAGTTATGGAAGTTGGATTATTTAGTGAAGACGATGAAGAAGCAGTACTAGACGTTGTAGTATCCATCAAGTTTGATTTGATTAATCTTGATTTACTGATCGATTCTAATTGATAATCTTTTAATTCATTATAAATTGAATCACGAATGATTTGTTTAATTTCTTGATTGAAATCACGATGAGAAATGCCTTTAAATAATTTAGTTGAATCTTTACTTTTAATATCAAAGATATCAAGATTATCATTCTTAAGATATTTTAAAAATAATTCTCGCTGAAATTCAAAGAAATTCTTTAATTTCTCTAATTTATTTATCATGACTGAATTCAAATGTTTATAAACTCTATTGGAATCTTGATAAAATATTAATGAACTCTTTAATAATTCATGATTTTGGAATAATTTTAATCTGACTAATTCTTCATCCCTTTCGATATCAAGATTTTCTTTGAAAGTTAATAACTCTTCATCTTTAATATCACTATTGGTGAATGATATAGTTGATTGTTGTAAATTCTTCAATCTATTTAACAATTGTTGCTTTTTGAATTTATAAATCTTATCTCGATTAGTTTGTTCGAATTCAGTTAATTCATTTATAGAATTTAATAATTCTTGTCTTCTCTTTTCTCTTCCATTTCCATTAGCATTAATCATATCTCTCAGAGGATTAGAAAGAATGCCTCTCATTGTAAAGTTGGATATATCTTCACCATCATCTAAGATGCTATATTCAGAATCTAACAATTTTTCTTGTTCAATAGATGCTTCATCACTGGGTTTACGTAACACATTACTCTGTCTGGATTTGAATTCAACATAACCGCTAGGACGAGGATTAGTTTCAAACGTGTTTGTATCCTGCAAGTCATTTTCATTCAATGGTGGATGATGAGGGTCATGATAATTAGTATCAATATTCCTTATATATTGCATATAGTCATGATAACTATCATCATTTTCTTCATCATCTTCACTATAATCATCTTCATCATCGTAATGTCTACTCTTCTTTCGTTTTATCCTTCTGTAAGAATCAGATTCATCACTTATATCACCTCCTTCACTTGATATTCTTCTATTATATTCATCTTCTCCTTCTTCGTCGTCATCTTCATCATCACCATCTTCATCATCGTCGTCATTATCATCTTCATCGTCCTCATCCTCATCCTCATCGCCATCTTCATCGTCATCGTCATCATTATCGTTGTCATCTTCGATTATATTACCCAGGGAATCACGTTGTTGTAAACGACGTTTGGCTTTCTTTGACTTTTGTTTTTGCTTTTGAAGATGTTTATTTCTTTCATATCCTTTTATTGTAAACCCTTCATTTTCAGCCAGAGATTTCAAATCAAATAATGATCCAGCAGCACTAGCCAACACCATATTAGTTCTAGGTAAATCTTCATGAGCATCTAATAATGATTGAAATACTTCATTAGGGGTTAAAGTCGATTTTGTTGCAGAGACGGGGTATGGCATATAATTAGGAGGAGGGAATGGTAATGGAGGTATTTGCAAATACATTGATTCATGTATCTGACCATTGTCATTATTATTATTATTCTGATTATGATTATTTCCTCTTCTTTTATCATGAGCAAGATGAGCATGAGATGATAAAGGGGATTCTTGTTCATCTTTTCTATAATCGCGTTTATTAGATTTTGATCTATTATCATTATTGTAAGATGATCCATTTTTATTCATATTTTCAAATCTCTTTTTAAACAGCGCCAATGAATAAGGTAATGTATCAATATTAATAATAGGAGGAGGAGGATAAATAAATGGTACCATTATACCATCATAATTATTATTATCTTGTTTCATTCTATCAGTAATAAAAGGAGGAATTGGAGGTGGGAACTTATCAAGTATACCAGTTACTTGATTTGATAATTTATAATCACTTAAATCGGTTGTAACATCGGTAAAATAATCTGATATATTAGATGGTTCATGAATTATGGGAACTATATTAGCCGGTATAGAATTCAATAATGGAGCATCAGAATCACGAGTTGGTAAGAAAGAAGGTAGATGAAGATTTGATTCCATTATACGAGGAATAGGTAGATTGATTTTAATATCATCTTCTTTAATATCATTTGATTGATTATGAATATTATCATTATTTGCATCTTGAGTAAAATTCAGGTTTGAACCTGATAATTTCCGCTTTTTAATAGGGATATTCAACAACCTAGCAAGTGATTTAGGACTTGGAAGATCTAGGTGTCGCTTTTTGGGTATCAAGCTTGTTTCATACATGATGAATTGATGATTTGAACGATGAAAGTAAGCTTTTTACAACAAGTTTTATGACCAGGGTTGTAAAAATTAACAATAAAAATTTGGGCCTTTTTTCTTTTACGCTTTTTTGGTCCTTTTTTGACCACCAAAAATACTCAAAAATTAAACTGTAAAATTTTATATCAGATAAAACTGTAACAAATTAAATTGTAACCTGTAAAAATAATCAGTTTCGTCTGAACTGGGAGAGATCTCGTGGAAAGGGTGGAAGGTAATGAGTAATGAAATTGAAGTAGTTGTTGATGAACTATTAGTTGGTGTATTAGTTGACTTGACAATAACTGATAGAGGATGGTAGTACCAGTATTATTATTATACTCAAAGATTGATTCTTAGTAGTAGAAGTTAAGACTTGGCGTTATCACAAAATAAAGTTAATAAAATAAGACTGATATAACTTTGAATCTTTTAATTGAATCAATTATAGTATAAACTCAGTTTGATTTGTATTAATCGATTATAAATTGATTGAGAATCGGACGGATTTGTAATACTTCAGGCTAAAATGGCTGGAGATCTTGGAACAAGTAATAGACTGATACAAATACAAACACGTATATCAAAATCTTTATAGAATGATCCTTAGTACTTCAATATATACAAAAGTATACCTCTTACCTATTGTAATCTAATTTATAAATGGATGTAGTAAGATAAATACATAAATAAGCAGAATATATTTATAGGATAACACAATTTACATTATGAAAGTTTTTGGTTAAAGCTGCGAATAACTCATGATAAACTATATACAGGAAATTGATCATATGAACGCCTTTTGGTTCTTTCTTGTTGCGTTTCTTTTTTTTTTTTTTTAGCAATCACATTTTGCAATACATATATTGCTAGGTTTGATTGCTTATGGTAAATGAATGAGTTTATGAGTTCAATTCTATTCTAGTTTATCATACATAAAGTCTTTGTATATACTTTGATTAGATTTATCTGTTAAAAATATTTAAATTTATTTCCATATAATTTTTATTGATGTTGGAGTTAAGTGTAAAACCTAAAATTTTTCAATTAAATTCGCTCCAAATTGAGTTGATAATTTACAAGAATTCAGCAAATCAAAAAAGTTAAAAGGTAAATTAGATAATTGGACTATACAAAGCAAGTGAACCTTCAATTGATCAACCTTCAATCAACTTTCCAAACTGTTACACTTCACACAATGGTTGATTTGTGGATTATTAGTTAGAATTGAAAAATGTGGTCGTGTCCCTATTGACAGAAATCATAACCCGTCCTGCATACAAATATAGAGCAAACTTTAAAAAAAAGGAGAGAGAGAGAGAGAGAGAGCCACTATCCGCTAGGGAATCAAATTGGAAAATAGAAATAGTTTAATTAAATTATTATGGTGAAGTAAAAATGTAAGTACAAGTATATGTAGTATTTCATTGACAGTATCAGGCAATAATGCCTTCGGATAATAAAAAGCGCATCTAGGTCTCTCTTCCCTTTGTTCGGATCAATTAAATTTCAGTGTTTGACTGTCTGTCTGTCTGTCAGTGTCTGTCTGATTTTCTTTTTTTGTCATTTTTTGGGAATTTCTTTTTTGAGTGAGTGAGTGAGTGAGAGAAAAAATTACAACAACAATAATAACAACAAATTGACAATCCAATCATCAACAAGAACAATACTTTTTTATAAAACAGACGACATCAATACCTTGTTTACTTTTCTATATCATCCATCGAATTTGATAATCCATCACTTGAGACTTGAATCCAATCATCTAACTCATCCATCAGTCCATCAAGTCGTCGAGTATTGAATAATTTATCTATCCATCATTGATTCATTCATTCATTCCCTTACCTCACTCACTCACTCACACTTTCACAACCCTCATTCATTCGACAACTAAATCAATCAATCAATCAATCAATCAGGCGATTAATCGATCACTAACTCTATTCATCGTCGTTAGTTAGTTTGTCTTTCCCTTTTGCCCCTCCGTTTATTCTTTCTACTTGAATCTTGTTTTATTATTATTATATTTATACTTTTGATCAGGTGTCTAACTCCTTCTCGATCATTACAATCAGCTCATTACTTGTTATCCATCAATAAAATCACTTTAATCAATCAATCAATCAATCAACCAGTTCCAGTTGTCTTTACAGAGTAGATTGATATATTCTGTATGAACTAAATCATCACTATCCTTTACCTTACCTACACAAAATTTATAATACTTATAAACACAATCATATATCTATATAACTATTCATAATGCCACCAAAATCATACCCATCAAAATCAGCATCACCATCAAAGAAGAAATTCCAACCTAAGGATTTGGTATTTGCTAAAATGAGTGGATTTAAACCATGGCCTGCGTTTATAATCCCCCTTAATTTAGTTCCAAAAAATGTTTCAAAAAGTAAAAAAAAGAGTACAGAATATTGTGTAATTTTTATTCCTGAAGGTAATTATGGTTGGATTCAAGAAAAGAATCTTACTGAATTAACTCCTGAATTATTAAATTCTGAATTATCAAAAATCCCTAAAGATATTTTAAAACAAGATAATTTAAGATATTGGACTCGAACTCCAACTATAAAGGAATCAATAGCCGCCACTAAAGGTTTAACTTATGAAAAATTTATGAAGTTCACTGCTGATAAATTTAAAGATGGAAAAGGAGGAGATGATGATGATGATGATGAAGAAGGAGATGAAGAAGAGGAGGAAATAGCAGAAGAAGAAGTTGAAGAAGAAGAACCATTGCCTCAGAAGAAACCAAAGAAAGGAAGATCATCATCTAAAGATGATGAAAATGATGCTGATGGTGAAGATGACGAAGAAGAAGATGATGATCATGATCAAGAAGAAGAATCAGTATCTGAAATAAAACCAGCTAAACGGAAACCAAATAAAGCCACCTTAACCAAGAATGGAAAAGCCATTCCATCAACATCCTCATCCTCATCAACCAGTTCCACTACTTCAAAACGAGTTAAACGAGAGTTGGAAGATGATTCAACTCCAATTTCAAAGAAGAAGAAACTTAATGGTAGTAGTCCAAGTCATATTAAACTTAAAAATGAAAGTCCCAAACCTGTTAGTGAAGATGAAAAAAGACATCAATTATGGTTATGTCGTATTAAATTACAACGCACTTTGATTCAACGAAATCAACCTACAACCCCTAAGGATACAAGTAAATTAACTCCTTTAACAGCTGATGAATTACTGATTGCAAGATTAATCTTATATCGATTATTAGATTTCCCAATTAGTATTGATTTATTACGTAAAACTAAGATTCATAAAGTTTTAAAATGTATTATAAAAGATGAAAGTTTGAAATATTCTGATAGTTTTAAATTACATGAAAGATGTCAAGAAGTTTTATCGAAATGGGATTCTGAAATTCAAACTTTAAAATTAGAAAAACTGGCTCGAGAATTAAATAATCTTAATGCTGGAGGTGGAAGTGGTAGTGGTGGTAATGCAACTAGTGGTATTTCAAGTATTAGAGGTAGTCCAACTAATGGTGCAAAGAATGGTGATGATAAATTTAAGTTGAAAATTAGTCAAGTTGCAGCTGCTCAAGCAGGTGATGATTCTGAGATATCAGGTCTTGATCATTCTATAACTGATAAAAAGGATGAAGATGATGATGAAGAAAGTAATAGTAATGAAGAAGAACAGAATAATAAAACTTCACTTCCACTGAAGAGTAGTATTAGTAGTATTGGAGTATGAATGGAATAAAAAGAAAAAAGAAAGAGATGTACTGGTTACACTATATTGAAACAACAAAAACAACAACAACAACAACATTCAACCAAGGAGGGAATACGACGTGTTACGAATCTTATAGAGTTGAAATTCCCTTAATAAATCTTCCATTATTATTATTATTTATTAACATCATCGCATCACATAATACATCACATCAACCTTATCGTTTATTACTGCCATCATGATACAATATTATTATAGCCATTATTAGGATAATCAACTTCCATGAAATAATGTGTTTACTCTATTTATATCTTCTATTTTATATATATTACTATTCTTTTCTTTTCTATAATTGTTGTTGCTGTTGTTGTCGTTACTATTGTCGTTGAAAGTTGTTTGTACTAAATGTCTGTCATAATTAATTAATAAAGGTTTTTTAAATTTAAAATCACATAACCTTTATCACCCTCCTATTTATCGAATATAATAAATATATCTACCTTAATGAAAAATAAAAAATAGAAAAGAAAAGACAATAATGCCGATATTTAGGTTAATGTAAAATATTGCAACTTACTCATTCACTCACTCATCAAGTAAGATGGCAGTGATTTGCAATCATTTGATTGTCGTTCCCTGTTCCTATTTCCATTCTCTCCCCGGCATTACACGACCGATCGTTCAAAGGGGTTACCCTACTTATACTAGGTTAAGAAAATCCAATTTCCGTACTTAAATTTACTTAAGAGATGGACAATAATTTACGCGCGATTTAATGGTAACAAGACATCAAACAAATTACAGGTTCACATTTAGTAATATGTAAAAATTTCTTAACCATTAAAAATTCCATCACAAAAATTAAATTTAATCCAAACCAAAAAAAAAAAATTAAAATTAAAATTAAAATTAAAAATTTTGGTAGAAGGGGGACGACCAGTTTTGGAGTGCAGTGAGAGTTAATCCAACAGAGAGCAGAAAAAAATTCTTTCATCTTCTTTTCTCTCTTCTTCCATTCTCTTACTTTCTTTCAATATAACCACATAAATTAGATATCAAAAATGGCTGACGAAGATGTAAGTGTCATATACTACCATGGGGATCGAACTATCATTGTATGAACGTGAAAAGAACCAATTTAGATTGATTGTGGTAGAAACTACCATAGTTTGGAAAAAGGCTTTGAGTTTAAGACAGAGAGAGAGAAAAAAAAGTTCAACGACAAAGTCTTTTTATAGTTGGTGATGGAGTGGGGAGAAAACTAAATCAAATAAGAGAATGGATTGTGGTAGACCAAGTCTGATGACAAGAATGGATTGTCATGACTTTGAATCACTTTAGCATTGCATTGTTTGTTTGATTGTTTGATTGGTGATGGATTTATTGTACTGACTGTCAGTTTTTTTTCCAAATCAAATCATGAACTATTTTTTTTTTGTCCCTGTTCTTTTTTTTTCGTGGACAAAATTTTTAGAATGAGCAACGATAGAAATGGATTGTCAAATGCCGTACAACTAATATCCTATCATCATGTATATCCAAACCAACAATCCAATCAATTCTGGTGTCTACTTTTAAGTCAACTGATTCACATTTCTCAACATCCATCAATCCATTCATCCATCCATCAAATTTGAGAGTGGGTGTGTGGGACAACAAAAAAAAAATAAAAAAATGCCAGCGAGAACGGCTAACAAAGTAGAAGAAAAAAAAAAGGTTCTTTTCAGTTCATATCAATAATTTTTCAGTTTCATTTATATCATACAATGTAAAAATATTTATACTAACTATTGTCTTATAGCATACTTTTGAAACCGCTGATGCCGGTGCTGCTTTAACTTTCCCAATGCAATGTTCTGCTTTAAGAAAGAACGGTCACGTTGTCATTAAAAGTAGACCATGTAAAATTGTTGATATGTCTACTTCTAAAACCGGTAAGCATGGTCACGCTAAAGTCCATTTAGTTGCCATTGATATCTTCACTGGTAAGAAATTAGAAGATTTATCTCCATCCACCCATAATATGGAAGTTCCAAACGTTAGAAGAACCGAATTTCAATTATTAGATATTGATGATGGTTTCTTATCTTTAATGACCCAAGAAGGTGATACTAAAGATGATGTTAAAGTTCCAGAAGGTGAATTAGGTGAAAAAATCCAATCTGAATTCGATGAAGGTAAAGATTTATTAGTTACTATCATTTCTGCTATGGGTGAAGAAGCTGCTATTTCCTTCAAAGAAGCTCCAAAATCAGGTTAAATTTAATTAATTTAATGTAAATTATTAATTTTTACAATAATTGTTTTAGATTTTATTAAAAAGAAATGAAAAAAATATAAATTTTAACTTATAATCATAATCATAATCCTGATGAAAAGAAGAAGAAGAAGAAGAAGAAGAGAAAAAAAAATAATGATAATATGAACGATATATTTTTTTTTATTTATTCATACATAAACTGACCTTATCAATTTACCTTTTAGCCTATCTTTTTTATTAATTGAAATTTTAACATTTATACTATTATGTTATTATATCTTTTTTTAGATAAGAAGGAATAATATTTTATTACCAAATTTTTATATAATATATAAGTTTGATTTTATTATCCTTTTGTATTTTTCATTTTAAAAGAGAAGAAGTTTGAAATGAAAGGATGTATTCAACTTCTATTATTATTATTATCATTTTTTGTTATAATTTGTTACAATTTTATTATTTTTTAATCAGTCTTTATTACTATATATATATTTAATTTTTACAAAATAAATTACTTATTCATCTTACCACCTTTATCATATTATTAAAAGTTTTTAATTTAGTTATATGGATGACTAAGTTATTGTAGAAAGTTGTTATTGGATAAAATTGCAACCAAATATTTAAAGAATTTATTTTTAATTACGGTAGCGCTTACATAATTATGAAATTTCAAAAATTTTCAAAATGATCATGTAAGTTTGAAAAACCAAGGTCAGTCCTAGATTACATTACAGACCAAATAACCTGACCAATAAGACTTGGCCCTTGTGAACTTATTGAAACCTTGGGGCTTTGTCTTGAGATTCTTGGTAGGCTATGCGTACTTTTCACTCCCGTTCTTAACTACCTTTTCCCACATTTACATTCCCGTTATGTAAGATATAGATCGTCATATACTTGGCATATGTAAAAAACGTTACATTCGATAATTATATAACCGGAGTGAAGAAAAATTTTATGTAATTCGTGTCATTGGTCTAGACAGTTGATCATTTATCTGATTTACTGTATTACAAGTATAAATAGTGTAAAATGTCCACCTTTTTAATCATTAGGGTTAATTATCTTGTTCCAAGAAAATTAATTAATAAATTAGTTTAAATTGCTTACATGTGTGGTATACTAGTTTGACTTATAGTACTATACTTTATTTCTACACTGTACTAACAAAGCATTTAATATATGAAAAATAACATCACCATATTGTTAACGAACTGCTATTAATAACTTGCTACACACCCACACACCCTATTTATTTATAACTACTGACGGCTCCCCCCCCCTTTCAAACCCCCACTTTTTTTTTGTCACTTTTTCTGCTGCTCCTTTTTCACTCAAAAAAAAAGAAGACAAAATCAAAAAAAATCAGACAAAAACTAAAAATCAGTCAGTCAGTCAGGGAAAAAAAAGGAATATCTGAAATCCCCATTTACAACCACGTCAAAGATCTATCTTGCCTTTCATAACTATATCTTTAATACCTTTCAATCTCGCCGATACAACCATCCTGGTGTAGGTATATAACTGATCGTGTCATCAAACTATTCGTTAAGGAAATCATTACTGTCCAAATAGCAGATCAACGATAAGTCATAATCGTTAATCAGAAAATCTAATCTAATCACAAGTTACCACATAATCGCACACCACATTTTATAAATGTTTCACTAAATATATGCTAGATACTTGCTTCAACCATATCAAATCATATCAAGTCAACTCATCTCATCTAGTATCAACACTTCACTTTAATAATCTATAATTAATCCTTTTACTGATTTAAAAAAAACGAGTATAATCACAATCATGAATTCTCCATACGTAATATTAAGAAGGAATGATAATTCTGCAAGTTCCACTCCAACCACAACCGAAATTACAACCACAACTTCAACCACCTCCTATAATCCATCATCATCTGCATCCTCTTCAGGTAATCCCAATTCCAATAATCCTAATTATAATAGCTTTGTAGGTAATACTCCTTCAACTGTGTTATTCTTCTTGGCTTTAGCAGTTGGGGTATTCATTGCGTTATTATTTGTATTTTTCACTATTAGATATTTCATAAGATCAAAGTATGGTTTACATGTTTATCCTTTAACTAGAAGACAATTATTAATGGGATCATTCTTACCTCCTCCACCTCCCAATAATCCAGGGGCTATGACAGCTACGATTGAACCAAGATCAGGATCAAGATCACCTACTACAGGTGATGCCACAGATACTACACCATCAGATCCTTTAACTGCTGCTGATAATTTAATTCGAGAACAATTGGAATTAATCCGTCAAAATTATGGATTTGATCATTATGTAGTGGAAGAAATTGGTAGAAATAGAAGAAGAATGATAGCTAGTAGTAGAGGTGGAATGAGAATGGCAGGAGGTCGTAATGCATTTGGTCCATCATTCATTGGAAGAAGAACAGGTCGTAGAGGTCGGTATTCAAGAATGAAAAAATTAACTGAAGAACAATGTGAAATTTTATTTCCCAAGAAATCTTATCATGAATGGTTAAATGGTGGTAAAGAAGATGATGCAGAAAATAGAGCCGGTAATTTGAAAGAACAACTAAAACTAGAAGAAGATGATGAAGAAGAGACTAGAGCTGCGCAAACTGTCGTTACTGATGAATCTGATGATAGTAATTCTTTACATACTGCAAATACTGCTACTCCACCACCCGCCCCTCCACAACCACTTCACGAAAGTGCGCCTAATAATAGTGAATCAATTGAAATGAAAGAGATTTCAGTGAATCATAACGAAAATGAAATCACCCCTCAACAAGAAGACAATACCGGTACACCCACAGAAGAAGGTAGTTCATCTAAGATTACTGGAGTTGATGATGTACATTATGATTCCGGATCTTGTGCTATTTGTCTTGAAGTGTTAGAAGATGAAGATGTGGTACGTGGATTAATCTGTGGTCATGTATATCATGCTGAATGTGTTGATCCATGGTTAATCAAACGTAGAGCTTGTTGTCCTATGTGTAAACGTGATTATTTATTCAAACGTGATAGTCAAGCCATTATAAATGCTCAAAATGGTACCACTACTGAAGGTACTAACGAAGAAGATATCGATGAAGAAGATGAAGAGAGTGGAGTGGATGAAGTTGTTAGTATTGATTTAGAAGAATTCAGAAATGATCCTGAATTAAGAGCAATCTTACATGAATTAATTCCTATCGCAGAAAGAGTTTCAATCATCTTAAGTGAAGAACTGTTATCTCATCTTAATTTATCAGAAAGAGCTACTGAAATTGCCAAAATCAAATATGGTAATATTTTTAAAATGTTGATTTGGAGATTAATGGGAATCTCCAAAAAGGATTTATATAATTGGGCTGTGGTTGATTTATATCGTCAATATAGAAGAGAACAAAATGCAGCAACACTTGCAGAAGCTGAAGCTGCTGAGGGAGCCACTGCTACTGAAGGTGAAACTCAAGATGGAGATGTTGAAGCCAATGCCGAAGGTGAAACCAACGAGCCAGCTGAACAAACTGATGCTAATGATACACCCGTGTTAACACCACCTGAAGCTGATATCACCGATTTACGTATCACAAATTCAGTATCTCCTACAAACGTTGGAGAACCACAAATCAGTCCAGAGACCACAAGAGACGTTGTTGAACAAAGGGTATAGGCCAATGTGTCCAATACCACTTATTATTTATTAATATTTTACTGTTTATTTTTGTTTTATCATCTATGCTGTATATTTTTTATGTTTTTAATTTTCTTCTTTTACTTATTTTTTTCTTCAGATACTTAGTCAGTTTCATTTTGTTTTTTATTTCTTCGAATATGGCGTCCTTATGACTTTATTCAAAATTCTTTTAATATCACATTCTACGGTTTAAGAATCTTAATTTTGCAATCAAAAATTCTGTATCATCCATACGTCTCCTTGTTCTTTAATTCCTCTTAATTCCTCATATTTTTTTTATAGCGTGTATCGACCACAAAAAAAATAATTTTTAATCATAAAAAATTTTTCAAAATCATCAAAATAAAAATGACTTGAAACCTTTAAATCACCAAGTGATATCACTACACAACCAACTTGTATCAAATCCTATAATTCCATATAGTCACTTTTAATCATAAAAGTGTCAGGGCAAGGATTTATCAATAACTTATTACCTTTTTAATCGTATTTATCGTGAATACTTTGAAAGTCAAATCCAATCAATTTTAGTCAATTTCCAATATGGCACCTCCAAAGAAAACTATCAAGATGGACTTAGGTTCATTCTTAGCTGATGACTCACTCGGTGGTTCATGGGCTGATGAAGAAGTTGATTTAAATTCAATTGGTGTCAATTCAACTGCTGCTCCAATTGGAGGATCTAGTAGAGATGTTAGTGGTTCATACAATAGAGAAGAAAGATCATCTAATTTCGGAGGTGATAGATCATTTGATGATCAAAGAAGAGAAAGAAAAGAATTCCCGATTCCTGATCAACCACCATATAGAGCAAAAGTTAGCAACTTACCTTGGGAAGTTGATGAAGAAACTGTAGCAAGACATTTTGAAAGTAGAATGCAATTACAAGATATTGTTACTGATGTTGTATTACCATTAGATAAAGAAACTGGTAAAGTTAGAGGGTTTGCTTTTATTACTTTCACCGAAAGAAATTATTTGGAAGAAGCTTTAAATTTAAATTTATCTGATTTTAATTCAAGACCAATGTATGTTCAAGTTGCTGCTCCTCAAAGAGCTGAATTAGATGGTAATTGGAGATCAAGTAGATCTGGTCCATTAGATAGATCACAAAGAAGAGAAGAACCTGATTTAGATTGGGGTGCTGCTAGAAGTTCAACTGCTACTTTACCACCAAGAGAAAGAAGTAATAGATCTGAAAGAGGTGATAGACCAGAAAGAACTTTTGATAGACCAAGAAGAGAAGAACCTGATTTAGATTGGGGTAGTGCCAGAACTACAACTTCTACTTTACCACCAAGAGAAAGACCAGAAAGAGGAGATAGACCAGAAAGATCAGAAAGACCACCAAGAAAGCAAGAACCTGATTTAGATTGGGATACTGCTAGACATTCAACCGTCGCCTTACCACCAAGAGAAAGAAGTAATAGATCCGAAAGACCAGAAAGAGGAGAAAGACCAGAAAGATCAGAAAGACCACCAAGAAAGCAAGAACCTGAATTAGATTGGGGTAGTGCTAGAACTACAACTGCTACTTTACCACCAAGAGAAAGAAGTAATAGATCAGATAGACCAGAAAGAACTGTAAGAACTCCAAAGAAGGAAGAACAAAGTTTCGAATGGAAAAGAGGTGAAAAATTACCACCACGTACCAAATCAAATAGATCATCTACTAATACAACTCCAAAGAAACAACAACAAGAAGAAAAGAAAGAAGAACAAGCTAAACCACAAAAGTCTGCTTTTAGTGTTTTAGATGTTGAAGGTGAATCTGATGAAGAAGAAGAAGTGGAAGGTAAACCAGCTGAAGAATCAAAAGAAACTGGTTTAGAAGAAGCTGCTGAAAAGTTAGCTATTGATAATGAACCAAAAGAAGAAGGTTGGGAAGTTGTTGGAAAATAAATTCCTTAAGGCATAGATAGACATAGATATCATATCTGATTCCAATATATCCACTACCGCATCCTCGTCCCGTACTACGAACATCATCCCCTTTTTCTGCATAATCACTTACTTTTTATGAATTTTATTAATGAAATAGTTTCTTTTCCAATAACTAAAAATATAAATAAAAAAAAATTATATCACTATTTAATCCATTAACATTATATAACAAATGATACTTCCTAACTTCATTCATCAATAGGTAGTTTTCCCCTCCCTCCATCCATCGGATCCCATCTACTTCCACTTCCACTTTATTTTGTATAGATACTCATTATTTTTGTTTCTCTTCGGTTACATGTTTAATTATAATTTTTGACTTAATCTTGAATGCCTTATAGATGTAGAATCCAATGTAGACGTGATTAGATGTAACAATTTACCAAAAACGGCTTTTGCAATATTTATTTTTGGCGTGTGCGTGATACCAATTCTTACCGTTTTGAGAACTGCCAGAAAAATGTTAACTCTAAAACTTCACAATCAAATATCATCAAAATTCAGTGTTAAAGATTCTACTGTAATTGGTTGTATCAGTCCACTTCAAGGGGATGTCAGAAGTAGTAGATAAGAGTGAAAGTAATCAGAATAATCACCACAACAATAGTGCCAGCAACAATAACTTGTACTTGATTGATTCTAGTCGTATGTATTATCTTAAATTACGTTTTATCACAAGCCGAGCAATGGATTACTAACCATAAATATTACCTTTAGATGTTTACACAACTACAAAGCCATCACCACTAGATAATATATTGTCCCTATATGGGTTAGAGCCAATAGCTAAGTCATTGGCAAGAGCTAATCCAAATGGAACAAAGGGGGTCAAGCTAAGAAAGTCATATAAAAATCACATTCAAGATTTACCTGGAAAACATCAAATAGCACCAGGAAAGCAAATCCCTGGTAGTCTACTAGATCCAACAATCAGTCAAGCACCAGATATCATTAAGGAGTTAGATCCAGAACTTTTAGGGCGGGCCTTGAAGTTCGAGAAGACTTCCATTAACGGTATACCCGGTTTTGAAACGGCAGATTTAGCTATTAATGATCAACATAATTTAATGAGAGGTGATGATATGTCTGAAAATGATGAATATGGAAAGAAAGGTAAACGTAAGAAGAAGATACAGGCCAATGGTGGCGATCCAAAGAGACCCCATATATGATAGAGAAATGCTTACAACGTCAAGCAGAATAACCAAAGAGATTTTGTTTTTATAATAATAATACAAAGTTGAAACATAATCTAATTATATTTTAAAAAAAAGTTGAATTTCTGAAATAATACAGTAATCAATTGAATGTTTTGTAAATTTTGTGAATAGTGTCAAAGTCTATAGTTTTGTAATATATTTTAATAGTACATCCCTAATTTGTTTATTATGTCGAGTTTTCTTATTCAGTCTTTTCTTTATCAGTAGCGATAAGATCAGAAATAGAGGTATATTTAACATACTTCTTGATGGGTGTCAAAGGCTGTTTCATCAATTGTTTCGATTGCTTTTTCTTGGAACTTAATTTGTTTCTTATAACTCTTCCACTATGATTGAATAAGGTCTTGATGATGCGTTTTTGAGCTAACTGTGTGATTTCCAAAAACGATACAATCTCTTGTTCAATCTTGAACTCTGGTAAATCAATCAATAAACCTTGAACGTTTAATAATCTCTTATACCCTGAATTTAATTTAATTGAAATCATAACTGAGATAGGATGAACTTGAAGGGAAATGATTGAGAGGTAAGTCTTAGATCTATCAAGCATATCACTGATTTGTTCTTGATATTCATCTTCTATTACTTCTGTGGTTGAGGTAGATCCTTTTTCAGATAATCTAGTCATATGTCTTGACAGGGTTCCCCTAGCAAAACTTCCACTACCACTTCCTGAGCTTTCATCGAATCTAACACCTTTATTAACACCTTCTAGTTCTTCAACAAACCCAAAAGGTGCTGAATCATCATCTGCATCAACTTCAACTTCATCTCTTCTCTTTTTACTTGTCAAGTTAGTTATTGAAACTTTATCGCCATCTTCATTTTCAGAAAACATGAAATTCATCAATTTATCACCAGTTATTTCATCTAATTTGATGGTCAACGGTTGCGATGATATTTCAAGTCCCTCAACAATCTTAATACCTCCTACTGATCTGTTCATCGTCCAATCTACGGCAATTAAATTCTTGTCATAATCAAATTCTTTACCTTTTGGAAGGTATGGCTCAATTAACTCAGGATATGTTGCATTTTGAATCAAATTAAATCCTTGCAAGATACCTATTTCAATTCGGTTTATATTAGATCCATTAGCAAGAACAGTTCTCTTATATTTTCCACGAGCCAAGGCAAAATCTAAAATTGGAGTACGATCATTCTCTAAGAAATGACAAATGATCTCATCAGCTCTAATAAACCAAAATTCTCGTGGTTTGGATGATGAATCTTGTTGAGATATATCTCCAGTCAATAAAGTCTGTAATAATAAGTATATCTCAGTTACCATTTCACCTTTTTCCAAATTAAGTTCAAGATGGTTATTCAAATCTTCGTTACTTAATTTTCCTTGCCTGAAGGAATAATTTCTTGATATGTAAGTCATTTTGGAATAATAGTCATGTAAATCAGCCAATCGATCATATAAAGCACGTAAATCTTGGAAATCAACCGAAAACTTTAATTCGGCTAATTTTTCAGTTATTCTCTTACTCATTGGTTCGGAATAAAATAACAAACTCAAGACAATACCATATAACGTAATATATTGATCAGATGTTGAAGAAAGAACCACTTTCGGAATATCAACATTAAATCGACTAGCAGCACCTTCAACTTCTTGCAGAACATCTTCCGCTAGAGCTTCTTCTTCTTCAGCCGTCATTTTCGACTCAACATCATCATTACTGTTTGTATTCCAGTTCCTTTCCATAGTCTGAATATCATCATATGTTATCATCATGGAGGTTTTATCAATCAATAATTTATCTTTTCCGGCCCATACTCCACTCTTGCATATTTCAATACCGAACCAAGGTGGCCAATTTGTTTTAGAACCGTAGGTAGATTTATTAAGTAAGAGCCTATCAGACTTCAAGATCGATTTATCCAATACAAAAATGCTGGCATCCTTTAACAAAACACCATATCTAGCTTCTAGTTCGACTGGTTTTGCTAGTAATTGGTTGGAAGTTTTTTCAACAACTGAAATTACTTTCATATCTATACTTGGAGCTGCAATCAAAACAATCGAATCAGGACTTTCCTCACTTTGAAGTTGAATTTGAGGCGAAATTATCTCAATCAAATAATCTTCAGCTATACTTTCATTTGCAGAATGACGTCTGAGGATTTGGTCAAATTTCTCCATTCTATCACTCGATTTGATCTGCGGCAACTTAGAGTCATCCATTGTATCTTTACCACCCAGTTGACGTCTTGTTAATTCACGGGATATGAAAGACATGTTATCAGTATTAAGTCTGGATTCATTACTTTCAATGATCTTTTCTAGTCTTCGAATAGAATCATAAGATAGGTATTTCCTTAAACTGTTTTTAAGTTTAACAAAATGAATATATTTTAGTACATTATTTCTATTATCAAAATTCCATTTCAATAACATGCCAACAAACGTAAATTTATTATGGAAATTCTCTTTAATTTCAGAAGTAGTAGAAGCAACTGACATAGTTCTCTTGAAATGACCCAAATTTTTCCTCTTGAAATGAATCTCCTCGTTCAAAAACTTAATTCTCTTAGTCAAATGATTGACCAATTTGTCATTCGACTTATTTTGTTTGATGTGACTTTCTAATTGTAGGATTCTATTTTTCAACACATTAATTTGAGGTTCGAAAACGTTCTTCGAATTTAATTTACAAGGATGAATATTTTCATTACCAAAGATCTCGATATCCGCATCAAGTTTCAGAAGATCAAGCTGAGTATCTCTCGTATAAGTGAACAAATTGGCATATAGAAGTGGATAAACATTGAATATCCTCTCAGTATCTTTAAGACTAGGTAAGGTGACTTCTTCAAAATCTTGTATATCAAACCATCTCTTGTCTCCATCGAATATAGTATATATATTAGCCAGGGGATTGTATTTTGTTTTCTTGGTATATATCTCTTGTTTGAATGAAGCCCTTATAACTCTGACATCAATTCCTGAAAAACTGACTTCTCCAACATTGAAATTCATCTTTAAAATCTTTTTATTTCGTGATAAACCCTCATGAACTTCAAATCTTGGTTCTTTCCTTTGATGAAGATCGACTTGGAATGCATCCATTTTAGCTCTAACACCAATACATTCAACTCTATCCTCATCATGATCAATAGTTTCATCACGATAAATATGTGATATGAATAAATCCTTTAAATCAAAAATAAATTTATTGGTAAATAAATGCTGCGAAAATTTTGCAGACTTTTTTAGTTCACCAAATAATATTCCTCTTCTAACTGGTAAAGTCATATTACTGGCAAATAATTTCCACCAATGGAAGAAATGTTTAAACACACCAGGTGTTAAATGAATTGAATTATAACTGGTATCTTTATTGGCATACAAGGATATGGCCATATGGATATAATCACTCCTAAATCCAGCATAGGAGTCATGACCTTCCGAAGTATATTTTGGATTATATAACTTAACGTCATAATGGGGTCTTGACTTATCAACTCTTTCACCATCTTCATTTTTCCTTTGTAATAAGAACCCGACCTTAAAACTGACACCACCACTTAAATTGACAACATTCTTTTCGAATACATCAGTAGTACCTTTTTTGATGTTATTTGCACTACCGTCATCCAAATAGTAAGCGTAGCATGAGGTTATGAATTGATTTGAATCTGCCAATGATACAGCTTTTGAACTTTCTCTTGTCCAAGATACTAAAGGAGCACCTAAATAATTAGGAATATACCAAGATACCTTCTCGGAAGTAATATCAAAGAATTCTCGTGAATCTCCACTATCGTTAACTTTCCAAACTACGTTCTTCCTAAATGACAATACAAACCCAGAAGCAGTTTCGATTAAATCATATGGATCTCTTGAACTTTTGAATCCAACTTCAATACTCTTACGAGATTTGATATGAAGACTACCATGCATCAAGAGTCTTAATTTATCCCAGAATCCTAATTTCAGTGAAGGATCAATTGGAGGTTTAGAAAATTGATCAAAATTTAACATGAACTGTTGAATTGCAAATTGATAAGACTGACCCCATACAAATCTTGAAGGAGATTCAGAATCGAAATTACATTCTAAATCAGAATAAAGTTTAACTGTTGATAATGATCTTTCAATGATAAGTGATTCGAATTTATTTCTCTTTTTAGATACTATCAATGGAACAGTCACTTCTCTGATATGTTCCAATGCCGTCACGAATTCTTCAGCAATAACTAAATGACCTACTAATGAAAGACTTGGAAGATTCTTATCGTTATTTCTTGGAACATGTAATAAAGGCAATGGATAATCTCTCATATGCATTCTTAACTCTGCAAGATTCAATTTCAAATGCATAGGTAATAATAATGAAAATTTAGTATCCAATGGTAATCCTTGACCCACTTCATTAAGAAATTTAGGTAAGTCGTTAGCACTAAATTCAGCTTCCTTTACACTTATATCAAATGTTTCCATGATGACAAATAACAAAGGAGCATGAAGAGAATATGGCATGACATCATTATTTTTTGACCTTTCAATATTAAGCTCATTGCCAAAGAGGAATTTCTTATTAGCAACCAACTCTTGACGTAATTTAGATTTATAAACTTTAACTTTTCTAATCCAAGAACTTGAAATATTTTCTTGTAATTGGGATAATTTTTGTTCAAGTTCAGCTTTTGATAATCTTTTTTGACTTGATTTCAAATCAAATAATGAATATTTCTCTAATCTTTTCCTTTGCTCTACCAATCCTAATTGATAAATCATACCTAAATCAGCTTCAAATGGATCATCTTCCATATTAAATGTGACTCTCTTAGATTTGATACTCATAGCTGGTAGTTTAATTTTTGATTCATTGGGTTTGATTATAGCTGACTTACGAGCCGAATTATCCTTTAAGTATTTGAATAAATATCTTGCTGTTTTGATCGACACTGAGATATTATCAATTAATTTATAAATAACAAATTTATGAGGTTGAATAAATCTAATTGCATCAGTATTGATTTCAAATTTGGTATCTTTTGTTTTGTCACCTGTGACAAATTTGAAATTATCAATACTTAAAATTCTATTCCAATAATTATCAACCAAAGACGAAGCGGTTAAGATTCTTCCTAATTCATTATTGACAACAAGAATGCCTCTACTGAATTGAACTGATGCTCTAGATTGTTGGATTTTAATCTTAATTTCATCACTTAATTGAAACACAAAATCAGTTGAATTCAACTTAACTTCAACATCCAACAAATCTTTAATAGATTTGGAACTTCTCCTTGAAGAAGCTACTTTTGGCTGGAATCTTAATATATCATTCTTTAATTTAAGTTTTGATTTTATTAGTTGGACAGGTTCGATAATAAATTCACGAAGGACGAATATCGCCCCTATTAGAATGAATAGTTTATATTTATCATAAGCACCTTTTATTTCATCAAGATGTAACTCAAGCTTGATTGAATTATTGTTTCCTCTTATAGCTGAGACTTTAGTAGTGAATGTTGGAATTGTGATGAATGCATCATGTTTGTTACTTGATGGATTTGATAATGTTGAAACTTTAAAATTAGTGATTTTAGAATTAACCACCCAGAAAGGTTTTGCTTTGACGGTGGTTGAATTTGATGATCCATTATCTAAAATTAATGTTTCCAGTGATGCTGAAGCTGATTTTGCAGTTTCAGATCCAGAACTTGATGTAGATGTCGATGAAATCAACCCATTGCCAAGAGGTTCATCTTCAGATTTAGAAACATTTTGATTAACCACGGTAATGGATAAATTATCAAACTTCGCAATCAAGCTCTTTAATTGATAATTCAACTTATCAAAATCAGCATCATAATTCTCTCCGAATATTCTTGAAATGGACTGCTTTGAAATCAAGACCGATCTTGAACCAATTGAAACTTGAGTCGAATTGACATTGGCTTTAACTTCCAATAACCATTTTGGTAAATGTTTGAATACCTTCGATTCCAAACTTGCTGAACTAGAAGAAGCTGAATTGAAATTAACATTAATATCTCGATTATAAAAGATCAATTGTTTTTTGATTTTTAAAATAGCAGAATTTAAATATGAATTAACCATTCCTATATTCAAATCATTCTCAGCCAAACCAGTTACATCCTTTAATAAAGTGTTGATCCCAATTAAGACATCTACTTTTGATAAATCGATGAACAAATCATCAATTTGGAAATCAGCTTTGACTTTGAGCGACTTCAAAACATCTAAATGTAAGCCTATTGTCTTTATCTTTAAAATTTCATGAGATGAATTGATAGGATGTGAACTAGATGCAGGGGATTCTGGAGTTGAAGATGTAGATTTTTCATGATATACTATGGTAGGATGCAACACATTACAATAAGTATCATAATTTCTTGATGAAGTAGTTATAAGATGAAAATCTAATAATGAATAAGTGAAATTTAATAATTGAATCTTTTTCGAATGTATATCATGATGACGTAAGACTAATCTTGGTTGTTCCATAATCAACTTACAATCCAAAGTAGGTAAATAATCATTTAGGAGATTATACAATTTATCTTGAATTAACGTAGATGATTGTGACGATTCCTTTTGATCTTGTTGAGGTTGCTGGTTTGACCGTTCATTTACATTAGTATCGATATCAACTTTCGTGATTTCATCTTCCTCTTCACTAGACTCGCCATAAGCGAATTGACGATGATTAAACATTAAATCATCCGTATTAAACGATTGAGATACTTTAATATTGGTTAAATCATTTAATTTCTTAACTTTTTGAATCAACACATAATTATAAAACAATTCACTTAATTGATTGGTATCTAAATCCAAGATTGGATTACTAGTGGATGAATAAAACTCCATCACACAATCTTTAAACCCCTTTCCCTTCTTCAATTGATCGAAAGTATTGGTTTTATAAGTGATTGATATGATAGGGATATTCATTATTTCATCAGAGATTTTAATTTTATCCCCCAAAGTTGTATTTGATTTATTCCCATTATTGACGAATTTAGTATAATGGAGTTGTAATAATTGTAAAGAGGCAGTTAAATGGGTTGGAACATCATCATTAGGATCGAATAATACTTCGAACCCTGCCGCATGGTTTTGTAATTTAATAAGATTGAAAGATGAATTCTTGATGATCAAATCTAATGAATTTGTAGGAGTGATAGTTGATTTAAAATATTGTTGTAAAGTTTTTGATTCTCCAATAGTGGCGAATGGGATTTCAACAAGGTTTAAATTTTCTAATTGAATGGAGAACTCAGTTAATGCTGAATGTAAATGTTTATAAATCCGTAAGAATCTTCTTATTTTACGATCTTTAACTTGTTCCTTATCGTCTTTTGGTTTTGGTTTGTGATTAAGGGTATCATTATTGACAGAGTCATCAAAACTCGTGAATTGTTCGGATAAATCATTTTCAAAATTTTCGAAATATTTATGGTGTTCAAGATAAGATTTTAATAAATTAAAAATCAGAACTCTTATTTCATTGAAGACAAGTTTAACTTTGATATTATCTAATAAACCATCATCTAAATGAATCTGGAAGTTTAAATCCAATCGTATGGTATTAGCCATCACACTTGGTTTTGATTGTTGATCTTGATTATTATTATTATCATCGTGAATAATGGTATGATTGAGACTATTAAGGAATAGATTAGTTTGGAATTTGATTCTATTATTGAATTTCTGACTATATCGTGAATTCAATTGATATCTTAAATAATCAAGTTTAATGATTTGATTAATGTGGGGGAAATTTAAAGTAGTATGTCTTACTTCGATATCGATGGTTGGAATATGTTGAATCAAATGTCGTATTATGAATTTGAATATTTTATTGGATGGGTATATGATTAAGTTTTTGGCTGAAGTTATATCATCTTCTGTTGTGGTGGTTTGGGATGACTGCTTATGCTTTTTAGTTGAAGATAATTTTTGTTTAAAATCAATGGTAACATTATCAACCACAATCATTCTTGTATTACCCCATAATCTGAATCTGAATGAATTAATGGATAAGTTGAATGATTTATTGGTGAAACTTAATCCATTAAACAGGATACCATTATTTATAGTGATAGATTGAAGATGAAATCCTGTTAGGAGGTATATTATATACCATATTATAAGCCATGATATGATTATAAGGGTACCATAATAGATGATTGAGTCTGATCGTATCGGAGAGATACTCTTACCATTGCCATCAGTCATCTAATGATAGTCAAATGGTAATAATGGATATGATATGATATGATTGGTTGATGGTATAAACACCGTTGTTGATAGATGGTGCGATTTAAAGGAAAGATGACAGTCAATGATAAATTGTCACTCTTTTTCAGTGATTGATTGAATATATGATAGATGGGGTACAACTATAATCAAAGCATTAACATTGAATATATGAATGAATGATTCTATTGTTTAGATTAGAGGGTTTGAAGGATAATTTACAGCCATAATTGTAATTGTAATTGTAATTGTTTATTGTAAAGCGGTATAACGGATAGGTTTGATATTTAACTTAAATTGGCAGCTATCAAAACATCCTGTATACAAGTATAGCAAGGGAAGACAGAAGAAGACACCGGTTATAATTGTCCTAAAACCTCAAAGCCTCAAAAACTTTAGACGTCGTGCCATTACCATAAATCATTAATCACGTGTGCACTCTTAGGGTTTAACCCCGTTGTTCGTCAAACATTCCTGCACATTATCAGTCAATTCCATTCTCCTGTATATAAAGTGAGGTTGAAAGTGTACCTCCATACCTCAATAGATAGTATACTTTTACCATAGTTAACTAATTCTCACTCACACAAAAACAGTTAGTGGTAGTAACCCATAGTTAATAAAATTTACACTGTTAGTGTCTCACACTCTCTACAGACAGACTTCTCATTTTCTCACTACCATCAACTTTTTTGTCTAAGTGAAAAAATTTTAAATAGTTAAAAATTAATTAATTAAATTCTCTTTTCTATTTCCTTTAGAATTAGTATCAACATTAGATCAAAGAGTATGTTATAACGAAACTATAATGGTATAAGATAGATCATATTGGATTAGTGGTGTGTAATCAATCATTCCTGTTCATCCTTTAGTTTTAAAAGGTGTATTATTCATCAAGGTTTTATCAACCATTTAATCATCCATCATCAAAAATTTTAAAAATGATTGAACAAAGAATAATCAATAGATTTCAAAGTAAAGTAATCAATCAATCAAGTTGTGGTATATTCCATCCATCAATCACTTCAAATATAACCTTCAAATCCATGTAGTTAGTATCTTTCTCAATCCAAGGTGAAAGATTCTTCACAAGAAACAATCCATCAAATCATCGATTATATTAAACAACTACAATGTAATAAAACTACAATATATCAAACTAATAAATCAACCACATCTATATTGAAATCAATCATTCCACTTACATTCAATGTAATTTGATTTTCCAACTTGCATCATGAAAAAATACCATCCCTAATAAAATGAAAAATTAACTACATCTAACTACATCTCATAACAACCTACTTCACTAAACTATCCAAACACTATCTTTTATACACCACCCTTATTCCAACCGAATAATTTTACTAACTTTTTATCTCTTTTAGTGGCTGCTTCTGTTCCTCACCCAAAGATCGTTAAGAAATACACCAAGAAATTCAAGAGACATCACTCTGATAGATATCACAGAGTCTCTGAAAATTGGAGAAAGCAAAAAGGTATTGATTCATGTGTTAGAAGAAGATTCAGAGGTACCATTCCTCAACCAAACATTGGTTACGGTTCTAACAAGAAAACTAAAGGTTTATCTCCATCTGGTCACAAAGTCTTTTTAGTTAAAAATATTAAAGATTTAGATGTCTTATTATTACACACTAAAACTTATGCTGCTGAAATTGCTCACAATATCTCTTCTAAAAATAGAGTTGATATCATTTCTAAAGCTAAAAAATTAGGTGTTAAAGTTACTAATCCAAAAGGTAGATTAGCTTTAGAAGCTTAAATTTAGTTTTGAACAAAAGTATCATCATAATAAATAAATATCACAAATCACAAACAAATCTCCCATAATTTCTTTATGTATAAAATTAATATATTATAGTCATTAAATATAAAATATTTTTAAAAAAATTATTATTAAAAATGGTTCTTAAATGTAGATCTGTATAATTTCTTTACAAATTGAATGAATGATTGTCCCATAATAAATAAATATATATATATAAATTCACTCTAAAAGAACGAAATAAATAAAACTAAAAACTAAATAAACTAAAGCAAAAATACAATATAGAAAGAATAATTATCTTCATCTTCTTCTTGACATACTTCCACTCATAGCTACAGTACTAACATCTAAATGATGATGTTTTTTAATCACATACCCTAATTCACACATTCCATCACTATCTAATTTCAATTGGGATGTAGAATATAATGCTCTTCTTAGATCTGGTAAAGATTGTTTGATTTGATGATCAAGGGGACTATTGTTAGTCACATTGGCAAGTAAATTATTCTTATATGGTGTATTGTTACTAGTGGAAGGAATGCTATTTGGAGCATTGGTATCAATACTAATGTATGATTCATTCGAACCTAAGATTCGATCTTTATCAACAAATGTACTGGCATCATCATCATCATCATTGTCATCAAGAGTGATATTGGTTTCTTCAGGTTCTTCAGATTGTTGTTCATCAACATTATCAGCCGACGTAGTAACGATTTCTTCTGCCTTATCTGGAATGGTTTGTTCAACTTTTTCAGGAATAGTTTCTTCAACCTTAGGAATAGTTTCTTCTTCTTCATCTAAAGGTTTAATATCTTCTTTAACATGTTCTTGAACAGCAGGCAAAGTTGGAGTTAATGGTTCCTTTATAGAATTACTAGAAGAATCAGGTACATCCAACATTGATCTAACTTTAGTAGTGAAAGATGCATTATCATTAGAATGTATTGATGATGAACTAGGTCTAACTTCTTGAGCTGGAGGTGGATGAGGATGAGAGGCAGTGATTTGTAATTCTCCTAATGATGAACTTGATTTATTCATAGTATCATCACCTTCTTCATATTCATCATTTGATGATTTATTACTATCTTTTCTTGAAGTTGGTGATGGACCTCCATTATTATTATTGATATTAGTTCCGGCTAATGATTTTGAAACATCAGTTAAATCTAACATACTTCTAACAGGAGTATGTATATCATGAGCATGTTCATCATTAACATCAATCGATTTATTAATCCCACTCATGGTACCCCTTCTAGATGGTACTCTTGATGATCCTGCCGAACTACCACTTCCATTACCATTATTATTACCATTATGATGACCAACGGTGGTATAATTGGAAGATTCTAATCCAGTACCGGGTAATACAAATGGATTCACATCTTGATCAGGATGTTCATAAAGACACATTTCCAATTGTTGAAACCATGGATCGTTGAATACATTATAAATATCATATCTATTATTAACATCAGGATCACATAATTTCCATGCCACTCTAGAAGCGCCATTGCTTTGAAAAGTACCAGCCCATTTAAATTCAGGTCCGGGACCTTTATTATATTCATTTTTATTTTTAAATGATGGATGATCAGTATAAAATCTATGATGGTTAAATTTATAATCTCTATAAGCAGCATCGATAACATGAGCTTGTTGAAATGGTACTCCTCCATAGGCTAAACAGAATAATAACATTCCTAATCCCCAATCATCCATTTTAAATGGATCATAAGCACATTTCTTAGCTTCAGAATGAGATTTATCTTTTAAAATCATAACTTCAGGAGAAGAATATGGTGGTGATCCAACATAACTTGAAGATAATTTAACTGGACTTGAGAAATCTTCGGGAATTTCATGACCATAATCACTAACTCCAAAATCACATAATTTAGCAACCCCATTCGAAGTAATTAAAATATTTTCCGGTTTCAAATCTCGATGAACAATATCATTATCATGTAAATATTTAACTCCATATGCTATTTGTTTAAAAATACAAAATTTCTCAACCATAGGAGTGCGTTTCCAACCTGGTTTAATAATAGTAGAGAATAAATCTCCACCACCACATAATTCTAATACAATTCCCCAACCTCTAGAAAGATTGGCTTGACTTTGAATTCTAACAATGGTGAAAGTATCAACCACATGTCTTGAAACAGCAGCTTTTTTAGAAATGATGAATTCTTTAATAACTCTTTTATAAAATTCTTCATCAGTCTCCTTTGACAATAAAGTGAATTTCTTTAATGCATAAACATTCTTTTTATGATTTATAGAATTGATAATTCTAACATCTGAACTTCCACCATCACCTAATTTTTTATTAGAAATATCAATTTCGTAATCTTCCAAGAGATTAACATGTTCTTGTTGTAAATTTGCAGGTAAATAATCATTTGGATCATGAACTGGATTGGCTAATACTCTTTCACCATCAATAATACCAGAAAGGTAAAAACTTGTACCTCTTGGTAATTCTTGAGTTGGATCTTTCTTTAATCCATAAGGATTATAAACAATTTTTTCTCCTCCTTGATGAGCTGAAGAAGAAGTTGAAGAAGAAATACCGGCTATACCTTGATTTGATGGATTAAAAGGTAATTGAGATGGACTTGACGGTATGGTTGATTTCTCACCATGACGTTGATGATTCTTTAAAGCATTTTTTTGATTTAAAGATTGAATATGCAGAGCAGTTTGAGCCTTTGACATTGCTTTCAAAGCAGGAGGGGGATGATGATGACTATCATGAGTATGACTTCTTGCTCTTTGGAATATATTATTGGAATTGGTGGAAGCATTGGCAGTATTAACTGAATTAGCTTGATTTCTTCTTAATGACATTGATCGTGCTAATGGGCCTGCTGAAGTATTATTATTATTATTATTGCTTGTAGTTGGACTAGCGATGTTATGATGAGGATCAGATAAATCAGAAGGAGATGAAGGTCTATTATCACTATCTTTATCTTTATGATGATGATGATGAAACAACGTATTCAATCCTATTTTTGAATTTGAAGAGGTAGTATTGGTATTATTTGAGCTTGATGATGTTAAGGAAGACATATCTGAGTTTGGAGATGAATCCTTTTTAAAGAAATTCTTAATAGAATGAGACTTGTGGTCAGATGTTAATGGCATTATGAGCGTAAGTTTTTTTGATGTTATAGTTACTTTATTAGGCGATAATTGATCGATTGTTAATCATTAAAATGGGGAAATGATTATGATAAGAAAAGGGTTGAGATGAGTTGAGTTGAGGTAACTTTGATACAAGGTATAAGGGAAGGAATGGTTGATGAAGAAGTGGAAATGTTGTTGGTTGTAAATTTGGATTGGGATTGAACTGGAATTAAATTAAATTAAATTAAAATGGTAAAATTGTCTGTCTGATTAAAAGAATATTCTTTTTTATTTTTAATTTTTGTCCGGTTTTTTTTACTTTTTGAGGATAGGTTATAACAGACACTTAAAGTTAAATTAAAAAATTATTATGTAAATTAGACTATAAAGATAGATGTTTGATATTGATGGAAATAATATTAAATGATTTAAATAAGGTATAGTTAATTGATCTATTCTATAAATATATTATAATTTGTTCTATTGTAGTAAATACGAATAAGTAAAAGTTCTTGTAAAGACAATAAATTACAGTAACATTTAGTGATATAAATGGTGTTGAAAAAAGGGGGGGAGAGAAAGTAAGAAGCGAAAAAAAAAGTGGAACCGACAATTTTTAATATCCAGACAGACAGACAGAAACTGACCAAGAAAAATGACGATGAGGAGAAATTGTTTAAGGGTGTTAGAAGGCATAATTAATGTAGTATGTATCTTCTATCAACGAATGAATTCATTGCTATTGTTAACTGGATTAGGTTAGAGTTAATTCAAGCTGTGATTTATTCATTTATTTAATTAATTAATTATATTATCTTATAGTCTGCTCAACCATCACCTTAGTGTATCTTCTTCTACACTTTATTATTATCAGTAACAGTTAACAATAAACCTTCTCAATGGGAACCTCTTTCTGTACAATTACACAATTGTTTTTTTTTAATTTCTTTTTTTTTTCTTCTTCTTCTTCTTCTTCTTCTTCTCACAAAAATAAGCTTTTTTCTGTTGGGGGTGGGTGGGAAGCTGTAAGCTGTAGGGTGTCCCTCCCTGTTAAATCTTAGTGACAGTTTATACAATGTACACGTTGTACTCTCACTATAGTTTAATTAAGATAATCCGCTAATTTACGTAGATTACTGACAGTAATGTAGATTCCCACTAAATGATTCAATTTATTCGTCACCATCACATTCATTCATTCATTCTTCCATTACCATAACAATCACTAATTATCAATTAAACTTTTTGGTTATAATGAACCGACAATTTTTATATTCAAATACAATTAACCGTTAATGAGGGGGTATGGCATCAATGCTAATAATTCCATTATCGTCATCATCACCATAAATCACAATTATTTACATTACACTACATAATCTTTAAACCAATAACCGAATGCCGTTTATCCAACCTATCAATTAATTGTCAGTATTAAATAAATTTTTCTTCCTGTGAGTTCCTCTTTGCTGTGGTTGTAATTAATGCACTTATTAGCTAACAATTTTTTACCGTTAGAGGTACTACTCACTACGTAATTATCTTCTTCTCTACCGGGTCCCCTACAGAAATTTTGTTTTCTTGCTCTCCCCCTCCCCACAAAACCCAGTAACTATTTTTTTTTTCTGCGTCGTTGCTTCATCGGTGTGAAAAAGTCTGGGGAACCATAACCTGACCAACTACTACCTAGCTTTGAATGCTATGTGGTTACATACCCTCATAATGTCTCACACTACCTTTACTATAAAATCATTCAATTATTATACGTATCCATGTAATCGGCCATAATTGCGTCCTAGTCCGCTATTCCCACTCTTCTCCAATCCACTCCACTCCATTCAAGTCCGCTCAGCCCATCCTCATCATCAGCGGCATCGCCCGCTCGCTCACTCACTCACACTCTCACTCGATTGCTTTTTTTATTAATTGAATTATTTACGGACTACGGTTTTATTTCCCAATCTTGAAATTTAATTTATTAATAGTAAAACTTTATCCAAATTTAACAATAACGGTTTATTTATATTTTTTTAAAATTGATAGTTTTATCGCCATTTCGGATCGAAAGGATTTTTGTAGAGGGGTCATGAATCCCATTTTGGTTTTTGTCGTTTTATTGCAAAAAAAATAAAAGTAGGTATTATCTCCTTAAGCAGTATTCAAAAGTTAAGCCACTCATATTACGATTTAGAATATAACTTTGACTTAGTTAAAACCTTGTTAATCATCGTAAAATTTAATATTTTAAACAAACCAAGCTTTAATAGAGTTTATTTTGATCTATATATAGATAGGTAGATCTGTCTCTATTTACATATTTAATTCAGAATTACATCTACAATCAACATTTCGAAAAGTTCAGGATATACTTTGTTTATTTATGTATTTAAAATATGTAAATAATCAATATTAAATGGATTATCAAATATTGGGTGGGAACACAAAAATAGTGATTAAAACAAGAAAAGAATAGGAATAATAATAAAGAATAATAATAATAATAATACTTGGATTATAATAATAATAACGATTTTAGAAAGTCAAAAGATAATGGGTAATTAAGATAAAAAAAAAGGTATGGTAGGTAAGTAGTTTGATTGGATAATCTGTTAGATGGATGGATGGATGGATGGATGGATGGATGGATGAATGGATTATTGGATTGACTGATTGATTATTGAATGATTAGTTGGTTGGATGGAAATTCAAACTTACAGAAACAATATATGGATAACGGCCTTATATTGAGGTGGGAGAATTAACAACTTAAAAGTGTCTAAAAAAGGAGAAATTGATGGATAAATAAAGTATGGGAATGAATCAAATTATTAACTTGATTTAAACACTTTCTTCATCAGATGTCTTGTGATTTCTTTTGATTTTAAAGAATCTAATACCACCAGAGTTATCTTCTTCTTTAGCAGCATCTTCACTAACTGGAGCAGTAGCTCTAGTGAATGAAGATTCATCACCCAATGGAGCACCTGGAGGTGGTAAAATACCAGCATCAGCAGCTTTAGCGTTTTGAACGTTAGTAGCATGTTTTCTATAAGAAGTAGCAATGTTGGAAGCAAAAGTGTTTAACCAAACTAAACCTAAACAAGCTACAGCAGCCCATAAGATGGCCATTGATTTTAAACCAACAGTGGCAGATAAACCAGCACTATGGAAAGCATTTCTAGCCAAGATAACAGCAGCAGTTTGGAAAGCAGCAAAAGCAAAAAGGAAGAATAAACCAATGGTGACTAAGAAAATAACAACTTTATCAATAACAAGGAAACATAAACCAGCAATATCAATAACAAAAGCTAAACCAGCGAAACATAAAGCAACAATGGTAAAAGCAAATGAGAAACGAGTTAAATAATAGTAAAGATCTCTGTTACTAATAAATGATTGAGGAACACCAACTTCAGTATTAAAGTTATCAACTGGAGAAATTGGATAAGCAGGACCTAAAGTACATTGACTATAATCACCATGTTCACAAACCCCCCAGAAAGTCCAAGCAGCGTTTTGAGGAGCATTTGGAATATGAGAAGTATCAGCTTCTAACCAAAAGAACTTATCTAATGGGAAACTTGTGGTGGACCCAGCTAATACAGTTAAGATTAACAATAATATAGCTCCAGCTAAGAAGAATAAATTTAATATGGTATGAGTTACTCTCATATTTGATTATTAGCTATTTGATATGATTAAACGATGAATGAACAAATACAAACTATCAATGGAAAGAAAGGAGTAAATGAAATTAAAAATAAATAATTAAAACCAAAAAAAAGTTAGTTGACGGGGACTATGTATATTTTATTTGTTACTTTGAAAAGAAGGGTGAAATTCCTCACTTTCCCTTTATTTATTATTATTTTCTTTGCTCTTCCTATTTCTCTAAAGTTTCTCACTAAAAAATTAATTGTTTTTTTTTTTTTGCTTTCTTTTTTACTGCTAAATTGAAATCTTCTCACTAAAATTATGTCTTTGTTTTGGTATTGACTTATTTTAGAGAATGACCTAATTGAAAAAGATTAGTTTAGTTGTACTTTTGTTACATAATAGACTTTTACTTAGTTAGAAATTTCATCTGTTGTAATTAATTAATTTATGTATGTATGTAGGTTTATATTTGGTTGTTCATTTATTTATTACTTTCTCCTAATTAGTTATGTGGGTATGTGGTAGAGGGGGTACAAGATTAGTTTTAGGGGGAGATTAACGAGGAGCGAGTGAGAGGGAGAGAGAGAGAGATTATTCACCAAAAAAAGGGGGAAAATAAAGAAACCATAAAGATAACTATTTACACCATTGGATATTAAATTTTGGGAAATAATAACTATCATCAAATGTATATAAATAACGATATCTGCTATTTTAATCTTCCACTTGAAATTTTGATTAACTAAAATAAGGCAAGAAGACAAGAGCTGAACTGAGCAGAGTTGAGCTATGCAATTTGCTGGTCAGTCAGTTAGGGAATGAGCAGTTAAAGTGGAGGTACTGTGTGTATTGGGAGAGTACGTGTTAATCCCAATCTGTAAACACTCTCCTTCCTAATTAGGCAAAGGTCATCATTTAAAGTGATGAGCGGCTGGATTAATTTAATTGGGCCTTGGACTGTATGCAGGTTATCTATTTACAATTATTCTTTTTTTAACACTGAAACTAGAGGACTGTATATAATGGGATGGAAAATGACAGCTCTCTAATTTTTTGTAGTCAAGTACACGACCGCACACTATCTCATCTCTGACTGACTGACTGTCTGATGTCAGTCAATGTTACCATTTTTTTTCTAATCTAATTACAGTTCCAATTTGAGAATTTCATATGATATGAGATGAGACTATGATTGTAGTCATTTAATCATCAGACTTAGTATAGTTCCGTTCTTGTTGTATAGTAGCATTTTATTATAATTGAAATAATCGTAAAATATCTGTTTCCCATTGTCTAAGGTAGAGTAAATCTCAAAATTAGTTAATTTTATCAACTTGTCAACTTCATCAGTTACGTAGTTTGTTGAATGACCTATTAAATGGTACAATTTTATAGCAATCATCATGACTAACCAACTATCCGTTGTCTTATTTCGTTACCATTATTGTTTATGACTTTCTTTAATGGGTGTAAAACTATTGTTTATGTTATTATGCGTCAAAAAGCCTCGGGATTAAAATATGTCACTAAATATTTTGTACCTCTCTCTCTATGTCTCTCACCCTAAAAAGGGTTCAATTACATATTTCTTATTGCAAAAAGAAAAAACAAACAACAAACAATAAAAAGAAACAACTTTCAACATTATATTTCTAAAACTAATATAACAATTAACCTAACTAAAAAAATAAGCAAACCTAAATAAAATGAACTAAAATTGAATAATATAACTTTAAAAAGCAATCAAATATAATATGATATGATATGATATAATATCATATAAAATAAATCCTGAAAAATAAAATATGAAAGATTATTTGTTTTTTATTGAAAAAATCTTAAATGAATGAATGAATAAATAATTATTATCGTTAACTAACCTTCTTAAACGTCATCATTGGCATCTCCATCATCACTTCCATCATCTTCTCCCCATTTTAAACACCATCCATACCAGGTTCTTTCTAAACATTTCTCAGGTTTATCGGTTGGAACTGGGGTTTCGGTATCATATGTGTCTGTCGTAGTCGCTACCGTTGATGTAGATGTACCACTTATACCTGTAGCTGCTTTTGACTTAGTTGTAGATATGGAGGAGGAGGACGAGGATTTAGACTTTGAAGATGACGTAGATGAACTCGAACTATGCTTTGGTTTTGGTTTTGGTCTTAATGGATTGGGTAATTCTGGTTCATCATCTTCATCATCATCATGACTAACAAATCTCCAATTAAAACAATCACGACATGGAGGTTGTTCAAAACATGGAGCGGTATCATTATACTCTAAGATAATATCATCTATAACCGTATGAATACGATGATTCAAAAGATTAACTCTCCACCCTTTATCACCCACCACATCATAAACACATTGATAACCGGTATGACATGCTGTTTCCATGGCATATCCTGCCACATTACATGTAGATGATGCTCCATTACAAACACCCATATAAATTGGATCAGCAGTATTACCTACATGCCAAATGTTTTCCAAATGTTTTGGAATTCCAGGAGGTTGAGGTAAATGTAATCTCTTTGTAGCTAACATTTCACCTGGTGCTTCAAATGCAACTGCTGGAATACCATAAGTTCTACCTAATAATGAAGCAATGGCTCCACCTAATGAATGACCAGTAACCCAAATATTAACTTCATTGGGATCATATATCGATGTAACATTACGATAAAGATCTAAAGCAGCTTGATAATATTTATCTTCTTTTAATAACTCCTTTTCCAAACAATCTTGATTACAAGTATATGTCTTTTCATAACAATCGCACACGGTAGTCCACATATATCCTACCCGAGCACAACAACATGAAAATAATAAATTATCATTAATCTTATCATTATTACCCGTTTCATCACTACCACCACCAGGAACTCCACCAGAAGTACCTTTAACCCCAATAACGATAGTTTTATTATCATTACTAACGAAAACATGACCTCTCAATCCAACATCTTCCCAACCGAAATTCAAATCGACATTACCTTCATCAGGAATATAATCTCCTACGTCGATCCAATCCAGTTTATCCTTTTCATCTTGATCCAAGGGGAATTTAACATATGCATTGGATGAAATGGTAGCTAATGAAACTAACGTATCTTTATCATTAACATCGGGGATTTCAATTTTAACTTTATCATCCCATTCAAGATTTATTCTGTTTAAGACTTGAGGATTACCTTTAACTTCATGGGCATAAGATAAATATGAATCAATAAAATTTGGAGTATGTCTTTCAGTAAGTCTTTGAACCGTACCTAATTTAGATGATTTTCTAATCGGTAATTCTATAGTATATGGATTCTTACCGTGATGAACTTTTGGCCAATCTAATTGTTGATAAATTTCATCAAGATTTAAAAATTCTTGAGATGGAACAACTTTACCATTATGATGAGGGCGGGGTTGACTTAATACATTCACAAATTCATTAAATTGATGTGCATGTTTGGTTAAATATTGAGGAGTTATATCTAATCTCTTATGAGTTTTATAATTCTTGGCCCCCGTTCCATGATGATAGATATGTTTTAATGTGAATGTTTGACTATCTTTTGTGGGGAATGGGTTTGGATGATGATTATTAATGATGGGAAACGTCATTTCTGGGATAACTTCTTCATCATCCTCTTCTTCTTCCACAGTATCATCACTGTCATCCCAGATCAATGATGATGAGTTAATGAAATATGATTCAACATGACTAAATATCTCTGGGAATTTAACCTTGAGTAATGATGATGGAGTAGATGTTGGTGGTAAAAGTATATCTCCAAATAAGAGATAACTGACCAACCCTATCACTGTTATAAGCCCAACGATCAAATATGATCGTTGCTTTTTATATTGATCTTGTAAATGTAGAAATGGATGATGATAAGCAGATGATTTCTGGTTATGACTAATGTTGCCTTTCATTTTATCCTTACGCTTCATCTGATGATTAGTTTTGTGGTTGTATTCACAAATATATAAGTAGTGTTATGATTAAATTAAACGATACCCTAACGTCCTATACCTGGGTCTAATGAGTATACATATATGTGAAAAAGTAGATGTTATAGTTTGATTGTCTGGTTGTTTGTATTGATTATCTCGTAAACAAGGCCCAACGCTTTTTCTGTCTTGATCTTTAAAAGGTCATTTGAAGTTTTTACTGTGAGGGTTGTTGTGGCGATAACAGAAAAATAAAGTACGTGTACCAGATCAAATAAGTTTTACACCTATAGATCATATTACTTACTGATTGTCTATTTGAAGGTTCTATATGGTTAACCTAGGTCTATATAAATGCGGTTATTACGTTAACTAAAGATACTTTACTTTAACCACAAGCTCATTATCTTGATTATCCTGTAATAAATAATGTCTCAGTGATATAATTCTAATATCTTTAACAACTTTAATAACTTCTTGTCCTGTAACTTGTTGCTCTTCTTTATAACTATGTTGTAAGATTAAATTTAATTTAATCAATACTGTACTTAATGTCAATGGAGTTAATTTCTTATCATTCTCAAAAAATGCGTTGGCTAATAATGCAGTAAAGAGATCTCCACATCCATTGAAATTACAATCGATTTGATTGATAGGTAAATAAAATATACTTGGTGATTTGGTATCATCACTATGACTATAACCTATTGAATACATTTCATCATCTATAATGGCTGATGATATGACAACATTGGGAACTTTATATAATTCATAAAACTTGGTTAATCCTTCCACTACTGAATCCCAATTAGTTAATTTCAAACCTGTTAAAGTTTCAAATTCAAATTGATTAGGTGATGTTAAAGTCACAAATCCTGATGAAAAGATCTTTTTATAAATAGGAATAACATTTTCCAGTACATATAATCTACCATTATCTCCTAATACAGGATCAACGATCCAAATCGGTAATTTTGATTTATCTGAACTATTAAAGATTGAACTCAATTGCTGATAAATCACTTCTAAAACTTTATCACCAGGAGTATACCCGGTTAATATCATATCATAATTATCATTCAAATTAAGTATCTCTTTCAATCCTTGGAATATATCTGCTACCAACTCAGGTGAACTTGGTTTACCTTCAAATGATCCATATCCTGGATGATTTGAAAAATTAGTTGTATTGACAGCATCAACGTCCCAACCATAATATTGTAAAGGAAACACAGTAGCTCTGTTGCCCACATATCCATGCACCACATGGGACAGAATTGATAATACGTTCTTTGCCATTCTGTCCCCTTACTATATAAGAACTGTTTCCTATCTTATCTTATCTTATCAAACAGATATGATTCATAAAGTCCTTTTGGAAACAAGAAAAAAATAGTTTGGCATAAAGTCGCAAATCAGACATTTTTGGGGTATCTTTTATTTATTTGCGTTCCTGGAAATGTCGTGTCACAACAAATTTTAAGGTGAACTTTTTTAAGACAACAAACAAACAAAAACGAATCACCAACTTTTTTTTGGATTGAATTTTTAAATTTTCAACTTTTGATTCAACAGGGGGTTTGCCATCATAGTTCCAATTGATTAGAATAGGATTTGAATAAAGTCAATGTCATTAAAGGAGGCTGCAACGTTAGACATTGGGTTCCCGATCTTGGGAGCCAAGTTCATTAACAATAAGACCATTCTTGTTGCTGGTGGTGGAGGCGAGGGTAATAATGGAATACCAAATAAGATCACCGCTATCAAATGTACCTTTAAAATCAAGGATCCAAAGCGTCGATTACAAAGATTCAGAGAGATCACTTTGCCTTCCAATGAAGACTCTCCTCAATGTTTGGATACAGCTCGTATTCTTGACGATGAAGAGAATAAGTTTACTGTATTCGTTGGTTGTAATCAATCGTCTCAATTGATCAAATCAATGAATATTAATAATAACTTAAGAAAATACGTATATACTAAGGATGAACATTTGCGATTCATAGATGCAGCTCAATTGGAAGAAGAAATCAGTGGTAATGCTGATGAATATCCTAAGATCATTAGATTATCTCAAAATAGTACTGTTGGTGGATTATTAACTTCAACTATTCCATCATCAATTTATGTGTTTAACCCAGATAATTTAGAATTGAATTTCAAATATAAACCAACTAAAGATGTTGAAATTAAAGATTATAGTTTGAGTCCTGATGATGATGGAAAATCTTTATGTTATATCACTTCCAACTCCATTGAAACCATTTCAACTTCAACTGGTGATCTACTTTCATCATCAACCAAGATCGCTAACATCGATAAAGAATTGAAATCATTAACTCTTTCTAAAGTTAGATTTATTGATAATTCAAATGTTATTATAAGTGCTAGTGTCCGTGGTGGTAAAGGAGCTGTATTATTACAATATAATATTCACACTTCAAAAATCATTAAACAAAAAGTTATTTCAAAAGCATTTAATAATATTGTTGCCATTGATATTTCCCTTAGTCAAAATTTAATCGCTATTGCTTCCAATGATTTATCATTAACATTAGTTAAGCTTGATAATTTCCAACTAATTAAAACCTTTAAAAAATTACATCCATTTGCCATTACAAGTGTATCATTTTCTCCAAATGGTAGTAAATTAGCTACTGGAAGTGCAGCAAACACCCTTCATATCTTTAGAATTCCTCAAAACTATGCTAAGGGTAAATCAACCATTGGTACTATCTTCCAATACTTACTTACGATTATTATTGTGGCGGTGTTAGGTATTTATTTACAAACCGCTTATGAAAATGGTCAATTACAAGAATATATTGAATTAAGTAAAGAATATTCTGAAAAGAGTAAAGTGTTAGGTATCAAATATGGTCAATTGAGTTATGAAAGAGCTCAAGATTATGGATTAATTGGATTTGAAAAAGCTCAAGAATATGGATTGATTGGTTTCGAAAAAGCACAAGAATATGGTCAAGTAGGTTATCAACGTGTTCAACAATATGGTAAATTAGGTTATAAATTTATTAAAGATAAAATTAATGGTGATAATGTTGAAGGTGATGATTCTACTAAACAATATTTCACTATGGATGAATGGATTGAAGCTTCTTCTTCAGAAATTTTTGATGAACATAATGATGTTTATATTTCAAATATTATTGAGGTTGATACTGAAACTGAAACTACTGCCACAACTGAGACCACCAGTGTTTCATTCTCTTCATCTGTATCTGAATCTGAATTATCGGTTGAATCCCAAGCTACTTTAGATGATGAAGTTGAAATTAAAGAAGTGACGAAGGATATCGAAGATATAACTTCAAATAATCCTGAGCTTGATACTGAATCGTTCTTTGAAGAATCAAGTAATTATATTGAAACTGTTACAAATTCAATTCCTCAATTTAAAGAACCTGAAATTGAAGTCGTTCAAAACGTTACTGAATCTAGTTCTGTCGAATCTATTGTTAGTGAATCAACTATTAACGAGGAAGAGGTTGAAATTCCAAGTTCGGAATCATCAATTGTCAGTGAATCAACTGAAGAACCTGTCATTTCTGAATCAACTGAATCTCCTATTCCAGAATCCAGTTCTAATACGAGTGAATCAACTGAAATCATTTCTTCTGTCGTTGAAGCTGTTTCTGAAGTATCAAGTGAAAATTCTAGTGTTGTATCAAGCGAATCATCAAGTGAAGTCAAAGAAGTTACTGAATCTATCCCGGAACCAGTTTCAGAAGTTAAGGTAGAACCTGTCGTTGAAGTACACCCACCAGTTGTTCCTGAGCCTGTTGTTTCTGAAGTAACTCATGAAGAACCAGAGCCAGTATCTTCAGAATCATCTTCTTCTGTTGAAACTGTAAGTTCCGAACTCTCTGTCTCTTCTGTTGTCGCGGAATCCAAAGAAGCAAGTTCATCTGAAACATCAACTACTGTATCTTCATCCATTTCAACTCCAGTTGAAGTCAGTTCAGAGCCATCATCATCAGTCTCATCATCAGTCTCATCATCAACTACAACTTCTCAAAGTGAAGAATTTGTTTCGTCATCATCATCATCATCATTACAAAGTTCGTCAACTACTACGATTGAACAAGTTTCTTCTAGCGTAGCTGAAGTCAAGAGTTCATCAACTACAACTGAGAGTAGTTCTTCTGCTACAACCGAAACCACCAGTTCTACATCCACCAGTGAAACTACTAGTTCATCCTCAACCAGTGAGATTACTAGTTCATCGTCAACCACTGAAACCACTCAAATTAGTGAAAGTTCAGTTGAAATAAAAAAGGAAACCGAAAAGGTTATTCCTAAAGAAGAGACCACAAGTACTACTATTATAGCTCATACAGAACATGATGAATTATAATCTAGTTTAAAACAATTTGCTTATTAATTAATATTATTATTATTTTTCTTTATATATAAAATGCATATAAAAAATGGAATAGAAAAGTTTATCATTATCATCTTTAAAATTCACAAACCCTCATATATGTAAGCACAGTTTTTTTTTCAACTCTAAATCTTATAACGCGTACGATTATAAAAATTTAAAATCTTGATCTGTAATTAAAACTTTAAACCAACCATATAAAGCTCATTACCAATCAACATCATAACATCTGGATCAAGATGAGTTCTTTCAGTGCGTTTAATAAGAATGCACTTGATGTATCCGATCCATCAGAATGGCAAAATTCAAAGCTTCCAAACTTATCAGAGTTAGAAACTCTTGAACGATGTTATATCTGTAAAGAATTCTTCAAAGCTCCCGTCATAACTGGTTGCAATCATACTTTTTGTTCACAATGTATAAGGCAATATTTAATCACTAATAATCTATGTCCATTATGTAAGAGTGAAGTATTTGAAAGTAATTTGAAGAGAGATGTGTTATTAGAGGAGATTGTTACGTGTTATGCCAGAATACGACCTCATTTATTTAAATTACTTGAACTTGATAGATTAGAACCAACTGATTCAGAAACTATGGAGATAGACAGTCTGCCAATTATAATAGAAAGAGAGAATTTGAAACGTCCGGCAGATAGTAGTGATGATATAATTGAAATAGTGTCAGAAGAAGAAATTCCAAATTTGGGACTGATTAGCAGTAGTGGTAGTACTCCGGATCCAGAAGTTAAGAGACTTAAATTGGAAAGTGAAGTGAAAGACGATCCCGATAAAGCTTCCTGTCCCGTATGTGGAACATCTATGTCAATATCATTTTTACAAAACCAACATATTGAAGAATGTTTAAATGGGAAAGTAACCACCAAACCGAAACCATCAACATCATTTCCTGTTCAATTATCAAAGAAGAAAACTACATCAAAGGGAGGTATAGCATCATTCTTTAGGAAAAGGGAAACTAGTTCCTCATCACCCATCCCATCCTCCAGTCCAACATTAAATCCTCATGAATCATTAGGACATTCTGATTTCTACTTTAAAGAAGTTTCCAAGCATTCAACTGATAATAAGAAATTACCCAAATTAGATTTCCAATCCTTAACTACTCCACGATTAAAGGAGAAATTAACTGCATCACAAATCCCTATTAATGGAACTAGAACTCAATTAGAGTTACGATATAATCAATATTATGTATTATTCAATTCAAATTTGGATAGTAATCATCCTGTATCGGAAAAAGTATTAAAACAACGGTTACATCAATGGGAATTATCACATCTGGCGTTTAAATCACCGTCAGGTGATTTATTCAGTAGTGGTCGAAGTTCATTAAGTCATAAATCGATAAGTTCAAAAACTTTTCTGGGTAAAGAATGGATAAATGCGTATCAGAGTGAATTTAAAGAGTTAGTTGAAAAGGCACGAGCATCCATGATGGTGGATAAAAAGAAGGAAGTCGCTATACTAGAAGATCAAACAGGTGATGAACTGGTTGAAAGTACTAGTAATGATATTGCTCTACCCATCGAGTCTAAAGCAGCGGATTCCAATGTATCCGTCCCACCGGTGGAACCTAAGGAAGACAATCTCTGTATATAGTATCAGAAAATATATATGGTAAATTAATAGACATACACTCATGACAAATACACATATCTATAAGTAACGATCTAGATGGCTTAAGTGACGGGAGGGGCGGTGATAGAGTAGATCATGACGACCGTTATGAGGCTGTTGTTTCCAATTGTAATAATTATTCCATGACACTAAATATCAATTAACTAGTACCCATTTCCTAATTAGGCATCAATTTCCCTGTCAAAAATAATTAATCCGCGCTAAATAAAAAATTATTTTGTGTAAACATCGATGTCTGACTCTCTCGGTATTCTGTCAGGACCAAAATTGCATCATCATCAAGATTGTTAAATTAATTTCAATTTCTTGGGCCTTAGAACCACTTTATTTTAGCGTTCATCTTATAGATAGCATATATTCTAGTTGAAGACAGTCCTATAAGTCATTATAGTGATTTGGTCTATAATCAAACCATATTCATTTCTCATCTCATCCCTTTGCATTACATTCCTAATCATCCCACCCCAGCATTTTTTAGCTCGCTCATCACAACTAAGACCACCACACTACGGCACTCATGGTTGACGAGTCATTATATTTAACCACCCATGAGACAGCATTGGCTGTAGTAGCGACGGCGATGAAGAAAGCTCGTCTACGAGTAGATACTTTATTTGTCAACTCATTCATAGGGGGTATACTATTCACTTCAGGTGGTATGTTATTCGTTATGATTCATTCATACTGTCCACAACTAGTACAGGATAATCCAGGTATAGTATCATTGCTTCAAGGTGCAATGTATCCTATTGGGTTATTTTATGTTGTTATAATGGGGGTAGATTTATTCAATTCCAATGTCTTATTTTTCAGTACGGCTATATGTCGTAATGCAGTTTCAATAGTTGATTTATTAATCAGTTGGTTTATAAGTTATTGGGGAAACTTAGTGGGGACTATCTTTGTTTGCTATGTGATATGTAATTATTCAGGAGTTAGTCAAGAAGAAGCATTTATAACTGGATCAAGGGAAATTACATTACAGAAATGTAGTTTTTCATTTGTGGAAAATTTAATAAAAGGTATTGCTGGTAATTTCTTCGTTTGTTTAGGTATCTATTTACAATTAATGGCGAAGCCATTACATGTCAAGCTCATACTTATGGGATTACCAATATTTACTTTCGTTAGTATGGGATTTACTCATTCCGTGGCAGATATGTATATGTTAATCATTGGTTTAATTAATCATGCTCCAGTTTCAGTAGGTGAAGTTGCCTGGAAAGTAATGTTACCAGGTGCCCTTGGGAATATCATTGGAGGTTCTTTCTTTGGTATTGTTATAACATGGTACTTACATCTTGTGGTTGTTGAAAGAGATCAAAGAGAATTGAACTTACCAAGATATGAAGTAAGAGATGAACAACCAGAATTAAACATGGATTCAAGAGTTGTAAGACAAGTTGTTCCTGAAGTTGAAGAAACTACTGAATTATTTGATGAAAAGAATTCAATGGATGAAAATGAACAATTTTCAAGCTCCCACTCACCTAATAGCTCCCAATTTAGAGCAAGACCTTTATATGATGATGATATGGTAAGAACCCTGAATGAATTAAATAGAGTTAGTTCAAGATTATCTACTGTATCAAGAATGAGTATGAAGACTTTAAATCCAAAGACAAAGTCCCCCAAGAATGTTTTCCCTGTCTATGGTATGGGAGCTCCATCCAGAAGAGAAAGTCAAATTGCATCAGGTAGATCAGATGAAGAAGAAGATGATATTGATAATGAAGTTGGCTCAATAGCCATGGAGTTGGAAGATGAAGATGAAGGTCGTGGTCCATCTGCAGCTTATATAGGCGAACAATTAAAGAAAGTGCTATCAAGAAAGAAAACATCACCAAAGAGTAAGAATAGCAATGATTTAGAAAATCAACATCAACGATCAGCTTCAATGTTAAGACGTCCATCAACATCATCTATACGAACTCGATTCAGATCAAGAGGAAGTCGAGCATCATTAGCAGAATGGAATAGTAGACTTGAGAGAGCCAACATAAGTCCAAGAGCTGCTGCTGCCGCTGATAACGTGGCCGGTGTCGATCCATTATCAGTTCATTATAGAGGCAGTCAATCATCCATAGCGAGAACAAGTACCCGATCTCAATCTCAATCTAAATCACCAGGGTCTAAACCCATGAAGAATGTGGGTTCTATAGACAGTGAAATAGATCCCATCTCATTTCAAAATGCGGACATAGAGGAAGTGACTGAATCCAACACTCCTAATAATGAATTCAGTGTTAAAGATTTTGAACCCGAAAAAGACTTGGGTGATCCTGATAGTAGTAAAGATTCATCAACGTCATCGTAAATGATTATCAGAAACTGAATCATGCCATTCATAATCAATAAACCCACAATACATCCTGCATTTATATAATATGTTAGATTTCATTCACATATAACTAATTAATACACGTATTTATTTTTTTATTTCGTGGTAAGCGATTTGTATTATAAAACGAAGAAAATAATTATTATTCACAATATCACTTCAGTATCTAAATCCTCCTGGGAGAAATAATCAACAAAACCGGGAAGAAGTTTTTAAAAAAAATCAATGTATATTAAAAATTCATGATTTAAGATATATAAACAATTCATACTGTTCGTTTATAGGAAACCACAAGCTTATTATTATCAAAAGAGAAAGTATCTTAGCTTATTCCTTAATATGAAGGTGGCGGCACGAATTTCGTTTTGACCCTTTTTTATTTTTCTTGAAAATAATAGAAGTTATACTCTAAACATCTCAGCTAGACAGTATTTGAAGACAATATTTCTTTTATCTTATTTATGTTTCAAGTTTTCAAATAAAATTTTGATTATTGAGATATCCGTTCAAATATTGGTTATTTAGTATATTTAGCATCAAGTTTTTGTTTCATATCCGTGACATTGGTTTATTTTTTCCAGTCCATTTAAAATACTATAAGAATATTTATTATATGATTTATTTTTTATTAATTTTTTTGTCTTCAACTTTAATCTAATAGAATCACTGTTCATGCAACTCGTCCGTTCTCTTTTACTCTGCTTAGCTTTCCTTTCAGGAACCAACTAAATAATTTGTTTCTTTTTGAAATTTAAATGTTTGAATTAATTCTTTAAAGTATAGGTCTTCCAATGAAAATGCTGAACCTCCAAAACCAAAAAAAACATTTACAAATAGATTGGGTAAAACTCAGAAAACATAAACATATTACTACGTGTTGGACTGGAAGGACATTTTTAACGATACTGTTAGCTATTTTGCTGGAACTAGTAGCATTTATTTTGTTTGCTGTCTTGGGGATATACAAAAGTTTTGAGAGAGGAATCTAAATGAGTATTCTCTTACATTAATATTTGATTTAGAGAAGTATATATTATTGTACAATTTTCTATATATATGTATCAAATCATAATCTAGTGTAGTTTAATAAAGTATTCCAATCATCTTAATACATATCTTAGAAATAACTTCCTAATTCTCATGAGCCAAATTTTATGCTTGACATTATATTATTCTTTATTTAAACAGAATTATATATGACAGTATTAATATATAGTGTATTTTATTAAATCACTTTTTACTATTTGAAGCATAGCTGTAACTACTTTCAATGTCTTCTACTTCTAGAAACGTTACATCAACTGCTGCTCAAAGTATGGCAACTGATAGAATTTATCCCACTGGGGAAGTCAATAGTGAAGACTCATCTGAACTACTTGCAACCAATAATACATTTAGTAAATTTTTGAAACCTATATCTACCAGATTAGATAGGATACATACCACTATATTACAATGCTTTCTAACTGACGAAGGGATATTAGAATTAGAAAGACAGTCATTTGAAGATGAAGACGAATGTATTTTATGTCTGGATTCTGCTCCTGGAATTAAGACTACGGTAGGTTTAGTATTATTCTTTCTTATGATAATGGGCATGAAGGGTGTGATGATATTCACAACCATTCAAACACAACCCCAATAACTTTTATTGTGTTAGATTTTCAAGTGTTGAATACCAAAATACGTTTTGTACTTGTCTTAGATAATGTGTCAAACGAAAGTATTTTAAATTATCGTCTGCTAATTTTGCAGCATAAATAAAATTTATTTCGGAGAGCAAAGAAAGATATATACAACAGTTTTTCCTTAAATTTAACTTTCAACTAGATTAAGTAGTTCATATATGTTTATTAATACATCTTCCAACCAAAATTCTGAAGCAGTTCAACAAGTTTCAATACCTGAAATTCATTTACAAATTGATTGGGAAGGTCTTCGAAAGCGTAATCATCATATGTTGTGTTGGGCCGGCAGAGCGTTTTTGTATTTTGTATTCGCTTTTATTATAGATTTAGTGTGTAATGCATGTTTTACAGGTTATTGTTTATATTATGTCATTAAGACAAACATCTAATTATTACAAACTTTATTCGAATAATTATTTTTACAGATTCATAGGAATTAATATATTTTAAACTAGTTGTAAAACTTTATGTATTTTACGCTTGTAGTAAATAATGTCTCAGTAAATGCTTGGTACTTTTTAATAATAATGAATTACATCTTTCATCCTATCAAAATATTACAAATCTATCACACACAAGTTAAACAAGATGTCTTCACAAGACGAATATGTCCCACGAGTGAATGAAATTCATCCAACCGCAGAACCAGTTTCTAATACTGCATCTCAAATCCAAGAAACCAATAATACTTATAGTTCTACTGATTTTGTTACCGGCACCCAAGCATTAGATGAAGTTAATACCTTTGTACTTGAAATGGTAGTTGGTTTTGCTATCCTGGAAACACCCAAAACTGTTGAAGCATGCAATATCGTTTCGAATGAACATCGTTGTTATTTCTGCGAGAACACAGAAATGGGTGCTGCTAGCTTATTCATTATGGCTTTAATGTTTTATGGGAGTATGAAATGGAAATCGTTTATTATAGAGTGGGCCTTGAAATGAGATATACAAAAAGAGTCCACCCAGATCATTCAAGTTTCCTACAGAACAACATTCTTATCTTAAAATCAATTTCTTTCAAACACGTTTACGTTTTTGCTTATAATTTAAGGGTTATTTTAGAATATACTTTAGCATACGAACTTATCTAATTATTGTACCGCTAGTGTCATAAACGTCAAGATCTACTACTTAAAAGCTCTCGTTCATTTATTTCCACCTTAATTATTTTATTAACTATATACTATTTTCATAATTTTTGTCAGCTAATGTTAGAACTAGCTTTTGATAAATTTTCTCCAACTATACCTTTGGATATAATTAAATTATAATTATTAATTTCGTTTTAAACCCTCAACTTTCATATAAATTAATTGATTTAATACAACTAAGAATATGTCTTCAAATCAAAGTGACGACCCTAGAAAACAAAAAGTTCATTTAAACATAAATTGTGATGAACTTAAGAAAGTTAATCATACAGTATGTGTTGGACTAGAAAGGCTCTTTTAGCCATCGTTTTTGCCGTTTTTATGGAGTGTTTAGGGTTTGTTTTTTATTGTTGCTACTATTCTTGTGTTCTACCCAATTATTCTTATGATAAAGGTTTATATCGTGAAGTACGTGATAATATACATTTAGTTATATATATATATTAAATTATAATCTAGGTGTAGTGTTCAATAAAGAATTTTAAACTTCTTAACTGATATATCTGCTCTTTCAGATAAACTCTATCTTCTTGATTATAAGAAGTCAGATTTTATGCCTGTATTGGTGCAGTTCATTATTTTAGCAGAATGAATTGACTTTGGATTTTGAATATATAATATCTGGAATTCTTTCAATATTGTATCTTAGATATAATTCACAAACAATAATAATTACCAAAATTTCTTTGGATAATAGCAACGTTACCACTAGTGCTGTCCAAAGTATGGCAACAGATAGAATTCATCCCACTGAAGAATTCAATATTGAAGACTCATCGGAATCTCATGGAACCAATAAATTGAATGCATTCAGTAAATTCTTAAAACCCTTATCCACCGGATTAAATAGAATTCATACCATTGTTTTAGAAACTGGCCTTACTAATAACGAAAAAATTACATTTGAAACAGAGGTATCAGAGAAGAAAGATTATTGTTTGTTATGTCGGAAATGGTCTATTGGGATTGTGGAAATAATTGCTTTAACGTTAATATATTTTATGATGATGGGAGCGAAGGGTTTATTTATTAGCATAATCCTTGAAAAATTATCAAAAGACAAATTACTGTCTTAAATCTCAACAAACTATTTAACTCTAGTATCTAGGTTTTTACAAAATAAAAGCAAGTTTAATTTAAATGTATATAATAATCCCATGCAATACAGTATTTTTGCAGACGAATATTGCAATCTCCTCATAATGAATCGTGAACAATAAGAAGAAAAAACCGTATACCTTAAAATTAAATAGATCCAATCTGGTATTATATAATTATTGCATTACTACAGCCATAGAAGTTTGGACCTTCTACTTCACAACTCTTGTTCAAAATATATTATTCTTATATTCTACTCTGCTAACTTTGCATCCAAAATAAAGTTTTTATTTGGAAATTTGAATAAGAAACCTTAATCCCGAACTCTCAAGTTTTATCATAACTATCTAAATCAACATGTCTTCAAATCAAGATCCGGATTCAGATGAAGAAACAGTTCATTTACAAATAGATTGGGACGAGCTTAGAGAATGTAAGCATGCAAATATGTGTTGGACTAGGAGGGCTTATTTATTTATAAGTATTTCCATTCTTATGGAATTGGTAGGATTTATTTTGTATACAATTATTGCGATAGGCATCAGTTTTGATAGAGGTTCAATCTAAATGATTAATCTTAGACTAGAACCTTAGACAGATAAATATATATTAGATATGTTAATGATCAGTTCTCTATATCTTTACAAAAAATATATAATCTAGTGTAAATGAAAAAATATGAATGATATATAATTAATCCCATATAACATCTATAAGAATACAATTGTTATTCATTTTCTTTTTTTGCAGTAAAATCGAAAAGTTACACAAAATAAAAAAATAATTTTTTTTAAAATAGGCCATCTCTAGTCAGTATCAAAATAGAAAAAAAAAATTTGAACCTCATCTTATAAGACGCTAGAGCAAGAGACGATTTACATCATTTACCGTTACATTCATTCAATAGATAGCAGTGATGGTTGATTCAGTTAATGGAGCTGCTGCTTCGAAGGCATACTTGGATGATACCACTACTTGGGAATCATTCAACTTAGATCCAAGATTATTACAAGCCATTAATCATTTAGGATTTGATAATCCTACTTTAATTCAATCTAGTGCTATATCATTGGCCTTAGAAGAGAAAAGAGATATAATAGCTCAAGCATCTACTGGGTCAGGAAAGACAGGGGCCTACTGTATCCCTGTTGTGCATGATTTACTTGTGGAAAGTGAATCCAATAACAATAATAATAATAATAATAACGAACATCAAATAAAGACTATCATTTTAGTTCCAACTCGAGAATTATCCAATCAAGTTCATCAATTTATCGAAAAGTTATTGATATATAGTAATAATAGTAAGATTAATATCCTTAATTTATCATCCAATTTAAGTGAACAAGTTATAACATCATATTTAAACAATAAACCTGAAATCATCATATCAACCCCTAGTAAATTAATTCAAACTTTAGAAAAGAATGTCAACTCCAATTTAATCGATTTAACTCATTTGAAACATTTAATCATCGATGAGATTGATTTGATCTTATCATTCGGATACTTTGAAGATTTAACCAAATTGGAAAATTACTTAAACTCCACTAATTTTAAAAATTTACAAATCTTTTTAATGTCAGCTACTTTGATTAATAATTCTACTGAAATGAATTATTTAAAATCAAAATATTGTCAAAAACCAGCTATCTTGAAATTAAATGATGAGAATTTAAATCAAAATAATTTAATCCAATATTATGCTAGAGTTACTGAATTTGATAAATTTTTATTCTCCTATGTTATATTTAAATTGAATTTGATTAAGGGGAAAACCATTATTTTCGTTAATAATATCGATAGAGGGTATAGATTAAAGTTATTCTTTGAACAATTTGGGATTAGAAGTTGTATTTTAAACAGTGAACTTCCTATAAATTCAAGATTACATATCGTGGAAGAATTCAATAAAAATGTGTATAATTTATTAATAGCCACCGATGAAACCAACGAGTTTGTGACTGAAAAAGATGAACAAGAAGAAGATGAAGTTGAAGAAGAACAAGTAGAAGTTAAAGAAGGTGATAGTAAATCATCCAAGTCTCAAAAATCAAAGAAATCAAAAACTAAAAAGGATAAAGAATATGGTGTTTCTAGAGGGGTTGATTTCCGTAATGTCGCATGTGTCTTGAATTTCGATTTACCAACCACATCCAAATCATATGTTCATAGAGTTGGTAGAACTGCTAGAGCCGGTAAAGCTGGTATGGCGTTATCATTTATATTACCATTAAAAGAATTTGGTAAACATAAAACTGCTTCATTAGCCACTGCTAAAAAAGATGAAAAGATATTATCAAGAATCATTAAACAACAATCTAAGAATGGATTAGAAATCAAACCTTATCAATTTGATATGAAACAAGTTGAAGGGTTTAGATATCGTGCTGAAGATGCTTTCAGAGCCGTTACTCAAACTGCAATTAGAGAAGCTAGAATTAAAGAATTAAAGAATGAATTGATTAATAGTGATAAATTAAAGAGATTTTTTGAAGAAAATCCTCAAGATTTAGCTAGTTTAAGACATGATAAAGAATCTCATCCATCAAGAGTTCAAAGTCATTTAAAGAGAGTTCCGGATTATTTATTACCTGAAAGTGCCAGACAAGATCATAAAAAGATTGGTTTCGTTCCATTTCATAAGAATAAAGTGCATAAGAATAAAAAGAGAAAATCAAGTGGTAAGAAATCTGATCCATTAAAATCATTTAAAAGGAAGTAAGATAGTAGTACATAATTAAAGTATATATTAAGGATATATATATTAAAAAATCTATTAGATACACATTAATAAAACGTAGAATTAAAGATGCAGAATGAAGGAAGGTAAGGATGAATCATGCCAATTTACTTAAGATTACATTCCATAATAAGTTTGCTAAACAATTAGCTGGGAATAATACTGATTTTGGAATGAATACAAACAGACAAATTGAAAATATTGGCCAGAAGCAATAACTATATTTCAAAGATTTTATGAATGCAGCTCTGGTATTGGCTGATAATTCACCAGTATCCCATAATGAGTTCAATACATTAAAGATTAATTGAAAGATTGGAGCCCCAATGAATTGATCCACTATAATTCTTGATAAATTACTATCAATTCTAAAGAAAAGGACATCGATCCATAATACAGTGAAATACCCATTTAAAAGACCCCATACCATGAATTTAAAGATTTTATTTAAACTATATTTCTTTTTAATATATTGATTTATAGATTGAGCTAAAGCAGCAGTAGAAGATCCTAATAAAGTTGGACCTAAAAAGTAATGTATGGAAGTTAAAGTGGGATAATTATAATATATGATTAAAGATACGATTGATTCAATAACAAGATTTATGATCAAACGTTGTAATAAGTATTTCCCATTAGGATTGAAGTGAATATCCAAGTTAGCATTTGAATTATTGGAATCAATGGTGGTTAATGGAGTTGATTTTTCTAAATTTAAAAAGTTTTTGGTGACTGATGTAATGGTGGCTTTAGAAGTGGTAGTAGCTGATGAGGATGCGATGGTTGATGTTTGTTTATCGTTGGGATAGTTATGCAACGGAATCTCAGATCCTAGTTTTGCCATGATGATGAGGTTGGTGGACAAGGTTGTAGATGATAAATGATAGATGATGGATTATGTTGGCTGCCTTTTCAAATCACACAGATCCATTTTTCTGTTTGGCGTGTTTTGATTCTTTTTTTTTTTTTTTTTTTTCTTTCATTTCCTCGCGTGTCCACTTCACCACATTTTTAACATGTGTAAAATGATAGACTCATAAGGGATCATAAGGGTTCATAATTATAGTGGAAAGAATGTGGGATAATGTGATGTGTGGATAAGCATCATATAATCACGATAAATGACTAATATACCTGGTTGGAGATATTATAACCTAACATTAATGGGTCAGATGAGTCTAATCGTTAGAGGAATGGTAGCTCACACGAAGCTAAAAAAAATTATTGTCGTGAAATTGCAGACACGTCCAAAATCATGTCCATTTGATGAGTTGACAAACTTTATCCAGAGGCAAGAAGTTATGGATTAGAACATGTAATCACATTTCCAACGTTCCTATAGACTCAGATATACGAAGTACGTATAATTCGTAATCCAAGAATGGACTTAACGGAAAAACTTGACATGACCAGAAATATGACAGGAGATAAACACAGTAAAAACATTACCGCATTAAGTAACCATCTCCGTTAACTTCAAAACGGTCAACACAAAACTTTAATATCCTTTTACTTCAGTATGGTCTATAGACCGAACAGTTCTTTACCCAGATTCCCCATAAGGCTTTTACCGGTTTACTTATGAATAACCCATACGGTGCCGAGATATTATAGTTGGTTGGAACGGCACTTTCCTAATCAAGTTAAATACCATTCACTTCCATGTTATATCCAGATCTTACCTCCTGATATTTTTTTCATAATTGTATAATTATAATCAGTTACTATCCATGATAAGAACTGATAGTTATTTATTCTCCACTTCTATTATTCATTTAATACTTGTAAGAGTCAATTATCCCCCAACCTCCCGGCATAGGAATAATATTTTCCTTCGGTAATTTATTTAAAAAGAAAAAAAGTTCGGACATGCGATCCGGCAAGCCGCATCAAATTTTTTTTATTTTGACAGAACCAGAAAATGGAGTACAGTGCAAAAACAATATATAATAAGGCTTACAAATGAACATATAAGATTGGAGAATATATATATATCTAGTTCTGTCCCATGTATGTCAATCATTTGGAGTATTTATCATTAGTCTAACCCATATCATATCATAACTCAGACTAAGATAAGACTTACCAATTCTCATAACCATGTCTGTGCATTCAATTACTCCTGCTGAAAATATTACAACAACCATCGCGGACCCCCAACCGATTGTGCTTGATCAACCTGAAGATGAAGAACTCACTTCGATTAAATCAAAGAAGTTAGAACTCGAAGGTTCAGATGATCCAAACCCTATAGACTCATTAAATGACTCTAATCATGAAATAGAGAAGGAATTACCTGATCCTTATTTAGTCACTTTTGATGGTGGTGATGATGATAAAGAAGATGCATCAAGATTATCCAACTTCCATAAATGGATCATTGTGTTGATTATCTCATTAGGATCCTTATGTGTCACCAGTATATCATCATCATGGTCGTTAGTTTCTGATCAAATCATGGAAGATTTTCATATAAGTCAAGAAGTTAGTACTTTAGGTATATCACTTTATATTTGGGGGTTAGGAACTGGAGGAATGTTTTTATCCCCTATTAGTGAATTCCATGGTAGAAAATTAGTCTATATCATGGGGATCTCTTTAACTTTAGCATTTCAATTCTTAACTGCTTTCAGTTCCAATATCGGTGGTGTTTTATTCGGAAGATTCATGAGTGGATTTGCAGGTCTGAGTTTTATGTCAGTTGCTTCAGGTTCATTCTCCGATTTATTCAAAGCTAGAAAAAACTCAGGTTCAGGTGATGCGAATAAAGATTTAGCTTTAGCCTTGGTTCTTTATTCAGTATCACCTTTCATTGGTCCTTGTACTGGTCCTTTAATCGCTGGGTTCGTATCTCAACATATGATTTATAATTGGACTTTTTTCATTTTAATCATGTGGACGGCAGTAGTTTTATTCTTAGTGATATGTTTTGTTCCAGAAACTTATGAACCAGTATTATTAGTTAAGAAAGCTAAAAGATTAAGAAATGAAACTGGTGATGATAAATATTATGCTCCATTAGAAAGAGTCAATGTAACCTTATATGAAAGTGTCATTGTTTCATCTAGAAGACCATTCTTATTAATTTTCAAAGACAATATGACTATGGCTCTTTGTTTCTATACTGGTTTTACTTTAGCTGTGGTTTATATGTTTTTCGTCGCCTTTCCTTACATTTTCAGTACAGTCTATAACTTTAGTCTTGAACAACAAGGTATGTCATTCATTGGTCTTATGGTAGGAATGGTATCAACCTCAATCATCTCCCCACCTATCATTAATAGAAACTATTCCAGATTATTAGCCAAACATAATGGTGTATCAAAACCCGAATTCAGATTCATCCCACTTATGGCCGGTGTTTTCATCGTTCCTATTGGTTTATTCATCATTGCTTGGACCTCCTATGCTCATGTTCATTGGATAGCTCCTATTATTGGAAGTGCTGTTTACGGAGTTGGTACAATCTTAGTTTTCAATGGTATTTTCGCATATACAGTCGAAGCATATAGATTATACGCTGCATCAGCCATGGCTACAAATTCATTCATCAGAAGTTTAATGTCTGGTGTTTTCCCATTATTTGGTATTCAAATGTATGAAGGGATGGGAATCCAATGGGCTACTACTTTATTAGCCTTATTCGCCTGTGTATTGATTCCTATTCCATTCGTGTTTTACAAATACGGTGAAAGATTAAGAGCTAAGAGTCCTTATGCTTGGTCTGGATAAGTACAATCTCATATCAAATCAAATCATATAATATAATATAATATCCCCTGCATTCTATGTAAATAGACATTCATATTGGTTTTTTTTTAATTCTAACTTATAATACCTAAAGGTATCGGCATAGACAATTAATAAAACATTACATACATATATATAGACTTCATTTAATCGATACCCCTAAAACTTAATATAAAAAAGCTTTAAATAAAATTTATATGGTAGCAATTTTTGTTTGAGGTGCGGAGTTGTGGAACTTTTACGAATGTCTTAGAAATCAGATCGAGAGAAAATGTGAAAAATTCAATTTTGAACTGTTTCAGAATCTCTATATTCTTATCAAATAGATTCAAATTCATATATAGATAATTACAACAATGGTCGTTCATAATCCTAACAACTGGTAAGTAACAACTTCTGATTTCATTTTTTTATTCCGAATGTTCCATGTGTACTAACTGTTTTTCACAGGCATTGGATAGATAAAAACTGTCTTCCATGGTCAAAGGAATACTTTGATGAAAATATAAAAAACACCGTCGTCGATAAAGATGGCTTCAAATATACTATCACTACCGTTGAATCCATTACTGGTGATTGTGATGTTACTCAAAGAAAAGGGAAAGTCTTATGTATATATGATATGTCATTACTGTTAGGTGTGTCCGTCGAAGAAGTCAAAGAACAATCTGAAGATGAAAGTAATGTCACCTCAGGAACTATCTCTCTTGCGGAGTTCGTTCATGATCAAGATGATGATGAGTATGTCTTTGAAATCAAATCTGATGAAAAGAGAACTGAAATTAAAAAACATCTTATACCAGTTTTAAAATCAAAATTACAAAAATTCCAACCTGATTTAATTGAAGCTCATTCAAAAGATGTTCAACATGCTTCAAATTAAAAGAACCAATATCTTGAAAGTCAATCCATCCCAGGTTCATTCAACATATCTACATATGATATATCAGTTTATACAAAAAAATGGCCGTCCTCTATCTATTAAAAAGTAAGATTACATAGAAATTTAATAAATATACGCATTATAATACAAAATTGGTTGTACTAACCTTCAAATCCTTCAGGAACACCCTTAGCGTGTTTGACGGATCCATCTCTTGAACCCAAATAAATCTCAACTGGACCAGTATCATTATTGTCATCAGTGAGACTGTACCATGGGATTTGACCTTGTTCGATCAATTTCAAGATTCTATAAGCTTCAACTGAACTATATGGAATACCAGTTGATGGATCGAAATATTTAACTTCAGTTCCCGAGATTAAACAATTCTTCTTATTACCATTAGGTAAGTATAACCCTGTAGGAGCTTCGGTTTTGATTATGATAGCAGTTGATTCTGTTTCCACTATATCCTCAACTTCTTCGAATAAATCTTGTTTAACACCTAATCTTGGTAATCTCTTTAATTCTTCAAACATAGGGTCATCAGCAGTTAGAGTTGGAGTAGATTCGAATAATGAATCTTCACTCTTTAAACCATTACTCTCATATGGATTTGTTTTACCTCCGATTTTGATAATGGTCTTGATATCTTTGAATCTTCTAGATGCAGGTAATAATGATTGTGCTCCAAAAAGAATCGTTTTGACGTTACTACTGTTACTTAATTTGAAGTCTTTATTGTCTTCATCGAAATCAAGGAGAAAGATGGTATTTCTCGATATCCTCTGTGGTGGACCTTCAAATATTTCTTTATTTTCTTGATTTTCTTCTATTATGGTGGTTTCATTGTCAGTAGCTGGAGTTTCTTCTTTCAACTCATCATCGTTATCTTGGTCAATTTCATCAAGAAATTTGACTTTCTTCTCACCTGTAGTAATACTAGCCTCTTTGTCATCTGTTATAAGTGAAGTATTTGTTTCTTCTGGTTCAGTTTTGACAACCTCGCCGTTAGTTTCAGATACGTCTTTAATTTCTGCCTCGATTTCTGCATCAGACGTATGTCCAATTTCATTTTCTATTTCATCACCATCAGATATCAACTCTTCAACCTCCACCGCAATTTCATCTTCTTGAACCTTTTGTTCCTCTTTCTTGATATCTTCTTCGGGGATATTTTCAATACTATCTTCAGCAACTTCAATAGGTCCTTCCTCGGACTTGGTTTCTTCTGTAGCTTCACTCAGTAAAATAACGCCATCTTCGTCGGCAACTGCTACTTCAGGTGTTTCCTCTACTGAAATAACACCATTTGTTTCTAGGACATCGCCATTCGTTTCTTCAACTTTGACTGATTGGATATCGATGTCTCCATTTTCAACTTTGCCAAGCGATATATCATCCCCTTCCGTTGGTGCTTCTGATGCTAACAATTTAGCTTTAAGTTCAGCCTCTTCTTGAGCTTCCTTTTCGAGTCTTTCCTTTTCTATTCTTTCTCTTTCCATTTCTTCTTTTACAAGTGGTAATTCTAAATCAATATCACCTGGAAGTCTAATGTAAGGTTCAACTTCTTCAGATTGATTCTTCTTTCTTCTACCAACTTTCTTTTTCTTACTCATTTCATGAATTCTTCTAAATTCTTCGATTTCTTCAAGAGGTGTAATATGGGTATCTTTACTTAATATTCTGATTACATTTCTTAACTTTAGTCGTTTCAGTAAAAACATGTTCTTTTGTTTTTCTTTTTTGAAAATCTCTTGTTCTTGGAATCGAATTAATGACTCCACATTTGCTCTTTCTGTTTCAACTGCTTCAGCAAGCTTTTCTTCTTGAGTTAACTCCACCTGCTGAACCCTCACCACTGGAGCTAATTTTGATCGTCTTTCTTCACTTTGTTTTAACTTTTCTACCAAAGCTTGTTTGTTCTCTATAGCTGCTGATCTTGATGATGATCTTCGTTGGGATAATAAAAGTGAATCTGAAGTTATTAGATTGGTTTTCTTAATCTTTTTGGGTTTGGGTTGGAGTGATGATGCCTTTTTAATCGTCGGTATGACTGTTTTGGTTCTTCTTTTCTTTAACCTTTCTTGTTTTTGAAGTTCTTTCTCTCCTTCACTTTCATCTGAATCAGACATGGAAAGATCTGAATCAGACAACACATCATCCGAATTCACATTAGTTTCATCTTGATCGTCATCATCTTCTTCATCAACTTCTTCTCGAGTTCTTTTATGGGATGTTGATTCATCCCCTCCTTCTTCATCATCTTCTTCATCTATCCCTTCTAAATTTTCATTATCTATGTCTTCATCTATGAATTCATCATCATTTTCATCTTCTTGGAATAATAAATTAACATTTTCATCATCTTCAGTTACGAATTGATTTAAATGATCAGAAGATTGTTCTTCCAACGCAATCAACTGCTTCAATCGAGACCCAGCGTTGGCACGTCTCGATCTAGTTGCTGCCAAACTCTCCTCATCATCCGACATTTCATATGGACTCCGTCAGTTAGAGGTGTATAGATAAGTTATATAAGTGTTTATCAAAACAGTATACAGTTAAAAGCATATTTTCAATTTTTAAAGTGTTTATTCCGCGCGAGGTTAAAATTGTTCAATGGAAAATATTTTGTTAGTTTGCTGTGAACTCGTATACGACAAGTCAATATTGATAACAACTATGAGACTTCCTGTACGAACTATACCTAGTTGTATAACAATTGGTATCAGGATTGGTATAAGAAGTAGTTCACGTCTTCATTCCACCAATTCTGGATTCACATCATTATCAGAAGATGAAATGTCACATTTTAATGCCTTGGCATCAAGTTGGTGGGATGTTAATGGACCTCAAAGAATCTTACATAAAATGAACTTATTGAGAATGGATTTCATCTATAGTACCATTCGTAATCATATACAGTTGAATGATCCAGAAACTCCTGAAGATGAACAAGTTTATATTCCTCCTTTCAATGTTGATTTGTTACCTAAACCAGTGAGAAATACTATAATTCAAGAACAAGAAGAAAGAAGAGATGATATCTTGAATGCTTCGAAACTTAGTGTATTGGATATTGGTTGTGGAGGAGGGATATTATCAGAATCAATGGCTAGATTAAGTTTTATAAAGAGTGTCAAAGGAATTGATTTATCGAAGGATGTATTAGAAGCCGCAAAATTACATAAATTGAAAGATCCAATGTTAAATGAAGATGAACATAAACTTAACTATGAGTTAATGGCTATTGAAGATATACCCAAATCAGAAACATATGATGTGGTGACGATGTTTGAAATGTTAGAGCATGTCGATCATCCTTCAAAGGTATTAATTGAGGCCTTAAATAAAGTTAATGTGGGAGGTTGGGTTTTCATATCTACTATTAATCGAGATTTTGTAAGTTGGTTTACCACAATCTTTATGGGTGAACATATATTGGGAATAGTTCCTGTTGGAACTCATACATTAGAAAAATATATTGATCAATCAGAAATTAGAGAATGGTTTGATAAAGATCCAGAAAGAAAGAGTTCATTTAAAGTTATTGATACTAAGGGATGTATTTATTTACCTGCTTATGGATGGAAGTTCACTTCCACTCCCGATGTTGGTAATTATTTCATGGCTATTAAAAGAGTTAGTTAAACCATTTGTAAATAGATATTAACTAAGTGTATATATATATATTAAAAAATAAAATATTTAATTAGATTAGATTAAGTTAATTAGCGATTTTAGCAGCACTTTCTTCAGTTGGTTGTTCATCAATAAAGGTTGGTAAATTATCGGTACCCAAAGCATCTGAATTCAAATAACTTGGGACCCCACTTTCAGCTAATTCATTTTCATAATCCATTTCTTCACCTAATGCATCTAATTCAGCATCTAATTCACTTTCACTTATATCATCAGGTACATCATAACTTGTCAGTAAAGCTTCTTGTAATTCATTTGATTTATCAATCAAATCCAACATTTCATCCTGTAAGGATTCTATCTTATCGATATCTATCTTACCATATGTTTGTTTTAAAGTTTTATTAGCTGTTTTCATGGCATCAACGGTAATCATTGTATTTTGTAAATTATCAGTGGTCATTTGAGCTTGAGTCATATTCCATGATTGATTCTCTAATTGATCCTTTTGAGCCTCAATCTGCTTCCTTTGTCTTAATAACTTCAATGCTTTCTGTTTCAAGGCATTCTTACCTGGTCCATCTCTCATTCTACTTATCTTTTGTTGATATGTTGATAATTCTGCATTTATCTTGGTTAATTTAACATCAAGAGCTCCTACTCTTTCATCAATGTTTTTCACTGCATCATTCAATGATGGTTTGGGCACTGTGCTTTTTGATCCAAATAATCGATTCATGATTGATCAATTCTGGGTATGTGTATATATGTGTATGATTGTAATGGTTGATGATATAGAATGTGTTATCTAGCATCACTCCTTTTGCCCTCAATTATAATTTTAAGTTGGTGCGAAAATTGTAAACCAAATTTTGATTTACACTATTAGTACTACTAGGTACATCTACTTAAGGATTCATACACTACATTGTTATATCAACACAAGTTCTAGTACTATTGTAACGATGCCTGAAGTATCAGAAGTAAGCAATTTACCTTTAATTAGAGTGTAACGGTCTTCTTAGAAGAATTTTGAACGATATCTTCAAATCAAACGCGATACACGTTAAATAATGAAAAATCTGAATATTAACTAACCAACTAATATAGGTAGCTCATGTATGTGCTTTATTAAGAAGAAATGTATTAGGTTATAAGATTGCTAAAGTCAATTTACATAATGATAATTTATTATTCCCAGCTTTAAAGAATGCTACTGATCCTGAAGGAGAATTACAAAAATTAACTAATAATTTGACCAATTCAGTCATTGATTCGATTGGTAGACATGGGAAGTATTTTTGGATAAGATTGAAATTGGCCAATGAGCCGAAGAAGACAGGGGTGTTTCTTATGCATTTTGGAATGACTGGTATGATTAAGATTAAGAATGTTAAATCACATATGATATTCATGGAGAGTGGTGGTGATGTTAAAGTCTTGGATAAATTGAATAAAGCAAAGGAGACTGGAACTGAATCAAAGTATTTTAAAAAGGAAGAGACAGAAGAAGAGGTAGTAGAAGAGGAAGAGGAAGAAGTAGTAACTGAATGGCCTCCAAGATTTTCTAAAATGGAATTAGTTTTAGAAAAAGATGATTCAAAATTAGATTTAGCGTTTATCGATGCAAGAAGATTAGGTAGAATACGGTTATTATTAGGAGATGAATATCAAACTAATGAAAGTTTATTAACTCAAAGTCCTTTAAATGCATTAGGACCTGATTATTCTAAGCCACTAGCTTATGATGCCAAGAAAGATAAAGAATTCATCTGGGGTGATCCAGCACCTGATAATTATGGAAGACCGATCTTACCACTTGTTGATTTCAATCAATTAATCTTAAAGAAGAAAGTTCCTATTAAAAGTTTATTATTAGATCAAGCATATTTTGCAGGAATTGGGAATTGGGTAGGAGATGAAGTATGTTATAATGCTCGAATTCATCCTACTGAAGTGATTTCAAATAAGATAGTTAGTAATGATGATAAGACAATAATTGATCCTATAATTGAAAGATTATATAATTCGATTATTTATGTATGTCAATATAGTGTTAAAGTGGAAGGAGAAGTGACGAAATTTCCTAATGATTGGTTAATGATATTTAGATGGGGTAAAGCGAGGAAAAAGGGACCAAAGGTTAAGACTAGTGAAGGATATGGAGTTGATTATGTTACCATAGGAGGTAGAACCAGTTGTTTTGTACCTGATTTACAAAAACCATTAAAGAAGCAAGTGAAAGAAGAGAGTGAAACTAGTGGTGGTGGTAGTGATAGTAAACGAAAAAGAGGGGATGCAACAAGCAAATCACCTGCAAAAAGGACAAGTAAAAGAGTTAAAAAGGAGTAAGACCTTTAAACGAAATTGATAAGATAACTTTAACTCGAGCTCTCCCCTCCTAGATTTAAGTAAACAAATAAACAAAAAACAATAGACAATGGATAATGGATGTGTATGTTTAGCTAATCTATACAGTCTAGATTAAAAATGTTTATTACAAACAACATTTTGTTTATTCGCTGTTTTCCCCCACATTTCTCACTTCTCCACAAAATTGGTTTTTCTTCTCAGTAGCGGTAGCCATCAGTTGTTATTTTACGTCATTAAAATTTGAGTGTCTAGATCCATTGTCAAATGATATATAAACAACTTGATTTACCAAATGATATGTAAATTATATATGTATACATGTATATATAGTATAGTCTCATGATATAACTTCCATTAACCACTAATTATTATTATTAAACAGTGGTATATTATCAGTAGTGTACAATCTCATACCCTCATCTCACTGTTTGAAGGTAACTCTCATCTTTGCACGGATTTATACTTTCGTTTCATTTAAAATAACACTCCTTTTTACAACCATATTTAAACCAAGGCATATACCATGATAACCTTAGTTGAACTATGTATCATCATAGTATTCCTACTATTGGTTCATGAAACCATCATATCACGATATACTCATAAATTGAAATCAGATCTAGAACAACAGCATCTTTTGGCGCTTAATTACACAAACAATGGCAGCAGTTTATCAGATAAATCAAAGTCATCATCATCAATAGTTACTACAACATCAAACATAATATCTCATATATGGCCTGAAAGAAATCTTATCTATTTAGATAGCTTACCTGATGATATCATCTTTCAAATTCTTGATAATTTAAATCAATTCGATGTCATCAACTTATCACTTGTCAACTCCACCATGTACTTTTATTGCATGCATAGATTATTCAAACATATAGTGGTGTATAATTATGATAGTTATGGTTCCGATCAAATGGGGATTTGTGTTCAACCAGGTTTACATACCAAATTTTATCTTGATTATACTATAATTAATAAACCTACCTTTTTAAGACTTATGAATCTAGATCAATTTCAAACTAAAAGACAATTGATTAAGAAAGTATTGTTTTATTTCACCGATTTCTCACCAGAATTCAAACATAGTTTAAATCAAATGTTACCATACACCAAATTTCATATGTATCAACATTATAAATCTCCTTTACCATATACTTTCAATCATTTCCAAATCAATCTGATGAATAATTTTGGTATTGATTATCAACGATTATCAGATTTAACCGAATTAAATCTTAATTTCGATCCATTGGGTGATCCTGAAGCTAATAGATTAATCATTGATGGGTTTACTTCAATATATGGTCAATTAAAAGCTATAAAATTAAATAATTTCTCCACTGAAATATTAGATCATTTCAAATCATTAAAAGTACAGTTTAAACAAGTTAAATCGTTAAGTTTAAACTTTGATATTAGACTTTGTAAGAATTTAGAAGTTTTGAATGATATATTCCATTTAGATCAAATTGAATCATTTGAAATTTTTCTTAATAAAAGTTTTAATGTAATGACATTAGATCAATTACAATTACATCATTTAAATGAAAAATTAATCAATTTAAAACTGTTAAATTTCACTACTCATTGTCAATTACGGTATTATGATTATTTATCATCATTTATTAGTCCTCATTTGAGTAAAATATCTATCAATTTAAAATATAAAAATGCTCCTAATCATTTAAATCCCGAGATATTATTCAATAGTGGGATATTATCATTATTCCCTAATATTGAGATTCTTAAATTCAATAATCAATTATTCCAGCATGATAAATTTAATCAAAAGGAGAAATATGCGTTAAATTCAATCAATGTATTCTTCAAAACTGATAATAATGATGCTCAATATTATAGTATTTGTAAGGAATATCATAAAGTGATTTATGATTCTCGATTAAAATATTTGGTGATGAATGATTGTCAATATGTTATAGATAGATCAATTGGAGGTGGTATTTGTTCAACTATCATGCAGTAAAAGTTTAGATAATGTTATGATATAGATTCATTTTGTTTTTATAATTAGTTATCATAATCGATTTATAATAGTGTATTAGTTATAGGGATATTCATGGTGTTAAGTGTAGACGGTTTACTTGTAATCTGAAGTATGTAATAAGAAAGTGGAAGAAAGTTAAAGGTTAAACATATACATTCAATGAAAGCAACCATTGAGAGATGGTTGAGATTACAATGAGTTTCATCTTTTTCAATTTTGTTATTCATTGTACTATAAAAGTTTTTAACAAAATTTAAACTAAAGTATATGGAGAAAGTTCAAAACTAAGTATGTTGTTCATAAAAACTCCATTATTTGGCCCTTGTTTTTTTTTTTTTTGAGATTTTGGTTTTGTTTTTGGTTTTTATTAGTAGAATTAAAAATGGGTATCACAGTAAATAGTCGGCTATCAAAGGGCAACGAAACAAAACATAAAGTAGATTAAACGAAATAAATGAATTAAATGTTAAACGATTGAAATGAAAGAGGATAAACAACATAAAGTAAATCAAAGTAAAACTTAATGGAAATAGTTATCATTTAAATCTAAGATAATTGTTGAAAGCAAAGGATCATTTTCTAAATCTAGAATTTCTAAACATGTATTTCCCGACTCATTATAATCATCAAAAGCGGAATAAAGTTCCGAACTTGAAGAAGCTAAAGAACTTGTGGATTCGGAATTTCTTCTTGTTTGATCAATACTTCTTCCAACTTGATTTTCTATTCTTACTCCTTGATCAGCTGCTTCATATTTTTTAATAAGATCTCTAACGATGTCTTTACAAAGATTTTGAGATTTACTATTTGGATCGGTGGCTTTATGTTTATCTAAAATTTCATTCAAATCACAAGTACAATGGGAATAAACTTCACCTTCAAAGGAAACTAAAATAGCAATTTCACAACCTGTGTATTTATTTATTTGAAGACCACCACCAATAATACCTTTAAGCCTTTTAAAGAAAGTTGATTTTCTGTTTCTTAAAACTTCAATTAACTCCCATGAAAGTCTAGATCTGCCTAAATTGGAGGATGATTCTGAAGGTGGCATTAGATGAAAAGTAAAAGGATATGCTGTTGATAGTGAAACAAAGAAAGTAATATAACTTAAAAGGAATTTGAAAGGGAAGTAGCGTCGTATTTATAGACCATTTTACAGAGACATCATTTATTTAGAAGTTGCGAAACTTTTTTTTTTTCAGATTGCACGACGCTATTTCTCTAAATTTATGACTGAGATAAAATCTCTTTTTTTATTTTTGTTTGTTTTGTTTTTATTGGGTTTGTGTAACGGATTATTTCAAACAAAATTGTTTGGCGGTAGCTGCGAAAACGTAGGTGCATCGGTGTATTTCAACTGTAAAGAAAACAAAGTTCTATCAGTTTCCATGTGGTTAAGATGGTGAGCGACTAAACCTTTTAAAATGATTAATTAGTGTTCAAATAAGATTTGACCCCGCCTAGGGATGCTATTATTAGATTTCGTTTACCTTATTTTATTCTTAATAAGTCAATTTAAGTAAAATAAACTAAACTAAATATCTAAAAAATATCATTCTATATTGACACAAATCTCCACCCTTCTCATTAAATAAACCAATTCCCTTAATATATGAATATATTTTGTTGATTGTAATCAGTATTTTGAAAAACGTTTGGTTAATCCAATTCCTTAACCCAAGTTTAAATAATACCAAAAAATGATAAAATAATCTTCATCATCTTCATAATTAGTAGCAGCAACATCAGCGGCGTCGACACTATCCTCGTTATCATTATCGTAGTAATCAATGGCATTACTTCTTTGCCTGTGTAATGGTACTCCTAAGTAATAATTCTCCAAATCAAAATTTATCTCGTTATTATCCAATGATTCATTAATTATGGAGGTTTCATAAAGTGATGTTAGATCTTGAATTGGAAGATTTTCTATCACATTATTCAAAATAGACAAAATGAATTGTGATTCATCAATACCGTATTCATATATGGTATTTTGTTGATTCTGATAAAGATATGTTCTTTCATAGATAAATTGGCTTGTATGGTTATTGTCATTGTCATCTTCTGGATCTTCCTGTGCTGGTGGACTTTCAATATTATTTTGATTCATTCAGAGTTTTTGAGTTGAGTTAAGTTGAGCTGATATATATAATGAGTAGATAGGAAATGAATGAATAAATGAATAAATGAATAAATCCTAAAATATGATCACAGAAAAAAAGTTCCCTTCCTAAATACAAGAAACATTTTCCCTTTTTTTCACTCACTCACTATTTTAATTTTGAGTACCTATTGCGGCAATTAAAAAAAAAAAAAGAAAAAAAATGTCTGTTTTTGTTTTTGTTTTTGTTTTTGTCTGAAAAAACTGATTGAATTAAATTTAAATTAGATCATCAAGAAAATTTGTCTGATTTTATATTATTCAACCTCAAGAACACTAGTCTCTACTATGTAATTCTATTTTATAAAGACGAGTGGGGGCAAAATATCATCAGTTAACAGATGGCCTTAACTTCTACGTAATGAAATACTCAATTTATCAATATATATATTTAAAACATAGAATATCACCTTCTACATACTAATATCAACTTATATTGTACTATAAATAGGCCAGATATTTATAATATTGACTTTTCAGTCGTTTGTTATCATAAATTTATTTTCTAACCACTCAATTGAATATATCATTCAAAATGTAATCATATCAGGAGGTGGACTAAACCTCATGTAACAGGATGGAAGTTCTTGTTTTTCCTTGAAATTAATAAGGTCATCAGAAATTAAATCAATATTATTACTAGCAGCAGTTTCAGTTTGGGAATTACTGTTCAAATATAAATTCTGTTTCTGATTAACCTGGGTATTTTCTGAGGCTTTCATTGAAATATTACCAGTTTCTTCGGCTTTATTGGTAGATCTAGTTTCGAAATCATTTGGAGTAGTATTTAAAACTTCCCATGAAGCATAATGTCCATATAAATCGCTAGAGAAATCTTCATATGAATTATCAGTATCGTCTTCATTTTCTTGAGGAATATCATTTGGTTCGTCATTGCTAGCATCATTAACTTCAGCAGGTTGTTCATCATTCGGCATAACAACAGGCGGATCTTTGTTTGTGCATGATTTCTCTTCTTGTCTTTTAATTAATCTAGTTAATATTTTCAATTCTTCTTTATCATGTCTCATTTCACCAAAATTTCCAGATACAATTTCTTTTCCGTTACGACTGATTACGATGGATGCTTGAATACCACATAGGACTGCTAGTTCCTCAGTTTTTTTGAATAATGTTTTTTGTCTTGCGTTTTGGCTTTTTCTTCTCCGAGTTGAATTAGCTAAATATGTCTTGTCAAGTGCCTTTCTATTACCTTTTTTTGCTTTTGGTTTGGTGATTTTATGCTTTTGGTTTGGTTTTGGGTCTAATTTTGCTAATTTTTTTATTTGTTCTAATTGTTCTTCAACGGCCTTAGCAGCTTCTTCACCAGATACTAAAAATTCCTTATGCAATTTATCATCATAAGTCAAAATCAAACGTACCGTAACACCGATTATTATAGCAAAAAACTCAACCAGACTAAGAAGACCTTGGTACCGATCATAGAACGTCTTGTACCTCTCCTTAATATTAGATCTCAATTCGGTTTTCAAGGATTTGTTAACCATTTTATTGTTGCTAAGTAAATTGAATTGGTATTTATGATTCCTTAATTGAGAATACTATGTAACTTGACTGTATGATAAAATATGATTGTGTAATTGATGTGTGATAGGTAACAGATAAAAAGACCTATTTCAATTTGATTTTTATGTTTCTCCAAAACAGTCCTGCACAAAGTTATATTATTTCTTAATTTAAGACAAGACCAAAAATCCATTTTTGCATAACTTTCAAGTGAGGAGAAACAGGTATCACTTTAATTTGTTGGGTTTTCAAGAATAGGTAAAAGGTTGGAGCGTTTAGACTTCAAAGATTTCATTTCATCTTAGTTCTCCTTTTTCGTTTGGTCTTCGATCCTATCTGGCGTTTGCTTTGTTTTTGTGTATTACTTTCCTTTTGTTGCAAAAAAGAGCTTATTTATGTTTACATTATTTGGAAAGTGACGACATTTTTTTGGATACGATTGCTTAACAAGGATTTCTATACACTAGTTGAATTCTAGTTTAAAAAGATTTGAACCACATTTCCATAGATAAAAATATATAATTCTTGAGGACCTAACTCTTCCAAATCTTCACTGAACTGGCATGATTGATTCAACGTTTTATACATGTTGAAAGTACCAACATCTTTGTCATATTCATCGATATCCTGTTCACTTTCCTCGTCCTCCACCTCATCATCATCATCAGAATCTGATCTTGGATAGAAATATTCGTTTAATGATCCTGATGTAGGAATAAAGGATCTAACTTGATGTTGTGATACTTTTTGAATAGCAGATCCACCAACAGATGATACTGATTTTTGATTAGTTTGCTGTTCAATGTCACTCAAACTTTGAACTTGTTTACTTATCTGGCGTTGGCGTCTACTATTGAATTCCTCAATTATACCATCTATATCACCATTTGAGGCATAAGTCGAGGTTGCACCATGGTCATAAAGTATAATTTTTCCAATTTTATATATGGTTGAAGATTTTGATTCCTCATTTTCTATTCTGTTTTCCTGTGAATCCTTTTGTCTCATAGTTAGTATTGTTTATGATATTTGATCTTGTATTTGATTTTGTTAATTAAGAAATCATATAAAGTTGATGAAGAATAAGATTAAGAATAAGATTAAGAATAAGAATAAGAAGAAGAAGAAGAAAAAGAAGAAGAAAAAGAAGAAGAAAATATTAAAATAAATTGGTTGGAGGCTTGTCATTATAGCTTTTTAAATGTTTTTTTAAAGTGGTTAAATTTAGCATGAGGGGGCAGATAATTTTACAAAGGATAAATTATGATTTACTGATGCTCTTATGGTGTATATACATGAACTATAATCTAAGAATAGTTAATAAGCTAAATTAAGAAATTAAACCGTAGAAGAATTGATTCGCCTCAAAAAAAGTTTACTAGATGGACATTGAACTTGGGCCATTGTCATAAAGCATAGATTACTATTTATAATATTGTATTGCCTGGCTTTATAATTTTATTTAGAAGATTTTTTATTAGTATATATAAAAGTGTATTCCTGAAAAAGTATGTAGAATAGAAATTTGGGCTATAACAACCTGCTTTTTAGTTAAGCAACAGAAATTAGTAAGGAAATAAAGAAACATTAAATAACATTAATCAAAGTAATAAAAATGGTATAGGTGGAATAAAATTTCAATTGAAAACAACGACGACAAATAAAACCAATCAACAAAGAATCATAAGTGAAATTAAATTTTAAATGATAGTTAAATTATTTCCACATCATATTTAGCTTGACAATAATTTGAGATAGGCTTGATAAGAATTGATCAAAAATATTTCCATTTATTATACTTATTTCTTTTATCAATAATCAATTTCTAATCTTTGCTTTCAAAGGATATCAGATTACCAACAACATACTGTTCTAAATTGAAGTGTAGATTGTCACTAACAATAAGAAAATTGTTTGAAGTGTTCTAATATAATCTAATGAGACTATTGATGAAGGAAGGCTGTGAGATGATACAAATAATTTTGATGAATTCAATCGACTAATTAATAGACCGAGTAAAATTACACTTGAACTTTACAGTAATCATGGATTATAATAGGAAGACATATCATTAAAAAATTGGTCTGTTTCTCTTGTAATATGATTATTTTCCCCATTATTGTTTGGACCATTTATATTATTTATTCTTGCTCTTTCTTCTTCTTCTTCTCCTTCTTGTTGTCTTATAAATTGAATATTTTCAACAACTAAATCTGGAAATATATCTTTGAAGATTGGGTTATTATCATTATTCCATTTTTTACTTTCCTTAGCCAATTGTTTCTTTGTGCTATCATCAGTAACTATGGAACCAGTGGTAGGTTCATTATCTGTCATAAAACTTAAAAACCCAAGTAGCATAGATGGCACTTTCCACGCAGGAGTCCAATCATCAGGATGATAGTCTGTCATAGACAAACACAATGTCGTATTACAGGCAAATCTACCGTTTGGAGTAATAATTGAAATCGAAGGTGGTCCTAATGGAAATATAATAGGAAATAACATAATACCATGATATTGACCCTGACTAAATGGTGTATTTTCAGGCCCAGTTATTACGAAGTGCCATTCTAGAATGTTATCTTCCTTTGGTTTAGCTATGATATACGGAGGTGGATCATTAAGAATATTTCTTATTTCTGTGGCAAGTCGCTTTTGTGTTAATGGTGATAACATGATAATTATGATTTAGCTGAATTGTTATAGAGAAGAAGAAAACTTCTTGGAATAAGTTGTTTTATAACTGATGCTATTTTTAGCTTATCAGAAAAAAAAAAGAATCACTCAAACTAATCCCAATGCAGTCAGTATACATCAATTCTACTTCTACTGGTTAAAATGAACTATCAGTCGTATCCTAGTCATTCTAATTAAACCAACTTTTTTCATGGATCATAAGCAATTCACAAAGCTAGTGAATTGATTTTATTAATTCCAGAGTGAGAAATGGTGTATTGAATTTATAATAGAACTTTAAACAATTTTTGTCCTTTCAATTGATTTTGCTTTACAATTAGTTAAAATTCAATTTAAAAGATTATGTATTAACGTGTAAAAAAATATCTTACTCACAAGGAATGTAGAACAGAAGCTTAGGGTATAACATCCTGCTGTTAATCTAAGTAACAGAAATAACTAAGTAAATAAAGAAGCATCAACGTACTAAAAGAGTCAAATAACATAAAACATATTGATAAAAAGGGTAGAACTCAAATGAAATATCAATTGAAAATAACCACGAAAACTAAATTCAACTAACAAATAATAGTAAATAAAAATGTTAGCTTTAGTTAAAGGGTGTATTCTGCCAAGCGACGTTTATGTATATTATTTCACTAGAGTCTGAACTAGGTTTATAATCCTTGTCATAGCTTAAATCGCTAACTTGTTCAAAATTATTTTGATTAGTTGATAAATTTGGATCCAAACAACTAGTATTAAAGGTGACTCCATTACCAACATCTTGAGTGAAATTTGCATTAAATATAAGACTTTGAGTTGATATAGCTGGATTCTGTACATCATCAGCAAAATAAGTTTTACTAACATTGGTATCGGAGTTATGTAGATGGGCTGCATTATCATCTAATTTTGATTCAATATTATTCTGATTAAGGTTACTATTCAAATTGAAAGGAGGAGTATTTTGGTTAATATCATCATTAGTAAGAGTATTTTGAAACAGTCTTTCAATATATTTGCTACCACCTTTACAATTTTCGTATAGTTTAGCCTCTTTAACATGATTTGTCTTCACCTTTTCAACGTCAATGGGGTTTGATCTTTTCATTTGAGAACTACTGCCCGTCAAATTAGTTTCCTGTGGTTGATCAGTAGCTGAATGATGTTGCATAAAATATGAAGAACAATCTTGAAACGAATCGGATTCTCGATTATTTCTTTGAGAAATTTCGACTTGTGGAACTGATTGAATATTCCTCTGTAATACATTAAACCGTGTTATATCAAGTGTCTTTTCATTTTCTGGACTGAGATTAATCTGAGTGGGTTTAGGATCTTGGTGAGTTTTATCATTGCAAAGTTGATTCAGTTTATCGTTGGTCGATTTTTCGATTTTCTCTCCTGCTTCAGTTATTAACTTATTCTTAAGTGATTGCAATTGACTAATTGCTTCATCAATCATATGATTTGAAGTGACGAGACTAGTGATTTTACCAAATTCATCTTTTACAATCACTGCTAGTTCAGTATTACAATGAGTATTTAAAGCTCTGGCTTTTTTTATGATTCCGCCAGTTCTTTTTCTGTTACTGTTCTTTCTTTTTTGACCATCTTGAGTTAAACCTTCAAGCTTATGCAGACCTCGGTTGCGTTGACCCTTATTAGTAGTGTTACTCATTTGAATCAGTTGAAAAGGACGAATCTTTGATTATAAAAACTAACTTTTAATGATAATTAAAAAGAATTGGTAGAAGATGAAAGAGGGAAACTTCAATCTTTATTAATTTTGAAGTTTCTAATTTAAGCCAAATTACACAAAACCAAACAGAATCTGTTTTACGTTCGTTTTTAGAAGTTTAAAATTCCATGGCTTAAAACTTGCGCTTTGTAAGACTCGATAGAGTAGGATTATATGCCCCCTTCTATCATATGACATATATCACGCCTACTTTTATTTTTATAAGCTAAGAGAACTATAAAAATGAAGTGCGTATAGACGAACTAAATGCTAGGTAAAACTCATATATTTGGGTGAATAAAACTTTGTTTGTAGATATCGAAGTAGAAAAGGATACCTGTGGTTGTAACTTAGGTAGTAAGCTGTGTTAAAATACGATACCAAATTTTGTAATTCTTTGGCGGTTAGGGGATCCCCGGCTTGTAGGTAATTGGTTAAAACAGACAGTCGTCAGGCATATAAGAGTCACGAGCTTTAATCATATGATAAGAATTCGTAAGTCGCTAAATACGAATGGCTGTTAAACAACGTTGGTTTTAAGGATTAAGTTTGGAGAAAATATAATTACAAATGAATTGGTAATTCATTTATAAGATTGAAAATTGGAGTAATTCAAAAGTCCTTGTTTTTGGAAAACTAATAAAAACTAAATATCCCTTGAAAAGATTTCATAAAAGAAGTTGTAGAACTAACGCTTTCTTATATTATTTTATATATAATTAATTCTAATTATTTTTAATAATAAGTCAAGTGATTCTAACTACTGCAGATTGTGATCATTGGTAAGGCTGACTTAATTCTACAAACATTATATTAGTTGAAACTAGTACACTACTATTTATATCTACATCCCGAGACAATAGCTTTACAGCAATTTTAGCCTTGTCATTATATTAATCATAATAAGTGTTTGAATCAAACTATAGTAAGATAATTAAACAAATTTACATTTATTAAAATCTGTATACTTTGCAAACAATAGAATTCTTTCTCTGAATGAAATCATATTGTATTAATTTATATAAAAAGCCGCTAATGAAATAAGTCCCCGAAATTATTAACCAATTACATGGATGGAGATTGGATAATTGAAGTATTTATACAATACGGTGACATTGGAAGCATGTACTTACGACGGATCATAGTAGTCAGATAAATCTTGTAATGGATGTGCTGGAGAGTGCAGTCTACTATGTATAACATCGGTGGCTAATTCATCTATTTCATAGGAGGGAAACCAATATTCATGCAATATTTCTTCAATAGGACAGTTTGAAATAACATCAAAAGTACCATCTTCACGACTTAATAATGCACCAATTTTATACCCTGTTAACAAACTTAGAATATGAACTTTTCCAAGACAAAATTGTCTTCTCACTCTGCAAAGATGTCTCCTCGATCTATCATTCCAGGAAAGTTGGTCGCTATCAATTTCAGAATCACTAATAGAATTAATACTCATACAATACATCAATATAATTGAATCTATATCCATTGATCCTTCAACGACTATTTCATTATTTTCTTTAATGACTATAACCCCATATTGATTATCAATCAATGTCTGCATTGTTGTTAAGGTTTGAAGCAAACTTTGAAATATTTTGTTAAAAATAATGTTTCGTAAAAATGGATTGTATTCGGTAAAACTTGCAGATTGTTCCATTTTTGTCGTTAACGTTTTAAAATTTTAATTTTTTTAAGGGGGAGTTAAAAAATTTATATAATAAAAATTTCGGAAAGATTGACATTTTTTTTTCGGCACAATTTTTATTTTTGTTCGTATATTACATTTGTTTTCTAAATTTACAGTTTTGAATCTCATTAGTGAATGGTCGCTATTGCTAAATCCCTTTTGATTATATTTTGTGGTTTGTTCCTGCATCTGTCTACATATTTAGTTTGTTGCAAAACAGAATATAACTGTCTAATTACAATACCGGAAACGACATTCTTTGATTGTTTGACCTAATGAAAGCAATAATAGCATTTAGTTTCTCTTATTATTCCTTTTTCTAACAGTTAACAAACACTCATGGAATTATTCGTATAATTCTGACTACGAAATAATAGGTCTTAATAGGTCTAACATCATGATGTGGTTGATAAAATTGAAAAGGTAAACCGAAATATCTTTAAATTATTTAAACTTATTAGTATTTTCGGGGTTGGGCTATGTTTAAAGCATGGCGAGAAACATCATTACTTTGGATTTTTGGATTTTACTATTGTATATTTAAAAATATTATAACACGACTCGCTTAGTTGACTGACAGAAACATTGAGAATTAAATTAAAAACAAATTAAACCAAAACTAAAATAACAATAAATCAAATTAACCAAAATTCTTTCTAGATTTCTAGAACTTTACTTTCAAAAGTAGCTGCATTAATATATTCTAAGAAGGCCTCCCTTTGATCATTTGTTAGATCTTTAAAATTAAAATGGATCTCTGGTGATAGCTGTTCCCAAAAAAAAGACGCCGACTCTTCATAAATTATAATACCTTTTGGATCTTCATGTAACACATCTGACAGCTTTTCTTGACGAATGTCCAAATTTCCGTGCGGATTATGCTCTTCATGCTGGTTCGAGATATCTGCTTGTTCAAGTGTACTATTATTGTCATCGAATTCTTCTTGGTAGTCCCTATTAGAATCTATCTCAGATATATCAGTATTACCACCCCTGCCACCGCCACTAACTCCTGCAAACCAATCTGATAAATCATCATCATAAGAAGCTGCATCTTGTTTGATGCTATCATTGATATCATTTGCAGTATTGGGTGTTTCATTTTGATCAATTACTTCCACGGTACCAGAACTGTTAAGAAAATTGGAATTATCATTAGTATTTGTACTAATATTACTTGTATTATTGGTTTCAGAAGTATTTTCAACAGCTCTAATATTATCAGCTGTAACATCACTAGTATTGTGTTTTTCAAATTGAGAAGAACTAAATTCAGTTAAATTTTGACTTAAATTTTGTGATTCACTTTGAGATTCACTTCCAACCTGAATTTTAATCCTATGAAGTTGCTTTGCAACAGCAGCTTGTAATCTTTGTAATTCTGATTTAACAAAATTTCCCTGCTCTCCTGATTTAGAATAATAAGTAATAAGCTTTCCTTGTTTGTAAATTTTTACAGTAACACTCAATCCAATTATTATTGCTAATTGTTTAGCTCTTTTAAGTAACCCAACTTTACTAGTTTCTCCACTTTTCTTTCTCTCTTTTGGATCTTTTATGAACTTTAGAGCCCGTGCTGTTCTATTTCCTTTTCTATCTTCGTCTAATGGTGAATGTTCCTCTGAATCAGAGCTATCTTCTAATGTTTCAACTCTTTTATCCAAAATTGAACCATTATTTTCCCTAGTATCAGTGTCTAGAGATTCACGAGAAATTTTTAATTCGTGTAGAATTATATTATGATAAGCTATAATAACGTCAATGAAATAACCATTATATGTAGCACATTCGATTTGCTTGTTGAAGAGAGTTGGGAACCAGTTTCTTAAATAACTGATTCGTTTATCTTTACATCTATTATACTCTTCTGGAACAGTTTGTTTTCCCATGTTTGACTGTGTGATGATTGTTTGAATTGATTAGTGGTAAAACAAGAAAATTTAAATTTATTTATATTTTTTTTTTAATCACTTTTTTTTTAAATTTAGGATTATTTTTTAATCATCTTTTTTTTAAAAAAATTATTAAGAGTTTTGATTTTTATGGGAGAACGAAAAGATAAAATTTGATACTATTAGGGTGTTAAACGTAATGCTATGGAATAAAATATCTAACAGATTACTGGTGGATTATCGTTTACTTGAAGAAAACAATTGATTAGATATCAATGTTTTTGTGTGAATTGGTATTAATTCAGATTTATATATATTAAAATCTATTTAATCATTTACCAATGTTAGGTTCTCCGTTGACCAAGAATTTCTCAACTCCATTTATAATAAAGACCTATGAATTGGACTAGTGACAGAAGAATCATTGTAAACAATCATTTGCCCAAAAACATTGCAGTCCTTTTATTTGGCTCTCAGTTTAGAAAATAAGACCAAGACATATCAAAATCTAATTAATTAGACCTAATGAAACCGCTTAAGCTTGGTCCATGAAAATTATGAAAGTATCAATTTTACAACCATTGAATTCATTGAGGTGATTGTTTTGTTTGCTAGGTCTAAATGATGCTCTCAGACTAATATTATTTTTTAGTAACTCATTTTAATTCTGTTTATCAGATCAGCCTCCAGATCCGTTTCAAGATCTGGTAATCTCTAAATGCTAAAGATGTATGTTTGTGATATGAAATTGAAATCTGATGAAGTTTGAGTGTCAATTTCTTCCTCTCTTGTTATATTGACTGTGTACTGTAATCTCATTAGTAAATTCAACAGCACTAATATTTGAACCAATTCTTTAAATTTTCTATTGAGTTCTTGATTTCTGACAGTTTTATCCTTAACGATAAGTTGTTCTTCCATTGCTGGGGGTATGATTTGATAGATGATTAGCAAATATACAAGTTAGATATAGTCATGAATGTAATATAATTTTGATTCTAATGTTATTCTTGTATTGTGTTGTGTCGGTTCGTATGTCAGAAAATTTTAATTGGTCACATAAATAACAGTTGATGAAATGTATAGCAATATATATTAAAAAATGTACTAAAAATTTAATTATTTAAACAATTTTAATGCAACAAAGATTTGAAATAATAAATGAAAGATTTGTTAATGAATCAGGATTGAAGATGTATATGTGTATTCCGCTCCCAAGATGATCTGTATTTTTATTACCTGTGATAACTAAAGTGAATAATATGAGCCTGAATCAAGATCTGAACTAAATTGGGAAAGATCTTCATAACTTTGGATATTAGAATTATAATCTATCTCGTAAATACCAACATCTGCAGTAATGATATTATTTGTTTCAGATAATAATTTTGTTCTTTTCAGTTCTTCTTTTTCTTCTTCTTCTTATTGGCTTATAAATTGACTGTTTTCAATTATTAAATCAGGGAACAAATTTTTGAATCTGGGATTTTCAGTCATATTCCATTTCCTACTATTTCTGGCCAAACTTTTCTTTTCACTATTATTTGTATTGATTGATCCTATTATAGGTTTATCACCAGTCATATGAGCCAACAAATCTAATAAAATCGATTCCACATTCCAAATCGGAAGCCAATTTTGAGGATAAAGATTCGTCATACCTAAACTAGTATTGCAAACAAATCTACCATTGGGTGTAACAATTATAATTGATGGTGGCAGCAATGGGTAATCTTTAGGGAAACGCAATATACCATGATATTGTCCTTGATCATACGGAGTATCTTCTGGTCCAGTTAATACATAATGCCATTCCAATATATTTCCTTTACTTGGTTTAGCTAAAATATAAGGTGGAGGACTATCTTGCATCCTTTTAAATTCTTTAGTTAATCTTTTATGAGATGTTCTGTATGTCAACATGATTGTATTATCAATAAGGGGGAGTTAATCGGTTTGTATTAGTTGATACTATTGAATAGTTTTGTTGAAATTATTAAATATTCGTAATAAGAAAAAATTGCAATTTATCCCAACTTTATAGCTCAAACTCTCTAAATTTAGCCCGGTCGTGCGAATGGTTAATTGTCTTACCAACTCTGTCCTATTAGACGAGGGCATAAAAAGACGTGATCCTATTTTATCGACTTCTGTAGTTTATATTCTTTATAGCTTGTTCTAAAAGCTTTCAATTGAATTTAAATTACTTCCGTAGACAACTTGTTTTTGTATCTAAATTTTATTCCGTTTTGTGTACTGGTTTGGTTCTTTTCTAGTTGCAAAATATTTTATCTGACTTTCCTAATTGGGAAGCTGGATACGACATTTTTAAAGTCTTTTTTTTGTTGGTTGGTTGGTTGGTGGTTTATATGTGTCTTTGCTAGCTTCAGACTCTGAATATTCTTATAATTAGTGTTTTAAATTTTTTAAATTTGTAGATATTTTGTAGAAGGTTTTTCTGATTTGTTAGTTTATTTATATTGTTATTATGTAGTTAAGAACATTATATACTATTATACACCAACAATAAAAGAGATATCAACAAACAAAATATAGTGAATTAATTTGAAAAACCAAAATCCCAGCTGTATTTACCTAAAGTATTAAAGAAAAGAAATTAAAACTGTAAAATTGAGATACCAATAAATTAAATTAACCTAAATTCTTTATAGATTTCTAGAACTGTTACTTTCAAAAGTAGCTGCATTAATATTTTCTAAGAAAGCCTCCCTTTCATCATTTGTTAGATATTTAAAATGGATCTTTGGTGAAAGCTGTTCCCCAAAAAAAGACCCCGACTCTTCATAAATTATAATACCTTTTGGATCTTCATGTAACACATCTGACAGCTTTTCTTGACGAATGTCTAAATTTCCGTGTGGATTATGTTCTTCATACTGGTTCGAGATAGCTGCTTGTTCAAGTGTATTATTATTGTCATCGAATTCTTCTTGGTCGTCCCTATTAGAATCTATTTCAGATATATCAGTATTACTACCTCTACTACCGCCTTTAAACCAATTTGATAAATCAAGAAAAGGAGATGCTGCATCTTGTTTGATGCTATCATTGATATCATTTGCAGTATTGGGTGTTTCATCTTGATCAATTACTTCCACGATACCAGAACCGTTAATAAAATTGGAATTATTATTAGTATTTGTACTAATATTAGTTGTATTTTTGGTTTCATCAGGAGTCTCGACGGCTCTAACATCACCAGCTGTAACATCGACAGTATTTTGATTTTCATATTGAGAAGAACTAAATTCAACTAAATTTTGACTTGAGTTTTGTGATTCACTTTGAGATTCACTTCCAACCTGAATTTTAATCCTATGAAGTTGATTTGCAACAGCAGCTTGTAATCTTTGTAATTCTTAACAAAATTTCCCTGCTCTCCCGATTTAAAATAAGAAGTAATAAGCTTTCCCTGTTTGTAAATTTTTACAGTAACACTCAATCCAAATAATATTGCCAATTCTTCCGACTTTTTTAGTAAATTATCTTTACTACGTCCGCCGTATAACTTTTGTTTTGCAGGATCTTGTATATACTGAAGTGGAAGTTTGTTTTTGTTTCCATTTCTTTCTCTACCTAATGATGATTGTTCTTCTAAACCTTCTTCATTGGCACTTTCTTCTGATAGATCAATTATTTCATGAAGCATTGAACCAGTAGGGGTAAACGTGTTGTCAGCAAGATATTCTCGAGACAGTTGTAATTCATGAAGAATTGTTCCATGATAAGATATTAAGACCTTTATTAAATATGCACTGTAAGTCGCACATTCAATTGACTTGTTGAAGAGAGTGGGGTACCTGTAAGCAAAACATTTGAGTCTAGCACCATCATTGTAGATATAATCTATTAAGATCCTGTTTCTAGGCATGATTGATTGTGTTATAATGAGTTGTTGTTATGATTAATTTATTGTAAAACCAGGAATTTTAGAAGTTTTTAAAATGATTTTTGAGTTTTTTTAGTCACCCTCTTTTTTTTTGTTTTTTTTAAATTTAGAAATATTTTTTAAATTTGGTTTTGGTGTTTTTAATTTTATGGTGAGTACCACTAAATTCAAAGATCAAATAAGTTTCATATGATCAACTACGACAGATGACTGGAGGATTATAGTTTAATTTAATGAGTCAATATATATATAAGTTGAGAATGAATTTGTGCCACTTCACATAAACGTATCAGATTTACCTATATTAATATCTATTTGCTTATTAAATAATTAAACTATGGTAATGTAAGGGCCTTTGTGGAGTAACCAATTCTTTCTTATCTTTATTATTTGTTGGTGGAGCTCCTACTAATTGGTTTGATGAACGTAGATACAACATGTTGTGATTGAGTAAGTTCATTCTATCTTGTTTAACTATAGTAATACAGAATGTGATTCATTGGACCTGATAAAATCATATAAGCTTTACCCATGAAAATCATGCACGTAGAAATTTGAAAACCTGTAATTGAATACGTTGAGATCATCCATAACACCGAATTCTTATTGAAGCTCAATGACAGTAAATGAAGTGTTTAACAATATTTAATGAAAATTGAAAGAAATTGCTTCTTTCTTTTTGCATATTTAACATTACTCAAGTTAATGAATCCCTTGGAAATTGAATGAGAATAAGTTTTGAATTTGGATTTACATAGATGCTCTTTTGATAGACTTAAATCATTGTATTTATATATAATGTAACAAAGAATTAAAATAATAAGTGAAACAATTGTCAGGGAAAAGTATACCTGATTTCTATTTCCCAATCAAATATAAACACAATATATTTTGTTTACCTTCCATATTTAAATTGGATAATCTGAAACAGAATCTAAATCTAAACTATATGGTTCAAACATTATGGTGAAAACACTACTGGTATTTTCGTCTTCAACGTTTTCTTCCACAAAATCAGTATTCTGGGTATCAATTTGAGAATTCTCAATAAGTGGATACAATAAATGACTCGAAATACTTGGTGCTGGTCCTTGAACTTTTTGATGATAGTCATCATCTGGAAAGATTAAATCCAAATTTATAGATGAGTGCAGTATAACATATTTTTGCTGGATTTGTGGTGGTGTAAGTGGTGGTGGAAGTGGTGATGGAAGTGAAGTTGAAGGTTTCCTGTTTTCTAAATAGTAATGTAGAATTGGAGTTAGATTAGAGGAAGGATAAGTTTCAAGTTTACCATCTTCTTTAACAATGACTACTGCAACTTTACTTTTCGTCAACACTGAGAGTTCATATGCTTTATTAAAGAGTCCCTTAATCCTCTTTTTGAAAGTTTGTGCTCTCCGTGCTAGTTTTGCAATAAGTTTTATTTCTATCTTATTTTGTCCCATTGCTTTTAATAGATATTGGGATATTGATATATTTGAGAAAGGAAAACTAATTTAATGTGAATAGATTAACAGTCTTACGGTACGTTATTTATACTCCAAAAATGAAAAAGCTCTAAATTTAGGATTTGGCAAATCAAGTCAAGTTTTTAACTTATGCTAAATTCGATCTACAAAATATTTATTTTGTTGAGAATCGCTTATAACCGAAAAAGGAAAATCCGTAGATAAAGGGCTTACGCAATCGAGAAGCGAATTACTACCGATCAGTCGTTTTGATGTTGATACAGGCACTTTAATAAAAGCTATCTATAATATCATTAATACTTAGTGTATTGTTATATAGTTATATTGTAAATATATAAAATTGACTCTAATTGGTCTACCAGCTATGGAAACCATAAATAAAAGTGGGTATATATTCTAAGTCTGCATTTTCCATATCTTCCAGATTGACTAATTGATTATCATTTATAAATCTATTTTCATCATCAAAGTCGTCGTAATCATCATTATCATCATTATCGTCATATTCATCTTCGGGATCTGATACAGGAATTGATTGGTCTGGATTCAATTGAATATTTGGTGGTTGTCTTGTTGGGAGTATAACTTGATTGTTTTCATTACCAGAAGATGTTTTCATGTGCTAACGTATCATTGTTAATTTCACTTTGATCTTGAACATGTACATGCATCTGATTCTCTCTGAGTCTCCTGCAACATTCTTCGATTATTTGATCCAATGTACCATTCATAGATGATGAAATTACCATACCATTAACAGGGAGTAGGATTAATAAAAGTCGAGCTCCTGTCGATGTACTGGATTCCTGGTCTTCATCAGTATCTTCAGGATCGTCATTGTTGGTTCCATATGAATCCATGATGATAGTTGGTTGGATTATTTTGCTGTAGTGTGTTAAAGAAGAAAGAGTTTTTAAAGTTAGTGGTAAAAAAAAAAAAAGATGATCTCTTTTGTGTGCATGTTAAATTTAGAAAAAAAGGATTTGGAAGATATGTGGACAATATTATGTGCGTGCATTCTTTAGTTGCTTTCTAGTTATATATAATGACTTACTACAAACAGAGAATAATCTTTTAGTATAATTACACTTAATAATGAAATAAAAGTAAGATAAATGAACTGAAATCAGATCTCGATGTATAGATATAAACTATGGAAGAAATAAAAGACAAATTAAAAAGGTTGAACAATAATAACAAAACCCAAGCATACCCTAGCCCAAATTCTTTATTTAGTCAGTTAACATTGCTAAGCTCTATGAAGCTGAGGTAAGAGATAAGTATCAATGCTATCATCTTCTTGAAAAGGAAGATCTGGAACTTCTTCCGATGGTTTAACAAATTGTATTTCATCATATATAGGTTTTTCAGTATTTTGATAAATATCATCAAATATAGTTTCTTCAATATTTTCAAAATATGGTTTTTCAATATCTTGTAAAACAATATCGTACAATTGAAAATAATCTTCATCAAAAGAAGATGATATATGCTTATCATTCAACTTTTCTTCTTTAATAATATGTTCATCATCTAGTTCTTCTTTTCTATCTTGATCGAATTTAGAATCAGTTTGATGATGAACATCAGAATCTCCACCAGGTAAATAGAGATTTGATAAATCACTAAAAAATGAACCGTCTTGTATAGCACTAGTTAATGTCTTTGAATCTATTTCTTTTTTTTCCTTGGCTTTAAGAGATTCATAAATGTAAGAATCAATCATATCCTTTGAAGAAAAATAATAATCAAACTTACCCCATTCATCTTTAATAACTAAACCAATCTCTGCATTGCAATATTCGTTTAATTGCTTACATTTGGCAACTAAACCTGCGGATCTTTTCTTATAGCTGATTCTTCTTTTTTGGTTGTTTGTAATAAATCCATTAAGCTTCTTCTGTCCCATGATGTTTAATTAAATACTTTTGGACAAACTGGATGTCTAGTTCAAATTATATGGTGTATATAAAAAGAAGAAGAAAGACTTAAATTTACAAATTAAATTTCTCTTTTTTTTAATTATCATTCCTAAATTTAGGATTGTTACACAAAACCAAAAAATATCATCTTTTATTTTTTAAGGAGTTTTTTTTAACACTTTACTTTATATTTTTATAAGAATTACTTAAATCTACAATTATATCTAGAAAACTATAATAAACAATATGGTGATACGAATGATAGTAAGCCAATCATTCGTAAAATGATAGTAAGCCAATCATTCGTATCATCATAAAACCAAAGACAAACAAAAAACCTGCAAGATAAGATCTTGACTTTTACCCAATAACCTAAAAAAATCCCAAACTATTTTCCCAATCAATCTGAATCAAAGATTGAACCAACCAATCAATTCATCATACTACTTTACCATTAAAGTTCATGTGGATCCTCTCAAAATAAAGCCCTTCTGCATTATTAGATGCCGGTAATTTTAATATTTCGCTATCATCAAAATGTGATTTCTCTTCCATTTCGTTTTTATTTACTGATTCCAAATCGAACTTAAACATTTGATCAAACATCTCATTAGCTTTCTTTATGGATTCAGAATCTAATGATCTATTAAAATTGTTAAATTGGGTGGTGGTATCAATGAATTTAGCTAAGTCGTTAAAATCTGTAGATGGAGAAAATACACCTTGATTGGTATTTCCAGTGTCAGTTTCCATATCATTTTCCATTTCACCTTCGATATCAGCTTCATCATCAGCATCTTCGATTTCCTCGTCTTCAATGGCAAAAGCGACGGTGGCAGCAGTAGCAGCAATGGAATCAATAGCATCTTCATCAACACCATCATCATCATTATCAGAACTTTCAACTTCAGAAGCTTCAGCTTCAGATTCGATTTCATCATTAGAATCATCCTCAATCTTAACTTCTGAAGTTCTGATTTCAGTTTGAATACCGGTTCTTGTCATATAATCTTCTAATATAGATTTCAAATTACCTGAAGTATAAGTATGAACATCGTTTTCATCATCACCTAACACTATGATTGCAATTTTTTTCCCAGTTAAAATAGATAATTCCCTAGCCTTTTTAAATAAACCATTACTTCTTTTACCAAAGCAAACTTTTCTCTTTTTAGAATCTACGATTTTTTTAATTTCAATCTTAACTCGACCCATTGGTTATGTATTATATTATATTGTATTATTTGAATTGATGTTTTATGATAAAAAAAAGTCATAACAATTCTCTCTTCATTAAGGAATATTAACTCCTTTATATATTGATATCGTACCTAGTAACTAATTTTTGTGTGAATAAAAGTATCCCTAAAAAATAAAGTTTCGGCCAAAAAGAGGTCAATTTTCATATACGTACCAATCTGACTTCTGGCTGGAAAAGGCTGAACACCATAGATAAATGGTTATTAAATTTAAGTGACTTCTAGTGACTCTTTTTTCTAATTTCAAGATATTTGTATGGATCCCAAATTGGATTTAGCGTATATTTAGGTGAGATAGCGGGGTCACACTAACAAAAAGTTGGCAACGTTTAAATGTAAAAGATCAATTCAGTTTGCATGGCATCGGTTAATAAGATGTTCATTTAACAAGCTCAATTGAAGACCTTTCAATTCAATTGCCATAAAATAGTCGTTAGACTTTGCAATTGACTTCCATTAATAGCATACAATATTGAACAGGCGGTTATACCATCAGTCAAAAATCCTGTCTCTCTCCTCATTAACTGATTATCCAACCTTATTTTTTATCGGTGTGTGGTTTTAGGCATGCCTTTTTTAATTTTGTTCACTGGAGGATAGTGGCTATGGTGCGGACTTGATGATAATGTGTGTACTCGTAATTTATTTTTTTACGAGATTTTGATTGTTTAAATCATAGTGGATAACAATTACCGGTCTGTTCTTTTAATGATAGAAACATTCGGTTAAAAGGTTTCATACAAGGTCATGTATATATGATCAATTGTTGTTTGATAATGGTTTGAAGTTATCAAATCACATCATAAGTAGATCCACGTTGATTAATCAATGATGGTGAATCTATCTAAATGATCATTTTGTTCGCACACCCCATATCTCAAAAATTGAAAAATTAATGACTAATTTATTGTAGTAGAGTTTTCTCTTTTTACATTGATTTAATTACAATTAATGTGAAGTTTATGGTCTACTTGGTTATCATTGGAAAGAATATAACTCGGGACTTAACTGAGTTTTACTTCAATTAATTGAAATTTATCTGTAGTAATTTAACTCAAAATTGAATTAAGAAGGTAGAATGTAAATCAATTGGTTCGATTGGGCCCGATATGTCCGACTTTTGCTCAATATTAGCTTTAACAACTAGATTATATCATTATTGTAAGTCTTTATATAACTACATTACTGAATTTTCTTCAATTTAAACACTTTATCTTGTTGCAATTCCTTATTAAAATTTTAATTCCCACTAATTCTTCACTCGCAGATTTCTTCTCTCTAACTTTACCGTCATGAAATGTTAGTAAAAACAATCCTAAGTCTACTATATGCCGGAACTTTCCTTCACTATATAAATATAACGTAGCAGCGGTTGTACAATCTACATCTCTAAAAAGGCAATTCGTTGTTGAAGTCAATAGTATCATCTGGTATTGAACTTGCCAGTAGATAGATATATATATAAGATTCCACCCTTGCTTTTATCAATTCACATCATACCTACTCGCAACAACCATGAATTAAAAATGAGTTAAAAATCAGAAACATAACATACCAAAATAAAAAATTGCAGCCACTTGTAGCTAGGGTTAACTAACAAAGGACCATTGGCACCGACTCCGGCAACCTATGTCAAGCCATTTGATATATTGTTGTGTTGTGTTGTGTTGTGTTGTGTTGTTTAATATTGTGTTGTGTTACTTTCATTTGTGGTCGCGTGTGGTGTAAAATTGTTGTGGTTGCGTTTGATTCCGTGATTTTCCGCAGTTTGCAGCCTTACATACAAACAAATAAAAAAGAAAAAGCTTTTCAGTTTTGGGGTTGGCAATAATAAAAAAAAAAGTATAAAGACGTTACTGGTTTGAAGAAGGTTAGAGTTGACATGGTGTGCTGAGCCATCAAGAGAGGTAACTCCTCGCTACTAACAAAACAGGGATAAGCAACACCATTATTAGAAAGACCAAACTTTTTCTGGTTTTGATAATTGTTCAACCCTAATTAAAAAGCTAACCGAATATCAGGAACGATGAACCAAAGTGGCTAGTTCAAATAGGTGTCGTTATTTATTTATATTTTGATACTATTTATTCCGATAATTGCACAATAATAATACATTGCTTAGCGGTTTCACTATTTTTGGTCTATATAGCATTTTTTCTACCCCTCTCTCTAACTCGTCTTGTTTGCTCAAAAGGGTAACGCGTTTGTTTGTTGGAAGAAATCACCCCTCTTTTCTTTTTTTTTGCTGTTGGAAAATATCGGAGTGAAAATTATGAGAAAAAAAAAAAAAGAATAATGAATTTATCCATTTAATTGTTGTCCGGTCGATGATCGGATGTGAGTCAGTTAGTTTAAGAAAAGTAACGTGAGTTTAATTTCGAGGGATTGCGAAAAGGAGGGACTGATATCAGGAGTAACATTAAATCAACATATATAAAGGATATATAAGATTATTAAAGGGGAGGAAAAGGTATATAAGGTTATAGATGTATTCAGCAAACATAATAAGATCATATTCTTCTTTAATTGCATAATATCCAGGGTTTTAATCGAAATTATCGTTGTGAAAAAATTTTCAATCCATAATTGACAGATCGATTTAGGACAAACGGGCCAAATAAGAAACGAGCGAACGAACAAAAAAAAAAAAAAAAAAAAGAAAAAAGTCAAAAATTTCTTTTTTTTTTTTAATTTTAAAATTAATTAATCCACGATGCAGTTAGTTTAATTACTAGAAAATGTCAAGAGATAGTTTAATTGAACCATTGAATATTAGAAGTATAATTAGATAAATGGTGTTGTTGAACATGAGATAATATCGAGATTGACTAAAGTCAATTGGTAAAGTCAATTGGTAACAAATTCGTTTGCAAGTCGAATAATAGATCGGAAACTAACTACCTACACTGATTTGAAGCGAAGTCAAAGTAAATCAAAATGCAACCCAACCCCACCCCGCCAACTGATCTGGTAACTACAACATTCTCTATACACCACATAAACATACAACACAACAATTGATATAAAAGTAAATCTATATATATAGTACCACCAGGTTAAAGTCGGAACAACTTTGATAGTTCAAATTTTTGTGTTAATATTTGATTTCTATGCATCTTTATTTTTCGCTGTACAACTTTCCCTCTATCTCTGTCTGTCTGTCTGTCTGTAACCCACACCACTAGATAGATATACAACAACAAACACCACCACCACGTCTAGACCTTTTTCATGTCTTGGACAATCCAACCTAGCGGAATAAGCTACCGATGGGTAATGATAATGATGGTTAAACTTCATGCACTTTATAACTAACTCCTAAACATTTAACCCTCCCACTATTTAATAAAAGAATGTATATAAAATGAAATGAGCATCCCCCCTCCTCTTCCTTCATTCAACTCCTCTTCTTCTTCTTCTTGTTAGTTTCTTCTAGTTTAAATTGCCTTGATTAAATTAAATTTATTTATTTCAATTTTTAAAATTGATTTGAGTTATTTATTTTTTTTTAATTTATATATACTCTTCTTCTTCTTCTTCTTCTTCTTCTTGTTTGATTTAAGTTTTACTTCTTTGACTAGAAGTTATTCATTATCTATTCATAAATCAGTCATATCCAACTATCATCATTATGTTGAAAGTTATATCTAGATCAAGTGGTACCTCATCATGTACATCCACTAGTTCTAAATTACTCCTATTAAGTCATCGTTATAATTCAACCACCACTCCAAAGAAAACCACCACTTCAATCCACACTCATACCATTAAAACCCCAGTTGGTATCAAAGCTGCAATTGCATCATTAAAACCAAAAACTACCAGATTATCCATTGAAGGACCTATTGAATGTGATTTAGAAGGATTTCAAGTTTTAAATTCTCCTATTTTTAATAAAGGTTCAGCTTTTACCAGAGAAGAAAGAAAAGCCTTTGGTTTAACTGGTCTTTTACCATCTCAAGTTAATACTTTAGATGAACAAGTTGAAAGAGCTTATAGACAATTTTCTTATTTAAAAACTCCATTAGCTAAAAATGATTTCTGTACTTCCATGAGAATTCAAAATAAAGTGCTTTATTATGAATTAGTTAGACGTCATATTAGAGAAATGTTACCTATTATTTATACTCCAACTGAAGGAGATGCCATTGCTGCTTATTCTCATAGATTTAGAAAACCAGAAGGTTGTTTTCTTGATATCACTGATCCTGATTCTATTGATGAAAAATTTGCCATTTATGGTGAAGATAAAGATATCGATTATATCGTCATGAGTGATGGAGAAGGTATTCTTGGTATTGGAGATCAAGGGGTTGGTGGTATTAGAATTGCCATTGCCAAATTGGGTCTTATGACTCTTTGTGCTGGGGTTCATCCTGGTAGAGTTTTACCTATTGTTCTTGATGTCGGTACTAATAATGAAAAATTATTAAATGATGATCTTTATATGGGTAATAAATTCCCTAGAATTAGAGGTGAACAATATTGGGATTTCGTTGATAAAGTTATTTATGGTATTAAAAAGAGATTTCCAAATGCCGTATTACATTATGAAGATTTCGGAGTTTCAACCGGTAGAGATATGTTATATAAATATAGAGAAGTGATTCCATCATTTAATGATGATATTCAAGGTACCGGAGCTGTGGTAATGGCTTCTATCACTGCTGGATTGAAATATACTAATAAGAAATTATTAGAATCTGAAATTTTAATTTATGGTGCTGGATCAGCTGGTTTAGGTATTGCTGATCAAATTGTTAATCATATGGTAAGTCATGGTTCAACTCCAGAACAAGCAAGAGCAAGAATTCATACTATGGATAGAAGAGGTTTAGTTTTAACCTCTCATGATGATGCAAGTCCAGCTCAAAAGAAATATGCTGATAAAGATAGTGATTGGGAAGGGGTTGATACTACTTCATTAGTGGATGTGATTGCTAAAGTTAAACCAACTGTTTTAGTGGGTTGTTCAACTCAAGCTGGTGCTTTCAATGAACAAGTTATTAAGGAAATGTATAAATATAATAAGCAACCAATTGTTTTCCCATTATCCAATCCAACCAGATTACATGAAGCTTTCCCAGTTGATATTATGAGATATACTGATAATAATGCTTTAATTGCTACTGGATCTCCATTCGAACCAGTTGATGGATATTATATTTCTGAAAATAACAATTGTTTTACTTTCCCAGGTATTGGTTTAGGAGCTGTATTATCAAGATGTACCACTATTTCTGATACTATGGTTTCAGCTGCTGTTGATCAATTAGCTTCATTATCACCAAAAATGGAAAATCCAAAGAATGGTTTATTACCAAGATTAGAAGAAATTGATGAAGTCAGTGCTTATGTTGCCACTGCTGTTATTTTACAATCATTAAAGGAAGGTACTGCTAGAATTGAAAGTGAAGAAAGACCTCAAGGTGGATTTGTTGAAGTGCCAAGAGATTTCGATAAATGTCTTAAATGGGTTCAATCACAAATGTGGAAACCAATCTATAGACCATTAGTTAAGGTTCAACATGTTCCTGAAATTCATACTTTCCAACATTAGGTGTTAGTTGGTTAGCCAATCAGTCATTCATTTATTCAACCATTATGTATATTATTATTATTATTATTTTAAGTTAGTTTGATTCTCTTCTTTTTTATTTAACTGTTTTGTTCATTTCTTATAATTCTCTTTATTTTTTGCATATTTTGATAATACTTATACACATATGTTTAGTCTATTCTTATCTATCTAGTTATTTTATACAAGCATTATACAGTTTTTTTTTTATTTATTGATCGATAATAATCAGTAGTTTAATAGATTTTGTTACTTTTTGATATTTTTTGCAACTTTTCATAGAGATTTACTTACAATTTCGTTGAAAACTGATATAAATTACAAAATCCTACATACAAAACGAACCAATTTGAAGGTAAAATACCCTCTAATAACCGTAACAACTACACATTCACACCCAAACATCCAACCTAATCAATTCTAATCATTTTTCAATTCTGTTCTTAATCCCTTTTCCCCAAACTATCCCTATAACCCCTAAAAAAAATATCTTAACCATCCAATAAATTTCCGCTTTTTGATCGCTCTCGGAGCGTTTCATTTTTTTCTGCTCCTGTCTCAACAAAATTTTTTTAACTATGAGAGTGTCGGATTTTGAGGTCTCTCTCTCCAACCAACCAAAAAAATTTCAAAATCGTTCAGAGGTTCATATTAGATATAGAGATCCTTTTATAGTTCAATTGTTAGTATTATACTAGTTCAAACAGCAAAGTAAACGTCATATACAATGTCTGTCGAAGATTTAAAGGCCACCGTTGCCAAATTACAAGCCAGAATCCAACATTTGGAACAACAAGCTGGTATTATTCCAAAAGTCCCAGAATCAATCAGAATGGTATTGATTGGTCCCCCAGGTGCTGGTAAAGGTACTCAAGCTCCAAACTTGAAAGATAAATTCTGTGCTTGTCATTTAGCCACTGGTGATATGTTAAGAGCCCAAGTTGCTGCTAAAACTGCTTTAGGGGTTGAAGCTAAGAAAATTATGGATCAAGGTGGATTAGTTAGTGATGAAATTATGGTTGGTATCATTCAAAATGAATTAGAAAACAATAAAGAATGTGCCAATGGTTTCATTTTAGATGGTTTCCCAAGAACCATTCCTCAAGCTGAAAAATTAGATGCTATGTTACAAAATAGAAAAACTCCATTAGAAAAAGCTGTTGAATTAAAAATTGATGATGAATTATTAGTAGCTAGAATCACTGGTAGATTAGTTCATCCAGCTTCCGGTAGATCTTACCATAAATTATTCAACCCACCAAAGAAATCCATGATTGATGATGTTACTGGTGAACCATTAGTTCAAAGATCTGATGATAATGAAGGTGCCTTAAAGAAAAGATTAGTCACTTATCATAAACAAACTGAACCAATTGTTGATTACTATAGAAAATCTGGTATCTGGAGTGGAATTGATGCTTCTCAAAAACCAACCAAAGTTTGGGCTGATATTTTAAAATGTTTAGGTCAATAAATAAATAAAATTTATTGAGTTGAATTCTTTCGAATAAAAGCTTATGTCTATAGTATAATAAAATATTTATCATTAATGGGGTAACTTCAAAAAATAGTTGGTTGTGTTTCACCAATGTAAAATGTATATTTATGTATTTTGTGTATATGATTATATATCTATTTATTGCACTTAATTCACTTGTAAGATACGAACAAACTTGAATCGAAGAAGAAAATGGGTTAACAATATTAAATTAATCTATTCGTTCATTCATTCATTAATATTAATCTATATACAAAATTATACTCTTTCACGTTTAACTCTTGATTTGGGTAATTCAGCTTCAGGAGTTCTCTTATTAGTTTCATTAAAACAATCAACATGAACAATCTTTCGACTATTTTTACCTTCTCCTGGAACTTTCATACATTTTAACCACACCCAATCTCCACTATCATCATTATAAACAGCTTGAACCGGTAAATGACATACATTACAAGTATTCTTCATATTTGATGATCGAGGCGGAACCTTCACATATTGATTATTAGCAACAATATCTAGTAATTTACTATCATTATCATTGATAGTTTTATTAGTTGAATTCAGACCAGAACTTGAGTTATCACCTTTAGTAGAAAATTCTAATAATTCATCATCTTGGAATTTAACCCATTCAAAATCATCTAAATACCAATTTCTAGATTGAACATTTGATTTATTAGTTGATACTTTCTTATTAACTCTGAAATGCCAATCTAAATGTAGACGCTTCTTAGTGGATCCTTCACTATCGGTAGTGAATCTTTTCCCACAGATTGAACATTTGGATGATTTAGCTTCATATAAAAGATTTAATTCAGTAGATGTGGGTTTATTAGTATTTATAAATGATTGTAAATCACTATTAGCAATTTGATTTGAAATAGTAACCAATCCTTCGAATTTAACTTTTTCAAATTCAGTGATATGTAAACTATTATGAAGATTTGAATTCAAAATATCTTGTAAGATACTTGATGTGGATGATGATGAACCTGATGAAGAAGGAGTTTTAATGGCTGATGGTTTGATATATTTGATTTTGGGGAATTGTAAACTATATACGGGTTTGGAACCTGGAATAGGATCTCTATCAACTTTCACCAATCCTGATTCTATTAAATTATGAAATATAGTTTCTGCTTTATAGCCAGCATTGGGTTGAGGGGTAGATTGACTACTATTAATTTGATTTGACATATCATTTAACGTGGATTGAATGGTGGGTAAATCACCAGGTTGAACAGATCCACTTAAAAGTAATGATCTTAAATTATGAAGAGCTTGAAGCCTATCTTTAGTTTTTGGATCTGGTATTTCACGAAATTTACTATCAAATATCCTTATTAAACCATTTATATCTTCAATCATTTTGGTAGCAGGAGTTGGAGGTGGCTTTACTCCCGACTTTGCCAAATATGCTTCTATCTCACTCAACACACTTCTACCAAACAATGGTAAGGTAGTACCCTTTGCCTTTGTAATTTTCCAATTTTGTAAGACACTTACTAATTTCTTCTTTGTTTGATCATTACTATGTTGATATACTTGAGTGAATAAGTTGGCTAAATGATCTTCAACTAAGATATTATATGGATTCCCTACCGTTTTACAAATTGAATCCAATAAGTATAAAGTATATAACTTTTGTTCAGCTGGAGCAGTTGAAATTCGATGACTGATAGTATCAATGATACCATCGGCAACATCTGAGTTTTCCCTAGCTATAGTGGTTAAATTTTCAATAATAGGACCTGAATTAAACGTCAACTCATTCAAACTTTGAGCGTAATCCTCCAACAACTCAGTCTTCCTTCCACCTGACATGATTGATATGTTCTTGTTACAGCTTTTGATGATTGATTATAAGTTACTTGCCTTCTGCTGCTGTTCTACATTCTTTTCTGCTTTTCTCTGAAAATCCTAAAATCAAAAGGGATTTATATACAGGAAAACCAGACCATGTGACTATTGCCTAATTCGGTAACTAATTTGATGATTTTAAAATTAAGCGCGGTGTGAGTCAAAAATTTTCACTGGAAAGACGAAAAAAAAAATTTATATAAATTGTGGCCTAAGTGGATATATTTCTATTCATTTTAAAATTTTACATTAGTTATTACTTGATAAGCTAGGATCATTATAGATAAATAGACATGTCACCAGCTGCAGCATCATCCGACAAGAAGCAATCTGGTCTTGCCAGAGTTTTAGGTTCAGCCTCTGCTGGTATTTGTGAAATTGCTGTTTTCCATCCTGTTGATACTGTCTCCAAGAGATTGATGTCCAATCATACTAGAGTTGCCAACTTAACTCAATTGAATAGTGTTGTGTTTAGAGAACATGCTGATAAAGTGTTAGGTAAACGTTTATTTACTTTATTCCCAGGTTTGGGTTATGCTGCTGTTTATAAAATTTTACAAAGAGTTTATAAATATGGTGGTCAACCATTTGCTAATGAATTCTTAACTTCTAACTTTAAGGATGATTATTATTCTTATTTCGGTGCTAAGACTGGTAAAGCTTTATTATCTGCCACTGCTGGTTCATTAATTGGTATTGGTGAAGTTGTTTTATTACCATTAGATGTATTAAAGATTAAACGTCAAACAAACCCTGAATCTTTCAAAGGGAGAGGATTCCTTAAAATCATTGCTGATGAAGGGTTTGGATTATATAGAGGTTGGGGTTGGACTGCTGCTAGAAATGCTCCAGGTTCATTTGCTTTATTTGGAGGTAATTCCTTTGCTAAAGAATATATTTTTGGATTATCTGATTATTCATCTGCTACTTGGACTCAAAACTTTGTTACCTCTATTGTGGGTGCTTCAGCTTCATTAATTGTTTCTGCTCCATTAGATGTTATCAAGACTAGAATTCAAAATAAAAACTTTGATAATCCAGAATCAGGTTTTACTATTTTAAAAAATATGGCTGCAAAAGAAGGTATTTCATCTTTCTTTAAAGGGTTAACTCCAAAATTATTAACTACTGGTCCTAAATTAGTATTTTCATTCGCATTAGCTCAATCTTTGATCCCAGCTTTTGATAAATATATCAAGTAATAGACTCCATCCGTAGAATCATCTTTTTACTTCTATCAAAGATCATCTTTCCATATCTTTTATTTTATTTTATTTATTTTATATTTTATATTATTTTATATTTTTAGTTCATTGTATATAGTCATCCAATCTAATATTTATCAGTTACTAATCTTTCTAATTACAATTGTAATCAATTAACTATACAATTTCAAATCCCGGATTCAGACAATTAATAAACAATTTTCCTGTATACAAGAAATCTCATAATTTATCCTCTTTAAGTGAAATTACAGCGCACAGAAAGAAAAAAAAGCTTGAACGTGGTGGAGTTTGAAAAAGATCAAGAGAAATGCAAAATCAGTCATTTGTTTTGAAGTGATTTGCAAAACTATATATATTGATCAAGAAGGACAAGTTTCAACAGAGTATATTTGGAAATATTAAGAAAGTAGAGAGCTTAACACAGTTCATTAGTGCTTTCAGTTTTATCCACTGCCATTTTCAACGATACTGTTGGTAATTATTTAGTTTTGTGATTATAACGGCAGAATACTTTAAGTATACTTGAGTCCATTGACTTTCATAAACATCTCAAGATCTATTAATACAACACTCACAATGAACTTCATATTAGTGGTCATGTATATGTTGAAAATCAACATACTACAAATGATAGTTTATGGATCAAGAAATCCATCAATCTCATTACAATATATCGATAGTTCTTTATTTGAAGCATCAAGATGTACAGGTGACGAGTATGCTGATCAAGTGTTTATCAATAACAATATCAACATTACTGGTGTCCCTATCATGGGCTAGTCATCAGAGACAAAAACAAACAATTCAAAAAGCAGGACATTCAAGTCCTATATTATTTATTCAAAAACAAAAACAGGTTTATAATAACGCTGATATGGTACAGCGTACGAGGTTTATGGTGTTGTGTATTTTCTATATAGTTTTCAGTTCAATTCAGACTCTAATTTCATTACTTAATTCTTTTTTTTCATCTATAAATGTACGATTTTTCTTTTAATAATAATGTATTAAAAATTTGTAGGCTTTTCAATATTTAAAATCCCAAATGATTCAAAATATCCCAATTTAATCAAATTTGGTAATTCATTAATCCATTTATTCCGTCCAAGAATGGTATCCAACTCTGATATACTAGTTTTCCCCTCTAATATACATAATCTTAATACAGAATCGACTTTTTTCTTTTCACGTTGAAGTTTTTCTGATACTCTTTCTCTTAATCCACCTGGGGTATTAGCTAATGTCATAGCATTCTTTAATAACGTTTTGGCATTGTTTAATAATACAGTACTGTTCTTTTGAGCGGGTTCGAAATTCACAATCTGACATCGTTGTAAATCAATATCAGATCTAGCAATCATGATCTCACTAATTTGAGAGATTAAAGCTCCTAATCCTAAATCAACCCCTGATGGAAGTTTCCTCTTTTCAGAAAGTTTACCATTAAGTAGATCTTGAGCCTTTTTCAAATTAGTCGTTATTTGACCTAATGATTTCCAGAATAAATTCTTTACTTCATCAGTAGTTGCATTAGAATTTATAAATGATAAATTTATATCTAAACGATCTAAGAAAGTTTGGATATTATCGGCTGCCAGCATGTATCGTTCTGAAGTTTGAGGTAATTGTGATTCTTCCCCATTCCATAAACTTATCAATTGATCTATATCATTAGTGGTTAATCCTATTATATAAGTCTTTATGATCTTATATTCGTTGATTTGGTCAGTGGTTAAATTTGCAACCATATCATTCTTGAGGGGAGAAAGTTCACTGAAATTATGGATAAGATCTTGAGCTATAGCATCACTTTTAGTCAATAATGGAGTTATTAATTCTGTTATTTGAGAGATTTGAGTTTGGGGATCAGTTACATTCTCTAAGATTGATTGAGATAATTTATAACTAGTCAATATGGTATCAAAAATATCATTTGGTTGAACGATTTCTTCTGCTGTATACTCTGATTCTGATTGTTTCTCTTCGCTGTCTCCAATGGATGTAGATGCCGTGGATTGATCATCTATGGAGTTTATTTCTTTCAATTCATCAAGGAACTTTTTGAATTCATTGATTTGGGTATCCATTAAACCAATGAGAATAGTTTGAGCTTTATACGTAACTTCCAATAACTGATTGAAATTACTATCGGGATTATCTTCTTCAACTTCAAGAACTTCAGTATAAGCCGTAGCAGTATTAAACAATAAATCCAAAGGTATAGAACCAGATGAATTCTTCGCTATACTAATGGCATTTTCATGAGCCAATACCACATTCCCAATTGGTTGAATAACTGAACTTCCATCTTCATGTAAGGCTTCTTCCACATTCGTCAAATCATAAACGTTGACCCCATCAGTCTTTAAATATTGATAATAGACTTGGAATAATAATCGGGATGAGTTATAATAACTATCAAGATTCTCTCCCCCTGATTTCAAATAACTGGTGTATGCCTTTTGATAGAATCGTAAACTTTTCGATAAATCAGATCCTAACCATCTATCGCCTGATTCTTCATCTATTGAACCTTGTTCGAGAAACTCTTCTGCTGTAGTTGGTTCAGATCGTGATGATGGTTCGGAATCGTTGTTACGTAATGATGCTAATGCTCTTTTTCCTAACTTTGGTTCTATAATTGAAAGATGTTAGGACATTGACATTCGAATCATAAGTTATTGAAGCGGTTATACGTACTTTTCATGATGTAATTGGCGGTATACTAGAGATGAGAAGAGATGTCTTAGGTAATTTAAAGTATACAGGAAAATTGCTGCTTTAACCAATTTGATCAATATACGCGTACACTCTAATATTTTTTATTTACAATTTTAAACATCAAGGGTTTCAACATTAGATTCAATCATACTTACCAATGCAAGGAAGGAGGGTCATACCAGAATCACCTAGGAATGGTGGGTTTTCATTCTATCCATCATCGTCAAAAAGATCGAATCAAACAGATACCATATTACCCCCACCAGCTCCCAAGAGACGACAACCTACTGGAGCTGAACTTCTATTTCATCAATTACCAGATACTCAAGCTCAAGAAACCCAAACTATTGTCAATGCTGAATCTACTCGAGTAGAAGTATCTCAAACTTTAACCAATTCCACCATGGTGAATTCTGAGTCGATTGAATCACCAGTTATCATAAGTAGTCAATATGATCAACGACAACCACCATCAGCAGTCCAAGATAATCATGATGATGGACCTTTATTTCATAATGGGAATGGATCATCCCATCGAAGTCGAAGTGAAATTGATCGTGATGATTTATTATGTCAAAAAGTATCGATGAAGGCATTACTCGATAATGATTTTTTAACTAATGGATATAATAAAGAGAAATATTATGAAGTTGATGTATTTATAAAAGGGATGATGCCTATCCAACCATTTATTATCAAACCATATCAACGAACAGTCAAATTAGCCCCGTTTAAGTTAGTCTTGGAAGATGTCAGATCAGATCGGACGATGTTTGTTGAATTCAATCAACAATCTGATATATTACGATTTTTAAATCTTAATGAGACCGAAGAGATATTTCATAAGATGGATGAGATAAATAAGCACATTTGTCGTATCTTACATAAATATGATGATGGGAAAGGTGAGGTTCGATCGATTAAATTAATTAAAGCCATGCATAAGTTTAATAATAATGGATTTATATATCCTTATTGGACGAGCGCTACCACCATTGATGATTTATTTCCCGAATAAAGTTATAACTAGAAAGGAACTTTTTTAAATATATGTATAGTAAGTTGTTAAAAGTGGGATGCTATATGTATATATGTATAAAAGAATAAATCATACTTCACTCAACTAAATATAAAACAGGTAAAATACAAAATGATGAAATAATAACGAAAGAAAAATGTAAATGAGATACTTTGACTTTTATATTTATTTATTTATTAATTTAATTAAAATATGTAAAATGTAATTTAAATGTAACCAATTCTGTTGGCAACATCTAAAGCATCATGATCAGCAGTTAATCTGATGTAAGCTTTTTTAGTACCATTTGGTCTAATTAAAGTGTTAACATATTCGACATCAACTTCATATAATTCTTTAACAGCAGCTTTAATTTGATTCTTGTTAGCTTTAATATCAACTTGGAAAACTAAAATGTTACCATCTTCAACCTTTTTAATGGCAGTTTCAGAAGCGATTGGAGAAACAATGATTTTGTAAGCATCTAATCTGTTGTAATGTGGAACTGATTTTCTAGCGTATTTTGGAGCTCTAGTTAATTTTAAAGTTTTTGGTAATCTGAAAGAAGTAGAAGTTCTAACTTTTAAAGCCTTTTTGGCGTTAGTACCTTTTAAAGCGGCCTTTTTAGCAGTAGAAGCTTTAGTAGTAGCTATAAGAAAAGATTAGTTAGTATAAAAATGTTTTTGAAGTGAAAGTTGACAAAGTCAACAAAAAGGGGAAAGAAAGATGAAATAGGATGTGATTAGATGAAGTGGATTGGTGGTGGTTAGATGGAGGAAGATAGTTGCACATTGATTATGATTATCGAGTATATGATTTAGTGATGGATGATATTGAATGTGGAATAGTGGTTGGAAATGATGACTTGATGGTATAAACTTATAACTGGATGATTAACTACATCAGTAATGAACTGTGAAAAATTTTCATATTGTTATGGATGGTTGATATGATCTTGGATTCGACTTATAAAATCTTTAATGATGGATTGATGATTGAATATTCTTGATGGAAACATATCCGATGACATTAAAAAACTGTAGTTGATAGTCAGACATGATACATTATACACTCTATTCTCTTATTTCACTTGTTACTTTCACATTAATGATGATTCTTTCATAACTTGAATGATATGATTTTCTATTTTATGTTAAATGTCTGAGTAAACTCTATCTCTTTAATGATGATTCATTCCACACACATATGCTCTATTTCTGCCATTCTAATCTCTATTAGATCTTTCCTTCTCTCTTTCAACTATGATATAACTTACAATTTGGAGCCATTATTACTTAATACTTGATTAAACAAAACTGAAAAAAGGATTGATTGAAAATTATTATAATCCAAAATATTTTGATAATTTTTTTTTGTCTATTCTTCCCAGAGCAAAAAAAAATTTCATACTGTAAAGAGAGAGAGAGAGAGAGAGAGAGAGCAGCGTACACAAAATAGTGCCATAGTTAACAAAGTGCGCACTTAACTAATTACTAACAAAAGTTAACTATGAGAATCAATTTAAGTTACACAAAATATGAATTAATTAGTACTGTACTATATACAGGATATTGCAGATCACATGAATTGTTGAAACGGTTAGGGATATAACCCTAGACCATATATTACCCTCTTAACAAAGGGCAAAATCATTGGTTGCAGAATAGTTTCTAATATCAAACTACATCAATAACATCATACTAATAAATGTTAAATACAATATTTCTATTAAACTATATACAGTTGAGATTTTATTTATACTAACAGAAACTCCATCATTGACTTAATGGAATTGTATACATATATATATGACATGAAATGGTAATGATAATAGTAATGAGTGATAATATCTATAAACGACGAAGTTTCTTTGGACGACTACCCCCAAATTGAAGTTTGGTATTATCACTGATTCTAACAATATTAGGTCTAATGTTTTGACCTTCCTTTCCTAATAAAGCAGCTTGGAATGCATCTCTACCTTTTCCGAAATCTTTAAGAATTAATTCAATTTTATCATTTGGTCCAATAAGATTTTGTTCTTCAATGGTTTTAAATAATTTAGTAGCAACTTGGAATCCTGCTTCATATTCTGATCTTTGAGATTTTCTAAATCCTAATTGACCTGCTGATATATGTAATTTAGTATGATGAGGTAAATGTAAATAATATAATACTTTATCATTATAAGTTAAATGTTGATTCTTTTCAACAAAATCTAAATCTTCAACCACAGCCACTAAAGAGGCTAAGGTATTATGACTATGGAACATACCATACATCTTCCATAATACTACTCTTTCATTCTTTCTATCTGTAAGTGGTTTCTTAGTTAATTTAATGTTTTTAGATGATGCTGATGCTGATGCTTGTTTAGAAGCTTGTTCAGAAGCTTGACTCGAGGCTTGAGCTGAAGCTTGTGTAGATGCTTGGGATGGAGTAGAACTTACTTCTTCCACTGATTGTTCATTCAAACGAATGATTGATGCATTGAAGTTATGAATTGATGATGTTGATAATTGAGCTATTCTAATATTTGTTATTGGATTATGAAGTATCAATGATGAAGTAGATCCAACCACTCTATTACGAGCAATCATCAGTAATCCATTCCTTATGTTTAGAAATGACATGATCTAGATGTGTATGTACAAGGTTATACGATAATCGTATTTGAATCAATCAATTGATATATATGTTTGGTCTATAGTAATAAACTAATACCAGTCGATATTTCAGAAAACGAGCAAACGAAAAAAATTTGTAGAGCTTATATAAGAAATTATGTAATCCACATAGTTAATAAATTTTAATACTTATAAAATTACCACACAGTATATATAACATCAAAATGATATACCAATATAATGTTAAGATGTTAATCAATTAAGTTGATGTTAATGAGGATATTCAATCCAGGGTTGGATAACTGAAATAAAGATTCATATACTATAATGAAGTTAATGAATTATGAAATATGTTGCACACGACTTAATGGGTGAGTTGCATATTCGTCCTTGGTTACTAGTAACAATAATAAAGGAAGAAGGGTTAATTTAATTGGATCAAAGTTTAATTCAAGATTTAATGGTTTATAATCTCACCTTTGAAATAGTATTCCTTTCATATAACCAATTCAAAACGATATGGTAATTGGTTAAGGCAATTTTATGGTTAAAATACGATTCCTTTACCTCCCTCCTCCCTTTCCTGCACTTAGAAGATAGACAGACAGACAGACAGACAGACAGACAGACAGACACGCACATACTTTAAATCACATAGAAATCAGAAACAGACACAAATTTAATACCAGACACTGAATGTGTATGTGTAAGTGTGGGTTAATTTAGTTTAAAGTTTGTAGTTAAATTGATTTAGTTGATTTAGTTGATTTAAATCAAAGGGGGATAAGTAACTAGAAATCCATACAAAGGTTCAACTATTGAAATAACTATTGAAATGACTTAGTACAACAGACCCCCACTACAAGTAAATGTCTATCGTTTTTGTCTGTCCCACTTTTTAATTTGTAAATTTAATTTTTCCGTTGCTAACTGATAACAAACAGCCTTGCCATTAATCGCTAATTTTGGAAACATTCTTATCAACAATTGATCTGAATTGAAATTGGTATAATTGCAACTTCAATTGTTAATAGATACTTCATCTCTCTCATTCAAATTATTACTCTTATATTACCTATACTACCATTTACGTTAATAACCACATTAATTCTGATCCTTTTGTATCAAATAAATTTTTGTCTGGCTATTTTTTTTTTTTTTTGGAGATTGAGCGATTTTGAGAACGAACAAAACAGACAAAACAGACAGACAGACACAAACCAAAAAAAAAAAAAAAAAAAAAGAAAAAAAAAAGAAACATTAATAATAACAACAACAACAAAAGTATCAACAGCCACGTCATAATCCCATCTAGCCCTGTAACCACCAACGTTACAACGACAAAAAACATCAATCCATCAATCTACGTCAAGTGAAATCAATCTATTATCCTAGGGCGTCAATCAACTGGAGTGAGAATATCGTTCAGTTTCAGTTTCAACACATTTTGTCCAGATCCTTATCCCCAGTCTTTCTTGTTGTGTTATACATATCCAAATCATTAGACGTTTGCTTTTAATACATCCATACCCTTTTCAATTCATCTCTCCAGATCAATCAATCAATCAATCTTATTGTTGATTGTTCATAACATTGCATTTTATTTTTATCTGACCTTTGGTTATCTACCTAATTTTATAGAGTTTCAGCATTAATAGAGTACACTTCCACATTTATTCAAAATTGAATCAAATCAAATCATATCATATCCACTTACATCAATCAATCAATCAATATGCCACAACATTTAAGTTCAACAACCTCAAATGAATACACTATAAGTAGTGTGGTCAATAATCAGACATCAACTGCCAATGAAATGACTGTGGTGGAGTATAAAAGAATAGGTGAAGGTGCATTTGGAACTGTGGTTGAAGCCAAATTAAAATATACCAGTCATAATAATAATACCAGTACGATTACCACAACAACTACTACTACTACTACTGATTCTGAGAATCAATGGTTAGGACCATTTGCCATCAAGAGAGTACCCGTTCAAACTGAATATAAATCAAGAGAATTAGAAATCTTAAGAGAAGTAAATCATCCAAATATAGTTAGTTTAAGATTTTATTTTGAAAAGGAAAGTTCAAATCCTAAAGATAAAACGATTTATCAAAATTTAGTAATGGAATGTTTACCATCAAATTTACAAAATGAAATTAAATATTATAAACAATCAAAATATACCATACCTTATCCTCATATGAAAGCTTATACTTTCCAATTAGCTAGAGCTATGCTTTATTTACATGGATTTGGTATATCACATCGAGATATTAAACCATCTAATATTTTAGTTGATCCTGCTACTGTTACTTTAAAAATTTGTGATTTTGGTAGTGCTAAAAAATTAGAACCAAATCAAGAATCAGTTAGTTATATTTGTTCAAGATATTATCGAGCTCCAGAATTAATTATAGGTTGTACAAGATATACTCCTAAAATTGATATTTGGGGATTAGGATGTGTGGTTGCGGAAATGTTTTTAGGTAAACCATTATTTCAAGGTCAAGAACCAGAATTACAATTGAAAGAAATTACAAAATTATTAGGTCCACCTGGTAATAGTTTCTTTTTTAATAATAATGAAAATTATAGAGGTAATATGTATTCAACTAAAACATTCACTTGTAAAATCGATCAACGATTTAAACAAGTGTTTAGTAATTCTCCTCCTGATGCTATTGATTTATTATTAAAAATATTGGTCTATAGTCCTGAACAAAGAGCAAGTCCAAGAGAAGTATTGGTTCATCCTTTCTTTCATGAATTAAAGAGTAAAGATTTTTATGTATATCCTAGAGGATCAAATAAACCAATTAAATTAGATTTATTTAATTTCAGTCCTCTTGAATTGAAACTTTTAGGTCCTTATAAAGATGAATTATTATCAAGTATATGAAATGTGAAAATAATATTTCGTAAGTATAATAGAAGATTCAAGTTGGCTAATTGATTATTAGTATAGTTGTTGTCGATGTTGTTGTTGTTATGTTTTGTCATTGTCATTTATTGTGTGTAAGTAGTTTTAGTTTTATATCTATTTTTTGACTTTCTCTTCTTATTTTACATTACTTATTTTAATATTTAATATTTATTAATAAATTTATTTTTAGTAATAATCACTAGAATCTACTTATTTAATTAAAACAAATTATAATGCTAAATTATAACTGTATTCATCTTCAATATTTTGGGATAACCATAAAGTAATACAACTTAACATAATACATGCATTACAAACAATATTTGAAACTCCCATCCCTAAAGTTGGGAAAGTATATTGTTTCAATAAGAATTTTAAAATAAACACCATGAATGATCCAGCCAATCCACCTGCTAATAATGCAAATCCAAGAAATAATATAACTCTAGCAGCCCAAGCATTAGTATTACCTCCACTACCACTGAATGAATTATTTGAATCAACAAATAAATTAGACTTTTCAATCGAATTAACAATCAACATTCCTAAAGTAGAACAAATGAATGGAATCCAATCGACAAATGTAACATGAACAATCGATGCATTAACCGTCTTGGAATATATGGCAGCATCTATTATTGACCAGAATCCAATGGCATATAATCCTCCAGCTAAGTAAACTCCAAATGATCTTAATTTAGCCGATTTGGGCAAGTGAAGCATCGATAAGTTGAATCTGAATAAATGATTTGAATTCTCCATGATGATTGATGTTGTATCTTGTATATGTAAGTTGGTTAATGTGTAGTATCTATCAATATGGTTGGTGATACTTTGCCCTTTCATTATTTTTGTTTTCCCCTTTTGAAAACTGATTGTGGACTCCGTACTGCATATAAATATTTACAGCCAAAATTGGATCTTGTTGTTACTAATATTAAATATAATACATTCTATAAATACATAATCAGAGGTATGATATATATACAACTGATTGATTCAGGATAAGGGAGTGAATGGAGTATCATCACGATATATTTTCTCTGGAGTGGTTTTGACATATTTTGGATTCAATTCATGAACGTTAATTATACCATTTTTACTACATGATACCAAGTATTTACCTTGTTCAGATACATCTACTTCAAACACTGGATTTTGAGAATCGCCATCAGTTTCAGCTTCATCTTGGTATTGATATACGACCTTCTTACTTTGTATATCCCAGATAAGTAATCCTAAAGATTCTGATCCTGATACAATCATTGGAGTCATAGTCTTGGTAATAAATCTCGTTCCACAATTATATTTCTCACTTATAGGTTTACCATCTATACCAATATATGTCTTGATAACTTTATTATCCATATAATCCCATAATCGAATCAATCCATCTAAACTTGAACTAAGGATATATTTCCCATTAGGTGAGATTTCAACATTTGATATCGGGAAATTTAAAACATCATTTGTAGAAGCAGTGGCTGTACCATGACTAGTACTATTATAAGTTAAAGTTTTCAAACATTGACCTGTTTCCAAATCAAATAATCTCATTAATCCATCATATGATGAACTTACTATAATCGAATTATCAGGAGTTAAACTTATAGACAGTACAGGATCAGAATGAGCAGCCAAGGTCTTTAAAGTTCTTCCAGTGGTGATATCCCAAATCGTAATAGTCTCATCGGCCGATCCACTGATTAAGATATTACCCTTTGAGGTGAATTTTATAGTCGTTATATGATAGGTATGTTTCTTTAAGATTTTAAGACATGTCTTTTTCTTGATTGACCAAATCCTAATGGTTAAATCATCAGAACATGATGCTATGATATCGGAATTGATAGGTGAATATTCAAGATCTGATATCCCCTTGGTATGACCCTTTAGTATCACAATCTCTTCTCCACTCACTAAGTCATATATCCTTATGGTTGAATCAGATAATGCACAAGCAAAGGTTTTCCCATTGGGTGATATCTTTATAGAATTAACTGATACATTGATGGAGATTTTATGGTTTAAATGGTATAAATCCTTTAAATACTCATTTTGTCCTGATCCATTATATTGCCCATTACTCATAGATATAGGAACAACCATTTGTAGTATGTTAACGTTGGTTATAAGTTATCTTCTATCGTTAAGTATCAAAATTATTCACGTCTCCAGAAAAAAATAATCAAAACAAAAAAAATGGGAGACAGATCCATTTTGGGTTACTCGCATATATGATTTTTACTGCAAAAATATTACGTATTTGATAAACTTCATTAAATGTTCATTAAACTATAAATAGAAGAGCTGTATTGTCTATGCCCATTTCTCTCTTGTCTTATTAACCCAAGCTTCAAATAAACTCTTTTCAATCTCATCAAATTTACTCACCTTTAAAGAATTGTAATTACTAGATGCTTCCCCATGTTCATCTTTTTGATTTATTGATGATGCTTTGGAAAATGATGATGGTAATATCAACTTTTGAAGTATCAGTTTAGCACTTTCTGGTTCACTTTCTTTACCAAGTTCCTTTAACATATACTTCAAATACTGAAATACTAAAATCTTCTTATTATCATCATTGTAATTAGCATTAAACGATACTAAATTTAATATAACTTCATTCAAATTCACGATTTGATCATATTCTTTGGTGGAAAGATTATTTCTGGTCTCTAACTTATGGAATGATTTATTTAATACTTTATTGAATTCTGGTTTTAATATCTTTATCAACACATCTTGCTTTGGATCGGAATCTTTCGGTTTAGTTGACTTCTCGATGGGTGATTCAGGTGTCATTGATTTTTTTGACGAACTTGGAGACTCAAGTGGCGGAGATGATAATGAATCACGATCATATTCAATCAGACTAATATCAAATTCAATCCTATTATCATTTTCATCTTGTCCATTCCATTTCTGTTGATTCCTGACGATTTCAGTAGGAACATAAAAGTTATGATTTTTCACCACATGGTTTTCTAAATCGTTTAATTGTTTATTAGTGATTAATTTCTTAACTTTCTTGGCTTTATCCGTCAATTTATCATATTGAGTAATGAATTTATGATTTAATAATTTACTAGCTGAATATCGATCACGAGGATCAACTATGAAACATTTGGTTAAGAAATCATTAAACAAACTTGATATTCCCAATTCAGATAATCCAATCATATCAATAAAATCATTATTTCTATAACAACTTGATATTCTTTGTAATGCTTTCATAGGAGGGAATTTATTTTGTAAAGGAGGTTTACCATTATATACTTCATATGCACAACAACCAAGTGACCAAATATCAGCCTTAAAACTATGACCTCCACTATTATTTAATATAACTTCAGGCGCCATCCAATATGGAGTCCCCACGGTAGTGTTTCTCCTGGAGAAACTGGATGATAATTGAGCCGACACTCCAAAATCAGTTAATTTGATTTCTCCTTGTTTACTTAATAAAACATTCTGGGATTTTAAATCTCGATGGATTTTCCCTTGATTATGAAGATAATCTAATGCAATTAACATTTCCTTAATGATAATCAGTACCACCGTTTCGTCTTTTATAGGACCAGGTCTTAACATTTCAAATAATGATCCTCCATCCACAAACTCCATTATGATCCAAAGTTGATATCGTTTCACAAAACATCCCAAGTATTGAGTTATCTGAGATAATTGACATTCCGAAATGATTTGAATCTCTTTATTGATTTCAAATAAATCAGTTTGATCACTTTCAAGATCAATTTGTTTGATTGCAACCTGTTTATTAGTCTCTTTCACCACTCCACGATACACCACTCCAAATGCACCTCTCCCTACTTCTTCACATACTTCCAACTCATCAGCAGATGTTATTCGACCTAGCATTGTCTGTGTTGGTACAATTATATAAGGTCTGTTGTTTATCGTTAGTTGATAGTTATTTTTGGAACCATAACAAACCTGAAAAAAATGTAAACAAAAAACTGTTTATGATTTTTGAGCCGCAAATTACAAAATTAAAAAAAAATTTAAATCTCAAATTTGAATTATGATTGTCATGGGGTATCAGTAGCAATAAGATGATCAAGATAAGTAATATAATGATGATACCACGTATAGCAATACGGCAGGGTGGATTAATGATACCTAAAACCAATATAGTCAAAAGATTCTGGTCAAAGTCATCTGTTTTGCACAATCAGAATGATATATTTCATTCAAAGCTTTTAATGTCAACCAAACTAGGTGATGCAGAAGTTATAAGATGTACTATCTTCAATGGAGATGGTGAAATGATACTGTACGGTAAGGATATGAAGAAGCTGGAATTCATGAAAGTTTATAATTTGGCAGCTCGAGATTTCAGAAAGATCACTAGACATCAAAATACGAATAATAATACTACCAATATAAATATCGAGATTGTGCCATCAATCGTAACTCGGGCAGATAGTATATTATTGAATTTATTACATATCAGAGCCCTTATAAAGCATGATACTGTGGTGGTGTTTGATAATGTCAGGAGTTCCACTGGTGGTTCAAGGTTAAACAAGTCACATTCTCATAGTATCTTTTTAAATGATCTTAGAGATAGATTAAAAGCTAAAGATAGTGAAAGTTTACCATATGAGTTAAGAGCTTTAGAAACGATTCTAGTGCATGTCATGTCCAATTTAACTACCGAGATGAAAGTTCATAAAACAGTTCTTCAAAATATCTTACAAGGATTAGAAGATTCTATCGAAAGAGTTAAATTAAGATATTTGTTAATCCAATCCAAAAAGTTAGCTCAATTCAATCAAAAGGCTGTATTGATTAGAGATTTAATTGATGATTTATTAGAGCAAGATGATGAATTGAACTCCTTATATTTGTCCGATAGCCATAAAGGATTAGAAAGAGAAGGAAATAATCATGAAGAAGTTGAATTACTTCTTGAATCATATTATAAAACCAGTGATGAAATAGTTCAAACCGTAGGCAATTTACGATCTCAAATCAGAACTACTGAAGAAATCATCAATATTATCTTGGATTCAAATAGGAATGAAATGATGTTGTTAGGTTTGAAATTTTCAATTGGTTTATTATCGTTAGGTATAGCATTATATGTTAGTGCGTTATACGGTATGAATTTAGAAAATTTCATTGAAGAATCAGATGGTGGATTTGAATTAATTTGTCTTATTTCAGTTATTGGATTATTAATTCTTTTGAGATTCAGTATGAAACAATTAAATAAAGCAGAGAAAGTTACAATGACAAGGGTGTCTAATGAAGATCGTATTCGTAAAATTATAGAACGGAAGTTTTAAAAACTTTGTACATAGTATTATTTAAATTAATAAAAGTGTAAATTATCAGGTTATGGTATCTAAAACATTTAATGAATCTCTCTTTTTATGTATAGGAGATCCTCTAGGAGAAGGATTTGGTGTGTTACCAGTTCTAAATGGTCTGGGAGAGAATAATTCAGCTTTCAAAGGAATAGGACTAAGAGGAACCATATTTCCATTACTCAATCTCTGAACTTTGACCGGAGTCAGAGGGGTTTCAGTTATAGCAGGTGCAAGTATTTCAATTTTAGGAATAGGTTGGGCGAGTTCCGCTTGTCTCTTTTGATTGTAAACCTTCTCTTTATCAACAAGTGTTTCAAAAAGCTTTCCTCTAGTATCTAAAACCAATAAATCACGGAGGATAGACCCATATATACTCATATCTGGTTTAACACCACCAGCAGATTTTGATGGAGATGGCCTTAAGATTAAATGCACGAACGGAATTGAACCTATTTCATCCATTGAGTTTAATAAACTCGAAACAGAGTCGACTGTTTTGAGATCATCGTTACTTTCTAAGGATTCGAAATTATCTGAAAGTTCGTAATTAGGTATGCTGGCCAAATCAAAAGCAGTAACAATATGTTCAAGAAGTAATATTAATGATGCCAAATTACTTCTGGATAAGAATCCCAATACTTTAACTAATTCATCCTTTCTCTTATCAGTAGAAGATGATTTATATAATCCACATAAGGAATCATACACCAGGCAAGGAATGATTGAATCGGACACTTCAAGTAACCATAATTTAGCAAAATTTACTAAATGATCGACAGATATACCTTGAAGACTCTCAATAAGATCGTGGATTAAACTTGCATGAATATCGGATTCTTTGGTCACCTTGCCATCCCATTTGTCTGAGTATTGATTTATGAACTTAATTGCATTCTCTTTGATACTCCAATATTCTTGATGATTTAACGGTTTACTCCACGCAGCCTGTAAGGTCACTTTATCGTCCTTGCTTTCTATGAGTTTTATTAAGTCATGAAGAAATAATGGAATTGACCTCATACTTAATAAACTAGATGAATCATCATTATCAGCAGATTGATATAGAAGAACTTGTAATGGGATATCTATATACAAGTTGAATTTTAATTTGATGCTTTGGAAGTTGCTATTAGGTTGAAGTACACTAGAAGAACTTTTCTGTAATGACTCTGGAACTAAATTACTAGCATAGAAAATCCCACTACTGAATTTGTTTATCAAATTATCTAGATCTTTAGGAGGGTTCTCTTTTTGATTAATGTTTTCAGTGAAGTTAACTGCAAATCCATGTAATCTAGTGGTTGAACTTAATGAAAAATTGTATATAATTGTCAGTAATTTGGTTAAACTCAGATATACCAAATCGATTCTTAATTTTTCAAATGTTTCTAATGCTTGCGATTTGGCAAGAATTTCCTTATCTAAGTTAAATTTAAGTGCTTGTAATTCAAGATATGCAGATTCATAAAGCTCTTCTATCTCCTCAAGACTTTCATATTGTTCTCCACGCTTCATAGTAGACTTGACAGTTTTAAAAAGCTTGGAAGTATTGCTAACCATATTGTTCATAAATGCAGTTGATGATTCTTCAATGGCTGACTTTGAAGTTCTTGATTCACTAGCAGCCAATGTTGTTGTTGTTTCTTCGTTAGAATCATAAGAAATAATATATTCTGTCAATGGAGACCATTCTAACCATATTCCTTCACTCTTGAAAGTTTTTGAACCCCAGAATCCACTTCCTATGACGAATTTCTGATCCAATAAGGACTGACCAAACTTTTCAATTGATGAACGGGTAGGAACTTTACCTAATATATTCTTTTTCCTTATATAGTCTGTCAAAGAATCACTACTGAAAATATCATTTTTTGAACCCGGTATAGCGATCTTTCGTTTAATAGTTGGAACCGTTGAATGCATTTCCGTTAAGAGTGTCCGGAGTTCTTCTATTTCATTAATTTCTTTAGAACCAATATGAATAGGAAAGATAAAATCTGATGTTGGAGAAGGTACCACAGTTTCTTGGATTATTGATGCACTTGATTCATTAGCTTCAGAGTCAGAACTAATACTGATATTGGCCGTTTTCTCCACTATAGATTCATGTTCCAATTCCTTTGATCGTATGAATTCTTCATAACTATTCTTTAGCTTTAAGACTTTATGATATGTATTAGTATAATCTTCATACAAACGTTTGAGATCCGATATGGACATCCGTACATTAGATTCGTGATACTTGATGAATGAATTTATATTCTCCATTACCTCCCTTTCGATCACACTAGCTTGATTTGTTAAAAGCGTTGATTCTGTCATCAAATCATTAATATACGTCTTATACGCGTACTCCACAGTTATATCCTGTTCTTCATGTTTATCATTAGCCGATTCAGTTGGAGATCTGATTGAACTCGATGCTTTACGATTAACCTGCTTCTTGGCATCATCTCTAGACACAAAACTATTTTCTGTAGAATTCAAGTCTATCCCTAGCTTGTATAAATGTTCACTGTTGGCATAGAAGTAATTGATGTAACTGAATACCAATTTCCTTAAATCATGTAATTGATGAATTGATTCACGAGATTGGTTTCCCAAACTATTAATTCCACTGATGATATCTGGGGACCAGTATATATTAGCGAAGCTCTTCAGCATCTTCGTATGATTGACACAATTAAGTCCAGTAACGATTAATTGTAACTTTTGATAATTATCATTTGATTTTTTTTAATTTTTTTTTTGATGTTTATGTTTACGTTTTTTCTTTTGTAAACAATTGATTTTACTATATATATCAGCACTATCAACAACAATTGCACGATGATAGTAGGTGAAGTAGAAGACGAGCTAAGGGATATAGATAATGATATTATCTCTCTAGAAGCTGAAATCAAGCAATTGAAGTCAGAAGAATCTTTTCTTTTAGCTGAACTCAAGAAGTATGAATTGGATAACACTAAGACGAAACAATCAAAAGAAGATCCAAAGTATGATACTGATATTCCTGCTATAATAAGACATGATCATTTCGATCCTTCAATTTCAAAGTTTTTTAGTCAAGATGTTGTCGAATCAAGAATTGTTAAACCTAAGAATGGTTTACTGTCAAGTAGAGAACCTATTGACAATCTGGAAGTAAAGGAGAATATTTTATATGAGAATATACTTAGAATGGCTGGGGTAACTACGTTCCCCTTGAACAATCACGTATTAGGCAATTCAGATAATTGGTTGGGTCTCCGGTTTGATATCTATTCAGCATCCTCTTCTAAGTTCGTCACTCCACATTATGCTATCTTGAAAAAGGTTAAAAGTGAAAATAAGGCTCAAGAACTAGAAGAATCATGGTCATTACACAGACATACATTACCACAATTTCTCCAATTAGAAGAACTACAAAAACTTTTGAAAGATTTAGAGGATGGTCCTCGAAGATTTGCTTTTGCAATTCGTCGTCAACTTGCCAAGCTTCAATATAAAGCGGATAAGATAGCCAAATTGAGTTCGTTTAATTTGGGGCATTTTGGAGTCAAGTCATCAAAGCCTATAATTCTTAAAATCGATAAGGATTTACAATGTCAAAGAATAAAGCTATTCATCATCAATAGAATGAGCTTAACAAAAAAGACACACGTAATAGAGCTAAGTTGTACTGACGAAGCTGTTGAATTCATTCAAGTAGACTTGACCGATGTTGATTCAGATACTAGAAATGATATTCTAGTATGTCAGAGTATTTTAAAAGATACAAAGTTTGAAGATTTGTTTAAGAACTTTAGAAGATTATTCGAACATCTTATACAACAACAATTAATATGAATATATAACATAAATGAATTTCATTTTTTTTAGAAAAGGAAAACACAATATAAAACAAATATAAAACGTAAAACTAAAATTTATCAAAGGCACTTTTAAGTAGTTTATAATAACCTTATTTTTAAATGAGAAAAAAAAGTATTTTTAAAATGGTAATTTTTACAAATCATGATTTAAACTGGTATCGATTAGAACGAGTTACCAAATCCAGCACCAGTAGGTTGATATCCAAGTCCATTAATTCCAATTGGGCCATTGGTAATCATTAATGGTTGACCTAATGGTTTATCTTCATCTTCCTTTTCAGCATTCTTTCTGTCTTTAAACTCTTGGTATACTTCATTAATTCTCTTTTGGTTTTCACTAGCGATAGAGATTTCATATGGTTTAATGAAATTACCTAAGTTATGTAACCAAGAAACTTCAAGAACGTAATCATATGAAATAAATTCATAGGAAGTATATAATAATGCCACGAAACATTCATGATTACCGGTTTCAACAAAGTAATCTAAAAGATCATGAGCAATCTTACTAGATTTGGAAATAGCAACGGTTCTTATTAAATCACCCCAAAGTTTATCATTCTTTAAAATAGAAATAGCCTTGTTATACTTCTTTTCTTTAGAGTATAAGGTAGCAGAAATTTGTCTAAAGAAAATAAGATCGTGATTTTCTAATCTTTCAGCTAAATCTAATTTGTTAAATCTGTTATTAGATTCATTTTCAATAGAAGATCTTAATGATTTATAATCTTCTTCTTCAATTAATAAATCGTGGTAAGCAGTGTTAACAACTGAATTATTCTTTTCTAATACGGAGATTAAGAATGGTTTGATTAATGGCAAATTATCGGACTTGACAAATATTCTAACAACTCTTGGTAAATCTAATTTAGGAGTTAAGACAGATAATAAATCAACTATTAAGGATGGATTTTCATTTAAATAGAATTGAATGGCCTTATAGTAGATTTCCAAATTGGTAGCTTTGGCAACGATTTCCTTAAATGAAGTATGTTCAAAAGCAACTTCTGATCTTTGGATCATTGTTAATGCAGCATTATCCCATTCTTCATAATGACAGTAAAGGAAAATTAATTCTGGATATAAATGTGCTTGTTCACAAGCAGTTAAAACCTTTGGAATATTAAGTCTTGACCAGAATAATTTCAAATGTTCCATTACTTTCTCAGGAGAATATTTGGAATATAAGATGGCTAATTCAGTAAACATACCCATATGAGCTCTTTCTAAACCTAAACCACTTTCGAAAAGAGCGATTAATTCAGTAAAGTAACCATTGTATTCGTAGGTTCTAACCAATTCTGGTAATTCTTCGGCATCAATAATTAAGTTCAAACCACAAATTTGAGCTAATCTGAATTCCTTGTTTTCAATACAAGCATTGTTAACTTGTTTCCAGACATTGATATTAGAAGCCTTTCTAGCACAATCGACAGCACCTTGGTAATCTTCCAAGTAGACTAAAGTAGTAGCAAGCTTAGAATATTTAGAAACATTGGAATATAAGATCTTAGCACCTTTATAATTCTTAGCTTCGAATAATTTATCACCAATGGTTTCTAAATCAGCAACATTTGAACCACCAACAAACTTTTCAATATCACTTAATCTGTCAAGAGAAGCATAAGCATTGATTAAAGCACCATCAATAACAGGTTCTCTTAATGATTCTCTGGCCATATCTAAGAAAGAAATTAATTCTTCTTCTTTACCAGCATGTTCGGCGATCTCAATAACATGTTCATAGTTAGATGGATTCTTAGATTTAACATAGGAAGAGATAGCTTCAGGAATACGTAAACCATTTAATTGGGCAGTACCTAATTGGAACCATAATTCTGAGGTATCGTATTTTTCAGCATATTGTTCACCTCTGTCTAATGACATGATATCATCAACTAAAACTTTCATAGCGTCAGTTCTTAATTCAAACTTGTCATAAACTTCAAATGCTTCTTCGTATAATTGATTGTCAATACATAATGGAGCAATTTCTTCAGGATCATATTTGTCTAATCTTTCGACGTAACGAGAAACACGGGATGGATCAGCTTTAATAGAAGTTAAGATCAATAAACCTTGTAAAGAAGTATTATCATTGAATGGAGATGGTTCTAAGATAATCTTTTCCAATAATTCAATTAATTCTTGTGGTAAATCATTTTCCATGAATGCTCTAACAGTAATAGAGATTGGTTCTGGGTCATTTAATTCTGGAATACCAGTAGAAATAACTTGGTCGATCAATTGTCTTCTGTGAATATCATCTTCAGCTAAAACTTTATTCCATAAGTTGAAATCAGATTTGGCTAATAAATATCTAGCTTGATACTTGTACATCTTATTTTCATTAGTAATGTTAATTAATTCATCATCATTACCACCTTTAGAATAGGCAATGTATGCTAAGTATGGATCTCTCTTTTCACAGTATTTACCAACAGCTAAAGTATCATAGATATCATTTTCTTGTAAGAACTTCTCGGGAGAGTTGTTAGAATCAATGTAAATCTTGGCTAAAGTATTGTAAACTTCTTGATCGTTTGAACCACCTTCTAAAGTCTTTTCTAAGAATGGTAGTAAGATCTTAAGTCTGTTTCTCTTTTCAACTTCTTCAACCAATTCCTTGATTGGAACTCTACCAAGAACAGAAAGTAACAAGTTTTTGATAATATTTTCATCACAATCAACATCCAATAAACCGGCAATAACTTGTGGAGTGTTGGCTGGGTTAACAGATTGAACGTAAACTTCAATAAACTTGAAATATTGATTCTTGTATAAGTATAAGATTAAATCATGAACAAAGTTAAATCTGTCACAAACAATAATTAATGGTAATTGATCATCCAATTTGAATTCTTTTAAGAAGTTCTTAACCTTTTCACCGTTATAAACATTATTGTCTCTAACCACTCTTTCGATTTCTTTAGTTTGATTCATTTTAGCAGCAGCTTGAATATATTTGAAAACAACATCTGGTTCTTGAGTTAAGTTGACAATTGAAGACAAATAGTAATATTCACCTTCAACACATTTATAATCTTCAAAAATCTTAATTAAAGCTAATGGACCAATTAAGTCAGAGTACTTAGTAGCCACTTGGATAATGACTTGTAAGTTTTGTTGAACATTGTTACTTAACAATTCCTTGATACAAGCAACAGATTGTTGAACATTTAATTGACCGAAATAGGCAACTAACCAATCGTTTGGTAAAACATTGGTATGAACAATAACTCTTTTGATATCTTTCAAGTCATCATAATGTTCAAGAGCTCTTTGAAATAAACCTGATTTTTCACATAATTTACCAATGGTTGGTTTATCATAATGACTAAACATTTTATTACCTAAGATAGCATCAGCAACTTGTGGAGCATGTAATAAATTAATTTCCAAAACCTTAGTTTGTAAATGACCTTCAGCTGGAGAATCATTCTTTAATGCATCCAATAAGAAAGCAGTACCTTGTTGAATGTAGTTTTGGGAAAAGAATAAATCAGCAATGTTTTCAACATTTAAGTTATTATCTGGCTTAGCTAATAAGGAAGTAGCGAATTCACTAGCTTTGTCAGGGTTAACTCTGACTAAGTTTTGAATTAAGTTGGTGAAATCTGGGAAATAACCAACCTTTTCACAGTAAGGAACGATTTTATCAAATTGTCCTAATTCAGCTAAACAAGAAACAACTTTAATGTTAACATTGGCTCTGATATAAACAGCTAAAGCTAAAGCAGTATCACTATAAGATTTAACAATGTCACCTAATTCTTCTGATGAAGTTAATTTTTCTTCTTTTAACCATTTTTCGAAAAGTGGTTTACGGTCTTGTTGTAAGACTGGTTTGGCTAATTCGATAGATTCAAATTTGTTTAAGGTTCCTCTATCTAATAAGATGGAGAAATATTCCAAGATTGGAGAAATTTGACCCGGTTGAGGTGTTATATGTTTCAACTTGTTAATGGTATCTTGGGTTCTTAATTGTTCAGAAGATGCTGCTACCTTTGCTGCATTTGAATAATCACCTTGATTTAAAAAGTTTTGGAATTGTTGTTGGAATAAGTTTTCAGCTCCTGGGAAACCACCACGAGAAGATAAAGCTAATGCTAAAGGAACATTGGCTAATTTTTCCAAAACATAAGGAATAATTTTTTCTCTTGATACTTCAACACTTAAAACTTGACCTGATTTATTAATGGTAATTAAACCCTTTCCATCATTGAATGAAGAGGCAGTAAAAACATTTTCAGCAGTAATTCTGTTGACAAATAAATTAGCACCAGTTTCAATATCATATAAATGAATGAAACCATATTTGGTTAAAACATAGATAATACCATATTGATCAGAAGCTTGTAAACTGATTGGGAAATCATTGGCAGCATCATTAGGGAAGAAAATATCAACGGTTTTTTTTTGGAATTGAGGATTACCATCGACATGATCAATTTCAATTATATGTAAATTACCTTGACCTTGAGCATTTTTATTACCCACACAGAAAACTTTAGTTGGGCTAGCAGCACCACTTAATTTAACTGAAGCAAATTTAGATACATGACCTTCAATTGCTTGGGATACATTTCTAGTCTTAGAATATAATTGAATATGACCCGCTATACGTCCATCTTCTTGAGCAATACCATTAATAGCAAACCAGTTTAAATCTGGTTCTGCAACAAAATTAATAATTTGAGCATTATTTAAAGAATGGTGTCTTTCTGATAATCTGATAGGACCATCAGCAGTATTATCGAATACATTCCAATAATAGATGGCAGATCCAGTAACTAAACCTAAATGGGTATTATTCAACCATTTCCAGAATACAACTGGTTCATCAAGAGTAAAAGCCTTTAATCTTTGTTTAGAACCTAAGTTAAAGATTTGTAAAGTAGTACCATTAGCTCTTAATGAGATAACAAATTGATCAGGATGCATGATGGCATTATCAGCAGCCATAGTCTTTCTTGTGATTTCATTATTATTCTTTAAATCGACAATGGCAACAGTATTTCCATTTGCTCCGGATTCTCTAATACAAACATAGTGATCAGATTCTAAAGTGGTTGATTTGAAATCTAAGGAACCTGGAGAGATTCCTAATTGAGTCAACTGGGTTAACTCACTAAAGTCAATGGGAATATCAGCAGACATGATTGATGTGGATCTCTCTGAAATTGTACCCCTATTAATCTCTATCAATTAACGATGTAATATAAAAAAAATATGAATAGAATAAGATTCAAAAACAAACACAATTGGGTCGAAATCCAATTACTCTTCAATTCCTATAGTCTTCCTTTGATTGATTGATTGATGTACTAGGAAGTATGATTCAATTGAGTAAAGCTTTGGTTTCTTAAGTGGGTTGTAAATAAGTACTGAACATTTCAGTTTGAGTTGTTTTTCTGATCCCCTGCGAAATATTGTCCACGCTGGTTTAACTTCCAACGAACGACCTTCAGTTATTTTTTTGTGTGGTCGCTGTTGTATAGTGACCTAAATAAAAGTCGTGTGAACACTCAATTTATGGAGATCTATACAGATCTGGGGTCTCTTACGATACATCATATCATATTACTTCATACATTGCTTTATATACATATGGATCATAAATATCTATATAGGCGGTCTTACTGCAACTAATGCTTCTTCTATTATTATATTCGTTACCCCCGTTGGTGTACTATCATCCTTTGTGGATTCACTCTTTAATAAATATTTCTTAACGTAATCATAATCACTTCCAAACCAAGAACCAGTCATCATACTAATCTCCATTCTCCTTTGATAATCTTTCTCTTCTACCTGTTCAGCGTCAAAATTAGCGGAACGATCAGGAAGTAATTCTTTAGAAGTGTATAGAGTGTTATATTCCCAATCGACTAACCAATATCCAATCTTTCGCATAGCCACTTTGACAAAATCAGCAGTAACAAACAAATCATCAGATGTATGACGTTGCCATACAACCATAGCTTTGGACAAATTTAGAACATCATCGATTGATCGTGTCAGAAGTCGGGTTTGTCTAGGAGCTAATGAACATAATCTATGATTTCTAACCTGAATGACCAATGAATAAATATATCGTTGAATATCAGGTTTGACATACACTTTCTGAATCAGATTTCGTAAATATAAGATGTTTTCAATATAGGTAAGATTTTCCAACGGGAATACGATATTTTTAGTTTCATATTCATGATTTGGTTCGAATACATAATTTATGGAAAACCAAAATTTTGCTTTAAGATATTGATCAATTTTCATATGATATAGTTTATTATCAAGTACTGTAATACTGGTGAATAGGCTTGGTCTATTAATGGTGTACCCTTTCAATATAACAGGTTTAGGATTATGTCTTGATTCATTAGTATCATACAAGTCAATTTTGGTGAGTAACATGTATAATATCTTTTGAAGCTCTGGTTTAACCTTTTGCATATTCTTCCATATTAAGATATTTTTCAACTCATACTCACCACCCTCTATTTCTTTCACACAACGTCGTATAAGTTCTTCTTCATTAGAATATTCAAGTAGATCTATAACTTCTATTTGTGATTCATTAAACTTGCATACTTTTCTTAAGATACCATTCACTAACAACTTAATTAAGGTATTAACATTGCTGGTAGAGATCACAAACCTCTTCCTATCCATCAAAGATAGAGATAAGGCTGTGAATATATTATCCATCTAATGATATTGCTAACCCTAATTTGTACCCACATAGATATCTCATCTACATAGTTAAAAAAAAGTTAAAGCTTCTATAAATATATACGCTTCCCCTTTTTTATTTCTGTGGTCTCCGACATTCATAACGATTTGACATTTTTATGGGGTGTTTTTGACCGGAACTCAGGCGACATTATTACGCGTTTATTTCAATTATGTCAATCCCAGAAATCAAAACAAAGACCATATTTTGTGTACAGGAATAACAATAACCCTGTTTGTTTTTAAAAACATACACGAAAGTTTTTAAATTATAGAAAATTTTGAAGTAGGTTTTCAACGTTTTACAGCTTCATTTTCCCTTTGACAGTTATTGCGTTGTTAAGAAGTAACATTCGGGGTACATCAATTACTCAATTGTGGGTTGAATAAACATTGACTTATCATTATCATATCTTATCATATACCCTCTCCTATTTTTTTGCTAAACGAACTAATACCAAACAATGAGTATGCAATCTTTCCCTCGCTTTTTGAGAGGACAACCATCTCCAAAGGTGCAAGACTCGGCGTTTCCTCCATTCAAAGTGGAACATCGTTACAAAGGTGTTTATGAAAGAGCTGGGTTTGATGTTAATACTGAATCTGAGAGAAAGCTGTCTCCTACTGATACTAAATCATTTCATTCAACTAGATCTAATCCAAAGAAATCTTCCAATGGTATTCAATCGCCAACCGATTCAAAATCTGTTTCTCCTACTTCTATAAAACAGCAATCATTTAAATCGAATTCAGCAGAGCAATTGAACTCTAAAGTGAATCATAATCATGCTAATAATCAAATTAAGCCATTTGCGTCAGCATCATCAAATCCATATAATGCTCCAACATCAGCTAAATCTGCCACATTTGGAAACATCAAATCAATGCCATATCCAATGTCTCCGCCATTAACATCGACTCGATCATTTTCAGAGTCTCAATTACCAATGTCAAATACTTCAGCCCCATATCAAAGATCATTTAGTGAGTCTAAAGCTGTCTCGCCTACCAAGAACCAACAATTGCCAAATCCAACTCCTATTGAACCATTCAAACCATCTATATCTCATCAAAAGAACTACAAGAATCTTAGACTTAACCTTGATGATGGTCCTCAAACCGAGAATTATGAGCATGAAGGAACACAGAAGATTTATGATTCCGATAGTGAAAATGAAATGATTAACACTATCTCGCCAAAAGAAAACTCTTTTGATGAAACTAGAAACACTTCAATTGATAAATCAGAGTTCAATACCTTGAATTCTAACTCAATGACTAATATAGTATCTAAAAACGTTGAACCAACTAAGAAGCCATTACATGATATTTCTAATCAATATCAAACAAATGACAATAGCCCAATCAAGCAAAATATTCCACAAATTCAATCAAGAATTCCTCATAATAATAATAATAATAACGAGAGCTATAATGGTAATAATAGTGGCGTGAATCCTAATTACAATCCTTATCAGCAACCACAACATCATATTGCCCAAACACAAATTCCTCAACAGCAACCATATCAGATGGGTCCAGCGCAAATTCCACAACAGCAACAACAACATCAACATTATGGATTTCCTCGTATAAATACAAATCAACATATTCCACAACAGCAACCAAAACAATGGAATCAACCTTCTCAAGGAAGTAATAATTATCAAGAACGTGAGCGTCAACCAGAAATTCCTCAATTCAAAATTGATGCTCCAGAAGCAAACTTCAGTATGCCAGAAAGCAATTCTACTTACAGATTATCGAACGCATTGGATGAATTTAAGAGAGATATTCAAGCTCATAAAAATTATGTACCAAGATCTCCCTCGATCCCTAACACTCCACCTGAACTACCAGCTTCATCTCCTACAGAATTAGGTTTAACTCGTTTTGAGAAATTGGTTAGCAATCCAAAATATGGTACTGATAATGAAACACAACAACTTCCATATCCAGTGAATGAGTTATCAATTGCTCCCAGTCCCAGAGAAGCTAGATTAAGTCAGTTATCTATGGTGAGTTCTATAATATCAAAGGAATCAAACTATAGTGATGACGATGATGCTGTTGAAAAGGAGCTAAAGAGACAATTGGATATGTTGAAGCAGAATGGAGGAAGTGATTTGTTTGAAAAAGAAGAAAGCTCAATCACAGAATCATTTGATCATAATGAGGTAGATCAAGAAGCTAACATTCCACAAATTCAAATCAACAACATGGATGATATTCCTGAAACAGATGAAGCCGAAGAAGAGGAAGTTGATGAAGAAGGAACTAGAAATCAAGAGGCTGTTAATACCCAAATTAATGAAGCTAAGAGAGGTAGCGATTCTTCTAGTAATTCAGTCGATTTAGATGATATGTCCTCTACTGCTTCATACGACTCCGTGAAACCATTATCAGTTCGTCATTCAGCTAATGTTTCATTCAATACCATTGAACTTCCACCATCACCAGCTAAATTCAGAAAAGAAGTTAAATTCACTGATGTGGATAGTTTTGTTTCGCCAGTAAGAGGAAATTTCCAAAATATCAGTGAACTGCCTCTTGAAGCATCATTTCCTCAAAGTCCAACTCCTGTTAAGTCTGTTCCTACAGTGAAAATTGAAGAAGACGTCAAACCTTTAAGTCCTAAGAACCACGAAATTGAAAAGGAATTGAAGGGTCTTAATTTTGAAATTCAACAAGCTACCGAGTCTCCTTCTCAATTTATGATAAACGATAATTCGGAATTAGTCAGTAAAGATGCTATAAAATCACCTATTAATGATGCAAATGTTAATGAAGAATTAGAACAAGAGTCAAGAGAAGAAGGTCGTCATGTTGTGGTCGCTCCAGGAACTGGTCCTTGTAGATCATGTCGTAACCCAATACTATCGAACGCAAAAGGTTCACAAAAAGCAATTTATTCAAAGACAGGCGAATTATCTGGACAATGGCATAGAAGCTGTTTTCAATGTGCTTATGATGATTGTGGAATCGTGTTTTCTAAAAATGTTCAATGTTATGCCTTACACAATCAACCATATTGTTTCAGCCATTATCATCAATTGAATAATACAACTTGTGAAGGATGTGGAATTGGTATTGAAGGTGATTGTATTGAGAATGAATTAGAACAAAAATGGCATTTAAATTGTTTAACATGTCATAAATGTAATGATATGATTAACAATGATTATTTCCTTATTAATGGAAAGATCTTCTGTGAATCTGATGCCCACATATTAATTAGTAACAGCCATCAAGCTGGATTATCCAGTACAGATAAGATTGAGAAGAGAAGAACGAGATTACTCTTCCTTGATTAAATGGAAATCAAAAGTACAGCATATAAAAAGTGTATATTATTTATTTTTAAAAAAAAAATGTATTATTTATATATTCAGTAATCCCTAGATTTTATTTTATTTGGTAATTCTTCCTCTATAATTATATCCTTGTCGTTATCCTTCATTATGCTTAAATTGTGTCCCAATGGCTCTGATTGGCCGGTCAATGGTGTTTGATCGTTAACAATAACATCATCCTCATCTTGAATTATAAAATTGTCATCATCAAAATCAGCTGAATTCAATTCTATTTCACTAGTTGCACCTAACTCCAAATCATCTTCAAAATCTCCAAATATGATTCTATCATAATTCTCACTTCCCACAGGCGGGAAACCTGTTTGACTATGGCTATTGTGGTATCCTTGTAATTTACTTTGCATTTTATTATAAATAACATAAGTTGTAACACTTGCGGCCAATCCTGTTAATACAATACTTAAGAAATCAACGAATTTAGTTGCTGTGGTATTTGTTTCATCACCAAGATTCTTCAATTTATAACCCACAAATAAATGAATTAACAATTTAGGAGATGTTATCAATGATGACAAAAAGAACTTCAAAACAGGAAGTTCTGGAATAGCCGCCAATGCACCATTTGATAATGAATAAGGTAATGGACATAATCTTAATAATATAAGTAAATATAATGATTTGTCTTCCTTCAAAATCTCCGCGAATGCTCTAAATATTTCTTCTTTATTGACTAACTTAATAGCATAATCATGTAACCAGTATCTTGTGAAAAGGAAAGAACATACTGATCCCAGTAATGATGCCACTGCTAACAATGGCCAACCATTTGGAAATCCATAAACCATTCCAGTTAAAATTGATAATGCAGAGAACCCAAGCAATGGTGGAAATGAAACAAAGAATACTAGCAAGAACAATATCACTCCACCATAACTTAAATCATGCCATGAGTCCGCCACATAAACCAATGCGTCTATAAAGTATTTGTGAAAAATTAACATTAGTATACCACCCATGACCCCGATACATCCTAAGATTCCGAGAAGAACCCTCTTGATAACTGATTGCTGTTGATACCAATCTAAGAATCGCTGAGCGACATCATAAAGATCCCGTACTATCCCACCTAGACGTGGAGCTGCTACATTCTCCATCGAGATTCGAGGCATAATTCGTTGATGATATGAACCTTAATGATGGGATCTATATGTATAGATTTGTTTTTATTTAGTATATTTCTTTGCGCCCTTGTGTTCAGGATGGGGATTGTATGCAGTCTATTTATTGACGGTGGGACAAAGTTGGAAGAACATAATTTTGCAACGTTTTTATTATTACGAGTTTTTACAATGAAATCAAACGTTGAAGAATGTAGAATTTGGCTTAAATAGCTGCGATCAATTTGGTCTTAGCTGAATAAAACTATCTAACCACAATGATGGGCTAATAGGTTTTACACCCTGATGGCTTCTGCGACTTTTGTTAGGGGTACAAAGTGGTAAACTTATTTGGTGGTATTGAGAAGAAAGGAGCTTCAACAAGATACGAAAAGGTAAACAAACAATTCACACCTAACCGTTGGTAAGAAATAAACTGTTTTGGGTTAATAGATGCGAGAATTAGATTCGTATTCAAAAATACCACTGGTGTGAATTTTAGCGCAGGGTAACACATGGTAGTATAAATTTTGACATGAGGTTAGCGCAATAATTTTACAAACACATTCAGAGCAAAGTATAGATTTATTTCTATGTGACTCTTATACAGACTTAATGAATATGATAAACTATTTATATAAAATACGAGTCAATGTAGTTAAAAAAAAATTCATAGCCGTTTCAAGTCGGGTTTTCAAAAGTTGTTGCCAACTCAATTTGCGGCATTCTATACACACGTGCAACCACGTTTATGCAAGACGTAAAGAAGCGCTTGTTTGCAATTACAACATTAAAACTTTCAATTATAGCAACAATGGCGATCTAAACCTTCAACCGTTTCAAATCAAAACAAAATTTCAAATCTACGTTTGTTTCCCCTTTTTGAATTGACTTCTACACGTTGTAAAATAAACTATTGCAGGCGGTTGTTCGCATGGTTTGGCGGCTTCCTTGCCGTAACTGTGATAATATTTCCAATTTGCCCACTTTTTGTAATTCTTCATAAAACGTCTCTGTTCACCATAGACAACAATGAATAACCCGCATGCAAATCAATATGAGCCTAATTCTTGAAACTGTAAAGGGACTACCCGTACGCATTTGGCGTCTATGGTTGCCTATTTGAATAGGAATTAGAAAATATTTTCTAACTCCACTTAAAAATAGTTCACATCTTTTCAGAAGCTATGATTGACATTAGATCCCACCTCTAAACCACAAATGTATATGTATATATAAAATAGTGGGGCTTTCCCCATAGAATGGTGAAAAAATTTTAAACAGTTAAGTCAATCTCACTAAGTCCAATTCCAATTGCAATGTTATATTTAGCAGTTTTATATCTTATTGCGACTGTTCTCGCAACATCTCCTACTGATGGATATGCTCCAGGATATGTTCAATGTCCTTCTAATTCCAAATTAACTAGAGATGCTACTGGACTTTCTTCAAGTGAATCCAGTTGGGTTCAAAGTAGAAAAGAAATTACCAATGCTGCTTTATCTACTTTCCTTACCAATGCTAATTTAACTGATTTTGACGTTGATAGTTTCTTAAGTTCTAATTCTCCAACTATTGGTTTAGCTTTCAGTGGTGGTGGTTACAGAGCTATGTTAACTGGTGCTGGTGAATTGGCTGCTTTAGATTCAAGAACTAACAGTGCCAATAGTGGTTTAAAGGGTTTATTACAATCTTCCACTTATCTTGCTGGTTTATCAGGTGGTAGTTGGTTAGTTGGTTCGGTTGCTTTAAATGATTTCATTTCGGTTGATGAAATTATTTCCCAAGATACTTTATGGAATTTAAATAATTCAATCTTAGATCCTGATGGAATTGATGTTATTGGTAATACATTATATTGGACTGCAGTTTCAGCTGAAATTGCTGCTAAACAATTAGCTGGTTTCAAAGTCACTATCACTGATCCATGGGCCAGAACCTTATCTTATCAATTATTAACCAACTCCAACCCATTAGAAGGATCAGCTTTATGTTATTCTGACATTGTTAACTTGGATTCTTTCCAAAATCATCAAGCTCCATTCCCAATTGTTGTTTCTGATAGTAGAGCTCCAGGACAACTTCTTCTTGATTCCAATTCCACTATTTTTGAGTTCAATCCTTATGAATTTGGTTCTTGGGATCCTGCCTTATATCAATTCATTCCAACTCAATATATTGGATCTGATTTAGATGGTGGTGTTCCAGTTAATTCTTATGCTTGTGTTAAAGGATTTGATAATGGTGGTTTCGTTATGGGTACAAGTTCATCATTATTCAATGAAGTTATCTTAGATGTTTCTCAAGTTGATATTCCAACTTTCTTAAGTGATCTTCTTAGTACCTTTGTATTAGATCCAGTCACTGCCTTAAGTGTTGATATTGCTTATTATTCACCAAATCCATTTTATGAAAGTACTAGTGGACGTGGACCAAATATCTTTTCTGAAAATGGTACTCTTTATTTAGTTGATGGAGGTGAAGATGGTCAAAATATTCCATTAGCACCATTAATCCAACCAAATAGAAATCTTGATGTTATTTTCGCTCATGACAATTCAGCCGATACTGATGAAAACTGGCCTGATGGAACTTCTTTAGTCTCAACTTATCAAAGACAATTCTTACCTATTGGTAATGGTACTCATTTCCCATATGTTCCAGATCAAAATACTTTCCTTAACTTAAACTTAACTTCCAAACCAACATTCTTTGGTTGTGATGCCCAGAACTTATCCAGTTTAACCGACAATTATCTTGATGTTCCATTAGTAGTTTATATTGCCAACAGACCATTTTCTTATTGGACTAATACCTCAACTTATAAGATGGCTTATAGTTATGAAGAAAAAATAGGTATGATTCAAAATGGTTATGAAATTGAAACCAGATTAAACACCACCCTAGATGAAGAATGGGCAGCTTGTGTTGGATGTGCTATTATTAGAAGATCCCAAGAAAGAGCCGGTACCGAACAATCAGAACAATGTCAACAATGTTTTGCTCAATATTGTTGGAATGGAGATATTTACACTGGTGACGCACTCGGTGAAAACTATTCCAATGATGGTTTAACTTCTGGAACTGAATATTATAACTCTACCAATGTGGCTGGTATCAGTGATGGAGGTCTCGATTTATTCAAAAAGAAGAGATCAACCATCAACTAATTAGAATTTTAGATTTGGGTTATGAATGATTTTTTGATTGTTTTTTTGCAGCAAAAATGAAAAAAAATATATAATAAACAATTTAGAGTAGAGAGAAAATAAAAGTTTTAAAAATGAAAAATTGGTCTTTTTTTTACATCGTTAAACATACCAAAAATAAATATGATTTTAGAGTTTTGAATAAATGATTTTGAATTTATTAATTATGTATTTCTATTAGTATATACCTTAAAAGAGTTTGTAAGTGTAACAATTATTAAATTAGTAAAAAAAAATAGTGACTATTTTTAAGAGAGAAAAAGAACACAAACTGTATTGTACAAAAGATAAAATATCACCAGTGATTGATTTAACTCTTTGATAATAAAGCAGGGAAATCATCAACGCTGGCCCCTTCATAGATTACTTGATAAGTAGCTTCGAATAATGGGAATTCATGAACTAAATCGAAATGAACTAATAATTTATGCACTTCTTTAGCAGTTAATATACCTTGAGAACTTTGGCCATTTAATAACACTTTTTCAGCTTCAAAAGCACCAACATTATGTTTTATCATATATCTGGCAACTTTAGCATTTCTACCTCCGGAGCAAGTGGTGATTAAATCAGCCACACCAGCACTTTCTTCAGTAAAAGTGGAATGTCTTGGAGGAGCTTCACCTTTAATACCGAATTTTTCCCAATAAGAAGCAAAATGAATGATTTCTTTAATACCAATTCTCATGATTGCAGCACGAGCATTTGAACCCCAACCTGCACCATCAACGAAACCTACGGCACAAGCAACGACATTTTTTAAAGCTCCAGCAATAGAAGCACCCACCACATCTTTAATGACAGCGACATGGAAATAAGGTCTATGGAAAGCTTGTCTTAAGATAAAACTATCGATATCTTTACCTTCACCTCTGAAATCAGCTGGTTTTAAATAAGCAATTGAAGTTTCAGACCATCTTTCTCTGGCCACTTCATCAGCAATATTAGCCCCTGATAAAACACCACAATACATTCCTAAAGTATCAGTAATGGATTGAGATAATAATTTACAACCATGAGCTCCGACATGTAAACCTTTAAGACATGAGATTGCTCTAACGTCTTTTGAAACGTGACCATCTAATTGTTTACAAATATTTGGTAAGAATTGATGAGGAACATTAAAGACAATTAAATCAGCATCTTTAACGGTTGAAACTAAATCAGGATTAGCAATTAAATTTTCAGGTAATTTAACACCTTGTAAATATTTAACATTTTCATGTTCAGTATTTATAATTTCAGTTAATTTTTTACCATCAAGTTCTTCTTCAAATACCCACATTTGAACATTCTTTTCGAATATTTCAGGTTTTTCTCTAGTATTTTCAGCAACAATCTTTGCAATACAAGTACCCCCAATTACCAGAACCAATAATGGCGATTCTGAAAGGTTTTTCGATTTTATATGGAATAGTACCGGTAGTCATGATGTGATATATGTATTATGTATGATTTGATATGATATGATATGATATTATATGATATGATATTATCTATGATATATACGATTTTATTAAGTATATGTGTAGTAATCTATTATTAAGATTTATGAATAAGGATTATGAATATTTTAGAAAACGGATTAAATTTATAATTGAGAGGAAACAAGAACGTAACCAAAAGTGGAAAGCAATTAGAATATATATACTTATATATAAATCAATAAATCAACAACAATAATTAAAAGTTTAAAAAAGAAATTTTTAATTTGTGTTACCTTTAATTAATATGGTTAAATTTTAGAACTCCGTATCACTTTTGATGAATGGTGTTGGTGTAAATTGTTTTAGGGGTGGGCATACCTTGTTATGTGCAGGTGGTAAGATGGGCATCGACAATACATAAAATTAATTAACTATAGAGCTATTTTAATTTTTATTTTTATTTTTATTTTTTTTATTACTAGTTACGGCTTAATATTTACATTGTATATAGTATCTTTTCAACTGTGTTATGATGTAAGACATATCTATGTCTGTGTAATGATAACTGAAAAGTGTTTAACTACTTACTTACCTCCTCGCACTGTGTATCCCTTTTAAGCCCAACAAAATATTTCAAATAATAAAAATAAAATATAACCACTATCAGTCATTTGTTAAATTTTAACCCCTCTATCTATAAAATAGACTTCTATACATGGTGATGGTAAGTCTAAATAGTAGGAGCAGCAGAATTATTATTATTAGTAGTGGTGGCATTTAAAATCTTTACATCTACGAACGAAAGGGGTCACCATATGCTTCTCTCCTCTCTCACACTATAATTAAAAATAATAAAAAAAAAAAAGAAATTCTGTCTCAATTTCAGAAACCGTAATTAGCCGACTCACTGTGAGTCTCTCTCCCTAACTAACTCTCCCTAACTCTCCCTAACAACTAATAACACAAAGTTCTATTACACACAAATGACGTAGATGTTTATATATTGGAACTTGTTTATGTATGAACGCATATATTTATGTATAGGTTTTGATAACTTTATTGCTACCATGTTATTATTATCGTTTTACTCGTCTATTGTTTCATCAAACTATTGATAACAAATCTTGGATTAATTAATTAATTAGTAAGGAGGAAAAGTTTTTCCGATTTATATGTATATCTATCTCCCTCTTTGTCCTACTTGTTCATTAGTAACCGTTGAATTATCTGTAATTAGTCGTACTATGACGTGTGGTCTACTATTGCTTGTTCGGACCTACAGCTTTATCTATATAACCAATCAAAGTTATCTTTGTTCACTTATCCGCTTCTTAATCGGTTTAAAACTAAAGTGGACCGTTATGAGAATAACTAATCATTCTTTTCCCTCACTATGCCACTTATGTTTTTTTTTTTTTTTCTTTTCTTTTACTGAGCTCTCAGTAAAATTTTTGCATCTATCGTGATGGATCTCATTATTTTTTTTTTCTTTTTTCTCCCTGCAGATTTCTCTCACTAAAAATTAGAGAGCAATGCCTACAGGTGATGATCTATAACGCTATTGCTGCAACACTTTTAAATTAGTTTGTTTAAAGTGACTATTCATTACTCGTATTGTATTGTAACATGTTTCAATACATTGCTATATCATCAAAGAACAGTATCATCTCTGAATGAACAAAGAATGATCTATCACTAATAGACCCCTACTAATTCAAACAACTCACTATTTTACCTTACTAATGCAAAACTAGTTTTAGTTACTTTATTGAATTGGTTATAACCAAAAGATAGAACGCATTTATGACTCATAATCAAAATGAACGTTACATCAAATAACAACTACCAACTAATCTCATAATTAATATGCCAAGTCTAATAATCTTAACTTAATTTAGCTTAGCTTAGCGTATCGGAAAAACTACTAAGATGTATCTCGCGCGTAACGTTTTCACTATGCAATTAATTGGTCTAACTACTACAAATAATTAAAGAATTTTCTTATTTAATTTGAAAACGTATACTAAATAAATACATAACCCGATTTCTTAAATCTATATACCTTCATCTACTCTAAAATACAAACAATTAACTCGTTTAATGAAAATCATCATCATGTCTATAATCATCATAAACCTCTTGCCATTTATCAGTCAAGATACTTCTTTTAACTCTTCTATTATTTACCGTAGTTGGTACACTATCAAAATCTTCCATCCAATCATGCATTTGTACTTGGCCTCCACTCACCACTTTAGCAGCACTAAATGGATCTAAAATCCCTCCTAATTCTCCATCTTTGATATGAGCTAAGGGATCAGGTAAATGATTCACTTCTGGTCTTAAATCGTGTTGAGGTTGTTGTTGTTGTTGGATTGGAGCTACTGGGATTGGAATATCATGCGGTGGTTCATGATAATGGATATTTCCATTTTCAGTCTTAATGTCCTTTAATGGATCGCTTAAATATTGACGGATATCTTCACCATTAGTAGAATTAACTAATTTATCTCCCGATAATTCAACTTGTCTATTTGATATCGAACTCATTAATTTTAAAAAGTTGGAATTTTCAAATTTAGATTTAGTCTCTTGAGTAGACGTAGCACTTTGCATCGAATGTTGAACTTGTCTTGCTGTCTCTGCAAACCGTTCTTTATCACTATCATCAACTGTTTTCAACTCCTCATCTTGTGCTGGTTCTTGATCTTGTAATTCCTTCTCAAGCATATCAAATTCATTATCGAAATGTTTACTTTCTTGTTGCATTTTATGTAATTCTTGATGTTCACTAACTTGAGGTTGAACTTGTTGATGTTGTTGTTGTGCAAACAAAGGTGAATTTCTCATAGCTAATCCATTGGCATAATTTGGCATAAATTGTTGATTCTGTTGTTGGGGTTGTTGAAATTGTACTTGACTATTATCCTGTTGCAAGAACTGTTGATTCCAATCAGATCTGACGTTTGGCTGTTGGTGTTGTTGTTGGGCAGGATGATGTTGATGTATTGGACCTTGAGGTTGATTGATAGCTAAATTAGAGAAATCATTCACCCAGTTCCCATTATGAAGTTGTGGTTGTTGTTGAATATTTTGTTGAGGGATTTGAGGTTTAAACTGACTAGCAAAACTACTAGCGAAATCATTTCCATTATTAAACTGTTGGAATTCAGAATTTAATCTAGTATCAACTATATTTCCATTGGTTCTAAAACTACCAATATTATTTCTCTGTTGATTATTTCTTAACGCAGCTTCATTTTGTAAACTATTATCTCTTTGAGCATGTTTGGATAAGTTCGTTATCGCATTCGAAGGTCCACAACTTGCATCCATCTTCGATATACTTCTTCTTATTCAAATCAGTTCAAAAAGAAATAAATGATAAATTTTTGATGATTAATTCTACTGTGAATCATCATGTCACTGATAACTTTTTTTTCCCACTTTTTACGGGGAAAAATATTCCTCGGTATTGATACCAAAGGTAGTGCATATAGCACGTCCCAATTAGGTTAAAAATTGCAGATATAGTATGTATCTATTAAACCTATAAATCAATCATTAAAAACACTACTATGTATTATATAAATATACCTTTTCTTTTTTTAATATTCCCTTAATTATCCTTGTTTACCAATTATTCATAACTTTGTATACGTCACACTATCAAAGTATTCATCATAAGTTTCACCTAAAAATTCATGAATATTAGAAGTTTGCATAGCTCTTTTATACTTTTTAAATGCTTTTTTACTAGCGGTTCTAACCAAAGTACATGCTGTAAAACAAGCCAAAAGATTAGCTTCTTCATTAGTTAATCTTTCCTTTGAAGCTGGATCAAAATCCCATACTTTTTTATTATAATTATTCGACCAATTGATTATGGTAGCTAAAGCTCCCGTTAAGGTATCACCTTGACCTCCAACTCTTTTCGATGAACCTTCCATATCATTGATTAAATATTCATTCTTATGAACAATTAATTCTTGTTTCCCCTTTCTAATGATGGTTACATTACCTAATTTTTTCGATAATTCAATGGTTTCTTCAATTAATTTTTCTAAATTATCTTCATCAATTTTTGATTTGATTTTCAAAGCTTTTGCAATCCTATCAAATTCAACCACATTAGGAGTCAAATATGCATTAGTATAGTTCTTAATAAGTGATGGACTAACTGAAATTAAGTACAATGCATCCGCATCCAATACAATTGGTTTATTTAATACTTTGATTTCTTCAATTATTCGACTCAATGATTTTAACATTAATGGATCTCTACCGAATCCCGGACCAATCACAACAATATCCGATCTTTCTAATAGTAATTGCACTTTAGGTAAGATTTTATCATCAATGATAGTATTTAATTTAGGTTGATTTGATTCAATCAATTCTTGAATGGGGATTTTTGAAATCTTACTAATTTCTTCTTTACTCAATTGAATATCGGGATTATTTAAATCAAAAAGATAAGGATGAATCATTAAATCAGGAGAATACAGTTTAATAACTGGAGCTGCTAATTTCTCACATATAACATGAGATAAATCAGCTCCAATTAAAGCAGCTGAATGACTTGAGAAAAACGGAGCTCCCGTATAATCTTCACATCCACCAATTACAACCACTCTTCCAGCTTGTCCCTTATGGAAGTTGGGTAATAATGGTTGAATCAATTGTTTTGACAATTGAATCAATTCCTTTTGAGTTTTATTCCTTAACATGTTTCAATATTGATAATCGATATAAGGATATCTGTGGTGTGATATAACTATCATATTATATATTTAACTGTGGCAATTTAAAGTAATAGGGAAATGAGGGTGCTTATATGCAGGCAACTTGTGGGTACATTTCACCAATCAATTATGGGTGCGCTCCCCCATGAAAATTACCAATTTTCAAATAATATACCGAAATCCAACAAAATTTTGATTTATAAGTTGCTTTTCATCCCTTTATTCTTTTTAATTGTTTTCTTATTCTTTTGGTATAGT